TCGAGTATTGGACAAACTTAGCAAAGTTGTTAGAAAAAGGTAAGTTCAATGCCCTTTTCATTGCTGATGTTTTGGGGCCTTACGATGTCTACAATGGACCACGTAATATTTCCAATGCTGCTAGATCAGGTGCTCAGTGGCCAATTACAGAACCCAGTGCAGTTGTTAGTGCGATGGCTGCTGTTACGAAGAATTTGGCCTTTGGTGTCACCTTCTCAACAATTAGTGAAGCTCCATATCATTTAGCAAGGAGACTTTCTACTTTGGATCATTTGACCAGTGGTAGAATTGGTTGGAATATTGTGACAACATATTTAGACAGTGCTCTGAGAAATTTGTTGAACAACGAACCACTTCCCCTCCGTGAGGAACGGTATGTGAAAGCAGAAGAATATGTCGAAGTTATTGAGGAATTACTCTTATCTTCTTGGAGGGACGATGCTCTTGTCTTGGATAAGAAAGCCGGAGTCTACTCTGATCCAGATAGAATCAGGGAAATTAACTATGAAGGTAAGTACTTCAACGTTCCTGGTCCACATATTTTAGATCCTACACCGCAAAGAGTTCCTGTTCTTTTGCAAGCTGGTACTTCAAAACAAGGAAAAGAGTTTGCGGCTAAGCATGCAGAAGTAGTATTCATAACCAACTTCACTCCTGAAAATTTGGCTCAAAATATCAAAGGTATTAAGGATTTAGCAAAGAACAAGTATGGAAGGGAAGAAGATTCCATCAAGTTTTTGCAATTGGTGACTACTATCATTGGGAAGACCCATGAAGAAGCAGAGAAAAAATATAAGGAATTTGAGTCGTATGGTGATCTTGAAGGTGCTCAATCTTTATTCAGTGGATGGACTGGAATTGATATTGGACAATTTGCTCAGGATGAAGAATTAAGAGATACTGGATCCAATGCCGTAAAGGGATTTGTGTCCAATTGGGTTAAGAGCTCACCAGGTGAAGACACAAATATCAAAAAAACGAGAGAATATGTAGCCAAACAGATTACTGTTGGTGGATTAGGACCTGTATTCTTTGGAACAGCTGAGGAAGTTGCAGATGAAATCGAAAGATGGGTTGAGATCTCGGATGTTGATGGATTCAACTTTACATACACAATTACCCCAGGCACTTTCGAAGAAATCGTTGAAGAATTGATTCCTGTGTTAATTGAAAGAGGATTAGTTTGGGATGATTATCCAAAGCAAGGTCTTACTTTCAGAGAAAGTGTTTTTGGTACCAATGATCCTCATAATTCGGAAGACCCCAAATTTCTCAGGCCATCCCACCCTGCAAACAAATTGAGATGGACCAACCAATTCACTAAAGAAGAGTTCGAAGACCATATTAAGGGTGTCAAAAGGACCTGGAAACGTTCATATGAGTAGAAAGACCATACTTCAAGCACGGCATAATAAATCAAACGCGTGTGAAATTTTGAGATAATAATCACTAAAATGTTTAGTTATCAGATCAAATAGTAGTACAAGATCCTTACACATTACCAATGGTTTTATCGGACATTGAATGATGGAGGGCTGAGGAGAAACGCTTTTTCAATTGTGGGCCCACGCTTAGAGCCACATTAAAGGTATATGGTTAGTCTGATACTGTGTAGCTGTGATTAAAGTCCGTGGACCCTATCATACCACTCTTTTCGCCCTTCATTAAAAACCTTTTACGTGGATAAGGTTGCATTTGATGCCATAACTGGTTATGCGAACAAGCCGTAATACAGCAAGTGTGGCATTATAGCCATTCCTAACAATCTTCTAACAAGATTCTGATATCTATTACACTTTGCAGGTTGCTTACGCGACTCTTATATATCTCGTTCTTTTTATACTTCGAAAGTTGTTAACAGCAACCGGTGTAAACTAACAAACAAATTCATTACGATTAATTAGTAACAAAATTGGCTAAAAAACAAATTGTTGTAAATGCATTTGATATGGGATGCTCTGGGTTGCAGGCTCCTGGTCTCTGGAAACATCCAGATGATAAATCACCAACGTTTAATACAGTCGAGTATTGGACAAACTTAGCAAAGTTGTTAGAAAAAGGTAAGTTCAATGCCCTTTTCATTGCTGATGTTTTGGGGCCTTACGATGTCTACAATGGACCACGTAATATTTCCAATGCTGCTAGATCAGGTGCTCAGTGGCCAATTACAGAACCCAGTGCAGTTGTTAGTGCGATGGCTGCTGTTACGAAGAATTTGGCCTTTGGTGTCACCTTTTCTACAATTAGTGAAGCTCCATATCATATCAAATTTATAGCAGTATTGACTACCGTCATTGGGAAGACCCACGAAGAAGCAGAGAGAAAATATAAGAAAATACAATCGTATGGTGATCTTGAAGGTGCTAAAGCTTTATTTAGTGGATGGGGATTCATTTTGGAATATTTGGTGAAGATTAAGAGTTGAGATGTCGGATCAAATGCAATTGAAGTGTTGTGGAACGTTGGACCAAGGCAACTCAGGGTGATGACCCCTCGTTGAAGAAGACTAGAGATTATTCGGCTAATTTGGTCACAATTGGAGGCTTGGGCCCAGTATTCTACAGTACACCAAATGAAGTAGCAGATATCATTGAAAAGTGAGTTGAAATTTCTGACGTGGACGGCTTCAACTTCACCTATTCACCTACGCAGTGACACCTGGTACATTTGAAGACATTTTTCACTATTTGATTCCTGGTTTAAAGAAGAGAGGTTTGGTGTGGGAGGATTATCCAAAAGAGAGACTTACTTACAGAGAGAATATTTTTGGTGTTGAAGATCCTCATAATTCAGATCCCACTTTCTTTCGATCCTGTTCACAAATTAAGATGGACCCAGAAACAAACTAAGGAAGAATTTGACAAATACCTGAAAGAAATATAGGAGCTTGAGAAAGGCTCGCATATTTTGGAAAGTGCTGAACCAACATATAATGAAGCTTGTGCAATAAGTTTAACTATTTAGATTTTCAATAACATATTATTTTGTATTTAATTTGTTGAGCCATGAGCATATGTGAAACATCACTTTGAATATGATCTGATATCACATGCTTGCAAATCCAATAGTGGCACTTAGTCGATTGCAAAGTAGACTGAAAGGGATGCGTTGTTTCACATTTTTCAATCTGCTTCTAAGATCCAACTGCATGCCACATTTGAGCCCTAGTTATTTGCAAAGGGTGCAAAAAACCGCAAAAATGAAACTAAGGCGCGAGCTTAAAGAAGCAGACCACTAGGAAATTAGAATAAGTTCGCACGCAATTTTTTCAACACATTTCGCAACCACACTTATCCAGCAAATGGAATCGATCTACTGGAAAAGCTTTAGTAAGTAGAATAGTATTGTGGCTGTCGGCAGCTTGCAAATCTAGAAGTGGAAATTCGTTATGCTAGGATATGGAGTTGTGGCATCGACATCTAGTAAAATAAAGGATGCGAATGGCCGCTCCAGGCAACGGGAAAGCTGTGGATGAATAGGCGCACTACCTTATATCCAAATATATATGTGAAGATATACATAGATCATAGAATTCAGCTTATTTTAAATACACCAAATTATTTTCCTTGCTATCGTGTTATTACCTTTGCAAAACTTGCACGCATCTTTTTTAAAACCGTTTGTTGGCTAATAACTTTGATAAAAGATGTCGATAGCACCATTAATAGAGATCAGACAAATAGACACTTATCATTTCACTTCACCTAAGCTTAATGAGATTTTAATATCTGAAATAAAAAAGTCGCTAGAATATTTAGCTCCCTTCTCACTCCAAACTCAAAAAGTGGTAGCTTGTACAGGTTTTAGTAGGCCTTTGGAAGTATTGAGTAACTATCCTATACCACAAGTTGGAGAACACGAAGTTTTAGTGCAGAACAGAGCTATTGGAATAAATCCTATTGATTGGAAAAGCAAAAAATACCGATTTGCAATTTATGATTTTCCATGGATCAATGGTCGTGAAAGCAGTGGGGTTGTTGTGAAGACTGGATCTAAAGTCACTGAGTTCAAAGTCGGCGACAAAGTGATGTTGGGAAGTACTAGCTATAGAGATAACAGAACTAGCACATTTCAAGAATACACAGTCATGAATGCAAACTTATTATGGAAGTTGCCTCTGCATTGGAATTATGATAATGGAGCTACTATAGGTGTGGGACTTGTTACTGCAGCAATATTGTTAGTTGATTCGTTCAAGATTCCTTTGATTGAAAATTCACAGAGAGGTAAAACTATCATCATTTGGGGGGGTGCAACAACAGTAGGAATGTATTTGACCCAGCTTGCAAAGTATGTTGGATTAAGGGTTATAAGTCTTGCCAGCAAAACTAATGCTGATTATTTGATATCATTGGGTGCAAATAAAACTATTAGTCGGCATTTAACGTCTGAAGCAATTCATGTGGTCCTTGAACAAGAAAATACTAGAATTGATTTTGCGGTTGATTGTGCCTCAAATGAATCTGCTTCTTTCCTTCTTGAAGTTCTCTCCCAAAATCAGGGAAATAGTGCAGAACCCCAATTATTTACTGGCATTGTTGCAATACCTAAAGTGCGACCACCTTCAACTGTCGAAATTCGCGGTTTAACAATCAAAAAGTTCCATGAAGATCAACAATTTGGAAGAGAAATTGTTCGAGCAACAACTTCTTTATTCGAAGACGGATCAATTCAACCAGTTCGACATCGTAGTTTTAAAGGTGGTATAGATAAGGTTGTTTCTGCATTAACTGCCTTAGAGGTTGAGGGAGCAAGTGCTGAGAAGTATGTTGTTACTCTTACGTAAGTAGGTTTCGCTTTAAATATTTCAGATTCTTAAAAAAAATAGTAAAAAGATTATATTCATTTGATAATTTTATTCGTTTAATCATCACTTTTGATACTAAAATCGGCTACTACTGGTCGATGATCTGAGAAGAATTCACCAAAATTGTTTTCAAGAACTCCATAATTCGTGGGAGAGAAATTGTTAGACCACACATAATCAATGATCATGCTTGGGATTTTCTCTTTATCAAACCCTGTGAATGTTCCACCATGAAACCCATAAATATCCGATGCCGCAACCCTACTGTCTTTGAAACCAGCACCTTTTAAAATCAGATATGGCTCATCAATTGGCTGAGTATTGAAGTCACCACTCAAAATTGCAGGAAGCGTTTCATTCTTCATTTCACCAGCAATTATCTTGGCAGATTCTCTTCTAGCAATAACTCCCTGATGATCAAAGTGGGTGTTCAAAAACTTTATCTTCAAGTTTGGGAACGTTCTGTTTTCCAAGACGACAATGGTGCATATTCTTTCTAATGCAGCATCCCAACTCTTACTTCCTGGGACATCAGGAGTTTCACTTAGCCAAATTGTTTTTGATTCTAATAATTTCCATTCTCTCTTCTTATAAAAAATGGGAGAATACTCTCCCTTTGTTTTCCCGTCAGTTCTCCCTACCCCATAAAATGCCCATTCTGGACCCAATTCTTCGATTATATCATTCAATTGATTATGAAGAACTTCCTGCAAATTAACAACGTTGGCTAGTCCCGGGTACGCATTAAATTTAATGGATCCAGTCACACCTACCTTTCGCAGAGCCCAAGGTAATTCTCCTTTATCGGGGTGATTGCGATTATCAAATCGAACATTATTGGTATAAACCCTTACCTTAAGGGAACAAGAGGGTTTCAAAAGTTTATTAGTCATTTCAATTCGGATTAACTAAAACTATATAAAAGAATGAAAGAACAGAACCTTCATTACTTGATAGCTAATCCCCTTATGAAATTTATACCCCACATGTTCCTACTTACACAAAATTCTCATTTGAGATTCTTCTATATACATCAATTTATAAGAAAAATCATACACAAATATAATAATACACACCTAATGAATGAACGCAATAATAAGGAGGAAAGGAGGTCTTTTTGATCACCTCCTTATAGTCGCAAAAAGAGTTTAAAGAAGACAATAATAGAAAGTATAAAAAAAGAAAAAGGAATAAAAAAACTCAGAAAAAAACCCTCTGTTCAAACCAAACCATTATATGAATGAAACTGAAAAAATATTTCCATAACAAATAACATCACTCTTGTACCCATTAATTGCCTTGTCTGTAGCGGATAATTCTCCTAAACAAATCAACAGAGTCTAACTCAATCTCACTAATAAACTCATCCAAAATCAGTTTCTCTCTGATATACCTATCACAATGATTAGCCAGAAGGAATCGATCTTCATCGAATTCCACAGAGATTCTTTCGATAAAATCTATAATTAACTTTCTTTCGTTGAAAATATGTAAATCAATTTCATTCTTAACCCAATTAAGTTTATCATTCTTAAGTCGACTTTCAATGGTAGGTTCAACAACATACCATTCTTCTAAGATCTCATAAATAGTAAAAATTTCATTATTCATAGCTATCTTTTTTGTAGTCTTTCTGATTTCACTGTCATCATGACCCATTTCATAATCTTCGTCATCCTCATTTATTCCATCTGCTTCATCATCCAGATTATCATTATCGTTTTTGTCATTCTCAATATCTTCTTCTGTGTCTGATTCAGTATCTGGCTCGCCAAAATTTTCTATCTTGACTTCGGAATTGTTACCACTCTTTTCCTGTCTCAAGCGTAAATTATCCTTCAATCCTGCTATGTAATCTTCAATTTCAAACTTCATAGCTAAAAGTTTGTTGTTCATATTCAATTTGAAATCAAGTCTATCACTAGCCTTTAGACGCTTGTTTAAAAATAATGAATCGATTTCTTGATTGATAAACTTGTGCTTGTTAGATATGGCAAGATTAATTTCAGTGATTGCCTTATTCACAGTGGTCATGAAATTTTCATCTAGTTTTCTTAATTTACCCTTGACCTTTTTCTCACGAACAGGTAAATTGGTTGAACCAGATTCTTTGTTTATTCCACCGCTCTTTCTTGATTGTCTTAATCTACTAGATTCCTTTGTAGAAGCTGGAGATGTGGATGGTGCAGGTGATGCTGGAGTAACTGGTGCGGGTATCATAGTACCAGGGATTTGAACTTCAAGCTTTGAAGTTTCCCGTTTAAGAGGTGTTCTTGGTTGTGGAACTTGTGTTCCTCTAATATCAAAAGCGCTTCTAGTAAACCTCGTATTGGCTGTGATGGGTGGAGTGGATGAAGATCTCATAATTTCAATGCTGGACACAGAATGCTCTGAACCCGGTCTTCTTTTTATAGCGCTATCATCGCTCAAAGAAGTGTTATCGACACCGCTAGAGTTCTCTTTGCTAATCAAAAACTCCAAAGCTATGTATCTGTTAGGTATATGTTTTGAGTTTAGCTTATAGGCAATATTGTTAACTTCCTGCAACTTTGAAAAAGCTGGATCCATTTTTCGAAGTCGAATAATAGGATTATCACTACCACTGATGCTGAATTGTTGTTCGTAGAATTCTTTCATTAATTCCCCAGTTACTAAAAACTCTTTTAGTCCTTTGGTAACACAGAAACGAATGTAGTGTTTAATTGTAGTGATATATCTCTTTCTTGTCTCGAATCCTAAAACCAATAGCTTGTTTCTTGCTTCCTCATTACTCAACACTTCGTTATCAAACTTCTTAAACATTTTAATAACTTCTGGAGTATCAGAGGCCATCACACGCTTGTTGATTTTGATTTCATTCTTGTTAGTAGTGTATTTGCGCTTTTTAGGCTTAATAATATTAGTTAAAGCTTTTGCAGCCAGCATGGGAGATTGTTCCCTTTCTGTATCAACTTCGTCATCGTCATCGTCGTCATCATCGCCATCAGCTTCTGCCTCATCTCCCCCGTTATCTCCTTCCTCGTCAACCCCCATCTCTCCATCTGCTTGCCTGGTGCACACTGATGATTCAACCCCGTTTGAAACTCTAGGCACACGATGGCGGATTGAAAACTGGGAATGTGAGCCAGTGTTGTTCCCCATATTTGAAAGAGGTCTGGGTTGTACCATGTTGAATGTTGTGTCAGAATGGTTAGCTGGAGATACCAAATCTGCAATGGAAGTAGGTCTTGCAGGAGTAGTCTCGTTCACAACTCTGGATAGAGACATGTCATCATTGTAAAATGCGGAGTTAAGGAGTCCATGGGAAGAAGTTTGGTGTAGTTGTTGAGGATGTGACAAAGATGGTTGGGGCAAGCGTTGAGGTGGAGCAGATTCAACCAAACGAGAATGATCTCGCTGGGGTCGAGAGAGAGGAGTAAGAGGAGGTGCAAATGCAACATTTGATCCCAACAATGAAGGTTTTGGAGGAGGTAAAATATTGGAATGGTGTTTTAAGATATGACGAGGGTGATGGGTAGAAGTTAATAGTGTTGTCGTGGTGGGTGATGAAGCATGAATATCTGGGACTTGTTGTGCGGTAAGTGGATGCGATGAGGAACTATTTGAAGAGGTTCGTTTTAAAACACTGCCATCTGAATCCTCAAACGATTCGTCAGACATGTCGTCTAGTCTGCGTTTTGACGCCGACCGTGTAAACACCATCGAAACGCTTGGTGTACAACAATCTCCAGTAGTAAAACACTGCACTGACTCTGTTTCTACCCTGTAAGGTAATGGGACCTGATTATCTCTTCTCCCACAAAAAAAAAAGTGTGCACCAACTACAAAAAAAGCTGCGAAGCCATCTGAGTAGACCCGTTTCACCTTAGGCTTTAAATCACTTTGCCCTAGGTTTACACCGAAAAAAATTTTGTTATATATAGAAAAGTGAGCACCAGACACTGCCAATAAGGCATAAGTATATACGGATTTACAACAAAAAGCTACTACATCATCTAATGCGAACATTATGGAGAATCTCTCGAGTTTAGTATGCGTATGAACTAGCGATTGTGGCTATATTTTAGAATGATACTAAGGTTTACGGTCTCTGGAACGAACAAACTTTAGTCGATGATTATTACCTAAGATGCCCTTGGAGTTTAAAGTGAATCCCTCATTAGGAAGGCATAACTTGCACAAATAGATGCAGGGAAGGAGTGGGTCATAACGGGGCATCTGCTTAGAGGGGAAATGAGAGAGCACTGTCACACTACTTATGGAAGTTACGCTTAAAATGACTGCATGTTATCGCAAAAATGGCTTTCAACTTCTACCCGAATGTCCGCGGTGTGCAAAACAGCATGTAAAACAAAGGTACAAGTTGGAACCACGATGTAAAAAGATCTTTAGCCTGAAAAATATAGGAGTACCTACCCATAAAAAAAATACTAAATTAAAAAGCCATTATGGTGTAAACGACATTTGAAGTCTAAGTCTAGTTTGTTGATGTAGAGGCACATATCAACCTCGAGTAAACTACACAACTGTCACAACCAATTTTAGAAGAATTTGAGCACCTTACTAGGTTTTTTTTCGCATGTCGATTGTTGCATCTATTTGCGACATCTGCATTCAAAACGATGCGTTTGCGGTGGTGGACAACTCTATACGGATATCGGAACTCCTGTAAGAAACAGTAGATCTTCACTCTCTTCCCCTCAGTAAGATGGAACGCGATACCACCACTCCGCATTCTAGGATGCATTCATACTACCTGGTTGGTAGAATGGAAAAATTTTCGTTATTCTACATCTCAAAATCAATGGAAGTTTCCATTAATATTCTTTGCGCAAAAAAAATTTTCACTTTGTTTCTTGAGGAGAACAATATCGGCCCCTTAAGTTTTCTTTTTACAGTAGCGCATCAACTGAAAACGGTAGGTTCTAGTTTTTTCTCACGTCCTTTAACGATATTGACTGTAATTGTAAGGTAGCTTTTATTCATGAGCCCTAAAAAGGATAACTTAAAGTGGTTATTCTATGTTGTTTATTTGCCATGATTAACGGATTTTCATGGGGGATTTACATTTGAGTTAGAATGTGTTCTTCAAACTCTTATCGGTTGCGATAAGCGACTGCCTTGTGTGTCAAGTTCTAAACCGCTTTCCCTGCATATCGTTGCTACCTCAACGGCATTACTGCGATTATTTCCTCTTACTTTTTCTGATGGAATTGCAATGTAAAACTATCGAGGTTGACATAGTATACTTTCTTGGGTTGCATTTTAGCTATTTTAATTGAACTTTATTCATAAAACCCGTGAGCTCTGAGCCTACAAAAGTTCTACACGCTTTCTAGGTTCAATTCAAGACAATAATCGCCTTGAGCCGAAAAATGGTTAGGAATGACGGAATGTTTTAAAGATAAAATAAGAAAATCATCAAAAAAAATGAAAGCGACCACATATCAAAATAAACCAAATTACATTCCTGAAAGAAGTTCCAGAATTTTTGGAATAAGAAAATTAAAAGGGAAAGTTTACACAGCTAATCTACACAAATAGGATAGTTATCATTCCTCTTAACTTATATTTCAAGAAATCCGTGATAGTTTAGTGGCTAGAATTACCGCTTGTCGCGTGGTAGACCGGGGTTCAATTCCCCGTCGCGGAGCATGTCTTCATGCGCAAATGGTTTAGTGGTAAAATCCAACGTTGCCATCGTTGGGCCCCCGGTTCGATTCCGGGTTTGCGCATACTTTTTTCCATCCTAATATGGAATACAATGTTGTATCTTTTTTTTCTATTCAAATTGTGGTTAAGGTTCCCAAGGTTGATCTTAATGGAACTCATGCGACATTAGCAGGGCACCGCTGGAAGTAAGTTAAATCGTTACCATGGACCTAAATGATCTTAACTTTCGAAATCCAATAAACATAGGGTATTATGATCCATTTAATGTGTTACCTATCATAAGAGAAGATATCGAATCGAAATGGCCCATAACCAACTTGCATTGGAAATATTATACAGCAAAGTCTGTTAAATCCATACCGTTGCTACCGGTAACATTTGTTGAAGAGATCCCTCGGCCATCGTTGGAATTGTGTCTTATTAGTGATGATAGATATATAAGAATGATGTTTGTTAAATATGATAATGTTGAGAGTTATCGATCACAGGTTAGACCATTGATTAGAGAATGGCTTAGAAGTTTAGTTTCCAAGTCCAACGTTGAATGGTTAATTGTCCTTGTTATCCCCACTACTAGCAAATATAAACAGTCGACGTTAATGAAAACTTCGATGTATGACAAGTTGCGAAATGATTTCGGAGTCGAAGGTAAAGAATTGATTAAACTCAATATGGAGAATATCCGATATGATCTTAATGTCAACCGTTGTTTTAGAGTTAATGAACAATATGAAAGTGATGCTGAAAAAATTGAAATCTTTAGTGAATTCACCCGTGTATTTAAAGAAGCACTTATAAGGACTTTCAATAATAAGCAAACATATTTCCAAAGTCAATTAGAAACCATTGCTAATAGAAATCCCAGCAATTTCGAATCCTTTCTAATTAAAATAAATTATGCAAAGTTCATGAGTGATATTCGATTACTGAAAGAAGCAGAAGAATTGTATGCAAATTTGACTGTTGTCTTACCAGAAGTTTGTGTGGAACATTCAAATTTGTTTGATATGTCTTTTGATTACCCACAAGATATCAACAATTTCAGATTGGAATATGCCTTCAATACAGCTTCTGTTTTCCAAAAAATAAACAGTTATAATCCGAATACTCTGGGGAAGTTAAGTTTAGGTGATTTGAGATGTCTTCTATTTATCAACCAATCGGCTGTTCTTCAATCCTTAGCTAACCTAGCAAATACAATATCAATATCTGCATTATACATTTCCAATTTATACAGAAACTTGCTACAGTTTATTGATGGTTTCATGAAGATAGTTCAATTGGTTCCAAAGGGTAAACTTTTGGATCATTATCAGTTCCTTTTTGCGGTTATTGAATGTTATTTGAAGCTTCCAATCAGTCAAAAGGTTATTGAGGTTAGTAATGCTAATAATATTAATAATGATGACAATATTAGCAACGGGGGTGAAGCCTATCAATTGAATGAAATATACGAACTAAAAGGGGAGCTCAAATTAATTCAACGATCGATATTGAACGATCTTGGTTATTTGTTTTCTTACCAGCGGACAGATGACATAATGGATACAATTGATTTCAAATCTGATGAGAGTTCTTCAAAGTATAATCCGAAAGATTTAATATTTGAGAAATTGGTGCTGTTCATGAAGGATAATGATACATTTTTTGATGCTTACGAACAGTTAACAGAATCTGCCATTCAAGACTTTTTGATTGCCGGGCGGAATAAAACAATTGATGTTTTAAGTATTGATTTGGTTATCATCCATTATAAGAGAGGTAATTATAGACTTGCACTAGATGTTCTCCAAGATTCGTACGGTTTCTTCATTGAGCATCGATGGAAATTTATGGGAGGGATGTTACTTGAGATCTATATCGATTGTAAAGAAAAGTTGGGTGATTCTACAGTAACTGAATTGATAACACCCAACATGAAGTTACTTTCACTTCTTTCTGATTCGGACTCAGAAATATCTCAACGCAATATTAATTGTTTCAGGATAACAAAGTCATCCAATCAAGTTAAACAAATATTGGAAGGTATAATAATGAAATCAAAAGGCTTAAGTGTTACAGAGACTTATCCACTTAATTGGATCTTTTCATTTGATATAAAACCATTTATTCATCCTGATTTTTCAACAACGTTAGACAAATACTATTTAGATGTGGACATTAAGAATTCGCTTGGAATTGACGTGGAGATTCAAATGGTTTCCATCGTTTTACGTTCTATGGATAATGATACCAGTATTGAACTTTCTTCCGGTCCAGTTATCATATCTGCGATGGGCTCTTCAATTCGAGTATTCACTAATGAATTCAAGCTAGCAACGTTTGTAGTGGAGACCATCGGCCTTTCATTAACTGATAACATTAAATTCTTTGAAACGATTAGTGGCCACACCTCTGGTAATGATAAAGTCAACGCAACAGTTGTTAGGTTTTCGAAATCAATAGTTTCTGACGATTATCATGATTCAATTATTCACCAAGAACTCCGTGGTAGTAAGAAGGATTTGAGGATACTTTTCTACCAATGCTTGAATAAATTCTGGTGTGAATTTTCTAATCCTTCTCAAGTTCTGCTTGGGTCATCGGAACTTATTTTAACATTGCATAATCAACATAACGTGATGAAAGATGTTACCTTGAAATTGCAGGAATTGACAGCAGGACTCAATTTAAATCAAAATTCACTTGATTCCATTAAAAGTGAACTACTTCCAGGAGAAAGTTATGATATCATTATACCCTACAGTTTCTTCAGTGATAGTAAGTTAATTAGTATTGGGTGCGAAATTGATTACAAAGTTGGTGATGTCACCTATAAGCATATCATGAGACAAGAGATTGATACAACGTTAACTGTTTCCGTTTCGGTTCAAGATATCTTTAAACCTAATTGCTTATTTCTGAACTTTCAAATTAGTACTGCCAATTCCAAATTCCCCGTGAATCTTAAATCTTGTGAAGCTCATTGTAACAATGATAATTATACCATTCAAAAGCCTAAAGTTAAGCCTAATAACGTGATCACATTTGGTGAGCAACCGGTATCAGTATTTTACCGTATTCTTTTAAATGAAAATTATCAAATTCAACTTGATGATAAAATAGATCTTTGTGTGGTGTACACTAACTTAAGAGATGAATGCATTGAAATTGTTCAAAAACTCATGAGAGAGTTGTTGAATGAAGCTGGTTTAATTAATTATTGGTTTGTGTTTGTGGAGATTGTTTCCAAGCAATTTAGATTTGATTTGAATCATTATGCAATTAATAAGAAATTGAAGGTTTTAAATGCACTGGAAGTGGGTATGTTATTAGAAAGAATTATTAAGAGGTCCATTGAGAAAGAACAAGACCGTAAAAAAACTCTTCAAATCATGAAATCAATGCTAACAGAAAGAGATTGTAAACAATTAGAAGTTCAATTTGCACTTCAAAGCTTAACAATTCCTGTTTCAATACCAACATTGAAATATTTACATCAAGCAAAGTTTGAATTTACTCGGGCACCTTCTTATTTGGTTGGAGAACCAATAAAGATGAAACTTGAAGTTAAAAGTCTTCTGAAATGGTCAGCTGAACTTGATCAAGATGATCATGGTGATCTTTCAATCCTTGCAGAATCTTCACCCGGAAAGGACAAAAGTAACGGATCAATAAAATCGAAGGTCGAACCGTTTGAGTTTACCTTATCAATTCCTAATGATAGTAATTGGTTAGTATCAGGTTTCAGGAAGAAAACATTCCTCTCAACAACTTCTAATAGCGTGGAGATTATTCTCATTCCATTAACCGTGGGTAAACTACATCTTCCTAGAGTCTTAATTAAGTTGTCAGACAACTCCAACGACAATGGCGTAGCATCAACAATGGAAGTTGAAGTTGCCAATGGAGCTGAAACTTTATTAGTATTATCGGAGCAGGAGGTCATATCATTTGCATTCTAATGAAGAGGCTATATCTTATTTACTATGTCACGTGACGCACTCGTTGCCTCATTGAATAGTTTAGCCGAGATATCCTAAACATGGAGTCAACACAAACACAATATCAAAGCTAATCAGAATAAACTATATATATAAAGTAATTCCAACCATCATGGTTAAGGATACTACATATTATGACGTATTAGGTGTAGAAGTCACTGCTACTGACATTGAGTTGAAGAAAGCATACAGAAAGAAGGCCATTAAACTTCATCCTGATAAGAACCTCGATGACCCAAATGCTGCTGACAAGTTCAAGGAAGTGGGTGAAGCATATGGAGTATTATCCAATCCTGAGTCTAGGAAAATTTATGATGAAGTTGGAAAGGATGGTATGAATAGTAGTGCCGTTGAAGAAGCCGACCCTAGTGAATTCTTTGCCGCAGCTTTTGGAGGAGAAGCTTTTAAAGATTGGATTGGTGAGTTAAGTATGTTGAATGATTTAAACAAAACCAATGAAGTGTTCCTGACGGAAGAAGATGGAGGTGGTGAACCCCCCTCCTCGGGTACAGGTACCTTGAATTCAAAGACAGAAAAACCCTCTGAGGTGGATAGTAACATTACCACTGATCTTCAACAAATGAAGGTAAGTGAAGGAACTTCACAGAAGACAGAAGGCGCAGACATAGTTTCTGAGTATAATGAAGCAAAGAAACGGACAAAACAAAAGATGACACAAGCCCAAAGAGATGAATTGATGAGACTTAGTGAAGAAGCAAAATTAGCTAAGGAAGAAAGAGTCAATGGTTTAGTTCAATTATTGGAAGTAAGAATTAATAAGTTTGAATCATGTTATAAGAATCCCGAAGCCCTTGCATCATTTGATTCTGGTTTGAATAAGGAATTTGAAGACTTAAAGATTGAAAGTTTTGGATTACCCTTGTTGCATCTTATTGGTAAAGTTTATACTCAACAAGCACATGCTGCAATTCTGGCCTCTAAGACCTTTGGTGTTACCAAGTTATTTACATCTGTCAAGACCAAAACTGATAGAGTTAAAGGTGGGTTTTCGATAATAAAGGCAGCTTTAGATGCTAAAGTTGCGTTGGCAGAGATGGTTCAGCATGAAGAAGTACTTCAAGCTAAAGTCGAAGCTGGAGAAGCCATTAGCACCGAGGAACAATACGAACTGTTAAGATATCAAAGATTAATTACTGGTAAATTTATTGCTGCTGCTTGGGCAGTTACAAAGTATGAAGTGGTTGGAGTATTAAACAAGGTCTGTTATAAATTATTTAGAGATTCTTCAGTGTCAAAGAAGGAAAGAGTAAGAAGAGCAGATGCTGTGTTACATATTGGGAAGCTTATGTCCAATGTAAAGAGAACTCCTGAAGAAGAAGAAGAGGCTCAAATATTTGAAGAAATGATGGCTGAAGCTTCTGCTAAAAAGCAAAAGAAAGAAGGCACTGCAATTAGTGAAGCAGAAATAGCTGCCTATTTAAAGAAAATGGAAGAAGAAGCCGCTGCTAATAATAATTATTCCTCATCCGCTGGTACCAGTTCATCTTCAGTTCCAAGCTCCAGTAATAATTAGGCTATGTTATATTTTGGTTTGTACACGACTTGTATCTATCCGTATGGCAATTTTTTGCATTTGTAAGATGAAATACATTTAGGTTTTGGTCTTACTTCATAATAGCACATTTAATTAATAACCCCGATTTCCATTGACTATGACTTCAGTGTCGTCCAGACAAGTCTTATCCTTATATAAGCGTATGCTTGAGAAGGCAACCAAGTTTGACAACTATAACTTTAGAGAATATTCAAAAAGGAGGATCAGACATGGGTTTAAACAATCCAAGAACGAATCAGATCCAGCAAAGATCTTAACCTTATACAACAGTGCTGTCAATGATCTTGGGCTTTTGGAGAGACAGACAGCCATTTCACAAATGTATACGTTTGAAAAGTTGGTAGTTGAACCATTAAAGAAGCATGTTCGTCATGCGTAATGACTCATGACAAGATTAAAAACATCTAATCCGTATTGATGATATATATTTAGCAAAAAGTTATTGATATACTGCTATTACTGTTATTATTATTATATAACTGTTGCTAAGGTAGTTGGAATGGGATACATTTGTATATATGTGAATACATGGAATTGTATATATACGTGGCCAATGGAGTAGGATCCCAATTTCTCAATAAGGTGTGATTTTAGTTTAAAGACTTAAACTTTAATGAATAGCGTTCAGTAATAGGAATAATCGTAATACTTTGGTAATTTTGTTAGTTTGACTCGTGGTAAATTCGGAAAGGATTTTTTATAATATTAAGTTGAAAAAAAACGACCCCGGTGAGGATCGAACTCACGATCTCAAGATTAACAGTCTTACGCCTTAGCCAGCTTGGCCACGGAGTCGCTTTATGATATGAAAACAAACTTTCCTCTTTGTACTCTATTTATATGGTCGTGATATTACCGGAACGTTCGTCCTGTTAAGGGAGGTATTGTTAGATAATACCAGTATCTTTAATGGGTTTATTTGATATTAAAACCTGTAAGTGAAATTCAGACTTTTAAGTCCGCTTTTAATATGAACTGAAATGTCGTTTATATTACAACAATATTGAAATGTGTCTTATAGTTGGTTATCTATCCAATCATACTAGATTTGGCCAAACACTTTAACTGTACTCACTTATTGTTAGGGGTGTTTCTGCATTGAAACTGGACTCAAATAGGTTGTCTCGTGTCATTTGTTGGGTCCAGTATATTAACTAGTTAGTCTTTCTTTTTTGAAGTATAGTGCAAATTCTTGAGAAAAAGTTTACCGTTGTCAGGCTTTCAGCTACAGTGAGTATTTTTAGTCATAAATAGTTGCAAAAATATTGATCGTCCTAGTCCTGACAATTGTAGTATCCTGATCATATAAAACAAAACTATAATGTTATACTAAACAAGATGAAAATACACATTATAATTTCCAATTATAGTTTCACACCATCCCCCAATCGTAACTCTTTTTATGTTCGACACCCTATTCCACAATTACGGTACACAAAACAGAATATCAGTACATTAAACTACGTAAATTCACAGTAAATAAATATATAATCCTAATTAGTTTGCATATCTTGATCTCGCACGCAATTGAGGACCATAAATGTAAAAGAAAACAGGTATAGCAATCATTGCCATTGAAATAAAGCCCAAAATACTCGAACCCCAACCAACAGGGAATCTATCAGTCTTCAAGTTATCAAATAATGGTCTACCAAACAATGGGAAACAACCAGCAATGACACTTCTAAACAAGGCATTGGAAGCAAAAGTCGAAGCCAAATATCTGTAGAATGAAGAACTCAAATAGTTGAATAAAGTTTGGAAAATAATCAATGCACCAGCTCCAAAGATACCTGCACCAATCATTGGGCCAATCCAATGAAGGTCTTTCGCAGCAGTCCAACCAAAAATGAATATACCGGTAGGTAATAAGATAGAACCAAATATGGACATAGGGATAAAAACTTCAGGAACAAATCCTTCACCCTTTAAAACCTTTAAAGTGAACTTTTGATAGACATAAACCATATAAATCAACCCACCAAGGAGAATACCAATAACAAGAGAAATATAAGATGCACCAAGGGTAACCAATGGGAACCCATAAGTTTGCGCAAAAACAATTGGGAAACCTTCAAACCATAAGTACATCACAGAATAGACAAGAGCAATGTAAACGTTAATCAACATAACCACTGGTTCAATTAGGGTAATTTCAAAAGGTCTCCATAAAATATCAATAATAAGTTGATGTCTATTCATTGATTTAATTTCCAATTCACCTTCTGAAGTAATTTTGGTGTTACCAGTTAAATTTCTCAATCTTTTAGCCTTTCTGTAAAGTAAAGTTTTACCATAACTTTCAGGGAGGAAGAAGGTCAAGATAACCAAGGCCGAACCAGAAAGCATTGCCATGAACCAGAAGGTCCATCTCCAATCGCGCTTAACAGTTAGAACACCACCAATTAATGGACCAAATGATGGACCACAAACAGCACCCAAAGCCCAAGCACATAATCCAACAGGAATATAAGGGAATCTAATAACATCAGCCATAGATGCACCACCGGTAGCCAATGCTGGAGATGCGAAAAATCCCGATATAAGTCTTAAAACAGACAAACTGGCAATATTCTTAGATAAAGCAGTTGGGATTTGTAAGATGAAGAAAATAAATAATGTGGAAATGTAGACATAATTTCTACCCACAGCAGCATTCTCAGTAATGGGAGATAAGAACATTGGTCCAATACCGTAACCAACAACAAACATAGTTAATGGGACTATCGCAACAGTTTCAGAAACATTAAACTCTATCATAATATCTTCAAGACCTGGAGTATAGATAGCTGAAGCAACATATACTGAGAATGTTAAGAATCCAACAAGAGTGGCAAAGATAGCCTTTTGGTAAGTAGGCCAATTCTGGGGGTTTTCCGGATCATTTTCACCATCCCAATCAACTATGATAAGATCGTCTGTGTCTGATGAGCTGTCATCTTCTGCCGTCTCTAGACCCTCCTTTTTCGCTGACAACAGTTCCTCATCACCACCTTCTTTGGCGTTCTCTGTAACTATAGGATTTGCTTCTTGACCACCTCCCAAGTATTTTTCATCAACCACGTATGACTCCAATTCTTCCGGTTGTCTGAAGAGCTTTCTGCCAGACATTAGGTAAACACCGTTACCGAAAAATGAATCTCTAACAAATCTATACATTCTTGGTAATACTAATGACAATGAAGTAAATAATGTTGCAATAATCAATCAAAGTAATAGTAATGGTATTAGTCGTGGTATTAGTAGTACTATTACGGGTTGTAATTGATTGTGGCAATCAAGTGAATTGAATTGAATTGAATTGAATTCAGTGAATCGATTTCAAGCAAGACTTGATGCTTATATATACTATTCAATTGTAGTAGTCTTTCACGATGCCATCATCTCCGAACATATTTGCCTTTTGCCGTCTCTTGTATACAGAGGAGTTGCAACAACAGGCGCGGCTTTATGACAAAACGATAACACATTGGGTGCAATAATTCTGAATTACCATTTTGGGACTAAAAACCGAGATGGCCACCATTGTTTTCTTTAGGATTAGGTGGACGTAATCCGTTCCTATTTGAAAGGGAGAGTATTTGTCATTTGAAAATACAATGAAACTGATGCAACAACGTTAAAGAGCAATTGTGCTCAAAATCCAAATCTTAGCTGTTTGGATTAATAATCCGTCAGGAAACATACATACCGCTGAATGAATACATGTGAGGCTACAACGAAGATACCATTTCTAAGTAGAAGATGACCGCAATTATTATTCGGCTTTATACTGTTTAACTTGTAGCTAAGTACCCTTTCGTTGAGTTGTAAGCAGATATAAAACCATCGATTTGGGAGGACAATATTCCTACATTCATTTTCATCTTCATTAAAACCCATTCTGGTTTGTTTTGAGAGCAAGTGGTTGAAACGGAGAAGAGGTACGAAATTCGGGGACAGGTCAAAAAGCTAACGCGACAGCCGTTTTCCTAATTGGGATCTACCTCCATAAATCCTGTTGATTCAGGGTTTATCTATCTGGAACTTACGGGATTCCCTTTTGGTATACGGAGAACCGATTATTAATTTCGTTACTGCTGAAGTAATTATGCAATACGAAGTTATAAATATATTTGTCGTAAGAAGATATGAAAGATTCATCATTCTAACAATATGTGAACCAATACGTCAATGACGGGCACTTAGCTTATAGCTGTCAGTAAGCTTATATTATTTCGGTATAGTTCGTTTAACATTGGATTACTTCCCCAAAGAAGGTAACATATATTTGTGGGAATACCACTTAGATTTATATAATACAATACAACTACTATTCCATATTGAACTGAATTAGCCTAGTCACGTGACTTTAATTTTTTTTAAGAAGTACCTTATATTCGTGGGAACACCACTTAGTGCAGTGTTTATGTTTGTAATGGTCTGCATGATATACTAAATCAGGAAAATTTTAACAACAAGTAAGGGCTCTGTGGCCGAGCGGTCTAAGGCGGCAGACTCAAGTTCTGTTATCGTAAGATGCGCGTGTTCGAATCACGCCGGAGTCATCATACTATACTTCCTTACTTCTTTTTTTTTGCAACTTTTTGATAAACGTATAACAAAAGCATGTTGATAAAAATAAATACTTAGCTAAATAATATCACGAATCACAATTGATATAATCCATCAACGCATGCAAAATGTTTTCCAAACTTGAGTAAAAGGCACAATAATCATTAATATCCACAAAATTATTCCGTAAATCATAATAAATCTTTTCATTCAATTGCATCACCTCTAGTTTGACATCCTTTGTTATATGAGTATCTTCCCGAGTAATTAAAGCATTTGGCATATGCTTTTTTGTGTGTATTTCAATCATTTCATTGGTGCTTCCATTACTTCCCTGTGTACTTGCTGGAGACATGGTTATTGATTGCCAATTCCCATTCTGAGACTTGGAAGAGTTACTTCCCCCAAAGGAAACTTGTGAATTCATGTGATGATAATTATTCCCATTGACAAGTTTATATGGTATATCGTCAGGTAAAATTGGCAGTGGAACATCCATAATGGAAAATAAATCATTAAGATTCACAAATTTTGTCATTTCATAATCAAAATATTCAACTTTCGATTCATCTTCACCTCCGAATTTATCAATGTATTGATTCACAATGTTAATGATGTTATATTTCTTTAAAATATAATCCCAAGCTAAATTAGTAAGTGATAACATACGTTTGTACTTTTCATTCTTGAACCATTTTCGAATAAGAATGAAAAGGGCTTTGTTGATCAACTTAACATAGACAATTAACTCATTAACAGTGATAAATTCATACTTGAATTTAACAATGATGATAATGAACATTAAAATAATTGAATCTAATGGAATGGTTCTTTTAACATACCAATTGAATTTCCCGAACTTAATAAAATCATTATACTTTAAAAAGTCATTCAAATTGTGCAAAATACTGGGGATCAAATTATTATTCAAATTGTCATATGTGAAATTTTCAAATTGACTGAATTTCAATTGTGAAATAGACAGATTGTGGAAATTAGAAACAATATTTGCTTCTTGAATCTTACCAAAAGTATCTTCGTATTGACTTAAACTTAAAACTCCACCTCTTGTCTTATGACTCAATGTACTCACAATACCTTCTTGTCCAAAGGAATAACTTCTATAGCTGACCAGTCCTTCACTATGAGATCCCTTTGTAGGAGATTCCGTAGATGACTTCCCTTGTGAAGCATTGGAAGAAATACTAGCACTGGTATTCATTGCCAAAGCATAAGGTGAAAAATTGTCACCCTTTTTGACGTCACCCATCAAAATCTTTTTATGAAGCAACATGGTAGCTCGATCAACAAATGACCATGAATGATTCTTAACAAAATTAATTAAATTCATCTCTTGAACTGTTTGCGGAGGATTCTGCTTTATGAAATTGTTTAATCTATGCATTGAATTATTAATATCTTTGAATAATTCAAGAATCATGGATTTGATTTCTGTAACCTTTGCAGATGTAATGTCAGTGGAAAGTCCATTATGCAACTGATAAACCAAATCAGACAAGATACGATCATATTTAAACTTAATATTCATCGACATCACTGCAATGTTAAGACGTTTCTCAATAATTTGATCTTTATTAAGTTCACTGAATACTGGTTCCACCTCATCGGGCATAAGGACATTAAAGTCATTAAATTGACAGACTGGAGGTAAACAGAAATTATGAGAAGTTAAGGCATCTAATCCAAAAATCACCCACCAAAGTAATCTTCTAAACTTGATAACTTCCCAATCTGTAATCCTTAAAGTTAAAACTGGATCTTTATGCATTTGAAGGAATTTGGCATACCTAATGATTTGTGACATTTCCATAGTTGATGGATTTGGTGAAGTAGATTGGATAATAACATTACCTAATAATAGCGGCAATATTTTAATTCCATGAGGATAATTATAATATTGACAGATTTTGTTGAATGCTTTCAAATACTTATTAATATCTTGATTCAATAAAAGATTATCATATTCTTCAAACTCGGAGATTGTCGATGCATAAAGAACAGGGAAATAAAGTGTATAAAACTGCAAGTAATTAAAATCAGGTTGGGAAGTTGATGACGATGAAGTTGTTGATGGAGCTGATTGGTTTGCAAAGCTGCCATTTGCTGAACCTGAATTCGAAGCAGATCCATTGGAATTATTAGTTTCTGTACCATCATTATTTTCTTGAGGTGAAGGGTCATTCGGACTTGAATTAGATGATCCAGCATTTCTGGTTCTAATATTCCAATAAAATTCATGTTGGGCAACAAAATCATCAAGATTGATCAATATAGGAAGTAAAATGTGGACGGAATTTATATATCTTTCAATCAATTCATGACTCCTTTCTCGTGAAATGGGTAAATGGTTTTCCAAGTCTTCTAAAAGATGGTCATTATCGTAGTATGTGTTTGTTCCGTATAAATAGTTTATAGTAGTTGCGGGATTCGACAGATATGGATTCAAATTCATTGATTGTTGATTTGAAGTAATGATATTTGGATTGGAAGAGTCTGTCTTTCCCGTAGCACCATTATTAGAATTCTTGATTTCATTCTTGAAGGTAAACGACAGTAAATTGAATGAATATTGCTCTTCACCAAAATTCGAAACACCTGTCGGAGGATTATTGTAATTGGGGTTAATAGCAGGGTTATTTGAGTTTGAGTTAATATTGGTATTGTTACTGTTGTTTGGATTAGCATTACCATTATTGAAAAAGGAATTGGTGATATTGTTTGACACGTTATTGATAATGGGGGTTTGTAAAAGATAATTTGCCTGAGAATTTGTTGGAGTTGTAATCCCTGGCCCAGGGGATATACCTGATAACAACGCGTTATTGAATGTAATATTTTGATTTGAATTTGAGTTCGCATTATTGTTGGACTGATTCTGGTCAAAGATGGGGAAATCCAATGGAGATGACATGGCACTCATCACCAGACGAGCGGAAGCTAATGGTATAGGTGGAGGTGGCGGCCGATTATTGTTACCACCACTACTGGATGAAGCATGTGAATGCGAAGAGGCAGAATTCTTACCACCGTTGGATTTAGGTGGAGGTAAAGGAGGACTAATAATAGAAGTGCCATCCAAAATAGGAGAAGGTGAAGTTGGAAAAGGTGCGACATTTGCCGGAACATCATCTTGAACTTCTTGTTTGATAATGCATCTATTTTTATTAGGGTTTGGAGACATTCTAGGTGATAAAGATCTCTTAATGGTTAAAGGGCTCTGCTGGAGTTGCTGAGAATCTGATGCAGACATAAATTCTTCTCCACGATTATTAGTTTCCCCTGACATTCCGTTTGAACTTGTACCATTTGGGTTCAAGTTGGTACCGCCTCTTGAGACCCGCTCATTAGCAAAATATTTACATTCTAACCCAAGCTTCTCACAATGATTACAAGTTGGTTGAACCCTTGAACATTTGATTTTCTTCAGATGACAATAGATACATGAATGGATTTTCCGTTGTCTAGATTTCTGGACCTTTAGCACTTTCCCGTCGGAATGAATTTTCAATTCAAATTCATTCTTACTTGGAGGTTTGGCCAATACTTGAGATTTGACTGGTTGTTTGGTTGTAGTGTTGGAGCCGCTGGTGCTGGAGCCGTTGGTGTTGGAGCCACTGGTGCTGGAGCCACTGGTGCTGGAGCCCCTGACGGCATTTTTAAGTAACTCCGAGACTGTTGATGATCTGACTACTTCTTGTTCTGCAGCAGCAGTGAGGACCGATCCTGATCCCCTATGAAGTTCAGATGGTTCTGTATCCTTTGACGGTGTGGATGATGACGTAGATGAAGATGTAAACGCGGTACTACCGATAGCAGTACTACTAAGACTTGTGGTGGATCCAGGAGACGTTCTGGAAGATTGATGTTTTGTCAGATCTTGTGATAACATCGATCTATTGTCATAAGCAGCAGTAGCCGCTACAACTGCTGTTTGCGGATATAGATGGTCTACTTCCATTCGATTAGATAGATCAGGTTTTTACTATGGGGTTGGAGAAAAGAATGTTAATGTTTTTCTTTCTGGGGATACAAGATGAATGTAGTAAAGTCCGAGCTCCATATGGCGAAAAAAAAAGTGTCGGATTGAGAATGAGAGCGAAATTCTCCTCTTCAGATGGTCACTCTATTAGGGAAAAGAAGATCAGACAAAATGGAAGGAGGTAAGGATGACAATATAAGCACAAGTATAGGGGCAAGTATAGTGGTATAAGGACAAGTACAGGTACAGAGTGTCTGTTAGTTGCTAGTATAATCCAGCGTAACACTACATTTAACGGGAGACATAGCTACAGACATAGGTATAGGTATAGGAGAGTCATTAGACGTAGCAATAGTAGACATAACAAGACATAAGTACTGACACAACAAGACATAACTACTGACAACAGTAGACTTGTTGTCATGTATACAAATACATGTATCCCGACAGTACACTTATCATCATTTACTAAAGTCGGCTATAAAAAATGAAGTAAAGTGAACTCCGTTCGTCCAACAAATCTACTTATAACCGTTTGCATACATTGTTACTCCTTTTACCTTTGTCTTTATCTACAACACCCACCCCACGTATATGCTTAAAGTGTTACTTGAAGACTGGAAGGGCGTGTGCGAACTGTGGAGTTAACCCCGAATGTCACAATAAGAACTTAATAATTAGTTATCTGAAATTGCTATCTACCCTTGCAATCTCATTACTGTCATAATTTGTACTATACTAAACTTCATTCAATTTTTAAAAATCTCTTTCTCTGTCATCTTATTATATAAATTTAATACCATATCGCCAGTGCATCTTTTCCCGTCACTTTAGGTGGTGCCGGAGTTTGGCACCAATCGTCTGCGCATGCCATATGTTAATTGCCATTTATCAACGTATTTTACAAATGATGTCGGATTCCCATCTTTCATCAAATCCACCAGATTTACATTTTATTCCCTTAACAATCCCCACAAAAATTATTCCTCATTCCTTGTACTTGTGTCTGAAACGGTTACCAACTCCACGTCAAATTTAAATTCATAATTTAACGCATCACTGAGTTTCTCTTAACCCCACTCGGACACAAGCTCCCCCGCATACCGTTACCCAAACAACAGATCGATATGAGCCTTCAACTGATTATGGTAGCGCACGCCCGATTATGCACGACAAATACGTCTATGGTAGCGCTTTCGCATTAACAGAAGTGCAATAAGCAGCAGTTGCTAATATACCTTGATAATACAATCGTAATATATACAGTTCCCAGTTCATTCCCTATTATATGCCGACACCATATTTCCTGCAGTCATTATGATCTCTTCATCCAGATCGTTTTCATCTTCAGTGTAGCCATAATATCTGCTTCTATCAGCCCCACCGTAGTCATTGTTGTGTCCTAAGATATCGTTCTCCATAGGCTCCCCCATAATATCATCCATAGTTTCCCCTATAATATCATTGGAGTACCCAATATCAATACCACCATGATTGTCATCATGATCGTCATGATCGTTATCATTATCATCATGATCATCATCACTATTTCGACTAATTGCGTCACCGCTTGATGGTATATTTATACTTCTACTAGTACCCTCTCTATGATCAGGGGATCTTGTATCAGACAGTTGAACATCCAGCCACAGAAACTCTTTGGAACCGTTGACAGTATCATCAGGATTAGGCAGCACATTCAGACCATTCTCCTCTGTAACATTGGTAATTACACTCTTTCGATTACCTAGTAACCTGCCCAATAACCCTGTTTTAATCTTCATGTTATCCACTTGTGCATGTGAAGTGATACTAATTCTATCTTCGTAGCTCATTCTTCGGCCCAACATTCCTGAGTGTTCAATCCGTCGTTCTAACGATCGAATACTTAATACCCATTCCCATACCAATGTAATCAATACAATATTAATGTATTGAGGTAATGTAGCAAGCCAGTTTCGAACGAGCCAATTGGTCCGGAATTTGGTCATCAATAGCATGTAAATAACAAAGTGCATAGCAAACACCAACCATACAAATACGCTCATTGGTAAAAGCCTTCGACAATAACTAATGGTTGGCTTTTTATGTATAGTAAACCATCCAAGACTTGCAGCAAACATCACCAATAAAATCTGCTTCAACAGAGCTCTAGCAACCCACCATCGCATAATTGAAGGAGGTATATCAGCTAAATACTCTTCTAAATCCAATTGAACAAGATAATAAATGTCCACCGTTAAAGTAGCAATTATCACCGTTATCCATACACCACCTATACGATTTCGATATCGGGCAGCAAACATCAGCACTACTATCTGAAGCCAAGCAAGATATGACAATGCTTCGCCTAAAGAATTAGCCACTTTGAATCCTGTATCAACAAAATAAGCAGCTTCTAATGATATGATATCCAATTGATTTCCCAAGTATTGTGATTTGGCTGTACTGGTAACATAACTGATCCCAACACTATAAACAATGGAAAATAAGAGCGTTACCAATTGGGCAAGAATGGGTTTCCGTTTATGACCTGGTGATAAAAACATAAGTAAAGCTAACATCCAACAACTAACACATTCACCACTTAGTACAAACATCAATGCCACTACGGCATCACCATTATCTCGTTGATTAGCAGGGCTTGTGGGTGTAAAATCAAAGAACCCTAAAGTCGTATCCAACATTAACAGTGCTAACTGTTTCATCTCATCTTGGGTACAATTGGTTAGATAGTAGCCAGGAGTAAACCGTGATAAGTTACTACCGTAACCATTTGAATCAGTGTCCCAGAATTTGATAGTCCCCGGTGGGAGGTAATAAATGGTACAGTTTGAGTCCACCGTACGCATAATCTATGCAATAGCGGTCTCTAGTATTAATAATAGTAGCAATAATAGTAAGATTGGTAATGTTAGCTGCTGGTATTCATTCTTGTCGAATCAAGCCAAGTCAAGTCCGGTCGAGGTCCGATCAACGGTCTAGACTTTGTACAAGGATCGTTCCAGTAATTAAGCGGTGTGTCTTCCAGTATGAAGACCTGCTTTGAGTATCCTTTCCAGAAAGCTACTTGAAATTGGGTGTAAGTGTTTGTGTGAGGCTTATGGTATTCTCGTTCATGTTGTCGCAACTTGACCCAATTAGGCCAACCCGAGACACTACTATGTATACGACCGTATTTACCTGCTTGGGAAATATTCTGTACCTTTGTGTTCGGATCGTCTTATTGTTGATCTGAATGAAAAAAAACACCGAACTATCTTCATTACTCTCGAAAACCCGACCCATAGTGCTATTGAAGCGAAGTCACGTCCTCTACCAAGTACTGCTTTGCTTCTTGGTATAATAACAAGAACAACAACAGCAACAATAATAATAATAATTAATGCAAGCCAACAACGGGTCCTTTACCTCTAATGGTAATGGTACTACTCAAGACCTTAGAGCCATGAATGGTGAGATGGGAAACATGTCATTAGCAAATAAACGGAAGAAGAAACCCGCTAGAGCTTTCCATCAGCAATGGGAAACAGCAGTAGCACCACCATCTTCTACGGCTTCAACTCCATTCATGCCTCCAAACGCTCTGTTCAATGGTAATAGTAATGGCTATGGATTTGATTCAAATCCTCCATCCAATGGGTTCATCACTCCAAGAATGGATTCAACATCTTCATTCCAATCACCAGCTCCTTCAAGAGTTTCTTCGTTTCAAACGACCCAACTGCCGGGTTTGCCTCTGTTTCCACCTCAACATCAGCCTGAAAATGCAATAGTGGTCCCAGTTTCCGGTGGCATCAGTCTGGTACCCGCACCAGCTCCAAGTTCAGAGTTGTCGTTGGTTGATTACAGATACCACACCCAAGCAACCTTCATGACTCCTACTTCCGACAATGATCCACTGTACCCTTCATTTTACACTTTCCAAAACTCCATTCCTCCCACAGCAGGTACTCAATATTTGACAGTGGATCAGGGAACTGCATCTCCCAATTACATTCGTTCTTCCATGTATTTTGTTCCTGAAACTGAATCCTTAAGGGCAGCTACAAAGCTTCCAATTGCCTTAACGATTAGACCATTTGCTCCTTCACAAGACCCTGTTCCTGTGGTTGATTTCCGTGATTTGGGGAATATTTCTGGCTCTGATCCTTTGGATTTTGGTCCTCCACGTTGTCGTAGATGTAGAGCTTACGTCAACCCTTCAATGACCTTCACTTCAGTATCAAACTTTACTTGTAATGTTTGTCAGTTCAGAGGTAACACAGTTCCTCAGGAATACACTTCTTATTTGGATGCACAAGGTAACAGAGCTGATAAATTTGTCAAACCAGAATTACATCAAGGAGTCTACGATATTCTAGTTCCTGACGAATATAACGTAGGAGGCACAGGATCAACGAACGACGAGTTGCATCATATCTTTTTGGTGGATATTAGTGAACCAAGTATCAGACAAGGTTTACCAGCAGTTGTAGCTGATAGTATTAGAACAGCTTTGTTTGCTGAGAAGGAAGACCTTCAAGAACAAACTGGTGAAGATAATGAACCATCGAAAAAGACAATCAAGTATTCAATTATTTGTTTTGATAAGCACATTCATTTCTACAACTTGTCACCAAAGTTGCAACAAACTCAAGTTAATGTGTGTACTGATTTGGATGATCCATTTGTTCCGTTCTTTGATGGATTGTTTGCCGATAAGGAGGAAAGTAGAATCCAGATTGAAGATGCCTTAACTAACATGGAACAAATGACTAATGATCCGACTTTCTTGCCTGATACGGAGTCTTGCTTTGCTGTTGCAATCAAATTGGCATCCATGTGTCTTGAATCTCATGGAGGTGGTAAGATTACCACTCTTTTAGCAGGATTACCATCATGGGGACCTGGAGGCTTGAAGTTTAAGCCTAATAATACATCAGGTAAGAATGCAGATGCTGAAAAGTACTTATTCCTTCCAAACCTGGATTACTACAAGGCATTGGGTAAAGAATTAGTTGCCCAAAGTGTTGGTGTGGATTTGTTTGTTGTTGCAAAGACCCAAGTTGATATGGCAAACGTTGGTTATTTATGTGGTGTCACAGGAGGAAATATCAACAGATGGACCAATTTTGAAATTGAACGTGATGCCAGAGGGTTCCATGAAAAGTTTGTGACTTCAGTTAAAAACCCAAGAGGGTATCAAGGTCAATTGAAAGTTCGTTGTTCTAATGGGTTGCAAGTGGCTCAATATTATGGAACATATTCAAATAAGGATATCATTGGAGATGTCATGGATCCCAAAGTGTCACTTTTAACTGAAGATCAGACATTCACTGTGTTGTTTGAATATGATGGGAAATTGGACACCAAATATGATTGTCATTTCCAAGTGGCCTTATTGTATACCGATGCTTTAGGTGCTAGAAAGGTTAGAGTCATCAACTTGGTATTAGCAGTGGCAGAAAAGCTTCAAGACGTTTTCAACATGGTTGATGAGGACACGGTAATGACCACAATTCTTAGAGACTCATTGTCATTTATGGGTAAACAATCACTCAAGGAAATACGGGAATCTCTTAATAATAAGTTGGTGGAAGTTTACACTCAGTATAGAGCAATGAGTGAACTTGGTCATAATATTACAAACACCATGAACCGAACTTTATTATTCCCTGAAGGTTTGAAACATTTACCAATTTATGCCTTAGCATTCCTCAAGTCAGATGCTCTTAGAAATGGGAATGGAATCACACCAGATACTAGGCTTGCCGAAATGTTCAATTTGATGCACATGCCAGTGGAAAGACTTCTTTATAACTTATATCCTGCAATGGTAGAGTTGCACAGTCTTGATGATGAAGAATGCACTTTTGATGATTATGGATTCCTTAGATTGCCACGTTTCACAGAACTTTCACTCTCCAAAATGGAGCAAGGGGTCTACATCTTGTGTGATGGCTATCGCGTGTACGTTTGGGTTGATCCCAACGCCAATATTCTTCTTGTGAAAGATTTGTTTGGGGAAAACTACGATAGTGTTCTGCAATTGGATCCTATGATGAATGAATTGCCTGTTTTACCCACACTTATCTCCGAACAATCTCATAATTTGATAAAGTTCTTCCATTCCAAGATAATTGGTATCCCAGGTCAAGATACTGGTAGTAGTATTCAATTGGTTAGACCAGGTATTGATGGTTCAGAAATTATCTTCAAGTTAAGATTGGTCGAAGATAATATTTCCAGGTCCCTAGCAACTCCCAGTTATGGTGATTACCTCACCAGTTTGCATAAGGCTATTAGAGTGAATTTGGATAGTGACAAAGCCTCCGGGAAGATCAAACAATCCATTGATAATGTGGGGAATAACAGCGAATCTCTCACCCAAAGGTTTGCTCTTTTCTAGTCAAAATATAGTTTCAGGCCTGTCCCCCAATAGATTTCATATAGTTACAAATCAAAATAATAATTGCATTCTTATCTTAACATTCTTAACACCAGGATTACCAATCCTACGATTTCTTTATTATTCTTGTTGACTTGAAGCGTGATGGAGAGTGCACTTTGAAGTCTTGAATTAGAAGTCACAAATGATTTGGTTTCATGATTACCAACTGCCACATAAACCACATCTTGAATTAAATACACAATTCTCAAAATCAATTCTTGTTCATCTGATTGACCTTCAAGTATGGTAACCATACTATCAAATAGCATGGACCGAATCTTCTCATCACTTAACAAGACCCCACATATCATTTCAGATACTTCACAGGCATTAACTAAGAGTCCAGCAACAGCTATTTGTGTAGACTCATCTTCCGAATCAAGGAATCTAATAAGAAGCTCCAACCTTTCGTAGTTGGCTTTACTACCTTCAATATTGAAGAATTTGGCAAGCAAAAGTGGCTCAACAATTAAATTGGATATTAATTCTATGGCCCCCTTTCTGATTTGTAAGTTATCAGAAAGCAACAAGTTGTTCACATAAGGTTCAAATGTCATCTTGATAATCAAGGTTCTGGTTTCAGTATCAATTGTCGCAAGGTTAGTCAATGCCAAAAGACTTTCAAACTTATCAAGTGGATATATATGTACAGATTCTTGTTCAGAAGTCGTCTCCTTGTCTGGAGTCCATTGCTGGTTATTATTATCGTAAAGTAACTCTGAAATGAATGGAACGGCATTACGAGCTTCATATGTTTGTTTGAACGCTGTTGATGGATCAACCGCTATCAAAAGCTTTGAAAGAGCACGACAACCATCAAAATAATGAGTTACTAATCCAGGAATTCTCTTTGGCTTGATACGCAAACTTTCCTTATCAAATTCACTGCTTGACACCAAGTAATCCATGATCAAATCCAAGCCCCCATTTTTAGCTATTGCTTCCTTGACAGGTTTCTCTCGTGCCGTTGCCAATTGCTTAAGAAGGGTAACAGTTAAGTCTTTGGTACTTTGACTATAGGTTTTGGATAGCACTGCATTGGAGAATAAATTGAGCAGCTTAATGATTGAAACAATGTTATAGTTCAAGGTCAAATCCTTATTAAACAAGTATATTTCCTCAATATTCTCCTTACTTTCTTGGTCATCCTTAACACCACTTGGACTAGCAACATTTTTCAAGCTGTCAATAATCGCTTGCTTTGAACCTTTGTGCTCGATTCTTATGTCACTTAAATGGGTGAAAATAGTCAACACTCCAAATCCTAGTGAGTGGTCTGTGCTAGCAGAAGTTCTTAAGATATCTACTAATTTGTCTATGAGATCAACATCATCCCGAATTTGCTGACGATGGGTTTTACTTAGTGTGATATAAGCCAAACCTTCAATGGCGATATTCAAATAATAAGAATCTTGTTCACAGATATAGGACACAAGAGTCAGACTCAAATTGGCCAATGAGATTTGTTGCAGTTTCAGTTTATCCCTTTGGATCAAATTATACAATTTTGCTAAGCAAACAGCAGATTGGACATTTATGACAGCATTGTTGGCCATTTTCCAGCCTTGAAGTAGAACATCAAAATAGTAAGTCAAGTTAAAGACCCGACACTCTTCTGAAATCTGAGAAGCATTCAAAAGCTTCAACATTTGCTGTAAATGTATCATTATGTGGGTCTTATCGCCGTCTTTACGTTTCATTTCCACAGTTTGTTCAATTATTGCGTCTTTTGTTGCTTCCAGAGTGTAAAGAGGTATGACAATGTCTGGGAATATCGAGAAGAAATTGGTCATGGCCACAATCTTATTGTCCAATGAAGTATCAACTGATTGAAGATACTTGGAAAATAGCGCATGAACTGGTTTCTTGTTCAGATCAATGTATTTTAGAGTAATAACCAAAATCATGGAGTGCACATCCCTGTTGTTGCATACAAAGTCGTTTAAAAGTGGCCAAAATTGAACACAATCTTCAACATCACCAAGTCCACAAGTTCCTGTTATAGAAATGTACAATTTCAAGTAGAAATCAATAGAACCTTCCAGAGCATAGTGTAAAGCATTCACCGCAATATCATGAGTTATAACTTTTGGTTCACTACCCACAGTATCAGTGTCACAATTGGCAAGAATTTGTACTAGCACCGTACCATTCAGATTTCCAAGTAATCGAAGACCTTCTAGGAATTTCCTTGGGTCTTCCTTGTATAGATTGTAAAGATATGTAGCGTCCTTTTTTGATTGTGCAAGTTGTTTCAATTGGGCCACCAATTGGGTCTTGGTATCATCCAGCGGAAGTTGACTTCCGTCTCCACGTAGAAAATCGGATAGAGTCTCACGGACCTCTAACAGTAACAGAGCCAATCCATTGTCCACATTTGACATTATGTGATGATGATGATAAAGTAGACACTGCCTATTTTCACTATGGTATTGCACTTTCTGTAGCATATGTTTTACAGCCGGATAGTGCGCGCACCAGAGTTATGCTCCATAAAAATACACTACAAGGGAAGACCTACCATTCGAGTTATATCAGTAACAGATATTGATAAAAGGCAATCGAATAGGCAGACAAACTAAAAACCAGAGAAACAGACAGAAAACTGTACATGTGTACTGTGTGTTATAAGCAATGATACTAACTCATAGTGAACTTTGTAAGATCAAACAAGTAGTGTATTTACCATATAATCAGTGTTTAACCTTTGAAATATACATTGATGACTATTACTATTATGGTATATCTTTATTGTTATTATTATTATTACTACTACTTGTATATATAGTGATATACTATCACTACCACTTTTGATACTACTGGAATAGAAACTGTTGCTTTTTATATTCTGATACTGCATCACACCCCTATTTACTTTCATTATGGATACCTCAAGCGTATTGGAAAAGTATACGCTGAACCTTTCCAATTTGCCGTTGGAAGTTCACCATCTCATGCAAGAGATCAAGAACAAAGACATACAACTCACAGAAGCCCGCAAACGGTACCAGACTCGAGATAATCAGCTTCATAAGTTTATTCGAGCGAACGGAACACTTACCAAACATCCAAAGGAATCCCAATTGTATGCAAAGATAGAAGATGATATGAAGAAAGTCCAACAATTACAGAAGGAGAAAATAATACTAGCTAACACTGCAGCATTTCTTGTTTCCAAACATTTGTTTAATTTTGAGTTGGATATTGCTAAATTGGAACAAGACGATGCCCTTCCTCCTCTTCCTGCTGATTTCCTTGCTGGTGATGATTTTGAAGGTATTTCTGGTAGTCTTAAAAATGGCCCAACCTCTGATTTCACAGAGTCTTTTAGAGAAGGTCTGGTTTCTGCTAGTGCTACGCCTGGACCTCGATCTCAATCACGTATGGGCTCGTCTGTTAGTTTGGACGGAGTTTCCAGAGGTCAGAAACGGAAACATACACTTCTGGTTCGGGGTACTAGTGGAGTTGGCCGTCTCAAGAGATTGAAATCAGAAGAGGCAGAAGAAAGGCATGGAATGAAACCAGAAGGAAGTGGACCGGGTAATAATGATGATGCCGATAATAATTTATACTGTTTCTGTCAAAGAGTTTCTTTTGGTGAGATGATTGGTTGTGATAATGGAGATTGTAAATATGAATGGTTCCATTGGGGTTGTGTGGGGATTACCTCACCTCCTAAAGATGATGAGGTATGGTATTGCCCTGATTGTGCACCCAAGATGGAGAAACGTAAGAAGAAAAGAAAATGAATAGATTAAAGGAACAATTACGTAGTCAATGATAGTTTTGAAAGAGTTTAATTATAAATACTAGCATGCTTGTCTAACAGTGTAAGAATCTCCGTTCACCAGTGACGACGTGCACCTACCAACTTCGCACCGGGTGCAGCGAAAAATTCAGCTGATTCTTAATTGAATATTTCACTTCATCTCCCTCGAAGATCCAGTCCTCAACTAAAAACTATTCATTCAACCTAAAGCCATGCTTAAACGGACTTGGATTCCATTAGCTCGGAGATTCCACGTGGGTAGAATAATACAGAATAATTATGCATACATCTCCGACTTCCCCACTCTTTCATCAAAGATAGACTCAACCATCAATACCACCGAAAAGGTACCAACAGATGCAGTTGTTGAGGCCGTAAGAGCATGTGGAAACCTTATAGCCTCAGTTCACGAGTACGACAAGTTCTGGGAGAACCCTATCAATGTCTCTATACAAAACAAGGTATTGGAACTTCTTTCTAAGGACACAGTTGAATTTGATAAGGAACTATTGGTGAGATTAATGTTACTAAAGCTTCCCACCAAATTGAACATTCTTATAGTGTCTGAGTTCTACAAGAGAAACCCTACAGCTTTCATTGACCGATCCATTGCATTGATTCCATTCCGTCAATCGCTTTACAACGGTGATTTACAGAATGCTCTCAAGTTGACTGATATGACTGTTGGTCACCCTAATTATGTGGATCACAGAGCTAAAGAGTTTAGATCTGGTGTTATCAGATTAGTATGTAGTGCAGCGGGGATTTCATTAATGTCTAAATTTGGAGTGGAATATCTTATTGAATTTGATATATTACCTGAAGCCTGGAGACATTTATCGGGTATAAGTCTGATGTTAGTCACTTACCTTGTGAACTCATCCTTTTTTGTTAGTATGGTTAAATTTGGTAGACAAGTTGTTCTGTCTGGTGGAGACTATTTGACATGGCAAAGAGGAACCTTTTATACTCATTGGTACACTCATGGAGACGAGATGCTTTTCTGTTCTAAGATTGTTGATGCAGACATTAATATAAATGGTGGAGGGATTTCGGGGAATGAACCAACCCCAGGCTTAATAGAAGAGTTGTGTCGTGTTGATCCATTTTTCCAAGGCCATACATTAAAGCCAGGCTATACAAGAGACGGGAAGAAAATTAGACTTTTGGAAGCAAGAGATAACATGGAGGAAATTAAAATGCAAGCTTATTGGATGACTGGCGGTGATGGCTTTGAGTGGGTTGAACCAGATCAAGATCCTGCTACTTTGATTTGGAAAAATCATTTGAATAAGTTTGACAAGCCTTACTTAAAAGATGATCATGATACTGTCAAGAGTTTGAAATGGGCTGATGATTTAGTGAAAGATAATTAAGTTATAGATACATGTAAATAGAGCAATGCAAATATAATATATACTACTTCCGTCCTTCGTTAATAATAATGTCCGTTTGAGTCTTCGTTTGAGTTTTCTCGTGGTCTTCGGGATTTTCTTCTGTAGATGCCAGTAATTCATCAACTCGTTCAAGAGATCTTGGAAATAATCGAATGATGGTCTCCCCTCCATTTAATTCCTCCCATGGATTGACATAACCCCAAACAAAATCTAAATCATCATCCGAATCTAGTTTATGGTTTCCCAAGTGAATAGTTGGTATGTCTTCAACTACTTGAACATCACTTGATCCCTCCAATATGCCATCCAATCTTTCTGCTTTATTTAATTCAGTCATATCTTTCAATCTTCCTTTCAATAAATCATCTGTTAACGCTTGGTTTTGTTTCACCATTTTATCATACACCAGAGAATATTTTTGATAATCCAAAACTTTCCCCAATTTCCATGCCTCACTGGTTTTATTCATATAATTTTCATTCACTTCAATATATCTCCGAAGTTTTTTCCGATACTCATCTATATTCATAGGTGTATAGGAGTCATAAGCTCCAAACCACGCGCTGGGTTTCTTCCCATTCTCTGTGGCAATATTTCGATAATGAGAAGCTTCAACACTCCAAGGATCCATAGATCCTAAAAGTAGTAGTCTAGAATATTCTAACCCAGATTGGAAAACTGCTATTGACCCCACACCTATTAGTATTAAATTATCTCTAAGTCTACCTTTAGGATATGGTATTCCCGCCCTTAGAAAGTTCGCCTTACGAAGTCTTCGTGCCCTTCCTAACATATACATTCCAATCATTGCTTGGAATGTAGCAAGTCCATAAAGTGCCAAATGATTATCTGATGCTGGAACCAATGGGCCCCACATTCGAAGACCAAAACTTGGATTTTGAGGAAACTTCACATTGGGGAATATCATAGTTAGTAACTTATTGACGGTGGGGATCTTTGCAATATTAGAAGCATAAGTGTTTGATTGTTGTTGTTCAGTGACTGGAGTTTTATTCTGACGTTGCTTTGTTGATTCATCTTCAGGAGCTTCCCCTGTACCATTACCAGAAGGTGGTGGAGGTGGTATATATACTCCCATAATTTTCTTATTCTCTTGTGGTATTAATTGTTCTTATAGTGAGAGCCTGAATAGTGAATTGAAGAGGTATGGTACATAAAAAGGGTTTACCTTGCCACTATTTGCGTTGCTCTTTTGATTTAATATGAGAAATGGTTATACCTAAGCGGAAAAACGTGATCACGTGATCGTGATCGTGACCATGTTTTACCAAACGGTTATTTCGGTATAGATATACATTTACCTATAAATTACTGATCAACTCAAAGAATATATTGGAATAAGAAGTGATTATGACATAAAAATTATAATTTAGGAGTGTGGAATATCCGACTCACTCATGCTTCAGGATACAATTCTTCCTTCAAATCAATGCCCAATTCCTTTCTAATGTCCTTCAATTCTTCCAAATAAGCAGCGTATTGTTCCTTATTTTCAACCTTATACTTCAAGGCTTCGAATGTTCTAACGGCAGTAGGGTAGTCGTTAACTCTTCTGCAGGCCAACAAAGCTTGTTCAATGACAGCAGGAGCTGGAACTAAATCGTAGGCGAAGGCATTGTTTAACAATCTTTGGACTTCAAACAAATCTGGGGCTTCTTGGAAGTCCTTTTCAAATCTAGAAACGAGTTAGTAATTGGATTAAGGTATTGGAGTGTGATTCAAAAATGGAACTTTGACTTTAATGGAAGTCTAGATATGTACCGGGACAATTGGTATAAAGTTGGTCAATGATGAAGACCATAACAATGTCCTCTATTCCTTGTTCTCAGCTTTTTACACACATTTAGGCTCATTTAAACATACCTAGCAGTGAATTCTTCAAAAGTTTCCAGGTGATGGTCAGAGTAGTTTCTCACAGCTCTGAAACCAGCGAAACGAGAAACACTGGGAATAGCTCTTGCTCTTAAGGAAGCACGTAATGTGGATGCAAGCATGACGATAAGGATGAATGGGTTGTTCTAAAACAAAAGTCTAGGAAAGAATATTGATTGTCAATGGTTAACTATATAAAATAGTGTGTTTTGGTTGGTTAAAACTTTTTCGATACAATTAATGTACCAAACCACGACTCCATAATGGGTTTACAATTTGCCCATTGGTGAGTGGATCGTACGACAGATGAGTCGAGAATTACGTCGCAGAAAGTGTGCGCGACACACTAGGGAATTTGTAGTGGTCAGATTTATGGTTACAGTAAGGTCAAAGAGGTACCCAATCTATAGTAGTATACTTCAAGAGATTCGAGGGAGTAACAAACTGTCACACTATTTGAAGATGAAAACAAGTTAGTTTATTTTTATTTAGGATGATAATTGAAAGTATAACGAATGGTTATTATGTGGTATTAAGACAACCAATAGGAGTTGACCAAATTTCAACTCCCACATACTGCACATATTGTTTAAGCACGTGATTAAGCACGTGATATCCATGACCATATAATAGATCTACACTAATTCCTAATGTTACTCATTAATAGTACCCTTTTATTCATCGTGTTGGTTTCCGGTGAAATACTCAGCTACTTTATGTTCAAGCCACGATACATATTCTTAAGCCGGGCTACCTATTTTTTATATTGTCACTGTATTGTATCGTAATAATCTGTAATGCACCTATTCCCTTTATGACCGTCCACCAAATCCTCCTCCACGACCTCGAAAACGGGCTCCATTCCCTGGTTTACCTCCACGTCCACCACTAAATCCTCCATTCTTTTGCGATCCCGGTCTCCTCAGTCTCTTAATTGCCCCTGATCCAGACCCATTGGAATGTCCTGAGTAATTATTATTTCCCGATCCACCACCACCACCAGTGATAGGCTTCCAAATGGGCAACTCCTTAACATCAACTTTGAGTTTCTTACAAATAAGATCTCCATTATGCTTGTCAGTAAGTTTGATTTTAATCTGGACCCACAGTTTGGACATCGTGGTGTTAACTTTTAATATATTTGTTGGTTCTCGAACAAACATATAGCCATGATGGTTTCTTTTGTAAAATGTCGAGCAATAATCCTCCTTATATGATTTGAAGGGATTGCTGATGATTTTCTCTGTAAATAATCTTGAATTTTTGACAGAAGTTGTACAAACTGGTAATCTTACCCGAATACTTTTATTCGAAAATATCCCAGAACTTGTTGACGATGAACATGACAGAGAAGCAGATTCTTGGTTATTTAAACTCCGATTAGCACTGTTGTGCTCTTGATCTCTCTGGATAATTCGTTCAGCTTTCTCGTCAATATTTCTCAACTGATCTTCAATAGTTCGACGAGACGACGATGAAGAAGAGGAGGAGGAAGTGGGTGCAGCTAGAAGATTTGACGCTGTTGATCGAGCAGCGGTAGGAGGATGATAATGATTATCTTTACTATCATTATTATTACTTGATGGTGGAATAGGGTATGCTGCTCTTTCAGGTGTAAGGGAGTCGAATCCAGAAGGATGATGTGGATTAAATGGTTCATCATCCATGAATGGTTGTAATATTGAATTTCCTATCAAATGGTCATCTGGTAAAGAAATTGCCGATAATCTGGGCGTTGTAGATGCCGTGCTTGTATTAGTTGTAGTTTCATTGCAAAAGGAATGTTGCAGCAGATATAATTGACGAGGAATAAAGGAAGGCGTATTATTGACTTTGGAACTGTAAATGTTATGATATCTTGATTTTGGAGTTGTTACAGTTGATGAACTTGCTGTCAATGGAGTGAATTGCAGATAACTTTCCGAGTTTCTGGAACCAGAAGATGTAGGTGGTTCATTAAAATCATCAAAATCATTTGTAAAGAGTGGAGTTAACAATTTCAAATCATCATCATTTTCTTCTTCATTTAATTTACCTAATTTTGTCTTTGATAATGAAGCTGTCAGATGAGAATGATGCAGACCATCACCAATTGTCACATTCTCATTCCAAATAGAACCAATCGGTTGGTACGGAGCAGATGGCGAATTCATTCCAAATAAACTCTGAGAGTCTCCGTTACCATTACCATTAGAACCTAAAGGAGGCGTACTATTAATATTCAAATGTTTGATGGAAGTGTTCAAATCCATTCCAAAATCAATCAAATTATTATGCGGAGGCGTAGATACCTGTGATGTCAGTAAAGATCTAGTTGAGACGGTAGAACTTTGGATATTCCCCGTATTTGAAGTCGAACCGGCAGTGTTTGGAACAGAGACAGTGGAACTGAAAAACTTGGACAGTGAATTTGTAGATATTTGGGATAGCAGAGTTCCTATCAAAGGAGAACTGTTATGTCTTTTCACTGTAAGTGAAGCGAATTGGTGGTGGGGTTGATTATTATTAAATCCATTAGTATTCAAAGCAACACCATTACCATTACCAAAAGCAACCAAATCAGGCAGCAGCAGGAAGATATCTGTTTGAGTATTGGAGCTTTCACCTGTAGTAGACCCCGAAGTTGGGAAATACGTTCCAGAAGAAGAAGAAGACATCAAATTATTAAAACCGGCCCCTTGTGAAGTTGAAGTCTTACCCCCACCACCAACTCCACTTGATGGAAAGAACGACGACGTTCTCCTCAGACTTAAAGTAGATTGAAACGGCGAAGATGAAGATGAAGATGAAGAGGGTCCCGCCGTACGGAATCCCATACTTTCTCTCGTTAATCCATTAGTTACTCCTTGGACAAGGGATGTCGGATCTTGTGCCATAATATTGGGTAGTAAATTATTGATATGAACGTAATGCTAAGTTTATAAGCACCTCACCTCAAAACAACACACGGAGAGAGCCCCTAATGAGCTCTATGTAAGCTTTTTGAAATACCCTACCTATTTTGAATCAATCGTATTGATTGACTGATGTAATTGAAACTCTCTCAGGTATAAACGGTGAGGGAAAGGCTGAGGTACAAAGTCTAAAATAGGAGACTGAAACTACTGTATTTAGTAATTCGATCCTTTGTTAAAACTCAAATTACCTAAACAAGTACACTCAGGCATAGAATGTATTATTACGGTAATGTGTGTCATATGATACTGCACATTAGATAATACAGGGTTTGGGTTTGTCATCATCATTAAACTCCCTCCAATTTTGACGAAGCAATAAAACCAGACAACAATTCCACTTACATAAGATATTACGCCATACGTTTTTATTTTGCACGCCCCGCTTCTTTATATAATAATAATGAACTACAACTGGAATGATAAAGATGGTGCAGACCATGGAGACGACATTGATCCTACATTTCCAAGAGCAGAAGAGTTTGAAGATGAAGTAGCAGCTACTGCTGTTGCCAGAGCTCAGGGTTCCAAAGCAGTTGGTGTCAGAGGCTCAAGACCTCCTACAGATGATGTTAATAAGGTAGCTCATGTTGCAGTTGCAGCCCAACAAAGATTCCGCAGACAACAACAACAAGACCAAGAACAAGGACAATCACTGCAACAAGGACAAGTAGCGCAACAACAACAAGCAGGACAACAACAAGGTGTGCAACAAGCAGTGCAACTGCAACAAAATTCACAACAACAACAACAACAAGCAGTGCAACAACAACAAAGAACACAACTTCTGACTGAATTACAACAACATGCTCATTCTCAAAGTCCACAACCTCAAGGTCAAATAGATTCAGATGATGAAGATATGAAGAAAGCAGGTGCTGCTTATAGAAGAATATCTAGTGACAAGAGAGCTGCTCAAAATAGACAAGCTCAAAAGGCCTTCAGACAACGGAGAGAAAAATACATTAAAGATTTGGAAGCTCAAGTTGCCGAAGTCAGTCAACTAAAACAGACAATTGAGGAGTTACGTAACGAGAATTTGCAATTGAGAGACTATACATTGGCCTTACAATCTAAATTACTTGAGATAAATCCTCCGGGAGGACCTCATACTTCAGCAGCCCAAGCAGCAGCAGTAGCAGCAGCTGCTTCTATTGCCGGAGGGACCAATGGACTGAATTCAAGCCATGGATCAACAGATGGTGTTACAGCCCCACCTGCAGTATACACCAAGTTTAAAGGTGAAAATTAAGACGACTGTAATCGTAGTACGCAATTGTATAATTAAAGACTGTAATTTTATTGATTTTCATTGTGTAATCCCAAGTAATATGAAAAAGCCTTTAATTACTTGCCAAGCCCTTTACTGAAAACTAATTAGGGAACGATTCTCCCTGCGCTTCCAATGTGATTAGTACCACAGTGACACCTGATAGGACACTGATTTTGAGTCATGGCAATATATTGGCAAACGGCATTATAGGCAAGTAACTAACAATAGCGCGGCCATCGGAGAATTGCAACAACTGTAAGGTGATTGCGATTCCTGTTTCGGGGTCGCACACCCACGTTACGAGGAGGAGGGTATACGGAATTGTAATAAGTAATATCGACCTGGGGCGATCAGAGTCATCTTAAAGGATTAGCGATTTGAAGGTATATGCTACTTTTTCTTCGTAGTGTTTTGTATCTTTATTCATTTATTGATTCTTTCTTTATTCATTCTCCATCCTTATTACATTACTCGCATTGGAACAAGATAGTCTGCCGGTATCGGAGTTAACACCAAATTCTATAATAGCCATTGACCGAAGTGGGATGAGCTCCTCGTGTTTCCAACAATCATTACAATGGGAAGACCCTCAAAATACCATGGACCTTGATCAAGTTGAGCGGTCTTCGACGATGCTGGTTTCATCGTCGGTACAATTACGCTTACCTGACCTTCTACCCTCGGTATCATATTCTTCAGATGAAGATGAATTTGAGAATAGTTTTAATCAAAATGGCATTTTCCCCAACACAAAGCTACGGCAAAATCCAATAGCACCTGGCTTATTCCCTGCTATGGATACTAGTGATTCCAAACAGTTTATGTGCTTACCATTGAATCCATCAATTATAAGACTCGCCTACTCGCAATAATATGTCCCTACAACCTCATAATCACGTGATTGAATAACTTTTCATCCTCACGTGACGATATCAACAATACAACATCGTTATAATTATTCACTTAGTAATTTGGTTGTGAATGCTGACGAAAGTTCAAAAGAACCGCAACTTTTACTTAGACCATTAACTTATTCATAAAGGAAACTATAAGCTGCTGCTAATAAATTTAAAAACTGAAAGCCATGGTAACCACTCACATGTTTAGTATTATAGCGTGAAAGACACCTTTTTGGCTACAAACATCTTTATCAACATCTTTATCATCTCCTTTATAATCTCCTTTGAAAAGCTCGAGATGAGTTTCTTACAAAGAAGGACAAGCTAACTTATAATGACAAGGTTTAACACACCGTTAAGAAGCTGCAACCTTCCCATGATTTTGAAAGTTCCAAGGCTCTTAATGCCTTTCTGAACCAACAAAAAACAACCTATAGCACATATTATCACCCCCTAAGGTCACCGGTGCGCGAACGCAAGAACGAATTCCAGGAAAACAAAAGATAACGCAAACCCAGAGAGAATAAGGAACGTAATTGCATATTACCTGATGTCCGTGGGCGTATTCATGATGGAGAGTGCCGTGGGACCACAAGTCTATTCCAGTTATTAGAAATGGCACTAAAAGACCACCTAAAACCAGAAACACTATACCGTGAGAATCATTTGCTGGGCCCAATGATGAATCAAAATATCTTTAAACAAAAGAAAGAGAAAAGTACCAACAGAGATACCACAACAGCAAAGCATATACTTAAATGAAATCTGTGGATCTTCTTTATTATAGTTATCGTGCTTGGGCTTAAACTTTGTGGGAGTCAATGCCAAAAAAAAAACTCACAACATCCTGTACCCAGAAGTATAAAACCGTTAATTACCTCCCACTTTGATAGGTAGAGGAGCAAATTAAAGGTTTCCCAACAAATATATATCATATAACCCAAAGAGGCACTAGGGAACTTTCATAAAATGATAAAAGTGGAGATGAATTCTTGCGGTTTAATTGCCTGTTATTAAGGCTCACCTTAATCAACCCAAAACCTATTATAAGTAGAGATGCAAGAAAAAACATTATCTTCTGACGTGTGTTTACGGGGGAATAAAAATTTATACACACTACACCTTTGATAGGAAATCCCGAGTGGCATTATCAGTAATCAAATCCATAGTTAGTCATTGAGTTAGTTTGACAGGGTTACAGCGCTGTTAGTTGGCTGAAGCAAACTCGAAACAATTGACTGGGCGGCAGTCCTTACCGTTTTTGAGGCAGAATCGACTCTTTCCTCAAAAGGGCCATACCAATAGTCATTGAATTGAAAATGATATTTTAAGTGTGTATAGTATCTTTTCTGTTAAGTTGCTAACATAGAAATCTTAAAAGAAGAAAGATAAAGTTATATTTATTGCCTTTTAAACAAATGTATACAAAAGTATATGGGACGGCTTGAGTACCCTTTCCATATGCAGGTAGATCTGATAATGATTTTTGGCGTACTTAAGAAAAGTCGTGTCACCATTGTAGAAATTCTCTCTCGTATTACTATTACTACTACCTCTTTTTTTGACCCATTATAAGCAAATACACCCTGCACCATACCCTTTATATCATCGAATCTTGTAGGTAAATCATTCCCAACCAATACTTCAGAAAACCCGTGGTCACCACTCACATGATTAGTTCTCTAGTGCGGAATCCACCATTTTGATTAAAAGCTTCTTTATCATATTCTTTATGAACTCCTTTACAAAGCTCCGGAAGAGGCCCTTACAAACACGGAAAACACAACATCTAATGACAATAATTAGCAAACCCTTAAATAACAGGAAACCTCCTATAATATAGAAAGGTTCCGGGCTATTAACAGCTTTTTCAACCAAATTAAAACCTAACTTAAAAGTGCCCAATACAAATCGTCATACCAATAGGCGACAGATCAAGGAAAGCACAAATGTTTCCGGATACACCAGCTTTAGCAAGCCAAAGCCAGCGTAAGTAACAAAATCCCAATATTACCTAATAATTGCGGGCGTGACTCCTCATGGAGAGTGCCTTTGAAGCATAAACTCATTCCAGCTATTATAAATGGCACTAAAAGACCACCTAAAACCAGAAACACTATACCGTGAGAATATTCCTCATCTGCTGGACCTAATAATGAATCAAAGCATTTCCACACAAAAAAATAGAGAACAAAACTCACAAGGATACCAAAAAACAAAATCTTAAGTATAAATGATAACCATGGACCTTGTTAAATATAGAAAGCACCTTAAGGCTTAAAGTGTATTACAACTAATGCACAAACTGATAGAAGACAAAGGGCAGCCACAAGTATTATACTGTAAGTGCTATTTCCATGTTATTGTAAAATATAATATCTTTCTCTGATAAGCAACATTTATGATATCTTTTGTCATTTTGTATATTGATACTAACTTAGTTAAGTTATAAAGTGAATAAAAGAAATGGTATAAATCCACATCATTTTATACCATAAACGAACTAGGAGAACAAAGATGTAAAAAGGTTTACTAGACATGAAATCTAAACTAGTGTGTAACTCAATATTCTTATGGTAGGTTCGCTAGTAACCTTCAGGATGATAGCTTATGTCAGTTAGGGTGAAATAGGTTTAATCCTAATTGAGTCTTATACTTTATTCAGATATGTAAAATACTTAGAATCCTAGTTAATTTCAAGTTTCTATTTCACCAAATCTTAGCGAAATACAACTCAATTATATCTCATTTTCAACTCAACATTCTTCACGTCCTTCTTATGAACTTATTCGTATTCAATATTCTGAACTTGTTAATCTATTAAGCTCCTAAGCGACAATGCGTCTTTTGCAACAGCTACCCATCCGGTAGCTCATCCATAATATACAGTTATATTGATTGCTAGGTGTCCTAGGTAGTGTAATTATCAAGACTTCAGAGGTAAAGTGCAACAGTACTCCCATAGTACAACCATATATAGAATTGCAAAGTTGCATTACGGTATTACTGTAGTATAAGATTGGTACAACAGTAAATTACGGTAGCAAAGTATAATACAGTATATACCGCAGTATTGTAGTAAAGTATTTCAGTATAGTGCCACAGTATAATAGTAGAGTATTATGGCAAATTGAGCGAGCGAGATAAGCTTAAGATAGTTAGCTTAATTCTGGACGTTAGTTAGTATGAATCAGCTATCCCTAGGTTTATCTTTACTTTAATCTTTAATTTAATCTTAAGTATATTAAATAATATATTTAATGTACTTCTGATCGTTGGTGGATTTTAAGGTCCTCTTGTCTAAACACGGGTATAAATCTTTTCTATTTAAACTCCATTTCAACCATGACTTTCGCCCACATTAGTACTCCATTACCTAATCCAAATAGAATGATTAACCATTAGGTTTTTACTTGCCCCCTTCGTCATTACCCTGGCTTAGCATTCACGTCCTTACTGCCAACCTTTCATTGGCTATATCAAATAGCTGATTCCCTTGTCTTTGCAGCCACCATAACTGTTCTCACAAACTGACATCTCACGACCTAACCTTCGCAAAGTTTCTCAATAAATAGTGGATGCAAACCCCAACCAAGGCAGGACTTACCCATTGCGGCACACATTATTTCACCAGATTTCACTTCGTTATACTTCGATATGGTGTACTGCAATTGCTAACAACATATATGTTTACAATACCTTCTTATATCAAAATATAGTTCTTATAATTAATTATGTAATGACAGCTGTAGTTATTAAAGGAACGGGAAAAGTCGTTCGATTATCAAGATTGAAAATGCATTGAGTCGAAAATTTTTCAGATTACTATCTAACTACATAGAAAGCAATTGTACAAAAGTCATAGTACATTCCGAAAAAGTATCCCCAGAATGTGGCGTAAGACAGCTTCAAAGTATAGTTTGAGGGCCATACACTCAACCAGTAAATGTTTGACAACTGGTGAAAAAAAAGTTTGGTCGGAGTTGAGCTCAAGATCAAGCTCACTTTCTATTAAGAATGCCAAAATCAAAAAGAGCTTGTTTGAAGGAGGAAAGCCTGAAACCATAGTTAACATCGAAAGAAAAGCAGCCTACTACTCTCCAGTGGATATAGATAAGACATTCCAATTGGCATATGATGAGTTGGCAAGAGTTAGTGGAGACAAATATGCTCTTGTTGATGAATTGAAATCTCAATTGACCTCAGAAACAGATACTGAAATTAAAGCACAACTTGAAAAGAAATTGAATAAGGCATTAGTTGATGCAGAAATCTATAATCCTGAAGTTCTTTATAATTTTGAATATGATTCTGAACTGATTGATGCATCTCAACCAGTATATCGTAAACTTTTACATGATAAATGGAAATCTCATGATCTTATGGTATTAATGCAAAGATTGGAGCAATTACATGTGATTCCTGATACCTTACCCACCTTGGAACCAAAAGTTGAAGTCAAAGTCAAGTTTCCTCATAATACAAAGAGTGAATTTTCATCTTGGATTGTCCCTGGAACTGTTTTACCTGCCTTTGCAGTTTGTAAACCTCCTACTATTGAAATTACACTGTTTGATGAGACAGCAGTCACAGACGATTCTAATTCATCATCGTTATACACAGTGGTCCTTGTGAACCCTGATGAACCTGATTTATCAACCAATTCTTTCACCACCAAATTACATTATGGATTAAGTAACGTTCCTCTTAGCCATACTGATAATCAGATTGATAGTGGTAAATTATTAACTGATGGTGAGGAGTTTACTTTCAGTTCTTATATTCCTATTTTACCAGAGAAGAATGCACAAATTCAAAGAGCATGTTTGTGGGTATTCAGACAGAATGAGCCACTTACCATTAAATCTTGTGAACGTGAATCATTCAACATTAGAGAGTTTGCTGCCATTCACAATTTGACTCCAGTGGGTGCTCATGTCTGGAGACAAACGTTTGATAGAAGTGTTAATGCCATTAGGGAACAATATCATTTACCAAGGGGAAGAGTATTCCATAGAGTTAGAAGAACTGATCCTTATATGGGATAGATGAAGCTGCATGTATATAAACTGTATATAGTGAAATTAATTTTTTCCGCACGGTATACTGCATATAAAGAGACTACTGACAGTCAAACTTTAAAGCGATTAAGCGAAAGAGTACCTTCACCGCATAGTCAACAGAAACACCTTTTAACATGGATAAGGATAAAGACCGAAGAGTTCAACTTCAAGAGCTTAATAACCGAAGCTGGAATGGCGAGCATCACTTTACAACCAATGCAAAGCTAGACTCTTCCCTTAAGAAGAATACAGCGTTTATTAAAAAGATTAGAACTTCATTAACCGGAGATAAGGTGACTGTCACCATCAATGATATCAAGCTGCTTTCATTAGAAAAGTATTTGAGTGAAATCATTATCGGTATTTCTGAAGGATTGGCCAAAGTCTCCAAAAATGAAGATATACTTGCCAGTATGGAGATAGTTAGTGCACTACATCAACGATTCACCAGTCAATTCAGTAGTCAACTTATGATCTTACTTATTAGTAGTATGCAAAACCCCATAAGGATATCTGAAGAGGTCATTGATGAAAAGGAGGAGTCAAGTCGCATAATACGACAGAAGAACTTACTTAAATTGGTTACTGAATTTACGCTAATAGATGTCTTTCAAGGTGGGTTAAAGGATTGCCCAAAAGAGATCATTCCAGAGAATTTGGCTAAACGGTATGGTCAATTATTCAACGACCCCATTTATATTGTCATGTTAAAAGATTTACTTCAGTTTGAGATCAGAACCGGGAATTCTTTGCCAATTTTCACATCGTTCTTAAGAAGATTTTATCCTTTACTAGTGGACGAAAACTTTACATTATTTGGAGTTGAAGAAGAAAGAATTCTTCATCAAATAATCAAACGGTATTCTCTGACGGTCTTTGAATTGTTGGTGGAATATCATCAGACATTAGTGAGGGCCGAAACCAGAACGAAAAAAGCAGCTATAAGAACAGGGAAAATCCTTGAAGAATATACTGAGGAACAAGAACGAGCCAAAGAGATATTCCAAAAGTTTAAAACCCATTGTGAAATCATTTCCAGTATAGCTGGTATGCCATTACCGCAGTTAAACCTGACATTAGAGGAAGGTCCATCGGCAACCATTGAGATCATCAAGCCCAAGTCACTTAATGAGGATGATTTGGGCGGAGTATGGGAAAACTTGAAGGAGAAACAATTTTATACCAAACTTATACCGTTTGATGAATTATTAGAGCAATATAATGTAGGTAATGGCAGCACTGCTAACAATGTTGTTGTTCCTGTTGGTGAGAAGGTGGTTGAATTATTGAGACGATTATCGAATTGTACGCTGGAACAAGAATTAGAACAATTAGTTGTTGAATTCAAGCTATTAAAATTATACAACAAAGCCACCAAGAATCGTTTAATGAAATACTTCATTGAAGATGCCAACCCCAATGATTTAAAATATTTTGCAAAATTCTTGAAATATAATGAAGTGGAATTAAAAGATTTATTGGATGAATTGATTGAATATTTGGATAATGGATTCAGAAACCAAATTCATAACAACCGCTTGAATTTCAAGAATATTTTCTTCTTTGTTGAATTAACTAAATTTAAGTTAATTCCAATCCATATTATTTTCCATAAGATCAGGAAGTTAACGCAAAACATAGCGGAAACTAATAATATTGATATACTTTCAGTATTCTATGATCAAGTGGGGAGATTCTTGAAGAATGAACCTGAGTATAAAGATTTGATGGAGGAAATGATTTTGCTTTTGAAGAAAAAATTGAAGAGTGGGAATTTAAGTATCAATGATAAATCAGCCATAAGGAACTTGTTATTAACTGTGGAACCAGCTCGAACTCAAGTTAAACTGCATAATGATGTGGTATCGAATTTAACTCCAGAACAAAAGTTCATCATCCGTACAATTAGAGTAGATTTAAACTCCAAGACTCTACCAATAGTTTGGGATATTGTGAAACTATATTTTGAGATTCCCAGTGCTGAAATTAGACAAACATTGGTTGAAATATTTGTCAAGCCAGAGTTATTGAACTATGAGAATATTGCATACTTGTCCTTACTACTTCGGAAAGTGTCTAAACGAGATCGATATTTCCTCATGATGGTTACCGATAGCATCATTGAGCAAGTGATTCGGGGTTTAGAACTAAATGATTATCGTAAGAACAGAACAAGAACAGCCCAGATCAAATATGTTGCTGAGATGTTTAATAGAGGATTAATAAAGTTCAGTCTGATTAATAAATTGTTGATGACGATCTTGACTTTTGGACATCCCAATAATCAAGTATTCCCTGGCAACTATCAAGTTGAAATCGATTTACCTCACAATTACTTTCGTATTCAGTTGTGTTGTCTTTTACTTTTGTCTATAACTGGGGGGAATACTGATGAGAAGTCGATGAACTTTATACCTGAGACCTCAATAAAGGCGTTTTTGGTTTTTTTCCAGTACTATATGTTTTGTAAGAAGCAACCGTTGGCCATGGAATTGCAGTTTCAGATTCAAGACTTGTTTGCTAAGTATTCGCACATTGAGGGGGTTCAACAGTATGAAGATTTGTCGCAGGTGTTGGGGGCTTTACAGCACTTGACGAATACCAATGGCTTGCGGACCGAGGAGAACGATGAAGAAGAGGCCGACGAGGAAGAGGAAGAGGAAGAGGAAGAGGAAGAGGAAGAGGAAGAGGAAGAGGAAGAAGAGGAAGAGGAGGAAGAGGAGGAAGAGGAAGAAGAGGAGGAAGAGGAAGAAGAGGAAGAAGAAGAGGAGAATATTGAAGAAATTGGAGTTGTTACCACTAATAGTGTGCATGTTTTTTCCTCTGAGGAATATAGCGATGACTCTGACTCTGACTCTGACCGTGACTCTGACTCGGGCGGAGACAACTATTCTGAAGATTCTGACTCTGACGACTCGGATAGTTTAGACCTGGGTGAAAGTGATGATGAAGAAGACGAAGATGAAGATGAAGATGAAGAAGATGAAGATTCTGAAACAGAATTATTCATTCCGAACCCTCCAATTTCAGACGAAGACAAGAAATTTTTCGATGATATTGATAAGGAGCTCCAAAAGATAGTTATTGAATCTTATGAAGGAGGAAGAAACGTGAGCAAACGATTGAATGTTCCAATGCCTTCCACGAGATCGCAAAGCACGCAAAGCACGCAATCAGAAAGCAGACTGTTTGGTGATAATAAGACTAAAATGACGTTCAATCTTATCACTCGAAATGGGAAGAAGACCGGCTTCAAGCAGATCCAATTGCCTAATGATTCAAGATTTGCAGAGAATAGAATAAAACAAAAGAATGATAATGAAGAGCATAAACAGAAAATGGTTAATATGGTGATGAATATGGATAATTGAGATAATATTTTATAAATTTAGTCTACCTTTATCAACACTATAGTTATATCATCTTCCTTCCCACCTAGATATTTTTGGCCTGTTAATCTTGATAATTCTTGCGCAAAGGCACTGGGGAAGTTTGTATCTTTAGATACTTTAGCTACTTCTTCCACCAATTTAGTCAGAACGGTTTCCAACTTGCAACTAGGGTCATTCTCAAATTGATCCTTTAAAAACAATTCTATATCCTTTGGTACAACGTTATCAGTGACTCCATCAGTAGCAAAAAGGATCAAATCATTTTTCTGTAATTTCCATTCAAATTCATCGGCCATATCTGGCTTATCAATGATATATCTTCTACCTTCTAATTCTGCTTGTCTAACGATTTGTGGAGGTATTTTAGCTAATTGATAAGGAGTATTGAAATTATGCACTTGGAATCCAGTTTCATGAATCAAACTAAAGTTCCGAAACACCCCACACCAAGAATCTCCAAGATTGGCTACTTTAAAAGTTCTATCTGAAGTTAATACTCCTAAACAAGCAGTGGTGCCCCCGATTTCCACTTTAGGAGATTGAATCACATCTTTGAAGGCCAAATCAAGTAATTGCTTGGGTGAAAGTGTAGAATCAGCTTCAAAATTAACTTTTAACGCTGAACATAATTCTCTTGATATAGCCGACGAGTCATATCCAGCTTCCAGCCATCCTCCTACCCCATCAGCCACACCAAGTGCAATGGAACCCTCAGTGGATTGTTTGGAAACAAATAAATTGTCTTCACCAGTTGGACTATCTAAAGCAGGACTTCTATGTTGACTCTTACGTTTGAATAAGTTTGATTCAGATCTATCTTTGGGCAGGTACGCCACTGCTATCTTGTAATGAATCATTGATCCAATATTCGAATCAACATTGGAATTGGCAGCGGTAACAACAGCACTGCTTGATGTTACATCAACATTACTGCCACCATTACTATTACTACTGTTATTATTGGTATTATTATTATTATTGCTGTTGTTGTTGTTGCTGCTATTATGAGAGCTCCCCTGCTGCTGTTCTGCTGGTTTGGTCAGTTGTCCTTCGCCTTTCCCGCTAACCCACAGACTGAAACTAAACCCTCTTACCCCCAATGTTGATCGAACAACATTGGTACTTAAAGGAAGTGTCCGCTTGACTCCTACTGCAAGCAACATGAACAAGAATGCCACTGCAAAATAAATTAAAGGAGATTTAAATCTGGATTTCCTTCTATGGGAGGCCATTTGTGAATGTAAATATGTTTGAGAGTTTGGTTGGTCGTGGATCTGCTGTCATTCTTGCACGCCACTCTTCTATATAAAGTGACAACATATATATATGACTACCTAATTGAGAGGAACGTTTGTGTGTAGCCGTAACGGGATATTCGAGGTATATTGCTCACCTGATACCAGGGTGGTTAGTACCTCGTTAAAAGCCTCGGTAGTAGCTATTGTGTTTTGTCCAATAAGAGTCGTTCATTCTCACTTAACGATCTTCATTTATTTAATTCTTTTTTAACGGTAGCGCTACCATACATTAACCAAATCGCTTCCCACGCCAAAAGCTTCTGTCTATACCGAAAAAAATTTTCGAACTTGAATATCAACAACCAATCAACCAGTTAACTTCAATTGATTAACGTATTCAATAATATAAATAATGTCTGTTAACTTCAACGTCTTGAGATACAGTGTTTTTGGTGCTGGTATTGTATATGGTGCTTACCATAGATATTCTTTGGAATCTTCTGTAAAGAAGGAAGCTGCTGCAAAGGCCTATGCTAAGGAAGAAAAGTTGATTAGACAAGCTAAGGCTGAATACGCCAAATTGCAAGCCGCCAAAGCACCTGCTGCTTCAGCTTCTACTGGTTCTATCAACTGGGAAGACCCCAACTTGGACATTGGTAGTGCTTTAGAGTCTTTAGTTGCCAAGTTGGAATAAACCAATTAGCAATCCACAACTTAACTCCACTCCACTCACCTCAATTCAACTCCTCATCACATCACATAATAACATTATCATAAACAAATCATATCATTCCATCGCATCACATCGTTCAAAATTTTGCTAGAAGTTTACATTAAGTGATTCAATTGATCGTTGAAAGTACTACATGTTTCTTAGGTCTTTGATGTGATGATTATTTATTCTGACTTTGGCTTGTTCAATGACAATTAGGGGAAAATGGTAAAATAAGATTGCTTGCGTTTTGCTTGAGGTTTGATTTTGTCATTTATCCTCTATCCACATTTCAGTTCGTTATGTCAACTTTTTTTATGCACTGAACATCCAATCACAATAGTAAACGGTTGTTCATCTTCATGTATTCATAGATATTCAAAATATAATAGCTATATTTAGTTTAGCTTGTAAGAACGAAAGCTTAAAAGAACACTATGCAGATTAAACAATTCACGTGAGTTTACACGTGATCTCGAAAATTGATAGTCACAAATGTCTAAATGTATATGTATAGCTAGTTTGATAACGTTAACCTTACATCAACAATGCTATGAGTACCAACTCTCCGGAATTACGAAGGAACAAGAGGGTTCTTGGATCTCCGTTCAAGTCACCAGTGAAAAATCTGGCTAATATTGACGCTGCTTCACCTTCAAATGATGTTCCACATAATAATAGTAATGTTACCTCAATACGGAATGATATCGATCACCCATCTGTTAAAAATAAGGAAATTAAACCCATCTTGGAGATATTTTGTCCTATTTGTAAAGAGAGTATGATCTCTTTGAACCAATTAAATCAGCATATTGATGATGAGCATCAGAAAACAGACGAGCAAAATTTATCACCTGAACCTCCTGTGGTAAGACGTGAGCTTCAAATCGATTTGCTTAACGGAGATAAGGGGTTCAGTCTTAGTATTGATGAAGGTCGAAAGAACGGTAATGAAAATATCCGAGCGGGTCTGAAACTATCAAGAGATGCCAATCCATTAAAGGTTAGTCCTAGCCCAAGTCCTGGTGCCGGTGCCCGTGGTTCTCTGAGATCAAATGAGAGACTCAGTCGAAACCATTGGCAAACTCCAGCCTCTGGTTCAAAATGCTCTATTGAAGGATGTAATAAGACACTTAGTGTCAAGCAGGGAATTGTAAATTGTCGACGGTGTGGAAAACTATTTTGTAATGTTCATACCAATTTCAAAGTTCGATTAAGAAATGGGCCTGATTCCAATTCTATTCCCATATTTGAATCACTGAAATATGGAATTTGGAGTAGAGTTTGTCGGAATTGTTATAATGATAAGTTGGATAGCATTAAAATTGTTGAGCCGAAGGTTGAAGATTTAACAGGCACATTCAAAAGAATCCGAATGAAGAAGAATGAAGATAAGGAATTGATGAGAAATAAGATTAAAAAACGATTTATAAAATTGGTGGAACTATTGGTTGATGAAGATGTGAAGAAGAAGCAGAGGAAGAGTCAAATCTCAAAATGGAATTTGTTTGGTGGTAGTGATACAAATGAACCAACAGTTCTGGAACAAGCCATTGAAATTGTTGGACATGATAATTGGATGGAAGATTCCAAAACTCATAATTGTACCATTTGTTATATACATTTCAACATGATAACAAGGAAACATCATTGTCGATTATGTGGAAGTATTGTTTGTGATGATCTGTTTGGAGAACGCAAACTGTGTTCAATTATGGTTCCAATTAATCAATTATTAGACAAGCTCAAGAACCTTAATTATGGAGCCAATGCTAGAAGTCAGTTTCTATTTTTACTTCTGAATGAATGTTCTATTCGATTTAGATGTTGCATAAATTGCAAGAATCATTTGTTATATGAATGGAAACAATCGCAACAAGCCAAGCTTGATTTAAACTCAACTGACAAGTTGGTCCCTTTATTCGAGACCAATAAATTGTTGATAATCTTGAAGGATCAAATTGTAAGATACATGAACCGTTTTGAATATCTTTTCCAGAAGAACGAGGCCACTAATGGCGATGAGATAGAACAAGTTAGAGAGAAACTATTGGTTTACTTGAAAGATTATGAAGGTTGCAGTAATCAGATCAAACAATCATTCTATGGAAGAGTGAATAATGCATTGAAATTAAGACCAGAATTTGTTGATAACGAACGGTTGATTAACAACGTTTATCGAGGTTCAGTATTCTTCTTACAAGATAATTTGGTTAAATTCAAATTACTTAGTGATAAGCTCAGTGAACTCACTCAGATGGAATTAGAAGATTCTAAAAACCATTTTGCCCAAATTGAAGGGGTACAAATTTCTAAAAACTCCCCAACACCCATTGGTACACCTGAGCCACGACTTACAAAGAAGCAAATACGTGAATTGAGAGAGCAATTGATGGTAATGAATGAACAAAGGTTTTTGGTGGAGAATTTAATCGATGATACCATCAAGCAACGAAAGTTTGATGAGTTGGGATCATTAAAGGAGAATAAAACCGAATTGATTAAAAGAATCAACGAGTTAGAAAAAGAACTTGGTGAATTTGGATTTTAATAAGCATGGGAAATTACGTTATAGTTAAAGATAGGGCGTACTCTAATAATATATATGTAAAAATAAAGAAATAAAAGTAGAAATTCCTAGTATAAATTAAAAAAATAATGGACGAGACAGGAATCGAACCAGTGACCTTTTGCTTGCAAGGCAAACGCGCTACCAACTACGCCACACGCCCAATTAGTTATTATTAATATGTGCAGTTGGATGTAATGCCAAAAGTAGAGGGACCCTAGCCATAAGTGAAGGCTGAGAAACTTTTGTTTTTTAATGAGCATTTAGTTGTATACTTGTAATTCTAACTGACTCTAGATATTTATATATTATCAAGGTTATACCAGAGTCATATCACACACTTATGACTTCCTTTCATAATAATATTAACAAAAATAATAATATTAACAAAAATAATAATATTAACAATGCTTACTTTTTCATCCCATTATCAATGGTTGATACTGAATGATAGATACCAGGATTCACATAACCAATATAAGCTCTATCACCAAACCCTCCTACAAAGTAAATCTTATCAACAACAAACTTAACCCAATGAGTTTTATGAGGCGATATGACGTTTTCTGGTAACCAAAATTTTGAATCTGGATGTCTTGCAGTAAAGCAATTTTTCAACTTCAACCAATCATCATATGATTTGGAATCAGGGGGAACATCTACCAATTTCCCAAACAATTGAACTCTGGGTGATCCAGCAGGTGAACTTGTAGTACCGCCAGGATAATTAGGATTTACATGATCGCCCAAGGGATGATCACCAACTCTTATGGTGAATGAATAATCAGAGCCATCAACTATGTTTTGATATGTAGATCCAATATCTACAACCAACCAATAAGGATCTCCATCGCCATCACAATCAGCATAGTATTCCATGGATGAAACGGGAACTTGAGATTCAGTTCCGTCTTCCTGTTTAAACGTTTTCAATGTATTAACATTAGCTAAACTTTCTCTATTGACCAATGTACGGGCAATGCTAGCAGCTTCAATTTCATTGGGCACATGAAGCTCACCAACTTTTTCAGTAATGGAAACTTCCACTTCTTCGTTGATCAATTTTCCACCAAGAAATAATGGCTGGCAAATCGCTAGTCCCATAAGGGTGATCCATACTGTAGACTTATACAATAACATAATAGTAATAATTTAGTAATAATTTAGTAAAAGTAATAACAATAATAATTGTAGCACTCTACAAATAGAAGTTGTGGGCCATTCCCTAATTTATGTAAAATGAAGAGATACTTTCTTATCACCAGATTCATCTAATTAATATTCTATTTGCACCATCACCCCTTAACTCTTATCGGACCACACCACATCGAGACAGTAGTATTATTTATCAAGTCACGTGACGACAACGTGACAAATATTTGGCGATCCTGTGTCCGTTATCGGTGTTTAGGTTTGACTAATAAAGTGCATTTTTGGAAATCCATTACCGTTAACCGTTTATTACCATTATTACTACTATTATTGAAGGGTGCATGGGGTCCATGGCTGTATATAACTAGTTTGAAATGGTTTGAGATTAGTTTAAAGATCTGGGTTCCCCCACGAGATCCCCCATTAGCGCGATCCCCCACTGGCGCCCCCACTTAACTCCATAGATCTGATATTCTTGGATTGGGGGATAACACTTGCACTAACTGGAAGCACACTAACCATGTTCCACTTCGAATAAGCCACTCATGAAAGGCACAACCCCAAAGATACAAGTGGCTTGCCCCAAACTTGACACTAAACCCCACAATATTGGATAGCAAGTCATTGACGTAAGCCCTTTATTGTTGAATTGTAATTGATAGAATGTTGAAGTGTTCAGCTTTGGAGTATACTTTTTTCTTTAGTTATGCCGACTCCCCCACGCGCCCCCCCACGCCTCCACGCTCTAACAAATTCAGTTAATCTTTTTACGTACTTCTACGGTAATATTCTGGATACTTAATACTAGTGAAGTTTAAGATACCACCCGCCATTAAAACCTTTGTTCTATGCGTCTTCTTAAGTGTGGGGTACGCGGACAAGTTAAATGAATATAAGAACACGATGAAAGCCGTCCTGATTCAACTGATTCACTACTAAATCCACATCAAGGTAATTCAAGCTACAACAAGTATTACCACCACCACCACTACTACTACAGCTACAGCTACAGCTACTCTTACTACTACTACTACTAATAGTAACAAGTCGCAACTAACGCTTACTGCCATTACTATTGTTCACTGAATAGTATCATCAGCGACATATTCCGAGTCACTCACAGACTTGAATAATAAAATTATCCGTGAGTTTTTCCATCTCCAACTACACACCATCTCCTCTTCTTAGTATACCTTTATATGTCTGACAACAGACAAAGCATTTACTCTCTGTCGGTAGACGATCTGGTGAAGAATGCCTCGGATATCGACATGAACGGTAAAGACCGATCCAAGGTTACCGTTTCCGACGTTTCTTTGGACCAACAAGCCAAACGGAACAAATGGACCAAAGGGTTCTCCAGAATGTTTGAAAAGATCGAAGAGAGACCCACCCCTTCCAATGTGTACAACTGGCGAATCTATGGTACTGCTCTCATGGCATCTGCTGCTGCCATCATTATTGGTTATGATGGTGGGTTTATTGGTGGTACCGTTGCCTTAGATTCTTTTAAACAAGAGTTTGGACTTGCTGATGATGCTCATCACTATAAAAGTACCATCTCGAATGTTATATCTGTTTTCCATGCTGGCTGTTTCTTTGGAGCGTTGATTTCTTATCCATTCTCCTTTTATTTAGGTCGTCGACTCTCTTTAATCATAGCTGCAGTGTTGATCACTGTAGGTTCAGCTATCATGCTTGCAGCAAGTTCAAAAGTTGGGTTAGGTCCTATTTACGCCGGAAGAGTCATAGCAGGTATTGCTGTAGGATTCCTGACAAATTTAACTCCTGTTTATTTATCTGAAATCAGTCCTCCCGCCATCAGAGGCCGTGTGATTGCCCTTTATGAAATCGGCTGGAGAGTTGGTGATTTGGTAGGGTTCTGGATTAATTATGGTATTGATGAACATATTCCAAACAGCAAGAAACAATGGTTTATTCCATTTGCCATTCAACTTATTCCTCTGGGTATGTTCTTGTTGGGGAGTATTTTAATGAGAGAATCTCCTAGATGGTTATTCTCCGTCAACAAAGATGAGCAAGCTTTAAACAACTTAACTTGGTTTAGAGAACTTGATGAATCTCATGAATATATCATCTATGAAGTTAACCAAATCAAAATGTCCCTTGAAAAGCAAAGAGTTAGCATTGGATTAGGCTTATGGGATCCAGCTACTGAAGTATTTGTTAGAAACCATCAACTATTGAAAAGATTATGCTTAACATGTTCATTATTCTTGTTCCAGAACTTCCTCGGAATTCAAAGTATTAATTATTATTCTCCAATTATTTTCCAAACCTTGGGAGTCAAAGGTACAAATGCTACATTATTTTCCACGGGGATGTTTGGGGTTGTTAAATTTATCTGTACATTTATTTATGTACTTTTCATTGTGGATCAATTTGGTAGAAGAATTGCCTTTATGTGTTCCAGTACTATTTGTTCCATTTGTTTCTGGTATATTGGAGCTTATTTGAAACTTAATGATCCCACCAAACCAGGAATTCTGGCAGGTCCAGGAGGTAAAACTGCTATTGGAATGATGTACATTTGGATTGCTCTGTTTATATTAGCTTGGTCTGGAGGTCCATTTGTTGTTGGTAGTGAAGTATTTGATACTAATATCCGGGCATTCATGCAAGCTATTAATGCAGCTGTTAGTTGGGTTCCAATTTTCATTATGTCAAGATTTACTACTAATATGATAGACACTATGAAGTTTGGTATCTACTTTTTCTTTGCTAGTTTGGCAGCCATTTCTATTCCCTTTGTGTTCTTCTTTATTCCTGAGACCAAGGGGGTTGCATTGGAAGATATGGATAAACTCTTCAATTCTAAGGTTCCAACTTGGAAGGCTCATAGTATTTTAATGGAAGAGACGAGGCACGTGACCGAAGAGGGTATGCATGATCCTAATATTCATTTGATTGACATTGGTAAGCATGAACATGAACATATTGAAGGGGATTTGATCACAAAGAAGGTATAGTTAACACAATAATAGTGTCTAAAGATGATAATATTTGAATACATCGGGATTCCGTATGTAGGCGGATTTAAGTGGGTCTTAAGTCCACTTAAGCAACATAAGTCGTACATAATAAATAATAAGGCGTACATAATACATCCGTGAGGCGTACAAGCATTGAATACATGAGGCATTCTTAATACAAGGTATACGCCACATACTTAGTATAGTTAGTGTGAGGCATACATGCAAACTTATTTAGTGTAACTAGTTCACCAAGTGTTACCCGATCAAATCTCTAAACGGTCGTGTGCGGATCTTATGATAAGGTCCAGTTGATCACACCCCCACACTTTTTAAAGGGGGAAGGGGGTTGTACAAAAGCTTTATAGTAATGACACTGATATGAACACTTGATCTCTTTCACCTTAAAGACCCTTACACCATCAAGCAACACATATCAAGGCCAAAATAAAGTGTTGATCGGTGTAAAAGTTGCTATCAGATCAGAATCGAACCACACCACACTAGTTGATTTACTGGTTGATTAAGTGAAGCATATTAGTATATACAACATAAGTCGTATCCAATGACTATCGACCGATCAGTCGACGACGAGAGTCTCAATCTTAAACGACAGTACTTGACATGCGATCCAACGAAAAAGAAGCGTAGGGGAACAGATATCACCACTTACTACCGGTGTTTCCAAAACTACTACCATTCCCAACAATATTTGATGCCGAATCCGGAATATGCTCCTAGAGTAGCCATTTCCGTTCACCATTGGCAGTTACGAGATTTGATTCGTCACAACGGCCAAGATGATGTCTTATACATATCCAAAGACTCCGTGCGGGCCTACAACGAACGAAACCATGTTTCTCGAATGTTTAACCATGCGAAATTCTATCCTCGGTGTCTCGACGTTGGCTCCAATGGGGCTGTGTTAATAGGAGGACTTCTATCCAGTGTTGATGCCACTGGCACTACCAATATAAGTTGTTTGACACTGAACCTACTCAATAATAATGTTGGTGATAATGGTAGCGTTAATGGTAATAATGCTGTTACTCGAGGCATAGCTAGTACATTCCATCGTGGCATGGTTACCCGAATGATACCTCCTTATTCCTCTAAGAGAACTGCTAAGGGTTTACTCACTTACTATAACCCGGAAACAAATATCGATGCCACCTACCGGTTGGGAGACATGATCAATAACGATGTCATGCTTCATCAACGCTCAGATGGCCATCTCAGAGCGTATGCATGCAATAACGATACCCGGTTATATGGTGTGGACATCCAATCCAGTGGTAAAATGAACGTCATCCAATCTTCCATTGTGGAATCCAATACTTCAATAAACTCAGTCATCAGTAATCCAATGTTTGATAAGCTTTTAACTGTTTCGGGTGATTCTTCTAATATCCATTTACTTGATACCAATTCACCTAAAAAGATCAAGTGCATCAAGACTTCGCATGACTCAGGGTTTGGTATGGCTTATCATCCAAATAACGTGGTGTTTGCAACTTGCTTCCAAGATGGGTTCTGTTCACTTTATGATATTCGTAATTTGGATTCACCATTAACAGAAATCAAGTCGACTCGTCAAGGTCATCAGCTGGGAGCTTTTAGATGCTGTAAATTCTCCTCTCTGTCGATTGAAAATATGCTCGTGATCCTGGAACACATAGGCAGAGTCCATGTTATTGATTTAAACGATTTGGAAAATAAGAACCATCAAGTCATAGTGTTGCCTCAGGCTTTAGTGCAATATGCCGAGTACCGAAACAAATTAAGAAGTTGTGGAGCAGATACTGATACTGATACCGATGATAATGATAATGAAAATGTTAACCATAATGAGAACCACAACACGGGCAAGAATGATGAAATGATTGAGAAACATCATCCCATGTCTGTATATGATGCTCTGGAAGGTAATTTTTCAGCACCATTAGTATATGACTATGATTATCTTGTCAATGTTAATCCCAAACTCTTTAAGAATTACAATTTCCCAACTTCTTCTGCAACGACCACCACTTCAAGTTACAGCGTAACTAACTTGGAACCACAAGTTGATTTTGTCTTACCCCAGTGGTATGGAACTCCCGGACACCCACATGTTTGTGAGGATCCCGAGCTTTCTCCTACAACCCCACTAAGTGCAACACAGTATACTGATCCTACAAACACTCCCATCACATCTGTGGCAACTCCTATGGCTGTTCTGCCCGTGGGAGGGGATGATTGGAAGTGGCAACTGTCGCAGTATCAAATGAATGGAGAAACAGAGTTAGCCGGGCTTGATTGGCACAATAATAAGATTTACATTGGACATCAAGAGGGAGGAATTATGACATGGGAAGTGAATGCCACGTCTTTACGTAGTCGTGGGTGTTATGCTTTTGCTTAGTGTTTCGAATTAGTAGGTAGGTTTATAATGAATTAACGTATGAACATAATTAATCAGTATGTGAATTACTCCGATAAGTTTGAAATTTACTACGACCAATATTTCTCAATTTTACAACGATCTGAAATCTTTAATGATTTTGGTCCAGCTTTGTAACGGATGCGAAATAACGCGTGAAAATTCCATTTACATATTTCAAACCATCACCTGGTATATCTCAAGGCCACTAGGACGCCTCTTGCGCAGCAGAACCATGTACATCTCGCCAAACGAATACTCACGAGTGTACCGAGAGATCAAGCGGACGTCACTATCTCATTCGACATGCAAGCTTATTATATTTGTAGCGTGTTTAAACATTGATGCACTCTGTGGAGCGAAGATTCTAGCACTGGTTCTACGCAAAGAATTGGTACAATATCAGCTTGTTCCAGTGGTGGGATATACCGATTTGAAGCAGCACTTCGATCGTTTGGATGATGATGTTTCCAATGTGATTTTGGTAGGTTGTGGAGCCATGTTGGATCTTGAAGGGTTTCTTGAAATCGATGTCGATGCATTTGTGGTGAACGACACCACCACTCATACGAATGACGACCTAGACACGCGTTTCGAACACCAGAAGTTACGTCGAAAGATTTACGTGATCGACGGGAACAGGCCGTGGAACTTGGATAATCTTTTCGGTAGCAATATGGTGGTGTGCTTTGACGATGGACATATTGATCGACGGTTGACCAAAGAACGCTCGGCCTATATGACGCTTCAAGAATTGGACGACAGCGACAGCGAAAACGAAGACGAAGACGATGAATACGATGACGACGAAGAACAAGACGTAGTCAAACTATCGGATGAAGATGAGGATGAAGCGGACTACCAAAGTCATTCAGAAGACGACGAAGAAACCAGATCCCGAAAGAGAAGCAGAAGGAAACAAATCTCTGATAAAAGACTCAAACGTCAAAGGAAACGACAATTATCACAATCGAACTCGGTATTGGAGGATTACTACAGCCAAGGGACACTTGTGATCACTTCAGCCACGGCTACAATATACGCCTTACTTGCAGCTATTGGTGAAACCAATCTTGAAAATCTTTGGTTAGCCATCGTTGGAACGTCATCTCTAGATTATCATTATCCTGAGATCTACGACAAGATTCAACCTTTGTACAGGGACGAGGTATTAAGATTGAACCCACCACAATTGGACGGTGTCCAAGACAAGACAGCAGACACTAGTTCGCTTAGTATCGAGAATGATTACCATCTCTTTTTACTAAGACATTGGACACTTTACAACGCATTCTTCTATTCATCGTTTGTCAATTCTAAGTTGAATCTTTGGACTGAAGATGGTAAGAAGAAGCTTCACAAGTTGTTTGCCAAAATGGGGATTTCGTTAGCCATAGCTCAACAGAAATGGCTCTATATGGATATACTGGTGAAGAAACAGCTTCCAGTTATATTCAGTAAATATTTACCTATGTATGGACTTGAGGGCATTGTTAGAGATGGGTTTGTTCGGACGTATGGATATAAAGGCCAATTGACAGCCATGGAATGCGTGGAAGCCCTTACGGCATTATTGGAGCTTGATGCTTCATTATTGAATAGCGATATCTTTCAATCACTGGAGTCCAGTCGGAGTTTATTGCGGACATCGCAAGGTTATCAATCTCGTTCAATACAAGGAGGTGGAGATAACGAATCCTTAATGGATGCCGAAGGGGAAGAAGAACGAATCCGGTTAGAAATGGAACGAAAAGGAAAAATCTGGGTTAATAATTTCTGGTCTTCTTGGGATGCAATTAGTGATATCAATTCAAGTCTGGCCATTGGAACCAATTCGAAATTCCATACCAAAAGAAAAGGATATGGACTTTTAGTTCAAGGTCTTGAGGTTGCCAAAAACATTCAAAAAATTATCTTCCGTACGGGGATGTCTGTATTAGAGCGGAAATTGATTAAGAACTTAAAGCTATATCGATTGTGTGTTCTTACAGAAGGTTCAGTACCTGATTTAAACATTTTTGTTAATCCGCTTATGCTTTCCAAATTGGGTACTTGGATATTAGAGAATATTACTGAGTTGGACTTTGCTAATAACACCAACTCTTTAAAGCCAATGGTGGTTGCTAGTTTCGATGCTGTTACAGACACATATCTTGTAATTGGATTAGCACCCAAATATCCTAGAGGAATGAATAACTCCGAGATAGCCAAGTTACTACAGAAGGAAAGAAATAATAATAAAGAAGCAGATCCTTCAATAATTATAAGGTTAAATACTTTCAGTGTTGCCTTTACACAAGTTGCAAATACTACGGGAGCCAAAGTTAAGATCGATGGGTTCGATAGTTCGGTGATTGAAATCCGAAAAGATGATTTATCACCTTTCCTCGAGAAGTTAACCCTTAGTGGATTGATATAGTTACACGATCACCCCATATAATCTGTGGGATCCCAATCGAAATACTCATAGGCTTCATCATGAGTTATCATCTTCATGTCTTCGTCTGAGATGGCGAAATCAAAGACATTCATATTGTCCAGTTGTCTTTGAAGATTGGAACTTTTAGGAATAACGATATAATCGTTTTGCAAGTTCCATTTGATCAATATTTGAGCTGGGGATTTGTTATACTTTGTGGCAAGAGCTTGAAGCTGATGATCATTAAATTTGAACCCTTTAGTAAGCGGAGAAAACGTTTCCAAGTAAATCGAATGGTCCTTACAGTATTGCACAATTTCCTTTCTTGTTAACCAAGGATTCAATTCTATTTGATTGACAACAGGCTTAATAGTTAACCCATCCCATTCCAAAAGTTCTTTCATATGACGAATGCCATAACTTGAAATCCCAATTGACTTAATCAAACCTTCTTCAACGGCCTCTTGAAGTGCCTTCCAAGCTCCAAGTCTCTTGTCTTTATTGGTCATGGGATCATGAATCAAGAACAAGTCAATGTATTCCAACTGATTCACCTTTTGGAAACTTGTTCTAATAGCACGTTTGGCACTATCATACCCTTGATTTTCTCCTAATAATTTGGTGGTATAGTAGATATCTGATCTCTTGTTGGCTTGGGGGTTTTCGTTGATCCATTTCATGATTCCTTGGCCCACTTCACGTTCGTTGCCATACATTTGGGCCGTATCAAAATGTCTATACCCCAACTTTATAGCGTTGTAAACAATCTCTGACGTGGTGTTGCGTCCTAAAAGATAACACCCTAAACCTAGAATAGGGATTTTGGTGCCGTTATTTAACGTAACCGATGGGATGGCTGGCATTACTGGTGGTTAGATCTGTTCTAATAGAATGCTCATAGAGAATGAAACATATATATACTACGATCGTGTTGCTCTTATCTGTTAGGAGGGCTAATTTTACTGAATCGGGAAAATAACGACATAAGATACCCAATTAAGCAATGAGATCCATGCCCAAAACAAGTCCTCTTTCCTGACAGTAGCCCGTATATTATTTCACTACAGCATTCAAATCAGTAGATTATAGCTACCAAAAAGCTCATTAAATGACTATAGTTCCATCTAGCTTAAACGGGTGCGATGCAGCAAGTGCTCACAAGCAAAAGGTCGTCATTCAGTGCAATATCTGCATCCCACACAATGTCGTTTATTGAAGCTAATTACCATAAAGCATGTATCATTGGAATTCTACTAATTACATCAGCTCAAACTTGAAATAGTTATTAATAGAAGTAACATTGCTTAATAATGATGTTAGCGTTCCATTACGTCGTCGTATAGTACACGAGCGTAGTAAGCCCCTGGCATACGTAAAAGACTGCGCGCTACCAACTACATCTGTGATCTGTGGACCCGGTCCCTATACAGTATAATTGAGTAAAGGAGTAATAATATTATCATGTTTTCGGAGGAAGTCATTTGGATTTTAGTTAACGCCCGGTAAAGAGGGGACTACTGTAGTTACCAAGCAGTGGCAGTTGTTGATCAGCTGACAGCATCACTTCTAACGATAACGGATCAGTACTACACACTCACGCATTATAGACGACACGAGACGACAGCTTTACCGCGAGACAAGGCTTACCACGAGGTATACCTGACAACACGACGCACACCACACACACCATGAGTCAATATAAACTTGTTCAGGAACTTGAAGAAGGTATTGTTCGACATCAAGGAACCTTGCATAGTCAACTTTCTGGCTTAGTTGACGGATTCGTTCGATATCTAAAGGAGCCTCGATATCAATCCCCGTTAACGTTACAAGAATTAAGTCGACTCTTTGGACTTTTCTATAAAGATTTGAATTCTGTTGCCTTTAACCTTTACTGCTTATCCAACACGTCCAAGAAACAACTTATTAACAACTGTGGTTATTTCCGTGACCACCGTCAAGATTTCGATTACTTGATGGCAATAGCTAATTATCTGAGTAGCTCTATTAAATTGGTAAAACGATCAGATGAATTGGCTATGAAACAACTTCGAATCTTTAACTTGTATAAATTCCATTCCACATTGCATGCCATTGAATTGGCCCACAATAAGTTATTCCAGACAGTTGCTAAGGGTGAAGATGTTATGTTGTACGACAAGATCTTTCGTTTTGATCAGAAGGATGTTATCTTCCAGGAGTTCCTCGATGAAAAGCTTGAAGCGCTAAGGAAAGAAAATATATGCTTTTCTATGTTTTACCACGACGATTCAGAAACTGGTTTGGCAGAATTTATGGATTCTTTAGTCGAGTCCAAGGATACTGAATTTAACTCTCAGCTTGAACAACTCACAGAGCAATGTATCGAGTTGAAGCAATGTATCACTCCACTTTCCAAGATCCTTACCGTTTCTCATATGCAAAGAAACATAACCAGGTTGTTGAAAACTCGGTTCCCGGATCTCCAAATCAGTAATGATATTTTACTTCCTTCCTTTATCTATTTGGCACTAAGACTGGTTGAGCTTGAAGAAATGTATTTGACATTTATCTTCATAAGTAATTTCCTTGACACTTTTGATCCCTATCATGTTGAAGTTCATAATATCACAGTCAGCTCTACATACAATCCCACAGACTCATCCAACCCTATGTTGAAGTATAGCTATAAACCCAGAGTGATGAACTTCTTTGAAATGCTTAATATCTCCAACACCGATGAAAGAACTTCAACTGAAGTCGATTATATTAACCATAAAAGTAATAATAGCAATAATGATCATAATGATGATCATAATGATATGGACTTTTTCCCTGATGATAAGAGTCTAATTCAATACATATTGTCGAATGAATTCTTCTCTGGTGAACTCAAATACTGTTTAACTAATTTCGAGGCAATGGTGACCTATTTATCCTGTGTTACGTTAGAAGAATTAGATCCAACTGCTCATACTACAAATAAGCTTTTAAAAGCTCCTTTATCTTCAATTGTTGATCTAGAATTGGATACCCATTTCAAATTTCCTGAAGGGATGATTGAAGAAGAAACCAAATCTCGTGAAGTTGCAACTACTACACGGGTAGAAAGTAGATCACGGTCCTCATCAATTATGAATGCTATAAATAATAAAATCAACGAGAGCAGATCAAGATCAAATAGCTCGAATGTTCCCCATCTAAAAAGAGATTGCATCCCACCACTTACTCATGGATCAGATACAGAATCTTCGGCAGGTTCACCTTCCACTGTTACAGAGGAGGAGAGCAATAATGGTATTAATATGATGAAGAATCTCATAGGACGCTTCAGTTCACTTTCTGTGACTCAATTCAACGGCCATGGTCCTGGTCCAAACCAAGGTATTATGAGTGCTTCACAGAATGGTTCAAGTGAAGGTCAAGTTCCTCGACCAGATGGTCTTCCAGCTGATGACCAAATACTATTTACAGCCCATAGACGTTCGGGATCATCTCTTATGAATAGGTTATCTCCAAACAATTCTCGTACTCGATCGTCATCATTGGAATTAGGAATACCTCATGGACGTAAGAGTAACAGTGTTACTTCCAAATTTACTTCTGGCGTTTCTGAATTTATGCAGAAACTTAACAATGTCACTCCTAATAACTCGACTGGAAATATTCCGACCATTTCTGCACTAGGAGGAAATGGTGGAGGTGGAGGTGGCAGTGGGCTTTTACATAATGGTAGTCATGGGTCTTTAAATTCGCTTGAGAATGGCTCTCGATCTGGGGCAGATGCTGCGAATTCAATGTCTAACGATCCAACTCCAACAGTTCATGGGCGTCGACCAGATTTTTCTTCACCATTCCGTGCTCGTACTACGAGTTTACAAATTATGGACCGATGGTTTGGCAATATCAGCAGTCAAAGCACTACTAATCCACAAAGTCCAACTGGGGCTAGTGCTCTGAATACAACCTTACAAGCATCAGCTCTGACTCTTACACCTGGGACGTCAAACGCAATAAGAGGCTCTGGAGAAATTAGAGGGTTAAGTTTTGCCGAAATTACTCGGTTCCAACTGGCAAATTTCGACCAACTATCTGTGAATGACCTTCGTACCCTTAAGAGTTACTACGACCATTTGTGTCAGGAATTAATTGGTATTCGTAGTACAAGTGCGACCACTATTCCAATTGAAAGCAATGCATGTGTGCCACCTCCTACCACCACCACGGTGACCAACAACAGCAATACCGCCAATAATAATACAGTTCCGGGGGACATTGCGTCGCTTGCTACGTCCAACAGTGACAATCCTAGTACCCTTGATGAAAGTATTTAGTTAAGTTCGTATCTTTTGTCGAACCTGCATGTGGATTAGAATTGTTCCAGAATGATCCTCAACAATTTTCTGTGTGGAGATACAATAAAGCGTAAATCGGTGTATAGTTAAGACGAAGGAGGTAGGGTAAATGATAGATTTTAATGCGTTGTAACGCGAAATATAGTAATGGATTAATCATTAGAACATGGAATCAATATGGCATGGAATTTGCAGGGGGAAAACCGCAAGCGGACTTCAAGCCAGAATGAGGATTATGAATTGAATGTGGGGACGAAACGAGTTCGACTAGAAAGCATTTTTGAAAGCCTTAAGTTGGACGAACAGTCCTCCCGTAGCAAAGGCGATGAAATCAAACCAGTGATACGATATGATGTTAATGAGAATATGGCGGTTGGCGAAACAAACAATATATATCCTTCTGGATCATCAGCATATGTTGCCAAACGAATGTTATCACAATACCAGGAGATGATGCAGAGTCGACATCAATTAATTCGACCTTATAATGGACAACTCATGATTGCTTATCGGTTCCAGTTGTGGGTTGTTCGTATGTTCAATAAATTTATCCGAAGATACAACGAATCTCATCAGACACGAATACGACCTCTTCAGAGTTACTACAAATTAATGACATTGGTCGACCAACAACAGATTACCATGGAAGAAATAATGCGAATTGTTCTGAAAGAAAATGCTATCGAGTTACAACGACTCCAATTAAAATTTGATAAACAAAGTTCCAGCGATTCCCTCGACCAAAGTTGTCTTCATTATAATTATTGGGTACGAAATAATGTCGATTTAGGAGACATTGATATGAGCGACAGCGAGCCTAAGATAGTAGAGATTCCAGAAACATATATGGATATAGATATGGAAGTTGATACGTAGAACATTCAGTTAAGTGAATATACATAATACATCATACATAATAGCATGGGATAGGGTAGTAGTATTTTAGTCGATTGCCGTTCCGATCGACTTCGACATTTACAATTCCATTCCAGGTCGGGTGTTGTTTGATTTTTTTCTATACGACCAATCTCCTCCTGTATTTACATTCTTTTGGGTACCAAAAATTTTTCCTTTGCCACAATCAAACCAACAGATAGTCCAATCTTAGGACGAACGTAGGCTCGATATGTTTCGTACGGGCATTACTCATTTTCCTAATGCACTAACTCGAGGGTTCTCAAGGCACATAAGTGTTGTTGGTGTACGTCAACTGACACCTTCCGCCTTGCAATCTCTCAGGCGACTCCCATCATATGCTGTGCATAGAATAAACTATTCCCCACCAACAATATCTAATGCCAGATTTGTTAGATGGAAGTCATCTAATGCCATTGAATCAGAGGAACGTCTAAAGCAGATGCCACAGGAGGACTCCACAGCCACCACCACCACCAGCACGACGACCAAGCCAAAACATAACGACGAGACTTTAGGTCGATTTCTAAAGTTGAGCTCTCAAGAAGCTCCTATAATAGCTGGTGCGTTGGTTTGCTTACTAATAACTTCAGTCGTTTCAATGTCGTTACCTTTTTTCATTGGTAAGATCATCGATACAGCCCAGCCCGATACAACGACACAAGACTTCGACAAGTATTTTAACGAAAAGTATCTGCTCGAAGAGATCGACGTTGGAGACGTCAATAAGGAATTGATCTTGGGCTTAGAACCAATGGTCTTCTACACGGCATTGGGTGGCTTCTTTGTGGTTGGTGCTGTAGCCAACTTTGGGAGAACATATTTGTTACGATTGACTAGTGAAAAGATTGTTGCAAGATTACGGTCCAAGGTCTTTGGCAAGATCATGTCTCAGGATATGGCATTCTTCGACGTTGGACCACACGGCACGGGGATGAAGACCGGTGATTTGATTAGTCGAATCAGTAACGATACACAGATTATCAGCAGAGCCTTACTGAACAATATTAGTGATGGATTAAGATCAATAATCAGTGGTGGTGTTGGTCTTGTGATGATGGGAATAGTGTCCACCAAATTGAGTATGTATATGGCCATGTTGTTCCCTCCCATTGTTGTTATGTCTTTGGTGTATGGACGTAGGGTCAAGAAGTTGTCACGTCAAATCCAAGACAACTTGGGTGCCATGTCCAAAGTCACAGAAGAAAAGATCAACGGGGTTAAGACCATCCAAAGCTTTGCTCAACAAATGAGCCAAATAAAGGAGTACAACACTGAAGTGAAGAACATTTTGAACACCTCCTTAAGAGAGGGTAGACTTGCTGGTCTTTATTATGCTGGAAATGGGTTGTTGGGCAATGTCACATTGATTTCTTTATTGGTTGTGGGGACTCAAATGATTCAAAACGGTGAATTGACCGTGGGGGATTTATCAAGTTTCATGATGTATGCTGTTTATACTGGTACGTCTGTATTTGGGATCAGCAACGTTTATACTGAAGTAATGAAAGGGTTAGGGGCTTCGGAAAGAATCTTTGAAGTTTTGGATCTGCATCCTCACATAACTACAAGCAAGGGTAAAAGAGTCGATCAAGTTTATGGTGATATTGAATTTAATAAAGTCCAATTTGCATATCCTTCCCGGACTCAAAATCCTGTTCTTAACAATTTCTCGTTGAAGATTCATAAAGACGAAAACATATGTTTTGTTGGACCAAGTGGAAGTGGGAAGTCAACCATTTCGCAATTGCTTGTTCGGTTCTACGACCCCAAAAGTGGTTGTATTACCTTGCAAGGTGAAGATATCAAAGACTTGAATGTTAACAGATTCAGAAAACTGATTGGCTATGTACAACAAGAACCATTACTATTCAGTGGAACAATTAAAGAAAATATTGTTTTCGGTAAGAAAGATGCAACTGAACAAGATGTTAAAAGAGCTATTGAACTTTCAAATGCCCTGTTTATCTATGAATTACCTTCGGGTTTAGATACACAGATTGGGTCTGGTCATAGTACGCAATTGAGTGGTGGACAGAAACAACGTATTAGTCTTGCCCGTACACTCATAAATCGTCCAAAGACTTTGATTCTTGATGAAGCTACAAGTGCATTGGATTCCATTAGTGAAGAAATAGTCATGAGACGACTTCTGGAATTGAATGAAAACGAAGGAGTCACCCTTATATCAATTGCTCATCGGTTATCAACCATTAGAAATAGCAAACGTGTGGTTGTACTTAATCGGTATGGTGAAATTGTGGAGGATGGTATTTTCGCACAACTATACGCGGACCCATCGAGTGAACTCAACAAGTTATTGCAACACGATGAAACTGAATAAAAAGGTAGTGAAGGGGGCACCTCTTGTAAATAGCAACGGCCTAATAGATAAATATAACGGATTAATTATTATACTGTATTATTTTATTTTTTGTTAAAGTTACCACATACCTACATATAACCTACATGTTCATAAACGTTTTATTCCATACATAATCTAACCGTGAATTTTATTCAATTCCTTGCATGTGAGTGCGTATGATGCAGGACTTTTGACGTCGTAATATTTCAAATAGTAAAACAATTGACAATTTATTCCTTACGGAATACATTGACGAATAAAGAAAACCGTAGCCGAAAATGGTGCCGTTAATAGAGTAAGGAGATTATTTGTTGTTTGACATGTATCTTGCGGCGATATCCAATTATCACCGGAGCATTATCTCCGTGCGCATGGCTTTAGCACAAACAAAATTAAACTAAACTAAATCACCTCAAACTTTACACTTTTAGGTTCAAGTTTTTAGCTGTATAATTTTTCCAGAAGATAAATCAGATGCCCCTCTATTCCGACACAGCCTCCATCTTAGATTATCTTGGTTTGTTCCGTTGAAAGGTTTTCATTTATAGTAGGTGTCAGGTCTAGAACTGATCGGCTGCATGTGCAGATATGGGATCTTCTATCACATGGCATCACCAGGGACCATATGCAGGCATAAATCCGAGGGTTTCTAGACAAAAATCTGGGGATAACTAATTAATAAGGTGTAATCTGATAACTATCTTTAATCCAGATACAACTGGAACGAAGAACGAGACACATACGTATAGGTACACACGCACACGCATATACATACGTATGCATACAAACTTAAAAGTTTATTTTACGTTAAAAATAGTGTTCCAAACAGGCCAAGTGTCCTCACCCTAGTAGCTCTAATTATCACAGGCAGGCACTGCCATGTAATAATAGAAAGATCATTCAATCACTTTAATAATACTACACATAAAGAGAATCATAAGACACAATGAAACTCAAGGAGCTTCTTAAGCCATTCAGTTCTCGAACCAAAGACGACATCGACATTGATGGTGGCAAATACGAACCAAGCGAGGTGCCAAAGTCAAAGTCCGGAACCAACCCCCCTGAAAGGTCAGCAGGAACAACAATAATATGTAACAATCAGAAGAAAGATCTAAAACAACTTTCACATTCACTTCCGTCTGCACATACACGATCCAAGTCTGGCCCTTGCCTTAGTGGTCCGTTAAGTTCCACATTAAAGGGGACAAGTCCTAAAATGGCGCCACATACTGGAACTGGAAATCATCATCCTGTATCTGTTGTTGCAGGTGATGAAATAGTAGTGGTTACATCTGAAGATGGAACTAAAAAGACTTTTGAATCATCATCATGTGAAAGAGCTCCGCTGACTTCATATCGTAGTATAACTCTGACTATTGCACTGGAATTGGTGACTTCTTTACCCTTCTTCAATCTATGCCAGAAGGACACCAAAGACACATATAAGGAAAAGATTATGAGTACTACAATGGCGACTCCAGTCGGTAGTACAGCTACAGCAGCTTTTACAGCCACAGCTTCTACTACTGCCGCCGCTCCTAGTGCCACTACTGCCGCTTCTGCTACTGCTACTGCCACAGCCACCACTACTACTGCTACTGCTGCTCCCACAAAATCCAACTATTTCCAGCCAATAAAGTCTCCAAGAACTGATGACGAGGATATAGCCAAACCTGTGGGCGGTAAGAAGAACCAAAACTATTTGATGAACATATTGACGTCTTCGTTGCTTGCTACAGGTCTCAACCAAGTGACTTCCCCCTTGAGAAAGTTGGCTGGCCATCCTTCTCCACTGGCGGAAGAAGAGGAAGAACCGGAAGAAGAAGGTTTGCAACAACCAGTGATGGAAAATCTTGAAGACTTCGAGTTATCGGGATTATTGGGCAGCTTTGACGACATTCATCCTGAAGATATAAATGACGAAGATAAGAAGTATCTCGACGAAGCGATCTTGAGTGCTGAAGCTACTTTGGCTGATGCTGATACGGATCCTACACACACTAATAGTATCCCAACAGCTAGTAGTACGACGGAAACAATGTCTACTGTCTCGACAGAAGACAGTGAATCACTTTTGTTGGAGGATGTTGAAGAAAAGGATGTTGAAGAACTTGCATCTACAACTGCAACTGTTGATGAAAGTATAACTCCATTCCAAGCCTCTGTATTGGAAAGAATGAACCTCACTGGGATTCTGGAATCCATATTTACGAAATTCAAGGGAAACAATGATTATACCATTACTGATGGCGTTAAACTCCGGTTTGCTCATAAACTTCAGAATGAACTTGATCTTAGTGATGATGACATTTTTGTTGATGATTATGAAGCCTTATTAGCAAATGATGTTTTGTTACAAGGCCATGTGTACTTGACTCAAGAAGCACTTATATTCTTTGCTTTCCTACCCAAATCATTGATTATGCCTGGAACTCACCACCCATCATCATCTGCTGCTCATCATAAGCACCACCACAGTCTACACCCATCATCACATGATAATGGGTATATAATTCAAGATGGTTCGTTGGCAATGAAACTGATAAAGCCTGATGCTGTTTTCCAAAGATCACATCGTCATTGGGTTATACTTAGAGAGAAGACTCTCAGTGTATACAAATCGCCCACGGATCTTTATTTCCCAGAGTTACTGATTGACTTGACGACTTGTCTCCGTATTGAACTTGAAAAGTTTCAGCCACAAAGAACTACTGCTAATACCACTACAGCAAGAAGGTATTCCAATGAAGATGTAGATTCAAGTCCCGATGGTATACGAGAAGACCTTCATGATGAAACAATCAAAACCGAAGCGGTGTGGTTCAAAGTCATCACTACATCGAAGACCTACAAGTTCTTTGCTGACAATGAATATACTGCCAGGAATTGGTGTAGCAATTTGTCTAAAAGAATCTTTGTTCTTAGCAATTCCAATGATAAGGGTGAAGTCTTAGTGAAAATCCCCCTTTCAAGAGTTGTTGATTTTGAGAAGGTAAATATCATGAAGGACCCATTTTTGGATGGACCCTTCATACCCAATGGATTTGTGGTGAAGTTCTTGGAAGATCCCCAACCAAAGGAATCTCCCAATAATCTGGAAGGCAATGAGAAAGCTACAGTTTCCATTGAAGGTGGTGAGACTACCTCTAGTTTTCTTGAGCTGACGAATTATGGAATTGATGAGGTTTTCTTCTTGTTTTTAAGGGAAGGTAACTCCTTTTTCAAGAAACTTCAAGAGTTATTGGATGAACGCTTCAACGGGAGTACAGACCCATTTTTCAACCAGAAACCAATTTCAGAAAAGGCGTCGGTCATTTTCGAACGGAATACTGCTGCCAGCGGTGGTAATGGAGACTCTCAACTTGAGAGCTTGAAGAGTACTCTTGCACCTCAGAAGCAAACTTATCTCATGAGTCAGATGATTCTGTTGTCTGAAAAGATGATGATGACGTCTTCGCCGACTTCAACTTTCTCGCCAGCTCTTTCAAGAAGTACAACGCCCAATACATTAATGAAATTAGGTCGGACATTATCTGCCAGATCAAGGAAATTGATTGCCAAAAGGACTGACAGCAGTATCACCACACCCTCGCCTGGAGCCGGGACAAGGTCTCCTTCTGGATATCAAGATATTTGTTTACCTAAATCGTTGTCAATGACTGATCTTAAAAAAGTTCAAATGTCTGTTAGTGTATCTTCAAAGGAGGTTAGTAAAGATGAATTTGCTGATGCCTTGGATAAGAAATTGGACAGCTTAGGACTCCAAGGTGAAGGCACTATTGTTGATTCTTACAAGGACACCATTACTTCATCAGATCTGGAACCTGGGACTCTCACACGAACGAGCACTAGTGAAGGATTAATTGACCGCAACTCTAACACACAACTGCCGGTACTAGTTCAACCACAACCAAGAAGAGCAGAGAATGCTTCGCTGTATTTTGAAGTTGAAAGCTCGAATTCAGATTCAAATTATTCGCCAACCAATGATGATAGAAAGTCTAATGTGTTGTTAACTTTAGGGAAGGCTATTGGGCTTGGTAAGCCTCTTAAAAACATGGGACACATGTGGATGGCTGAACCCAATCATTTCTTACAAATGGTGGAGAATGACCCTTACTACAATGTCAGTAACAAAGAGAGAGAGCAATCATTTAAGAACTTTATTGGCCATTTTCTGTTACCAAATGAAGGAAGAATCTTATTGGCATCGTACTATGTACATTTGCAGAGATCTGTACCAGTTTACGGAAAGCTTTACTTGAGTAACCATGAATTGTGTTTCCGAAGCATGCTTCCCGGGTACTCCACCAAGATGATCTTACCTTTGAAGGATATTGAGAATTGCTTCAAGGAGAAAGGGCTGATTCTATCTTTTGGACTTGTGGTTGTCATCCATGGCCATGAAGAATTGTTTGTGGATTTCAGTGCAGCCAGTTCTCGTGATGATTGTGAATATATGTTGTTACTGCGTTTGGAAGAGATACATAGAGATGAAGTATGGAGTCCCAAGAACTCTGACTGGGGTCCAAACTATGATACGCAAATTGGAGTGGAACGCATGGAACTTCTTCCAAATATCTCCCAACCAACAGTAAGTGATTGTAAAAGTACAGAAGAAGTTGCTGCACTTGCCATCTCCAACACACGGATTGAAAATGCTAGGATGAAATTGTTTGAAGACAGATTAGAGGCTGCAGCAGGAATTAATATTCCACTTATATTGGAAGATTCTCCCTTTTACAAATTAGAAGTCAAGCCTACTACTTCATTCAACATAACGATTTTAACCATAGGATCCCGAGGAGATGTGCAACCATATTTGGCTCTTGCCAAGGGTCTTCTTAAAGAGGGACATCATGTTACAATTGCTACGCATCTTGAGTTTAAAGAGTGGATTGAAAAGCATAACGTTGGTTTTAAGGAAATTGCAGGGAACCCAGCAGAATTGATGAATCTAATGGTTACTCATGGAAGTTTATCTGTTGGGTTCCTTCGAGAAGCTAATTCCAAGTTTAAGACATTTATCAATGAGTTGCTTAAGTCAAGTTGGGAAGCATGTCAAGGTGCTGATTTACTTATTGAGAGTCCTTCTGCTATGGCTGGAATTCATATTGCTGAAGCTTTGGGTATTCCTTACATGAGAGCATTCACAATGCCCTGGACAAGAACCAGAGCTTACCCTCATGCATTTATTGTACCTGATCAAAAGAAAGGAGGGTCATACAATTACTTGACCCATGTGATTTTTGAAACTGTGTTTTGGAAGGGGATTTCAGGTCAAGTAAATAAATGGAGAGTGAATGATTTAGGACTTGCCCGAACTTCTTTGTATCAAATGCAACAATTCAAAACTCCGTTCTTGTATAATGTTTCCCCCACGATATTCCCACCTTCGGTTGACTTCCCGGATTGGGTAAGAGTCACTGGCTATTGGTTTTTGGATGAAGGGACATCTGATTCTTATGAGCCACCGGAAGAATTGGTGAAGTTTTTACAAAGTGCCTTTGAAGACGGGAAGAAAATTGTGTACATTGGGTTTGGGTCGATTGTTGTTAATGATTCCAAATCTTTAACTCAAGCCGTAGTTGATGCAGTGTTGGATGCTGATGTTAGATGCATTTTGAATAAAGGTTGGTCTGATCGATTAAACAAGAAGGATAAGAATGAATCTGACATTGTTTTACCACCAGAAATATTTAGTAGTGGTAATGTCCCTCATGATTGGTTGTTTTCAAGAATCGATGCTGCTGTTCATCATGGTGGCTCTGGGACTACTGGAGCCACACTTCGGGCGGGAATTCCAACGATCATTAAGCCGTTTTTCGGAGATCAATTCTTTTATGCCAATAGAGTTGAAGATGTTGGGGTTGGAATTGCCTTACGAAAGTTGAATACAAAGACTTTGAGTAAAGCCTTGAAGACAGCAGTGACAGACTTGAGGATGATTGAGAAGGCAGAAAAGGTTAGTCGAATGATCAAGAAGGAAAACGGTGTACTGGATGCCATTGAAGCTATTTATTCCCAACTTGAATATGCCCGGAGTTTGATCATTAACAAGCAACAGAGTTCACGTCCTGATTTGGCTCGTCACAAGTTCAGCGACGGGTTACTGGCAACAGTTCCTTTAGACGAACTACTTGAATATAGGGACGAAGACATTGAGCTTGAACCTGAGAGTGGCAGCATCAATGACTCTCCAATCAATGTTTCACTGATGTTGAAGATTGACCATGAAGATGATGATGAAGAGGAAGATGAAGGCCAAGGGGGGTCGGTTTCAAAGAAGAAGCGAAGATCTAATTAAATGAAATGGGTCTAATGAGAGTGTATTATTATTATTATATGATTGCCAAATTAATGAAATTGCAGTAAAACTTTATTGTATAGACTTTTAAATCACGTGATCAACCTGTTGATCACGTGAAGGCTAACAAAAAATCAATATAGATATAGCTCACGTGACTCTGATATTGATCACGTGATTAATGAAAAATAGATTGATCTATGTCACATGACATGTGATGACTGATCTATGATTAAAATAGCATTGACAATTGTGAATAACTGTGGATCCTTTAGTACATCATTCTGACTGGACATTACTGCATTGGGACATATACCTACCGACAACGGTCCTTAGTACAATTGTCAGCCACAGTGAACTTCAAACAATCAGGCAAACCCACTGGGTGAGATTTTTCCAACTACAACCAATACATCAAACTTTCATTAGCATTAACAACGTCAGTGTTAGGTCAGCATGAGCATAGAAATACCCGTGTCCACATATAAGGACGTTACTAAGGAACAGACGCTGCAGAACCCATTGGCTCGACTTGTGCCGGGTCAAAGGATCGTGGAGATTCCAGAGTATGCTTTGGAGTGCGGTGAAGTCTTGACCAACTTCCCTGTGGCCTACAAGACGTGGGGGAAACTTAATAAAGACCGTGATAATGTATTATTGATATGTCACGCTTTGACGGGGTCATGTGATGTTCAAGACTGGTGGGGTCCCTTGCTTGGAACAGAAAAGACTTTTGATCCCAGTCGATTTTTTATTATATGTATCAACTTTTTGGGGTCGCCTTATGGATCTGTATCGCCCTTGACCATAGATAAGGCCACAGGTAAGCCATATGGACCGTTATTCCCCTTGGTTACGGTTAAGGACGATGTAGGGGTGCAGAAGTTGGTTCTAGACTCGCTTGGCATCAACAGCATTGCTTGTGTCATTGGAGGGTCCATGGGGGGGATGATAACGTTAGAGTTCTCATCTACTTTCAATGGTTCGGGGTATATCAAATCCATTATCGCATTGGCTACGGCTGCTAGAGCATCTGCTTGGTGTATTTCATGGAACGAGACCCAAAGACAGTCGATCTTTAGTGATCCGTATTACGATGATGGCTATTACTATGAGAGTGGCAATTCTCCTAATTCAGGTCTTTCTGCTGCTCGAATGGCGGCATTATTAACGTATAGATCCAGGAACTCGTTTGAAACGAGATTTGGAAGGAAGCTTCCTTCATCGTCATCGTCATTATCATCGTCAGTAACAGAGTCAAGAATATATCCTAAGACCAATGAGGAAGAGAACTGGTTAGCTCATAATGAAGGTTCAACCAGAGCACGTAGTGGGACTGCCAATGGTACTATTACTAACGGTACTGCTGCTACTAACGGTACTACTAACGGTACCACTTCTAATGGTAATAATGCTGGTAGTAGTACTACCATCAACAAGCCACAGACCTACTTCACTGCTCAATCGTATTTAAGATATCAAGGCAACAAGTTTATTAAAAGATTTGATGCTAATTGCTACATTTCCATCTCTAGAAAGTTGGACACTCATGATATAACAAGAGGCAAAGTTGACTTTGACCAAGTGGGTAATCAAGACCCTTTACCTTCCTATTTAAAGACGCTTTCCTTACCTCATTTGATCATTGGCATTACATCTGATGGGCTATTCACTTTCGGTGAACAGCAGTTGTTAGGAGATTGTATTCCGGATTCAGAACTACACAAGTTGAATTCACCTGAAGGTCATGATGCCTTTCTACTTGAATTTGAAACCATTGATAAGCTTTGTCTAGACTTTTTAAACAGGAAATTGGGTGAGTATTACGATCCTACCTCGGAAAAGTATATAGATTTCCCTGATTGGCCCAAATATGTTGATACCGTGGTTGATAACGGTGGAGAATCTGTGTTTGGAGAAGTGGAAAAGAATATAACCAATTGGTGATAATACTACTTATTATTTTTCGGAGTCTTGTATCTTTTTGAAGCGGTCAAGGAATCTCTTTCTCTTCTCTGAAGGTGGTCGAAGAAAATAATTTGATTCTTTTTTGGCTGGCTCTAAAGAGAAAGCTGTGTTACCAATTTCATTTCTAGTCTCAAGTTTAACGTCAGGTGTGTCTGGAGAATGATGATAGGAATGTTTCAGTTTAGCTAACGTTTCAAGGTCTTCCTCAGTCTTCGATTGAGTTGGGATCATGGTACTGTTGATGGAAGAAGTGGTGGACCCATTCAAAGAAGGCAGAAAAATAGAGGCCCCAGTTGTGGTTGCAGTTGAAGCCAAAGAATTTTGACTCAGACGGAATTGTTTGGACGATAATAAATGCAATAATAAGAACCTTAGAAACTCCCCAAGAATATCATAGTATTCTGCTTTGGTTCGTAATTGATAGATCCGAATGTTTTCTACCAACTCTTCAATCACCTTGGATAATAACTTGGAGTTGTTAATGGGCAACAAACTGTTCATGTCTCCATAGAGTCTGTTGAACTCTTTGGACGTCGAAGGTGCTGTTCTAACGAGAGAATCATCATCGTCATATTGTTTGGCTTTGATAAGAGAATCTAAGAAAGTGTCTATTAGATCGATCAAAAACCCCAGTAGACTTTCAATTGACGGTATACTGGAGAATACACTGGTATCCATCTTTAACTCTTGATATAAGGCATTCCAAAATTGAATATTGGAACTGGATAATAATGTCCGAATCGATTGAGGTCCTTCTTGAAAAGGGTTCCCTGGCTTGGAAGGTGAGGGAGTACACGGATCTAGAAAATCGTCCATTACTTTTAATTGATGATTACTTATTGTTGAATTCAATTGGAACGATGCAAAGCCTATTTGTTTGGGCGAATAAAAATCGTGAATCTTTTCGAAATCGTCTATAAGTTCAACATAATAAGTGTATCGTAAGATATTCAAGTTTTTCAGAGTAAAGAACTTGGTTTGCTTGTATTGAAAGTTGTTTATTAATGTTTCCCATGAGCTGGGTATATGAGGAGTATGCGGTTCTTTAGGTGGTACGAAGATGGAAGAAGCAGTTGTGGAGGGAGTTCTAGTATTAAAATGTTTGGATTCAGAATTATTATGACTATGTTTGCGGTGATGATGGTGATTTTTCAGAGACTTTCTAGACTCTTTGGACGTTATAGAGTTCCTTCGAGGTTTTTCGTACTTGTATTGAGTATTAATCGTAAGGAAAAGTAAGCCAGACATTGTTATTAATATCTAATCAATGACATAACAAGATTATTATAAGGGAAAACTGATCAATAGTTTTAGCTTATCAAAAGCTAATAGTGATGTAGAAGAAAACATTATGTATACAACTCCTTAGAATGATCTGGGCTATATATTCAGTATAAACTTGTAGTTACTAAAGCCATTTAACTGTTATACAATTTTTGACATAGACACTCCCCTGCATCATATGCAGACATGCGTATTATTTTTTAGTTTTGTGTCACTTTTCGTACATTTCTGGTTGCATTCGGCAGCTTAGTTAATGCAAGGCCATTTAGAAATTGTAACATTGTGCTTACATTCACTGATGTGGTCCTGTAAACATCACTTACACAATGCAATTAACGTCAATATGGCATCTGCATAGTAAGCGGTCCAGTGCCCTGATTACCTATTGAGGAAAAACGGCAACGAATCAACTTGTGGCTCGAGGCGCCTTGAGACGGCAATAAATGCCCAATAAGAAGTCCACCTCCAATTGATGGCGGGTTGCTATAGGCACAGAATTGCTAATAGTCCAACACCGAATTTCGATGATGTTGAGTTGCACTGCTCTGAGAAAGCCCCGTGATATTATGCAAAGAGTGGCTCGGTAAAATGCTCTTGTTAATTTATACTGTAGATGCCACTGTGAAGCCAAGTAAACTATGTATGTTGTAAAAGGCTTTTTGGCTTCATCGATACATATTTCATCTCTACTAAAAAAGGTTGACTAAATCCTTCAAATACCTAAGTAAAACAATCTAATTTTGATGCAAAGCGTTACCATTCTGAATTTTAAAATCGACTCCTTCTTCGGTTACAAATGACTAAACTATCAATTGAAATGGAAGACTTCCCTGCCGACGTGCATTTCTGCTTAGAAGTAATAGGAGAGAATGTTTCTTGGTTTTCATGCTAATACTAAAGAACGATAACCATTTAAGTGGTATTATCTCTTTACACAGATTTATGTAAGCAAGGCAGTATCTGCAACTCATGAATACCCAAAACAGAATTTATGGGGCTTTCTTTATAATGTGGTATTGGCAACGAAGTTAATATTCGTATGTATGTACTATTGTAGGCGTTCCATTATGAGATTACGGTAGTCATCTTGTATCTGTGTGTGTGTTGTTCATGCAGTGGAAATATGTTTCCAATTACTATACTGCCTTTGCTACATGATGTTCTTTATTGGTACTCAAAGTGAATCAGATGTCCTAATTTGGTATTTGACCTGATTTGGCCAGACTAGGTGTGAAAAGAAAGTGTGCACTACAATAGACTGATTCCGTCTGGCCCTCCTTTGGTCCAAATGGACAGGAACAAAATACCAAGAGGAATATTTTTTGTTTCAATAGGTTGATCTGTTCCAAAAGAATTGGTTTATCCTTATTCTCTTGGGATATTTTTTTCGATCGGTTGATCTGTTCCAAATGAAGGCTTATCTGTTCCAAAAGTAATTAGTTTATCCTTTTTCGATCTCTGTTAAGCCACATTTCGGTACCTACAAGGGTTCTATGTACGGAATAATGTGGGGATGTATGGAAACCGGATTGATATGCATGATATTTATTTAAATACGGTAGACGCGTCACAAAAGAAGAAAACTTTGATTGTTTCAAAAAGTCCCTTCACCAGCACCTATAGTCGGTAATACGGTTAATATTTCATCGTTTTGGTTTCTACTGGTTTTCCTAAGGAAAGTGACGAAATCTCCAACCTTCTGGCAAACTTCATTCTTGGCTATACGAGAATTTTTCCAATAAGAATCAGTTAAGAATTCACAGGCTACCCATTTGGAAATCAACTGAACCTTCAATTCCCAATCTCGTCCTTTGAATTCCGGAAGCTTCGCCGCCACTTCAAGGTTTCTCTTGTGTTTGTCAAATGCTTGCCAATTTTCCGGGTGTTTGGGATCGGCATTAATGATAGGGTTGACTTTAGGTCGGTGCATATGTAAGAACATAATGTCGGGGATTTCAAGCTTCTCGTCTTTAGTAAACTCTTGTACTAATGATCTGGTGTATTCATTCTCTTGATTTAATGTGAGTCTGGTATCCAACTTCTTCTTTTTAAGCCACGATCTCCATTGACGTTCAAAATGGTATGTCTGGTCAATGTCGTATTGAATTATGGTTGTTTCCCTTGCCATATTATTGGAATCTATAAACCCGGTTAACCACACATTATATGTCGAAAGATAATAAGGTTCGTTCATCACCTCCAATGCAGGTAAGAATGTTTCTCTGTCGCCTTCGCCGAAAGAGCCTTGAAACAATAGATAGTAGTAATGTGAATCCCCATACACATTATAGTATAATGCAAGAACAAACGCACGGAAATGTTCAACCATAGAAAATATCATTTGACCTGTTTCCACCAGTCGGCCAGGGAATGTACCTTCCAAATCGTTGAAAGCCACCCCATTGTGTTTATCTTGCTTCAGGTACACGTCCCAGTCTTCATTGTTCTTCAACCCTTCTCTATGGACCACTTCTCCGATCTCACGGTCAATTAGATCGTAGAACATTGGGGACGTGCCTCTGTGCCACATGTCGGGCCATAGAAGGAACTTGGTGTCTCTGTAGGCATCGCTTTCAAGTAACTTATCAACGTTCTTAATAGGAATGTTATCCGCATCAAGTAAGATTATGTTGTCGAATCTTGACACAAGCACTCCGACAACCTTTAACAGAAACTTCTTCAACCCAAGCGACTTCATGAGTTCTGGCCCTAGTTCCCGTTCCACAATCAAACACCGCGCATTCAACTTTGGGAGCATCACCTCACACATCTCGTAGTCATAGTCCTTCTCATAGTCCAAGATCACTTCTATGGGTAAGAGGGACCCTGTCTCACGGAGTTGACCGATAGTAACCAACGCTCCAGGTAAGAAGTCCCGGGACGTCAGAATCACTATCCCATCACCATGGTAGAACTTCTTGGGTGGTAGCGAAGTGTGTTTCAATTGCTTGACAATGTTCCGGTGATGGAATTGTAAATCCTCAAACGTCTCATCCGGTAACACCACTCTACCAGTTTCAAGGAAGGAACGTGTGAACCGAGGATCGTCAGTAAATCTATATGGTTTCCCATGGAGTGGTTGACCTTGTTCTGATTTGGAAAGTTTAAACGAAAACGGCTTATTCTTCACAATGATATCCTTCAAGATGTGCTTATAGTAGGATTGTCTATCCTTAGTATGGAGTCCCTCCTTGGGGTCTGTGTTCCCAATGGAATCCTTCAAGAGTTCACTGATCACTTGATGTCTAAGAATGTCGTTAGTTATTCCGGGGAACGAGCTACTCACATCCTGATTGGCCAACTCCTGATTGAGAGCTTGAGAAATGGCTCCGTAATAATTGTTGGTAGTATCAGATTCATTGTAGGTGGTAAGTAATTGGGTTGAGATCTTATGCTTCAACTCATGGAGCTTCTCATTTTGTTGCTTATCTAATGGTGCAAAGCCTGTACTGATCGGCTCCGAAGTAACTGTAACGACCGAAACTTGGTGAACGGTTGAAGTTACAGTTTCAACTTTGATGGCTATAGAAGTAGAAGTTGGAGCTATTTCAAACATAGGAATTCGAAGATAACTAATCTCTCCAACTCCTATGTCTTTATACTTCTTAGTGCCTAGCACATATAAAATGGATCCTGCTAGCAATAGAAGAATGGCATTGCTTAAACTTCTTGAAAACGGTCTCATTAATCGTGGCAATAGAGTGTAATGAGAAATAGAAGCAATAGAGAAATGAAAAGTGGTGGATCTGTTGTGGGAATCTTAAAAAGGTCTTGATTAGATCTCCTCACCGTTGAATGAATCTCAGGTGTGTATAGATTATCTCAGTTCTGCCCAATTTACATTTAAGGTTTGGGCGAACCCTAGCATTATCAAACATGTCTTCCATTGAATAAAGTGCTGGTGTTTTATCTATCTTTAGTATATAGTTCCTTTTAGTTGTTTCTCATTTTCTTTCTATATATTTGTATGTATTCGTGTACTTGTACATGAGTAAGGAAAGGAAGGTGTCATTGCATGCATGTTAGAAAACAGTTGATTTGACGTATGGATTTTACTATCTGCATTGCATAATTGTGCGTGAGTATGCTTAAATATTTTCTTTTTTTTCATTCCGATGTAAATACCACGCCTAAATCTGGGGTTTCATACCTACAAGAATAAGGTTGTGCTGGTTACTAAACCTTGGTTAATGTATTCACTTAGGAGTCTTACTTTTCCTCTATGTAATTTTCCAGGTAGATCTTGGTTGATCTAATTCTAGATTTATCACCCATTCATCAGGTTTTCGTATATTTACCACCTTCGGAATTCTTCTCTCCCTTTTCCTCCTCTGTGGTCTTCGGTTTGGAGTTATCTTTGCCTTTTTCCGTAGCTTTTTCAAAGATATTCGGTAACACATTTAGTATACCAGAATCTGGGTATTTGGTATCTTGCTTCAAGAATTCGACATATTTGGAGACTTTGTCGCATACAAACTTTTGATCAATGCCGATTTTGTCCCAATACTGCTTATGCAAGAACTCACATGCTACCCATTTAGATACTGTGTGTATATGCAATTCCCAGTCGTTTGCACCGAACTCTGAATAGAAAGCGGGTTTCCCCAAGTTTCTTCTAGTGTAAACCTCGTAATTGAGTTCATTTTGAGCATGCGCATTAATAATGGGGTTGATTTTCGGACGGTGCATATGTAAGAACATTATGTCCGGTTCAACCATTTGATCCTTCATATTATTAGAAAACTCGGCCACTAATTTCATAGTATCTTCGTTAGCTTGACCAATGGGCATTCTTGTATCGTGGCCATTTTTCTTTAACCATTTGCGCCATGATTTCAAGTAAAAATAAACCTGATCAGGGTCATACTGAACTATGGTTGTTTCCTGGAACTGTTCCATGGCACTATCATGGAAGAAGCCTGCAAGCCAAACTGTATAAGCAGAAAAGAAATAAGGCTCTTTCATAACTGCTAATGCCGGTAGGAATGTTTCTCTATCACCAACTCCAAAGGTTCCTTGATACAATAAGGCATAATAATGAGATTCCCCATAAACATTGTAGTAGAGAGCAAGAACCAACGATCGGAAATGCTCATTCTTGGAGAAGACCATTTGTCCTGATTCCACCAGTTGTCCTGGATTAACACCTTTGAAATCCGAGAATGCTTGACCTGTTCTGTGATCCAGCTTGAGGTATTCCAAGTAGTTTTGTCCATTTGGTAGTCCCTCTCTGTCCACCAACTCTCCAATTTCTGTTTCCGTGATGTCATAGTACGAAGGAGAAATGCCTCTGTGCCATAAATCTGGCCAAAGAATGAACTTGGTCTCTTTGTAAGCCGCAGACTCAAAAAGCTTATCAAAATTCTTGACTGCCACGTTATCGGCATCTAAAAGAATAGTATGATCAAAAGTTGATACTAATATGCCTAAAGCTTTAAGTTGGAACCCTCCTTTCATATGCAATTCCTTCATTACGTCAGTGGTTAACTCTCTCTCTATAATGACACATTTGGTATTCAATTTGGGTAAAAGCTTCTCACACATATCGGCATCATAATCAGCTTCAAAGTCCAACACCACTTCAATAGGCAACTTGGATCCCAGCTCACGCAATTGGCCAATGGTCACCAAGGCACCGGGTAAAAACTCCCGAGATGACATGATGACAATCCCTTTACCTTTGAAGAACTTTCTAGGGGGCAAGGGCAACTGTCTAAGATGGTCTACTATCTGTTGATGATGAAGTCTCAAATCATTAAGCTTCTCCTCAGCTACCTTGAGTCTGTCCTTTGTGAGTTCTTCGAACGTGTACCGTGGAGTATTCGTTCCTGAGTAGTATCTACCACCGAACTTCTTGCCGGTTTCACGTCTTGTGAATGCTGGCACTAGGGGCTTATTCTTTATAATCATATGCTCTATTATGTACTTGAAGTATGTTGATCTATCTCGTTCTTGAGCAACATAGTCCGTATTAAAACACCCTACTGCTTCCTTTAAAAGGTCATTGATCACATGGTATTGGAGATCGGCTCTCGTTAGTCCCTGAAGCGAGTCTTCTGTCTCTAGGGCTTGTACTGTGGTTACTACCTGATTGATAACTGAGTCTAAGGGATTGTCATTGACATCAGACACCGCCAATTTCTCGTATATATCGGCTTTAATGGTATCCAAAAGCGACTTCTGTTCTAATGTGAGTACGGACCTTGCAGGATGTTTGAAGACAGATGTCGAAGGGATTATTGCATAAGCTGCTTCAAGAGTTGCCTCAAGACTCCCCACTATGAAAATGTACCCCACAGCTGAAGCTATGAGGACAATTATTACAATCTTGGCGAACTTTGTGGACGTTATCATTAGACGGAGAGACCCATCAAGACACTCGGTATTGGAGGTATGTGAAGAATTGATATTAGAGGTATAAGTATGTATTGTGGTTCCAATAGGAGCATTTAGGTTGGCATATTTAGGTTTTCGTATTTTGGGCCGCAGTTATTATACACACTCCGTACATATAATTTCCGGCATTTGTAGCAATTTTCCGGGCAATGGCGATCTAACATTTACACATATGAATACGAGGCTGTGGATCAAATGCCACAAGAGTATACACTAAATTACATACATACTAGCATGTCAGTATTATTCAGCTACATACGTCAGTATACTCTTAGCGTCTATTATCTTCCACACTCATCCAACTTATATACTCCAAGTAAGTAAGCCAACCGAGTCACCACCAAATCAATGGCCATTTCAATTGAGTCTCGAGCTAAATCCACTTTGGATCCATCAATTTCTTGCCAATTAACAGCAATTTCCTTAACGGGGATCCCTTGTAACTCTCCTAATAACAAAACTTCAACATCAAATATCCATCTTTCAGTATGCATATGAGGAAAGATTCTTCTGACACTTTCAACGTTGAACATCTTGAATCCACATTGAGTATCTTTAACATCACGAATTCCAAAAATGTAGACCAATGTATGCAATCCATACATCAACAAGTTTCTAATAAATGATCTTTTCACCACAGCATCGGTGTTAACCATATGAGACCTTGATCCAATGGCTATCATTGGGTTAACAATGTCAATAGTGTCATCATCGTCTTGAGACAGCTTAAACGTATCGATCAACTTACTAACGTCACCAAAACTGGTGGCTCCATCGGCATCGGCGAAAAGACTCAACTTACCATTAGAATACAATAATCCATGGGTAACTCCTCCACCTTTCCCTCTATTCTTAGCCAAGGTCACCACCTTCATCGTATGAGGCTTCAAGCCCAACTCATCCGCTAACAGAAGCGCATATGCCCCAGTGCCATCTGAAGATCCATCATCAACTATAATGATCTCAAACTTACTGTCGTCTTGATCGTACTGTTTACGCAACACTTCAATGCACTCATCCATCATCTTCCCTAACCTTTTGGTCTCATTGTAGCAGGGAATAATCACCGACAACTCCTTGGTCCGTTCACAGGGTTTCAGTCTACTGCTGAGTCGTTCGGGAAGGTCATATGTCTTCTGTGTCTTGTCATTGGTTATATATTTCAATTCTGATTCAACTGGGAGTCGAGGTTGGTGTCTGAAAAAGAGTATCACTCCATACACAGCGGCAAAGATCGTCACCACGGCGGCTACCACATACTCAACTAGACCCATCCTATGTGTACGATAACTATTAGTATGAAAAGAGTAACGTTCACAATCATCTTCCATGTCCACTACGTGTTTCGCAGGGTATAAATATTACACAAAAACACGGATAGAAATGCGATGTCGAAATTTGGTACGACATTCTTCCGATGTACTTACGACATTAATATAACATTACCTTATACTACTTTATACAACATTATATTTATACACTGCCTTATATCTATTTATTGGCAAACTTGGTCACACGGTTATTCATGGCTCGAGCATTGTTAACAAACACTTCAACTAATTCCTCAAATCGTATATCATTTTGTCCGGATTTAAATTGATCAAAGCCATTAAACAATTCAATGGTATTAATTTCCAATTCAACTTCAAACTTTTGATCGTGTTCAATGATTTTGTTACCTTTATTATTCTTTAACTCAACAGGACGTAGCACTCTGGTCAAATCAAACCTTGTTGCTGTGGGTTTATGAGTCCAACTTTGTCTCTTTTTTATTCTAGTAAGGTCGACTTTGTTCTTTGAAACAATGCTTTCGATTTCTTCCGATGGAACGGGGAATTCATAGCTTAATGATAATCTTAAATCGTAAAGCGAAGAAGGATTGTGAATATATAAATCTGAAATCCGGACCTTATTCATGGCTGTCAATCTTTCCACATCTAACAAATTATCCTTTGATATTCTAATCTTTTTGGGGTTCTCTCCTCTTTTTGCAATACGATAATAAGTGTCTGTAATGTCTGATTCTAATTTGTTGAACTTTCTTCTTGGTCTTGATGGATTTCCTCCTCCTGATTTAGCTAAATCGTCTTGATACCCCTTTTCCAAATCATCTAAAAATCGTATCATTTCATTGAATCCATCTTCATGAACCCCAGGCTCAAAATGTATTTGGGATGAGTTAGTATAAATACATTCAGTGGAAACATCAATACTTAATCTGTGACCTTTACTTTTATCTATTATGGTCCCAAATTTAAGCTCCAATTCAATATTCTTCCGATCCTTATCAGGAATCTCCTGGAAATTAGCATATATCCATTCTGCAATGGTTCTAATAACACTAGCAGGTGGGATTACTCCGGTTATACAACATTCAAGGTCAACACTAGCTGTTTTCGAAGTATCAAATACTCTCTTTTCAGTATATCTTACCGGTTCAAAATCTGCAGCCCCGACAGCTTGTATACCTGTGCCCCCGGGCAAGGACCCAGCATTGACTCCACCGTTACCATTATTAATTCGTTGAGCATATTTGGAAGGTGGGATCCATTCCGTTGCCCATATTGGAGGTTGTTGATACCGTTTTGGCTTTCTTGATGATTTAAGTTTTCTAATCTGTTCAATTTCGGCCTGTATAATGGCTTCTCTCTCTTTCTGAGGCTGAGTACTACTACAACTTCTAATGACGCTGGAATCTGAAGACGACCCGCTGTGGCTCTCAGGAGATGAAGGTTTGTGGTTTGACTCGCCCTGACCCTTTTGTTCTGGAGCTGCAACTATGCTTGAACCCCGTGGAGGGTTTTGCAGTGGTTGTTGCGTGGGAGATGCCTGTATGGACTCAGATGTTAAGGATGTTGAAGATGTAGACCTATTTGGAGTTTCACGTTTTGGTTCCGGTTCATTGTTTAGCAAACTAACAATGGAGCTACGTCCATGACTGGGGACACGGACTTTACTCACGGAAATAGCACCAGGTGTTTGAGTTTGTATTGGAGTTGGAATTGGTCTCAGAGTCAGTGCTTGATTCTGATTAGTTTGACTCTGATGAGATTGTGCTTGACTCTGGCCCGGAGATAGTCCTAATTCGGGTCGCAGAAAAGCGCTCTCATGTTGCGTCTTCTTCAGCTTCTTTTCTTCATTGCTGGAGTCATTGTTAAGTATCGATCCCACATTCATCTTGGACGTGGCTAGCAAGGAGTTGGCTACAAAACTTCTTACTCAGCTCACGATGTTTTTCAATACCAGTTTACTGTGTGGTACACGACCATTGAAGAGTATAAGCAAAGTTGTTACTGTACGGCACTGTAACCTACAATAAGACTGTTTCTGGCACTAATAATAATAATAGAATAAATAACAATATCTGTGATATTAAGCAGCCAAGTTCTTATCCAATCTGGCTTTGACAGCATCAATGAATTCTTCAGTGGTAACATAACTGGCTCTGTCTGTCTTACCTTGAGTTAGGGCCAAATCTTTAGTCATAATGTTATCCTTAGCAACTGTATCGATAACAGCAGCTTCCAAGTTTTCACCAAATTTAACCACGTCAGGTGTACCATCCAACTTACCTCTTTGGATCAACCCTCTGGTCCATGCAAATATTGAAGCAATGGAATTGGTGGATGTCTCCTTCCCCTGTTGATGTTGTCTGTAATGTCTTGTGACGGTTCCATGAGCAGCTTCAGATTCAAAAGCCTTCCCATCTGGAGTCATCAATACAGATGTCATTAAGCCCAAAGATCCAAATCCTTGGGCAACAATATCAGATTGCACATCCCCATCGTAGTTCTTCATAGCAATGATGTAGCCACCTTTTGATTTTAACATTTGCGCAACCATATCATCGATTAATCTGTGTTCAAACCAAATTCCCACCTTATCCATTTCAGCCTTGTATGTAGAAGCATACAATTCCTCAAAGATATCTTTGAATCTACCATCATATCTCTTCAAAATGGTATTCTTGGTCGTGGAAAACAAGTTCAACTTACGGTCAATGGCCAATTTGAATGATGAATGAGCAAAATCGGTAATAGATTTATCAGTGTTATACATAGACATGGCAACGCCAGCATCGTCAAAATGGTACACTGGGTATTCTTGAGGAGTAGAGCCATCGTCTGGTTTAAACACCAATGTCAATTGACCAGCACTAGGAACTACAATATCAGTAGCCTTATATTGATCCCCAAAGGCATGTCTACCAATGATGATAGGCTTTTCCCAACTAGGAACAATTCTAGGAATGTTTTCAATGACAATAGGTTCCCTGAATACCGTACCACCCAAGATATTTCTTAAGGTACCATTTGGTGATAACCACATCTTCTTCAAGTTAAATTCCTTAACTCTTGCCTCGTCAGGAGTGATTGTAGCACATTTGATACCAACACCATGTTTCAAAATGGCATTAGCAGCATCAACAGTCACTTGATCATCGGTCTTATCTCTGTACTCAATGCCTAAATCATAGTACTCCAAGTTGATATCTAAATAAGGAAAGATCAACTTATCCTTAATGAATTCCCAAATGATCCTGGTCATTTCGTCACCATCCATCTCAACGACAGGTGTCTTAACTTGGATCTTAGACATGATTTACCGAGGATAAGATCAGACTACCAATACAAAATTTATGATGTATCGTATTACTACGTATAATATTATTACGTATAATTTTATACAAAAAAGGTACCACAAATAATTTTGTATAGAACAGCAAGCTCGGCTCTATTTAAATGATATCCGAATCTGTATATGGGGTAATCGATTTTCTAATTTGTGGAGTCGAAGGCATGTAACATCCCCGGGTTTGGAAACAATGCACTACATACACACTAAGTTATTACGACCAGATCTATAGGGGTAAGGCTAAGGCACATTGAGTCAATTAAGTACTGGAACAGATAACATCACAGTAGTACAGACCGTAGTGGAGACGACGAGTAGACCAGACGAGCAGACGAGTAGACCAGACGAGCAGACGAGCAGAGCTGTGTGGAGTAGGGAGGAATGGCACAGAATAGTGTTTGATGTTGATTGGTATAATACATGTCATAATATACTATTTCGTAATCAATGCTACCACTTTTTTTATGCATTATGATTCGACTTTATCACCATTCTATTCCCACCAATCCACAAGCATAATAATGTACACTATTTGGCTCTTTACTAAAAGAATACACTCATTGGATCCACTGCTTATTAATTCAATTGTTTCCCATGGATAGCCTACAATCTTATCGGATATTGACTAAATACGTGTATTTGTTCCGAAACCTGTTATCTCCGGGGAAACTGTCGTACCATTTAAATAGGAATAGGAATAACATCAACCAATTGAGACTCAAAGAGATCTTGTTTGTTCCGCCCCAGTAAGTGGCCGCCTGATTTATGGCAGCGCCGCAGGAATTTCTAACGATTTTGGGGGAATTTCGGACTTTTCTTCGGCTTTACCCTCTCGGTTAAGTTAATGCCCCTCATCGTTCCATTATTAATATCCGTCTTTAGCGGCTACGGGTTCTAAATATAAGCTCTTCTTGTTTTCTAGCGTCGTACCCGTTTCAGGCATCTATAAAGTAGATTCAACAACTAGTTCAATTCAATTGCACGAGCATGATTTTGTTAGGTCACATCCGCTATGGGTACCGCCAATATGGATAACTAACGCGGGGCGATGGTTTTACTCCGATACTTTCCGTCGGGAGGGGCACGACACAAATCATGGCCACCTCGTGATCTAGGAGTAGTTGGTGAGTACACTCTTCTTTGAGCCTTAATGGCGTTACCCGGACACAGGTTCTTACATTGAGTTTGAAAATTTTCATTCATAATAAAATTATTCTATTTCATCTACTCTTCTTAACCAAGACAGACAAATATATCTATAAAATTGTATGTTCCCACCATTTGCTTAGTTTCTAGTTTAATGTTGTTATGATGAAAACCTTACTCAGCTCACTCAGAGTCCTTTGGGCGGTGCTGATAAAACTTCCTATTCCAACATTCATCATTTTTTCTGATTTCTTCATTCTTTCTAGAATAACTACCTTATTATTACTTTTGGTGACCAATTTACTAACAAGTGATTTCTCATAGACACGTTTATATGCATGAGTGCTAAAATGAATACATATTAATTGTCTTGTTAGGTTATGATTTATTTATATAACCAAAGATGATTTGTGGGATGAATGTATCGACGTAAATTTATATAGATATATTGAAGTTGTCAAAAGTAAAGAATACGATGTAACTTTAGAAAAATTAGAAAAAGTATATGCTTATGATTATGAAGTGTTATACTTTGAAATAACACATAAATCTGTAAATGAAATGTTTATACACCTTCATTTACAGGTTTCTTAGATTAGAAGAAATGTGTGATACAGCCACGAATATTGGTTATTATGGAGGTGTAGGATTTATGAAGGTGAAAATCTATGTAATACTGAAAAAGAATTGGGTGATTATACAATTAAAACTCAATTATAATTTCGTATTACAAATACACCCTAGATTATACTCTAAAGATTAGGGTGGAATATATATATAAAAAACAAGGGAGACATACTACAACAAAATAGCACACACTATCTCAATAAATCTAGTCGCATACTATTATAATACTAAGGTCTAGTATTAGGTATAATATTTAATTTCCCATAGTATATCTAATTCAAAAGATAAAGAATGAAATCATCCAGAAAATATGTTCTATTTACTGCCCCATCTAAAAATTCATAATATTTCTCAAGCCAGGAATGGGTCAAATGGATAACGATAACCCTTTTTATTTGTTTGGACTCTTTGGTCTTAATTCTTCAATCTCAGCACTTTGAGGTACAAGAAATTGGGGCTGGTTACTCTTGGCGTAGTTTACTTTTGACTTTTCGTACAATTCCTTTTGGAACGTTGAGGGATCAAAATTATCAAGAATTATATCCGGCAGCATAATCACCCAACCCTTTCTAGGTCTAACAGGTACGTTATATCCAATTCTTGAAGGAATAATATGTAATCTTCTATTTGTATTGGAGAAATTCTCTGCAATTTTGTACATGGCATCAGGTACAGCAGAGGGACCCTCATGAACAGATTGAGGAGTTTGGATTTGTAAGTCAGTATCAACATTACAATGAATCAAATGATTATCTGTCAGACGTCTAACTGTTCCCGTTATACACATCCAACAATGCCATTGTTGACGTTGAAGTAATGGAACTTTTTCACATGTTTGATAATCTTCCGGTCCAAACCCTTTGCCACCACCAGATTCTTGATTACACTGGATAAAAATTAATTCTTCCAGTCTTCTAAACTTACTATTGAAATTTTGATTATTCAATACCTTTGTTAATTCTTGGATTTTTTGAGTAGTGGCCCATATGAACAAGTAACCAGGTTTAGCACATAATTTTTGAATTGGGAGATTAGTTAAAAGTGGTAAAATGAACTGATTCTCCACTAATGCTCCAATCATAATCACATCAAATACCAATCCATGATCTGTGATCCAACTATTAAGTTTCTGAATCATTAATAGATGAGCAGCTATACGACACCCATAAGGCTTAACTGCATGTTCTGACACTTTCTTTTCCTTTAATTGATGTAATTTTTCTAGTTTGGGATACCCTTCTCTTGGCATAGTGGCATTTCTAACATGACTAATAGGTTGAACTCCGGTATGAATGTATTCATTGGCGTAATCGTTCTCCTCGGACCATTTGGAACTAGTTGAAGCCATTCTGATGATGATTAGCTATAGACTATACTACAACAATTTACAGGTCGTATTGCTTTTCTTTTATAGCGTGGAGGATAAAGGGATTGTTCCACACTTGAAGGAAAGTGACCACTTGTAGTTTCCTAATTAGTAGATGAAAGAAGGAATATAAAGAGGTATCACATTTAGTTTGTTCCCATTATTAAGGCCATTAATTGAATGTGTGTAAAATCCTTTATATAAGCACCAGCGGGGGATGTGGCTGCAAATCAGATGCATTAGGAAATCTGAAACAAGATCGATGATCTTGTGTTTCAAATATGTATATAGATGATTATGTAACACATACCTAAGGATACACATATATTACTCAGATCTCCTTCTAATAAAATCAATAAACACCTTCTTATGCAATACTCCATAGTATAATCCATCCTTAAGTAATACTATGGCACGGTTACCAATCTGATCAAAGATCAAATATGCTAATGATAATTCACTATCATAATTAAGAAATATCGGATGTTTCTCCACCATGTTGGTCAAATTAGCCAAGTTATCTAATAGTTCATTCATATCACCATTTGATGTAGTACTGAATGAAAAATAATCACTCAGCTCACCATTGCTCTCAGTTAATGATTCAATCACGTTATTATTATGACGCAGAAATAATTCAACCTCATTGGTTCTGTAGTCACTTCCATCCATTAGCTTGACATATAATTCATCTTGGATTTGATACTCTATAACAAACTCTTTTAGCTTGTCGATGCAAATTTCTAGATCGGAAAAATAAAGTAATCCAACACACACTCCCTTTCTAAGTAGTGGTAAACAGCCATCTACCAATCCCTTTAATGCTAGTAAGTTCAATTTGGCTTGTAAAGTCGTTAAAGCCACATAGGGTGATGAACTTAAATCAATATAAAGTTTTTCTTCAGTTGGAGCATTCCCGATTATAGGATCTCCTCCAACACCACAACCACCTAATCCTTCCAATCGTGGACTTTGACTCAAAGAACTTATACCTCTGAACGGATCAGGAGCAATAGCAGCTGCTGCAGGTGTCTTCTTTATAACCTTGCTCATCTTTTCGGAATCATCAAGCACATCTCTAGCTTGAACCCTAGGGTCAATGGCTTCAGTTTCTGGTGAAATGAATGGATAGTCATTAGCAACTAAGAAGTATTCATAAATGGAATCTGCCTCCAAATAATTTCCAGCCCAATTGGCAACAGCAATTGTGATTGAAATAGGCAAAACATAAGTATAAGAACTGGTTAATTCAAATAAAATTGTCACCAAGGTAATATTCATTCTTGTTACTCCAGCCATAAATGCCCCAGCACCTATTACTGCATAGATCCCAAAATCAATGCATTGCCCTTCTAATAAACAAAGTCCAAAGTCTTCAACTCCTGAGTATTTGAAGAATATAAATTGTGCAACAGTTGCAAATGCTCTACCAAATAATGCCCCAACTACCATCAGAGGTACGTAGATACCACAGGGTACTTTTATACCAAAAGTAATAAAAGTTAACCCCACCTTGATAACAAATGCTGTTAATAAATTGGTGATCTCATTAAGATATTCAGCTTCAGTTTTAGGACATAAACTTGCATCCAATTCTTTAGTACAAGAAGTACCTAAATCCAAAACCAATTCACTGGATGCCTGTTTAGTATACGGATTCCAGAATGTCACAAGACCTGTGACCAATGCAACTAAAAAGACTTCAAAAAGAGGTCTTTTCTTGAAATATTTGTTTCTAAAGTTTGAACCCCACCATCTTGCAAATTTGACAAACATTGCACCAAATATTCCACCCAGAATTCCAAGTATAACAAAGAAAACAAGCTCAATAGGTTTCCAATCCGACAGATATTCCAACTCAAATAAAACCGTTTTCCCCGTGCCGTATGGATTAAGAAACTTCAAAAACAAAGTTGAAATTATTGCACAGAAGAACACTTGGAATAAATGGTGTGAGGGTAAATAATTATTAATTTCTTCAAGAATAAAGAGAACTCCACCTAACGGTGATCCAAAGGCAAGTGCCACGCCAGCAGAAGCACTTGATGATAAAATTTGTTTCTTCAATAATTCATTATTATCTATGTGTTTGAAGAACCGAGTTAGCACATTACCCACACAAGTAGCCAAATGCACATACGGGCCTTCTTTACCTAATGCCATACCGGAAGCAATAGCAAACACCAATGCTATGGTTTTGCAAAAAAGAGTATAAGTACCCAAGAATCTCCGGATCACGAAACCTGATAAGATGACTTTGACTTCCGGTACACCTGATCCACACGCAGTGTACATAACTTTAGGAGAAATAGGTTTCATATCAGCAATGGGGTCGGATGATTCTGAAACCACCAGATGCTCAAAAGTCCGTGGTTTTCTTTGCATTTTAGTGGTTAATGAAATTTGACATGCAATATAGGCCAATATTATGGTCAACAAGACGTAAATGACGTAATCCATTTTGATCTGGAATTCGGAGTCATCTTCCTTAAAGATAGAAGCCCAAGTTATCCATTGCTTGCAGGTATCAGCTGTTGTCTTCTTACTAGTTACAGTATTGCAGCATGCTACCTGAGTCAATAGCCAATTACGTTGACAATAACCGTATTTAAACCCCACTAGTAAGAGTTCAAACTTATCTATGGTGAAAGCAATGCAGGCAAATACCAACCCAATTAGAACAATAAGGATCCATTTACTGAATTGGACATAAGTACTATACATCAACAGCATACGGTTTGTTGTAGTGTTGTTATATTTCTTGATTGATTTGTTATTGTAGTAGTAGTTGTTGTTCTTGTCCAGACCATCTGGTGTACCATTAGAGTCATCGGAGTCACATACTGTTTTGGGATGTTCCAACTTATAGTTCCATTTATTTGTTCTGACAAAGGCATTGGCCCAATCAATGGTAGTGAAATCGTTGTAGTAGTTTCTAAGGGAGAATAACGTTGATTCTGGGACCACACTGAAAAGACGCGAAGGTAAGGAGACGGATGTTTTCACGGTATAGAGCAGGTTTTCTTCTAATAGACCACCATCTCCACCAGTTGGGGGCCCTGGGGATGATTCTTGGATAACTGAATGGCCATGGGAAAGTAAAGGGATATTCCAATCACCACCTGATGATTGGATCTGACCACCTGGAGTGAGTAATGGAGAGGTGATATCCAATCTGTTTATGGATCGCATCCTAGTGAGTCGATTAACTTCCCCAACATCAATCCCCCCAGGAGTATGTGGCATGGTACCTAACAGTCGTCTCAGCAATGGCATTATGAAGATATGATCGTGGTGTTAAAATGATATAATGATGAGAGTTGAATGAGATCCGGATCATAAACAACGATCTCGTCTACGTCCACTTTGCCGTTGATGGCACTTTGGAGAAGTGGCCACCAGATAAAGAAATATATCCAAACATTAAATCCGTCACGTCGTCACTATGCATTCCGGCAGAGCACCTGAAACTGTTTGTCTGATATCTACGATCGAAGTGCGCGCATTGTACGGTGGAACGGCATTACAGTGGACATTCTACGATAGATTACGACAATACAGCATTATACAGTAATAAGTACACTGGTAGTAACATTAAACTACTAGTAGTAGCAAAACTATTACTACTAGTATTAGTATTACTAGTAGCAGGTGCAGCTGTACCAGATTCATGGAACATTTACACACGTTTGTTCGACCTATTAAATGTAACTGTATAAAGGAAGAATGTGTACTTGATATAAGCCACGGTTATCGAGGTCGATAATGATCTGTTGTTGTTTACCTGACGTAATTTAACTGTGGAGAAGGTTATTGATTTCCTTATTTCCTTATTTATTTATTTATATCTGTATTATCTCCCGGGTGACCTCCTGCATTCCAACACGAAATGAAATGGAATGATTTCATTCCCTCATCAACATCATCAATCTTGTAACCTAAACGTTACTTTTGTGATAATACCTCCTTTTGAGCCTATCCAGGATAGTAACGATTCATCTATTGATGATAGGCTTGATTACTTGTGCGTGTTAGTATTGTAGAGGGCTTTGAAAGGGAGTACTCCTATTCTAGCGGTTTAGTTGATGAGCTCCTCAACGTGTTGCAGAGGACAGCATGTGTGACGGTTTTCGTACGCTATCGCGACATTCCTACAACAATATATAAACCCCACAAATATATGTTATCTAAATAGTGATGTATGCCTAGAATACTTTTTCTATGGATATTGTTAACAACTGCTAGTTATGGGTTGGAGTCATATCGTTTTATAACTCTAGTACAACAAGGGTAAAGGAAACGAGCTAGCTACTGCTCTACCTTCCTCTTTCATCAACGTCTGTGATACCGTAGACGAGTGCTCCTATTAATCCATATGTACTATCTTATGCTTGTGCGAGACTGTTTACATAATTACAAAGTATACTGGTCTATCATCAAGTCTTAACTTATCTTACTGTTTGCAGCCGCGTTTTTGTGCGACCTTCTGCCAACCACAAATTGAGCCAAATGATTGGTGGTACAATTTGGTGAGCAGTGAAAAAAACTACCACTAGAGAACAACTCTGGCTAGTCAAGGTCAATAATCAAGTCTAACAGGTTAAATAAAGGGTATGTTGATGTCGTGAATACATGCATACAAGCCAAGGCATATAGATCATCCATCCATCTATCCTTCAGTTTGAATGTTTCGCTGAAAAGTGATTTGATATCATTTATGAATCTATGCCTTGTATATTTCACTTATACCTATTAATTTGAAGATCATAACTAACGCTTTTCTAGATCATGTCTACCACAACTACTGAGCAAACTACTGTTGTTCCATCGCAAAACTTGTTGAATGACAAGGTATGTATTATAAATGGGTAGGTTTCTTTCAACTACAATAGTTACTAACAATATATATATATAGTGGGATGTTGTCTTATCCAACGCCTTGATTAAGACTGGATTGGGTCTTGGTGGTGGTGTTTTGGCTTCCATCATTCTTTTCAAAAGGAGAGCTTTCCCTGTATGGATTGGTGTTGGCTTTGGCTTAGGAAGAGGATATGCTGAAGGTGATGCCATTTTTAGATCTACCCAAGGTATTAGAACCGTCAAGTCCTAAATCATACAAAGCAGTCTTTAAAAACTTTCAAACCAACCAAAAAAATACACGACAAGAATAGTATCAGTACATAGTCATGATGTCGAATATATTTATATAAATGACTACATTTCTTGAACCCCCAAGCCATGTCAAAATGCTTACACTCGGAGTTTTTTGATGGGACTTCCATTTCCTTTTCAAACACCTTTAAATATATTAATATATATTCATTTTATGATAACTGTTGAAAATGTAATTTTAATCTCATCGGAAAAACATTATGTTGCACCATTCATTCCTTTTACACAATGACTGATAACATAAAGAGCATCGTAGAAGGTGATTTGGATCTATACGAGTTCCTAGGATGTTCTTCCGATGCATCAGCCGACCAAATCCGTCGTCTATATAGGAAGAAGGCTCTACAGTATCATCCTGATAAGCAAAGTGGTAATGCTCTCAAGTTTGATCTCCTATTCAAAATTTATACAGTACTCTCTGATGCCCAACTTCGACGTCAGTATGATAGTATAAGAGCCTACAAAATCGCTAAGGAGTCAAGAGACCAACGACTAGATGAATTGACTAAGGGGTTTAAACAACAGCTAGAGGCTAAAGAATGGCTTCAACAACAGACTAACCAACTGGCCAAAGTGAAACAACTGCGAGATGCAAAAGTTAGAGCCTTGGCTATAGATGGGATGAATAGAATAAGACAACTAGAACATGAGCTACGGAATAATAATATAAATAAGACCCATGTTTCCTTTAACCAATTGGAAGCAGTTTCTCCTCTCAAAACTTATGTGACATTTGATAACGTTTGGGATAAGACAGTCGTGGTGCGATGGAAGTACAAGGAAAGTCTAGGCGATAATGCGTTTACAGCGGATGTGTTACAAGAGATCATGAGTAAATTTGGACCCATAGCAAGGGTTTCCATATGGGATCATGTAAAGGGTCAAAGGTATAGTTATGGTACTGTGGAGTTCAATAAGTTATCTGATGCTTATGATGCGACTCAACATGATTATTCTCGTTCAGCAAGTAGATGGGATGGCACTAATGTACGGAAACTTGCAAGTTTGCTTCGAAGCTGCGAGTTTGAATCTGACTATAAAGATCGGATGGGTAAGAAGGAAGATATTTTAACTTCGATTTTAGAAGCAAAGAAAGTTCGATATCAAGAAAATATCCATTTGGATAATGTCTTATTCCCGTTCATGAAAAAACAATTATTACAAGATGTCGAGATGTCAAATACGTATCTGACTTGAAAGAGGTAAGGTGGAAAATGTATCTGCTTCTCTTTCAAGCCTTGTAAAATACTTTGTTTTATATTCGACATGGGAAGCACTTTCAAGGTTCAATTGGTATACAGCCTCAGAATTACTATCAAGGCTCAATGTGTATAGCCTCAAAAGTACTAGCAATTAAGATCCACTCAAATGGAATCTAAACGTCCCCAGATTGTCGGTTTGAATACAATAAATGGATGTGGCTAACAAATATATTACTAATCTTCCCTCCATTTCACAAACACTTCATCTGTTCTAAATCTTTGGGTGCAAACAGTATCCCATAACTCATTTGTAATCCCCATTCTATAACTCAATAACCCGGTATGTGCAATCATGATACCATTATCTATACAAAACCGTTCATCAGTGGCATATATTTGTCCATTTTTCCGGTCCTTAACCATAGCAGCCATCATTTCTTGTAATCTTTCATTAGACCCCACTCCTCCTACAATCAATACCTGGTTTGCATTTACATGAGCCAAAGCCCGTTCAGTGATTTCAACCAACATTGAAAATAAATGTTCCTGTAATGAAAAGCACAAGTCTTCAGCCGTTATAGGCTCCCCAGTTTCTTCATCAAGTCTCTGTTTAGGTTTCTTCCCAAACATATCTTTAGCAATTCCATCTATGTATCCTAGAATCCCCGACATTGATAAATCCATACCCTTTACAGTATAAGGTAATGAAACCAAATGCTTACCCTTTTTGGCCATCTGTTCAATGTTATACCCAGGAGCAGGATCATTAGGTATACGTAAAGTTCTTGCAAATCTATCTAAACAATTTCCAATGGCAATATCTAATGTTTCTCCAAAGATTCTATACCTTTGTCTCAGATATGCAATGACTTGAGTATTCCCTCCGGAAACATATAATACCACTGGGTTTTGAGCTCCTGTGATTTCTCTACCCATTTCTATATGACCAACACAATGATTAACACCAACCATTGGAATATTCCATAATTGTGCAAGAGTACGAGCCATTATCACTACACTTTGTAATGGTGCTCCCATTCCTGGTCCTTGGGTGAAACAAATGACATCTATTTCAGATCCTTTTATCCCAGCATCATGTAATGCTTTTTTGGTCACTCTAACAGCCCAATTCCGATGATGTCTTGCAGTGTCTCGAGGTAAAAACCCTTCTCCTGGTGGTGTAATATAAGTATCTCTAACATTAGATAATACTATAGCTGGGTTTGATTCACTTAAAGTTCCAACATTATGCTTGATTACACCCACTCCAAGTTTATTAGCAGATCCTTCAAACCCAAGGGCAATATAATGGTCCTTTCCAGGCTTGACAAACTTATCTAAATCAACAGTCATAATATATGATATGCAAGAGAATAAGCGTATATTTTGATCTCATCGACTTGGTTTACAATTTAGAATATACTATGATTACGTAAGACATTAGTTAATCACATTAAAAGGGTGAACGTTTAAGGTAAGTCGTTACGGCAATACCAAAACTTAAGAAGAAACATGTAATATTGTTCCAGTCAAGTTTATCAAGTTAAGATATTCTCCGCATATTCTTATGGTCTCGAATGTCGTATTGTTACTTACATCAGTGGATTTACCAATATTGGGTGGGTTTAAAACAGGTCCGCAAGGTTGGAAATAAATGATCAAATGCAGTATTCAAAAGCCGTGGGACCATATCGCAAGTGTTCCATTGTACCACAGTAAATGGGGTTGTGTGTGGTGGTATGATGAAGAGTGAAGCGGAGTGCGGAGAGGGCAGAGAGGAGGTAAAAGATAGCCCATTTATGAATTGTTTTCTAGCATTAAAAGTTAACAAGGTGATGTCAATGTGTAGTGAATGTTAATTCGCACAGATGTAAAGTCCACTTCCTTCCCCCTCATCGAATGGAATAAGGATAAGAATTAAATTTTTCTGTGACGGAACTCCAAATGGACCAAACCGGACTACACAAATATTGTAATAATAATTTGTAGTAGTAAAATGTAATAATAAGTGTTCCTGCCGCTGATGACTAGACTTATCGTAATGGATTTGCAATAATCCACGGTTACTGTGGCATTTTGTTTTTATTTTTACCGTTAAGCATTCCATTCTCCGATTATTCCAAGAATCGTTCTAAAAGGTGTCCTATTTTGCGTTTGTCAATGGTAGCGCGGCTTGTGCTATCTCCGGTCTTCCACTGTCTACGGGTGGGTGGGGATCGGAATGGCGGTATGAAGAAAGATGATGGGAAAATCCCAAAGGACCTCGAATCCAATATAAACAACACAGAAAAACAAGGGTACCATTTATATATATATACTCTTTCTTAGCTGTATTTTATCAAATAATACTCATCATAATCTTACACGTCATAATAATACCCATCATATAATATACTGCCAAACCATCTCGGCTGATTATTTTGTCTTCTTCTTCTTTTGTTGATTTGATTTGATTTGGTTTCGATTGATTACTATATGGATCCCGAATCTTTTACTGATCGTATCAAAGCGGTGTGTGGTCGCTTGGAAGACTATCTGTTCCCACATGCTCGAATATTCACAAACAGTGTCATCTATTCTAATGATGTTAGAAACATCCTTAAAGACTCGGATTCTCATGATGATGCCTTGTTTCGTATAGTTGCCGGGCCAGATCAAATAACTGCTCCTTCAGATGATAATAATAATAGTGCACACTTTGATATCTCTGCTCAAATTGACCGTCATTATCAAAACATGGTTAGAGCTCGAGCGGAAAGAGTTGACGGGAGACCCACATATGTTGATGAATCATATGAAGATTGGGTTTCACATCAATTTGATAATCTTGGTCATAATACTGCAGTAACAATAGCTGAAAGTATTGATCCTGAACTGTATCCTGCAAGTTTAACATCCAAGGAAGATTATGTTAGTGAAAAGACTGCTCTTACAACGATTCCCTCGTCGCCTTTAGGAAGTAAGATTCCTTTACTTCCTAGCTCTCTGCAACTGGTACCAGGATTTAGAAGTTCTGGAGTTGTTGATGAGGAGTTTGCTGGATTATTTAATTCTACTGTTCTGATGGCTACAAAATATGAAGATTTAATACCAAATACAAGAATATTTGTACATGAATTAACAGATATTGAACAAGAATATGAACTACTTAATGAAGATATGAAGAAGTTGGAACAAGAAATTGAATCTCAACGTCAAGAATTACGCAAACATCATCGTGAAGATAACATTAGTCCAAATAAAAGGCGTAGAACAGGAGATTTGATGGATGATGAAGTAGACATTGACAAATTAATTGCTAGAGAGGATTTAGAAGCTCAATATTTGGAAAGACGTTTAAATGAAAGAAATTGATTATCGGGAATGGGATAGCATTTTATTATAATTGATATTCAACGTTGTTGCTTGGTTAGATTTTATATTGGTTGGTATATTTTAAATTGGTTACTTTAAATAGGTTTATTCTAATAACATAGCATTACATTACTTTACATTGCATCACAGCAAAACTTTATTTGAAAGGATAATCCAATTCTATTATGATACACTATGTTATATATAAATCGACATACTTATAGTTACAATGAAGTAACCACCAATCAATCAAACTTAGTTCAAAGTGGTCAAGATATCAGAGTCACCAGCATCCAAAATAGCCATGGTACCAACTCTGAACAACTTACCGCAAACGGTACCCAATTCATTGTTACCACCTTGGAAGTAGTGAACTTGAGTCTTGGACAACATAGCGTAGTATTCCAATTCAGACTTTCTCAAAACTGGGGTGTTACCAGCAATGATAATCAACTTAGCCTTGGAGGTTCTCAAGGACTTGATAACGGACTTGTAACCTAAGGTGTACTTACCGGACTTGATAACTAAACCTAACTTGGCGTTGAGGTTTTCTTGAGTCTTTGTCTTTGGGGCCTATTAAAAATATTTGTTAGTATAATCAAGTTCTCTCTCAATTGATTCCGTCTGTGAAATACCATACATTAATCAGTGCAAATACTAAAAGAACTGCATCAAAGCAATTCTCCTAGACACAATATACATAAAGGCTGTTTTTTAACCATTCTATATGACTATTGTGTTCAGTCTAGTTCCAACTCAAACTAAACTCATGCCCTCTATGAGCATGATTCAAAACGTATAAACATTTCCATAAGGAGGTTCAAGTGAAGTAAAGTATACTGACCATCTCTGCGTTCAATGTAATACACTCCGGTCTTGGATATGGAATAAGGAAAGAAGAGAAGGAAACATATTAATATTCAGTGCAGTAAGTTTTGAAAAATTTTCGAATCTCCATCTCACATTACATACCTGTGTGTAATAGACACCCGTACACCCAACTACAGTGATGTCGCACTCTCTAGGTAACAGTGCTATGTCGAAGCGGTAGCGCCATTGTGTTTTGCCCAGTCACACACGTTAATCAACGAAACCAGGGCTAAAGCCCTTTATACACGTGACTCTTTGTGTTATGAAAATAATGGAATTATGTACGACATACTTTGATACACTACCCCCATATGTCGCAAAAAGGCCTACTGCGCAGTGTCGTATTATACCCTACCAATGCACCCAGTAGTGAAAATTTTTGCTGTAGACCATATTACGAAAAAAGTTGAAATAATTTAGAATAGATTTCCTTCTGTTTGAATCAGTTACCATACAACACCAGTAATAGGTATGTGGAGAGACCTAACGTTAACTCTGAGTTGACTGAGATTGAAAGTATTGTTGGAGTTGGAGCATTGAATGAAACGATGAATGAAGGTGAAGCTAACATTACTGTTAGTGATAGGCATAACCATGTTGATGTTAATGTTGATGTTGATGTTGAATCAGACATGAATATAATTAATGAAAGTCCCTTCGATAAGTTAATAATGATCATTGGAATCCTCTAGTGACTTTGAGTGAATAAGTCATGGCCAGCCAATAGTGTGAAAAATTTATACCTTGGCAGTTAATGATAATTACTATTCGATGTTGTGCACTCGAAAGAACTCCTATTGATTGGTACATATCCTTCCCTTGCTCCAACGATACGATACCTCTAATCTCTTACTTCATTCAAAGATAAATATACTAACAAAAGTCATATAGAAAATGAAGGTTGAATTAGACTCCTTTTCCGGTGCCAAGATCTACCCTGGTAGAGGTACTTTATTCGTTAGAGGTGACTCTAAGATTTTCAGATTTGAAAGCTCAAAGTCTGCCTCTTTGTTCCACCAAAGAAAGAACCCCAGAAGAATCTCCTGGACTGTTTTGTACAGAAGAGCCCACAAGAAGGGTATCTCTGAAGAAGCTGCCAAGAAGAGAAGCAGAAAGGCCATCAAGCACCAAAGAGGTATTGTTGGTGCTTCTTTGGAATTGATCAAGGAACGTCGTTCTTTGAAGCCTTCTGACAGAAAGGCTGCCAGAGATGCTAAGTTGGCCAAGGACAAGGAAGATAAGAAGGCTAGCAAGGCCGCTAGAAAGGCTGAAAAGGCTAAGTCTGCTGCTGCTGCCGGTCCTCAAATGAAGTTGTCTAAGCAACAAAGAAAGGGTGCTTTCCAAAAGGTTGCTGCTACCTCCCGTTAAGTAGAATAATTAAGGATGAAACAGTTTTCACTGTCTTGTTTTTAGTATCTATATGACTTCTTTGTGTATTTTAACATTCATACATGCTAATTGGTAAAAACCTTGAGGTGTAGTTGACTTTGATGTGTTAATGACGTAGAAAGAATTCTCCATATGTCATTTTACCTTTAACTTTGCTTCGACTTAGAATAACATCGATCTTGTCTTTATATTTGAACCCCCAATAAAATGTTTCTGTAGTGTGTAAGTACACAATTGTGGTGTAGAGTTTCTCAGTCACACATAGTACTAATCCAAAGTAGCTTTGGATGTTGTATAGTATTTCTAGTTGGTGGATAAGAGTCTCTACTTGAGAAGCATAAGATGTTTCATCATCAGCTGTTATGTTGTTTATGATGTAACTTGCTAGTTTCAATTGACATATCTGTTCACCATTACCCGTGCACATTATACTTATATAAGTATCATTATCATTCCTAAGGATTAGATCACATCCACTACCTATTAGGGCAGCACATCCTATTCTATTGGGGAGTTTAAAGAAGTTGCCCCCAGAAGAGCACATGATATCCACTGTTTTATGTTCAACATCTATATTAGTTACCCCTATGGTATCACACACTTCTGATACATCAGTTACCCCTGTGGTATCAGATAAACTGTCAATAATATTGTTTTTGACCTGATCTTTATATTTTGTATAAATGTGACGAGTCGATTTGGTTATCAACAGATCGTCATCGTCGTGTTCCAATGATATAGCTAAATGGTGTAGATTATCATAGTCTAGTATGTAAGGTTTATTGACGGCACTCAGCCAATTGTCTAGTTGACGATAAACTTGGATCACGCAGTTGACTGGATGTTTATTAGAGACATTGAACATGGAACCAGTTTTGATGATGTTATTCTCTAATGAGATGAAACAGCCATCACACTTAACTTTACCATCGATATTGAGATTCGATCCCTTGCCGGTGTTTGTGAGATGATTTGCTTCAATGACTCCGCAAGTCTCTAGCGGAGTTTTCTTACGTAAGGACCGATATAGTAATTGTTCGTATTTAGATGTTTTATCTAGACCATGATGGCCGGCACCCAAATGGGCTATTCGAATCATGGTAAAGAAGAATATGAAGATCTATACACATTACATTCTATACCGTACCCTATACATACCATACTTAACCTACTATACCGTACTATAGCCTTTTAAAGCGATACTACTATACACTACAATGTATTTATTCAATATGTTATAGTATGCGAACACGCACTGTAGTACGCACACACTAGTGCTATTATATATCCTCACCGCCTCATTGCTACTTTCACGTTAATTTATACTCTAACTATCCATACTACATTAAGACACGTTGCTCCACCTGATCGATATAATACCACTGCTAATTATCTCTAGATCAACTCATAACTATCTATCTTATCTATCTTTGTAATATCAGAGTGTGAACTAAATTACACAGTCCCAAAGTCGTGTACTGCTCGGTTCTGGATAATGACCTAATGGTAGACGTCAGTCAATCATCGTCATCATCATAACCCCCTCTCCACTTTATCCCCACAAGGACGACTAATTAGCTCATTTTCATTCCTCCATCTATTGCCACCTGTCTCACTTGGTAACAATGTCTTACTTGGCATTAGACTCGGATCAATCACGAGTGCCCTCATCCTAATCGGGTAACCTCTGACGTAGTTCAGCGGCGATGTAAATTGGAATGGAGAAGTCCCCCTGTTGTGCATATAACTTCGTACTAGATGATGCACTTTATTTGTGTATATAAGAGAAATAAGGTCCCCTTTCATCTCGAGTTGACCTACAAATACATTCATAGTATAAGTATTATAGTATAAGTACAATAGTATAAGTACAATAGTATAAGTACGATAGTATAAGTACGATAGTATAAGTACGATAGTATAAGTACGATAGTTATTCGCAATGCAGTATTTCCTAAGACTCTCCCGAAAAGTAGGGCTAGGAATATATACCGATGTCACATCAAGAATACCTTACTATGCTCAAGATTTCAAAGATGCTTGGAACTATAGAGTCATCCCACTGACAATCTTTGTGTTCTTCACCAACTTGTTACCAGCTATTGCCTTTGCCCAAGATATGTTTGATAGAACCAACAATGCGTATGGAGTCAACGAGATCTTATTTTCCAGTGCATTGGCTGGAGTAGTCTTTGGGTTATTTCTGGGTCAACCACTTTGTATAGTTGGAGTCACAGGACCTATTGCTATTTTTTCATATACTGTGTATGATTTGATTAAGGATAGAGGGACTCCTTATTTCCCCTTTATGTGTTGGATATATCTTTGGTCAATGATAATGCATTTGGTGATGGCCCTTTTGAATTGGGTCTCATACTTAAGTTTTATTACCAACTTCTCGTGTGATGTGTTTGGATTCTTTATTAATTTTGTCTATTTACAAAAGGGAGTTCAGATTCTCAGTCGTCAGTTTGAACACTCTGTTGCTGGTGGGTTCTGTTCTGTCATGCTTAGTATCTTGATGGTTGTCTTTGGTGTTGGTTCCCAGGTGTTTGGCAGTCAATTACATTATTTCAATCATCATGTTCGTAAAGTGTTTGTGGATTACGGTGTCCCCATGTCTGTGATCTTCTTTAGTGGATTTATGCATTTTGGTGGGTACTTAAACAATGTTGATTTGCAACGACTTCCTATTACCACAGCTTTCGAACCAACAGCGGGTAAAGACCCTCTGGTCCGTCCTCATGGTTGGTTTATTCATTTCTGGCCAAATACAAATATCTCTTGGGGTGACGTGTTTCTTGCCATCCCCTTTGGGGTATTATTGACCATCTTGTTTTATTTTGATCATAATGTCCTGTCCTTGATGTGTCAGGCAAAACGATACCCTTTGAAGAAACCTTCATCGTTTCATTACGATTTTGCTCTCTTAGGGATCACCACTGGTATTGCCGGGTTATTGGGGTTTCCTGCCCCTAATGGATTGATTCCTCAAGCTCCATTACACACTGAATCTCTTTTGGTCCATGATAGACACGGAAGAGTTAAGGAGGTGGTGGAACAGAGATTAACAAATACTCTACAAGGAGTGGCTACTTTTATATTTATGACCAAACCTTTCCTACACGTTTTAGGACTTATACCTCAAGCCATTTTAGCAGGGTTATTCTTTACTATGGGTATAAATGGATTAGATTCCAATATTGTTGTTGATCGAATAAGGTTCCATTTTCTTGATCCACGGTACATTGAACTGGATTCATGTCCTGTCAAGTTCAAACAAATGGCTCAGATTGGATCCAAGAAATGGCCTATGGTTTATACGGTACTCCAGGTGATTGCTGGGATGTGCGAGTTTGTGATAACGTTGACCAAGGCTGCGATTGGGTTCCCAGCGGTGTTGATCTTCTATGCCATCTGTGCCAAATGGGTTTGGCCCAAGTTCATCCCGAAAGAATACTTGACTCAATTGGATGGTGAAGTGGCTGATGAGGTCATCATTAGAAACTTGCAATTGATTCGGGACGACGATACGCAATCGGACTTGGAAGACGGTGATGCTTCCCAGAAAGAAGAGTAATAGATATAGATTTAAATTAATATATACAACGGAATAATCATATTTAGGTTTTAGAATAGCATGCAGTATTAGTGGTGGTATCAGTTGTACCAGTAACAGTAGTAGAGGGAGTACTATCACTAGTACTATCAGTACTGTTGGTCCTAATGGGCCTCAGTAAATAACCATTGCTCAAAGTTCTCTTTAACACGTAACTTGACATCATCAATGGTTGTTCCTTCCTTCTTAATGTCGACATTCTCACATTTATCAACACTTTCCAAGATCAGTTCATCAGAAGTAGCTGTTTCTTCCTCGTTGGAATTTTGAATCCCGTTAACAATGATCTTGACTCTCTTAAACTCCAAAATTAACCGAAGAGGAACCCACCCTTCTTCGTCCATGTTCTTACGGAGGAAAACATCCCGTATCAAATTGTCCAAACTGAAATAGTAATCTATTTGTTGGATTAATGCTTGTTGAGGGTCTTGCTTGGGAGAAATAGGTGGAGGTATTTGTGATTTGGAGGGAGGGTAGAATGCATTATTAGGAACAAATCCTCCATTCACTTGTTGACGATACCCACCATTATTTCTATAATTTCTGCTATTGTTATTGCTCATTGAAGGTCTGTATTGACCATTCTGAGGCTTGTACGCACGATTATTGTGACTATTATAGGGATATCCTGGAGCTTGAGCAAAAGCTTGATGTTGGTAATATCCATTTGGAGGGTATGCGTGTGCATGTGCATGTACTTGTACTTGTGCATGTTGCATGGATGCTTGTGGATCTATTGGAGCTTGTGGGGGCAATTGACCATGAAGATTAAATTGGTTTTGTCTATATTGCTGTACTCCATTATTAATGTTATTATTGTAACGTCTGTAGTTTCTTTGCATGCCTGAGATATTAGGTACAGCACCGTTGTTGGCATTAAAACGTTGTCTATTATTATCATATCCTTGAGGGTAATAGTTTTGCTTGTAGTTTTGTTGGTTTTGGTTTTTATGAGGTTGGTTGTTATAACCATGTTGTTGGTATCTTTCATCAGCATCTTTGCTTTCAGATGGGACAGCAGAAGAAGAGGAAGCATCCGGTAATGAGGTATCACCAGATTCAGTCGAACCAGGCATAGAGCTAAATTCACCAGAAGAAGCTTCTTCAAATTGCTCACTAGAATCAACACTTTGAGTCTTCTTATTTAGAGACTGTTGAGAAGTTTGTTTCTTAATAGAGCCATTCTGTTGATGTTGTTGTTGTTGGCCATTACTGGCTGAAGAGTTCTTACTCTTGTTCTTGTTCTTTTTATTCTGACGTTGTTGATTGTTGCTGCTGCTATTGGAGTTGCCGTTGGAGTTGTTGGAGTTTGGGTTGTTTCTGGGATTGGGTAAACTCACTTTAGCGGTGATAGGCACCCATTTAGTGGTAATTGGTTTGATAAACTTTTGCAGGGATGATTTGGATGAAGTTGAGGCAGTAGCAGCTTCAGCTAGTTGAGGGTATTTTTCAGAAATGGATGATTGGAGGTGGGTATCAGTAGGCAATGATGCGGAGGTGTCTTCGCCATTGGAGACTGACGAAGACGCAGATACAGTAGGAGTACCCCAGACAGATTCAGTAGGAACTGGAGCAGGGGCCAATATCTTTTTCTCCTTCTTAGCGGGAGCAGATGTCGATGTCGACGATGCTTTAGAAATTTCAGATGGAGGAATTTCAGAAGTGACTGTTGATTCTTCAGGTACGACATTACTACTCTCAGTAGCAGTAGTAGTAGCAGTAGTAGCAGTGGTAGTGGTACTAGAATTGGCACCAACAGTACTAGCAGCAGAACCGGACACTGGTTCAGCAGAACCATTAGCTGCTACATTAGCATATGAAATTGGACTGGAAGACATTGTAAACTGAAAGATCAGTGGGTTACTATTCTTTTTTCAGTAAGGTTATACTTTTATTTTTGGGGAAATGATAATAATTTAAAGGGAGCCAATAATATAATTGCAACACCAATCTATTCCTCTCGTTCTACAACGACACACCGATAGCAGAAGCGGTTACCAGCGATTAATTGATGTCACTTGAAAAGAAAGTGATGTGAAAAATTGTTAGTGAAAAAAAAATCAGTGAGAAAATTTGCACTGTGTACGACAGTCCAATTTGGGACAAAGAATATATGATAAAAGAGACGATACTGAGACGTGTTGCGCAACTATATAATATATACTCTATGATAGTGAAGTATAGTGAGATAGTGTGTACTATAGTGTATAATATCTTCTGTTCTATAGTATAATTATTACTGTTCTAGAGTATACCATTCCTGAATATTCTTGCGGTATGCTCATACTTTATGGCCATTTAGTCATCCTAGCAATTTTGCGTTTGATAGTATTGAATAATACAATCAAAGTATACTATTGTTGTCTTATGTGAATACCAGGTTACTATTCTTATTAATGACTACTCTATGACTACTATATAACTCAGGTCTACTCTACATAAAATAGCCCTATTTCTGTCACGTGACATCTTTTATAAACCTCTTCATTCACGTGACTAAACGTTTTAATACTTGGAGCGTGCCGAGGTCGTGAAGTCCTCTCTGACATCATGGCAAGCCTTAACCAAGCCTGGCTTTTTCGGCAAAGATAAATCTCACAATCTTGTACATGACATTGCTTTGACATGACAGATGCAATTCAGTTGCCTGTATGTGCATGGTGGTCTTGGATCGACAATAATAGACAGTATGTAATAATAATGTCAATTTACTACTGCATGGCGGCCATGACAGTGCTAGGCATAGTTAAGTTGGGAGGTAAAAGCGGTTCCTACTTCTTGTTAGTTTTTGGAGTAATGACTGCGTTTTTGACTTTATCCGCAATGCTGAGAGCGCATGTATTATCAGTTAATAGAGAGCTACAAGCATCCAATTAGCCATAAGCACAAGTTAGTTGTTCTAGTTGTTCTAGTCGTTCTAGTCGTTCTAGTTGTTCTAGTTGTGCTAGTTGTGCTAGTTGTGCTAGTTGTGCTAGTTGTGCTAGTTGGCTGTTACATAATTTGTTTTTGTGGAGACATTATAATTTGATTATGACCTGCGACAACATACAGAACAAAGGGGGGGGGTCATAAGGAGGAGAAGAGCACTGTGTGAGACAGTGGGAGAGCTCGGACTACCTTCACACTCACACACCAGTATATATTATGAAATACAATTGATTTAAGTCCATAGCCAAAAGTAATGTATACCATAGTTAGTTATTGAAGTGCCTTGTGTGATTTTATTTGACAATGCTACAGAATTTACCCCCTGAATTGCTTAGCTTAGTCTTACAACATGTAGATTTGGCATCCCTCCTTAACTTACACCAAGTGCTTCCCAATCACTTCAATCCATTCAATGCTGTGTTTCAAACCATATATATCCAACTGGTTCCGTATGTTTGGTCGGTGGATGATTTAGACGATCTACAATCACTGCTAGTGTACCAAATCAATGAGACTCAAAAGTTAAATCATATGCCACTCCCCATCTTCATAAGGTTTATGGCCAAATATAATCATGTCCCGCAGAGACTTGTCATTGATCTGTGGCTGAACTTTGTTCTTTTAAAGAGATTGCAACCGTTCTTGTTGATGTCAAAGAATATAGATTTGACTGTCTTGGGTTGGATTCCGCTTTCCAGTATAGATAATAATAACTTGGATCTTTATAGGTTCACAAGTATTAGAATCAACTCTTCTTCAGAAAGGAAACTACTACAACATTTGCCCAACTCCTTAAAATTCTTGGAATTGGATCTTGATGATAGCTCTAAGAGACGACAACAACCAGTGACCCTTCAACTTTATAACCTCCAAAGATTGACTTTAATTAATGATGAAGGCTTGAGTCCTCATAGAATCTCTTTGGTATGTCCTAATTTAACAGAATTGATCCTAACTATATCCAATAATGATGTTTTGGATTGGTGTGTTTGGCTCAACAACACCCGGACACCTACCAGCAGGCAATTGGAATCTTTAACTATGAATATTGGTCCTTCGGAAAACAGTGGGTTCCTACAACCATCACCACAACTTGAATTGTTCCTACCTGATCATATAAAACATTTGCTGTTGAAACTTGCAAATCTGGATCTCTTTGAATGTCCAGCACTTTTGGATTTAAGTGAATCTACTTGTCTTACATCTTTAACTCTTGAAAATGTGATCGTGTCCCAACTTGAATTACCGGAAACTTTATCCAAACTCGTGATTGATATTAACCATGATAATGGATTCAGATTGGATTCCTTTAATGGTTGGGTATTACCAAAGAACCTTTCGACGTTTGAATTACATTCAAGTTGGTTTATTGAACTGTTTGATTTGAAATTACCAACCTCAGTATCAACTTTAAGACTTATGGGTATCCCAGTTGAGAAATGGGTAGCAGATTTGCAACTTCCAAATTTACAAACAGCAGTGATAGTAACATCAAGAGTATCAGATGATGTAGAAGATCCACCAGCATTGAAAGCATTCTTATCTAGAAATGATGAACACCTTCAAACCCAATGTATTGTTGGGCCCTTCCATACTACATATTATATTTCTTCTGCGTTGCAACTTTCCAAGAATGATGTATTCAAACAACACCAAACTTTACTCAAACGCACGGTGGAAGATCGTGGAATGGTTCGGATTACTTCAATTGCAGACTTTTTCCATTTCCCAGCTCATATTGATTCCATAAATATCACCCTCCATCAACCTGATCATTTATTATTGAAGACATTTGGAGAATTTCTTCTTGGTAGTAATCAACTTACAAGGTTAAATATTGCATGGCATTCTAATTCATTTAGTGAAGTGTTACTCCCCTCCAATTTGAAAGATTGCTCAATTAAAGCACACACTCCAATTCAAGTATCAGATTTCCATACTCCAACTTCAGAAGGGTTGGATACAATTTTCAATACCAAAAATTGTCTTGGACTTCGTCGATTGGAAATAGTTGGTGTTCGTACTATGGAAATGGATTTCAACAAGTTCCCCAGTTTACATACCTTAATCACCGATAGCGATATCCAACAAAAAGATTATTCTTTAACTCCGTTTGTTCATGTAAAGAACTTGAAATGTTTACAACCCATTGCTGGATTACAAAACGTTGATTTTGAACTATTCCCCAATTTACAAACCCTAGATTGTCAATTACCAATGGCCAATTCATCACTTCGACTTCATGGGATGACTAAACTTTGCAATTTAAGAATGACTGAACATCAATTCACATTCACTAGTATCCCCAGTTCATTGCCTTCCAGTCTTCGGATTCTTCATTTTACAACCATCGGTGATAATCTTCGTTTAGATGCAAGACAATGCCACAACCTCTTTGTGATTTCATTCCAACTGCTTCAATTATCAGTGATTAAATCATTAATTGATAGTCTTCCAACTAACAACTCATTGAATGCCATTTGTCCTCATAAAGATTTGGGCAACCTGTATGAAGGAGGATACGAATGCATTAGACGACACTTCCCAAAATTAGTCCCATTGATTAATTTGGGTCCAGTACCTCAATCTTCAGTGTTTGATACTACTGTCATGTGTAAGTAAATTGGGTCTAGTACATATTGTTAGCAAGTACACTACCATATGGACTACATTCTATTCCACTATTACAAGTATCTTTTGATTTGCACACTAGCATATGTGTTCTATGCATACAGCTTATTAGTACACTACTTGGTCAATTACAGATTCGTTGATTCCAAACGACCCCGCTATATGCAGGACCACTGAAATTTTGACCAACGCATCAAACAAACAAACTTTACAACTTGCCAACCAATACAAGAAACTCTCTAGAAGTGTGCGCTTTCGTATTGAATTGAATAGACTCAAGTAGCTGCTGTCACAGTGTGAGGAGTCATAAAGTGACCAGTCATAATTTATCTAGGTATAACAGCACATAAAACTATATAATTATCAAATATGGATAATCTTCAATATGGGTCACAATTTGACGGCCAAGAACAAATGGGGGGAGATGGCCCATTGGACTTTGAAGAAGCTGAAGATATGAATGGAGTACGTTTATCATGGAATTGTTTCCCTTCTACAAAAGCAGAAGCTGCTAAGATAGTTGTTCCTACTGGTGCATTATATACACCATTGAAAGCCAAAGAAGATTTGGCTATTGCCCAATATGATCCTGTTATATGTCAAAATGCTAGTTGTAAGGCTATTTTGAATCCTTATTGTTCTGTTGACCCCAGTGGTTTTTGGATGTGTACAATGTGTAAAAACAGAAATGGATTACCTGGTGTTTATAAAGGAATCAATTATGATAACTTACCATTGGAATTAAATGCTGCTAATTCCACCATTGAATATATTACTGCCAGACCTGTGCAAAACCCTCCGATCTTCATGTTTGTTGTGGATACTTGTCAAGATGAAGATAATTTGAATGCCTTGAAGGAATCTTTAACGATTTCTTTGAGTTTCTTACCTCCAAATGCATTGGTTGGGTTCATTGCTTATGGAACAATGGTTCAAGTTTATGATTTGGGCTCAGAAAAGATCAACAAATCATATATCTTTAGAGGTGATAAAGAATATACAGAAAAACAAATCAGTGAAATGTTAAATAAACCAACATTAAGTCCAGGCCATGGAGGAGGAATCCATGGGGGACCACAATTTGTTAATTCTTTAAGTAGATTCTTATTACCTGTTGAAGATGTTGAATTTGGTTTAACTGCTATTTTGGAAAACTTGAGTAAAGATTCATGGCCTGTAGCTCATGGAAACAGACCTTTTAGATGTACTGGATCTGCTCTTAACGTTGCCACTACTTTATTAGGATCTGCTTTCCCTGGTACAGGTGCCAGAATCATGTTGTTCACCGGAGGTCCATGTTCTTTATCACCTGGTTTGATTGTTGGCCAACATTTGAAAGAAGCTCTTAGATCTCATAGTGATATTGATAAGGATAATAGTATTGCCAAGCATATGAAGAAAGCAACGAAATACTATGAAATGATTGCTGATAGGGCCGTTAAGAATTCCCATATTATTGATATTTTTGCTGGTTGTTATGATCAAACTGGGTTATATGAAATGAGAGGCATGTCTAATAAAACTGGTGGAACCATTTTATTAACCGATGCTTTCACCACTTCTATTTTCAAACAATCATTCCTTAGATTGTTTAATAAGGATTCCGATGGATATCTTCTTATGGGATTCAATGGTACTTTAGAAGTTAAAACTTCTAGAGAATTAAAAGTAAGTGGATTAATTGGACATGCAAGTTCATTGAATATTAAATCACCAAATGTTTCTGAAAATGAGTTGGGTCTAGGAGGTACTTCACAATATAGATTATGTGGGATTTCACCTCAGGATTCCTATGCTGTATTCTTTGATATTGCTAATACTCAACCATTACCACCAAATTCCCAATGTTTTATTCAATTTGTTACTCATTATCAACATTCTTCTGGGACATTTAGAATTAGAGTCACTACTATTTCCAATTATTTGACTCAAGATGAACAAACATTGACCAATTCCTTTGATCAAGAAGCTGCTGCTGTCCTTTTAGCCAGAGTTACTTTATTCAAAGCAGAACAAGATGATGGTGCAGATGTTTTAAGATGGGTTGATCGGATGCTTATCAGATTATGTCAGAAATTTGCTGATTATAGAAAAGATGTTGGAGAATCTTTTAGATTACCTCCACCATTCTCCTTATTTCCTCAATTCGTATATTACTTGAGAAGATCACAGTTCTTACAAGTGTTTAACAATTCTCCAGATGAAACAGCATTCTATAGACACGTTTTCGTCAATGAAGATACCAACAATTCATTACTTATGATTCAACCATCATTGACATCCTTTTCATTGGATAATGAACCAGAACCCGTGCTTTTGGATTCTGTTTCCATTAGAGATGATCGAATCTTGTTATTGGATACCTTCTTTCACATTTTAATTTACCATGGGAAAACCATAGCTCAATGGAGAAAAGCTGGATACCAAGATTTACCAGATTATGAAAACTTCAAGAGTTTGTTAGAATTACCCAAACAAGAAGCCATTGAATTATTATCTGATAGATATCCATTACCAAGATTTATTGATACAGAAGAAGGTGGTTCTCAAGCAAGATTCTTATACGCCAAATTGAATCCTTCCACCACTTATAACAATAATTCTACATTTGGTGCTGGTGGAGCAATTGTATTGACCGATGATGTGTCTTTACAAGTATTTATGGCTCATTTACAGAAGTTAGTTGTTAGTGGATCTAGTTAAATATACTGGATATATAGAGCATCTGTGTATGAATCATATGGTAGCACCCAAAAATGTATTCCATGGTGGTAGCACCGACCAATATAAGTAAATTTCCAATGATGAAAGCTTCAAAGACAGTCAATGATACCTTGGTCAAGGTTACAATGACTGGCGGTCTTACCAAAGAGGAAATAGCACTTTATGATAGACAGATTCGATTATGGGGGATGGATACCCAATTAAGACTAAGATCGTTCAAACTACTACTAATAAATGTTGGAGGTATAGGAACAGAAATAGTTAAGAATCTAGTACTCGGAGGTTTGCATTCAATTGAATTACTTGATGATAGTAAAGTAAAAGAAGAAGATTATTCTAGTCAGTTCTTCCTTCCGAAGGAAGAGAAAGCCATTGGAGAAGTAAAACTACCATTAATAGTTGAATCCATAAAGGAATTAAATCTGAGAGTTGAACTTACAATCAATATAAAATCTTTAGATCAGCTTTTGGCGGATTCCCCCGAGTATTTCTCGGAGTTCAATTTAGTTATAGGCACTGAATTAACCAAACAACAAATGATAAAATTAAATGACATTTGTAGAGGAAATCAAGTCCCAGTGTATTTCACTGGGTTGCATGGATTATTTGGTTATATCTTCACTGATTTGATTCAACATGAAGCCACTTGTGAATGGGATACGGGGAACCAACAGAGGAAACCGGGTACCCAATTGAATCATGTGAAACAAATAATAAAAATTGAACTGGGAGGCAACGGAAAAGAATTGGTTACCATTAAAGATAATTTCAATAAAATCTCAGATATCTTCCACTCTAAACAATTACCTCATCAATTAAATAATCGACAATTGAAACGATTATCTGGGGCTTTACCAATAATCTTTGCCTTATTGGAGATTGAAAGACCGGAGAATCCCGAAAGTATTCTTGCTCATAATGATTTAAAGGGTAAAGCTTTGGACATATGTAAAGCCTTAAACATTCCTTCATCAATTATAACTGATGAGTATGTCGAATTATTCACCAGAAATGCCTTCACTGAGTTTTCTCCGGTTGCTGCTATAATAGGTGGTTGTTTGGCTCAAGATGTGATTCAAATGATCAGTAAAAAGGAAAGTCCAATTAATAATGTTCTTATTCTTGATTCAATCAAATCTGAAATGCCCATATATGCTCTTTAGTCTAATATATGCAGTTGTTTTACTTGCCTGGAGTTAGTCCTCTTCCTTTCCGTTTCTTTAAATGAGCAGTGTCTCGTAAAAATCGTACATTATAACTTAATCGATTCTTTAAACTTTGATTAGAATCTTTGACTTCTTGAAGTCGTTCCATCAAATCTGTTTTCTGTTTCTTAAACTTCTTATGTTCTACTTCAACCTCAACTTCAATATTATCGTATTTCGTCTTCGTATTTTTTATATCTTGCTCAACTTTTTGGATTTGAAGTTTGGAATCTTCAATGGCAAGTTTGGCATTGTCTATTTCTTTCTCCATATATTTCCTTTCTTCAGCCTTCAGATTAATTTTATCCAATGATTGACTCAATTCTTGTTGAAGATTCCATATCTTCAATTGATTAGAGATATATGTCAAAGCCTTTTTATTGGTAATTTCATTTTCTTCTGTGAAATTCTCCAATTTGTTGGTGATTTCTCCAATCACACCCAAAGTAGATTCATTTTCTTCAGTTCTTTTAATAATCTTTTTATTGAAAATCGTGATTCGAGATTCACAATGGTTTAATTCATCTAAAACCTTGGATAAAACTCGCTTGAGTTCTAAGGCTCTTCTCCCTAATCGATTAGTTTGAACGTGATCGGAATTAAACTGCCTATAACATTCCTCTTCCTCCCTTGCAAGTTTTAATTCCATATATGCCGTATTCAATTGGAATAATATCGTATGAGTAAGTAAATGATTATTCTTTGGTGGTGGGATAGCAGCATGAGATTGAATACCTATAAGTTCATTGATTTCATTCTTTAACGGATTAGTAACATAATCCAGTTGAAGTCTTTTCAATTCATAATAAGTTTCCTTTCTTCGTTTATTGGTTGAAGATTTATCAAGATCATCCTTATTCCCATCCCCTCCTCCATTATTACTATCATATGGAGTATAATGATAATGTACTTCAGTCAATAAGGATCTTTCCACATCTGCAGAACTAAACTTATGAATCTTGGGCAAATCAGGCAATGGCCATTCAGGATAACTTGTGATGGTCTTATTATTGGCTTGGAATAGCTTATTAAAAAATGTTTCAGACAAATAATTCAAGTTTTGGTTATAAATCGGTACCAAATCAGGAGGTAAATTGCCTATGAAATCTCGAAGACACACTATGGCTGAAATCAAATTATAAAGATAATCTTTATCATCTTTCTTATCTTTATAATACAATTGAACATGTTCGATGGTTTTCATAGGTACTAACCGTATGATACAAGCTTCACCTCTTCTATTTTGAGTTCGAAGTTTAGTGAAAAAGACACTTTTGGTATCAACGTATCCATCAAAAACTATAAGTGCATCAAAGCTGAGCTGTGACAATCTGGCCTCATCTCTAGTCAATGCACCATCATGTGGAATCAAGTGAAATGTCGAACCACTACCACCCATTTTATAGCCATTAGAAGCTGAACCATTATTTACAGCAGTATTAATAGTATTGTTATTACTGGTACTATTAATATTATTATTATTCTTTCCAACTTTTGAAGACTCCTTTTTTACATAGTTTCCCACATAACGTTTAAGTTGACCCAGTTTGGTACACCCCACCAAGACTGCTTCAACCAAATCGAAAAGCTTTGTATTATTATTCATGACTATACCAATTTCCTTTGGTTCGACGGAACGGTTTCTAACGATAACATTGATCAAGTCTTTAAGTACACTAAATTTCCCCGAAGTCTCAGCGATCTTATTTGACATACCCTTCAGAACCAAATTCTTGGGCATATAATGATTAATAAGAAGATACGGATGACTGCTGACCAACATACAGTTATTGATACAGATCTCAAGGGATTTAATGATAAGATCACTGGAATCATTTGTCTCGCAATACTTTAAGATATCTGAATAGTGAAGTGATACAATCAGGTCAGTGAGTTCCTTTTGAAAGTCATACATGGGAGTTGCAAGATGATAATCACCACTTTCATTGACTCGATCAAGATACAAATCAATGATGTGAGGTTCGGGTGTCCCGTCCAAGATCTTTAATAGGTTCATGGTAAGGAAGCTTGTTAAATGAATGCAAAAGAGAGTGGTATATATTTGCTCATAGTGAGCCTATACATAGTGAGTGCGCCTACATAGTGAGACTCGGAACGAAAAGTCGTGGACAATCCCAAATAGCATTATGTTAAATTGGTGGTTATTATATAGGTATGTGAATCTACCACTAAAGCTATAACAATCTATTAATTTTGTATCATTACAAGTAATAGCCCCCCTCTTCTTAGAATAAGTTGATTATTATTGTAAATAGTGTCTTTGTATGCATCACCTCAAACTAATTTAATTTTCAAACAATTTAATGGGTACGAAATCGTCGTTTCAGTCCACAACGGATACGTGAAGTCATAAGAAACTAAGGTGAGACTAGCAACTAAAGTAGAATGGAAACTTGAAACGTGACCAATTTGGGTGTGATGCATCATATGAAGGGATCATAGACATAAAACAGCAGCCGTTATAGTAGTCAAAAATAATAGAAGAAGACAAAGACAAGTGACGTTTTCTCCCTATGTTTTCAAGATGCCTTGTACACACCTACTGTCATCATTACGTATTTAATCAAATAGATATTATAAGCATTGTTTTTCTCAGAGTGGACTGTTCTACTTTCCCAGTCATATTTCTCGGTTAATTAATCTAGAGAAAGAACTTTTGAACAGAAAATTGACACATTCCATCTGCAAGTTGATGTGGATAGTATCCTGTTAAATATTGTTCCCATGATTGTCAATTCTATATTTTCACCCAGCCAGCTTATAAAGTTGGATATTAAACATTACTATTGTGTGACTCGTATCAAAGTGAAATAAGGATCAACAGACTATAAACGTATACCCTCTACCAATGAGTATTTGCAACCACTAAAGAATCAAGCTACACACGACTATCCTTATATACATGCCTTCCACATCCTCACTGTTCTATCCCATCCACTACTAACTATCATTTGACCATTACTGGAAACATCACAACTCATAACCTTATCGTGATTACCCTTTAAACTCTTAACATTGGTCCAGCTATCACTAGACCAAACTTTAACGTCTCCTGTGAACGAAGAACTCACAAGAAACGTTCCTGTAGAGTCCAATGTCTCGGGATTCTCCCCATCTTCGTTGGTTACTGGTGAAGAAAGAAGATCATCTCCAGTTCTATGGTAAAACCTGACATCACTTACTATCTTTGTATGACCGGGAATCAGATATAATTCTTTATTACTTTGAGCAAGTCTTCTTATATCCCAGATCTTTATATTCCCATCGCCACCTCCCGTAGCTACTTGATATCCATTGGGTGACCAATCTGTAGAGTAAACTCCTTTAATATGACCATCAAGTATACCAATACTTCTTCCAGAGCGGAGATCCCATATTCTTGCAATTGAGTCTAGACCTCCTGATACAAATAAACTACCATCAGGATGGAATGCTCCACACATCACTTCCCTTGAATGACCCTCTTGTTGTACTAAACAAGTATCAATTCGTCTATTAACGTCCCACATCTTCCATGTTTGATCAAATGACGTAGATATAACGTTATCCCCACTAGGATGGAATAATGTCTTGGTGATTCTGGACTCATGTGCTTGTGGGATCGATGTTATTACCGTTAGCTTTTTGTTGTTAGGTTCACATTTCCATATATTGATGGTACCTTCATTGCCTCCACTAACAATCGTATCATTATCTTTCCAGTCAATTCCACTGACTTTCTCGCTATGATGGCCTGGTCCAGACGTATACGTCGTGAGTAGATCCTCAGGGTTAAGCACATACAATGTTCCATCCCAAGACCCAGTGGCTATCTTAGTGTTATCTGGAGAGATACGTACACTTGATAGAGCTCTGGTATTCCCCTGAATGACCTGTGATCCATACAAGCCATACGTCTTTAGTTGGTTGTTAATGTGCCGTCTATGTTTCAATTGCTTGATGAAATCTTGTGATTTGAATGCTTGTCTTAAGTTGGTGGTTCTAATTGATGCCCGTTCAAGTGAATAATGTAGAATTTTTTTTCTTGTCTCTAGTAGCTCTGGAGGTCCGGGTGTATAATATTCGTCATCATCGTCATCTTCATCATCATCAACATAGTTTTCATCATCATTATTACCTTCTTCAATGTATGCAAAGTCAAAGTTAGTGTTTGCTCTGTTTTCAAGCACCAGAATTAACCTGGTTCTTCTTTGGAACGGACCCTCACCAAATATCGTTATGGGTTCTCCAAGACTCCGAAGTTGGTGTCTCACTTCTCCATCGTCTGTCGGTACTTGTTTGGAGTCCATTGAAGTTGAGGAAGAAGAGACAAGAATGTACTATGATTTTCGTGCGATGTTACTAAAGACTATTTAACTTAATCAATGAATCCCTATCTACGCTGCAATATAGGGTAACAATCAACATGTAACAGAGTCATGGCATATGGTAGTAAATATAATAGTATATATAATAGTATATATAATAGTATATATAATAGTATATATTACATTAGTGATGCTTTTCAAGAATCATTTGTGCATATTGAGCAAAGTCTTGAGTATCATTAACCAATTCATGTAAATTAGGCTGACAAAACACAGCCAATGTATTCCTGGCAATGCCTTCCACCAGAACACCCTTTACATAATGAGGAACAGCTTTAAATCTGCCTCTGGTAATTTCTTCTAATGCAGACCCCGTTTGGAAAGCTATACAATCTGATGGGATATCCACTTTAACCAGTTCGCCTTTCCTATTGCGAATATAAAGTCCTCCTTCATTGTCCGGACTTGTATCACTCACAATTTCACCACCACCATCAACATATGAGGCAGGTAAAAGCCCAGTAAGACAACTATGATCCAAGTGTTCACCACACCAATCATCTTGTATGCCTGATGTGCCTGCAATAGGGTAATAATGGAGCATTCTAGCCTTTGTAGTGGTAGACTCTTTAACTATCCGCTCAAGGAATCCTGGCTGGAAATCTTCAACTATCTGGGTCATATATTGATCACATATTCGAGCTACTTTCCCAGCCACGTTCAAGATATAGTTGCACAACTCTTTGAAATCTTTTTCAAACAGTTTAATCGTATTATCACTTGGCCATATGTTCCTCGTTGTATATGCTTTGAACTGACTATAATCCCCCAGACACATCTCCGGTGGAGGACATTCATATTGAGGATTAACATGGAACGCACAATTAGCATAGAAAGAACCCTTGTTGAAATCATATTCACCATTCTTAAGTCTCTCTCGACCTCGTGACCACCCTACAAGCCAGAATGCCTCGGGACATTCAAGTTGGGAAAGTTTGGTTGGAGGTAAGTTTGCTAATTTAGAAGCATTCAGAAGTACTATGTTTCGGAGAGAAGCTATATGAGGATCCTGATGTTTCACGATAATAATTCCCAATGAATCAGGACCAAACGCTTGTTTCAACCTAGAGAGATCATCAAAATCGTCTAGTTCTTCAAGTTTAACAATTACAACATCCAGCATTGGTAAAGGTAACACGTTGTGAAAAAAATATTATAACGTTGAATACTTAAAAAAGTAAATCTGCTCCACGGCAGGTTCGAACTGTCGACCTTCAGATTGCACAACTAAAATTAGCTATGAGACTGACGCTCTGCCAACTGAGCTAGTGAAGCAAAATTCGAAGGAAAATTCCGAGAGAAATATAAATCATAAAACACGACCCAAGAAACACTCACTTTGTAACCACACGACTGTTGCTCTTATCTTTTGAGATAAGCCATGCATTTACCACTGTGCCAGTAACCTAGAATCTGAAGAATTCGATTCATTTAATGTACCTTAAGTGTACTGAAACCAACCAATAATATAACAAGTACATTGTTATACCCTTCAACTGTCCTTCAAAGTAACTATCACAGGGAAATACGATTGCAAAATCAATGCAAACGCAGGACGCCTTGAAACCGGCACTTTGTGTTCAAGTCGTAATAGACGAAGCTCAATTAGGTAATTGCCCATCACCAACGCAACTCCTCAACAACTGGGGATCAAAAGTGGCAGGTAAGTGATGGAGTTGATTCCTGATTGATACGCTGATCGTCATTGAGATCGAATTCTTGGAACAGCCACATATAAATGAATCATCATCATTATGAGACGACTGAAGAGTACATATAATAACAGGGTTGCAATGCTTAACTGTCAGACTATCCCAGTAAAGATCCATAATTCTTTAGCCAATTCTCATAAGACATATCGATTATTTGAGTTACCGAACCATTTAAGATGCTTAGTAATTCTGGATTCAACAGAGACAAATTTAAGCGCCTGTCTCTCAGTTGCGGGGGGTGCACACATGGATCCTGACGATACTCAAGGGCTAGCTCATTTATGTGAACATATTATTATGGGACAACGAGACTTTAAGCAAGCAGTTGATACTGTAGGAGGAATAGCTAATGCCAACACTAGTGGTGAAATCACCAATTATTATTGGCAAGCTCCAGTTAACGAAGGAGATGAAGGTCGTAGTTTGGCAATGATGGATAGATTTGCAATGTTATTTGAAAAGGTCAATATCCTGGAACATTTGGTAAGAAGAGAAGTCAATGCTATTGATGAAGAACATATTGCCAATACAAACAACACTACTAGAATCCTTTACCATGGATGTAGACTTCTTGCCAACGAAGAACATCCTTTCCATAGGTTTTGCACTGGGAATAGTGATACCATTCTTGCTACTTCCTATACAACCATCAGAAAACATTTGACAGATTATATTTTTGAAAACTATTTACCCAAGAATATGGCCTTGGTCTTGAAAGGTCCCTTCCTGTTGATCAACCTTCAAAACTTGGCTTATACTACGTTCTCCAGAATCCCCAATAGCAACAACGGAATGGCAACAACGACGACAACAACAACAACAACAACAACATCATCATCATCATCAACAACACAAAAATCTTTTGCAATCGTTGATAAGCAGTTTAATTATTCTACAAGAATCTTCCAACCAGCTCCACGGCTATTGCTTATAGCTTCAGATACCAACTCATGTCTTCGGTTGATATTCCCGTTTAAAAGCTCGAGTATCAACCAATTGTTTTCCAATGCCTGGTGTGATATCTTTGGTGACGAACGAGAGAATACTTTATGCCAGTATTTCCATAAGAAACAATTCATCAACAGTCTTGTGACATCCACCAGTGCTTTGACTTACGATGAATCGATCTTCATTATCGATTTGGACTTGACCAATAGGGGGAGAGATAGGCATCTTCTTGAGATTGTCCAATCGGTGTTCTATTACATACGTCATTTGCTACCTAATGTAAGTGAAGTGGCCAAATACTTGAGCAGAATAACCACCATAAACAAGCTGAACTTTTACTATAACAGCAATCCAGGAAGTGGAGTGGATGAGATTGAAGAAATTGGGGAACGACTTCTTGGAGATTTGAATGATTTAGGGTTGCAAAACGTTATAAAGGGGTTTGGAGATTTGGATTTTGATGTTAGAAAGGGTCGGTTTGTTGGAAGTTATGAAGAAGATAAAAATTGGTGGGAGAAACTAGCTAGAGATTTTATTGCGTTAACAAAACTTGTTCTTTCACCTGCTAATTGCAAGTTGTTAGGTATGATGGACTCAGCAAAGATGTCAAGCATTTCATCTATTGCTACTCAAATTCTGGAAGAAATCACGGACCCTTATTATCAATTTGATTATCGAATATGTGAAGTAAATGATGCCATTTTCCAATCCCCTTCCCCAGATAGTCTTCCTCTGCTTCCTGAAAGTCTTCTGTCACCATTATTCATCACTACAACGCTTAAGGAACTCAATGAATTGATAACCTCATTTAAGAATAACCCCCTTGGATTTCAAAATGCATCTACACTTTCCACCACAACTCCGACCAAGATATCTGAATCCAAGCATCATGAATTATGGTTCCGTAACTCGTTGGACAATGCTACAAGACACAGACTAGTGGTTTCTTTACAATGGCAGCATCAAACATTACCTCAATCTCCTCACACAACCATTGCAATTGAACTCATTAACCAAGTCATAGGAGAAAAGTTAAAGTTAAGTCTTTATGGAGCAGAAGCCGTGGGTGTTGAATGGGGGTTATTTAGCAATTTGAACAGTACCAACAGTATTCTGTTGACTATAAAGGGCTTGATAGAGTCAATTGAACCCGTGATTCAATTTGTTGTGGACCAAATTAGAAACATCTTAACCAATTGGACATCTGTTGTTAGTGGTGAAGAGTACATTAGAGCTCGGATAACCGTTAGAAAACGTTATGAGGAACTTATGGAGTCTGGAGGTTTAACTATGGCAACTGCTGGGCTAATGGGCTTTTTAGAACAGAATATTTGGTCTGCTGAAGATAGACTAGATGAGTTGGAATTGATTGAGTTTGAAGATATTGATCTTATCTGTAAATCCTTTATCAATGGGATCTCCGAAGGTAAGTTCACCCGATTATTAATTACTGGTGACTGTTTGGAGAGAGACTGTGTAAGAGTTGCCAACATTATAAAGAAGTTAACCGGAGGAGATGATAAGAATGAGAAAGGTAATTTCCGAAAGTCAAAGCATAAATCAATGATTTCTGTTAAAAGTGCAACATCAACATATCCTACACCATCTAATTCCGTATTGCTGATGCTGCATTCTGAGAATAATTATAATGAACCAGCATCATATTATATTCCACCGGGGAAACGGTTCACATTTGAAACAGAAGCTCATAAGGATGATCCCGTGAACACGATACTCTATTATATTCAATTAGGACCACGGAATGATCCATATGTAAGAACAATGACTAAATTGTTCAACTACTTACTTGGAATTATAGCCTTGAAAGAGCTCCGGGAGAGGAAACAACTAGGGTACATTGTAATTAATGGAATGAGAATCATGAGAACTACTGTTGGAGTTTATTTGATGATTCTAAGCAGTCAATATACTCCGAAGGAATTAATGAAAGAGATAGAAATGTTCTTACTCGAGTGGGAAACATGTTTATATCCGGTGATAAGCAATGAAGTAACATTTGAACGGCAAATTATTAGACCTTTTCTTTCCCTGGTTGGTCAATACAATGATCTTATTCCTACTAATTTGGTGTACAATCTGCCACCATCAGTTAGCAGTACTAATTTTGATAATGAAAATGAAGTGTATTTAAGTCATAAAAATGAATGGGAAAAGATTCTTAATCGAACCTACAGATTTGGAGCTCAAAAGGGAGAAGATGAAATCGATCTTGATATTGCCAGGAACTTGAAAGCCAATGAATTCTGGAAATTTTTCAGAACTTACATCTCCATTAAATCCAATGTTAGATCGAGTCTTTGTGTTCTGTTACGAACAACCATGAGCAAAGAAGAAGCAGAGAGAAAGATCAAAAAGACTCAGATAACCCAATTGCTTGAAAGCCGAGGGATTGATATGACTTCGGAAGAAATTGATTCATTAATCGACAGAAATAAAGGTGACATGCTCAGAATAGCCAGTGAATTAGGGTTGGCCGGAGGAATTATCGGAAAAATAGGCATGAAGGTGTTAAAGATATTTGGAGATTCAAAGAATAAATCAAAGAGTAAACTTGATACAGGTCAATTAAGACGATTGAAAAGAGAATATGGAAATGTGTATAAGGATTTGGAGCCAGTTCTCCCAGAAGCTGTTGTTGATAGTTTTCAAGATTTTCATCAACAGCTGGCTATCATTGAGTTTCAGTAAAAAACTCTGAATTACCCATTAGGGAAATGTGCGACATTACCGATAAGACATGACAGTCCGATGGTACCGTCCGATTTGGAAGGTGCAAGGGCAATCATTAAAAAGAAACCAAAAAAAAAGTATTGGAACAAAAGGACCTAATAACAACGGAACAAATATTGATATAAAAAGGCACTAATAAAGAATCAAATGGAATAATAACAATAAACACTACCAGCATTAATGGTAATAACCAGCATAGACATCTGATTACTACCAGCACTGTACTGCGACACAAGCCCAAATAGGCAATCAATGTCACTTATGAAACAGAAAAAGAAAAGACTAAGTCGTGTATTTACCTACATGAGAACATGATATGACGGTTATATACCGGATGAAGGATAATTCGACATTAAAGGGCATTCCAGTGAACATAAGTAAATACGTTAAGGAGTTAAACTACCACAGTTATTTAACACTAATTATACACCCGCACACCCAGACAAACAAACAAGTATACACAAGTATATATATAAATAGACACAGTTATTTATATCCATACAATCATAGTTTCACTACCAAGTTGTTGTCCATCTATGATATCGAAATGTCTCAACAACAATATGTCTACAACAAGCACGGATACCCCATGTCAGTTTCCACTAATGGGGGATACTCACAATATGAAGATAACAATCAACTAGACACGTCACCAACGTTTGGACAAATGTACTCCATCTCCAAGATGAACAGTAATAACAATAATAATAATAATAGTAATAATATGGGCGGAGATATGAGTTATCAACACGAATACCTTTCCTCGAATTCATCACCAACAGATCAACACTCTTTGATTCCCGGGTCTGCTTCATCGTCTATATCATCCAGTAGTGGGATCCCCGAGTACTCGTTTCATGTTCCAAGGTTAAGATATTTCTTATCAAAGTCATTTGAAATAGAAGACGATTTGGAATTTTGTCCTGCTATTCCTGAAAACTTTAACCAATTACAGCTGCAACTGCTTCTGCAACTTAACACTACACAAGTGTCTCCACAACCAAAGAAGTTCAATCCCTACACAGCTTCGGTGTTTTCTCCCACAAGCTCAGCTAAGGAATCAGTCACTAGTAGTACACCTCCAACCTCAGCTACATCTCCTCGTGTTCATACCCCTAGAATTAGAAAACCTATTGAGATCATCAACCCTCAGACAAGAATGAGAATCAGTTCACCTGCTCTAAGCACAAAGTAATCGGTTGATCCGAGAAGACATTAAATTACATTCTGGAGGGTTTGATTCGGTTGAAATAGCAATATTTTGCATGCTTACTACTTCACTTTATTTCAATTCATCATTATACCACTTTTTTTATCATACTTGTTTGATCTTGTATTTTTATTCATCATGTTAGTTCTTCCTCATTGGTTTATCTTTATGACGGTGCATCTTTTAGTATATAATTTAGTTTTGTACATTTTTATTAAATAACATTTCCTATTAGTATTATTATTACTATTGTTATTGTATGAAGATGATCTGAAACACGACTGTTGTGTAACACCAACTAGATCTAATGATTAAATTTGTGGAAAAAATCCATATCAGCATTGACTTTCCTCTTTGGGAAATGAACTTCCACCTTCCAAATTAGGACAGAACCAAAGATTCTCATCATGTTTTGACACCATCAACCAAACTAATTTCTTAGTATTAGGATTTGTGATCATCCCCATGAAGGGGGGAAGGTATCTCGCTTGTAACTATATCAAGTGAATGGGACAAGTTTAAGGCGGGACAACAACTTAAGACCGCCGCCTTCCACTAGTATATACCCCACTTAGAATCTCAACTCTAGAATATATGATCGTAAGCAAAAATGCCACTCCACGAAAAGCATCGAATTACCCGATACGGAACCCGCTTAACCCTTCCAGAACAGGATGTTCTGTATTCCCCGTGATTGAGATCGACCTTCTACTTTAGTAGTGCTTAGCGCGACAATGTGGGATGAGATCCGGCACACAAATGATATCTTGTCCTAGTTCCCTAGCCCAACGGTAACCTAAGTAGCACAAATGGTTGGTTACATGTAGTCTCCGATAACGATAATAGACCCAATCAGTGCCCCTCAACCAAATATTTCAACCCTATAAATACTTGGGGATCCGTCACTTTTGTTGTGACTTTTTTACTTTATATACTCTACAGTCATTTACATTAAATACTTTTACTGTTTAACATGGCCCCAACTATTCACCCATTCGATTCCGTTAAGGACTATGAAATTAGATTGGCCTCTAAATTGGTCAAGGATGCTTATCCAGCATCTGCCAATGTGAACTTTGTTCAAATTGATAAAGTGGATCCTCCAAAGCAAGACATGAAGAAATTCTTAGCTATTGAAAAAGCTGGTGGTGCTTTACCAACCATTTCTCGTGTTTTATATGCTTATTATTACACCAATACTTTTACCTTCAACAAGGCTTTAGTTAACGTTACTTCAGGTCACATTATTACCAAGGAACAATTGGAAAATGGTGTTCAAGGTCCTTTGTTACCTGATGATGTTGGCAGATGGGAAGAAATTTGTATTGCTCATCCTTTGATTAAAGCTGAAATTGAAAAATTGAAGTTACCCCCAGGTTATGTTGTTCGTACCGATCCTTGGATTTATGCTACTGATGATCCAAATGAAAGAAGAGGTTTGGTTCAATTCTACATGTACCTTTGTGCTTCCAACGGTCATGCTGAATCTAACCATTACTCTTTACCATTAAAATTCTCCCCAGTCTTTGAAACAAGATCTGCTGAATTTGTTCGTATGGATTACTTACCTGGTGGATTTGATGAGACCGTTACTCCAACCTTACCATGGCAACAAGTTCCATGTGTTGAATATCACCCAGAATTGAATGGTGAAACTGTCATGAGAGATCCAAAGCCACTTTTGATCTCTCAACCAGAAGGTCCATCTTTCACTGTTGAAGGTTCCAAGGTTAAATGGTTAGGCTGGGAATTCAGAGTCGCCACCACCGCCAGAGAAGGTTTTGCTGTTTATGATGTTTGGTTCAAGGGTAGACAAGTATTCTACAGAATCTCATTATCTGAAATGACCGTTCCTTATGGTGATCCACGTGCTCCTTACCACAGAAAGCAAGCCTTTGATTTGGGTGACTGTGGTTTCGGTACCAACGGTAACAAGTTGGGACTTGGTTGTGACTGTTTGGGTACCATTCACTACTTAGATGGTATGTCTGTTCACTCCAATGGTGAACCTTATGTCATTCCAAATACCGTCTGTATGCATGAACAAGACAACGGTATCTTATACAAGCATGTCAACTATAGAACAGATGTTGCCGTTGTTGCCAGAAAGAGAGAATTTGTTGTTCAAACCATCGCCACTGTCGCCAACTACGAATACATTATCAACTTGAAGTTCTGTAACGATGGTCTTATTGACATTGAAACCAGAGCCACTGGTATTCTTTCTACCATGCCAATTGACGAAAACGTCACTGTTCCATGGGGTACCATTGTTGGTCCAAATGTTATGGCTGCTTACCATCAACACATCTTATCCTTCAGAATTGACCCTGCTATTGATGGCCACAAGAACTCTGTTGTCTATGATGATGTTGAAATGTTGCCAAAGAGTAAGTTGAACCCTTACGGGATTGGTTTCGTCACAAAGAGAAACTTTGTTGAAAGATCCGGTTACATTGACCAAGCTCCATTTGCCAACAGAACCTACAAGATCATCAACGAAAATAAGATCAACCCTATTTCCAAGTCCCCAGTTGGTTTCAAGGTTATGATGCCTGCCAGACAAATGATCTTGGCCGACAAGGATTCCTTCAACGTCAAGAGAGCTGCATTTGCCACTCAACAAGTTTGGGTCACCAAGTACAGAGATCACCAATTGTTTGCTGCTGGTGAATTCACTAACCAATCCCAAAAGGATACCGGTTTAGGTGTTTGGGCTGATGGTAAGGATGAAGTTAGAAATGAAGATATTGTTGTCTGGGCCACCTTGGGTTTCACTCACATTCCTCGTGTTGAAGACTTCCCTGTCATGCCTGTTGAAACTCACAACATTCACTTGCAACCAGCTAACTTCTTTGACAAGAATCCAGCTTTGGACTACCCTCAATCCAACCAATCATTCAACAAGTCTGTGTTGTACAATGGTCAAGCTGAAGAAAAGGCCTGTTGCAAGACCAACTTATAAAGGAACCAACAATTAGCTATTACTCTTGATGAGTAATGTTATAATTTATATTTATGTGATGTATAGAAATTAATCTTTGAAATTTGAGACTGTTGTATTTTCATGTACTCTTATATACACTGTGCTCACGAATGTGCTCATACATATTTACCTTCACACATACGTGCTCATACATACATATATGCTCACGTATATCTGCTCATGCATATGCACTCACACATATGTGCTCATACATGCGTACACGAAAACAATCTAATCTGAAATATGCTCGTAAATATGCTCGGAAACATGCGCTTCCACAAATATGCTCATACAGATAATATCTAGTAATTAGCTCCTTTCAATACTGAGGGGCACTTTAACGGATATAATTTGATCGTCAACAGTGATTAACATCAACTTGATGGCATAGAATCTAGACATATAACAGTTCTGGAACCCTGGTATTAATGTGAACTCTTCAGTAGTTGAAAATCCTTCTTGTAATCTAGTACCTAAAATATTTGCAGTATCTAAATTAAGAGATACTTCAAGCTGTTTATGGTAAGTTGAGCTAGAAGAACTTTCGTCAGCATTCTTCTTCTTCCATTCCATTTGTTCAATTGCTTTACATGCTTCAATCGAGCTTTGTGCGGAATTGAAACACTTTACTACACCCGCCTCATTGGCAAGCGATAATTGATTGATAGGAAGCTCTACTGTCTCATCTTCTATATGACAAATCAGCTTGATATCATCGGTCAATGATCTGCACACTTGAAAGTTTTCTTCTGGCAAAGTCTTTAAACATTTATAAAGCTTTAAAGAAATTTCTCTGAATGAATTCTTAAGGTTAGCTTCAAACGTATCTGGATCCTTTGATCCAAATTTTGCAGCATGTACATCCGAATTTGGAGGATACTGCTTTTGGTTGAATATTAGATCATGTTTGAATTCTAGTGCTATAGGGTACTTTTGAGATTTCAATGTAGTTACCACTAACGTTGCCTTGATGAATTTGATTCTTGGACCCTTGAAATCGCTGCTCTTTGAATTGTTCTTAAATTGTAGTTCAATAGGGACAACAACTTTCCAAAATTTCTTTAATTTCTCCAATTCAATTGGTGCCATTTGGGTTCGAAATGGCTTAGAAGGAATATACGGTATTCGATAAGTTGAAGCGGGAGTATTCAAACCAAATACCCCCATGGTAGTTTCCAGTGTTGATTTATGCATGAAGTTAGAAAGCAGTGCCTTTTTAGCTTGTTTTTTGGCGATTATGGGAATTTCAACTTTATAAAATTTTAAACTATTGGGATCATCATCATCATTTAATCTAGACTCTCGGTATTGTTGCAGTAGCTTTGCCAATAGTAAATCAGCACTTTCAGTTTCCTTTGTAATAGCTATTGATTCATTAAAATCATCAGCTTTAATCGCCTCTAGTAATCGGTTACCTGCGTTAATACGTTCTTCTAGTCTATTCTTCAAGTTTTGAACCATGAGATCTTGTTCTTTAGATTTCATTTGAAGATAAAGTTCCTTCTGTGGGATATGTTTCGGTACTATACGAATAGCATCATTGGTTTCCTTTAAAATTATAAATTCATCACCCTTATCACTGACTAATTTGGATCTATTGGAGGATTTGGAGGCATAGTTGGCTTCATATAACGATCTCTTACCAATGAAACGAGTCATAACCGAATACGACACAGAGACATTCTTTGGAGCAAACTCTTTCAATTCAAATTCTTTCTTAGCGCTATCAATATGGCATTTTCCCACAGTGGGAGGCAATTCAATGTGAGTTGAAAGAGAATGCCTTTGACATTCTGAATCCAAGAGTCTTTCAGGGATCTTAAAGTTGAAAAACCTCTTATATTTACGACCCGGTAGTAACATCCGTATATTACCAAACATGCTTCTATCCAAACGATTAGATAGAGTCAAATATGTGTTATCTCTTTCATCATATAACCCATCACATATTAAATGATCCGGAACTTCGGATGCTAACCTCGTGACATGGACCATGTTGTAACTAGCACTCAAATCATACATCTCTAAAAATCTCTCGTATCTTATAGGATTAGAAGGGTTCTCCTTTGGATTTCCAAAGATGTAGTTGCCTTCAAATAAAACATAGTACATGTCAAAGGGGATAGGAACATCCAGGGTATTTTCTAGAAGTACAAACCCATTAAGATATTCACCAGGAGCATATTCACATTTGGAAGGATCAAAGATTGTGGGTTCTACACCAATTTCACCTATTTCCTTTGTAAAGTAGACAGATTGGTGAACAGCATTGGACATTTCGTTACTGGTGAATGTTAAGTTTTCCAACTTGTGGACGTTATTTAATAGTGTTTCTTCCCATGATTGGGTTCGTTGGTCGGCCACAACATCATCACCACTATCTATTGCACTTAACATATGAGTTAGAGATCTAGAGCCCACTGTAGAGGTATATCCATCGACTTCTGAAACGTTGGTTCTGGACGTACCATTACTACTGGTAGAATATGGGGCATCGTAATTAGGAGGATCATGCGGACTTAATGGTCCATTCATAATAGTACTATACATGTAGTAAGTCGGAAGAATACTAAGTATCTCAGGTTTACTTCCGTGGTCCTGCTTGGACGGTTCTGCTATCTCCATGTTTATGATTTGCTTGTGGTCAGATCATGTTCGTTCTGTTACTTACAGGTGTATAAGTAGTTAGAGAATCGGATCAAAGCAAAGGTTGTGGTTTCTGCACAAAGGTTCAGAAGCCGGAGTCCGATGCTCGGGCCGATTATTAACGTTATAGGCTGCTACCCCAACGATATACAAGATTTATTGAGTCACAAGTTAGGAACATGACTCAGGTAGCACAGCCGTTTACACAGCTGACTAATCTATACTTTAGTTATGACATCATTCTATTGATACGGTCAAGAAGTCGAACATACTTGAAGGTGTTGATACAATAGTAGTGTATGGTAAAGCCTGGTTGTAATATACTTTTATGTGTGCGGTTGCAACCTCAGGGATTGTTCTGACCCTAGTTATATATACGTTTTACAACTAGCGAATTAGATAACATCATTAAGGTTAATGTCGTCCGATTTGTTGTTGCCATAGTCTGTATCGGATTTTATGCGGACATAAGGCTTTCTTTGACTTTTACTGTGGTTCTAATACTTCCATTAGTTACCAGTGAAGAATGTTTAGAGTACATTACTTAAAGCTTTTATTGATGGCGATTGAAATTATCCCCATCATATGAAAAACATACTACTAACGTTATAGGGGCCATAGTACTAATTCTAGTAGCATACATTCTAATGTTAAAAGAGCGTAATTATAATATATTATTAATATGCTCTAATTCCTTAAGCAATTGTCTTAACCCTACGAACAAGAATCCCCTTAAATAATCATTGAGGAAAGTCCGGTATCGTGAAATGTAAATCTTCTTCCGTTATCCTTATATAGAATATTGTGTACTTATTCCAGGTTTGTCATTACCCGAGATCAGTTCCATCTGTCCGTATACGCCATTTAAAGTATAAGTGCAAGGGTCCAAAAGGTAATTCCGCACTAGGAAGGAGTCAAGAATAACGGTTTCAAACATAAAAATAGTCTTCAGTTGTGTTCACCTGCAATTTATAATAGCACCGCCGTTGAGTACCTAATTGAATTATTCAGTTAACCAGACAGCCATTCTGTATCATCAGGTATTGGGTTTTTTAGTTGTGACATTTCGTCATGTCCTCCAACTCTTCACAAGTTAACGGGAAGCCTAACAAAAATAATAATAATAATAATAATATTAATATTAATAATAATAATGTTAACAAAATCAATGACAATAACAATATCAATAACAATATTAGCAACTATAATAATAACAGTATAAATAGTTCCAGTGCTATAACCCCCCAAAATGTGTCTAACGTTCCTGTGACCCACAGTGACTCCAAGCAATCAGATACCGATAACGTGGAACTCCATCATACCAGCAAAGTTAAACATGCCGAACCAAAACCCCCTCCCAAGGGTCGATTTGGATGGGTCAAAAGATTAATGCAGGGCCAGGGGCAAGGTCATAGTGCTAATAATCATATTGGCCCTAATGGAGTATCCCAGAAACATATGAATGGAAGAAGAATAAGAAATGACGTAGCGACCACATCAACTTCCGCACCAGCAACTACAAATACGACAGCTATGTTTCCTGACGAGAATATTGGCTCATATAATAGGTACTACGGTAATTACGGGTCCAGTAGTAGAAAGAACAGTAGCTCCAACTCTGAACCACGAGGAGAAAATTGGAAGGGCAAGAGCAATAACCGTCATAGTAGGAGTCACTCAACTGGAAAACACAGTGTTGGGACATCTCTGACAATTGCTCAAAATTCTAGCACGTCAGTTTTGGGTATCGCAAGCAATGACTCTTCACATGAACGGTTTGATAGAAGGAACAGTGCTGGTACTAGTGAGATTTCATTTAATGATGTCGATAGAAGGTCTTTAACCAGTGGGCTATCATCATTTGAAAGTAACGATATTGAAAGTGATAATGTTTCTACTATCCCGTTGAAGTCAATTACTCTGGGGACATCAACAGCCACCAGAGAGCCCAGTATTTTATCTAATAACCATAGAAGTGGACTCCCCAATGGTCATTATATTCATTATTCACATCAATCTACTGCTGCGACTATTGTCACGGCAGCTACATCCACCTCAACTGCGGCTAGTATGACACAAGGATTAGGTATTGATCTGTTTTCAGGTCATGAACCATCAACTACTGCACCTTCAATAATGACCAATACCTTAATAGTTCCTAGTGTTCATTCACCTATGGATACAGAAAGTATTATTACATTGGCGTCAAGCTCCAGACGTATGAGACGAAGAAGTATTGATACTAATTGCTCGACCAATGGGATCCCCCCTGCCAGTATTTTTGAAAGGTTAAGCGTATATCCACGGGAGAACATGAGAGACAGTGATGTAGTCACCACAAACACCACAAACACCACCACTGGGGGAGGGAACCGTATTACATCTACAAGCACAAACACCACCACCTGTTCTACGCTGAGTTCCAATGCTGTGGGTAACCCCAATAATGGGACTTCTGTATCTCATGCTTCTAACAGTAAACCTGGATCACTTTATGCGTCAAGTGTTGTTACTTCCAACAATGAAGGTGGGAATTCAGGTGAATCACCTGTAACTACGAGTATAAATGAGACGTCTGTTGGAGCATGAACACTCATGGAGAAATGTATAGAAGACTAAGATTCACGCACGTTATTGATGCATCGAAGGTTAATGGTATATAACTAAGAATAACACGGAAATTTCAAAGAACAAAGCGTATAAATACGAACATAAGATGTAAGCACCAACGTAAACAGACATGCAGACGTATACACACACACAGACGCTACATAGATCTCTACACTTATTCTACAATTAATCTATATGGAGTCTAAATAGATTTTATTCCAGATGCAGTTTACAGTTTTAAGTAGATCAAGCCATCTATATATAAACATCTGCAAAAGTGTCACAATGTTGTTTTGTTTGATGCTGTTTTGATAATTGCCATAAATGGATGGAAAAACCCCTCGATCCACATCGCAGGGATGACGATGACGGCAGGGGTGGAGGAATTTTTTGATCTATAAAGGACAAATTATAAATCCAAAACATTGAACTTAATCGCCTACCATACTAGGCCCTTTGACCATTAGATCTGTCTCTTGGCAGTACATAAAGCCTTGGTGTTGTTGGCTAACGTCTGAGTCAAGCTGGCACATATTCATAAGCATAAGCAAAGATATATACGCTTACTATATACACTATCCCTAGGCATACCCATTAGATATATACCGTATCTATAGGCGAAGACATACACATATAAGTTACATTAGTTATCTATACCAAAGATATATATTACATTTCGTTGTATATCTTATGGAAAATCATTGGGGCCATTGATAGTTATCTTGCTCAATTATTGTTGATGAACATCACCACCTCGTTCCTTGTCATATAAAGTAACATCATGAGTTTGCATTCCAACGATTCGTCTATCGAAGGCGACGTGTTTATCCAACAATTGGCGAGTCATATCCGTAAGAACGAAGAAGGTTTGGCCAATGGGTTACTATATTTTTCAAAGGCCAAGTCTCAATCAAATGTGAAATCTTCAAGATTAAGTTTCACCATCCATCATTTATATTTCATAACCGATAGAATTGAAAGCAGTCCACTTGGTGTTGATGTGGGTCCATTAAATATCAAGTTAGATACTCCAAACCATGAGCCTACATTTATATCGTTTATGGCTAACAATGCTCGAAGTTCCAAACATTTCGATAGTGATGCTCGCTCGATTTCTTCCATTAACTCCGTCAGATCAATAATGTCCAGTGCCTCTGTTTATTGGCGTAATTTAGGTTATCTGAAAGATCCTAAAGCCATCAATAAGGATTTGAACTATTTATATTCAAGTTTCACTAAAATCCCTTGTTTAGTGTTGAATCCAAGAACGAAAATCCATAGCATTCTGGGCTATGAAGAATATCCATGTGACACCAGTGTGCCGTTGAAAATGTTTAAAAACTTACAAGTTCTCGAAGTCATTGATTACGAACCCAATGAAATCTTTGGTTGGCATTGCTTATGTGAACAATTAAGAATCTTAATTATTAAAAGTAATAAAGTAAACTCAATTGAAGAAGTTCTCTTCAATTTAGTGGTTGATGACGAATATGGTCGCACAAGTTTTAACTCCACAACTTCACATTCTTCCTTGAAAGCAGCAGCAAGTGGCCGTCACAATCTTCCGTCTACTGATTTGTTTGACGATCATCAAAATGCATCTTCAACGACTTCGCTTTTAAGTTTACCTTCCTTCCATTCCCATTCCCATTCCCATTCCCAACTTGATTATGTTCCTCCTAGCTTTAATGATCACTACAAAAATTTGAACTTTAGAAGACAAAGAGCAAACACTTCTAGCAGCTCCGAAGGTAATCAAAGGAACTCCTTCTATCATAATTCACAAGCTACCATCAATTCATCCATGTCTGCTTCAAGAAACAATAATAATAACAGCAATGAAAGCAATTCCGCATTAACTCATTCAACTGATCTTATTGGAGGAGGAGCAGGCTCCTCTTCACTTCCTAAAGATTACAACAGTTCATTGAAATACCTAACAGAAGACAATTGCCATTCACATTATTCACATACATATCCAGAAGATTCTGTTGGAAGAGACTACACAAAATTACCTGAAGGTAAATGGCTGACCTTAAAACAATTGACAATTCAAGATACTTCGATAAAATCAATTGCTCCGTTTGTGTTCAAGCCATTTTGCAACTTGGTTAAATTGAACTTATCCAATAATTTACTTGAAGAAATTCCTCCTGGATTAAATCAGCTTACAAATGTTCGGTTCATAAATTTGAACGACAATTATATCACCAGTTTAAAGAACTTGCCAACATCCTTGAAACAACTTACAACCCTTTCATTAAACAGTAACCATATCACAAATTTGGATGGCTTAGAAAAGTTGAAGACTTTGCAAAAACTTGATTTGAGAAGAAATAAATTGAAAGGAATCGAATCGTTAAAACCAATTGTTCTTTTGTTTGTGAAGATTCCAAGTATTCTTAGTAATGTTTATGTTTCTCTGAATCCAGATTTGGGTAAACATTACCGAATTGATCTTTTCAATTTATTCAATGGGGTCAAATATAAGAATTCAGTTAAAATTGATGACTCCAGACCCGGTTATTTTGAAGGGGCATTGTTATTGGATCAAGAGGCATCCTTTTTAAATTTGACAAAATATCTTTCCATAAATGTTTCCAATGGTACATCAACAACCAAAAGTAAAGCAACACCACCTCCATTTGAAATTGAAAAACTTTGCAATAGACTAGAAGATATTTCAGCCGTTTTAAAGGAGACTCCAAAGACACAGCCACTAACCATTATCACAAGTGATGATGGAATGACAACCAAATTGAATTATTTCAAGATACGACAACCCAAATCCAAACCCGGTGAAGAAGAAGTTGAAGAAATTGAAAATGAAGGATCGAAACATGATCTTCCAAAAGAAAGTCTGGTATTTTCAAGTCATAATCAAACATTAGATCCCAACTCTACTTTTATTGTAGAGCAAGAAAGATCAACGTCTTCCTCAGCCACATTATTAACTTCAACTTCAAAAATTATGCCCTTGAGTGTTAATCTCAATCTTTCTAATACCAATGGAGATTTTGACGGCATGCTCTCTAAGAGTTCAGTAACTATGTCCACTGCAACAGTTTCAGTCCTCCCGCAAAGTCAAACCATGGATAATATTCATCAAAAGCTATCAATTAGTAATGGTACTATTGCATCCACTATGTCCACTTCAAATGCTTCTATGCAAGCAAATGCTTCTACTGCGACCACTACACCCCAACTGTTGACCCCCAAATCCTCCAAGCCCTCACTTATTAGAAGGTCGACTACATTTACCCAGGTTGATCTTGAGTCACCAACCACTGCAGCCACCACCTCCACTGCTCCTATCATTCTTACTCCAGTGCAAGTTACTGCCAGAATGAGTACTTGATTTTCTTAGACAATGTCGTGCTAGAGTCCGTTGGACTATGTTGTTGTATGTTTAATGTTTAATGCTAATGGTTTTTTATCTATTTTATAGGATTGTTAATGATGCCAATGAATTGTATCGTATAGTAGTTTCAAAGAATGTCGCAACAAATTATGTCGTATTTAAAATCGTGGGACATTTATATTATATTACTAGTATAAACATTTCCCCTTAGTACTTTTTTATATTTGCTCCAGTTAAGTCTTACCACCTAATAGTTTGTACCGCTGATATTTAATAAGTCTTGTTGTTGCGTTCACCATGCTTTGGCTCAGACTCTCAGCCATATTTTGTTTTGTATTGCATCACTTTCTGTATGCTTCCCAAAAAGATGCAGCCAACATGACAGATCAGATTGTTCAGAAAAGAGGCTATCATGAAGAGCAATCACTATACCATTTGATCGAAGGCGAACATCCTTCCGGTTACTTCTATTCGATGCCTCATTACCCTTCACGTATGTTTCTTCAATGTTAGTGTGTCTTCATTCACCCTTACTAACGTGTTTTGCAGCCATAGGAGGCCGTTTGAATCGCATATGGCAAAATGCCTATACAAAAGCTAGAAAAGTCGTAGAAAAAATGTCTATCCCTGAAAAGGTAAATTTGACCACCGGTACTGGCTGGGGTTCAGATCGTTGTATTGGAAACACTGGCTCAGTTCCTCGATTAGGGATCCCTAATTTTTGTATTCAGGATGGTCCCAATGGAGTCAGGTTCACTGATTTCGTCACCCATTTCCCTTCGGGTTTAGCAGCCGGTGCGACTTTCAACAAGTATTTAACATATAAAAGAGGATTGGCTATCGGTAAGGAACATAAGGCTAAAGGTGTCCATATTGTTTTGGGACCAACCATTGGACCAATTGGGTTAAAAGCTGCCGGTGGTAGAAACTGGGAATCGTTTGGTGCCGACCCTTATATACAAGGAGTTCTTGGAGCTGCCACAGTAGAAGGTATTCAAGAAGAAGGTGTTGTGGCATGTGTGAGACACTTGGTTGGTAATGAACAGGAACGTTTCCGTCAACTAGGTGAATGGGATGAAGGTGTATGTGGAGATTTAGAAACATCCATTAGTTCCAACATTGGTGATAGAGCTATGCACGAAATCTATCTTTGGCCCTTTGCAGAAGCTATTCGTGCTGGAGCTGGATCTGTAATGTGTTCATATAATCAGGTCAATAACTCCTATGCTTGTGAAAACTCTTATCTACTCAATTACTTGCTTAAAGAAGAACTTGGGTTTCAAGGGTTTGTAATGTCTGATTGGGGTGCTCAACATACTGGTATATATTCAGGGTTAGCAGGTCTAGATATGTCAATGCCAGGGGATGTATTTGATGATTGGTTAGCAGGGAAATCTTATTGGGGTCCATTGCTATCAAAATCCATTTACAACCATACCATGCCACAGGAAAGATTAAACGATATGGCTATACGTATTTTGGCACCATTTTTTGCAATAGAATCAACTTCCATACCAGGGGAAGATGATACACCAAACTTTAGTTCGTGGACACAGCATACGTTTGGACAACGCTTTCCATATCAACATTATGGTCCAATAGTCCAACAAAATTGGCATATTGACGCAAGAACAAGCTTTAGCAATAAAGTAGCGTTACAAGTAGCTCAAGAAGCAATTGTTTTGTTGAAGAACTCCCGTAAAATTCTTCCAATAGACGTGGAATGTGGTGTTAAGCGAATTCTTGTGACTGGAGTTTTAGCTGGTGCTGATCCCAAAGGTTTCAATTGTAAAGATCAGAGATGTATTGAGGGAGTTATGACCCTGGGATGGGGCTCTGCAGCAGTGAACAACCCTTACGTCATTACTCCTTACGAAGCAATTTCGGCCAAAGCTAGAGAATTGGGTATGGTTGTTGATTTTGCTAGTGATCCTTGGGACCTTGAGAATTTGGAATCAGTATCAGATGCAGCCGATTTATGTATTGTTGTTGTTGGTGCATATTCTGGCGAAGGTTTTATCGAAGTTGAGGGAAACTATGGAGATAGGACTAATCTTTCATTATGGTTTAACGGTGATGAGGTTATTAAGAAAGTTGCTGAAAATTGTGAGAACGCAGTTGTTGTTGTGAACGCTGTTGGACCAGTGGATATGGAAGAATGGATTGATCTTGAAGGGATTTCTGCAGTTCTATTTGCACCTCCTCTTGGTCAATTTGTTGGTCAAGCAATCGCCGAAGTATTGTTTGGGGAAGTAAATCCTTCGGGAAGATTACCATTCACAATTGCAAGAAAGAAACAGCATTACATTCCCATTGTGACTGAAATTGATGAATCCAATGAACCTCAAGATACTTTTGACCGAGATATTTATTTGGATTATCGATTCTTCGACAAACATAATTTACGGCCACGTTATGAATTTGGATATGGTCTTTCCTATTCAACATTTGTTGTTGAGAATATTCAAATTTCAGAAATAAAACCTCCTAGTGAATACCTCCCGTACCCAGAAGAATACTTACCTATTTATCGTACTATTGAGGACGATATATGCGACCCTGAAGATGCCCTTTTTCCACATGAAGAATTAGACCCAGTTCCAGGATATATATATCCATATCTCTATGATAGAGACGTCTATACTCTTAGGGATGGTGAAAGATTCCCCTACCCTTATGGCTACAAGCCTGATCATGAAACCTTTCCTCCTTTAGCTGGTGGTGGATTAGGAGGAAATCCAGCTCTTTGGGATGTATTTTATGAGGTAACTGTTGACGTTAAGAATACAGGAAGACTCGCCGGGGGTCATGTGGTACAATTATATGTTGAATTACCAAGTACCATTCATATAAGTCCTCCTAAGGTTCTCCGAGGGTTTGAGAAAGTATATCTTGAACCTCAAGGCTATCAACAAGTGAAATTTGAGTTGACAAGAAAAGATCTTAGTGTTTGGGATGCATATTCCCAACAATGGATACTTCAAACTGGAAGTTATGATATATTCGTTGGATCTTCTAGTAGAAGGATTGATCTTTGTGGTGAGATTGAAATTGGTTTTTGATGATGTATTATGGGGGTTATTCCACTACCCCTTAAAATGATTCGCGATGATTGTGTCTGCGCTACCGGGTTTCTTAATCAAAGCGTGTAAGGTAAACATCACACAAGTATATTCATTCTTATGCTGGTGTTATATGGATGTGTAAGTAAATACGATGTACTTTACAATATGTCCGATACACATTCACATACGAGCGAGCTCCGATTGAAGTACGAGCGGTCACTAGCTGCTAATAGTCGTAGACTGCGATCCAATCAAATTTCAAGTGGTGGTACTAATCTTAGAGACAAGTATCAAATCCATAAAGCCAATCTTAACAAGTACATTCCTCGACAACGAGAATCTGTTCCCGATAGAATAGCCGATTATGATACTGGACAAAAATATGGCAAACCTGTTACCGTGCGAAGCCAAGAGTCGTATTGGTCAAAGCAGCCAACATCATCATCTGGTGGGTATACGCGTCCCCTGTACTCCCGGAGATCACACTTACGATCACCACCAACACCACCATTTAACAAGGGAACTAATAGAAGCAGGATATCCAAGTTGTCTAAGGTTCAACTGAATAGTTCCAGGACTGGGACAAAAGGAGGGTCTATGTTTTCCAGACTCCGTGAATATTTAGAGGGGATTAATCCGTTTAATACAGAAGGATATGATGAACTTAAGACTTTAGAATCGTCTGCAAAGAAGTTTTATCCTCTGGAGGAGAAGTCGTCGTTGTCACAGAAGAAGGTTACTTTTCAAGATCCTTATAAGATCACTGAGGGAATAGATATTGATCCAGTTGATGAGATCGTGCAACAAGCAAGGAATAACGACAGTAGTCATAGTAGTGCCAGAAGGTCTCCGGTAAAGACTGAACTGGTAACTAGTGTTATTCGAGAGTCTGATAGGTTACAAGAAGAAATCAAAAGGCTTTCAAAAGATGTGGAGGCTCTTAGAGAAGAGAAGCGTGACGCACTTTCATCACTTCGGGCTTTGGAGATGAAAGAACAACAACTAAAGAATGAAATCCAATTGACCAAAGAACGGTATGAAAGCAGAATATCTAAGCTTGAACAAGTGCTTGATGCTGGTAATAGAGATAAAGCAAATTTGAAGGTTCAGTTGGAGAAGAAAGAATCGTCCATAAATCTACGAGACTTGCAACTACTGGATCTTCAGAAGAGATTAGAAAGAGATGATTATGAGTTAAGGTTGAGTCAAAAACTCTTTGAAAGAAAATGTCATTATATGAAACAATTAGAAAAGCTACTACTTAAACAAGCGAAACTTGAACGAGATATTGATCAACTTCGTCTGAAGTATTTGCATCTTACAAAGTCAAATCACACTGAAGATGATATTATTCCAACATTGGAGACCAATGCTATTCTGAAGACCTATGAGAGTATCAAGGAAAGTCTTTGTTCTTCTGAGTTCCAAGAGAATAGCTTTGATGCTTCTACCATGAGAGACTTAGTGGAGCGAATGATGAGTTACACGGATTCAGAGGTGTTAAAGAAGTCAAAGAAAGTTACCAAGTTAAAGATAATACTTGAACAATTGTCCGAACTGAAGTCTACGGTTTATCTAAGGAAAGTTAGACAAATACATGGGCTTCTTTGTAAGCTCTTGACCTTAGTTCAAATCCAAATCTTACTCTTAAAATTTGAGTATAAATCTCAGGTTAAGCTTGATGTCAGGGACTCGGGACTTCCTTATACCTTACACGAGAAGTGGCTTTCCTTTTGCTTTGACGATGAAGGGTCGTCTGAAGATGACATAAATGAAATGTCGTGAGATGTCGTAGTCATAGAATCATATATACATAAATACCAGTTTGCGCGCACCAAATTACTAGGTGAGGTGATGGAATCGAGAAGTCATTAACTACAAAGCTCACCGTACACGTTCTCATACGTGTTGTTGTTATTGTTATATAGTATAATGGACACCAATCGAACGTTGCCTGTGAAACTACAACCGTCTAATATACGGCCCATTGTGTACCGAATACTCTCTAAGAAACACTCGTTGAACATAAAGACAGACGCGTTAGAGGTATTAACTGAAGTCATAAGCAATAAGTTTGGAGTGGATTGGAGAGGACCCGTGTGTCAGAAGTTTCTAGAAGCTATAGCCAAAACATGGAAGTTACAAGATCGAGGTCTATTTGTTGATGGAGCTGGTCTTAAACAAATAGTCAAAGAGTTGAACCAGATAGAATCGCGTCAATCATCACCCACATCAAGCATAATAGCTTCAAGATCAGATACCATTGTTGATCTTGATTTAAATGGTGGTGAAATAGAAGAAGATCTCAGTTTGAACTGGGAAGACTTCTTCAAAGTGGTCAATCCTGATGACCAGATGAACTTCACTTTTGATAAGACAAGAAGACAATTCCTTTTGATTCGGAACGGGAGTAGATTCCAAGCTCATCTTGAAGCACAAGTGCATTATTTCAGCAATAGATACAATCTTATAAGTGATAGGTTATCACGGAATGAATCATTTCACAAGACATCTATTTCAAGTATTGCATCGATCAATCAATCGATGTTGAGGGGTAAGATGTCCAATGAAATCACGTTGATATCCAATGTATTGGGTAGAGATGGGAGTAGATTTATATTGTTTGGGTTTATGACCAAGAATTATCAAGACAAGTTTATTCTTGAGGATTCATCAGGTTGTATTGAGTTGAACTTGCAACAAGCCATTAAACAAGAGGGATCCTTCTATTGTCCTGGGATGTTTATAATTGTTGAGGGGATCTACTCGAGTACTGGGGGGAATAGGTCTTCAGAGAGTTTAATTGGTGGATGTTTCCATGTAAGTACCATGAGTCATCCACCAGCAGAAAGAAGAGACCAAAGTATTGAAAACTATGGTAATATTGATTTTTTAGGCATTCAAACTTCAATTGGAGTATCACTGCGTAACATAGTTGAGACCCATGCTTTAAAGATTCCTAAACCTTTGAAAAGGAAACTTGGGGTATTGGAGAAATCTTTATTGGGTCATAAGTTGATATTTATGGGTTCAGATTGCTTTCTAGATGATTTCAAAACTTTAGAAGCAATCAAAAAGTTCTTTATACAATTGGAACAAAGGATAGATGTGGCTCAAACAGATTTAAATGTTGATGATGGTGGAGGGCTTGCGCCTTTGGCGGTTATTATGGTTGGATCATTTATTTCTAAGCCATTGTCAACTTCAAGTCTTTTAAGCGCATCATCTACTTCTAATGCTGAAACATATAAGGAGTTATTCAATCAACTAGCATCAATATTGGGGACTAATTGCCCCAATCTTATTCGCAGGGCTAAGCTTGTACTTATACCTGGACTGAATGATCCATGGCAATCTGAATATTCATTTGGAGGATCTCAAATGAATGTATTCCCTCAGAAACCCATACCTACATTATTTGCCTCAAGATTAGAACGACTTTTACCTCGAGGGAATCTTATCTTTGGTTGGAACCCCACCAGAATAAGTTATCTTTCACAAGAAATGGTGATAATGAAAGACGACATTTTCAACAAGTGTAAGAGAAATGATATCGTTTTACCCCACGACATTAAAATGGAACAAGAAAGAACAAAGAGACAAAACATGCCATTGGAAGAAATGGTTAAAGAAGTAAGTCTCAATTCGACTACTCCTCATATTTCACCCAAAGTTAGAGAATCAAGGAAACTTGTTAAGACATTATTAGATCAAGGGACTCTCCAACCATTTCTGAAAAACTTAAAGGTGGTTAACGCTAGTTATGATTATGCCTTGAGAATTGAACCATTACCCACGACCATTATTCTTCATGATGCTAACTTTGAATTCTTCGAAGTCACCTACAATGGATGTAAAGTGATCAATGTGCCGAGGTTGATTGGTACTACCAGATACCTTAATTATGTGGAGTATACACCTTCTAGAAAGAAGTTTCATTATGCAAAGATATTCTTTTGAATAGAGGTTTAATTATGCATAGAAGTTCTATCGATAGATAGTGTACATGTAGTTTATATGCAGTCCATTGGGAGCGGAAAAGAACATAGCATTTACTTCATTGAACCTCAGTTCATAACCTACTTGTCATTACTTAACTCAATTGTAAACATGGCATTGGTGAAGGAGAAACACATTCAGTTTATTAAAAGCTTAAACGATGATGTGACTGAACAAATGATTGAGTACTGGCTAAGCGAACATCTTCGGTTAAATGGAATTTACTGGGGGCTCACAGCAGTCCTTCTATTGCAAGAACCCTCAACTTTAGATCAACAAGAAGTAATCAAGTTTGTATTAAAATGTTGGGATCTGAAGCAAGGAGGATTTGCTCCGTTTCCCCGTCATGATGCACACATGTTATCTACATTATCTGGGATTCAGATCCTAGCCAATTATGGAGCATGGGACGTATTAAACGAGAAAAAACAGGACTTGGTCAAGTTCATTAAAGGACTTCAATTACCGAACGGCTCATTCCAAGGTGATAGGTTTGGAGAAGTAGATACAAGGTTCTCTTATAATGCTGTATCATCATTGGCCATATTAGGAGAATTGACCAAAGATGTAACTGAGCCAGCATTGGAATTTGTATTGAGATGTCAAAACTTTGATGGTGGATTTGGAATGGTCCCTGGAGCAGAGAGCCACGCAGCACAAGTATTCACATGTATTGGGTTTTTGGCCATAACTGACAATTTACACCATATAGATGTGGATAAGATCGGGTCTTGGTTAAGTGATCGACAAGTTGAAAGTGGAGGATTAAATGGTAGACCAGAAAAGTTACCTGATGTTTGTTACAGCTGGTGGGTATTATCTTCGCTAGCCATGATAGGGAAAGCCCATTGGATAGATTTCGATAAGCTTGAACAGTATATATTGAGTTGTCAAGATACTGAAAATGGAGGTATTAGTGATCGTCCAGATAATGAATGTGACGTGTTCCATACATGCTTCGGACTTACGGGTTTGAGTTTGATGAATAATGAAAAGTACTCTATGTTAAGCATAGATCCAATTTATTGCATGCCAAAGGAGGTGACCAAGAAGTTTGACAAATGGAAACAATCAACTACATGATGCATAACTGATCTGCATAGTACGTCAAAAAGTGGTGATATGCATTAATGATCCATAAAATACAATAAGAGAAATAATAAATAACAAGAAGAATAATAATAATATAATGTTAAGAATTCTCTAATTCAAAAGAAAGTTAATTGAATGGTGAGATTTCTTGCTGATTTGGTTTAACCCTCGACCGGCAATACTCTTGGAACCATGAGACTTGCTACTAGCGATTCCACTAATTATCCGTCGCCATCTAAATTGACATGCATTTGGAGTGCGATCATAAAAAAATGCAGATATTTCCCTCCAACCGAGCTTTTGAACTCCCTTAAGTTTTTGAAGAAGCTTATCTTCTTCAGGAGTCCATGTAGTTTGCTTCGTTTGTTTCCGAGGCTGTCCGATAGCCGATTGCTGATTGTAAATGTACTGTGAGGTGTGATAAACATACGAAGGTGTTGAACTCAGATGATAATACTGCGGCTCAACATATTGCTTGCCATATGCGGTAACGGGTAATGCAAACCAAGGTTGAGCGGGTGGTGGTTTCTGTGACCTAGTGTCATGTGTGGGACAACTGTGTCTTTGGAGTGGTCTAGATTGGTATGCAACATAGCGATAGCTATCGGGTACTGCTGCTGGATAAGTAGGTGGAGATTCCTGGGGCTTGCGTGTATTAACATATGCAACTTGTGTTTGTTGAGCTTGAGTAACTTGGTGAACAGACATTTGTTGCTGTTGCTGTTGTAGTAGTAACTGATGTTGATGTTGATGTTGGTGTTGATATTGGTGTTGGTGCTGGTGTAGATGTTGATGTGACTGTGATTGTTGTTGTTGTTGCTGTTGTTGTTGATGATGATGTGGTAGCTGTAAACTGTGAAGAACAACTCCGTTGGTCGGGGAATTTAAAGGATATAAGGGAGGGAGAGGACCTGATATGGTCGATACTAGAGGCAATGGTTTTGAGTTCAACACCAAAGATTTGTTTTCAGTTGGAGATACAGCAGCGTTTGGTGGTAAACGTTGTATTTGTTGATGTTGATGCTGTTGTTGTACAGTTGTAGGTTGGGGAGGACCCAATACTGGCGTAGTTACAGGGATCATTGGAACAGGGGAGATTGCATCTTCATGAATTGTTGTAAAAGATGATCCAACCGGTGAAAGCAAATTTCTGTTTGAGATAATACCAGAATCTCTGTTTAGCATTTGACAGTTGGTAGGTAAAGTTCAAAAATGTCTCGATTAAAGATAGTATGATATGGTGGTAAGGCAAAGGGCTATAGATGCGAAAAAAAAAGATAATTATATGGTATTGATACTGATTATTGACTTTTTGATTATTTAGCAAATTATCAACTGGAACAGAGTAGCAATAGCAGTAGTACTAAAACAAGAAGGTTTATTATTTGGGTGGGATGAAGATGCTGACGAAGTGAAGTAGAAAAGTCAATTAGTTGGCCATTATGGCAAGGATATATATGAAAGGCAAACATGTACCTGACACAATTTAAAGTAAAAAGAAAAGAATGCAGTCCGTGATAAGAACCCGGTAGAGTATTAAACAACGGTATGCACCATTGAGAAACCAACAAGGTAAAATAGGTGGGAACTAAAAACCTCCAAACAGCAATGTAAACAATAGAGAATATAACGTAGACAATAGCAACATTAACATTGGAACAAAACCTGCCTACATAAAAGAGGAAATAGAGTAAATAAAATAAATTATTTTTAACAAAGAATGGAATCACATTTGCCTGTTATGCGTCCCGAGCATTATTGTGTATGTGGTTGTAATATCTTTTCATAGGTCGAAGGGGTGCCACTTTCCGTATTTGGCGCCTACAATACAATGGACAGGATCTCCACATGAGAATGTTCCATGTGTAGACTTTCATCTTCTCCTACATTTAGCACAAAGTAGGTCTGACCTACACTCACACATCGAAAATGAATACACATGCACTGCTTACCTTGCATCGCATAATCACAGACGCTCAATGTGACCCAATGCTAGTGTTACCAAAAGTCCACTTGAAAGATCGGTAAGACAATTAAAATCGGTCTCCTTAGCTGTTTCATAGTGACAAAGCTTTACCGTTGTATCAAGAAGTATAATAGTTTGTACGTTTATTAAGTTTGCATATTTACTTTGTTGTGGTTCGCAATCTATTGCTTGGTTTCAAAATTTTCCCCAATTCGTATCGAGTATTTATTTCGTTTATTTCATTAGTTTGGTCTTCCAGCTTCGCCTACCTCCTTTGGATTATTGTTCTCTAAGCGAAGACCTTCCTGATGGTCTTTTTGGGGGAAGGTGAGGAGACACAACTTTCCCTGTTACTCAAAGTTGTGGCCAAATATGCTTTTCGTCTGGATAATTATTTGCAGCCGCCGTATCATGTCTAAGGATTGCCATCCCCTGTACAGATAATAAAGAATGGCCCACACGTCGCCTTGGTTTGGAAATATTGTGTCTAGCGGTCCAAAACCTACCAGCATCTCTTGCACGCAACTTCAATGGCCTGATAATGATGTTGTAAGAAACCATGAAATGTAAACTTAAAGATGATGAGGAGTACTCATAACCTAAATTCGTATTAATTATTCTACTTACTATTTACTAATACATCAAGGCGAGAGGGACTAATATGTAGATGAAGGGCTTGCTGATCAAAGACCTTTCGGCTACCCATTCTCTAAAATTGGTTACTAAGGGTTAGATATATAGGCTAAACGTTTTTCCTATGGATTATATATTGTACTTTATAACAATTGGTACATTTGACTTTAATCGAAGTTGGCTTGCATTGGTCTTATGTATCGATTTCTTAGTAGATCATTGCTGGATTGATGAGTGGTTAATGGCAATACAATAATCTGACCGCACGACTCAATTCTTTATGGTAAGACATCATTATTGCTTTAAAGTGAATACCATATATCGGCTTCCCCTCACAACCTCTATTTTTTACATTATACGTTTCTGGTATCGAGGGCATTTAGCACAACGCATGGAAGCCTCCTCAAGAGTATTTTCCAAACAGGCATCGCAAAGGGTGCTTGTGCATACCTCAGCATGCATACGTTTGCATGCATAAGTACAGGTATCAAGAATAGCTGCGTGCAGTAAATCATGAGATTTTTTTCTATTTGATGCTCTACACCCAGGTCTTGCCAACAACATAGAAATAGAAAATCTGTACACACTACTTAATCCTCGTGTATTATTCCGAATGCCGAATAGGTGGCTTCAGCATTAAATGTATTGCCTTCTATGGGTAGTGGTGAGGTTCCTGCCTGTAGATTGGATTAGGTTAACCCTGCGTATCAAGTCGCCACTTTTATTAACAGAATCTCTAAGATACATAGATATGGACTTTCTACTACTACATTAAATTGTACTAAACAATTTTTTGTTTGTTTTGTTATATACCTTGAGAAATGTAGGCGGGAAAAAAAATTAAGAATGTGCATTCCTACAGTAGCAGAGTGAGTTTGGGTAACGTCATTGCTACTCTCAAACAAATCTAGTTTTTATTTGGAAATCTCTGACAACATTAGGCTAATTTGAAACGCTCATCTGGTAAACAAACAAAACCAGAGAAGAAATAAGTCGCAAAATAGTTCACGTGCACAATTTGGTCTTTTTCAGGTTAGAGTTATTCTTCCTTCTCATGCAGCTGCAGCTCGGTTGCATATGCATGCATGATCTTATTCATTGTTTTGTTGTCGTAACCTTGCGCATCGCGTTAAAATTGCCAGTTTTTGATGTATTAGATAGGGAGTTCTAACATGGTACATTTGATGCAGATTAAGCCTAACTAAAGGATGTAAAGTATATTTACACCACGGGATACCTTACAAATACTTTGAATACAATAGAGAGTTGTATTAGATTCTGAAATACACCAGGTTCTAAATCTATTTAGAGTTTTAGTCTAATTTCGCATTGTCGCTAGCCATGCCTAGTTCCTGTATGTGTTGAAGGTTCTGACGCACCTGCAAAGAACAATAGGCAAGAAGGCAACAGGTTGCATCCACGTAAGTGCACTGATGACTAGTTAACCGCTATGAATTGGCTGGAAGACTTGGTTATTGACAGATGAAATTAGATCTTTTAAAGAAAGCTATTTTGAGGCATATGATTGATATCAATCTACTTGGAAAAGTGTCAATAAGAATACAAGTGAAAACTTCCAAGCCCTTTGAAAACGAAACTCTCAAAGGGCTTTTTTTTTTGGAGAAATCTGGTGCTACTGCGTTTTAACTTTAAGTTTTAAAAATGTTGAAAAGAAAGGCATATACTGTGAGCGTGGGGGATTTTAGGATAAAGCCCAACTTTCCCTCCTCTCTTAGATTGGCCCAGAACTTTTGCTACATATTGCATTACATTAATACCAATCTTTGGTGAAACTCCTTGTCGGGCCATATATATGAAATGCACGGAGATGACCATTATTTGGGTGAGTTGCCGTTGGTTAGAAAAAGAGTGGAGACAATCCCGATAGCCCCGTAGGAAAGCGTGCTACAAAATCAAAAGTAAAAGCTTTATTGAGTTGCAAGTTTCCTTAGGCCTCAAATAGTCTACTTGGGGTGTTTATTAGCCGTTCGCTAAGTGTCCATAGTTGTTATTCACCAAAACTTGTGACCGATGATTCGCCAGATCTAGACCCATACAGTCGTTAGGTCAGGTCAGCCCTATATTTCGTATTCCAACAGCTTTGTCAGGGTCCTTTTATCTACTATTATCATACATGCATACAATAATCTGCAACCTTGAAGAGCTTGCTCAAGTCATCTGAAACAAAATGGATACCTTCAATTTGAAGCAAGGAAAATTCTACAATTCCATACAAGGCCACACCCGAGCTATTCTTAGATATGAAATAAAGTCAGGCAATTTCATATATCTGTCAGTGCAAATCCAGACATAAAAGATGGAGATGGAGTGAAAGAGGGAAATTTGGTTTCAAACCATGTTTTGCTTAAGATCTGCCCATTGAAGGGAAATATAAGTAGCCTTGGCTTTTAAATGTCTCAATTGGGTGATATTGGAATTTTATAATGCAACATCATTCCACACTAAACAAAAATACGCAAACGCAGTCTCACCTCTAAACGCACACACCACCGTTTGACTTTTACGGCAAATCTATTAGAGTAAAACTACGGCTAACAAAACACGGGGCTCCCTATGGGATACGAGTTTAATGAGCTATATGAGGAGACGGTTACTCAGGGGTTTGATAAGTTAAGTATTTTAGCGCATGCCACAGGTGAAACTAATCTGTGCACAAGATTAGAATGCATCGTCTACTTGTAGCACCACAAAACTAGAAAATCCCCCCATCGTTATAGATAACCTTTACCTACCCCTGATCCAATGCAGAGTGTGAACATGACTAAGAGAGCCAATTTGGGAAGTTACACACGATGCTTGATTTTTTGTATGTGCATTTTTAGGTGTTTACTAACTATGGAGCAATCATTTGTTCGGATAAATACTAACCTTCAGGTTATACCACTTGACAAGTTTATAGTCTACTTGTTAGTAGGTATTGTGTTTATTTGTTAATTATTATTATTCTAAGTACTACGATCAATGCTATTATTGGCATTGTTCTTATCATTATTATTGTTGTTGTTGTTGTTGTTGTTGTTGTTATTGTTATAGTATTCTCTATACTATAATTGTTTTTAGATAGTCGCTTGTGACTTTTTGGAACCAGTGATTCTGTGTCTCCCTCGGTCATCAGGGAATGCGATTCCAGCAAGTAGAAACTATAAACCAATTGCTCTACAAGTACAGTACCGATCAATAATAGTTGCTGCTAACTTTAACGTGCTGCATAATTATATGTAGGTAACCCCATGAAATGTTTAACGGTTGTGATACGATGTTTTATGAAATAGTCAATTCTTACATAAAAACGCATTTCCGAAATATCTATTAACCTCAAGTAACTACTATAATCGGTGTGCTGATAAATCGATAAGAAAGTATTTTCCATTGGACGGACCGGACCTAAACTCCCGATGATCCAAACTTGCTTGCCCATTTCTCGTATTCTTCAAGTCCTTCTTTTGATACACTTGGTCGAATATAATTCAAACTGGTTTTGAAATCGTCTAAATTAATTGGACGGATTTGCTCAGTGGGTGTACTCAATAATTGATCTCCCAATGACCTTAAAGGTCCCATAGCACTGTCCTTTGCTAATGCAGTGATATCAGATCCACTAAATCCTTCAGTCAATTTAATAATCTTTTCATAATCATCATCAGATAATATATTCTTTTGATACTTTAAGAGCTTCTTAATTTGTCTCTTTCTGGCTTCATCTTCAGGTAATGGAATATATTGCCTCTTGACAAACCGTCTTCTGGCTGCATCATCAATTTGCCAAGGTAAATTGGTGGCTCCAAGTACTAATACTCTATCATCTTGTTGATCACTATCACGACCAGCTGCGGCCGCAGATAACTCACTCCATTGAACCAAAAATTCATTCTTTATTCTTCGGGTGCTTTCTTGTTCGTTTTCACTTCTTGATGTCAAAAGCGAATCAATCTCATCAATAAATACAATAGATGGACTAAGCTTCTTGGCCAATAAAAATAATGCCTTGACCAACTTCTCACTTTCACCCAAATACTTTGATGTCAATGATGATGCAGTAATGGAAAAAAAGGTAGACTTGGATTCAGTGGCTACGGCTCTGGCCAACATGGTTTTCCCAGTACCAGGAGGTCCAAACAACAACATCCCACGGGTAGGTTCACGTAAACCTTTAAATAAATCAGGACGTAAAAATGGATACACAACAGCTTCCTTCAAGGAGTTTTTAGCTTGTTCTAATCCAACAATATCATCCCAATAAACTTCATCTCCATGGACTACTATATCGTTAAGTATTTGTTTAGCTGCTTGATGATCAATGCCTCGAATGGATTCAATCACCTTATCATCATCCAATTCATCATTGACTTCGTCGTCTCCGATATTATCAGCGCCATAGTGGCCCAAAATATCGTCCATTGTAGGACTAGTTGGTGTGCCTGGCTCATTTGTAGATTTGGACTCGCTCAACGTTGGAGGTGCGGGTTTCTTTGTCTGAATAGCAGGTGAGGAGCGGCTTCTAGTGGATGCCAGCGGTGGTATAGCCTTTTTAGGTGCTTTAACATAATTATAAGTGATATTGGACTTCTTTTGTTGAACGGAGAGTCCCAGTCTTGTTGGCGGTATGGTGGTGTTGACACCAATAGGAGCCTTCTTTGCTGGTGTTACTTTCGTTGTAGAGGTAACTGGCTTGCGAGTAGGGCTTCTGTTTGTAGAACTGTGAGGTCTTGGTCCCTGATTCTGTCTCATAAGTTTATTGATGTTGATAGGCTTCGGCTGATTGTAGACGTAAACTCTTTTCTCAGGAGTATATAGTTGCTGTGATTCCAATTGTTGTTGTTGTTGTTGTTGCACTTGATACTGATTTTGGCTTGGAGGCAGCAAGGAAGGTACCAATGAAATTGCGCCGACAGCTGGGCTCTTTGGAGCCGTGGTCTTTCTAGGTAATGGCGGAGGAGGAGGATGTTGATGATTTGTTGATGTTCTTTCTTCATGCAAAGACAAATCATCTAAAGATTTGGTCATATTATTATAAGACTCATAAGTGTAAGGATCAGTATCTAAATCGATTAAATTCGGAGGCTGGGATTCATCATGAATAGCCTCCCAATTGCCATCCAAACTATTACTTTTAAGTTGTTGTGATGATGCTTCTGAGGCTCCATTATTGTGATTCCCATTACCATGGAGATGATAAGAGTTCTGGTCAAAGTCAAGAAACAAACTATCGGTTGCTGGAGCTGGAGAGCTTCTTGTTGGTCTATTCCACATTTTATTTGCTGCTTGGGAAGCAGTTTCATTTGGTTTAGCTTGGGTCTGGGTTGAGGGAGGTCTTAAGGACTTTCTCATCTGTCTATTTGAATTAAGGGAGTTCATTGAACTTCCATTCCGTAACGAAGGAATGGAAAGGTTTGTTTTCAGATGCGATGAAGAACCATAAACTGCTGAAGAAGAAGAAATTGCATTCAACGCTCGTCTTCTTTCGATTTCTTCCACTTTAAGTTGAACTCTTACCAAATGCTTGACATTTTGATCACGGATCTCCCGTAACTCATTCATGATTCGTAGTTCTTCCCCGCTGAGCTTGGTGGATTGCTTATCAAACACGTCTAGTTTGAATAGTAAAGATGTATGCAAACTTTTCCAACCTTTAAGTGCTTCTTCCTCCTTGTGTTGCTCCTCTAACGTAAGGTTCTTGATCGTGAGATTGGTGCAATCATTGTATGTCTGCTCCAACTCTTCGTTGATCGACCCATGATTATTGGCTTTCCTCCGCAGAAACATGGTGATGGCATCAATATTACGGTTATATATACTTGGGTTTAGTCGTCGTAGTAGCTGTAACTGTAACTGTAGTGATCAATTAATTGGATTGTCGATAGGCGTAGCCGTGCAAAAGAACAAGAAAAGAGTCTCCTATGGTTTTATATCTGAAAAAACCAGTAACTCCAAACCACTATGCTATCTTCCAGTAGTAGACAGTTGGTAAGAACAATTAGTGACGATGCCGGGACTGTATGCTAAGAGTGCACTGATGAGTATAAGTACAGTGTATCATTCTTGCTTGGTGTCTTTGTCTCGCACTAGTTTTTTCGTTGTCCCTTAGCAGAGAGGAGGCACACAAAGAATCTCTTAGGGTAGTCTCACCATAAACTTTAGAATCTAGCACTACTACGTCATAAGATCAAAGGTAAGATCGGAATTCAGTGTGTTATTATGAATTACTGTGTGAAACTGTATTAATCATTGAAGTTAACAGTGTATTGATAAGGTTTTGGTTCTTGACCTTAGTCTAAAAATACTATAACAAAGGCACTACTATTGTTTGGTAGCTTCCATCATGAAAGCAATAGAGATGTTTACATATAATTGTCGTGACATAACGGGATACCCTCAAGTTTCTAACCTCAAAGAATATTCTATTTAATCACTCTTTATCTCTCCAGGGGTGTATCAACAACTTCGCCACAACACTGGTAATGATATTGAAATACTCCTAACAAAGAGTACTGTATTGTTCTCCTAATTTAATAGGCAGAACTAGCACATCTGAGCTTCTCGAAAATACACATTAAAGCGCATTTCGAGGCGGAATGTTCCTCCACCATTAACAATGTTTCTACTCGAAGCTGCCAAATTTCAAGCCTGGATTAAAAACTTTCGATAAGGAGAAAAAAAGAGTCTTAGTTTAATACTAACTTCATCGCAAGAAAAATCTTTTAAGAAATCATTGCAATGTGCGGGTAACCCCTATCTTATAACCTAAACTGTATAGACTTTACCTTGCCTAATTCAGGCATTGAAGGCAACGATCACCAAAGAACCTGTTGGCAAAAAATATAGTTAATTTATTCTGTTATATAGTCTTTACTTCCAGGTGTCTGTAGCCATGGTTTCTATTGCTGAAGTGACCCAATTGGTGGGTAATTTGTTGTTGTACGTCATGACTATAGTACTGAGAAACTCGTTAGTAGGAATTCAGTATATGGTTGCCAACTATCCTGAAGCGTCGAAAGTGGTCTTTATGTTATTAGCTTTGTATGCCTTGTATAAGGTAGCGGTTCGTATGATCAAAATGTGGGTTCGTACCTTGGTATTTATTTGTAAGTTTGTCTTAGTGATGTGTATGCTTTTATCGTTAGTGGGAGTTTATGTGCGGGGGCTGAAGTTGTTCACTCAAGACATGCCTAATGTGTTGCACATTTTTACTAATAGAGATGAATACATGAAGTCATCGTACGAGTTGTACGATAACATCAATGGGGTGTTAGATTACATTCAACTGAACGATGAATTGAGAGATCTATTCATGGCCACAAAGAAGAATATGGATAGTGTGATGGAAAACGTCGAAGGGTTTGAACAGGCAAAGGAGTATGTCAATAAATTTGTTGATAAAGATATACAAAACTCAGTTAAGGATTTTGTTCAACAAGGAAGTGCTGTTGCTGGACAATTTGTTAACTATGCTCAAGATCAGCCGAATGTGCGTAACTTTGTGAATAACTTCTGGAATTAAATTACTATGAAAATGATGATGTTAATGCTATAGACTTATTTGGCTTTTTCTTCAGGAGGGAGTTCATCAATACAATGCAACCCATGATCTTCTACCATGAATGCTGTTAAGAAACATACACCCATCAATGGGATTGTCATATAGAAATACTTTCTGATGGCCTTCATATAAATATTCTGGAGTTCTTTTAGTTGACTTGGATCAAATAAAGAAAAGTCAACCTTGGTATAAATGTTTTCCTTGATGTATTCAAGCTGACTCTTTGTTAATGATGTAGTTGGGTTCTTCAGTGCACGGTTAATTGACTTCAAAACATCATTGGAAATAATTAAAGAAGAGATTGCTATTCCCAATGCCCCACCAAACGATCTAATAACGTTACGACAACTTATAACAACTGCTCGTTCTGATTTCTTGGACAATGCTTGGGCTGCAACGACTGTTGGTTGGAAAGTGCACCCCACTCCAACACTAGTGATGATTAAAATGAAAACTACCCATCCGATGTTAATAGTGGGAGTGATTAACAATAATAGGCCACTTCCTAAAGTCCATAACCCGTACCCGGTGATAATGACGAAATAATAATGGCCAGTATAACTAATGATTTGGCCTCCGATCGTTGATGTTATAGACAGAGGTAGAACCAAGGCAATTACCACTGCTGCATTCTTTATTGCTGAATATCCCCTAACCAATTGTAAGTAGTAAGGGATATAAGTTTGAAGACTATAATAAGCCATTCCAAAAAGAATATTTGAAAGCAAAACTATTGATAAAGACCTTCTGGTGAAAAGAACCAATGGTATCATTGGAAGTTTGGCTATTTTACCTTCCACTATCAAAAACATTATAAAAAGAATACCACCCAAAGTAAACATGGAGATAACTATTGCACTATTCCAAGCAAACGTGGTACCTCCTCCATTAAGAGCAATTAATAAGAACATCAAACTGGTTGTACTAAATGCTATTCCACCGTAATCAATTGATTTGAATTTTTCTCTCTTATTCAAAACTTTATCAAGTTCATTCTTGTTCCCAATGTCCACCACAAAATAAAGAGTGATTAAAACGACCACCACGATAGGTGCTATCAAATGATAAAAGTTTCTCCAAGAACTATGCTCAACAAACGCCGCCATGGCAAAGGGTCCAACACAGTTGCCAATACCAATTTGAGCTGCAAGAATCCCTTGAAATTTCCCTCTATCTTTTAATGTGACCACATCACTAAGTATAACCATAGTGAGAGATTGAACCCCGCCAATTCCTATACCTGCGAATGCTCTAAAGATATAGAACTGCACACCAGTTTGAGCAAATCCACTGGCCAAATCTGCCACGGCAAGAATTCCCAAGGCAAGGATCAACACAGTCTTCCTCCCAAACATATCAGCAAATCTACCATATAAGATTTGAACAGAAGTGTTAGATAATAATTGAGCTGTAGCTGCCCAATTGATAGAATTTTGAGCTCCTTTCAATTCCCTAGCCATTATAGGAGTCGCAACATATAATGATGATTGATCAACAAAGACTACAAGTAATCCTAAAGACATTGCAGCCAAACATATGATTAACTTTCTTTGAGAAAGTATATTGATATGAACATTTCCAAGTTTATCTGCTAATTCAACATTTGTTGTTGTGGTATCAGGAACATCCTGTTGTTTTTTTTGAACATCACTAAAGACGTCTTCGATTGGTGGTACTTCCACTTCTTCATCGGGTTTCATTATGAAGAAACGTATGTATTGTTGTTTCCCCTTTTTGTACCCGACACAAATGTAGATATGTAGATCATGGTATACTTATATATAGTGAAGGCTTTTTGACACATTTTCGGAGTCCTTATCGGAGTTTTCATAGCGCTTATATGATGCCGTACTCATTGCAATGACATGGGCGGACTTTGCAATCTTAACTCCACTCCATTCCTCTCACACGACTTTTAATTGGTACATCGCATTGGTCATCGACGAAAAGGAATAGATTTAGTGGTGGAAGTTTCGGGTTCCAGATCGGATTATTTAGTATATTCTCCCAGCTTATTGTTTAAGGTGGGGGAGGGGCTTAACAGTATGGAAGTATACCTTTAGAGTATAATGGCATAATGGCATCAGTAGACGACTTCAAGGTAGTTGTCGTGATCAAACTGAACAATTTACAATCATGCTCCAATGTCTTTTACTCTTGATCAGTGATACGCAAAGTCAAGGTAAAAATCGGTGATACTTTTAAAAAGGACTAATATTACTTTTGTAATTTCTCAATTAAACCAATGTCATGCGCAGAACAGTTCCCTAATCTCCTCCGGTTCGGGCAATAGATGCGATATTTCGGTGAGGAAACTATGACTGCACTGTGCGCAGTTAAGCTGACCTTTTCATTATAAGCGGTTTTTAAAGATAACATTAATTCATACAAGGGAATCCTTCAAAATTCCCAATGATGAGATCCTACCCACCCGCTTTCTTTAAGAAAAGAACAAAAAAGGGTAACACATGTTCAAGGGAGTATCTCGTAAAACTACATAATGCTGTAGAAAATATTACTTGAATGAGATCCAACACCGAAGTATATAAATATGGCACGCAACATACGACCGTCAACTCGAATGAGCTCCGACCTGCTTGCTGTGTATGGCTTGTGGTTAAGATTTCTATTGTACTCTCTTAAACCATTTACATACCTCCTTAACAACAAGTGACTCCGTGGCCAAGCTGGCTAAGGCGTAAGACTGTTAATCTTGAGATCGTGAGTTCGATCCTCACCGGGGTCGCTTATTTTTTATCTTTTTTAAAGACAGGTAATAATTCTTACTCCTGCTAAAACTGACCCGCTTGGGCACTTACAGAGTGATATTCACCTGCTTGCTTATATCAGGGTTGATAGTAAATTTTTGTTATTGTTTTATAAATATTCAATTAGCCACCTATAAGCAATCTAGATCTAACTAAAAGATATACCAATTTTTATCCACTTACGTAGATGTTTATTTCTTACCGGACTTCTTGATACCACCGCCAACCATTGGACCACCTTTCTTAGCCTTTTCGGCCATTTCTTTTTTAGCAGCAGCATCAGCCTTTTGCTTAGCCTTGAAGGCTAAATCATCGTCATCAAAATCTTGTTGCTTCTTCTTAGGAGCCTTTAATGGCTTAGCCTTACCACCTTGACGACCAGACATATTTGTTATGTTATATAATCAAGTTAGATCAGTTTAGGAAGAAGAGCTCTTTTCCTTTCGTTCTCTCAGATTTTTGTTTCCAGTTGAGTGTGGTAGTGCGCTTTTGCCAAAAAGAAGGGCTATCTTCATGCGTCGTGCACTTGTTGCTATGAATGAATGGATCACTCCAAGCGACAATACAACGTAACAAACTGCCTACGACTTTCCTTCTGAAATTAAAATACAATTGATTACCAGTCATGGCGATTCTAACGGCTAATGATAAGGAAAAGATCAAGAGGGTCATTCCCAAGGCTAACAACAAGATCATAGATGCGACTGTTGTCAGGCTATATATTGCATATCCTGATCCAACAAAATGGACATACACTGGTTTGGTTGGTGCTATTACCCTTGTTGATGATCTTGTAGGTCATACATTCTTTCTTAAGTTAGTAGACATCACAGGAACTCGTGGAGTTGTTTGGGATCAAGAGTTGTATGTTGATTTTGAATACAATCAAGATCGTACCTTCTTCCATACTTTTGAAATTGAAGATTGTCTAGTTGGATTACTCTTTGAAGATACCAATGATGCATCTCATTTTTTTAAAAGAGTCACCACTCGTCAAAAACATGCTTCCAAACAAACTGCCAACAATAAAAACGCAATTGCCTTAAAGGATAGAGCAGGCGTAAGTGGTCCCCAAGGGCCTGGTTCCAGAGGTGAGTTTGTAGATACAACTACAGGTCAAAGATCTAGAAGAGCGAAAGGTGTTCTTTATTATGATGATGTTCCTCCTCCAGAATGGAGATCCTTGTACGCTGAATTGGCAGCTGCTGGTATATCCGAGGACATGATAGCCGATAACAGAGAATTTATTAAAGAATATATTGCTCAACAAGGTGGTCCCCTTGTGGGTTTGGAACCACCAGTTCCTAGAAAGTATTTGGTGAAGCAACGTGAACCAACAGTTCCTGCTGCTAAAGTTAATACTGCTTCTCCTTCTCCTTCTCTTAATGGTGCAGTTAAAAAGAAGGCTCCACCTCCACCTCCTCCACCATCGGCAAATAATGCATCTGTAACTTCTCCACCATCATATACATCACCTGCGAGTCCTTCATCTCCTGCTCCAGTTGCTCCACCTGATTATAGTCTGTCTGGTTCTACTCCACCAGGTGCGGCAGCCACACCACCTCCAGTACCTTCCAAAGACTCGACACCTGAGGCCCAACAGCCACCTCAGGCTAAACCAGCAGCAAGAGTTTTCCGTGTTCCCCCAGCTACTGCAAAGGCTCCTCCAGTTTTCAACACTCACATAGTGTCACCTGATCAGTTTAGACAAGGTCAAACTGTGCCCTCTCCTACAACAAGTATTGGGCCAAATTCACCAACTACTCCAAAATTTAGTGGTTATCAACACCAACAACAACATCAGCCTTCCAATGGTTACCAAAATTATAATCAAGTACCAAATCAAGCTCAAGCTCACAATGTACCGCCTCCAATACATAATGCTCCACCTGGTCAAGTACATAATGCACCTCCACCGTTACCCCCATCTACAAGCCGACCCATTCCTCCACCTCCACCGGCTAGAACTGGTCCTGGTCCTGTTATACCTGGTCCTGGTCCTGCTATACCTGGGGGAAGAGCCGTACCTCCTCCGCCACCACCAAGGGCAAGAGGAGCACCCCCACCTCCACCATCTCGTGGCACAAGACCTAGCATTCCTCAAGCAAGTGCTGCTGCTCCACCACCACTTCCTCAGGCAGCCAGGCCATTGCCTCAACAACCCGCGCATCCTCAGTATACTCCGCAGCCAATTTCTCAGCAACAAGAACTACAATCCCCTTATCAAGCAACACCTCAGCTGCCAGTACCTCAACAGAATCATCAGCAACCTATTCAGAATTTCCCTCCACCTCCGGCCCGCCAGCCTGTTGCTACTCCAGTAGCAAACTCCAACATACCTCCTCCTCCTCCTCCTCCAGCACCCCCAATGCCTACCTTAGCATCGTCCACCACAGCTGCTGCTCCACCACCACCTCCACCAATGCCTGATTTGGGATCATCGGCTGCTGCTCCGCCACCACCTCCACCAATGCCAGATTTGGGATCATCGGCTGCAGCTGCTCCACCACCTCCACCAATGCCTGATTTGGGATCTGGAGCCCCACCACCACCACCCTTGCCTAATATGACTGCACCAGGAATTGGAGGTGATGCAGGCGGTGGTCGTGATGCCTTGCTTGCATCCATTAGAAATAATGGAGGAATTGGTGGCTTGAGAAAGACCAATAAAGAGCATTTGGAACGTCCTAGTGTCATTCTTCTGGAGGTCAAAGGAGAACCTCCAGGTGTTCATGGCTCACTGGCTACTGGTGGTGCTCCTCCACCAGGACAACCAGTATCTCTAGCAGATGCATTAACACTTGCACTTAATCAAAGAAAAGGAAAGGTATCCAAGAGTGATGACGAAGATGATGATGATTGGTAGTACCCAGTGTTTATCAATCATAACTGTAAGTACGAGTACACCATCAATATTACAACTACTATTATTACTATACCATGTAGTCATTACGTAAACCAATAACTAACTGGCTAAGTATCACAGTTGATGGGCTTCTTAGAATACAAAAATTATACCGTAGTGCGAAAAAATCAGCGATGCCTTCAACACTCTCTTCCACCAAGATCAACAGTCAGCGCCATGGCAAAAACCATAGAAGACGTTAAGGAGAGACTCGAGGCATTCCAGGGGATCTTATCGTTCTGGAACAAGTCCCTCAGAGAATCAACACCTAATGAACAAGTGGGCAAGGCCAAAGTGGTTAACCCATTGGAAGAGGTAAACAAGTTAGCTAAGTTAATCAAAGCGCATTCTACTAAAACAGGTATAGCCTTTTCATCTGCAACTATTGGGAAGCATTGTGATGCTGGATATGATTGTATTCAGAAATTGAGTGAAAGCATGATGTTTATGCTTCAGATCCGTTTTGAATTGAACCCAACAGAAATGTCACAATTGCACTATGACGAAGTGTTCCAGTTGATCATCTCACTTTTCGAGGCCAGTACTTCGTTTTCAACTGAATTGATTAAGCTTGTTGATGAAGTGGAAGCAGCCAAGGATGGCGGTAATGATAATGAAGCAGCAGCAGGAAGTGATAAGTTAGATAATACCACTGAGGGTACGATAGATAGTGGTAGATTGGTTTCTGTGGGTAGAATGTGGTCTATTTGTGATGAGCTTGTTCTGGTGGTTCAAGGTGGCAAAGTAGCAGTTTTATCAAAGAAACTTAAACAAAGTATCGCGTTGATAGACGATGGGCTCGAGGAATTTGCTGAATGGACTGAGAATCCAGACTCTTTTGATATTGAAGATCCCTTTGGATTCTCCGATGAGTTTGATTCAGATGAAGAAGATGATACAAGAGTTCCTACACACGAAGTGAATGAAAGTGATGATGAAGATGATAAAACAGAATTGTTGGCATTTGCAAAGGTCTGGTTACAAAATATCAAGTTGATTAAACTTCTACTTAACTCTCTTGCGAAATCGCTTTCTTCAGCTACTAAGGGGCAGGTCATTGATACCATCTACAAAACACAGCTTAACGTGGTCGGACTTATAGACAAACTTATAGTCGATTTGATGATGGACCAAGTAATCGACGATGAAATTGAAGGCTATGGTAAGGAAATTGGATCTAATTGTTTCAAGATTGTCAAGATTACAAAGGATGTCAACAAGCAGAATGAATCCAAAGTCAAGTGGTGTACAGCATGGGAAGCTAAATTTACGGATAATAATAATAAAAATAATAAAAATAATAATAATAATAATAATAACTAAAATGCAAATCCTAGGACAATATTTCCAACGACTTAAATGGTTATGTATCTATTATTAATACTATCATAACCTGGATAGTTATTCTAGACCAAGGTATTTTATGTGGTGTTTGGCATGGTCTTCAACAAATGAACTGATGAAGAAGTAAGAGTGGTCATAGCCATCAACAATATTCAACAACACCTTACCCTTGTAACCCAGCTCTTCAGCTGCCTTAACAAAGTTCTCGGGTTGCAACTGATGGTCCCTCCAATAGAAAGGATCCTTGGCACCTTGGTGGATCAAAATGTCCGGTTGATTGCAATCGGTGTATGATTTGATCAACTCTGTTGGATCATAACTACTCCATAAGCTCTTATCTTCACCCAAATATCTACCAAAGCATTTTTCACCCCAAGCGCATGTAGAAGGGTTGGAAATAGGTGCAAATGCACTAACAGACTTATATTTACCTGGATTCTTGAAGAACCCAGATAAGGCACCATACCCTCCCATGGAATGACCTGTTATTGATACATTATTGAAGTTCAATTGATTGAATTGTTGTGCTAACTTTTCTTGCAATTCTCCATGAACATAGGAGTACATGTTATAATTGTGACTCCAAGGTTCTTGGGTAGCATCGACATAGAATCCAGCTCCCGTACCAAAGTCATAACTTTCATTTTCACCTTCGATATTGGCCCCACGGGGAGAAGTATCAGGGAATACAACAGCAAAACCGTATTTAGAAGCAAAATATTGCCAGAATGACTTTTCAGTAGCGTTATTAGGAGTACATGTTAAGCCAGATAAATATACCAATACAGGAACAGATGATGAGGTTGTAGATGGTGGGAAAAATACGTTGACATTCATGGATGTCTTCGTCACCAGTGACTCATGAGTCAACTTGAGTAGCTTACCTCCGAATTGGGTAATCTCTTCGTCAGTTGTAAACAGCATTGTATAATTATATATATAGTTGGAGAAGTAGTAGTAATCAATGGAGATTAAAGATTAAGTCAATGGGATCTTTATATGTACTCGAGGTTTGTCAAACTCTAATCGTGCGCATTACTATACTATTTTAGGCTAAAAATTGCGAGGAGAATCGAGGTGTCCGAATTGGGCAAGGGAAGCCCATTCTAGTATTAATCTATGCGGTGCTGAATTATAGGATTATTTAAACTAAAAGTTAGCCTTCCCCCGTGGCTCATAGGGAAATAGTAAACTGAGGACCCCAGCAACAAAGAACAATGCTCCACTGGCAAAAATTGGAGCCGAAGTCTTCAAATTAGCATATATGGCAATAATCGGTGAAAAGACTCCAAACACTCTATTACTGGCAGCTGCTATACCAACACCCGTACCTCTAACTTTTGCAGGCATTACTTCGGGTGTGTAGGCATATAGAACTCCATACATCATATTAGAAGCAAAGCTGAAGCCACAATTCCATCCAAGATAAGCATTACTGGTTTTCGCAGTGGTAGAACAGAACAAAAACACTCCTGTAAGCAATAATGAAATACTTAAAACACCTTTACGGCCAATTCGGAATTCCACAAGTATTCCCGCTATAAGAGAAGCAGGGATTCCTATGACCAGGATAATTAGAGAGTTTCTGTAGGTCTCGCGAACACTTAAAGGCTTACTGGCATTACCTCTTTGTTCCAAGTAATAAGGTAAGAAAGTGTAATACAAGGGGAACGCCATACCCACAAGTGACCAAGTAGCAACCACCAAAATTAAAGATAGGGTCATCTTTCTTGAGCTAAAACATTCTCTTATGTGACTAGCATTGAACTTTTTGAGCTTTTCCTTTATTAAAACGTTTTCTCTGTGTGTGGTTGAAGCTTCTTCACCGTGCGGTTTGAGGTCTTCAACAGTTAAACTAGAAGTTTTCCCATTAACCTTTGCGATGCCATGAACCACACTTACAGCCTTTTCGTAATCTCCAATACCAAGATAAAATCTAGGAGATTCGTATAATGGGAACACAAATCGAATAAGGAAGAGTATCAATGTTAAAGCACCCAATGTGAAAAGATAGTATCTCCAACCTTTATTATCTTCCTTAAGACAAGTTGTCGCATCACTAGGGCATGAGTAATTAGCAATTAATCCCCAACCAACTACATTAGCAATCAATTGACCTAAAGCCCACCAAGCAGACATCGCGGTTAAGATCCATTTCTTATTACTGGGTAAAGCCTCTAAGAAAATAGCGGAATCCACTGGTAGATTTCCACCTACTCCAACACTCCAAAGTGCACAGAAGGTACCAATGGCAGCGAAATTCGGCGAGGCTCCTGCAACAAGTGAAAAAATTCCAGTACACAAGAACGTCATTGTAAATGCTAGCTTTCTTCCAATAATATCAGCAGAAAAGGACCAAACTACTGCACCTACTAATAATCCTAGAGTTTGGCATAACAATAGATAAGGGGCCCTGTCAGGTGGGTAGTGAACTCCATTAGTCTCCACAAGACGAGGAATGATCAACAGAGTAGATGTTTCCCAGGCATTATCAGCCCACCAACCAAAACCTGTTACTACCAAAAGTCCCCATTGATATTTCCCAAAGCCAATCTCATCAATGGCATCAGATAAAATTTTCGACTGGTGCAAATAATGAGAATCAAATTCATTATCCTTGTACAATAGTGAACTTTCTACTGATTCTACTTCTTTAACGTTCTCAGGTTCTTTTTTAGATTCTGACATTATTATTCTTAATCTTGAACTTTTTCAGTAGGTGTTTGCAATTTCCATTATATGGAGGGCCTTATATACATATTAAGGCCCTAGCAAAGAGTTACGTAATTTTTTGATTCATGTGCACTACTTCCCCAGACTGATATTCGTTCCAATCCTATGACGTCGTAAATCGTGCAATAACCAACCGAACGCTTAAATAAATGAAAAAACAAAAAAAATTGCGGCGATAGGGCTCTATGGGGCAACTTTCACAGAATTCGGAAGTTCAACAATAGAAAATACACTAAGCCATTTCTTGGTAACAACACTATACGTCATTTCTACAAAGTTTAATTCTTAACGCTAATGATCGCTATAACCACCATAATCGGCTACCAATCTCATCAACGTCGATGAACGAAAATTTGCGACCCTCATCCGCTTAATTTTACGATATGAAACAGTACAGTAATGACCCCACATTACTTCGTTTGAGTTTTCTTTTTTCTTTTTGAAGATTAACTTATTCATTAAAAAAGCGGTAACCTGCATCGTAGGGTATTACATACACGCAAGTGAGGAAATCCTATGACTCCTCGAGAATGTGAAGTTTATGTCCAGGTCTGAGTCCACATATTTTTCCGAAGTAGAGAAATTACGTGAGAATATGCTAACCGTAAAGGTTTGTTTATAACATTGTACATTAGAATACAGAAGTGATACAAGAGCGTTGCTCAATCTTTAGTGAACAATAATGAGTCTATGCTTTAGGAAAAAGAATAAGCTACTTGATTGATGTAACGAGTAAGATGGGAGTTTCAAAGAGCTTTAATACTTTATAGTGAAAAAATAAAAAATAATGAAAAAACACTTGAAAAAGTTATAATAAAAGAAATCAAACAACCAACCCGCTTTGGGTATTCATGATTCTGTATAGTAACTGTATAGTAGCTGTATAGTTTTACAGAATGGTTACGAATTCAAAAGTAGAATTTCAGTTACAAGATAATCTTATTGGTTAATTCATTGGCTAAAGTATGTTACACTTCAGCATATGTCTGTGAGCCAGTTTTTTTTAAAACAAGACGTATTCATAGCATGAAAGCACTAAAATGGATGAGATCTGATCTGCCTGCTACACCGTCCCTGATAAATTTTTCTTCTAATAAAACGAATAATTTCGGCTAAATCCGGCCTAAATCCCCATTCTTTTGAAAAGATACACAATACTTTTTTTTTTAAAAGAAACCATATATTCGTGGGAAAACCACTTAGGACTAGTACAATAGAGTGCTCTATATGTAACAACCTAAATATCCTCTCGGTTGAGATCCAGCCCGCCAACTGTTTATTTCACCTATATACCACTGTGTTTTACTCACAGTGTTAAGCACTTAGAAATATCTAGCAGGGAAAACCATTATAGACCATAACATCAACTTGAATGTTGATAGCTTTAAGATAACAGTTATATGCCATAATTTGCTTCACTAGCTCAGTTGGCAGAGCGTCAGTCTCATAGCTACTTTTGGTTGTGCAATCTGAAGGTCGACAGTTCGAACCTGCCGTGGAGCAAAACTTTTATCTTTTTGCTTTTTGCTTCCACATATATTCAACTCTACCTTGTAGCCACCATGCCTGAAGTAGCTGAAGTAAGTATGAAAGCCAAAGGAATTTGAATAGTCTACAACTTTAAGGTACTAACTGGATATTCAAGGTTGCACATGTTTGTGCTCAATTGAAAAGGAATGTTCTTGGTACAGTAGTAACAAATATCAAGCTACAGAATGATAAACTACTCTTCCCGGCATTGAAAACATGCGCCAATGATACAGCCGCAAAGAATGAGTTGGAAAGGATTAACAGAAGCTTGAGCATGTCGACAATCGACTCTGTTGGAAGGCACGGGAAATATTTTTGGATTCGGTATTTGAAATCCGCTGGAAGTCACATCAAGAGGGAGCGATCCAAAAGAATAAAAACTTCCCCAGAAGGAGGAGTGCTTCTCATGCATTTTGGAATGACAGGAATGGTGAAACTTAAAGGCATTGAGTCACATTTGGTGTTTATGGAGAACGGTGGAGACAAAATCATATTAAAGAAGAAAACCAAGGCAGAAACAGTTACAGCAAAGGCTGAATCAGCTAGTACAAAGAATGACGAAGACGAAGAAGATGAAGAAGGAGGTGACAGCGAATTTTGGCCTCCGAAATATACAAAGTTTGAAATGACTTTAAGTAATGATAAAGGTGAGGACATTTTGTTTGCGTTTAAAGACCCAAGAAGATTAGGAAGAATCAGAGTATTCTATGAACCTCTAACCGACGAACAATTACTTCAACAAGCACCTTTAGTCGATCAAGGTCCAGACTATTCCAAACCGTCTACGTACGTCCAATTGAAAGACAACATTTTCATTCTGGGGGATCCTGACCCTGATAACCACGGAAGACCTATGTTGTCATTTGAACAATTCAAGCAATTGATAATGAAGAAGAAAAAGGCAATCAAAGCTCTTTTACTAGACCAAGGACTCTTTGCAGGTGTGGGGAATTGGGTTGGTGATGAGATCTGTTACCAGGCTAAAATTCATCCTAATGAAGTACTATCGACTGCATTGACTAAGATAGGAGACGACTTAATAAGAGATGGCATACTAAAGCGATTATATGACTCATTGATTTATGTGTGTAATGAAAGTGTTCGAGTAGAGGGAGAAGTAGAAAGATTCGCAGAAGATTGGCTTATGCTTTATCGGTGGGGGAAGAGGAGAAAGAATGTCGTACAGAAAACTCCACAGGGTTACCGGGTTGATTATATTACTATAGGAGGTCGTACTAGTTGTTATGTACCTGAGCTTCAGAAGCCAATTACAAAGAACACAAAGTAGGAACTAAAAATTTACCAAGGTTATATAGCAGCGTATATATTGCTTAAGAGAGTCACTAAATGTGGAGATGGAATATGGGTTATACACTAGCTTCGGATTTCCTGCATATGCTTCAACAGTACATACTGATAGACAAAAGTTCAAATATGACATACCCGTAAGCTACACTTTTACTTATAACCATCACAGAAACAGAGAAATATGAATAGATTATTTGGGTCTAAGAACTCTGCACCCAAGCCCACTTTAGGAGATGCCGTTAACAACATTGATGAAAGAGTGGGGAATCTTGATGTTCGACTTAGTAAGATTAATGCGGAATTAGCACTGTATCAGCAAAAGATAAGTCGAATGAGAGATGGGCCTGGGAAGACAGCATTGAAACAGAAAGCATTGAAGTTATTGAGACAAAGGAAACAGATAGAAGGACAAAAGGATCAATTAGAGAATCAATCATGGAATATGACTCAAGCTTCAATGACCACTGATAACTTACAAAACACCATGATTACTATTAATGCTATGAAATCAGCTAATAAGGAGTTAAGGAAAACCTATGGTAAAATCGATATAGACAAGATCGAGTCTCTTCAAGATGAGATGCTTGACTTAATTGATAAATCCAATGAATTACAAGAAGCCATGCTGAGTAGTTATGATCAAGTAGATGACATAAGTGAATCTGAGTTAGATGCTGAATTGGATGCTTTAGGAGAAGAAATGAGCTATGAAAATGAATTGGCTGAAAGCGGTATAGGAGCTCCCAGCTATTTGAATGACCAATTATCCACTGATAAGTTGCCTTCCTTTGTAGATGAAACAGAGGAAAAGAAGACAGAGATAGCAAATTAAACATAGTATGTGTATGTTCACTATGTACAACCATATCTATATACAAAATAATCATTTGACTCTTCTAAGGGCCATAAAATAGTTACCCACATTAGGATTAGAAGTGAACTTCCATCCATAAGCGGGTAAGTATACGGTTCCCTTTGTGTCAACCACTTCATAGGATCTCAGTCGTTGCGGATCTTCACTAATCCAATCACGGATCTCTTGTTGGTTAATATACTTTTCTAAAGTGTGAGTACCTACGGGGACAATACGCAAGACATGCTCACCCATAAAAATAGTGGTGAACCAACTGACAAAGTCTCTATTAATGGTTGAAAGGAATAACCATCCTCCAACATTTAATCTCTGTAACCCTTCGGTAAGCACTTTAGAAGGATAATCCACATGTTCTAACATTTCAAACATGGTAATAATGTCGTAAGTTTCCGATTTGGGAAGATCTTCAATAGCAGTTAATTGATAATCAAGTTTACCATTGTTTTCCGATAACATTGGGTCTTTCTGTTGATGAATTTTGGCAGCCTGTAACACTTCAGAAGATAAATCTATGCCCATAACATCATCAACAAAGGAAGAACGAGCCATGGATTCAGATAATATGCCTCCACCACATCCAACATCCAATACTTTAAGCTTCTTTTGGCTTAAGATTTCATCTCTTCTCATGTCTTGCTCCCAAACAATCTGACGTTTGATTGGTTCTGGAAGCAAATCTACACTATAAGGTGGGATATAGACCTTATCTTCCTCCGGGCAATCAGGTGGATTCAACTTCAAGTGCTCTCGTATTGTCGAGTAGATGAAATCCATTCGTAAGAGGTTCATTTTATGAAGTATTCTTTGAGGTCCGTTAACATCCCACCATGAAGATGCCAAAGCATTGAAATGTGCCAATTCTTCAGGAGACGTTGATGTGAGCTTACCAGTTGAATGCCACCTTCTAAACCCTGTAGAGATACATCTTTTCAGGAATGTAGTGATACTTTTCATTGTGAAGAAGGGATTGTAATGAGACTGTGCGATAGTAAATGAGTGAGTAAGTGCCTTTAATTAGTATTACACATAAATGCAACAGACAATTAAAACGGAACACCACAATGTCAACTATGAACTTTTGTATACGACATTATTTCATGATTACACTAGTCTTAGTTGTATGACCTAGGGACTTAATTATTTATAGGTACACACACGAATACACAAAATACTACAACTAATGAGTACAGCTTCACCCAAATCATACCAGGTCGTGCATTTTCATAGTTTGGTAGTTGATTCGTTACAAGTGCCAGGAAATGTTCATACCTAACGTATAAATTATTCGTAATATTAGTTTTATTATTTGTTTTAAAGATATAGTTTTACGTAAGAACAGCTAAAAAGGCTTCGTAATAGGGGTAGCAAGTGCTAAAAATCAATGACTAAAAAAATAGACAAAAATAGCGCACTATAAATATTACGGCATATTCCGTACTATAGAACCTTTCCACGCATAAGTATCATTTATTGATAATTAAGACAACTCTAAAGGTATTTGATCGACATTTACACGTGGAAGAGAAAATGGAATAAGAAGGTTGTAAAGGAGGTCAACGGTATCTACGAGGAACCTAAGAAATGTGGACAGAAACCTCTACTTTCAGATGTACATAAAGAATTCTTTCAAGGCATAGTGGATGATGACCCAACGCACAGTTTGCAATGTATGTTGGAAAGACTACAGGCCAACTTTGAAGATGTCAATGTAAAACTTAGCACCTTGCATAACTATGTAACAAAAAATTGTAAGCTTAGTCTTAAACGAATCTCAAAGTGGCCAATAAGAAGATATCTGGAAGAACTCAAGCAGGAAAGGTTTGAATGGGCAACTTTTTATAAAGGTGAGCTTGACTTTAGTAGAAATTGTATTTTTATAGATGAAGCTAGAAAATAGTAAAAATGTAAAACAGAGTGTCGTAATAAGTTTTCAGGCTTATTACGAAGCCTTTTTAGCTGTTATTACGTAAAATTATTAAAACAAATAATAAAACTAATATTACGAATAATTTATACGTTAGGTATGAACATTTCCTGGCACTTGTAACGAAAATTATACTACCATATTATGAAAAATACACGAATATTATGAACATTGCATGGAACCACTGCAATTTGTTGCAAAATACTATATGAATATATACTTCACACAGTGAAAAAAACCATGCTGAGAAATACTGCTGTACAGTAGAATTAAATAAAACATAATAGGTAGGGTATACCACCTACTACAACATATTAGAGTATACTACCTACTACAACATAGGAAATAGGGTAGTATGTAACCACTCATTGAAGTATTCCTATTTTGATGGTTTGAACAGTTTATTATACACTTGACTTATATATCTCTCACAATGGGGACTTCTCGCTCTACCTCTCACGTCGCTCTTTACATTTACTGTGTAATTAGACAAAGTAGAGAAAGGCAGCATACATATGCGTCAAAACCGGACTCTCAGGAATTATGGCAATGTCCCGTTAGTTGAGTTCCTGGAATTCCTATCAACGGTAGTGGCCTTTGCTAGATTCAAACCTTTAAGAACTTTATCACAAGTGTTCTTCTGATGTTGTTTAAGATAACTCGATACAAATTGAGAGTATTTTCAGTACTTTGCTAAGATTTCAATAATTTAGATGTATCTTGAATCTCGAAAGATTCAGCCCACCAAGCCGTGCGTACAGTTGCAAAGATGCCATCGAAACTTATCCTTAATCAAGAAACGAGAACATCGCTGACTTGACGAAGGTCGTACAGAAGATTTGTCACAAAACTCGGTTGCCAAACAAAATGCACTGATAACATGGAAACGGATAACCAGGAGCGCTACCGTTAATCGTGACAGTTGATCAAGGCGATTCATGACATAATATTTATGCCACCAAGTACCGAAATAGATAGGATTGAGTTACTATGTGGATTAACCAGCTTATTCATAATGTTGAGAGGTAGAAATTCACATGGACGATGGACCACGGGTATTCTTGATAAGCACCCAATCCTGGGATCCAGGAACGTGGAAATGGGAGTTGCAGAGGTAAACTCGTCAAAGAAACAAAGAGAAATTATGCCCATACAAAAAGGAGCTTGGTCCCAAAATATTGAGAAGAAAAATCAACTAACCAAGTTAATCATCGATTATGCCCGTAATAATCGTGATATAAGAAGTCATCAGTGACATTTACCCAATTGCCAGTACTAAAGGCCCAATCGATGTATCGATTAACACACGACTTTATTTTAAGTATTCACATACGCCTATATTAAGCTCTGTGTAGTGTTATTGCTACCACGTATTTAACTCATCAACATGACTGAAGAAGATTATAGTTTGGTGACAAGCAGAGTCCGAAGAGCCAATGCAGGCTCACGATTGCGGCAGTTGATTGAGCTTGAGGAACAGAGCACTGAAGGAGTTTCACTGGGGGTGTTTTCCAATGAGGACGATGAGAATGTCAACCTTCTTTTCCAGGAAGCAGCCAGTGACGATGAGTACGAAGAGGACGAGGACGAGGAAGGCTCAGATGCAAGTGCTGATGAAGTCACAAATACAGATCATGGCGCAAAAGCAGATGAAGATGTAGATGAAGAGGAAGAGAATACTGGTGGTGATAATGAAGTCGACAAAGATACTGACAATGATAACAATAATCTTGACGACGACACCAATCGAGATGATATACTTTCTGATTCAGATATATCTGCCAGTGATTCAGATGAAAGTGAAGGTGAAAGAGAACTTCAGAACCAGGAGAGACGTAAGAAACGGCTAGATCGAAAGAAGAATTTGATACCGACAATAAAGACTCCAAAAACTCAAGAACAACGAGAGGCCCAAGCTCAAAAGCAGAAGCAGAAAAAGTCCCATTTAGTTACTTCTGATATCTTGCTATATTCAGAAAGACGTTCCTCTTCTAGATCTTCAGCAGTGAACAGCAAACAAGCACTTGTGAAGAAGCTAAAGGAAAGTGAAGAACGAAGAGCAAAGTTTGTTCCAGTTGTGAGAACTAAAGAAGTACAATTAACACAAGAAGATAGATTAAAAGTTGCTCTTGAGACAGAAAAGGCAAACATCATAGCCTTGAATCAATTCAAAGAACAAGAAATCGTAAAGAAGGAAAGACAGAAACAATTACTTCTTGCTAGAAGACAAGTATTAACAAATGTTATAAGATATACCAGCGAAGAACTGCTTGTATATCCTTGGGATGAGATAAAAGATGCTAGACATGTGAGAAGTTTGTTCAACAAACCAAAAAGAAGAATAGGTCGTAGGAAGAAGTTAGATAACAACAATGATAACAAGCCTGAAGATCTGTACCCTGGTGCTGTGGATACAAGTCTTCCCTATTATAAGCAAGAAATGGAGCAAAAGGCCAAACAAGAACAGCTTGCTCGAGAATCAGAACAATTGTTGAAGATGGAAGTTGATACAGAAGGCACTTCAGCTGATTTAAAGAAAAGTGAAGAAGAAGCTAGCTTTGAAAACAAACAGGTCACCATTTCAGAGGGCTTAGATGTTAATGAACATTCAATGGCAGAAGAAAAAAGTACCGAAAAAGAGAAGAACACAACTGATGAAATCGAAGTACAGGAAGTAAAATTAGAGCAGGAAGAGAACGGAGAAGCTAAATCAAAAGAAGACGATGGACCTACTGAAGCCGATGGTCATACTGAAGAGAATAGATCCAAAGAAGCGGAAGAAAGAACGTTAGAAGATGAATCCAGTGAACACATTAAAGAAGACGAAGCATCCATAGAAGAAGAAGAAGCAAAAGAATTTGAAATATCAACAGAAGAAGAAAGAACAGTTACAAAAATAGATACTGAGAAACCCAATATAAAGAGTGAGGAACTCTCCAATTTTCTGGAAATGAACAAAGTTATTATCAATGTTGAAAACGAAGACCAACCACCAACTACCAATGACACATTCGCTAAGAATGAAGAAGGTACTGACCTTGATGCAACTGAATCAGAAGGAAAAAGACCAAGGGAAGACGAATCTTTAACAGAGGGGAATGGCTCCTCCACAACCACCAAGAGGGTCAAATTCGAAGATGAGATAGATTCAAAGTCCCTTCCAACATCCAATGGAGTTATTTCATCCCCAACACCAACACCCACACCTCCACCAAGTCTGCTGAACCTTGAAGAACAGAGTGAAGTATTTGAAGGACCACCTCAAAGAATTTGTCGAAACTTAATATACCTTGTTGACTTTGATGAAACCCACAGACTTGATTCGGACCAAATTAGAAAGGCATTATTCGGTGAACAAGCACTTCTTCCTGCTTCTCGTCGATTTAAAGATTTAAAGACAATTGTTAAAATAAGCCAACAAGAAAGTGCATATGTAAACGTTCCTGAAGTGAATGACCCTATATTTGAATCAGCTAAGAATCTTTCTGAATCGGATCCTCTTTTTTCAGAGTTGAAACGGTTACCTCGACTTGGAGATACAGAAACCATGGAGGAGGAAGTTGAAGAGGATACCAAGGAAGTTGAAACCCAGATAAATATCAATACTCAAGCTCCGACGGGGTTATACTTACCCAATGGAAGCAAAAAAGTTTGTCTTATATCTGGTACTGAGGTCAAATACTTTGATCCTGCCACGGGTATTCCATACGGGAGTGTTGAAGTATATCGTCTTTTGAAGGGAATAGAACAAGGTCATGTACCATGGTATAGCATTAGTGCTTCTGCCAATGATGAAGGAGGTGGAGAAATATACTTAGGATCACGTGAAGGACCCATTAGACATGCGAAGGGAGTTCCTGAAGGGTTTGACGGTTAAAACATACAAAGTTCTACTACAATTTTTAATGAAAAACATACCCATGAATTTCTATTTACATTATTACCTGATGACAACCGGCTTAATTAGGTAGCGTGTTGGACATCTTTTTCATGAGCCGCTATCAAATCGGTTTGGAACTCAAGCAATTTGATTAAAACTTGAGGCACCAAAACCTTACGGATTTCCAGTTTATAGTTTTCGGCATCGATTTCAAAAACATATTCGTCTTCGTCTTGATCATGAACAAATTCAGGAACGGTAAGAGAACCCGAAATCTTATCATCTGAAGTCAAGTTTTCACCAGAAAAGGCAAAGACCAATTTCATATCATAGATACATCTGACCTTCCCCTTTCTTTGAGTGACGTCACAATCGCCAGAAATCGAACTCAAGCTTGTGACTGTGAACCGAAACTCATCGGTTTCACCAACGGTGCTGGTGATCTTCTCTTCGAGATATTCCTTTGACCAAGGAAGACAATTCTTATCGACCCAGTGCCTAGACGGTTAGTAACAAACTTAAACTTTTTGTCATATTTGGTGCTTGATAACATACCAGTTGTTGGGGTTGTGTACGACCATGTTGGATGTCTAGAATGAACTTACCACTGTAGTATGAAATTGTGTGAACTTTTCATCAACGTTTTCAGATTGACTGAGACGGACTGCGTACCGGACCTCAGGTTCATCTCAAAGATTATGATTACGTAATGACGCAGTGGGTTGCAACTGGTTGATACACGACAAACATTTGCAATTCAACTATAACTTGAACTAATAAAAAATGCTTGCTAGTGATTATTCACACAAGCTTGCTTTTAAGGGGGATCAGAATGTAACATAGCAGAATATAAATTGACTAAACGTGCGAAGTAAGGTTACGAAACTATTTCTTTTTTTTTTTTATAAAAATTTCATTTAGCTTAAGCGTTGAAAAAGCAAGCAGTCATCAATCGTTAAATAGGGGTATCATCATTTGTAGTACGATTTGTAAATCATTCTGATCTCTTTCTGTGGGTGACAAAATGTGTGGAAAGCTTAATTCCAGTATTACCAGTACAGCCTTTAACAGACAAAGACCACTTGTTTGGACCAGATGGACAAGCATTAAATGAAACACTACCTAACCATGCCAAGTGGTTGTCTGAAGTAACAGACCATCCCTTCAGAGCAGCTTGTTGACCGAATGGATCGACGTTACCAACTTCTCCAGTGTTAGGGTCGACGTAAACACCACGTCCTGTGCTGTCAACCAAGGAAGAATCAGATTGCAAAGTAACATACAAGGTACTACCTTCATTACCAGCAACAGAGAATACATGAGGATGAGAGTCGACCTTATAAATATTCTTACCATCAAGAGGAGAGGAAGGAGCATCAGCAGATAACCAGAATGTAGACAGTGGAGGAACTGGAGCACCACAAACTTGCAACATAATTTGAGTACCTCCAGTACAACCACCCTTCACAGTTAAGGACCATTTGTTGGGACCTGATGGACAAGCATAGAAGTCTTCACTACCCTTATAAGTTAAATAACCATTGTTAATGCCAAAATTCTTAGAGTTAGCTTGTTGACCAAAAGGATCAACGTTACCAACTTCTCCGGTGTTTGGGTCAACATAAACACCTCGACCAGTTTGATCTGTCATTGTGCCATCACTGTATAAGGTGAGAGACAATTCAACTCCCTCATTACCAGCAACAGAGAAGACATGAGGATGAGAGTCGACTTTATAAATGGGTGTATTGTCAAGAGCAGAGCCTGCAGCTTTTGCACGTAAACCAAAAGAATCAGCAGCAGCAGATGCTAGGGCAGTTAAGCCCAATAAGGCATAAGAAAACTTCATTTTAGAGTGTCTGTATTTATTTAACTTGATAGTAATGTAATAAAGAGAATATTGTTTGAAATGAAATATCAGAATTATTACCTCCTTATATAGTTTTTTTTCTAAACGAGACCACCAGCTTCAAGAGATCACTATATCTGAAGAGATCACTCACCACCATAGTTCAATATTCATAATATCCTTGTCATTATTGAATTCAGGCTATGGTGATTATTGGTTATGTAATTTGCGTGGGGAAAGTGTAGCCATTTTGCACCCAAAACATCATTATGCAGCCCTGCGACCACCACTTGCGAGGTTGTTGCTTTTTTGGACAACTACGAGATAGTTGCCCCAGGATATTTTTAGATTTAACGTCATCCTTATTTACAGACAAGACTTAATTATAACAAGATATCTTATTTACTAGGCTTTTATGTTAGTCTATGATGTAAAGGGCCTTATCAAGAAGACATGTATTATCACGTCATACGAAAAATTAGTTTGATGTAATAAATACCATTATTATGTAAAAAGAGTACCGTCATTCAATTTAATCAATGAGTTACCAGTTTTAGTGGGCCGTTGCTTCCCCAAATGTTAAGAAATAAAATGGATCTTCTCTAATGAAAAGAATGGAAAATTTAGGGTCATCCGGATTAGAAGGGACACATTCACAAAGTAACATCATTACACCACACTTTTATTATATGTATTAATAATTGCTTATAGACGTGCGCACCTTCATTTTTCTATAGTATTCTTATAACACACACCGTATATATTTGGTATACATGCTTGTGCTCATGCATGTAATTAATTGCATTTAATTGATTGCAGCTTAACCCCTCAAATTACGAAGTCACCTAAAATAAATAAAGGAACCACCACATTTTTTCACGGACCTAAATGCACGACCCGCATCGAAGGTAGCTCCTGGGATTACGCACATTTTGAATCGATCAACACTAAACATATGCGTGCACACGCGACACGTAATTGATATGCATCGCTAAAATCCTTCAAAATCAAACTTTAAACATACAGTTAATACGAAGCTTAGTAGTATTAACAATAGATGAAATCAGCTCTTATCATACAGCTGAACATAGTTATTGACTTCATTCACACACCTGAGCTTGATTCAACATCACATAAGGTCAACACATAATTTTAATCCTTCTTATCATTAATCAGTTATAGCCGTATGCCACTGGAAAAACCACCTTTACCACGATTTCAGGATCCAGAGAAGCAATACTCCGCTCCTACACCACTAGAGCCTACTGGACTCCGGTATAAGAGAAAGCTAATCCTTATTATTAGTGTACAGATACTTTTAACCTTTTACTTTGTGACTAACATTGATCTACTTGATTCTATTAATGAATATGCGGGGCCAATTTTATTAGGAGCTACTACGGCTTCTTTAGCTCAAGCATTAATTCAGTATACAAAGAGGAAGTTCATAATGAACAAAATTTTCAAGTTTGTTCTTTGGGGAAGTTTAAATGGTATAATGACATATATTTGGATAGGTAAAGTATTTCTGGTTGTTGATAATGTCATAGGCAGAGTCTTGTTAGATCAATTGGTTGGCTTACCTTCATTCCAATTAATATTTAATATAATTGACAGCTTATGGGAATATGGTGAGGTATTTCATATTTCCGCTAGATTATCATATTTTAGATCCATTAAAGTTGGCTATTGCTTTTGGCCATTCTTTTGCCTAGCTTCCTTTTCATTGCTTCCTCCTAGGTTACTATTTCAAGCTAATATCGTAGCAAGTTTGTTGTGGAACATTATACTTTCCAAATTCAGTTTATAGACTATTATAATATGTAATTATATTACTATTATCACTCACCGTTTTTTCATCTTTAATGGGTCTGCTTTCTTCCCTCCATTCTTCCTCTTACGGTTATTCTTGTGGATTTTATGTTTCTGAAAAGGTATGAAGCCAATGTTCTTAACATCTGATCTGGCTGCCTCGGGTAAAAGATAATCCGGAACTCTCTTTAAATGCGATTGAACTCTCGAAGGATGCAACTCTTTATCGTGTCTCAAGGCAATTAAATCTTGAGGGTTCTCTTCAAAGAATCTCTTCAATTTATCCGAATTAATTATCTCATTTTTAATCTCTTTTATCCGTGCTTCTCTAATGGCTGTCGCCGTGACAGCTCTGAAAGCATCCTCACTTCTGTAACGGAACCCTTCAACTTGCTTCATATCAAATTGATAAGGTTTAAGTTCAAACCCATTGGCACTTTGTTGTCTAATGATTCTCTTTAATACCTTCTCATCTCTTTTAGCGGTTGTTAAACATGCAACTTTATGCTTTCCATATTCCTTTTGAGGTAACACAAATGAAAGTGCCATACCTGCTTTTCCTGCTCTTGCTGTTCTTCCTATTCTGTGAATGTAAGCTTTCGAAGTCACTGGTAAATCAAAATTTAAAACACAAGCAACGTTTCTGAAATCAATACCTCTTGAAACCCCGTATTCCTTATCACGTTTAGCGGATTTTCTTGACTTCTTAGAACGAGAAGGTTGTTTCTTACCTTCATTCTCTTCCTTATCTTGTATGTCGTCTTCATCTTCTGCTGCTTCATCCTTTTCATCGTTTTCGACGGTGAAATCATTGGTTTCATCCGTGGCAATTAATAAGTTGTAGACATTCTTATTGAACTCTTCCACTATATGCAATCTGGAGTTAACAGGTAACTCACTATTTAAAATACAACATCTGACCCCAAATTGTTCCAAAAAGAGTTTCAATCTGTATCCTCTATCGATGTCATTAACAAATACTAATGCCTTCCCTTTAATTAAGTTCAACTTGAAGATAACATAACATAATAAAAACTTATCAAATTCGGTAGTCTTAGTATAATACTGAGTAAGCTTGCTTTGAGAAACATCATCGTTAAGCTTGACTATAGCAGGTTTGGAACAGTACTTCTCTTTTAACTCTTGCAAGTCATCGTTGACAGTAGCAGACATCAAGAAAGTTTGAAGGTTTTTCTTGATGGGTAAATAAGATTCTAATTTACGCAAATCATCCAAATATCCAAATGATAAAATTAAATCCACTTCATCAATAGCCATGATTTTTACTTGACTTAAATCAATACCTCCATTCTGTTTCTCTAAAGTGGAAATTAACTTGGACGGAGTGGCCACAAGAATATCCGGTTTGTTGCCGAGTAAGGAACTGATCACCTGATCACTGTAGTTTGCCAGTAAGTCAAGTAATTTAACGTCATTTTTACAATACATGGTCAATTTCTCAAAGAATTGAACCACTTGATTTGAGAGTTCTCTGGTAGGAACCAACACTATACTTTGAATCCCCACTGAGTCATTATTGGTTAAGATTGTTTGTACTATGGGTATACCATAAGCACCAGTCTTTCCTGAACCTGTGGATGCCTTGGCTATGATGTCTCTCTTTTGTTCAAGAGCTAAAGGGATGGAATGAGATTGTATGAGGGTTGGCTTTTCAAATCCTAATTGATCGATGGCTTGTAACAAACGAGGGTCTAAATCCAAGGTGTCCCAACTACTTGAATCATCCACGTAAGCTGCGGAGGCTGCCGTGGGGGTTGTCATTGGGGTGTATGGTTGTGGTAAGAAGAGTAGTCTATAATTTACTAAGAAGAGTAGTATATAATTTACTAACCACCATTTACCTCATCGCGAAAACTCTCTGCGAAAAAGAATGTGGTATAATGACAAAGATAGAGACATACATGTGTGCGGCAGATATGCAGATGTCAAACTCGTAGAAGAAGATATGCATAGAGTAAGTCATTAAATACAAATACTTCCTTTATTGTAAACTATGTCCAGTTCAAGTCGTTTGCGTTCATTAGGCGAAGTCCATTGCCCATGTCTCTTTGCTTCTGATTTGCTTCTGAGAGGTTTATAAAGTTACAAACTTAAAGTTTCTTTAAGATGGGGTGGTTATATACTTTCCACTGAAAGCTATTAAAATAAAAGTTAGAAATACGATAACAAGGGTATAATTTTATAAAAGGCATTGACTTTATTGGGTACCACAGAATCAAATTTATGGGTAACTCAGCCGTTGTAACTGTTAAATCAAGCCTTGGTAAGTTTCTGCTTACCATTTTGAAGTTAATGAACCATTGCAAGCTTGTAGCTCCCTTTATTGTTGTAGTTAATGCTCTATTTACATTCCGAAAATCCCTTGTACTTGCTGCAAAGAAATCGCCCTTAAACGTCAAAAGCTGAATTGAAGGGAAGACAATAAAGACGTTGTAATGTAAATCTTTTGCAGCAATGGGTTCGATGAAGTCCCAAATATTGATGTAGATTCTTGGCTTCTAAAAAAGGAAGCTAGAATTTACAAATTCTTAATTGAATTTATACTTACTTGTAGATTTAGTGCAGTTATTTTGTTATTTATAGCACAGGTTTAGAGGTGCGCTTTTCCTCAAACGATATCAGAGAACGCTCTCAAACATTCCAAGACTTCCATAACCAACATTTAGCAGATCATCAAGAATACTACAGGTAGTCATGATAACTTTCATGAATACTACAATATAATAATAGTATTATATTATGTTGCATTTTTATGCTTTATACTTATCTAATAGTTATTCTAGTAAAAAATCGATTATAATTGTAAAGCCCAATTTCTTAATTCTCTATCAAAAAGCGCCTGTGATAATCCATAATCTGAATCGTCAACATGAGCAAAATAACATCCAATCTCTGTGACATCTATATTAGAGTGGTATTCATCATCGAATAGAACAAAATGACCATTATTCAATTCTTTCTCTAACCCTAATGCTTTGGCTGCTCTTGATATATGAAGTTTCTTAGTATGTGTTCCCCATTGAATATTATCGAAAAAATCAATTAAAGGCACCCCATCGATATGTAATAGAGTTAACATCTTTGAGGCGATATGAGGAGCAGCGGTTTTACTAGCTGCAATCATGGGTATACCTGCACTTTTCAACTCTTTAAAGATAGCAGGAACATCATCAAATACCAGAAATACAGAGCCAGATCTGTCTTTGATGCTATTCTTACCTACTGCCTTCAAAGGAGGTTGAACATTCCAATCTGCATATCGGGGCCACACTGTATAGTCCAAGTCAAAAACAACAGCAGCAGGGTACTTTTTAACTTTAGTCATACTCGGATCAATATAAGCAAGGGCTCAGCTGCCAGCATACGTCTTTGGTTGATTCAGTTGTATATACTACTGGTGTATCACGTGAGAGATAAACAGAATGGCAAATTATGATAATGCGTCCCGTTGTGTGGCTGATAAATCAAAGTTACTTAGCAGCACAACACAGAACCTCAATAGTACTCTTATTATGGCAGAACAATTACATAATATGGTTAAAAAGTGTGTATATTATATGATACTAATGAACCTGCTTACTACCTCAATGTAGTGTGGATAAATTCACTGTATTTATCTATAATTGCTAGTGATTGATAGCAACCCACTGAAATATAATTGCAATGCTTTCTGATTATTCTTAGTAGTGCAGTCAACACTATAACTCTTACTATTATCACAGTATAAAGTGAGTTCTTATTGTCAGTTGCCTAACCTTACTTGGAAACTGTACGAAATCCTAGGGCGTGCATTCACCATCCCCGGGTTTTTGCCCTCTGGTCATTTGCCCCTTATCTATATAAATGCCATGACACACTCCTTTCTTCACAAGACCTTTACTACTATCACCATTACTATTACTATTACTACTGTTACTACTAACTGCTATTAGCCACCGCGGATAAATTCTAGTATTTCCATCATGAGCAGTCGTAAGGTTATCGTCTCGGTTAACCATACCAAGAACAAACAAGTCAAGGGGGTGGAGAAGGAGATTGAAACTTGTCTCAGGCTGATGAAGCAGGAAATCACCGATAAGGAATCATTGATCAAGATGCTTCGTAATGAAGGGGTTTATTTAAGTGAAAAGTTGGAAGACGTTGATATCTACAGAAGATCGAAGAAGAAGAAGAGATATGTTTTATTGGAACACCAAGAAGACTTTTTAGCTATGATGAGAAGCTTAAGAGTGAAAAATACATGTAAGCTTATTGTAGTTGATAAACTGTTGGATTTCAAATGGCTGATTGATGAGAAGGGATTGTCCAAGATGAAGGATGTTTTGAATGATTATAATAAGAAACTTTTGCACGTTTGCTCTGATTTTATTTCCGCCTTACAATCAGAATTGGATCCAAGTGGTATGAATAATGATGTGCCAAAGCCTGCATCAGCACCAATATCAGCATCAGGTCTCGCTCCTGCTCCTGTTAAGCCATCACAAGTAACCTCTGACATTCATTCTGAAGCAACTCACTCAGAACCTTCTCTGGTTGCTCCTACCGTCAGTTGTGATGGCTGCTGTATCAGAAGATTTATTCCCATGTACGGAACAATCTATCATTGTGAAGAGTGTCCTGATTTTGATTTATGTGGTAATTGCTACAAGAAACAAGATGAATTGAAAAACTCTACTCATAAATCATCTCATAACATGACAAGGAAAACATTAGCTTTTTCCTTAGATGAAAAGTCAAAGCAAGTTCATCCATATATATCTTGTGATACATGTGCATGTGAAAGCAAACCTTTTATTGTTGGTGAAAGGTTCAAATGCTTGGAATGTCCAGACTTTGATATGTGTGGAGATTGTGTTCTGAATAGAGATAATATTCCAAATCATAAAATGGGATATCATAAACTAGAACACACTATGGTAAAGATATCAAATAGCAGAAATGTGGACATTGATCATCTGCCTAGCAGACCAAATGTTTGTCCTTTTGCTTCTTCTTATTGCAAGGCTTCTCAAGTACCTTTTGATTCTAGTTTGGATACAAAGGAAGTCTTTGTCAATACTACTACTGAGAACAAGAACATTATTAAAAAGTTCTTTGATAATGAGGACTGGCCAAAAAATATTATCAAGTTTGATGCTCTTGTTGAAAAGGCTAAGAGATATGATGATTTATTGAATCTGCTTGATGTTGATGGAGATGTCAATGAAGATACAAAGTTTGCTGTTCTACAAAGCTTTATTGAATCAATTCCTCGTGAAAAGGATCGACCAGTTGCAGTTTCGATTCCTGTGGTTGAGGAGTCTATTGAAGAACCTCCAAGCAAGATTCAAGAAAAATCAGCAACTAGTTCTCCTGAATTGTATGTTAATGTTGAATCAAGTTTTGAAAGGATTTCCCCTCTGTTATCGAGAATCTCTCTTCATAACAAGGGACCAAGTGTGTTGAATGGAGGTGATTTATCAGTTGAAATTTATTCCAATGTGGGAGTTCAAGTTTATAACAAGACTATCAACGATTTTCCCCCAATTTATCCTGGAAGTACTCGCAAGTTAAATATTGACTTTGGTATTGAAGATTACGACAAGTTTTCATTGTACGTTGCTACTGGAACACAATCATTCAATTGGAATTTTGCACGTCAATCTGCTTTGTCTTGGATCCAAGTTGAACCTGAGGAAGGTTTTATTGTCAAAAATATGGAGATTGAACCCAAAGTCGAGAACAAAGATGTGGAGATGAATATTTCACAAGAAGTAAGCGTGGTACTTCCCAAATATGAATCTGAAACTGAAGCTCAATTAACAGGCAATGAAACTGATTCACCATCTGAAGCTGAAGATTTACTTAAGGATGAAAAGAACTTTGTTGAATCTGTTCATGCAGTTATTTTACCCACCTTACTTAAGGACTCGACTTCATCCTCCACGCCATTTGTGGATGCTCATAATGAAGTTGAATCAGAGGATACGCCCAAAGAGAGCGATAATGAGAATGAGAATGAGAATGAGAGTGAGAATATGGATGATTATGATATGATGAGCAGTGATGAAGGAGAATCAGATCTTGAAGAATATGAGATTTTATCTCCTGTTATTTCTCATCCAGGATCACAATGATTATGATATGATTTGGTTTTTTATCTTTTTTATTTTATCGATGGTGTTGTTAATGGATAGCAATTTATAAGTGTATAGTGTTGATTGAATGGTTTAAGATATTAGTAGATTATTGTAGCAGATTATTATGGAAGGGATTATCAACCACTGGCGTACCTTGACGCTTTAAAAGGTGACAGAATTTTGGTGGTAGCGCAAGAAATGTACATTCAAAAAATTACTCAACTATGAACCCAATATAGCGATTCACAGTTGGCAGCTTTTGTCATAATAATGTCGAAACAAAGTACCAAGGCTATTGCCTTCAAGGACACGATTCCTGAGAGCGAAGGTAAGTGAAGAAAAGATTATGCAACCAATAAGAAGCTGTGTACTAACCATAATTGTAGAGGAGAGGTTTAAGCAAAAGTGTAAGGATTTGAAGCGAAGAATAAGTGAAATTGAACAGAGTAATGAAATAGCATCGCTTGCAATTTATAGAACCAAATCGAATATTCGTCGTTTAAGGCTTGAACATGCGATTTTGATTGAAAGATTGGAGCAACGAGCATTGGAATTCCCTGAAGATGATGAGGAGTTGCTGTTAATGAATGAAGATATACCTGTTCCTCCTACACCCACGTTATTGACCGATTCATTGACTACACAAGTGCCTAAGTTGAGCAGAAATGGAGTTACCAAGGGGTCAGTTAAGAAGGGGATGAAGGGAGTTAAATTGAAGGATAGTGAAGGGTATTATGGGGTTACAACATTCACAGTTAAAACACCTAAAGTTAGAGATCCTGATTTACCCAAAAAACCCACCAATGTTTATTTGCTCTTTTGCGATCTGGATAGGGAGAGGATTAGAGCCAAGTTGGAGGAAAAGGGTCCAGTTAATAAAGGTGATTTGGGTAGAGCATTACTTGATGAATGGGGAACACTATCTATGGAAGATAAGGCTCCCTTTTATAAGTTGTATGAAAAGGATAGACTTAGATACAATGCAGAAATGGAAGCTTATAATAAAAAGAAGAATATTGTACCTGAAGATCCTCCAACAAAGAAGGTCAAGCGTAAGATGAAACCAAAGGCTGATGAACCTCCAGTTAAAATTGAACAAGAATCTGAAGTTGACCATGAGACTGAACATGACCATGAAATTGAGCACGACCATGAAATTGACCACAAACCAGTGGAAACTTCCATTGATAAAAACGAGCAAGATGCTGCAGAGCCAGATCATGTTAAACAAGAACAAGATGTCGAAGATCACGAACATGAATCAACTGAGATTTTTAACAATGAAGCAACAGGTACACCTGAAGCAACTTCCACAACAAAAAATACTTCTACAACTACTACAGGGGCTGGTACTACAGATCAATAATGAACATAGAAATCATTATTTTTGTCATCTTTGTATACAACCTGTCGGTTACATATTTGTCCCAGCATTGACCTTTCAATAACACAAGCTCAAGTTCACTCAAGGTAGGGTTGTGGGAAAGATTGGATACACTTGACCACCGCAACGTCAAATGTCCCCTGTGTCTCATATCCAAGATCGTTGTGAGTCTGTTCATAATCAGCACATTGTCGTTGGCCACGGACTATTAATGCAAGAGATATTAATCACTTTAGTAAGGTATCTCTGTACAATAATGAGGCTAAATGACTATACTTTGTGCGACATTAAACTATCCAAGTCTTCAGCTACCCCATGTATATTAATGTGATCCTATGTGCATATAGATGTTATGCTGCATGAAATACTTTCTACCTAGTTTATATAACTATTTACTTCTGCTGGTGTACTTAATTTATACTGCTAGCTCCTTATTTAAAGTTTTTGATCTGCTGAAGATTTAATCAGAAACGTAGATGTCTTAATTCCCCTTGATAACATGATAGTCAACAATACTTAAAAAGGGTTTTAAGGATAGCAAAGTGCCACCAAAAACTGTTTCTGAAAATGCCAAGTATGGTGGCGAGTACTATCCTGGAAGGGTATATCTAACAACAGGGTTATTTGTATCAGATTTGCTTATTTTGTTTGGGTACTTGGCAATATGGATTCCAAAAGAGGCAGAAATTGTTGCACCTATTCTTCTGGTAATTTTGTCTTTGGTTACGATTGGGTTTCTACCAGAGGGCCTTTTCCATATAAAGTCAAGCCCAAGATGGTCACACACCTTTGCTAGTATTTTCTTTGGTTCACGTTATCTTCTTATACGTTCATCTACACAGTAAATTCTAGATCCTAGGTTGTCTGAAATTTAGTTGGAACTGTTACATATGCAAAAGCTAATAATTATATGCATGATACAGAGTAAGTTTCAATATGACCTTGTTTTAGAATGTAGAATAAAATAGCTATTAAATGTAATACTGCAGAATTATTCTTAGGAATGGTTGCAACTTTAGTAAGGTAACTTTCTCCTAGGAGTGTTTATTAATGTACTTACCTTGTGCGATGTCGAATTATTCAAGACTTTAGGTTACCCTAGGTATATGCATCTGAACCTCAGCATATAGATGTTATGCTTGATATAACGCTTTTTCTGCGTCTGCTATTTACATCTATTTGTATAAGTAATCAGTTCTTTGTCTGTTTTGAACCACGAAGGTACATATATAAATGTTGGGATAATTTAATTCATCCAGTTAAAAACCAGAGGACATCACCATAATAACTTACAATACGATCAGCTCCCATGACATCTTTCTGTGATGAAGACAACCTTATATAAATTCCTGTAACTGAAACTCTGACTGAAACTCTCCACCTTGAAGACATACGTATAAAAAGTTCTTCCACTGAAACTAGCAATGGGGACCCGATATTTATAATACCAAATCTTATTATATCAGGTTTCTGTATTTTGATGTCATTGCTTCTTTATTTCCCCAGAGACGTTGCTAATGTGATTGCACCGAGAGTACCTGGATTCTTGTCGATGGCTGGAAACGGTTTTCTGCCGCTACCCTTATTTATTAAATCACGGCTGGAGTGGTCAGACCTCACTAGTATTTGATGTGTTTGGATGGCTCCTTTATTTAGTTTAAGCCCTATATAGATATGGACTTTTTATAGGTCATGGTGAATTATTATATATGTGTATATATAACTTTGATAGCTCTGCATAAAACAAGTGTCTGGTATATTTCTTTAAAGTCGTGCGTGGCTAATTAAGTTACTGCATGAAATCAGGGGTTGCTTGGTAGTATGTCACTAAAGAGTTAATGTGAATCTACACATCCAGTTTATTATTAACATGTAATCGAAGGTTCTCTTATATACTCTATTATTTATTTTATCAGGTTAAGCCTCTTTATCAATAGCTTGATTCCTTTCCCTTTTTCGGACAACTTCCTTAACATCTGGACTAAGCACAAAGTTTTTCCCCATGTGTTGATGCATCATCACACGGAACAGTGGTGGTGTTGTCACGTGACTGTGAGACCACAAGCCAAGTCTCTAGATAGGGACTTATAGTCATAATATCGGCCAATTTAAGAAGAAGGAAGTCGCTCATGAAACATGTGTTAGTTATTAACAATGTGTGCTGGTAATACAGGGGAAATTAGAAGTAAGAAACGAGGAAATGGCCAAGGTTAAAACAAGGTATAAATTCAGAGGAATTCGACCCATCTTTAGCAATGCACTTAGAAACGACAAAAGTTCTCAAGTGTTGAAAATACATAATCTGAATACACAAGTGACTAAGAATTGAAAGACTTTTTTAGCAGTTAAGCTGACTAGTTTTAATTGACACCCTCCCGTTAAGCTCAACTATTCTGGACTTCAGAATGCCCGTAAAAAGCTTATTGCGCACAGCACGACCCTTGGAAACGCTAGCAACCCCCCAGGTTCTGCATTTAAATAGAAAAAGTTGGAGTGATTAATTTGGCCGCTAAAATTATTCTATTCGTCACATTCTTCTTCTTCTTTACTCAGTTACAATGTATGCAAGTCGTGCCATACGAGATATAAGATCCGGGTCATCTACTCGGTCATCATCCCGAGTCAGAACTCCAATGGTTGATGGTGAAGAGAATGGAAGTTTAGATGTCAATTTTCATGTATTAGAAGAGTTGCTTGCTCAGAAGTTGGAAAATTATCAACTAGAACAGCAAGAAGAATCTGAGGGTGGCCCGGAAGCCGGAGCTCAAGGGTCTTCGTTATTATCAGTAGGAGCCGCTTCCAATACGACCGGTTCATCCATTGCTCATGAAAAGGCCAATAAAATAAGGATATCTTCCACTAATAGTATCAATGAAATTATTCATTCATTAACATTTGCTTCTAGAACAGAAGTTAGTTCTCAAAGTAGAGAAATGTTATTAGCTCAATTATATAAGTTGATCGTATCCAAGCCTTTAGTGATTCATAATGAAGAAAGTTCAGGAACCAATGATTATGTCGATGAAGAGAAAATACAAGCGCTTATCAAAGTGTTTTTAAGTGGCGATTATCGGTCAAGTTCTGAGTTTTCTCTTTTATATAGATGTGTGATTGCTCTTTTAGCCAGTGATATTGAAGAATTTAGTGGATTGGCAAGTGGTGAATTTCAAACTCATATAGCTAAATTGGTCTATGATCCACCAAATCAAAATGTCACCTTGGACAATAAGAGTAATTTAATAACTGGGTTAGTTGGACTTTTATTAGTTTTAAATAATGGGTCTGGAGCTTATGGGATTGATGATCGGATTAAATGGTTACTTCATGATGTCGCAGATGGTTATGTTCAAAGTTCCATAACTTTATCAAAACAAGTTGATAAGGGAGAAACAGATCATAATACTTTTATTACTGATAAAGAAGGTGATGCAGCAATTATTGGAGAAGCTACTTCAAGAGCCAGTCAAGAAGCAAATGTTGCAATTAGTGCAATCCATGGAGTTGGATGTTTATTAACATTAATGACTCGCGGTGATTATTTAAATGAGTTTATTAGTAGTGATGAAATTATTGGTAAATTGGTGGAATTTTTGGATAACGAAGTGAATGTGGATATTTCTAAAGCTGCAGGAAGAGTTATTGCATTGATTTATGAGATTTATACTTATGGTGAAGATGAAGATGAAAATGACCAAGATTATAATTATAATGCTCCATATTATGAACAAGAAAGCTTATTTCAAATTGTTAAGAGATTGGGGAATTTGTCAACCAAAAAAGTTGGTAAAAAGGATAAAAAGAATGTTGTATCGATATTCAGAGATATTCTTAATACATTGGAGAATTATACCACGAAAGAGAAAAGAATTGAAATATACAAGAAATCTCAACAAGGATTGGATTTATTAAGTCAATCCACTCATATCAAGTTATCTCGTACCAGATCTTTATCAATTAATAGTTGGTTTTTATACTTACGATTAATTCATTTGAAATGGTGTTTTAGTTTTGGAGTCCATGCTCAACTTGTGGCCAATGATACTATTAGAGATATTTTAAGAGAACCACCTTCGGAATATCAATTGAAATATGGTAAAGGCCAAGGAACTGGTGATGGAGACATTGATGACGACGTTTACTTTACAAACGATGTGCACAATGTTAGTGAAAAGAAACGTACAGAGAAGATTCGGAAAGCCCGTCAACTGAAATTAGATGATGAATTGAATCATCTTGAAATATCTTAAGTATTTATTTATTCAGAATATAATTTATATCAAACATCTATCAAGGAATAAACGGTGTATATATATCTAAAGGACATTAAAAGGTTATCATTATTGAGGCCGGATACCCATTTTCCCAATGTAGTCTTCAGCATCTTGTTTCATTTGTTCGGCTGTCTTTCTATTCCATCCGAGTTCACGGCCCATGATGTTCACCACGGCATCAATGGAAACGTAGGCTTCTTTGGCATTCAAAAATGCCAATCGCGTTCTTCTTGCAAGGAAATCCACTGGGGTACGAGCATACTCATAATTCATGGCATATTTCAATTCTGCAACTGTGAAAGGTTCAGTTTCCATGAATGATTCACCTAATAATTCCTTTGGATGTTCAATTTTACCAGCTAATTCAATTGGAAGACGATTCAGTGGATCGCTGATATATAATTTAGCAAGTATTACTGAACGAGTTCCATAATTATTAGCCCAATGAGTAGCTAATTTGGCAGGAATATGATATTCATGAATTAATTGAGTATCAATCCCTGGGTGATAATTCTCTCCACCAGCAAGTATGATTGAATTGGTTTGGCATGGACGTTTAGGCTCCAAGTTTGAGGTTGAAATGATGGTATTAACGGTTTCCTCAGCCATTTCTCTATAAGTTGTCCATTTACCTCCCAGAATTGTAACTAACCCAGTTGGAGAAGTAGTGATCAAATGAGATCTTACTAATCCTTCAGTTTTCCCATTGTTCTCTTCAATAGAAGGATCTTTAACTAGAGGACGAACACCACTCCAAGCTGATAAAACATCTTCTCTTTCAACTTTGAAGTTAATATACTTTTGAAGTTCATTCAAAATATCATTAATCTCATCTTCTTTAGCAACTGGTGAATCAGGCACTTCCTTTAAAGGAGTATCAGTTGTACCAGCTAACACTTTCCCCTGCCATGGTAAAAAGAACATTACTCTACCATCTTCAGTGCTTGGATCCAAAAGACCCATTTCCTTGGGCCCATAATATTCAGGTAATACAATGTGAACACCACTTGAAGGCACAACCATTTTAGGTAATTGTTTAATTAATGGAGGTAACCCCTTAGGATCTTTATCCATTTCCAAAATTTGATCAGCAAATGGTCCTGTAGCATTGACCACTGATTTAGCCTTAATCTGGAAAGTTTCTCCTGTTTCTCTATCCTGAGCAATGACACCGATAACTTTAGAATCTTGTTTAAGTAATTGAACAACATTCATATAATTAAGTACGGTGGCTCCATTTTCAATAGCTGTCAAAGCCAAAGTAGCGTTCATTCTGGCATCATTAAAACTACCATCATGATATAAACATGCAGCTTTCAAATTGGAAGATTCAATCATTGGAGCAGCAGCTTTGGCATGCTCACCCAAATATAAAGTAGAGGACCGTAAATTTTGATAGCCAGCAAACCAATCATACATTTTACAACCGGCATAGAAATAAGGAATTTGCCACCATTTATAAACTGGAATCAAAATAGGTAAGACAGAGACTAAATGAGGAGCGGTTCGCATCATATTAGCTCTTTCATTTAACGCTTCAATCACCAAATCCAATTGATCCTTCAGTAATTGGAAGATTGCCTTCTCCAAATATCTTACCCCACCATGAGCCATTTTCGTTGATTTAGATGAAGTTCCACTAGCAAAATCTTCTCTTTCTAAAAGACATACTGATAACCCTCTAGTTACAGCATCAACTGCTACACCAGAACCCACAGCACCACCACCGATGATTAAGGTATCAAAAGTCGTGGGACCATCTTTTAACCGTTGTAACAATTGTTGTCTTGTAGGAGGTTTGACGACATTTTTCTCTTGTGTTGATAATGGTTGGAAATTGGTGTAATCAACCAAAGGTTTATTAGGTGACTTTATAAAATCAAGATACACTACAGTCAGACCTAAAGCTGCAGATGCGACGTATGTCGCTTTCGCCAACTTCGAAGTAGCCAAACGACGGAACATAGTTCCTATAAATATCTTTATATAATCTAGATGATAATAATATTAAACTGTTGAAAATTTTTTTGGTACCAGGTTTAACTTTATAAGTCCGTATGATCGTCGTCGTCACCGACTTTTCACAGGCAGCGCTCTCACCCGACATCTTCCTGGACTGGCACGACGCAAAAGAATTTCACCTGAGTCATTCAGCGTCGGGTGTGGGGGAGACGTGATTCAAAAAGTAGTATATACAGTCACATAGCAAGTGAATCCAATGTAGCTGGCGTAGTCATATAGATTATATATATACTTTACGTGTTAATATAGCAGTAATGCGCTTAACGAACTGACTTACATATATTTGCATAAATATACGTAATGTTTATTGATATGGTGTACTGACAGTTCACTGTATTACTAATACTTTGTGGGTGGTTATTAGTTCATAGCTGGACGAGCCTGACCCCCAATTATCATATGAGGAAGGAATTTTCTTCAGCCTGGAACCCCACCACTTCGGCCCGAAACCGCACACGTGAGTATTCTAATTATATCCACACATAATCATATACAGGATAGAAGGTTATCAATCATGAATACAGCTTTTAATTTCTATTTTTGTTCCCACTATGGTCGTGGTTGTGGTTGTCAATAAATTAGTAGTGGCTCCCCTAACACCAATGATTATTTATTCCATTGCACCAACACTCTAAGAGAGTTCTATCCAATTTAATGATAATAGTTTGGGCGAGTTAAATACCCCAGGCGCTATTGACTCACCTGGTGGTCCAGAACCCCGTCAAAGGTCTGATTACGAGAGTCAGTCGTTGAGTGCCACTACCGTGTTTTAATGAAATCTTTGTAAGATGACGTAGATTATGGAATGATCATGAGTTTGATCCTGATTTCAAAGAAATTTCTGATCTTATCACCCTTGAAGTCTCGTTAGGAGGCCAATCTTAAACGCTCAAGAACTCATATGTTCTCGAGCTCAATTCGTCCTACAAAGTATTTCAATTTGACCGGAACACGGTTCCGTAGCTCAAATGTGTCGTGAGCGAACACTTGAAGAAAAGAAGGCTTTAGACCTGTTAAATGATCAAAGAAAGTTACCGATCAAGGAACTTGAAGACTGGGTAGCTGAGCGGGAACAGAGAATGCTAGATGTGGATCCGAATTATGTTGTCGAAGCTTGTAGTGTTAATCAATACAAGACTACAACTCGACTTTTATGAATAGACTACAGGGGTATCGTAAATTACTACACACATTTATATACAAGAACTTTAATACCCAAAGCGAATCGCGCTACCATTTAGTAATTGTGCTAAAAACGACCCCCCACTTAATTTTAACTACCCTCTGTGAGCTTGTAAATATACAACTACTACTATCACTATGTTAATTGTTCAATGCAATTCCAAAAGTAAGGATATATATTTGAAGTAATGGATGAATCTTCTACGACCTTGTTGATTGAGCAATTCAAAGCAGTCACGGATATTTCTTCCGATGATAATGATGAAGATATTTCCAACTTGCTTCGTGTTCATGACTATAACATGAATAATGCCATTTCAACATATTTTGATTCCGGCTTTACAAGTGTTTCCGGGTCCAACAGGAATGAAGTACGTGATTCCAGAGAATATTCTGATACTTCTGTTTCAGTGAATGAATATTCTCCAGCAGTTGATGCTGACGTGATTTTGCCATCCACCAGTGGAATTGCCTCAGGAGCTTCTTTCCATGATATTGAAGATAATACGTCAAGACAACGTCGACCATCTTTTCAAACCGTCAATTTACAACATCAGTTGTACTATGATTCGTTTATGCCCAAACTTCCAAAAGCACCCAAGCTTTCCAATCATTGGCAATTGGGCTTATCATTGTACAATTCCCGGAAACAGGCAGAACAATTACTGGAAAAGAGTCAAGAGAAAGAAGGAGAAGAAGATGTCGATGCTAAGCTGTTAGAGGTTGAAACTATTAATAGTACTCCTTCCGAATCCAATGATATAAATGGTGGTGTTCGCAAATCACGTCCACTTTGGTTATTATTTTTAATTATACCCCAAGGATTCATTAATGCACTTGTATCTATTGCCCAATTTTTTTTATCACCATTCTTTTCATCTTCTTTACCTTTGAAAAGACATCGCATTATTCCCAAACTGTTCAATTATGATCATTTACAAATGGATTTTATACCCAAACTTTCACCCTCTATAAAGGAATTAGCTAAAACAAATTTGCACATTGTGGATAAACATTTTAATGAGACTTTTGACAAAGCTATGAAGGAGTACAAATGGCTTTTGGTTATCCTTCTGACTCCAGATGATGAGAATCCAGAGGAAGAATTGGAAACATCGTTTATTGATAAATTTCTTTTGAATTCTAGAGTTCAAACGGTTTTTAGTAAGGAAAATTCATCTATTTTCATTGGAAGTGTTAACGGGTCACCTGAATGTCTTGAATTGGCTCAAACGTATCAAGTGAAAAGACTTCCATATGTCATGCTTGTTGCTAATATCAACAATATTCCTTCTATTGTTTACAAGTGTAATTTGGCACCTATATTTGTTACTCCTGGTGCTCTACCAACAACTATTGATAAGATTATACGAAATATCCTGAAACAAGTTGAAATTTATACTCCACAATTAATAAGTGATAAATTTGAGTCTCAAGAAATGGAGCAAAGTCGTCAAATCCGTCAATCTCAAGACGATGCTTATTTGCAATCTCTTGAACGTGATAGACAACGTAAACTTGAAAGAGAGAATTCCCAATGGTTAAAATCTCTCAAAACTTCATTCCTTAAATATCATATTTGCCTCGGTGAAGAAGAAGAATATGAAGATACTCCAATACGATGTGCTATTAAATTGCCTAATGGGAAAAGACTTTTATCAAGATTCTCACCGCTGTTAACAATCACACAGCTTTATTTTCATATTGAGAAACACCTTTACATTGCACAATTACTTGAAGACGGAGACTTTGAATCAGAAGCAGAAATCCATGAAAAGTTAGCTTTGGAAAACCTTCAACCACCCTCTCATAAAGATGGCTCTGAATTCACATTGGAAGATTACCAGACAAAATTTCCATGGAATTTCGAAGTGGTCCAGCCATATCCTAAAGTTGTGATAGCTTCATCAAAGAAGAAGCTTAGCGAGGTTAAAGAACTTAAGAGCGGAGCAAATCTATTGGTTGAGTATACTGATGATGATACCGATGACGTTGATAATGAAGAGAGCAATGAATGACGCATTGTATAAACCGGAATGAATGTAACTACACTTATATTAGTATGATTACGTAATATCTAGATATCCTCTAATCAGCCTTTCACTTGTCCATGCCCCCCTCCCCAGTCGTGTACAGCTCAAGTACAGAGGGCTATAGCAAGTCAGGATAGGGAATGAATTTGGACCGAGACTTTAGGCGAAGCTCTACTCTCCTTAATAATTGAACACCTGCTGTTAGACAACCACATAATCGGATTGGTATTTTTGGACATATAATACCGATATATAACGTATTAGAGTGAGGCTTCAAGGATCATATCCACCAATCAGAACGGTCGTTGAGCTCAAGGTACTAGTAAGGTACAGATCAGGTTACAAAATATCGCCTAATATAACTTACCCGTTAGTGAACTCCAGATTATCTTACAATAGTTAGTTTTGCATTAATATGGCAAGTCGCATGTCGAGGTTAGAGGCGGAAAGATTGGCTATTCTTCAACTGTCTATTAGTAGGGGTCGTTCAGCATCTCCACTGGGAGACAATAGTCGTAGTAGCAGTATTAGTGGAGGTGATGATAATATGACTAAAGAACTTAAATGGTCAATCACCAATCATGACCCTCTGGAAAGAATCAAGAAGACTAAAGCAGACAATGAGAATGAAATTGATGATTCCAAAATCTTATGGGACAATGATGAAGTATCTGAAGAGGAACATTTAAGTGATGATGATAACAATGAAAAGTTTCATTACAATGAGGGTGGAGGATCAATTTTACCCAATTATTCTGCTTTAAATGATGAAACCATTAATGAAGTGCTGATGATTTTAGAAAGTCAAGATTTAACTGATGGTTCTATTATTAAAAGACTTGAAGCTTTAACAGCATCTGAAAGAGCTTTGGCTAATGCCAAAAATATTGGTACTACCATCGATAAGGAGCAACTTGACAAGTTACAAGAAGATAAACAGAAATTAACTGGTGAAGAATTAGATTTATCTAAACTGGATCAAGATGCTGGTTCCCGTAAACAAAAGTTAGAATCATATCAAAGTTATAGAAAGAAAGTTCTTGATGAAAAGAATGACACTCAAAAGAATCATCATCATCATCACCACCAAGCTGCATCTTCCACTGCTTCCAATGATGAGAATGACAGTTCCAAGGAAGATGAACCCAATAACGATTTCATGGTTCCTTACACTTCAGCTGTTGAAGATAAATTGGATTCTGAATTTGCATCTCAGTTGAATGAATCCATTAAGGAAGGAGAATTGGATTCCAATAAAACTTATTCAAGAGTAATTCAGACTATTACAAGAGGTAATTTTTTTGAATTGATAAACCCCAAGGTTAAACCTAAAATGTTTTTAGTTTGTATGGATTTTTCACCGGAATCCATATTTGCCTTGGAATGGTGTATTGGGACTGTTTTAGTAGATGGTTCAGTGTTGTTTATTGTATGTGTGATTGAAGAAAGTGATTCCAACCATCATCTAAAAACTTCAGCTATTAATGAATCTCAAAGAGTCAAACAAAGATTGGAAATGTTGAATAGAGCAAAGCAGCAGGCTTTAAATCTTTTGAAATTAACTAAATTACAAGTCCATGTGGTTATTGAAATTATTCATCATCCAATTCCTCGTCATTTGATTTTGGAATTTATAGATAATTTAAAACCTACTTTAGTCGTAGTGGGTTCAAAAGGTCAATCTGCTATTAAGGGAGTCTTGTTAGGTTCATTGTCTAATTATTTGGTGACAAAATCTTCCGTCCCAGTTATGGTTGTTCGAGAGAAATTAAAGAAGATTAATAAGTTTAAAAGTGGTTCTAGTGTATTTGCCAATAACATTAGACCTTTAACTTTATCTGAAGCAAGAATCGATTAAATTTATTTCTTATTATCTTTATTATTATCTTCGTTGTTGATCTAGAAATGTTTTTAGAATCAAGGCTGTATGTATACACCTTTATTAAGTATACTCTTTATTTATATATCCCAAATTAAATGTATAGTTCAGTGAATGACCTTGCAGCGAACCTCTTATTACAATGACAAACCTTTGGTGAAGAGATTAAAGGATTATCAATAGATAATTTTAGTTTAGTTGATTTGGATATTCTTCCAGATCTATTACCAATATTCTTAACACATCTTCCACAATAAACATGTCCACATTTAGCACTAAACACTCGTTTGGAAAGATCCTTATCAACATCAGTGATCATCTTATTACAAAACCAAGGTGCTGGAACGTCATATTGTTGTTGATACTTCTCAAAGTCTTCATCATATTTCGGATTAGGCTTGAAATCTTGTGGGATTCCACAACCTAATTCTACTCCACATAACTCACAATAAACTTGAACTTCAGAGTTGATCCGTGACACATGTCTCTTGTTATTTGGATCAACAATCAGTTTCTTCTTTTGTAGATAAGCTTTCCTATTGTAAAGGTTTTCTCTTGAGATTTTATCAGAAACAGCTTCATCCAACTCACGTTCTATTCGACTCATAATACTGGCTTCAATATCATCTGGCCCATTCCCTTGCCATTGACTGAGCCCTCCCGCTTCACCACCACCTAAAGGATATCCTCGTACAACAGCTCCATATCCAGTGTCTCCCAAGGGGATAGTAACATGGTTATAGAAGTTATGCAATGTTCGAGAAACATTGTCTGGGTTATTTAAATCAAAGGGTAACATTGTACTTACCATACGAAGTTGGTTATTTCTACTTCGTATGTTCGGATTCCGATGGAACACATCTCGTCTAGACGCTGGTAATCGGAATCGGGTATTATTGGGAGGCATCAATGGTGTTCTTCTAATATAGTTAGAACCATTGGGTGTAACCGTAGTGGGGGTTCTTCTACCAGTATTTGTAGAAGGAAGTTGATTCCCAGTTCCATAACTTCCAAATGGGGTATGAATAACTTCAAATCCACGAAGTTGTCTTTCTCCAGTAACAACAACTCCATCATCGTCTGCTGTGGTATTTTCTTCTTGTATGCGGTTATTATCGCTATTATTATCATTATTATTATTATTGTTATGTCGTATAGTTGAATTACCTTCAGGTACTATTTCAACAACTCCAAGTATTTGGACCTCATCATCGTCTTCTTCTTCATCCAAGTCAATCTGTTCCATATTATTACTCCGAGTGCGTGGTACCGATGTAGTGTTAGAAGGTTCATTCCCATTCGGTATTACACTGCGAGGACTTATCGGTGGGAGAATGGGATTTCTATCTCCGAATACCCGACTGTTTGTTCTACCATCAACTGCAGGCATTCTAAATATATTAGCCAATGATGGTAACGTTGGTGGTCGGGCATCTGACGGTGTATGCGATGAACTATTGCTTATAGAGGTCTCATACTCAGTTGAAGTAGTGTCATTCTCAGTGGTTGGGGTATCGTTCTCGTTCTCGTTCAAGGTTAGTGGGGTTTCAGTCTCATTCTCATTTGATGGCGAGGTCTCAGATAAAGTTCCAGGTACCAGTCTTGAAGATATCGATACTATAGTCAAGGGTGTTGAAGTAGCTGGTGTGGTATCACTATTATGATCTTCTATTGCTAGTGGCAAGTTTTCATTATTAATAACCATGTTATCACTATTACTAACAGGACGATTTGACTCGGTAGTGGTGGTGGAGGTTTCTTCTAGTTGTTCTTCCTTCTTCGTATCAGAGTCCTCGGGCTGTAGCCGTCTCCTCTTAGTATTATTATTATCGCTTTCCATATTCAACGGTAGCATTAGCTATAGTTATCGTTTATTCGGTTCTAGTGGGTCGTTTCTTGATATGACCACCCTAAGTAATTAGTAGATGGATGTCCGTAACCACAGCGAATGAGTTCATACCAAATGATAATTACTAATATATATTCGATATATATATGAATAAGGGTTCTTTATATGCTTATTTGCCTTCGATATAGAAGAACTATATTTATCTATCTAAGACTAAGTAGCATTCACCTCTATTAAAAGCAGAAAACAGACATTTATTATCCCAACAATCACGTGACCATTTAAGAAGAACCGAATTCTTGACTTTGTAATCAATAATTACTTTTTTCTTTCTTCTTCTTGTGTACTATTACAATAAATGCTGTAACTATGAAATATTAAATCCTCTAACCAAAATAAGACTGTTTCTTTTGTAACCCTATTATTAAGAAGTTATGATTAACTTCCTTCATATAGTGGTTTATTTCTTCAAACCACTTCTGACATAACGACCAACAACAATACAATGATCTCTTTCATAAGGTTCCAAAGTCAATTGTTCTAAAGGCTTAATTCTTTCTTCTCTTAACTTTTGCACTTCTCTGGCGAAAACGGTTTCGGCATCGACAGTGGAGTCAATACAACTGGCCTTAATGGAGATAACAACCAAACCTTGATCCTTAAGGAACAAATGAGAGTTCAAGGCAATGATACGAGCTTGATCAGGTTGAGCAACATCGGCGAAAACAACATCAACCATGGAAATCAACATTCTGTATTTTTGAGGGTGACGAGCATCTTCAATGATTGGAATAACATTTGGTCTCTTGGTAGCCATTGAAACCAATTCTCTACCTGGTCTGTGAGAGAATTCAACAGCGTAGACAATACCTTCTGGACCAACAATATCAGAAACGTGAGAAACAGATGTACCAGAAGCAGCACCCAAATACAAAACCTTCTTACCTGGGGCAATACCTAATTCATCAATACCACCCATAACACCAGCACCCAACTTGGATCTGAAAGGATTCCAGACACGGTATTCAGTCTTGGTAACGGCAGCACCTTCTTCTTTGGCAGGTTCTTCAACGGAAATTCTCTTTTCACCGTAAACAGATTCACCTGGGGCCATGTTCTTGGTTACCAATAAATCCTCCTTACCTCTGGCAATGAAAACACCAGCATGTCTGTGAGGTTCAACGACAACCTTAGCACCACCACGGGCACCACCACGAGCACCACCTCTACCACCACGGGCACCACCACGAGCACCACCGCGAGCACCGCCACGGGCACCGCCACGAGCACCACCGCGAGCACCACCTCTACCACCACCGAAGCCACCTCTGGAACCACCTCTTCCACCACCAAAGCCACCTCTTGAACCACCTCTTGGGGCTCCACCTCTGGAACCACCTCTACCTCTTGGAGCACCGAAAGCCATATTTATATTCTGCTAATGTAATTAAAGGATCTAAGGAACAGATAAAGAAGACGTTCAAGTTATAATAAAATTTCGAAAATTTTTCTAAAAGTTTGAATGGGATGAGCACTAGGCTTTTATGACACAAAATAGTTGATTACATAACATTTTTGAGATTTTCGCTGTTTGCTTATGTCAGCCTTGCGTTTTATTAATTTGTTAGGGCCTACAACTTTAAGTTCAATAATAATACTCTAATAATTAATATAAGATAAGAATAAGCTTATAATATTACACTTAATAGGGATCAGAATAGTACTATTACTTTGAATTAAGATTCTGCGGTATTTAGAACTCATTTTATTGAAGTTTAAAGTATAGTTTGATGAAATCGCTATTCATGGTCTGCTAAAAGTTCTTTATTTGTCCTTTTTCAACCGCTTTTTCACTCAATTGCAACAATAATGTTCCATAAAGTATAAATCGTAAACTAATATGTACATTGTCAGCATAAAATGTACATATATCTATGAATATAAGTCTACCCCATATTTTATGTGCGATGGGCTTCGTGCGGCTCAGGAACTTTCTCAAAATTACCACATCAGGAAAGCTGCTACATAAATCATAGAGAAAATGCGACATTGCTTATCTGGGCAACAAAAGGGTGCCATTTGATACACGACTTGTCATGCTTAAAACAACCCCATCTTATCGTACGGCTCGGGGTTCAGAATACTTATAAAGACAATTTTGACGTGATCTATAAAAAAAGAAGCTACCAAATTTGCAAGCAAAAAGCGAAATCTAAGAACCAATTCCATTCTCAGAATGTCTTTGTTGATTCCATTAGTTGTTGTGGGGACACTTATAAGTGGTGCTGGTAACTCTCTTTTAACTAAGTTTCAAGATAACCAATGTGTGAAGCACTGCTCTAATCCTGATCCTACCAAACATTTGAAGTTTGAACAGCCTGCGTTGCAAACTCTCCAAATGTTTGTTGGAGAACTTGCAGTGTATTTGATATACCATTTGGTGTACAAATCCCTGTTCTCTAATCGGAATGGATATACGGCCGTTCTGGAATCTGGGGAAGAAGTTCAAGATATTCATCCTGGTAGAAACATTGGATTATTTGCAAGTTTAAAATTTGCACTTCCTTCAACATGTGATTTATGTGCTACGACTTTAATGAATTTGGGGTTGATTTATACACCTGTTTCAGTTTATCAAATGACCAGAGGCTCATTGGTTTTGTTTGTGGCCATAATGTCAGTTATTTTCTTAAAAAGACACATCACTAAACTTGAATGGGTTTCATTAGGTTTGGTAACTCTTGGTGTTGCTGTTGTGGGTTACAGTGGTTCTCAGCATTCAGGAAAGAAGACAGAATCTACTACTATTGTTGTCGGTGAAGATAGTGCGGCATTAGTTGTTTTCGGGATCTCTTTGATTGTAATTGCAGAAATATGCCAAGCAGTTCAATTTGTTAGTGAAGAACATATTTTAAAAGAGTATCCTTTAGTTCCCTTACAATTGGTTTACTTTGAAGGGTTCTATGGAGTTACCATATTAACTTTTGTGATGATTGTTTTGACTGTTATTCTTGGAATCACATTACCAACTAAACAATTTGAAAAGTCTCCCTTCAATTTACCTGAAGCTTTATCACAAATGGGGTCTTCTCCAGCCGTTTTATTTTCATCAATTCTTATCATGATTTCAATCGCTTCCTTCAATTATTGCGGTATGACTCTTACGCATCAAATACTGGCTACATCACGATCCACGGTTGATACTTGTAGAACACTAATTGTTTGGGTTCTTGCAATGTTTATGGGATGGGAATCTTTCCATTTCCTTCAGTTCATTGGTTTTGCTATACTTGTATTTGGAACCCTTTGCTTCAATGGGGTTTTGGAACCGGAAAAATGGTCTTATGTTCCTGGCGTACTTAAGGAAACACCTAACGAAAGACTCATTGACACCATAGATGAACAAATAGATAGAATGTAGCGAGAACTATAGAAATTACAAACACATTAGCTACTCCTGATTACACTGCAATCGAAGTTATATTTTGGTAGTAATGAATGCCTCAAGTATGATGAAGAATGGTGGTAGCGCACACAACGTCAACATTCGCCACACGAATACCCAGAAGAAATAAAGTACACTAGTTAATTCTACGAATAGTTACATATAGCCATATATAAGTACCACAATAATGGTAAGTATTAACCGCCACAACGTATTTTACATGATGTATACTAACAATGGGAAACATATAGTCTTTGAGAGTTGTTCCAGAAGATACCAATCGGTCCGTGGTTAACAGTGCTGAACTTGGCACTCCAGCTGAACATACTCCAGCTTTACATGATGTTTTGAAATCAGGAAATGGACCAGTTAATGTGGCAAGTATGATCAACAACAGACACCCTTTAGAATCACGGATTCAAAATTGGGATCGTAACCAACAAGATTTCAAAATGGAAATGTATCGTAGAACATTTGGTGCAGGTGAACCTATTAAGAGATCAATGGAATTAGCTATAGTTGATGCTACTGAATTTCGTCCACTGGTATTAGGAAATGGAACCACTAATTGCATACATAAAGAGATTTTATTAAATAAAGACTCTACTGTTGATTGGGAAGATGTTTATACTGGAGGTTTAGAATCTGGATTTGTACCCAAAGATTTCCATTCAGAAATGGAGAAACGTATGGGGATCTAAGAGCTACATAATGAATTATAATATTGAAAGAAAGAGCACCAAACGATGTAATAATATCTTTATATCATAATACTACAGTCAATTAAATGAGTCTGCCTACTTAAAAACAGAGTCGTCCCCTTACCATAAGTCACGGTAGCGCAGATTTGAAAAAAAATTTTCGACTAATGATCTTAGTATATAGTAATAAAGATTTGCAACATTAAGAAACTACTCATCAACTTGTTTCTTTTTGATCCCAGTTTACAAAGCCGTTTCTTTATTACTACTTTCGTATCAAAGCATCACATCCAGGATAAAAATCTCCAGTTCTTTAACTGAACCATATTTTCCTCCTCATCCTACTTGAAATTATCATTATAGCACTTTTGTTCTCAATTGTTGTGCTAAAAATTATATTCAATCGACTCTATTGGTACCTTTTATTACCAGCTCTATTATCAACATAAGATTCACTCCCGATAATGTCTCAAACATCTTGGTATGTATACTTTTAAAGCCGTGAAAATGACGCGTTCGGCAATCATAAGTTCCATCATTGACCAATCGTACTAACATTAATGTTATAGGTCTAGAAAACCATCTGAAACTCCAATCAATGATCCATTTGCCACCGCTGTGAATATCAAAACTAGCGAACAACAAGGATTACAACATGCTAATGTTCATGCTCCTCGTATGATGTCTTCATCAACTACAGCACCTGCGTCAGCATCAACCGGTGGTGCTCCTGCAATATCTACTTGGATCCCTGTAAACAAAGGTTCCAAACGGTATCAATTGGATTCGGTGTTTAAAGTATGGTTTGATAACCAACAAAAGATCGAGCACCAGGTATTCAATAAAAATGATGATAACTATAAGTTGGATACTCCGGGTCACATTTATCATTTAGAACTCCAAAAGTCGTCGATTCCAAAGTCAGAAATGAACACAAATGATCAAATCACTGATCTTACAGCGGCTATTAAAAACGTCAATGTTTCTGAATTGGTGTCGGTGGTAAATCCTAAAGAGGAGATATTGCCATCTGGATCCACTCCTCCTACCCAGGTACCAGCGGGTGTCCCTTCTGCTACCGAGGGTACTGCGTTTGGTTGTCCAGAAAGCACGCCACCACAACTAGTTCAATCTGATAAAATTGAATGGGTTTATGTCGATCCTTCTGGTAACGAACAAGGTCCATTCATTGGTGATATCATGCAAGAATGGTTAACAGCGGGTTATTTGAATATGGATTTAAAAATTAGACGGAAAGAAGAATCTGCTTATTATTCATTAAGGGAGTATTGTGACAGAGTTAGTAACTATGTTCAACCTTTCAAAATCCCTCTTATTGATTTGAACATTGTTCCACCTCCTCCTAATCTTCCGCCTACAGAATCGCATTATAATATTGGTAAATCAAATGAAAAAATGGCTAAATTGGATAATAGTCAATTACCTCAACAGTTTTCTGCTAATCATACACCGTTGCATGATGTTTTATCACAGCAGCAACCACCACCACAACCACAGCAGCAACCTCAACCGGGCCAACTGTCTCAATTCTTTCTCCCAAACAATGGTGGGGCCTTGGGAGGTTCGAATATGAGGTTAAATGCTTTGAATCCTCAAGGAAACTTGTTTTCTCCTGACTTTATCAATTCTGATCCATTTAATAAGGCCACAATCCCTCAACAACCAGCCACTAGCTTTTCTAACCAATTTGGTTATGATCATATGGGATCTGGATTTGGCGTGAATAACTTATCTCATACAAGTTTATCACATATCAATTCCATGCCTTCACTTTTGCAACAACAAATTCATCAACAACAACCTGTTTTATCAAGAACAAACAGTGGTTGGAGTATGGATCTCAACAATGCTAATGGGACACCTGTTGCTGTCACTTCATCTTTGAATCAAGTTAATCAACCTGCTCCACTTTCTCCATGGTTATCAGGTGTACAAAGTCTGTCTAGAGTGGGTTCACCATTTGTACCTACGCTGGCATTAAGAGATGACCATGTTCTTAATATTCACCAATCTGTTGTTTCAGATATTTTGGGAAATGTTGATGAAAGTACAAATCCCGTTGCACCCCCAATTTCCAATAACCAAACTGCTCCCACACTTCCAAGTCAACCTTCGCAAGTAATTGAGTTGGGACCGCCAGAACCAAGTATTATTGAGAAGATTGTGTCTCCTTCTCAAGTAGATGAACAGGCAGTTAATGAGGCGAAGGCTAATCAAAAAGAGAAGAAAGAAGCGTCTCAAAAAAAACGTTCCAGTTCTATCAATGCCCCAGTTCCTACCGAGAAACTTAATGAGGTACCTTCTTTAACACAAACCAATACTGCTGCTACACTTCCAGAAGATAATGTAGCAGTAATTATAGACAAATCTCAATCTAATGATGCTTTGAAAGCAGCTACTCCAACTCAACCAAAGCTTGCTCCTTGGGCCAAAGTTACTACGAAGGCTTCTGAACCACTTACATTAAAGGAAATTCAAAGGTTGGAGGCCGAAAAACTGGAGAAGCAAAAACAAGAACTCAAAACAGAACAACCAAAGATGTGGCAATTAGAAGAGAAACTTGATGATATTGCATCCAATGTTCCATTGGGATGGGCTACTGCTAATGTTTCCAAACCAACCAAGACTTTAGCTGAAATTCAAAAAGAAGAAGCTGATGCTAAGGCCAAAGCACTTAAAGCATCTGCTGGTACTTCGTCATCGACATCAAGTACACCATTGATGAACAAGACTTCGTTGGCATCAACTCTTGCAGCAGTACCGAAGGATGATGGAGGAGCTTGGACAACTATTTCAAAGAAGCAACCAGTGAAGAAGCCCTCAATGACATCCTTATACAATTCTCAACCAACAACCAAAATCAATCCACAAATGCTTAGATCTGCTAGTGCCAATAAGACCATTACCACCAACAATACGAATACGGTTAGTATTAAGGAAGAGTTTTTAATTTGGGCACGTTCTGCTATGACCAACCTTTATCCTACCGCAAATCGTGATGAGATGTTAGATCTTTTTGTTGCACTTCCCAGCGGATCTGAATCTTCTCAATTGATTGCAGATACTATTTATTCATCATCAGCAACTATGGATGGTAGAAGATATGCCCAAGAGTTTTTGAAGCGTAGACAAAAGGTCGAATCTCAAATTGGCAGTTCAGATGACTACTCTTGGACTGATGCTATTATTCTGAGTGCAGATAAGGTTTCGTCTGTTGATGAAGATGGATGGAGCACTAGTATCAAAAAGAAGGGAGGAAGAAGAAAGTGAATATATATATTTGGGTATATGTATATTTATTTACAGGGCAACTTGATTTAGTATTTCTTCCACAATAGTGATATTATCCTCTGGTATCATTATAATTGCACTTTTAGCCATTGATAAATAGTACATCTCAAAAGGGAAACTTACAGCGATATCACTTGTTTTAACACCATGTAAAATGCTTTGAGCAACACCAGCTACGATCCCACTAGTTTTCAAAGGTAATAGATGGAAATCAAGAGCTATAGGTACAATAACATCTTGCGCTGAACCCATTAAGGTTTTTGATTTGAAACCTAAGTTTGCTCTGATTCTGGAAGACTTTGGAAGAAGTAATGATACTTCTTCTGAAGCTGTACGAGTGATTGCAAAGTACTTGGGTATGCAAGAAGGTCTCAGGGTCATTTTGGCAGTCATTTCTATTACTTCTCCGACATAACCCGTACGAGCACCAGTTAATAAAAGTAAAGTAGACCTATCGACCCATGGTTTAGTGCCAACATTTTTAAAGGTATTGAATGCTTTCACGGATAAGTCATTTGAATCTGACTCATCATTTTCATCAGTGTCATTGACTATTAGATCTAATTCGCCGAATTCCTTGACCGGTGTGTTTACAGGAGATTGGTTGAAGATATATGAGTTGGAAGATCCCGAGAATTCAAAGTTCTTCAGCAGTAATGTAGTGATAACCTTCTTTCTCAGATCATACGGTATCAATACGATATTGGAGAAATGCGTAGATAGGAAATATAACAGTATACCATTGTTGGATAAAGGTTCTGTCAACTCTAGTATCTTGGTGCAATTATCATATGCCCCTTCAGAGTCCAATTGAAGCCTAAGGAATGAAGTGTCCACCAATTCAACTGGCAATGATAGCTGAAGACAGACATTCAAGATTGGCTTGAAATATTGATTCATTATGGTCTCAGAACATATAATGGTACATTCTAAAGGAGTAAATGCTATGTGGAAAAAGTCTGATTCTTCATTATCATTATCATCATTATTATTGGTGGTATCGTCTTTAGTGGTGGGACTGTAATGGTTATCGTTGTCTGAAGCAATCGATCCAGCATACCAGGATTTCAGTTTACTAACCTCTACTGAAGCCCAGCTTGAATCTGTATCGGAAAGAGTAGATTTCTTTTCATCTTCCAGATCACTGCAAGAATCTAATTGAGGCCCTGCTTCATTATATAAAAGTTCTGTAACTGCTGACAGGAAGAGCCAAAATGACTGTCTGGGTACTGATAGTACTCTTAACTTTGTTTTACTTATAGAGACTTCAGACATGGGAAGTCCATAAACTCAATATGCCACAGTAAGGGTGTTTTCGCTAACAGTAAGGGTATAAATTGAAGTCCTTCTCTGGTCTTTGATCTTGTGAAAATTGTTCTCGCAATTAAGAGATAAAGTGACTCACACCCAGACAATGCGAATAGCCAAAACTATAGATTAATGTATATAATCAGTTATTATATATATGATTGTATGTGAGCTTACAAATGCATTTCAACGAGCTGTATTCTTCCATATATATATATATATATATTATAAGTGAAATAATTGAATCACTATAATCGGAATTAAGAAGCTATACATTGCAGCAGCAGAACATTACTCTGCAACCTTTTTGTGTTCACAGGTGCCTGCAAAAAGATTTGACCTTGCTTGAGACATGAACGGAAGGGGCATCCGGGGATAAAACCTATCAATTTGAGGGGTACAAAGACTAAATACGACTTATCCAATGCACAAAAATTCAGGGGTTCTTGAATGGGGAGAGAGTTGTTAGAACATGGTATTTAGGACCAATTGGTTTCAAAATGAGATACAGTATATCATTGGGTGATAATGAAAGGGGGCTCGTATCAATAATTATTATATGTAGATGTTGCAGAGATTATTGCCATATATGTAGAATTTTACTTTAGAAGTTACCACATTTCTGCGCATGGAATTCAATGCACTTTATGCTTTAAATTATTATCTCGAATTCATGCAGCCGTGATACCTTAATTGATGTTGAATTGTCTTTAAGGGATTTCAGGTAAACCTGGTATCCTATTCAAAACAGCTAAACGATCTAAAGCATTGCAGCAGGAATGTTACCCCTTGAGGGATCTTCGGTATATAGCGGTAACCACCGGCAATCGCCCTTATCCCCCTCCCACTGAAATAGAGAATAAGGTAATACGAGTGAACGGACATTCAATACGAGTAAATTACCACTTTTACTTAATGTGGGTTGTACAACCTTAGCATCTTCTTACTAGTCTTTATAACCATACCATGTAACAACTACAAAAATTATCCTTAGCTGCTTCACTCTTTGATTGACTCCAATCCACTTTGATTTCAGTTGGCGTGCTTACCGATACAGTCTTTTTTTTAATGGCATCAACGTACATTTGAAATACCCCAAAACGCACGATAATCACGCTTACATATAAATAGGCTCTGCTATCTCTCACTTCATATAATAATACTAGTAGCTTACTTTATACACTGGCTAATTGATGAGATTCATAAAATGTTTCCCACGTTTCGATTGCTTCCTTCTGAGCCTCAATGCTTGATTCAATAAATATTTCAATAGTATTTCGGAAATCCTCAATCTTATCTATTTCAAATTTGTTCATTTCACTTTTAATGGTTTCTGAGATTTGATGGAATTGGGCCTCTTGTGACTTGACTGAAGATTGTAACTTATCAATTTCAAATTGCAAAATACCAATTTTATCTTGTTGCGTTTTATATTTCCTTTGCAACTTTTCTAATTGGATTTGTTTGTTGGTCAACTCACGTTGACTGTTGTCATATTGAGAATAGATCCGTTGCCTAGTATCAAATGTATATTTGATACTTTCAATGATTCTTAAATATTCTTCAATTGTGAATCCAAGTGTCATTTGATCTTGTACATTGGTCCGATCAAGTGCATCCTTTAACTTAAGTTGAACATCACTGAAATCTCCCAATAATTCTGTTGTAACTTTCAGAACTTCGAATCCAGCCAACTCGTCAATACATATAGCCAATTCATCAATGATAGCAATTAACTCAAGTCTTTGAGTACTTATCAAATCAATTGATTTGTAAAATTGTTTCAAATTGATCTCAAGATCCTCAATATATACCTTCTTCTCCAAGAAGTACTTATCAGGTTCCGTAAATTTATTAGAAATGGAAAAAATGGATGACATGAAACCACCACCTCCAACTCCACTAGCAAACATGGCCGATGCCAGTTCACCACCGCCTTGCAGTTCAGTTCCATTGGAATTTACACTGGCACCATCAGATACTCCAGCACCAGTATTACTCCCGGTAATTCTCTCTCGTTCCTTCATTTCATTAGGGATATCTTCCTTTACCAAAAACATGACAAAATCTGGATCATTAGTAAGATGTGGAAGACTACTAATTTTTGTAAGCATTTTCTCCAAACTTAATCTTCGGTTCTCAACAAAATTCTCATTAAACCGACCAATATATGTTTGCTTCAGGGGAGGTGGAGGTATAATTCGACCTGGATGATTCAATTGTAATTGATGGTAAATCCAACGGAAATCACGATACCTTCTGATTACATTGAAGTAACCACCATTTTCACCATCCTCCGGAGGAGTGGGGAAATGGGTAGATTCCCTATTCTTGTTTTTGGTTTTAACAGTGTAAACAATGTGCGCATTTGTAATATCACCGACTTTAACAGGATCTCCCACTGAGATTTCCAAATGATTATTGTCTTTGGTGTTAACTTCAATTATAGTACTATCTTGGCTAGCAGTGCTGGGCTCTGTTGGCTGCGATGAAGAAGACTTCATAGATGATTGTTTCTCTATGGTATCAGTGGTTATTTCGTACAACGGAGCTTCCACTTCCTTCGCAAGCATTTCAGCAACTGAATCTTCCTTCTCTTTCTTTTGAGCAGTTGCGTTGAAAGTTAATGGACCAAGAGAAGTATCATTAGTACTATTAGTATCTTTAAATTTCGAAGAGGCTTGAATGAGGAAATGTGAATTTACCTTGGAACTGTTTTTTCGACCCCTTTTGGCTTTGAAGGAACTGTTCTTTAATTGAGATGTTTTTTTGGGAGACAAGACATCCTTAGTATTTTCACCTCCTTCATTGTTAAAATCTATGGTAACACCTGGCAATGGACTGGCACGTTCATTGAAAAGCGTGTTAGTCAATTTCTTAGGAGTCACAGCTTCCTCAAAAGTATCTGAACCACCATGTGTCAATTCAGATAAAAGATTTGATTTATGTATAGTCCTTTCTTCATTTTTCAATTGAGTGATTTGCTCCTTTTCGTAGTCATAATTAGTATCCGTACCAAAGCCTTCAATGGCTGTTGTATTCTGTGCTGAACCCAGAACATTGGTATCATCATCACTTCCAACGTTGGCCTCAGCTTCCCTTGTACTACTAGTTTGTTCTTCATTGTCATCATCATCATCATCATCATCATCATCATCATCATTGTTACCTTGATTATGATCATCGTCACCAAGTGTATCGGCAAAAGGTGAATGTATAGCCAACGATTCAAATCCCTGAGTTGTCAGACTTAACCCCATGTCACTATGACGGCCTTGTCCAAACACTGAACTATTGGGGCCCGGCAGGAGCACATCATCCCAAACAGATGCTGTGAGTTCTTCGTCCTGGTCCATCGATAGACTACTTCAATTCTCGGATCAACGGGGTTCTATGAGTTTGATACCCCTTTGTAAGGATTATTTTGTTAGAAGAGAGATATTGTATAATTGGAATCAACCTGCTCGACTTTGAATGGGGTTGGGTTGTCTTTAAACATGTCGCATATTTACGCAATTATTTACGTAAGAATGCGACATTTTATTTTGAGTTGAAAATTTATTTGGAATGCCTTTTGATCATCTCATCGGATCGACTACTGACTACGGCCTATTATTCTTCAAAACCATTGCTTGCAATTATTGATACTGTTTTGTATAGGAGTCATATTGAGATAAAGGCCACAATATAACCCACTTATTAAACATGTCAGGAGACCCTTTCTTATCTGATCCGTCAAAGAAACGGAAGAGAGCTAGTAAAGTTACAAGCACTATTCGGAAATCTAATAAGAGCTCACGAGATACAACACCAGCCATTGAAAATGATGAAGAGATTTCGAGCGAGTCAGAAACAGAAGCTATTGAACAAGAAGATGGGGAGAATGAAGAATTAGACTCAGATGAAGAATTCGCAACGGAGAATGCCGCTGATAAAAGAAGAAGATTAGCCAAACAATATTTAGATAACTTGAAAGCTGATGAATATGATTTTGATGCCAAAGATATGGATGATGATATTATTGGTAGAAGATTACAAATAGATGTAGCTGAAAATCAAGGTCATGTTTATAAGTTTTGGGGTGATAAGATTTCATCTCAATTAGATGATGAACAAGTTAAAGCTCAAACTACAAGAATTGGTTCTAAAAATGTCACCGCTTTAGCTGTGAGGTATCCTAATCTTTACACTGTCTCTAAGGATACGGAATTGATTAAATGGAATGTTGAAAAGAAGAAACCACAAAGAATAAGGCATACAAAGGGAGGAATGAAATATGTTAAATTACATAAAGCTCCTCATTTAAACCACCATTGTGATCAAATTAACTGTGTTGCTGTATCTTCAGATGGGAAATACGTTGTTACTGGAGGAAGTGATTGTAGATTGATTATTTGGTCATCAGAGACACTTTCATGTCTTAAAGTTTTAGAAACAAGAGCTGCTGTTAATTCTATTACATTTAGAAGAGGTTCAGATCAATTATATGCTGCTTGTGCTGACTTGAAGATCCGGACTTTTTCAATTAACCAATTTGCACAATTGGAAGTACTTTATGGTCATCAAGATAATATTAGTGACATATCTGCCTTAACGAGAGAGACTTGTGTTTCTGTTGGGTCTAGAGATAAATCAGCTATGTTTTGGAAGATTTCAGAAGAGTCAAGATTGACCTTCCGTGGTGGTGACTCAACAGAGAAGCGTAAGAATAAAAAGAATAAAAAACTGGACGATAATGATGATCATGATGAACAAAATGAAGACGATTTCTTCTATGAAGGGTCTATTGATGTGGTTTCAATGATTGATGAATCTCATTTTGTTACTGGCTCCGATAATGGTAATGTTTCCCTTTGGTCTCTTGCTAAGAAGAAATCACTTTATGGAAAACGTGTAGCTCATGGATTGGAACCTAAAATAGAGTCTTCTTTAGCAAGTGCCGAAACAAATATCAATGCTGCCTTAGCACAAATCCCCAAACCTCAACCTTATTGGATTACCACCATTCATGCGGTACCATTCTCTGATATCTTCCTTACTGGGTCATATAACGGAGAAGTGAAGATATGGCGTCTTGATGATAACCTCAGATCGTTTGCATGCATTGGACATATTGGTAATGTTAATGGGTGTATTGTTAGCATTGAAAGTGCTGAAGTTGATAAGCGTTTAGTGTGTTATGTGTTAGTGTCCAAGGAACATAAGTTAGGAAGATGGCTTGGTAAAATTGAAGGTGCTAGAAACGCTCTAGTACAATTTGCATTTGATATATGATCAATACGTATATCTTACATAGGTAATAATAAATATCGTTAGTACTAAATTAGCAGTAATAGCAGTACTAATAACTGTCATATGCTTGATGATAGGTTCCACGGGTAAATATTTATCCGTCTTTTAGCTGCGAAAAAAGGTTGAAAAATAATATAATGTTGTATATTTTTGCCTAATTAACTTATCTGGGGCCACTCACAAATCGAAATCTGCTATACAGATCTATTCCGTGCGTCGTTAACATGAAGAGCATTTAAATGGGTGCAAAAGTTTTTTTTTCTCATTGTTTTCTTTTACTTTTCTTCTTCATCAATAAACGCTTACTGATGCCAACAATTAAAGTTACCAATGGCTAAATCAAACATCTTTGTTTCTGTTACAAAGAAAGCAAAAGCTGCATTGGCTATTCCAAGGTGTATGGGCGGTAAACGATATTATACCAATGCTGAACTTTTTCCATTCTGAAACATCGGAGAGAAAAAGACAAGCGTTCCTAAAGTTAATAAGCATACAAAACCTCATTATACTTATCTCATTCATGGGAAGGGGGGGGAGGGGCACCATTACGATGCTTCAGAAACTCAAGAAGCACGTAATTGTTCCTAATTCCAGATCTATAGATGCCGATCTTAACAATACATCACCATTGGCAACTACAACAATAGACCTGGGATCAAAAGAAGCCGTAAAGAAGTTACCATTGCCTAAACTAATAAAGAAGAAGGCAAAGGACTAAATACCAGCTCGCAATTGAGCTCTTTACAATAGACTAGTATATACGATAATTACCCAATAAACAATCACATTATTAAAAATATCTGTAATTAGTACATCAATGCTGATGATGGTAAGTGATTGTCTTATTCTAGTATACATTCTATTCGAGATTAGAATTGAGGTTCATCGTCATCATCATCATCAAACTCTTCTCCACCATCATCGAAATACTTTTCTGCATTATAATCATCATCATCATCTTCTTCAAATTCATCATCTTCATCTTCATCTTCATTTTCTTCTTCGTTGGTGACTTCTGTTGTACCATTGTCAATATCATCAGCAATGTCCTTCAAATGTTGTAATATCAGTGAATCTTCACCATTCCCATTCATATGCAACTCCTTCAATCCTCCGTCTGCTTTAAACCGTGAAAGCTTCAATTGTTTCTTCTCTCGTTTGGATACACCCATCACTGAATATAACTCTTCTGGGAAAAATGCCAAATGATACGGATGTTCTTCAATAGTACGTCCAATTTTAGTCGATTTATTATATTTGTCACTGTATCTTTGGATCCCATCTCCCAACACGTTGGAATCATCATTTTGATCTAACATGCCAGTATAAAAGGGACTTTCTTTCATAACTGATCGTAATGATATATATTGGGTGGCTGAATCTGTCTCATCATTAGTCAATGGTGTAGCAACGGGAAGTTCAAGATGGGGCTTTTCTGGTGCCATGGGTGGAAGTATTTCTCCATCGGGAACTAGCCCATTATTGCCTCGTCTTCTCCATGACATATTTCTCTGTGTGTATGCTCCTTGTTGTTACTTAGTTATGCGATAATGGTATATAACATCTCATCGAAAAGTTTAAGACGTAACAAATAAATCGATCACGTGATTAATTTATGATTATTCACGTGACGTTTGTACAAAGTCTATTTATTGATAGATAATTACAATTACAATGTACACCCAACCATTTCCACATAAACAACACCGACTGTTCTTGGCTGTGTGTAACAGTATCAAGGTTTAGGAAAAACATGCTTTATAAGTGCATTCTGTCCACCATAAAATGCAGTAGTCAACACTGGAATAAACATTAGTCAATGACTACAGTATTAACATCATGAATACTTCATTAACATCATGTATTTTATTAGCGTAAGGATTGCCACTTCAGCCACCTCGGAAACGACGTAAGTTGATCAGCGTTTGATTGTCCCTTGCCGCAAATCGTTTCCCGAAATAAATGACATAGTGGCCGAGAATATGCGACACATAATTCCATATTCGTCATAAATGATAATACTTATTTACAGTACCAGCCACTCTCTGCTGATCATAATTACACAGACTTAGATTCAAAAACAGGGGCTTTTTATAAAAGGACCATTAAAGTATTCTTATATATTAGATCATTGAAGTTTTAGCACTATTTACATCATCTTGACGGTGTGTTAGTCAAGAATATTTTTGATACCACAATAAAACTTCTGCAAAAACATGGAGGAAGACATTAGAGGTCCTGATTCAGCAGATGGATCACTTGTGATATATGTTGTTAACGCTAGAAACCTTCCCAATCGTCGTAAATTCGAGAAGCAAGACCCGTATGTTACTTTAAGAATGGGTACTGTAGCTCAAAGGACTTCAAGTATCTATAGGGGGGGACAAACTCCAGAATGGAAGGAGAGGATAGAATTTAAGCTACACAGAGAACGTAGACCAATTATGAAGTTAGATGTGTTGGATGAAACAAAAGGTGATCCAACCCTTATAGGTAGTTGTGAAATAGATTGCGCTGCAGTATTCCAACTGGCAAAGAATTATGACTTTGATAAAAGGGTTTACATTCATGATAAGAATTATGAGCTTCAATGTAATGGCCAAGTTCATGGTAGTATATGTCTTGAAATGACTTTTACACCAGCAGTACCAGTATTACCTCCAAAGATAAAAAGTGAGAGTGCAATCCATAGCCAAAAGTTGATCTCTGAAGAGTTCCCTCGAAATCGTTATCAAGAATCAAATATGTTTCAATCCATAAGCTCTGATCCGCAAGTGTCCATAGATGAAAGTACTTTTCAATCAGGAATATCATCCCCTAGCGGAAGTCGATCTTATAGTAATCATGGCAATAGTGTTGGTAGTAGACCTTCATTATTAGGAGAATCAGGTCCTACTAACTCCACTTCAACAGCAAATACTTCAAGTTCTTCTGTTAAAATTCAAGCTTCAAGTCCATTTGACGATACTCCAAAGGAGAAAGGTATACTTAAAAAGGCTAAGAAAGTAATGGGGTTTTTCACTACTCCTCCTCAACATGACAAAACCGGAAACGGTACTTCTGTATGGGCAGATGCTAATTCTTCACCACCAAAATCAAAATTCAGTTTAGCAAATTTAAAGAGAAATTCAAGTCCTGTTCGTGAAGAAACATCTTCTTCACCATTCATTCCTAATTATGATTTTCGTCAATCAACTCCACCTCCATCAAGACTTACATTTCCACAACAAAGTTCACAAAGTCCTGAATTTTCACCATTCCCTGAGTCCAATGCTGGGTTTGCAGTTTCAGGAGCACATTCTAATTATACTTCCAATTACAACTTTGATTCTTCACTTAATAGTCAAAGTCTAAATCAAAGTCTAAGCCATAGTCAATATTCTACAGTATCTTCAAGCCCTAAAAGGAAACCTTTAAGGAAACCTCCACCAGATTTCTATGAACCTATTCCAGATGATTCTGCTCCGTTTTCTGCTGATAGTATTGGGTTGAATACGAGCAAACCACTTCCTGTTCCTTCATCAGGAGCAAGACTTCGAGACCCTGATGAATTAGAAGCAGCACCTCAACCCACAAGTCAAATGAACCGTGATTGGCGAATGAAAGCAGGGTTAGCTACGAACCAAGATTTATCGGTGGATTATAGAACTGCACAAACAGGGTACACTGGAAAGGGCAAGTTCTCGCCCAATGTATTTGAAAGATTAGGACAAGAATATGAGGAGATGAATGAAAAAGGACCTCCAGTTCCAGCTAAGATACCTCTTGGAATGACTAAAAAGGAGTACTATGCTGTTAGTCCGCAGAACTTTATGAACGATCTTAATGGGAGAAGGTTTCAGTAATATAGAATAAACATATATTTAAAGGTATACATATATATAAGTTTATTACAGATAACATCAAAAAAAATTAATAGAGATAAACATATAGTAAAATACAACAGCAGTTAATAGTACAAGAAGTAAAATCAAAAAAAGGCAAACGATGATAGTTGAAATGAGCGGAAAAGACAATTTTAAATGAATGGACGAGATCTTTTTATCGATTTCTAGTAGTTAACTGGTATGGTGATAGTTGGCTGCTTATAACAAGGCCATAGCTGCAAGACCTAGCATACCTAAGGATACACCATTAGCGATGGCACCACCAGTAGCAGTTGACGCAGCAGTGGTTGCACCAGAGCTCGAGGCACTCATAGCTTCAGTTGAAGTTGCAGAAGGGGAAGAAGTCATTTCTTCAGACACTGAAATGGTAGTAGAATTCAAGTATGCTGTACTAGAAAATGAAGAAGCAGTGGTGGTGTTAAGGAAAGCTGAAGTTGAAGTTGTTGTTGCTCTTGTTGTTGAGTTAGCAGTAAAAGCGGCAGCCTTAAGTAACTTAGTTTCAGCAGCTGCAGCAGAAAGAGCAGACGCAACGGAGGCTAATGAAACAGAAGCAGCAGATGCTGATAATGCTGAAGCCACAGATACAGAAGCTACAGAAGCTGATGCAGAAGCAGCTGAAGCGGCAGAAACTGAAGAAGCTGAAGCAGCTGAAACTGAAGAAGCTGAAACTGAAGCAACAGATGCCTTAGAAGCTGAAGCAGCAGAAACTGAAACCACTGAAGCCTCGGAAGCCACAGAGGCTGCGGAAACTGAAGAAACTGATGCAACTGATGCCACTGATGCTGCAGAAATGGAAGAAGATTCTTGAGGGCTTAAAAGGGTAGTGGTAATGGTGATGGTGGAAATATAAGAAGTAGTCACATCAGCAGCTACGGCAGTAGCCAAAGCAATGAGAACAGGCACTGAAAGGATTTGCATTTCGTCTGTTGATAATTGAAGAATATTTTTATATCAAAAAAGAATTGGGTAGGGTATTAACGAATAAAAGGATTGAATGAATGAATGAATAACGTTATAAAATGAATGTGGAGGCAGGAGTTGTTATGAAAATTTCTTTGAACACTAAAGAATTGCCATTAAAGTCTACAAAATTATTTCAACGAGATAAGCTCATCCTTTTATTTGGATTCGAATGAATGAAACCCTCCCCACTCCATTTTCCTAGTCACCCGAGTTCTAGCAAAAGCCGCATCTGGTTGTTGATACTGATGTATTTCCTAACAATAGGCATCAATAAGGTTTTTGAACCCTACATTGTAACACAAACAATCAACGGTTACACAAACCAACTTTGAACTGATGAACGAGCGGATCATCAAATGATTGGTGTAGGAAGGGAAAATCTGACACTTAGTTAGTGTTTGATGTGAATATTTAAAGTCTTGGAACATATTCTAAAACAAATCCATCATACTTGGTTTAGCCAATCATTGCCTTCACAGATATATCCAAAGTTACGGGGGTTAAATCTAGTTGCTGAATGTCATTGTTGTTTTTGTTGGATGGTGTTTATTCTCAATGTCTTTCATTTAACCTCCGCTTTGTATTGTAGACATGGGCTTAGGTATTGGTGGTGTTTGTTTGTTCGGTGAGCTGACCTTCAATACAATAGTCCTTTCATGTTCCGGCTCACCAATGGAGACGATATTGGTCCTGCATCTTTCCTATGACCAATACGTAGACTAAGTGGCCTAAAACGGAAAAATATCAACAGAATTTGGAAAGGAACTGCATAATTATCATAGACATGCAGGCGATACTTGTTGAACTTAGAAACATGGTTAGGCTTAGGCAAACTTCAGAACAGACTATATGGTCTGTCATTTTAGCCCTTAGTGCTTCACACGGCATTGGTCGATGCTTGGCTGGGTAATAAGTGCATAAAATATGGACCAATGAGTATAGAGCTCATCGTTTACGAAGTACAACTACTATTCATTCGGTTTATTGGATTACAGACATGAAACTACCCAAAACAATATCTTTAGAGTTTATTTATGCTCAGACAAAATGTAGAGGCAGAGGCAACACACCTTAAATACAAAAGACCTACTGATTTTGTGGTAACTTCAATGGGGCCAATTACTGTGTTTTGATGATCTTTAACAATAGGGGTCACAACCTGTTTTGTGTCAAATTGTATTGAGGTTGGTGTTGGAGTATAAACTTTTGCAGTTGCTTCTTTGGTAAACTTGGGACAGTCAACTACTTCGTTGGTACTCAGGGTGGTGGTCTAGAAGTCCTGTAAACTTTGGATTGTCTCACACTGTGTAGTGAAGGTTCTGACAGAGGTAAAAAACTGAACCCAAGTAGTTTGGCACGAAAGCCTGTTTAGGAAAACACGATCGAGGTTTGACGGCTTAGAACAATGGGACTTCAAATCACGGTTGAGTTGGGTGGTGATAATTCTGTGTCACATTGTAAGTTAATAGTTAAGAAAATCCCGAGAGTTTTGTCCTGTTTATGGAAATTACATATAATGTTAAAAAAAATAGGCTACCATTTCCAAGTCATTCTAAATTCGTTTTAAGTCATCATGTATTTCGTTTGAATTTCAAAGAAGTCACTCCAAAATTAGGAATATGACTGCTCTCGTCTTCTGCTACAATCCGTACCCTTACATTTAGTTAGATAGTGCTGATTCGCCAATGAACGACTTCCTAAAATAATGTACTTCTGTCTCGTGACTTGGTCCAAGACACTCTTGTGACTGGATTGTCAAAAACTTGAGGAACAATAAGCGTTCAATACCGAATTTGCCGGTATTAAAACTGTGTATTCAATTTCGCAATCAGACACAGATTTCAATGAAATTTAGTTTCTATTTGGCAACTAAATGAGCAAGTCTTACGATTTTGTAGAAAATACTGTAAAAAAAGCTACAACATTCAAAAACGTACGAAAGAAGTACAGAGTTTTGAAAGAGACGAACGTCTATGATGAAGTACCATGCCAAGGAAAGTAGAGTCTATCACCAATATATGCAAGAAGATTAAAAGAGAAAGGTATTCAAATCAAGTGTATAATACATGGGCTAAGCAAATAAGTCTGAGTATTTTTTTATTACTCCATGTAACCACCCATTCACAGATTTAGAAACCCGCATATTTACCTCCATAGCAAACGAAATGAATTGGGAAATACACCATTTTAGCATCTCATAAGCATAAATAGATGCAGCGTTTGATTTACCTAACCTATACGTCAAGCCACCCAGGAGCTATGAGACAAAACAAGGTTACTGTTGGTTACTCAAACAGCCAGCCTATGGAATGAAGCAAGCTGACTATAATTGGAACCATCAATGAAGAGGTACCATGCTAAGCCTTTTAAGCTTTAAACATTTGGTGAGGTAAAAGAGTATCTAAGGATACAATTTGAGATATAATAGCCATTATATTGTACACCAAAGGAAACACTTGAAAAATTTCAATAGCAAAGTGTGACCAAAGATCTAAGTATTGATAATCTGATAATGCTAGCAACAAAGTAATATTTTCAAAAATTATATTTCGTGAAATCATAAGCATTATTAATCTAAATATACATGCGACTAAGAATTATTTCAAGTACCTTCGAAATTGAAGATCCTTGGATATAGCTCGATTTCACGGTTTCACCTCCTCCCTGCTTTTCACCACTTTCGTACCCCATTTTCCAACAAGAGGCGGTCAAATTCCTGTTTCATAATTACCGTTTGCAGCCAATCTAATCGGGGCACACTCATTCAACCTTAGCGGAAATGGACTATTCAAGACGCACATGAAGATGTACCCTCTGTTTTAGGTTTGAGAAACCAATAACAAAGAAAGGAATTTAAGAGGGACTTAGGTGACTGGTGGAGAGGAGGTAGATGTTGAAGAAATCTAATGGAGAGAAATGGGTAAAGAAGAACATACGATTTAGCATCTCTACCTCGTGTTAATCAGAGGGGAAATGATGATCACACTTTGAAGATGGTTGAGGTTGAAGTGGAGTCTTATGAAAAAGAACTCAACCTGTACTTAGAAAAGTATAAACTTTGAATCCATCAAGCCGTACTAAGAAATAAGCTAATTCATCTTATCCAATTCTACTGCAAAGATAATATCCAGAACGTTAACAGGCGCTACCACTTTGTCAGTGAATAGATGTTGATTGAAGGACAAGTGAGGTCCTGCAGGATCATTCCCCCCAGGATCATCACCCTAGACTGATTGCAAAAGAAGAGTCGGATAATGATGACTAGGATGTTAATGGCAAAGGAAGGGGCATGTGTAACCGGAGAATCCGGGTGATGATAATAAAGGAGGCTGAGGTTCAAAAGTGTTTGAAAGATGAAGAAAATCTGAGCTGAAATGAAATATACATTGAGTAATATTTCACCCATATTTAGAAATGTGGAGTCTTAGAATCCTCCAAGGATCTTAAGTTTATAAGGATACATAAGAAATCAAGCCACGCTTAGGAAGGAATTAAGACATTTCATTCTGACTAACAACTACCATTAAGGTAAACACCTAAGGTTAAGCCACTCATCACCTCTAAAGTATTGAGCACCAGACTATCGTAGTACACCCAAAAGGTAGCACGAGCCTCACCTGTATATGTCGAGACATCGGCCAATTTGGTTGCCGTAGTAACGTTGTTGGCACTAAAAGGCTGCTAACATGAGCAAAAATTTTTACACAAATTTCACGTGAATATACACGTGATTATTGTCTTTTATGTAAAACGATGGTATTTGAAACTCCTCCTATGTCCGTGTTCAGGTGTGGTATGAGATTCAATTATTAGTGCATTGAAATATCCTCTTAAATGGTGCCGAACACTATGATAACACATTGCGGCATAAATTACCGTGCTAAATTAAACCACATGGGTGCACTGCTTGGTGGGTTAATGGACTATATCATTGCAATGGCAACCATAAGGCTGATATAACCTACATACAGCAGGTAGAAGTATCAAGCTTTGTTTTGAGTTATGGTTGTGTTTCATTACATCAATTAAGCCCTTGGGATATCAGAAGTACGAACTTCATCAATCGACGGTAATTATTGTTGATGATATTGGCCCACTTCGTGTTAGCCGAATTGATATGTTTATTGTGTGTGTATAGTGTAACCCTCTTTTTATTAAAATCCTAAGTAATAGCACAAAATTGTGTCCCCTTTTTGATGCTATTGAACTTTATACTGCTATGTATTGGTTCTACTATGTACAAGATTGTTATGAGGTTATGGGTTCCCCTTTTTTGTATACGAACGGCTCTCCTTATTGGCTAATATCCTATCATTTCTGCTGCACGTGGAACAATATTACAACTTAATTCCCCTGGCTGGTGTGCATAATGGATACCGAAAGTTTTGCACCCAATTTAAATTTGACGTAACCGTTGACTGGCATACCCTAATTTCATCGAACTAAAAGTAGAATAAAAGGAAAGATATCTGCTCTTAAATTTCTTGACGTAGCCTGAAATTCGAAGCCATTAACAGCAATATAAATATTTTTTGGGTATGTTACTTAAATCATTAGCAGGTGTGGCCATTGCTGCATGTTTGACAGGTGTCAATGCAGTTACCGTTCCAGGACTTGATTCTCTTTCTAAACAAGCTGCCGAACTTGTTAGAAGAGATTCATTTCTTGAGCCTGTATATGATACTCTTACGGCTGCTGATAGTGATTTCATTACTTTCCATTTGAAAAATTTGACTTCGTTAACAACCAATTCTTCCAAATGTAATTCTTGCAAAACAAGAGTAAAGTTTGCAAAGAATTTACTTGAAGAAAACCCAGATAAATCCCATTTAATTTCCCTTCTTGTTTATAAGCAATGTCTTCAAGCTAATAACAATTCTGATACCAAATGTAACTTGAAGGATTTTTTTATTACCACCAATGAAAAGCATTTCTTTGATATCGATAGTGAAGGTCAGAAATTTGCTGCTACTGGAACTTCAGCAGTTAACTTTTGGGATAATGATTTCCTTCATATGCTTCAAAACTTCAACACTTCATCAGATTTAGATTTGACATATTATTGCTACTACAAATGGAGCTCTTGTAATTTACCTGAGACTCCGGATGTTAATGAAATGTTTGGCGTCAATGAATGGTATCCTGAAAAGAAGGAAGAATACAACTCTCCTCCAAATTATACCAACAATTCAGATACCTTTAATGTTTTACATATTTCTGATTTCCATATTCAATTAAGATACACTTTAGGTTCGGAAAGCAATTGTTCTGTTACTCCTTGTTGTTTGCCAGAATCTTATAACTCCAAGTTGACCACCAAAAATTACAATTTCACTACTGCATTTGAAAACTCTGGTGCTGATCTTAATGAAATTGATATTGCATTTTATCCTGATGCTCATTATGATGATAATGATGTCTTTGTACCAGGATCCTACTATAATTTCCCCAAATATAGAGGTTGGAGCTATGTATCTCAACCAGCTACTACTTGGGGTGGATACAAATGTGATTCTCCGGAAGTTCTTCTCAATAATACCATGAGTTACATTAAGCTGGCCCATGGTGATAAGGAATTCGAATTCACTATATTCACTGGTGATTTGGTTGATCATGATAAGATCCACTGTTCCCCAGATGCAACTAAAGAAGCAGAAACCAAGTGCTTCAGTATTATGAAACATTATTTAGGTGACATCCCAGTGTTAGCTTCTTTGGGTAATCATGATACTTTCCCTTACGGTCAATTATCACCAATTGATTATGAATTCAACAACTCCTATAACTGGGATTCTGATCTCATTAATCAAATCTATTTAGACAACAAATGGATGAATGATAATGTTAGTATTGAATCACTCAGATCCCATTATTCAGGGTTTGCCTATGAATCTAAACGTGGGTTGAAGGTCATCTCCTTGAATTCCAACGCTTATTATCAAAAGAACTTATGGTCTTACATCAACCTTTCCACTAATGCCGATGCGTTTGGTCAATGGGAGTTTCTTATCAATGAATTAGTTGAATCTGAATCTAAAGGTCAAAGAGTCTGGCTTATGGCTCATATTCCAAGTGGTGATTTCGATGCATTACCCATTCAATCCAAGATCTTTGCTCAAATTGTTGAACGGTTTTCTCCTTATACCATTGCCAATGTCTTTTTTGGCCATACTCATCAAGATGAGTTTAAGATTCTTTATTCCACCAATTCCTCCAAGGAGATTGAAGATGTAATTAATATGGCTTGGATTGTCCAATCGGTGACTCCTTTGGCCAACTATAACCCTTCTTGGAGATACTATGAAGTTGAAAATGAATCGTTTAACATCATAAACTCCTACAGTTACTACACCCAACTTAATGAAACTTTTGTCGATGGTGCACTGGAACCAAAATGGTTGTTTGAATATTCCCTTAGAGACACTTATGATCCAGAACACTCATGGCCAACAGATGCTCCATTAAACTCTACATTTTTCCATAAATACTTGATGGAGAACTTAAAAAACCAAACTGATATCTCTTTCAATCAAAAGTATACGGATATAAGATTCCGTCATTCTCCATTCATTGATGATTGCTCCAACGGAACTGTTGTTTCAGATGACTGCTACAACTCCAATTGGTGTGCTACATCCAACTTCCTTTCAGATGAGTACATCAATTGTCAACGTTAGATTGAAAACTTAGTTTGCTTTATATTCGTCTTTCACATCTGTCTTTTATATCCGTCTTTTTCAATTCTACTATATTAACTATAAATGTATATGATATTAAGAATGTTTATATGCTTTTTTTTCTTCCATCAAAATTGATCATCATGAGGTTCGAAATCTCTACGACCTCCACCACCAAATGAACCACCTCTAAATGCTCCTCTTGGACCTCCTCTGAAATTGCCTCTGAAATTTCCTCTTGGACCTCCTCTGCCTCTGAAATTTCCCCTGCCACGTCCACCTCTAAAGTTACCTCTGAATCCACCACCACCTCCTCTGCCTCTGAATCCATTACCTGGTGCTCCACCTCCTTGAGCAAAATCATGCTGGGCTTGACCTCCATATACTCCTCTACCAAACTGTCTACCTTCTCTGAATCCTGGATCCAAGTCAATCTCCAAGTTTTGACTATCCAAAATGGTCCCTTGAAGAAATTTGATGGCATTTAAAGACCCTTGTTCATGCTTATAAATAACAAAGCAAAACCCACATGGGGTCAACTTGTTTCTATCTAATCCCATAATGATTCTATCAATGGCACCACATTTCAGAAAGAGTTCATGGAGCTGTTCTTCTGTAGTGAAATGGCTGAGGTTCCCAATGTATACAGTTTTGGGATTAAGAGACTTTTCAATGTTTTCAAAGTTTTGACGACGAATGGCCTTTCTTATTAAGTATTGAGATGGTTTATCCAATCTTTCAGTCGAATGATTGTAGTTTTCTTCCACCAATTCCATGGTTAGACAAAGTAATAGTGGAAGCTTTCTCTAGTAAACTTATATCCGGTACTATAGACTCTTGTCTGATTAACTATCTGACTTTAACTGTACTATAGTTTTGCCTTAACGAAATAAATTACTAGCCTATAACTTGTTACTGTGTCTGCTAAAAACAATGCACTATAACAAGCACTTCTCTACCAGTGTATGATGTAAGCTCCAGTTGTAATTGTTCTTGTTCGGTTGTGCAACTCTTCTTGTTTGTCTATGTCTCTAAATAATGTCGCATTTTTCATCAACACAAAATGTCTACACTTTATACTAACAACTATCGTAACTGCTAACACTCTGTTCTTATATACATCCGGATCAAAGATGTTCCGGTCGGTATTCAAAACAGGTATACGGTCTGATTACAATGTTCTGGAAAATGCAACCTTCCATTCGGAGCCGTGGCTGGTGTATCCAGCTAAACATAGAACCAATGGTAAATTAGCTTCAGTGTTTATCTTTGATAAGACAAAATTTGAATCTGGAGTCCAAAGAATGATTGGTGGCAGTTCATATAGCAATGGCAGCAAAAGTCCCAGGCTTATCATTAATGAATGCTACGATCTTGTTCGGAAAGAAATTGGTCAATTGGCTAAGTTGAAACATCCTCAATTGTTAACAGTACTAGAAGTATTGGAGGAAACTAAAACAAAGTTTCTCTTTGCCACCGAACCTGTAACTAATAATTTGGTATCTTTATCAGATAAACATATGGATGTATTGACGATTCAGAAGGGTTTACTCCAATTATCTAAAGGTATACAGTTCTTGCATAACTTCTGTAACATAGTGCATATGAACTTACAACCTTCATCAATATTTATTAACAATCTCGGTGATTGGAAGTTAGGGGGGTTTACCTTTATTCAAAACTTGAATGAAATTTCTTTTCTGGATAGAGAGAACTTCTATATCATGAATAATAGCTCTTTGGTACCGTTTGCTAACTTGAATGTTAATTATACTGCACCAGAACTTATATTGGATTCAAACTCAAAACTTGATATGGCCAATGATATTTGGTCTTTGGGATGTTTGGTTTATTATATTTATAATGGAGGAGAATCATTGATCAACTGTTTTGAGACTAATTCAATATCTGATTTCAAACATGAATTCCATAGGTTTGAAAAGAAGTTTTACAACCATAGAGCTTCAGAGTTAAAATATGTTTTGAAGAATGTGCCAGAGACTTTATTCCCCATAATGGTTAACCTATTGGCCAGATATCCACATGACAGAATAACTATTGATCAATTCATTGATTCGGATTATTTCAATGGAAGTTTAATCAAGGCTATGCTTTTCATTGATGAATTTGCTACAAAATCTTCAGAGGAACGTCTTGTGTTCTTGAAGGGATTATTACAAGAAGATGAATCTTTGCTTGGTCAATTCCCTGCCAGTTTTAAACAAGGCAAATTATTACCATTACTTATTGATCTTATTGTTAATGAACTTCACATTCTACCTGCAAAATTGGGTACCTTTGCAGACAAAGATTTAGAATTACAAGTCAATCTTTCGCTTTCAATAATCTTTAAAATCGGTTCTGAGCTTTCCAGTTTAGGATTTCAAGATAGAATCTACGAAGTTCTTTTAGTGGACGATAAAAAGAAGAAAACTAACTTATTTACTAAATTGTTGAATTCATCAGTTAAAATAAGATTAACAATTGTGGATAATTTATCAACTTTGGATACCAAATTAAATGATAAACAATTAATGGAACTAATTTCCCAATCGTTGGAATTATTTTTGGTGAATGCTCCATCAGATCCTTCTTATCAACAAGATCAGATTGTTTTACAGGAATCTTTCTTGCAGAAACTTCCACTGTTTGTATCCAAAATGGATTTCCCATATATAAAGAATACTTTGGTGCCAACGATTGCTCAAGTATTCAAATTTACAACTGTTCTTTCAACTAAACTTGCAACTATCACTTCTTTTGAGATGCTTGTTAACGAAAGAATCATTGATAAGCCGATTGTAATCGAACAAATAATTCCTATTATGGCTAATTTAAAAAGCAGAGACAAACGAGTGGTATTAAATGTCTTGTCTTTCTATATGAAATTGATTGAAAGTGAACATATTTCTCTTGATTTGGATAAACTGGTCGAATCCATATTACCTCATTGCTATAATTTAGCATTCGGGTGTAATGATTGTACAAGATCAGAATTTGAGGCATTCATGGGTTCAATCAGCAAGATCCAAAATACATTAGTAGAACGGAAGTTGACAACGTTGCCCACTGATTCTAGTGCTGCTGGAGGTAACTCTATCAACCAATTAATTAGCCAACAGAAGATATCTGCTGGCAATAAAGAGCTGAGCATCAAAGGACCACTGTCAAAGAGTATTATGCAACCGAGGAAGATCTCTAGAGAACTTAATGAACTGGCCAGACCGCAGCGTTCACCTATTGCTTCCAATAACAGGGCTCCTGTGGAACCAATAGTACTACAACCCAAAAGAAACAACAACAGGGGGACCAACAATAAGGCTCAACCATTGACGTTTGGTGCGATTAGTCAAGCTTCCAACACCTCAAATTCAAGAGTTGTTAATCAAATCAATACTCCTGTGTTACAACCAAGCTCTAAACTGCCGGTAACCGGCGATGACGAAGACTTTGAAGACTTCCAACAGGCTTCAGGTATCAATTGGGATGCCGCAAAGGTCAATAACACCATCAATTCCAGTATTCCTGTTATGAAGCCTATGTCACCAACACCAGCATCAACTCCAACAACGAACTACCCACCTGGGTTCAACAGTGTGCTAACTCCAATGTCGGTTTCATCTACACCAAAGCCTTCTATCACTAAATCTAATGGTGTGTCAGCATCGGAGTTATTGGATTTGATATGACTAAGCATAGTTGTGTGTCAGCATCGGAGTTATTAGATTTGATAGGAGTGCTTCCATTGGGTAAGAGCACTACGTCACAGTAATTTCTTCAACATAGCCATTATCCGCGACCTATTATATAGATATATATATGATACCAAAATGTGTAAAGCAAAGTAGGGATAATATATTCTAAGTATCTTTGTTTTACTATCATGGGATACCCCAAGGAATTAAAGGCGATTACTCGCAAGTTGACAGACAATATTGTGATTTCAAGCACAGCTTTCTCACGCAAAGATGTACTCAATATCGGAGCACGGATGGCATTGTTCAACTACAACGGTGGTGTGGTGGTATGGTCTGCTTTACCCTATGGAGAAGTTGTGACAGATGCACTCAATACTTTGGGTAACACTAAAGTCGAGTATTTGATTGTTCCAGATAAGGAGCACACTATGGCTGTTAAGTCATTTCAGAATGTATACCCCAATCTTAAGGTCATTGGAATGGAGAACATCAATGTACACGCGGATTATGTTGTGACTTCCAAAGATAGCGATAAGTTGATTGGGAAAGCGGAATTGGAAGGGTTGGGCATCAAAGATTCAATTATCTTGGATAACTTTGAGTTTGTGTACTTGCCATATCACGTGAACCAAGAGCTTGTGATGTTTGATAAGAATAGTCAAATACTTTTCGAAGCAGATCTTCTCTTTAATATGCAAGATAGCATGGAACAGTATTCTCCTGGAACTGGATATTCTGAAAACTTTTACCCTCATAGTGGGTTATCGTTCCTTACTAGATACATGCAACCATACTCTAAGGTGGGGAATAAGATGACTGGTATAGTTGCGAAACCAGACAAGAATGCGGTTGGCTTGAGACAGATCTATGATTGGAATTTCCATACCATTGTTATGTGTCACGGTAATATACTTAACAAGGGTGCCAAGGAGGCTTTCAAGAATGCTTTCTCATCTGTGATTCAATAGTGATTTTATTGTTTGTAGTTAATTGATATAATGGGTCAATATCTATGATTCGATAGAGATGCTTTCGGTGTCAGTGCCGTTATTAGTTTGAGTGTAAGATTTTGGGTGCAAAAAAAATAGTCTAAATACTTTTGTACAGCGGTTACTTTAATTTTTATGATAGTATACTCTTTTCTTCTGCACCCTTTATTAATCAATTTTTTGCTAGTAAAAATGCCTATTGAGTTGATCTTATTCCCAGTTATGAGACCTTTGGTTCAAGCCAAAGCGGTACTCTTTCATCCTCATCGTAGAGCTTCGCGTTATGTTCCAACCATCATCGAACTTGACGAACAAAAGACTAACCAATATGTTGTACTTAAACGTTTTGGAAGTGGCTCCAAGATCTTTGATGTCTATGATACCAATCATGGACAAATGCCCATTGGACCGAAGAACCCCGGTGATAAGCTTTTCTGGTTTCTTAGATCTCGTGCTGTTAAAGGTGCTTATAGAATGTATTCCAGTAGTATTACTGGAACAGGACCAAATGGTGAAGATGAACCAGTTGCTGATGTTAGAGCCGGTTTACGTTCTAATGTACTATTGATAAGAGCTCCCACTATTCCAGCTGCTGAACTTGGATGGCATATTATTAACCATAGAGTTGATGCTAATGATAGTTATCGGATGTTTACTATGGCCGATGGATACACTTATCAATGGACATCTAAAGGAAGATGGTTGGAGAAAGTCCATAATGTTGGAGAAAAAGAATCTGAAGTTAGAGAAAGAATTGGGAGAGTTATTCCCAATGGTGTTAATGGGTTCACTCTTGTGATAGATGAGTCCAAGATTTGTCGTGAAATGGCTTTATCTAGTGCTTTGTGCTCTCACATTGATCACTGGAACACCAGTATAGAAGTTGGTGGGATTTACTATGCCAAACAGCCAGGACAAGTTCGTTGGAAAAGAGATTAATCTTAATTGATTAATCTTGATACTTAAAGCTATATAAGTGAACAAATGCATATATTATGTTTGATGGTTGGTGCACGACTATTTTGTACTTCTCCTTCTATAGAGAGTACTCTCCTCTACGAGTTACTGCTTACTGTTCTACCTTAAGTTGGCCTTACAGCAACGACTCTTAAATCCGATTGTTATGTATTTCGAGCCACTACAACCAATTACTCTTACTAGCCCTCAACTATTATGTGACAACACTTACCACATCTATACTATGCCCTCACTTTGTTGCATCCGTTTTGTGTAATTTTTCACTACTCCAATAAAAACTCAGATATACAACCAAGAACCATCGTCTTTCCCACAAGTCCATAACAGTGTGATGAGTCGTATACGTATCAGTCAGAGACTTATATCCATTAGTCTGAATCCGTTCCCCGCCTCAAACATCAAGGCATTGGATTCCACATCGACCAATGACTCCAACATTCAGAACGTCCAGAAACTTTTATATGAAACGACATTAGATACTCCACAACTTACGACATTGGGAACACCTCCCAGTATACTTCTGGTGAATATACCACCATCTGTTCCCATATACTTACAGAAGGGATCGTTGTTGTCCGTGTACAATTGTAAGGACGTTGAAGCTGAATTGAAGATCACCAGTGAATTGTTCAAGCCATGGAAAAGCATTGAAATGTTGCAATCTCCATTCAATATCTATTCTAAACTTATTTCTACTGTCCCTTTCTCGGTTCTAGTGAGTTCTGGTTCTAAGCTGAAGTCATATGCCACTGTAACATTAGACGGGTCTACAGATTGGGCAGTCTTAAAGCCAAAAGCAATTGGTGCCTACATTGGTAATACACTTAGTGTATCTTTATACAGATATCCACGAACCATATCAAAAAAGTTAGCATCCCTTTTGTCTGATTATACTATTAAATCCAAAACCGGATTTAGTCCTTGGAAAGGGTACACTTTCTTAACTGGACGAGGTCACGTGGGACTCTGTGGAGATGGTTCCATATATAACATCAATGTTGAAGAGGGTGAAAAGATTCTTATTCATCAAAAGAACTTGTTGGCTATCACAGTGAATGGTCCTTATGATTTACAGAATTGTATAGTCAAACATTCAAAACCTGTTGTCAAGACCAGCCAACATCCTGTACCTGAAGCAGTTGAAGTTGTTGATCAGACACCTGTGATTGTTGTACCGTGGTACTCTAAGGTTCTTAATTCATTAAAAACATTGCTCAACAAGACTCCTAAAGTGGATGACTTCTTAGTGGGGAAGGAAGAATTTGTTACCGTTGTTGGACCCAGAAACATCTTATTACAATCCTCATACAATACTCTTCTGTCCACAGTTGTTGATACCACAGACAAATTAAGGATACCCACTACCCAATTGGTTCAAAACGTAAAACAAACCTCCAAAGATGTTCTCAGTTATGTTACCATATCACCAACAAAGGGAGCGGTGTTTGAGAACACTCCAGACTTTAAAGAATCAGTCAAGGCCATCGAAAAGAAGATATAGTTAATATGAAAACACATCAAGTAATATCGTAACAATACTAACCAATACTTCAACCCCAACTAATACCACAACCACAAACTCCAAGTTCTCTTCATGACTATGACCCAATTGTTCTTTCAACATCTGTAACAAATCACTAATAACTTCCAATCTTTGATTCAACAATTCCACACGTTGGTTAATGTCTAAATATCCTCTTGTAGCTTGGTAAATCGGTTCTAAATGAGGTTCGGCCCACATCAACTCTGGAGAATCCAAAACTGAACCGTGTAAATTAATATTAATTCTCAAGATGAACAATTCCCCAATCAGCTTCATGATTTCGTCTCTGGTCATTTCAACCTTACCTGTTAAAGCAATCTGTTGAGGAATGTCTTGAGTATCTTCAATGGTATTATCAACAAGCTCTTCAAACAAGGAGATCTTTACCGATTGAGCCAAAGCATGCGATATAGAAAGCTTCAACATATAATTGGAATCATCTCTTAAGGTAATGAAATCATTATATATCCGAGGTTGGTACGATTGAGTAATATAATAATTGAACTCTTCAACTTGAACATCTTCACCTGATAACTTTTCTGATTCAAATTTGGCCAAATCATCAAGAAAGGCTACTTCTTCTTTAGTATTATATCCCCACATAACAATGACACCATATTCAAAGATAAACACATCATTCCTCTTACCAATATCAATCTCTCCACCTTCATCTGCTAGTCTTATCAATCTGTTATCTGCTTCACCATTATTATTACTACCATCTCCATGATTATCGCTTCTCCAGTCCTTATAAACAAAGGGGGTATATAAACATTCGTCAAAGAGTTTAGGACTCGTGTTATGAATACGCTTTCTATCCTTTAACCATCTGACTAATTCCTTCATCTTGTATGACCCACAAGTACAATATGCTGTAACTCGGGGTAACAAATCTCTATGCAGCTTACCTAGTATCTCTGCATCTTTCCTGGCTAGAGTATCTTTAATCTTCTTCACTTGGGAGTACACTCCATTGGTGCTGTTATCACCAACTATCTCTTCCAATGTGGGGTCTTCAGGCAAAAGCTTGAGCTTCTGTGAAGTTCTGCTGGTTCTCTGTAGTCCTATTTTTGGTGATTGTGCTATTTTGGATGTCTTGTTGGCTTGAGCCATGGGCAAGGGATTGGCAATCTTAGGATTAACATTCCCACTAGTAATCGGAGTCGATGTCCTTATTGGACCAGTCGGTATGGATGAGAAGCTCGACACTTTATTATCCGGAACCAACGGATCTGCTTCTGACATTGTTATACTTTGTTAGTATAGATCGTTACCAGGGGGTTTGTATTAATTAATGTTTAAACATATCGATTACAATTGTAATTCGCTATGCGCGACATAAGTTTCTGTATTTGGATAGTGGTGTCCAATGTGTTGGAAAGAACCTGGTAGTGCTTAATATTAATGTTATTGGTTCATCTTAACTTACCTGAAGACTCTCTGTTACATGAAAACAACTCAACGGTGTGAATTCTAGGTTAACCCACTTTGAATACTTAGATGCCATTACTAGTTTACAACCGGTTCACGTATAATATTATGCTAAGTTACGGTATGTCTCTATATTCTTTTTTAGGAGTTTTGTGTCTGAAAATCTAGGCGATGCTCATCGCCTACACTGAAAAACTTATATACGGTATTTACCACCGTTAGCCAACAATCTCCTATACATTGACAAGTTGTTGACGATGTTAAGAAAGACAACGGAATCCTCTAGAAAGAGGCACACATTCCGTTCTTTCAAAGAAAGAGTGGACTCTCTTAAGATTGAGCCTCATTTGAACCTTAGGAAAAGAGTTCATGATTATGCCGAAACTTCACACTTCTTAACATGTCTAGAACATTGGAAAGAAGTTAATATCAGTGCCAATTTCACAGAATTCCTTGATAAGACAGAAAACGTCTCTCAGACATTACCTCAGATCTTGCATCATCAAGATACTATATTTGAAGCACTTTGCGTTCATATTAAGGTAATTGATAATCACTCCTTACAACCGTTATTTGAACTTTTAGCACAATTCATCCATGATCTTGGGCCTGATTTCATGCCCTTTTACGAAGACTACTTAAAGCTTGTATTAGAAGTTGTGATGACTATGAACCCTAATAATTCTCAAAACAATCTTGGTTCGTCTCATGTCCTTGAATGGGCTTTCAACTGTTTAGCATTCACCTTTAAGTACTTATCGCGTACATTAACTGAAGATCTCATACCTACTTTCGATTTACTTATGCCTTTACTTCAATTACAGAAAAGAGTTTATCTTAGTAGGTTCTGTGCCGAGGCCCTTTCGTTCTTAATCAGGAAACTGAAGGGTCCAGGAATGGATAATATTATTCGTCATACAATGAAAAAAGACCTTATACTTGATAATGATGAATACGCAAAGACATTAGTGGTATTGTATTCTGAAGCCATAAAAAACACCAAGGAAACATTCCATTCTAAGTCCACTACCATTATCTCTAGTTTAGTCTCAATGAGTTTAGAAATTGGTGAACCCAAATACATCTCTATTGTCTCAGACATACTATTGGATGTTCTTCATCACGGGGCTGTGGAAGAGTGTAAAAACTTCTATAAGGTTGTATTGGAGATCATCAGCAGCCATATTGAGAAGAACCAAGATCAACGTCAACGTCATGTTCAATACATTGGACTCACTCAACTTCTAATGGCATTATCGTTTGCTGAGTCCGGTAGAAAGGTTCCTGATTGGGAACAACTCACTTCAGTCATCATTGACTTGATATCGAAGCTTCAACCCACTGTTAACTATCTGTTATTGGAATCAGTACTGTATTTGATCATAGTGTTGATCCGTAATGGTGATTTTCAGGTTTTAACCAAATACCATGTCCAACTCTTTGAGTTTGTGCTCAAGACAAACGAAGGTGAAGCCTTTCTTGCGTTTGTTGATGCTTCTTTGAACACTTCCAAGGAGAAATTATTAAGTTTAGGCATCAAGAAATATGTTCAAGACTATATCATGATGATGGCATCCACCAATGACAAGGATAACCATAGAATGAAGCTAGCATTATTCTTATCAAGAAGTAAAAACCCCATAGAATCGTCCCTTTACATCCCCAAAGCTATTCAGACTGATTTGATAGACAAGTTGCCTTTACAATTGACCATGGAACAACAGTTACTTGATGTTTACTGGAAACTCCTTTTGTTGAACCATTCCACTACTCTTGATAATGATAATGAGCAAGCACAACAGAGACTCTTAAAGGTATTTTATTCCTTAATAGCCAATGGTAATCTTGACTCCAAGTTCTCAAAGGATGTTGCTGGTATCTTATTGGACTCTATTGCCGTAACGGTTAATGATTCCAATGAGTTGAGCAAAGTATTCCATGAAGCCATCAACTCTTTGACTCGGTATCAAGAATCGTCTATTTTCATTGGTTCATTAACAAAGTTGATTTCATCGCCTAATTTTGATATCACTTCAATTAACACCATTGACATTAATCTGTTGATGATTCAATTGACTCAAAACCTTGCATTACCTGATCACCATTCAAGATACAACGCAATCCTTCTCCTAATGAAACTTATAAAGGAATCAAACCACCCTCAAGTACTTCTTGATATAAGGATCCTTGAAGAGATCCCGTTGACTTTGACCAATGGAAGAGACATCACCTTACGTATTAGAAACTTGGGTATTGAATTCAAAAAGATCAACAACCATACTGACTTGGAGAAACATATCATGTGTTCCTACTTGTTTGGGTTACTTACAAATAAGTTCCAACCATGTTGGAGTGCTGTGGTTGAAGTGGTACCGGAGATCATTGATTGTGGATGTTCTGAATTGATTTGGGACTTGGCCTATAAGTTCATTTGCTTTAATTACAGTAATCAAAATGGCCAATACTATGATTCTGCTATTGAATTGAGTAACTCCGACTCTGGCTCGGATTCTGATATCTTGCAATGGCAAGCAAGTGCTAGTCAGATCTCTTCCAGCTTTGGTATGGTTCATCAAATGCATTTCTGTAAATACTATTGGATACTGAAGTCCATATATGAATATGCACAAACCATCAGTGCAGACAATGTCTATTCTTCAGTCATGAGAACCAGAGCCTTGGAAATCCTAGCAGCTATACCTTCTGTTGCCGAGAAGAAGTCTGATCGATTGGTTCCTTTAGTAATGAGAAGAGAAGGCGGTGATGGACTTGATGATGAGGGTGAAGTTGGAGGTGAAAGTGATGGTGACACTGAGTCATCCCAACTTGAACTGTGGACCTTAAAGGATCGTAATGATTTAATGAGTCTCTTCACCAAATTCAGAAAATTAAGGAAGATCCCAGATGCTGAAGATCTCTATCAACATTCTTTACGTTTATTGTGTCACAAACAATTGCTGGTTCAAAAGATAGCCTTGGACGTGGTGTTGAATTATAACAACAACTCGGTCAACAAATACAGAGACAACTTGAAGAACTTATTGGATGACACTATCTTCCGGGATGAAATCTCCAAGTTCATTATGGAAAAGAGTTCTGAATCTTCTATAATTGAGACTCAAGATATTAATGATGTCATGCCATTAATATTAAGAATCCTCTTTGGTAGAGTTCAAGGTTCTACCAGAAGTAATAGTAAACAGGGGAAGAAGTTTGCTGTGATCACTGTGTTGCCTAACTTAACCAATGAACAAATGATTGAATTCTTGTGCTTAGGTTCGAGCAGAACAGGTTATATTGAGTACTTTGAAACCTCTTCATTACCAACAACTATTGATCATTTTGTCATAAGAAGATTGAGTGGGTTCATCAGTTTATTGGGGGAAGTCTATGACACTCTTGGACCAAACTATAATCAGGTTCTTGAAACAACAATCAAGCCTTTGGTATACGGTTTGGTGGTATCGCAATCAGTCATTGACAATGATATGGATGTTGAAGACCTTGACAACAATTTAATCAAGGCTGCAAGAAACGTTAGACAAAATGGTTTAAGATGTTTGAATCAACTCTTCGAACTTTTGGGTGGGTCCTTTAATTGGGTTGATTATGTTCCTTATATCTATGAGTTGATTGTCAAGCCACGGTTGGTGAACTTTGCTGCTGAAAACTTGCAACAGCCTTCTTCATTATTACGAATCATCACCAAATGGATCAACTCAAACAATATGAATATCTTTTTGTATGTTGATGATTTTGCAACTACCAACGCCATTGTTTCCCTTTTAGCTAATAGAAATGCTAAAGACTCCGTTATAGACTTGATTCTTGACTTTAGTATCAATGCCTTAACAGCAATTAAAGAAGGAAATGGGATTGACGAAAGAAAGTATACTCTTTTGGCCATATTGGTTGACTCATTGCTTCATAATCTTACGGAGATCTTAACATTATCTGAAAGCAAAGAGTTGAATGCCAAAATTATCGAGATCTTGTTGTTATTGGTGGATGGTAGTTATATTGATGACGATGACACTCGATCAAGGTTTGTGCCAGCGTTGACCAAAGCTTTGGATAAACCTCAAAGTCAATTGGACCAAAAGGATAAAGCAAACTTATTGACTTCATTATCAGCTATAATCATTGATTATAACTGTACTTTTGAAGATCTTGAACTGTTATACATTGTATGTTCTAAAGGGTTGAAGATGTTCACGGAAACCAACATTAGAAACTCATTGGTTAGTGTATTCCAAAGTATTGGTTTGAAATTTCAAGAGTATAACCAAGTAGGCAATTTGATTGAAGAGCTTAATTCCTTCTCCAAGAAGAGAATCAGTGAACCTGATTTCCAAACAAGACTCGAAGCTTATAAGAAGATCAATGAAGAATTATATTTGGTGTTGAGTCCAATCCAATGGGTTCCATTGATTTATAATTCCTTATACTTTATTAATTTCGATGATGAGTTGGCGTTGAGAACAAGTTCCACTTATATGTTGAACCGTTTCATTGATTGTTTCTCCAATAGACCTTCGATGGAAGATGCCAAACCATATATTCATGTTTTAAAGGATAACATCTTGCCTTATTTGAGAATAGGATTAAGAAACAAGAATGAAACCGTTCAAACAGAATATATTAGTTTCCTTTCCCATATAGTTGGGCTGGCAAAATACTTTGATGATTTCAACGATATGAAGGTGTTGTTATTTGGTAATGATGAAGAAGCCAACTTCTTTAACAATATTAACCATATTCAATTGCATCGTCGTCAAAGAGCACTCAAAAGAGTCGTTGAGTTTAAGAGTCAATTGCTGGAAAACACTGTTGCTCATTATATCTTACCATTGGTTGAACACTATTGTATTTGTACGGATGATAAGATGAGAAACATTGCTAACGAAGCACTCAACACTTTGACTCAATTGATAAAGGGTGTTAATTGGAACCAATATAGGGCCTTGTTCAAAAGATATATTGGAAATATCAAGACTGCCAAACCTGAAGTATTGAAAGATCATGTTTCCTTAGTTGTGGCTATGTCTTCAAGTTTCAAAGACTCACATCATCATGATAATGATGATAATGACGATATCATTAAGAATATACCAAAGGATCAATTGGATATTGATAAATATGTTCTTGGTGAATTGACTCCCACGTTATTGGCCATTTTAAATAAAAGAGACGATGAAACCATCATCGCCAGAGCTCCAATATGTGAAGCCTTGACCATGTTGATATTAACAATATCACCTGATCAAATTGAAAAGGAATTACCTGGTATATTGACCAACACTTGTCAAGTGATGCGTTCTCGTTCTGAAGAATTAAGAGAAGCTATACGGAAAACTCTTGGGAGAATTGCTAATATCCTTGGACCCCAATACTTTAAGTTCATTATTAAGGAGTTGAAAACAGCCTTATCAAGAGGTTCCCAAATCCATGTTCTAAGCTATACTGTTCATTACCTTTTGGTATCGATATCCACTGGGTTTACCCATGGAGATTTGGATGAATCTGTCGTTGAAGTCGTTGAAATCATAATGGAAGATATCTTTGGTTCAGCTGGTCAAGAAAAAGAAGCTGAAGGGTATCATAGTAAAATGAAGGAAGTCAAATATAAAAAGAGTTATGACAGTGGAGAAATCTTGTCATCGTTTGTATCTTTGAGTCAATTTGGTAGTTTGATTGAACCCATTAAATTGTTGCTTAATGAAACTCTTTCGAACAAGGTGGAAAATAAATTGGATGAATTATTGAAACGTTATGCTCTTGGACTTAATCATAATCAAGAAGCTTCTTCGACTTCCAGAATCCTTCAATTAAGTTATGAAGTGCACAACCAATCAGCATCGATCTTGGAGGTAAAGACTTCTACTAAACCTAAACCTGTTTCAGAAGTTGAAGATCATTTCTTAGTGAAATTGAACTCCAAGGTTTTAAAACCCCAAGTGGAATACTCCCAATATATTGCAACATTACAAAAGTTTTCCTTTGAGATCTTGAAGGCTGCTATCACTAGAAACCCTGATTTATTATTAAAACCTGAATTGTTGCAAGGATTTGTTCCCTTGTTGGAACAAGGACTTAAATCGACCAATGAAGGGATCAATATTTCTTGTCTTCGAGTTTTGAATCAAATTATTAGACTTTCATTCCCTGAAGAGACGGAAAACATCTTCACTACTTGTACTAGAAGTACATTGACCTTTGTGAAGGATAGCCCTTCCACCAATTCGGAACTATGTCAAGCCAGTTTGAAATTGTTGGCAACTATTATTAGACATAAACCGAATATTCCAATCAAACATACCACCATAAGTTATTTATTGCTCAGATTACAACCTGATTTGGAAGAACCCAACCGTCAAGGTTTGGCATTCAATTTCTTAAAGGCTGTTGTATCTCAACATATAATGATACCTGAAGTCTATGATACTATGGAAAAAGTATCCAAGAATATGATTGTTAATCATGCAAAGGAAATTAGAGATATGGCTCGGAACATCTATTTCTTATTCTTGATGGAATATGATCAAGGTAGAGGGAAATTGGAGAACCAATTTAAGTTTTTGGTGAATAACTTGAACTATCCAACTCAAGAAGGAAGACAATCGGTCATGGAATTGCTTCATTTGATTATCAACAAATGTGGAGAACAATTATTGAAAAAATTAAGTTCATCATTCTTTGTAGCATTAGCCAATGTTCTTATTAATGATGATTCTCCTAAATGTCGTGAAATGGCTACGAGTTTAATCTCTGGTATGTTCAAGAAACTCCAAGTTAAAAACATGAGTAAATTTGAAGATTATATCAAGGCCTGGCTTGTTCAAGATAACCTTTTATTAAGAAGATGTGGGTTCTTGGTGTACAGAATTTATATCTCTGTATTTGGTTTTGGATCCAATGAACAACTTGATACGATTGCTTTGAGTAATATCAAACTTGTGTTGCAAAGTTCCACCAGTTCGAATGGTGATGCCAATTGGGAATATGTTTATGTGACGTTGAACGTTTTTACAACGATAGCCAATAGTTTGGAATCATCTGAGATCTTATCAACTAAATTTGGTTCATTATGGTATTTGATATTTGATACCTTATTATTTCCTCATGCTTGGGTTCGTCTTGTGGCCAGTAAATTAGTTAATTTTGTCTTGACTAATATGTCTGATTGCAAGTTCCCAATTAGTGATTATCAAATTCAAACTCTTGCTTATAGACTGCTTCGTCAATTGGGAGCACCTCTGATTTCTGAGTCCATGGGATCTCAAGTGGTTAAGAATTTGGTATTGATATCCATGCATTGGGAAGCCAACAATGTGAAGTATCAGAAGACAAACCCAGTTGATAATGAAGAAGATGATGATGATGATGATAAGGAATCGTTAACCTACACCTTTGCTATTGAGTTAATTGTCAAGAAGATTGCAGGGATATTAAGACTGGAACATAATTATAAAAATTCATTTCAATCCAAGAAATCGTCTATTCAATTGGCAGCTATGTTAACCCAAATTGTATCTCAACAAAGACTTGCATTTGTTGTGGAGCAGATTCTTCTTGCATTGTACAACTTTACTGAATTGAATGCCAATAACAGTGAACAAGAAACAGAATTGGTCAATTTAACTTTGGAATGTATGCAAATGTGTGAAGCGAAATTAGGCACAACAGAATATACTCTAATATATTCTAAAGTTAAACATCAAATCCAACAACGAAGAGTTGATAGAAAGACAAAGAGAGCACAAATGGCAATATCAAATCCAGAAGCTGCTGCACTGAGAAAGCTAAAGAAACATCAAAGAGGAAGAGAAAAGAGGAAACATGAAAAGGATGATAATGGATTTTATAGATCTAAAAAGAACAGATTCAGTTAATAGAACATTAATAGAAGACTTTGCAATTGATTTATTTGTTTATTCCCTTAAAGTTTTTCGGACACTTTGTGCGAGTATGGCGGTCCATATAAATTTTGCAGCCTAATCATTCACTTAATTAGACTCTTATCGCCGCTTCTTTAGCCTTAAACGATTGTTGGTAATACCATTAACAGATACTATTCTATACAAGATATTACCTACACTTCAATTACTCAGGTGAATCTGAATCTGAACCTGGCGAAGAGATGAATTTTGTATAACCTAGCCTCAGCACCTCGCAAACAAGTCTAAACTTGCCAAATGATAATCATGAGACCATGTCGTTACAACGAAATAAAAGGACCAATAGTCCTTTGAATCCAAAAGCTGATAAGAACTTGTTAAATCCAGAAAGTTCCTAAGAAAGCAATGAATCAGGAATTGCTCCGAAGTCAGGAACTTAGACTACAACAGATAGAGTCCAAGGTGAATCTGAAAATGACATCGTTCTAGAAAACTCTAAATGGAGTTTCAAATAAGTATGGAACTCTCAGATAAGATTTGTTTCAACGGTGCTATCTAAAAAGCATAGGAGAAGGAATGGTAAGGAAGGAATTAACATTCCTTCTGGCCACGGTATACCAAGTTCTGTATAAGCTGATTGCAATTTTAAGTGCATTAGACTCAATTTTCTTTTGTTTGCTGAGTCTCTCCAATTTCTATAGTGCATTAAGCCCATTTTTGCAAATTTTGCTTCCTCCGTTGTTCTTAGGTTGTGGTATAGCTTGTGCTATCCTCCGCTGGTTATTTGAAAGGGGATACTGGTATGAAAACGTTCACAGGATACTTTGCATGAATGATGGACCACTGTTACTGTCTTATCAGGATTATTATATGGGTTATGTGTAACGATTAGTGTAATCCACCAATCCACCCTTGATCCCATGCCTAGCATTTGACTCAAATACGTCTTTATAGAATTATTGGTTTACGAAAGGTCGCAAATAGTTGAGTTACCTCGTGTATAAATATAATTTCAACTTGTCGAATCAAAATTCCAAACCAAACATAGTCATCAAAAAGAAAGCAAAAGACATCTGACTGGTACCAGCTGTGATTTAATATAGTAGGGCCCAAGCCAGAAAGCCATAGCAAATTATCAAAAAAGCCAGGTACTGCAGATGAGATTACCTACCTCCTTTGGCGTAGTCAGCTTTGGCTTTATATAATCCATTATATCATACTCATAGTGTTTAGTCAGAGGGCCTTCTATACGCATGTCTTGCTCATTGAGAATTTCATTGATTTTCTATCCTATCATACTTTATAACTATAGTATCAGCTGGGTTTAGTTATTAAATGAAATAAGTTTGAACAAAGAATAAGCGTATCTCAACATATATATAACTTCGTGGTTCAATTGTCAGCAAAACAAACCAAGAACTGAATACGTATACAAGTGGACGTACATATCATACGCAGAAAAAGCATTAAATCAAGCATAGCATCACAATTCAGATAGGATCAGATGAATACACCTAGGGTAACCTAAAGTCTTGGATAATTTAAGATCAAACAAGGTATAGCACGTCACTAAATACTCCTGGTAGAGATCATACTAAAGTTACAACAATAGTTCTGTAATAATAGGATCCTGACCCGGACTCTGGGAATGTGGAAGTGGAAGTTGCTGAGATGGCCTTGATTATGATACCTAATTATTATATACATATGATTAATCTGTGGCAGTGCCTATGCTTTCGGTTTCAAAACTCTATCTCATTGGGTAAAACATATACCTTTTCTCCATTATCTCTAACAGTTTCACGTTTAATATCTCGAGGTAATGCTTTCCTCATATCAAATGCATCGATTTCATCATCAAGATTATTTCTATCTTCAGGTACGGTTCTACCATAATATCCAATCACTCGTCGATATACAGAATAACCTAAACCTTTATACATCTTATAAGCCAGCGAATTAGTTACCTTAACAAATAAATCAACGAATAAAGTGTCATATACTCCTCCTACACTCATCTTCTCTAATTGAACACAGAGTCCTTGTGCAAGTCCTAATCTCCTATAGGTAGGCATCACTGTCACTGCTGTGATGTGAGTGTGCCATTCTTTCTTATCAAGACGACCTTCTGTCTTTCCCATCATGTATCCACTGATCTCGTACAGTTGATCAAACAGACCATGAGTTTCTTCTGTTGATTTGAAAAAGAAGGTGGGCCATTCAATTAAATATTGACTATAAAAGCTGGGGTTGAAGTTCTCAGTAAGGGGATCAATATTGATTGGGTTCACGGAGAACAAGTCATCCATTTGGAATGGTCGTATAGACGACATTCTATTACGGATTTGCTTATGTGAATAATATGTTGTGAACATAGAAGCAAATGTCACCTCTGCTCACTAATTCCCCGTACTTTATGTCCGGGTAACCTTGTCTCGATTTTTTTAGTTTACAAAAAATTTTTAGAGTGAATGTCGAATTGCATGCTTGCTTTGCTTAAAGGTTCTTCTCAATATCTAACAATGTACGCAGATCCATCCGCTAGTGAAGACAAGATTAAGCTCCAAGAGGAAATGGCTTACGGTACCTTGAAGTTTGCCGGTATGATAGCTGGAGCTTTGTGGGTTGCTCCTATCATTTATCACTTTGTTCAAAAGCAATTTTAAATTTTTGAACTCAGACTATATCTATATAAATATGTGTTTTAAATTTGGAGAAGGAAGGAAATATGAATGTGGTCTCCAAGAAAACCTGTACATATGTATAATACATGATTCCTTAGTATATTTATAAATACGTGTATTGATATTATTATTATAAGCCATCATCATCAAATAGAGCATTACGTAGCTCTCCTATACGGAACCCAAGTTTTGCTTGATCCATACGCTCGCAAATTTTAAGTGCTGAGGTTAGAGCCTTTTCTGATTTGATCATTCTGGCAATGCTAAATGCCCGTTTCAATTGTTCGTTTTGAACAGCACCTGCAAAGAGTTTGAGAAGTGACCCATCAAATTGTACAGCATAATTTTGAATGGCATCCATCAACTTCTCTGTCTCTTCTCCTTCACCTTCAGCTTCTTCAATGTAGCTATCATTGACAAGTTTCCCCATAGTAAGTGCACGGATATAGCTTTCTTCTAAATCAAGTTGGCCAGCAGTAGTATTTTCCTTCTCTTCTCCATCTTCATCACCATCATCGTCTTTCTTGTCATTTCTTGTGTCCTCTTTGACATTCACGGGGACCTGGATGTTGATTTCAATGGGCAAACTTAAGGGGAACCCTGGGTACTGTGAATTGTTTTTAAGAATCAAACACAGTAGGTTCTCTTCATATAATCCAAGGGGCCAACATTTCCAATTCTTCTTATTTGGATTTTTTCCACCTTCTGTTATGGCTTCGTGACAGTTAAGAAGTGGTACCCATCTTGCATTGTTGGACTCTCGCCATCCTGTCATCACTAACAAAGTGTCGTCAATCCCAGCTACAAGACACGGGTCACCATTCTCATTGAAAAACATCCCCTTAATTAAAGGAACTGTGGAATTTGTTGGAGATTGCTTTAAGGGAAGTACTGAATTCTGTTGAAGGAAAGTTATATTGGTTTCGGTATTAAGAATCGATGCTCCAAATATATTATTACCCAACTGGTTTATAATAAACACTATACCCTTGGATGAAGACATTGTGGCAACAACTGGTGCTAACTTCATTATATGAAGACAAAGACCATACAAATTGTATATCCGAACATATCCGAAACTAGTACCCACAATGATCTTGGTTTCTTCGTTAAGTCTTCGCTCATCTTCATCTGGTTGTTGATGTGTAAGACTGATATTGGTAACATATTCACCCGAATGTAAGGGGATTTGCTTCTCCCATGCATCAAAGTTATCTCTGTGAAAACGAAAGTATATCTTCCCGTTATTCGCCTGATGTTTAGTAGAATACCCAGAAACTCCTAATAAAATACCCAGCTTATTTAAGGAACAAAGGTCATATTCATCTGTGTCTGTCAAATGATAGTCTTTGTGGACTGCTCTATCGAAAAGTGATACTGTCACTGATTTAGAAGTCAGATCAGCATATTTAGTAATCCAAACGTATCCAATGGAGTTCATAGACAAATATCTTCGATCTCCATGCCAAGGAGTTCCTCCTGGTGAATAAGGAACCACTTCCTTTTCATTGTAAGTAGAAAATGAAGTCGATGCTGTGGTTGTTGTAAATGGCTTATGAGATCCATTTCCATTACTTGTGAAACGGGCCTTCTTATGACTATAAGTATTATCACCAAATAATGCATCTAATTCTTCTGCATCTTGGAAATTATCAAGAGCATCATCTGATCCAATGTCACTAGCGCCTTTTTCCTCTTCAAGGTCCAGAAGAGTTCTTTTGGCACCTCCCAATTGATGTACATGTTCATCATCTTCATCATCAGCATCCAATAGCATTGAATCTTCATTATGAAGCATAACCTTGCGGCTTTTGATGTTTTCTTCCTCACGAAGAATATCAGCAGCATCACCTTCTTCATCTTCTTCCACGTCCTCTCCTTCATCTTCATTTTCAGATTCTTCTGCTTCGTCAAAAAGGTAGCTCATTGCATTATTGCTAGTAGGAATAAAATTACTTAATTCGATGATTTCACCTTTTGACGTACCTAAAAACGCATTACGACGATATACATGGATATCGATTAAATAGTAACCGTCTAGATCCACCGCAGTACGTTTAAGTTCTCTTTTCGTTTTGAAATCGTATACCACAATCTCTCCATTGGTGTAGGCCACTATAAGAGCCGAACCATTTAACAGATAATCAACAATTTTATTATTTGACAGGGGAAAATCTCCTGCTGGTTCAAGCCAATTGGCTCTAGCATAAAGTTTGATGGAATTAGATATAGATGGCACTAACAAATAATCACCTTTGGTGGTCCATGAAGTTCTTGTACATACCAATTCATCTTGATTCTCTCCATTATAATCCACTTCATCCATTGACGTATGAATTTTTGGTACTCCAATTTTAGGAAGCAATTCCACAAGTCGTGGTTCATCATTAGTGGCAGAGTATACCAATACATCACCATTGGACAAACTCACTGCCAAAAGTTCACCAGTGTGATTATATGATACGTCCACAAGCTGATCAGGTATGTTAATCTCGATGGCTTTATTTTCTGCTGTTAAATCGATAATGATTAATTTGGTGTCGTCACCACCACATGCCAAACGCGTTCCATCATTGATGAATATCGCAGCACGTAAAGGTAACGGAGAACGGAATACTGTTTGACGGCTAGATGGTGTTCTTATTTCCAAGAGTTCCAAAACTCCACTTATCGTAGCAGCAGCCACACTATGGCCATGCTGACATAAACTGGTGATATTTTCCATTATATCGATGGAGATGGGATCTTTGTCTGGATCTTCAATATTGATCATCTTAACGAGACCAATGGTGTTCCCAATTGTAAGACGATCTACATTTTGATTATAGCTGACAAATGAGTTCCCCTCAGGGAACGTATGGATTCGTCTTTCAGACATATTGATATAGGTCACGTCTATATAGCTGTAGTGACCATTGAAAATTGATTTCACTACGGTACGCGTAAAAGTTTAGGTCGGATCGCGGTAACTAAGAAGCTGAAGGGTAAACATTTCGCACCGGCTCTTCCATACGGGCGTTGCACGTTTCCTGTTATTTAGATCAATCTTTTTCAATCGAGATGAATACTTTTACTCCACACAATTCGACCGAGAATATCGATCGAGTGTAAGCTACCTCATCTCATTGTTTTGCACGATCCACAGCCATGATACGATCGATGATACGATATGTGTCAACCTCTACCAAAAATATGACTCCTTCAAAATTAGATACTATGTCTGTGTTAACTCCGGGCAAGCCACCATTTGTGCTTTTGGCATCCATAGGTAATCCTGAAGATGGATATGGAAGTACTCGACATAATGTAGGACACCAGTTTCTTAACGAGTTAGTTCAGCATCATTGGACTGATTTTGAACCGTTTAAGGTACATCGAAACTTACCGCATGGAGAAGTTAGTCTTTCTAATGAAATGCATCCAAACTTGGTGCTATTCAAGTCAACCAATTCATTAATGAATTTACAAGGTGGTCCTATTTCTCAAACGTGGGAAAAAATCCGTCGACTTAAAGAATCATCTACCTCGCCTGCATTAGTTGTTGTACACGATGAACTTCAGTTACCACTAGGAAAGTTTCAAATACGTCGACAAGGAACTAGTGCTCGAGGTCATAATGGACTTCGGTCTATTTCAAACTCAATGGGTAGTGGGTATACGAAAATAGGTATTGGTATAGGTAAACCAGCTCATCGTAATGTGGCACTGTATGTTTTAGGGTCATTTAAACAAGAAGAAAAGATGGAACTTTCATACAATGTTTTTCCAAAAATCATAGAGGCATTAGCTCAAATGGAGAAGGGGGAGCATATTTATGAAGTATACAAATAGATCATGCTAGTAGTGGTAGTGGTAGTAGTAACTTGTATATATTTATAGTGGATTAGATTCACTAACCGTCGTGTACTGCATGTAGTTGGTTCCCAATGTAATCAGATCAAAGGGGTGATCAAAGTGGATCGTTCGCCAACAAAATGATTGCAATAATAATAATAATAATAATAATAACAGTGTTTTAACTAGTTTCCTTTGGCATTTTTATATACTTACTGTTGTACCGAAAACTAGTTGAATGGAGTTTGCAATAGATCTTGAAGCTGAACGTCCTGTTCTAAAGGAAACTGTTAAAGGTATGTATTGTGTCATGTCATATGAATGATAATGATAGGCATACTAACATCATTTCAAGGGGTTATATGGGCTATATTTTTTCATCGATTACTAGGGCCTATTGCCCCCTCGAATGGTGAGTGTTTAGGCATAACTTGTCCAACATGTAAAGATCTACCTGAATTACATTCACTTATTAATAAGCGAGTGGAGGAATTGGCAACCCAAGAGTTCATTACAGATTCCTCGAAAGTAGGTAAAGTCACCATAGTGTTCAAACAAAAAATTAATCAACGTAAGAAGTCAGGATGGTTCGGAGGAAAAGATAACAACGAACAACAAGTCCCATGGGAAGTATGGTGTATACGAGTTAAATGTTTGACTTCCAATATGGAATCATCTATGGAAAGAAGTAAAATTAGTTTCCAGCAAGCACTTTTAGCGGTAATAGATAAAGCTGATGGTAATATGGAACATATACCTCCAATTACATCATTGGATGCATCACCTTTCCCCTATGATATTGAAATTACTAAGAAGGCTACTGATGAAAGTTGGGGGTCTTATTTCAAAAATATCGTCAATGATAAAACAAAGGTTTATTAAAGTACATATAAATATGATTCACAAATTGGGCGAAACAGACAGCAGCAACCCTTCATCACCACGAATCAAGATACATTCATCTTGATATACTGTCTTATTGAGTAAACCCAAGTCAGATGCCTTTTGGATAACACCTTCACTATAACTGCCTGGTTGAAACCATAATCCTTTGATTAAATCTTTATATCCTTCAACCGAGGCTATTTCTCCCAATGTGGCTAAAGTTATTTCAGGAGGAGTCAAAAATGAAATAGAAAGTCCATCCTTGGTACTCAAGTGGTAAGAATCAAGGTCTTTCTTATCCTTTAACGTATTTAAAATCGTCTCGATATTATGAACTACTGGTTGGCCAATGATCTCCTTTTCCCGAGGATTCACAGGGATAGCATTCAAATCCCGAGAAAGGTACCAATCAAAGATTTTAAACCCGAACTTATGGGGACTATTGGAAGCACCGGCAACAGCATATTGTCTGCTTGGGCCAAAAAAGGCTCCGATCTTTGTAGTCATAGACATCTTTGATTATATAGTAAATGTAAAGCAAATGAATAACTAATCAACAAAAATTGTGGGGTTATATATATGAGGCATAAGATTTAATCCTTTTCTATCACGTGATTAGAAGAAACGAAAAAAATAACATGGTAGCGCGAAAAGTAACTAACTAACTCTAAAAGTAATAGAGAAGGCAGCCTTCTGCTTAGATACTTGGAATAAATATTGCTATTAAGGCGTTATGGCCAAAGAGAAGCGTACAAAGCCGTGTTCTAATTGTAAGAAATCAAAAGTCAAATGTATCTACACCGATAACTTACCTTGTGAGAGGTGTTTGAGAACAGGACAAGCTTATGGATGTCAATTTGTACATAAGCTACCATCATTAAAGCTTCCACAATTAAGCAGCACAACTAGTACAAATGGACTTGCCTTAGAACCTTCAAATGAGTCTAACTTTGCTCGAATACCTCAGTTGCTGCAAGTATCCCAAATTTCTGCACATCCCACACAACCACCACCACCACCTCCTCCAGCAAGAACAACAAAATCGGTGCAACCTTCATCTCATCATCATCATCCAATGATGCTTCTGAAACCACAACCACCTCCACCTCGACCTCAGCTTATGATAACAGAGTTAGATTGGAAGCACCAGGTGGAAGGCAAGTTGAATAACTTCGATAATAAGCTCAATGATTTGATTGATATCTTAAAGTCTAACCAATCTGTTTTATATGATAATCAACAGCGATTTGCTCAGATACAACAACAGCAGCAGCTCCAGCAACAACAACAACAATATCCACAGCATTCACAGCATTCACAGCATCCTTACCTTCAGCATCCTCATCATCATTATCCGTATGGGTCTTCCTTTTCATATCCTGGTTCGAGATCGTATTCCCCCAGTGATCCGCAAACAACTTCCTTTGGTCCTCTACCACCATCACAACAACAACAACAACAATATATGACATACCCAACTCAACCACTTCAGTATATTTCAAATGGACCTTGTCCCCCTACGAATGGAGCTAACGATAAAACAGATCACATTCCAGTTAAAAGGAAGATAGAAGACGGAGAAGAAGTAGAGAAGCCAAATGATAAAAGAATCAAATCATCAAAAGAACCTGATGAGCACTTTCCAGATGACTTCAGAGAGGGGTATCTTTCCAAGAAACAAGCAGAAGAGCTCTTTACTTTCTTTGATGCCAACATTGCACAACAGTTATTTGGCTTTGAGATATCAAGGTTTTCAGTGGAAGATATATGGTATTCATCTCCCATTCTTATATGTGCAATCTGTACTATCGCATCAATGCATCATCCTAATGTAGAGCTTTCTTCCAAATCAAAGCAGTTGACGGTTTATTTGCATTCGTTATGTGGAGGAGTATTATATAAGGGGAAGTTCAAGAACGATGTTGAAGGTTTCAATACTATTGTTGCATTGGTATTATGTAGTTTTTGGCTATCTGATTCTCAAATGTTCACTGGATTAGCATTACAATTAGCAAAGGAAATCGGATTGGATAGTCCTAAAAGGAAAAGTACCACTGGGTTAAGTAATAAAGACAGACTTAAGCTATGGTATTTGTTATATGTTCTTGATGGTCAACAAAGTTTAACTTTCAACAGACTGCCATTGATTAATGCTGATGACTATTCACTTAGTCATAGCAGAGAAATGCTACTTTCTGATAGTAATAATATCAGCAATACTATTACCAATAATAATAATAGTGTTAATAACGCCATTGAGGAGGTACCAGCAAAGGAGGTTGACGAAATTCAACCTAAAACTATATCCAATGAAATGATCCTTGCTAGGGAGAAACAAGAGAGATTCACCGATATGAGATTAGTTTCACAAGTTGAGTATAACCAAGCATTGAATGAAGCATTCCGTGGAGATGCTTGGGAGCTTCTAGCACCATCTTCATTTGGTATACCGTCCAAAAGTAATCTTGAACTTGATAAATGGATGGTTAGTTGGACAGTCTTGTTATCACCAGGTAATTATGGGGCAGTTTGGTCTTCTAAATCAACATTGATATATTATAACTTTGCTAAGATGCATATTAATTCCAGTGGTGTTAGACAATTACGTATACGAGATGACGATAAAAGTCCATTCCCCAAATGGGATCAATATGTTAGTGAAGAACCAAACAAGCAGCAGAAACATGAACCTCACAATGATGAAGTCCATAATAATGATGATGATGATAATGATGAAAATGATGAAGATGATGAAGAAGAAGAATTCGTTTCCAATAGGGAACTTATTTGCGAAGATGAAACCATTATCAATGCCAATATAGCTGTAAATGCAGCCCAAACAGTTTTAAATCTAGTATTAAATGATACTGATATCATCAGCAATTTGAAATATGTTCCTGTTCATATTCATATTATGTTATACTATGCTGCATTATTATTGATTAATCCTCCATTGATTTCCAATGATAAAAGGTCAAAGTTTGATCATCTAGAGTATTATAAGAGATTAATTGATAATTTGAAAACCATAAAGGCTGTACAATATAAGATCAATTTGAATCTTCCAACAGATAAAAAGTTTGGTACAAGATTAATGAAGAGTTTAGAGGAAATTGTTTCTGATAAAGCCATTCATCTTTCTGGTGAGATCAAGAAAAGTCACATACAAGTTGAGGATGCCACTCCACTACTTTCTCAATTAGAGATCTTGCAATCTTCTTCAACTAATATAGAGATGTTTGAAGCATCAAGCAGTAGAGGTTCATCACCGGGTCCTGAGAAGATCTCTGCCTGGCCAGGTTCGAACCATGGACATCCATAAAAAATACTAAATTTCATTGAGTGCTATGCGAACTTTACAGAAACAATAACTCATATGCTTTACTTTCTTTGAAGTATCAATAGGAATCACCACCACATATTATGGATTGGGAAGCACTTAAGCGAGTACCTCAAATGGTCAAACGGAAAGTTAAACTTGGAACTAACACTTTTGATGAGGAATTTAATTTATATTTTGAAGACTTGACAAGATTAGATAAGCGGTTAGAAGCGCTAATGAAATATTGTAAAGTATCAACTCAAGAAACCAAAACTGCTTTAAAGGGATTGGAACTGATAGGATTGGCGTTTCGGGATTTATATGATCCTTTAAATGGCTTACCGGTTGAAGTTAAGGAAAGATTGAAGAATAATGTCCCCACAGATCAACTATTTGGGAGTGATTCTAATAGTAAGCGGATTCAATTTGAACGGGAATATTTGAACTGGGAAAATTCAAAATTATTCATTGACGGAGTTAAAGATATTGTGCCTGCTGTTGAAATCGAACTTGATCAATTGGTGGAACTAATGGTTAAAAAAACCCTTCAATTACAAAAAATCGTTAACAATATCAAAACTCGGTGTAAACTTAGAGAAGCTTCACTTTATGATTATGATATTGTGTTCAATGAATATGAAGACCTTGTGATTCGACTGAAAACCGCGCCCTTATCAGTTAAGGATTCAAGTAAAATGTTTCGATTGGAAAGGAAAACTGAAGAATTGAGACTTGTATACCAAGAGCGAAACCACTCATTGAAATCAGAACTTCCTCATTTTTTTAAATTGGTTGATATGATTTTTAAACCATTACTTGAAATCTTTTATTATGTGCATTTGACAGTTACTTATCAAATTCATAACAATATGAATTCATTGTCTGATATATTTCAAATCACCATGGATGATTTGGATTTTAATCAGATTATCACATGTTATGAACGGGATACTCAAACTGTTCAACAATCGCTTAATAATCTTGGGATTATCAATTTCACCGAAAATTATCTTGCAGATTTGACTTCAAGTGTTCCTTCTTATAAAGAAATTCAACCACCTGATAATAATAATTATTGTCAAGCAATTTATAATTTCAACGGAGTGCTTGCAGGAGATTTGAAGTTTAAAACGAATGATATGATAAAAATATTAAATCAAAGTGGTTCATGGTGGGAAGGAGAATTAAATGGTGAAAAGGGATCATTCCCTAGTAATTATGTCAAATTATTACCAACAAAATCATCATAACCATCCTCTTGATTAAAATATTCATGTCTCATATGATTTTCCCATCTAATTGCACAACTGGAACTGCAAAATGATCTCTTAATAGGAATTAATTTATTCAGTAATATATCCCACCATTCATATGCTTCTGCAATAGGTTCAACTATTATTATAGAACATGTACTACAATGTTCTTCATATTGACCATTAGTGATTGCCCTGGTTATAATTGGATGAAGCTTCTTGGGTGTGTTTGACTTCCAACTTTTGGTTTCACCATACGTAACATCATACTTTCCTATTTCATTCAATGCTAAGGCTTTGAAGCTTGGAAGCTTATAAGCTGGATTTCCAGGGTCTTCAACAGTATAAATTATTGGAGAAATGTAATTGAGTCTTCTGGTTGAATCAATGGGATGTTTCTTTGAAGTTGTCACATATTTGGCATCCGGAGTAACCTTAATAAAAGGATTAGGACCAGCACCAAGAGTAGTCAAGTTTTTTAAATCCAATATTTGAGGACAAAGGTATTTCAAATCATTAGCACCAATTGAAAGATCTGTCAAGTTCTTTAATTTGTGGATTAAAGAAGGAATGTACCGGAGTTTATTATGACGAATGCTTAATACATTCAATTTTGTAAACTTGAATATTGAAGGAGGAAGATGTCGAATATGGTTATTAGCAAGATAAAGTTGATAAGATACGGATCCACTTTCAAAGATCACCAACTTATCAAAATCTTTAATTTCATCTGGTACATCATAAAGACCCATATCTTCCAAATCAATGGTAGTTTCCACGTTTTCAAATGCATATAAAAGTTTTCTTTTAGCTCTTTCAAAATTAGCTTCTCTTTCGTTTTCATAGTTGGTTCTATCAATATCACCATCCGTTGAAAACTGTTCATGGATAGAAGGATATTTGAATCTATTAAATTTATCAATACCAAAATCAACTTCAGAACTGGGTACATCTTCTTTATGACGACCATACAATTTGGGACGGGTTGCAACTACTTTCTCGGGCTCAAACTCTTCTTCTATTTCAGTATTGGCTTCACTTGAAGGATCAATAACTCTTGGAGAATCAGGAATATGGAAACTTTGAGTAGGGTTAGTAAAGAAATCATATTCAGATACCAATGATATAGCAGCGGGAGGAGGACTGCTAGGAGGAGTTTCTTTCTTCAACGCTTCTTTTTGCAATCTATTATTAATATTAGTAGTATTATTTCTGTTACTGTCATAAAAGGAAGCTAATAATGATGTTTCTCCTTCAGATGAAGTATTCTCATCATCATTCACTACTCTCCTCTTGATATTATCATTCTCAGAGAAACTATCGCCCATTTTCCGCTTCAATGTGGGAACATGCTTGAGCCTAGGACCTTTGGGTCTACGTATATTAATAGTGGGTGTCGTTACTCTTGTATGATATGAACTAGCAGCATTCTCATCTATTTCGGACCGGTTCCTTGGTGTTGTATCTAAAGCCAATTCGTTAGTAGTGGAGCTGCCGGAATAGGCAAACGGTAATAAGGGATTCAGTTTCTCCATCAATTGTTCATTATCCTTGATGTGTTTACCAGCTGTTCATAACTTTTGGTGTAATGGGGTATCTAATCCTTATATTCTTATGGTTCAAAGCGCGTCGCATCGCGTTCACCTTGATACAGGAAATGCATTAGATGGTTAGTTTAGGCGAGAACTAGAATGTCACTAAGCCTGGAGATCATTTGCATCTGAGTAAAAAAAGAAAGGTCGTACCCGGATTCGAACCGGGGTTGGTCGGATCAAAACCGACAGTGATAACCACTACACTATACAACCGCTTGTATATACGACCAAGTAGTAGGAAAAATAAATTGTACCGCCTTATTTGGGAGCACCAGTTACTTTTGAATAAATATTCCACTGTCTGTGATCTTGACACATATATATACAGAATGCACTGGTTCGCCTTACTGGTAAACCCATTGTGGTTTACTGGGATCAAAGAAGCTCAACTCAATGTTAGTTCATATTCCTGTGGAGTCTGTCCTATTTAGCAACCTCGATATTTTTTTATTGTTGGTCGGGGTAGAATATTTCAGCAAAAAAAACCAAAAAAAAAGATCTGGTTCTAGTTGAATACCAGATGGAAGTGGTTGAAGAATATTAACTACTTGAAACCATAATTGATGATTGAAGAAAGTATGACAAGGAATTATATGCTTAACCTCATGAAATACTCAAGAATTTAATGTTAAAAATACACAATATATAGAAAAACCAAAGTCATACAACCTACATATAGCATTTTGCAGCAATTAAAGTCGGTGTCCAATTAGGAGAAATCATTTGCAACAAACATACTTTGAATCATCAATGCGTTAATCAACCTAAAGTACTCAAGAGTTCTACACCAGAAAATTTATTCATAACTTCATAGATTAGCGCTATATAAAAACTCCCATCAAGGAAGAAAACTAAGCAACTAAATAATTACTTCAAACGATAACGCAGCAGCCACAACCATAGTGGTGGTGGTAGTAGTGGCAACCCCAAGAGTCCTTGTTTTCAGACTTCTTAGAAGAAGCAGAAGAGTTGTTAGAGATAGTTTGAGCAGCCATTGTTAGTTTCGATTGTAAATTTAAATTATTGGTTGTAAGTGAAGAAAAATGAATTTAAAGCTTCAGAATGATTGAAAATAGTGGTCCTTTTATATTCTTCTCGTTACTATTATAAATTGCTTCTAGTACGCCAGTTTCTACTAATTATCATGTATCCTCATGGAGTGTACCCCCCCTTCCCCCCCGTTGTTGCAATTGAAACAATTGGTTACATAGTTAATTTGAAGCTGCAAATTGGAGAAGTACTTGGCAATGCAACCTTAGAAGTATACAATACTCTGCGTCTCTAAAATTGGATATCTGATAATTACACTCATTATAACTCCCCTTTGGGCATGGAGCAACAGTGTTCAGTACCACTTTACCCTACAATTAGCCACCTGAGACCGTAATTAGGGTTGAGGTTACCACTTACATCATTCTACAAAGGCACATAAATGTGCAAAAAGTAATAAGCCTAAGCATTTATTTCAACTAAATAGTCTACACTTTCACATATACGACCTTAAAAATCGTAGATGGGAAGGAGTGACAAGGAAATGTCTACTTAAGCAATGACGCAACAGCCGCAACCACATCTGATTGGGATGAAGCAGTTGTCCTTCTTTTCACCGTTCTTCTTGGTGGAGTCGTTCTTAGCAATAGTTTGAGCAGCCATTTTCAATTGAGTTTGTTTGATTGTTTGTTTGTTATTTGTTTGATGTTAAGAAAAAAACTTTGAATATGTTTTTAATACAACGAAATAGTCGCTTTATATAGTTTTCTGATTTGATAGAGGCTTCTTTATTTGTCATGAAGTTTTACTACTTCTGTTATTCTGTTTACATTCGCTTAAGCGGAGAATTAGTCGGTAAGCTTAATGAAAACTTTGGCAACAGTTACTAAGGTTCCCGAAAAGGATATCGGGGCGGGTGTACTAAGTGGATACCACCTGCAGTAATAGTTTTGTCTAAAAAGAGTTGTCTAAAAAGAGTTAAATTAAGCAATCCTAATAGAGTTTCAATGAACATCAATAATTAAGAACAAAAGGTTCTTAACAATGATATTCAATAAGAGTAGTGTCAATTAAAGCGTTTTTTGTGAAAAGAGTTGCTTATCGAAAGCGAAAGAAGCTTCGGCAAAGGCTAGCAAAACAGTAAGCAAAACTACATTTCTGTATCAAACTTTTTACCACATGGTAATTACAATTACTACTACAATTAAACTTTTATTTCACGATAATGTTACTATATGGAAGACGTATAATACATGGTCAACGCCTTAATATGCCACCAATATTACTTGGGGCGCGAGTAGTAGGGCAGCGGACCGTGAGATTCCCAAAGCGGACTAATAAGGATATTGACGAGAAGTAGATTGAACTGAATTAAGATAGAATTACGATTCTATTTTTGCTTTATCTCTTTGCCATGTACTTTACCATACTTCATGTACTAATAAACATTTTCTTTTTGATTCTTGACAAAGCACAAGCAACCCATGCTTTAACACCAATTACACATGCCACAAGAGAACAACTGATATCGCCAATAGTTGCCATTGAAGTAGTTTCTCGATGACTTACGGGGCTCCGATCGATAGTTAATCGTTCCATGTTTCAGAATGGCTGCGAAACTTCCGCTTTGGGCGATTCTATTGAAACCAGTGTACCTTTTGGCCAATCAACCAGTGGTACGACAATTGTTAGCAACAGTTGGGATGGTAGTTTAAAGCACATGCGTCTTTGGCAACTGAATGCTGTTCGAGTACAGGAATACGAGTAAGAAGTTCTTTTAGTAGTCAATAGTCTGTTAAGCTGGTTATCGCTAAGCTGCAGGACCATGATGCTTCCCCAGAATATACGAAGGAACTTTTAAGTAGTGTAATTACTATGAGCGAAAAAGACTTCATGGATTAGCCTATTTCGCTGTATTCATCATATGCTGTTTTCTACTGCTGTTGAAACTGTTAACAAAATAGAACTAGTTCTAAGACCATCAGACAGGTGACACCATTATGCTGCTGTTACCATTATGCTGCTGTTACCATTATGCTGCTGTTACCATCAAGCAGTTGCTACCACCAATTATATTTCGTGTTAGATACAATCTCATCATTGCTCTGTAGATACCCCTGGTACATACTGCTACCCAGCCAATTAATTTACATAGCGAGAATCGTAGTTGACCACTTGAATCAACTAGTATTGATCTCTACAATGATAGTTTGCGCAAAAAAGGTTTTATTGGATCCTATAGAAAACAAAAGTAAGAAAATATAGCGATAGAAGTAGAAAAATATGTATCTGAGTCACTAGGACTATTCACAAGATACAACAGACTTAGACTAAGCGTTGTCTCACGCAAAGAAAACCTCAGTGAAAGAATGTTTAAGCGATAACACAACATCCACAACCGTAGTAATGGTAGAAGCAGTTGTCCTTGTTTTCACCGTTCTTCTTGGCAGAAGAGTTAGCGGACTTGTTGTTAGCAATAGTTTGAGCAGCCATTTTTATTTGTTTGTTGTTTGTTAATTGATGTTGAGAAAGAAGTAGAGATGATTGTGAAGAGTGAAGATATTTAGTGCCTTTTATATCGCAACTCTTCACTATTGAAGGTAGGGGATATGGGAAGTTAATGCCAATGAAAGTAGGAGTTTCCAATATTGATTGGCTGCTAAATTAACATCAAGACATAGAATATAAGTTCCTTGGAATGCCGATGTTTCAAATCGATTTAAGGGAATTTCCCAAAACGACCATTCTATTGCACTGATACTTCCAAGTCAATTTAAAATACTTAATTGCTGATATCTCAATTACAGTACTAGTATTGGTAATTACCAGATGATCCTATACATTAAAGATGCTTCTGTACCTACATTTGACGAGGAAACTTCTATGCAAAATGTGCTAAATGCAATGTTGGCCAATAAGATTACATTAGAGACATATGCAAGGTCCCAATTAGGCTTAATTACCTTTTCTGACTGAGACATGTTACATCTATGACGTTGAAGTTGACGTAATAATTATAGAGATAAAGTTGAAAAGTTTAATCTGATATTAACCCCTAGAAACTTTATATTACAGGTTTAACAGATAAGAAAATAAAGGTTAATAACAAATTAGGAATTACCATTGTTCTTATGTATAATACAGTTTCATGATATTTTGTTGCTTCTTCAATAGAAACTATATTGCCTCATGGATTGATTACGACTTTTGTATGCAGAGTCATTAAAACATAGATGATTTCTAACTCTGTTAATTCCTTGTAGATTCTATTAATATTACTTCCTCATAGGCTCCATAAACTCCAAGTCCTTGCTACTAAAATAATGCAGTCCAAATTCCTTCACCCATTCAGGTTTTACCCTGGTGACGTTTCTCATAAACTCCTTACTGGTCAATACCAATTCATGATACATTAACAACTTCGGTGGAGGCTTCACATTATGCATGGATGAAGATGGGTGTAAGAATAATGGCTGATTACGTTTTAACTTTCTATAGCAATCCCCCATTTTGGATAAACGTACCACGTTGGAAAAGAATCCCGAAACCAATGCTCTAAGAATTACCTCATTCTTATCAGCTTTCCCTTCCCACTTTTGGCATGACCCCTTGAATCCCACTTTATCGCATAAGGAAGACAATTGGTTGCGAATATCTCGAACTCGTTTGAGTGTCTTGTATTGCACAAAGTTATCTTCACACCATTGAACAGAATAACCGTTATTAACCCATGTGTCGTAGATATTCAATAGAGTAAGGTGATCCCCACTTTCCTCAGAGAAGGCTCCCCGAGTTTTGTCAGCTTGTTCCCGCTTATCTTTTGGACGGTAGAATAGGTTACCACTTTCACTTAACATTGAGAGAATCGACAAGGTATCATGCAACACGCCCAATTTCAGACTAGTGATTAGCGATTTGGAAAACATGGCATCTAGGGGGAACAGAACCATAATCCTTCCAGTTTTAGTCAATTGTCCCTTAGAATTCAATGCTCCTAGACTGTACAATAACTCCAATGACTTGATAATGGAATCTGTGGATGGAGGGTCCATGAAATCAAAATGAAGAAGATCATTGACCCCTAAAGAAAGCAATAAGAGAACAACACCAGTTAAGTTAACCCGTAAAATTTCTGGTACAGGATTCAAGTCCAATTCATTATAGAACGACCATTTGGTGTACATTCTAAAACACTTACCTGGACCTAATCTCCCCGCTCTACCAGCTCTTTGGTTAGCAGAAGCTCTAGAACAAGGAACTACAACCAAACTCTCCATTCCTGTAACCGGATTATACACATTCTGCTTGACATAACCAGGATCAATTACAAATTTGATCCCATCAATGGTAATAGAAGTCTCTGCAATGTTAGTAGCCAAAATAATCTTTCGACAATTGGGAGGAGTTGGTTCAAATATTCTTGCTTGAAGTTCTGCTGGTAAATTAGCATAGATAGAATTAACCAATAATTGGTTCTGTAGTTTTAAATCGGAGATCGCCTCTTGTAGACTCAGTTCCATAAGTTCAATCTCATCTTGACCAGTTAAAAATACAAGTATATCTCCAGGAAGTTCTTGGGTTGTATGGATTTGGAATATAGTGGTTATGGCTGCTTGTACATAATTTGCTTCTGGGTTTTTTGTATAATGAATATCAACAGGGAATCGTCTTCCAGGAATTGAAAATATGGGAGCACCATTGAAGAAAGTAGAAAACTTATCAGCATTGATAGTAGCAGAAGCAATAAGCAATTTCAAATCCTTTCGATGTAGAATAATATCTTTTAATAAACTTAAAATAATTTCTGTTGATAATGTTCTTTCATGTGCCTCATCAATCATGATACAACTATATTTATCAAGCTCAGGATTCGTTAGAAACTCACGAAGAAGCATACCATCTGTCATATATTTTATAATTGTTTGTTCGTTTGTATTATCCTCGAATCTTATAGTATAACCTACTTTCTTCCCCAATGGTACATCCATTTCCTGGGCAACTCTTTTGGCAACAGACATAGCTGCCACCCTTCTCGGTTGAGTACATGCAATAATTTTGGGCTTTCCGGTGATTTTATCTTTGGAATAGCCTGCTTCATAAAGATATTGAGGCAATTGGGTCGTTTTACCTGAACCTGTTTCACCCACTATTATTACCACTTGATTATCCTCAACAGCTTTAAGAAATTCAGTACGATATTTGAATACAGGTAAAGACTCTTTGGTTTCTTTGATGGAATTTAACTTCAATTGCACACTATCGTCATTGATATTATCATCACCCTCCAACGTTTCATCTGTGTCAAAATCAATGAATTGCAGTTCATCAAACACATACTCGTAGTTGTCTTTATTTACCACGGCCATCTCATCCATTGAAGGAACAAAATTCAGTTGGTCTTTCCCCTTAACCAATTGATCCTGTTCCCATTTATTGTCGTATCTTTGGCGATTCTCACTAGGAGGAGCTGATGCATAAGTAGGCTTCAATAATTCACGTTTCCGTTTCTTGTCTATAGCCCCATGTTCCGAGACATAATCCTGGGGTATATAATACTCATTCTTCTCAGAAGTTTTATCTCTTTTGGACTCTATAGCCTCAAAAATACGTTGTTTCCTTTGAAGTTCCTGAAGTTGGTGTCGAGTGAGTGCTGGTTTCTGGCTCTCCAATTCATTTATTTCTTGTCGAAGTTGTTGAAGCTTCTCCTGCTGTCGTTTTTGAAGGTAAGACTCGCGGCTTTTAAATCGTGCTTCATTCAATGAAAGCGTATCGTTTACTGGTTGTTTACTCTTGGGAGCTTCTTTACTGTGAATTTCATGACTATTGTCAGCAACAATTGGTGGCACCACCTCTTCCAATGTCTCATTCTTCTTGCTTTCAACAACTGTCAGAATGACTTCATCCTCCTCGTCATCAGAATATGATCGTCTTCTTCTCTTGCCCGTTCCGGTTAACTCCATTTCTTGGACCGATGATGATGTACAAGTGAGATTTAGTGTTCTGGCTCAACTTGGTGAAGAAAAGTGCGATTCGAGATGATCATCACCAAAATGATACCATACCTATACGGTCGCAGCCCTTTGCTGTAGTATACCTTGGGATATGTCGCTGAAAAGACGCAGTAGTCGTATTGGGCCTGAAGAGGACGTGTCGTTCAACTCACCCAATGGATCAAGCTTCGAGGTTAACAAGGTCCCAAATAAGATTAATACATCTTCCAGAGAAACAATAACCACCTCCACGCTGGAAAAATATATCCCTCCATGGAGTGAGCCGTACATCATTGGTGTAGCAGGATACAGTGGTAGTGGGAAGACGTCTGTCTCGCAAAAGATCATTCATGAATTGAACCAACCATGGACAGTTCTTTTATCATTTGATAACTATTATAAGCCACTTACAAAGGAAGAATCAGCGAAGGCTTTCAATAATGAATATGACTTTGATACTCCCCAATCATTGGATTTAGATATCTTGGTGGAACACTTGAATGCCTTGAAACGAGGTGAAAAAGTCGATATCCCCATATATTCGTTTGCTGCACATAATCGTACTGACAAAGTCGAAACCATCTATGGAGCCAATGTGATTATTATTGAAGGGATCTATGCATTGTATGATGAAAGGCTTTTGAATATGATGGATCTAAAAGTGTTTGTGGATACAGATTTGGATGTTTGTTTAGCTCGTAGATTGACAAGAGACATTTTATATCGTGGACGGGATTTATCTGGTTGTCTAAAGCAATGGGAACTGTTTGTCAAACCTAATCTGGTTAGATATGTTAAGCCTACTATGATGAATGCTGATTTGGTTATCCCAAGAGGCTCACTGAATGAAATAGGTATCAATTTGATGATTCAACACGTTCAAAAGAAATTAGCATTGAAAAGTGCAATTCATTTACAGCGGTTACACCAATTAGGGAAGCAATATGGATTGGATACCAGTCATGTAACAACTTTACCAAACACAAACTATCTCAAAGGTTTGCATTCTCAATTGCTTAGTCTGGAAACTGAACGGAGTGATTTTATATTCCATTTTGATAAGATGGGAATATTATTATTAGAAATGGGTTTAAATAAGCTTGGACCTCGGAACTATTCAGAGAAACAAGTTATTACTCCTCAAGGGTACCATGCCAAAGGTGTTGGTTTCGAACAGGAGTTGATTGCTGTGAGTATTATCCGTAGTGGAGATTGTTTTATGAATGCCATCAAGAAGACATTGAATGATGTCCCCATTGGTAAGCTATTGATTCAAAGTGATACCAGTACAGGAGAACCGCAATTACATTGTGATTCATTACCATCATATGATAGGTCCATGAACCAACAAATTTTCCTTTTCGATAGTCAGATCATAAGTGGGGCTCAATTGATTATGGCTATTCAAGTGTTAATAGATCATAATTTTCATCAAGAAAACATCACTATTATCACTTATTTATCAACAGAAATTGGATTGAAACGTATAACGAACGTGTTCCCCAATTTGAACCAGGTAATCATAGGTAAATTGTCCAATGGAGAATGCCAGCATAATGAAGAGGGTCTCAAAGATACAGACTGGAACTTTAGAAACAGGTTCATAGATAGCTTATACTTCGGAACAGGTTAAAGCTAGTTATATAAATGATTTGTATATTAATATAAAACGAAATACGCCAGGGAAAGTATCAGAGAACTAAAAGAACATAAAAAGAAAATAAAGCCGTAATAAAGGTAATAATAATATGAAAGCCTGGTGAATGCAGAAAAAACAAATAAATTCAGGGTTATATTGCCTTAACAATACTTTGGGGTATTAAATTTGATGGCCGTAGAATTACACCTATGGTGCTTACTGTGAACATGAGGAGGAGCACCAGCAGTTGATTGGGACCAGCCATCAACGCTACTTCTTCTTCTGGAAGTACACAAGGCATTGTCGTTTGATGAGAAAGAATCAATAGACAGTCTCTTTTCAATAGGGTTGATGGGCGACAACGGAGACCCAGAAGAATCTTGGGCCGTTTCTAGGACCTTATCAATTTCAGTCAAATCTGAAACTGAATTTTGTTTGGATAATCCCCCACCAGTCAGACTATCCACCAACCATGCTGAAAATGGTGTGTTGGGGTGTTTTGAGTGGCTAGAAGAGGGTTCAATAGCCAAGCTGTATCTTCTTGGGATGGGATCATGTGGAGACGAAGTTCCTGAAACTGATTGAGATTTGATCCCATGGTAGCAGGGGGATGTTGAGATTGGCTTCAATGATAGTGCTGTATCGCTATTATTGGAAGTGGATGGCTCCGAAGATGGTAAACGAGGCGAATGGAGAAGCATGGCTACAGCATTAAGAGCTTATAAGATGTGGGTATTCAAAAAAAAAAGAGTGAAGAAATGATATAAGGCCATCAAAGCAATAAACAGGTGAAAAATAAAATCATCTATAGTGGTGGGCTTGATCCCAACATCAAGAGCGTCGTTTAACAAACACACACATACACGGAAAAATACGGTGTTCCGGATATGAGCAACATGAGATTAAAAAGCTAGCGTATGTTACTACTCCTGCAAAGGTTCCCCCTAAAAGGAGGTTGAATGAAACTCGTCGGGATTTTGTTGAGGCTAAGCCCTTATTGTGTTAGATAAGTAAAGCCCTTTTACTAATAAAACAATTTATGGTCTTGAAAAGACAATGCCCTTGCAAAATGAGATGGACTTAGTGGTATTATTCGTATCTTCTACAAGGCTAGATTTAGGAGTACAAGTAGATGTAGAATACATGACATGACCGTGCACATGTGTATGTATGTAAGTGAAGATTGTAGGTGTACACTCGAATGTTTTGGTGCAAAGTTTACTCCTGATGGAGGGGTGCTTGAGTTGGGGCGGAATTAGCTAGGCATCATCAAAGAGATGGAGTAGTTATAAGTCGTGTGTTTAATACGGTAGGAATACAATTGCTAAGTTATGACAAGGTGGAGAGATTTTAAGGGCTCAAAAGGGTCAAAATGTAGTGTGACTATAAAACTTGCGACTCCTTAAGATATCTATCTGCTGGATTGATCATGCTGTCATGGCAAAGGCTAAGTCGATATGTTCTCTCATAAGCTGGTGATTATGAGCCTGCGATGGATACTCTCCTATTCAAAAGTCATTCGGTTCAACTTTACTCCGCTTGAAAAAATGTGGCCTTACCCCGTAAAATGGAAAACGAAGAAGGTTCGAAGGCTTTATTCGCTCCTTACACAAGAAGTCTATCGCCTTAAACATCTAGATTGAGGAGAGAGAAGAACATGGTAGTGCCAATACCAACTAGATGTAAAAAAGTCAACGAATGATTCTTGCTACTTTATCATATAACCCCACAAAAATATTATTAGCTCACAAATTATTCAAAGTAACTTAAAAAGAAATGGACATCATTAGAAAATGAAGGATATCCATTTCAATGAAAATATTCTTGTACTTTATATGAACATCACCGCTTCCCTCATATGAGTAAATTTTGTTAACATTCACATCGGGGTTTAATGTCCATCGTTCCTGGGGTTACCCCCAGATCAGTGGGCGTTTTGTTATCGCACACATCAGACTATTAACAATAGTGAAATACTTCGGACATTAACATCCATATTTCTTTCCCTTTCATAAGGCAAATATACTATTCCTAATGATCAACCCCGGAGAAATGCTAGTGTATGGTGAACTAACGGACTTATAAATCCAATAACTATTGAAAGGGTTCGGTAGAATAACATGTGTAAATTAAAGAGAAAGTTGACTTTCCTAATAGCAATAATTGAGCATGAAGTGTAACACTAAGAACAATTATTACATAACAACAGTATTTTTATTGCGCTAGATCAATTTTAGTATGTCCTTACAAAATCATTCTCTTATCGTAGCTATTTGTTTTTTGCTCAACTGATTGGGTCGCATTAACCGATAAGTAGTGCGAGCGTTATTTCCTGTAGAGATAAAGTATAAGCTGATATAAATTGTATGTATCTCCCCTCTTTTGTGAGTCTAAAAGTCATTTTAAACTTCATTAGCATATAATATCGGAAGCTTCTTTAGCCTCATAAACACCCCACATTTTTAACTTCTTGTGTTAATCGATAATAGTACATTGACGTTTTCATTCCTTTGTGTTACAATAAAACGTTCAAATTACTCCCCGTCTTCCGACATAGGTCAAATTATTTGGGTATTTATTGATAGTTATTGCTTCCATTAAGATATATATTCAAACTCCCTTTCATCGATTCCACTATATAAGCTCCCACACACCTCCCTTGTTGTCTATAGAATTAGAATACCATGATTAGAGCATGCAGATCCCCAACTATCTTGAGATCTTCCATCAATAGAATGGCTCTACTTTGCAGACAAGCACCAGCTGCTATGAGATTTGTTTCTTTCCCTGCCTCCCAACTAAGTATTTCCGATGTCAACCCAAAGGCTATCGATGCCAAGTATGCTGTTAGAGGTAAAATCCCCATTAGAGCCGATGAGTTGAAAGAAATGTTGGAAAATAGTGACGATCACAATTTACCATTTGATCGTATTATTCTGGCTAACATCGGTAACCCACAACAATTGGATCAAAAACCATTGACTTGGTATAGACAAGTCCTTTGTCTTTTACAATATCCAACGCTTTTACATAACCCACCTTCTGATTTCCCTGCTGATGTTGTGGAAAGAGCAAAGACTTTACATTCCAATGTGGGGTCTCTTGGTGCTTATTCTCATTCTCAAGGTGCCATTCATATTAGAAAATCTGTAGCTAAATTCATCGAAGAAAGAGATGGTCTTGAATTTCCTGCAAATCCAAAGGATATCTTTTTAACCAGTGGTGCTTCTGCTGCTGTTCAATATTTGTTGCAATTATTCTCCAATTCTCCAAAGCTGTCCTACTTGATTCCTATCCCTCAGTATCCATTGTACACAGCTACAATCACTTTAAACAATGCTCGTCCTATTGGATACTTTTTGGACGAAAGTAACCATTGGTCCACTGATCCCGCTGAAATCAGACAATTAATTAAAGAAAATGCCGATTTTGATATCAAAGCTCTTGTGGTGATTAATCCAGGTAACCCTACTGGTGCTATTTTGGCTCGTGAAGACATTGTTGAAATCTGTAAGATTGCTGCTGAAAATGGTATAGTAGTTATTGCAGATGAAGTGTATCAAGAAAATGTGTTTAAGGGAGAATTCATTAGTGTACGTAAGGTATTAAAGGAATTGCAACGTGATTTCCCTGGTAAATATGATAAGGTTCAATTGGCTTCTTTGCATTCCACATCTAAAGGTGTTTCTGGAGAATGTGGTCAACGTGGTGGTTATATGGAACTTGTTGGGTTCAAACCTGAAGTTCAAGACGTCATTTTCAAATTAGCTCTGATCAACCTTTGTTCAGTTGTTCTGGGTCAAGTTTTAATGGAATTAATGATCAACCCTCCTAAAAAGGGTGATCCATCTTATGAATTGTACCACAAGGAAACCCAAGGTATTCATAAGGATTTGATGCATCGCGCAACTCAATTGTACAAAAGTTTCTTGGAGATGGAGGACATTGAGTGTAACAAACCAATGGGAGCCATGTACTTATTCCCATCATTGAAATTCACAAAGGAAAAGTACCCAAAGTTATTTGAAGAAGCAGAGAAAACCGGTGCAATTATTGATGAAGTGTATTGTATTGAATTATTAGAGAATACTGGTATTTGTTGTGTTCCTGGTAGTGGGTTTGGTCAGAAACCTGATACTTATCATGTTAGAACTACATTCTTACCCCCAGGTGATGAATGGATTAAGAGATGGAATAAGTTCCATGCTGATTTTGTTGCCAAATATACTTCTTAATGGGTGAAAATAATCAGTACATTCCCATTTGCTTCTTCCTTTGTATCATAACTATGTACCCTTATCATTAATATATCCTATTGTATTAATTATCATTATTAGTGTAGTTTATTATGTACATATGTACATATCTTATCGTACCTGGACCCAAAATGGAAAAATTGATATTTGTTGTATGCATTATAGGAACAATATATTATACTTACTGGGAGTCTATAATCAGGAGTAGGTGAATCATGTGACAAGAATGTCAGGGTTGTATTAACACTTGAATAGCCTGGAGGTCATGAGACCCGAATGGGGTATAAGTTTGATATAAGGAAGAACCCAGCAAATGATACAAGCTGCTCTATCGTGGCTAGTTGAAGCTAAGTATATAATTTACAATAGTAATACTTGAAGTTAGTACCTATGGCAATATATTTGTAGTTTTAGGTAGCTGTCTTAATTGCAGCTAACTAAATTAGTCTGGATTGTATGCACCACCCATGCACTAATATATGTAATCGTTACCGTAGGAAATGTCTGGATCAGAGTCTTTTGACAAATGATGATGACTAACTCGAGGGCTGCGATTGGCTACGCTTCACTTCAGTGAGTCGTGGGCACGCAAAACTTTTACATCGATTACAACCATTTGCAGTCTTTGTGCTATTTTTCACTATGGAGAAATGCTTGCGTCAGCGTGCGATGCCATGTTTAGGTATTGTATAAATCTAGACAGGCATACTCTGTAGGTTATATAAGGAGAAAGTCAGTTGGAAAGCTGTCAGTTATAAAAACAAGTTGTAAATTTTCTGCTATAATAATTGAAGCTATTTATCGTCGGAATATCAACAACTGTGCATTTTTAAAGGATTTAGGCCATTTGCAAAGTATCTAAGTTGCTTAATGTATACATACAATTAAACGCTAATAATAATATCCTAATAAAAATATCCGAATAATAATATCCGAATAATTATATTATAATAATGTCAGTTGTTCTTGCTTATAAGAGTGTTGCTAAACTATTTAAATCCGATGACACAGATAATAATAGCGACAATGCGTCTACCCGGTTATTAACTGGTGAAGGCTCTGGCGTTAACACTGATGGCAGCCTACCCCTCCCATATGGTTCAACAGCGACCGAAATTGAAGTTAACAATTCTTCAAACCTCCTTGAATCTCAACTCAATGGTAGCAATAAATTGAATGGTGGCTCTTATGAAGATCTGAAATTAGCCAGTGATTCAGATTCTAATTTCGGTGGGTTTTTCCAAAGATTCGATCCAAGAGTCATGTCTGATATTATCATTGGTTTAAGTGATGGATTGACTGTCCCTTTTGCATTGACCGCTGGATTATCAAGTTTAGGATCTTCCAAGTTGGTTATAACTGGTGGCATGGCTGAATTAGTTTCAGGTGCCATTTCAATGGGGTTAGGTGGCTATTTGGCGGCTAAATCAGAATTGGATTATTATAAATCTGAAGTTAAAAAGGAAAAAATGGAATTCTTTCTGAAACCAGAAACTATAAATGAAGAAGCTGCTGATATTTTGTTTGATATTGGAGCTAGTGAACAAACAATTCAATACTTTTTAAGAGATTTGGATTCTCATCCTAAAAAATTGATTGATTTTATCATTAGATTTGGAAAGGGTTTAGAAGAACCTGCCGAAGGTAGAGAAATCACCAGCGCATTAACTATTGGATTATCATATTTTATTGGTGGATTTATTCCATTATTGCCATATTTCTTTACTGATGTGGTGAAAACAGGTTTACTCATTTCTGTAATTGTCATGTTGATTACCTTGTTCATCTTTGGATATGTCAAGACAGCCATTTCATTAGGTGATCATTGTGGATTAAATAAAAAAGTGGGAGAAGGAATCCAAATGGTTCTAATAGGCTCTGTAGCTGCAGGTGCTGCCTGGAGTTTGGTCTACTTGATTGAATGAAGAAGATAGAAAGAATATATCCGGTGCTTTGTTTTTTAATAATCTATCTATGTGTTTTAATAAGGATGTATTATAAACTATCTTTGGAGCATCATATACCATACCGTTCAAAACTGGTGTGCGGGACTCTTGCTTGGGCCCTTCAAATTTTTACCGTTCAATGCCCATTGTGTATACTAGTCATATCTACAGAAGACATATAAGTCTTCACATATACCTATACGTTTAGTTTTATATCGGTGAAGTATATTGTACTTTGAAGGTACACCTTTAGGTGTATTTTATTAGTGTATGACTGTAAGAATACAGTCGTGCAATTGGTCCAATTGTCAAGTCTCAAAATTTGCCCCTTCAAAAGAGACTGGCAAATATATACTTAATCATTACTTTTATTCAGTACGTTACTTTAATATGTCTCAACGCATAGCCGAATTTGTAAGCAAGATTGCTATCCCTGCTGGTGTAGCACTTACCCTTGGCCAATCAGCCATTTACGATGTGGAGGGTGGTAAAAGAGCAGTTATCTTTGATCGTCTTCAAGGTGTTCAACCAGATGTTATTGGAGAGGGTACTCATTTTATGATTCCATGGTTACAAAGACCAATAATTTTTGATGTTAGAACCAAGCCAAAGACCATTTCGACTACAACCGGATCAAAGGATTTACAGAATGTTAGTTTGACATTGAGAGTATTGATTCGTCCTGAAGTATTGAAGTTACCAAAGATTTATCAAACTTTAGGGTTGGATTATGATGAAAGAGTTTTACCAGCCATTGGGAATGAAGTTTTGAAATCCATTGTTGCCCAATTCGATGCTGCTGAGTTAATTACCCAAAGAGAAGTTGTTAGCTCCAGAATTAGACAAGAATTGGCTATTAGAGCAAATGAATTTTCCATTCAATTGGAAGATGTTAGTATTACTCATATGACTTTTGGTAAGGAGTTTACTAAGGCTGTTGAACAAAAGCAAATTGCTCAACAAGATGCTGAAAGAGCCAAGTACTTGGTTGAAAAGGCTGAACAAGAAAAGAAGGCTCTGATCATTAGAGCAGAAGGTGAAGCTCAATCTGCTGATATGATCAGTAAAGCCTTGAGTAAAGCTGGTGACGGGTTATTGATGATTAGAAGATTAGAAGCTTCTAAAGAAATTGCACAAACTTTAGCCAGTTCTCCAAATGTTAGTTACTTGCCTGGAGGAGGGTCAGGTGAACTGGACAAGCCAAACTTATTATTGAACATTGGCCGTTAAATGTGTACATAATGTGATTGTATCACTTTGAAAATGAAAATTTTTGTAAATAGAATAAAAGAAAGAATTTTATATAAAAGTAATTGGAAGCTCTCTCATATCAAATATCAAGTAAAACAAGCTCATTTTCAATTCCAGGAGTGGTACACTTCCCTTGTCTTATTAATGCTTCAATATCTTCAACCTCTTTAACACACCCACTAGTTAAATTCAAGATTCCTGATTTGGTCTTGCTAACAACAACGTCATCTTCAACTCTGACCCCAATACCATGATACCATTTGGGCCATTTATCGTTTTCGGGGATATATAAACCTGGTTCAATGGTGATAACGTTCCCAGTAACTAATTTCTGGAATCTCGATACTGAGGGAACATCATGTAAATCCAAACCTAAATGATGTCCAATATAATGAGGGTATAAATGACGACTGACATCTGACTTGCTAACGTTGTCAAACCCTGGAAGTGAAGACAACCCCTTCCAAAGCTCGGTGACACTTTTCTCATGGATATCATTCAAACTGACACTCTGATCTTCACTACAAAGATCAATGCAAGCTTTATTGGTAGCCAAAACGATGTCATAAACATCCCTTTGAGGTTCATTAAATCCTTGAGGTGAATTCGGCCATGTTCTGGAGATATCACTACAATAACCTCCCAATTTCCCGCCAGCATCAACAAACACCAATTCATCACGATACAATAAATCGTCATTTCTGGTGTAATGGATGGTAAGGGAATTGGGTCCACTGGCAACCACTGGAATATATGCTTGCTTATCACAGCCACCTCTAACGAATTGATATTCCAAATATTTGGCTAACGATTTTTCAGTCATCAATGGAGTTTCGGATCCAACTTGTGCTATGGCCTTATTAATAGCTCTACTGGAGATTTGACCGACTGCATGCATGACATTGATCTCATTATCTGATTTAACCAGACGTAACTTTGCAATTATATTTGTAAGTCCTCTAACATTCTTATTGGTTTTCTTCAACAATTGTTGAATTGTAGCATGAGTTGAAGGTTCAGTCCCATTAATTGTACCAAAAAAGTTCTTTAAAATGGACTTTTGATGCTTACCATTTTTGAATTTGGTTTCATCAAAAAATACGTTGTCATTACGTTCAATGATATCTGCAATATAGGTATCAAGCTTATTGATATTTTCAACGTAATCAGCATTGAAAAAATCGTAGGCTCCTTCAGTCCCAGTACGATGGCCCTCCCAAAGTTCAGCATGAGGATCTTTATTTGGAACCAACATATGCAAATAAACCTCTTCACCGGTATTTTCAATAAGAGCAACAGATTCTGGCTCTAACCAGCCAGTCATATAGTATAAATCATTGTCTTGTTGGAATTCATAAAACACAGATCCCAGTGCAAATTGGATCTGATTTCCTACTAAAACAGCCACGGACTTCAGTGGCAATTCTTTGGCCAACTTCAATCTTCGTTCATAGTAATCTAATGCTGGTATACCAGGAGTTATATGACCAGGTACGGGTAGATAATGAGGCCTGGTTTCATGTGTAGGTTGTCCAGTAGTAAAGGGAATCTTAGACCGAGATGCCAAAGTGATATGCCTTTTACCTTTGACGTGACTCAAATTGAGTCTGAGTGCTCTAGCCAGTATGCGAGTAAAATTCATACTAATGCCCGGATAAGAGGAAGTTCTTCTTAAACAATAGTGTAGTAGTATAAAAGTTAACAGTGTATTTGGTCTTTGTAGGTATTTGAATCTAATGATCTCTCTAAATGATTACATAATCTATTACATGATCAGACTTTATCTTATATACAATTCTACACAAGCAAGGTCTAAGAAACTTCTTCGCCCTTGGGAACTGCTAGAAACTTCCCAAAGTGTGATGGGATGGTTCCGATAGTCCGAAATGAAGATCGAGGATTTTTGATAAGCCATGACTCGGAACCATTTGTGGACGAAGGTATAATTGTAACTAATGGCTTAAACTTGTTGCCGTGGAATGAGGTTTTCCCAAAAGAACCAGATCAAGAATCTAATGACAGTGAACAAGATATAGAGACAGAACCTAAACGAAAGAAACTATCAAAACATGATAAACGTGAGCAGAAACTTCAAAAGAAAGCAAACGCTGCTAGGAATAAACGATTGAGAAGACAAGAACAAATGGATACATCGTCATCATCTTCTATACCTCCTCGGTCTCAGTACAATCCTTATAGTTCAAGAATCAAGATAAAGGAGTTATACTCCAAGATTATTGCCTTGAATAAGACTACCGTTTCTGATAAGGTGAAGGAACAGAAAAATGTAGATCGAAAATTATTTCAATATCATCTGATTGCCATGTATCTTAGTGATTTGGAGTTATATCTTCCAGGAGAATGGCTTAATGATAACAACATTCTGTTTGCATATGAATTACTTAATTATTCATTCCTTCAAGACGATTCACAAGCTTTGAAACAAATACAATTGTTGTATCCTTCGCTAGTTCAACTTTTCTTGCATTATCCGGATGTTGATGATTTGGCGTCGATGTTACCTCCAGAAATAAAACAAGCAAAGTTTATATTCTTACCGATAAACTTCATCGATGACTATGAAGGTATAGATTTGGAAGAAATCAACGTGGGGGATCATTGGGCACTAACAGTGTTGGATATACTTTCTGGTGAATTGTTGGTATATGATTCAATGGTAGCTGAAAGTAATGAAAGTAACACCAAATTGGTACGAGAATTGATTCTGAGATTATTGAAATGTGAATCAGTATTTGGTAACCAGTTAAAACATGTTCAAGTCAAATATATGAAATGCGACCAACAAACAAACTTTGATGACTGCGGTATATACGTTGCAATGATCACCAGTATGTTAATATATCGGTTGATCAGTACCCCTGTGGACCAAACAATAAGTTTAGATATTGGTAGGGTTAAGTTTGATCCCTTATCTGGACGATCTATGATGCTTGATCTTGTTTATAAAGTAATGCAATCAGTCAATTGAATTGTTGTGGACAACACCCAGACGTGAAAAATCAAATATCATTAATCCATTGATAACCAAGGCTAATGATTCCCTTTGTAGATTTGATTGAAGTTCATCAAGAGCTTCCCTTGTTGCTAATGAAGATATATCTTGACCTTTGCTTGAATCGTTCCAAAACTCACTTTTACTAACTTCATATGAAATACCAACCTCACCTAACTTTAGTATTGCCATTAATTGTAAAAGAAATGGGATGACACTTTCATCATCGACATCATAACCTCCTAATTTTTGAATCAACAATTTCTTGGGAATGGCCCGAGTAACTGACATGATCAAAAGAAAATTCTTATAGTCAATTAACAACAGAATATATCTAAAGAAATCCCAATACTTCAGATCTGGAAGATAATTACCTAAAAGTAATTTCATTTGACTCTGGAATTCAAGATCATTTATATTGCATTTGAACTTGTTGAAATCTGATTGCTTTAAACTAATCATAAGATCATAGTAAACTTTTGAGTTCAAAGGTAATGCTTCAATCAAATCCAATAAGACATCATCAGTTTCGAGTATTTGTAACTCTCGGAATGGCCTAACCACAATTAAACACACTTGGTACATCATAACTATATGGTTTCTAATGGGTTCATATTCCTTACAAGTGGAGAACAATTTAAAGGGAGAATAATCTTCATCGTATTGATCTGAGTCGTCATCAATCAAATTTGTCACCAGTAAATCTGATTTGGTGATCACTGAAGGTTGATGATAAAGTCTTTCAAACTGATCGACAAATTGGCTGACATTAAACTCTTTGAAAAGGGATATTAACGAAAACCATTTGATAAGATAATAATAGTGTAACTCGACATTGAACGATTGAGTAAGGACAACTCGGTTTTTGGCGTAGTATGTTTCTGCCTTCTTAAGACACCCTTCAATAGCTTTCAGATTCTGCCATCTACTATTCTGATGAGTGGTTGTCTGTTTCAGGTGTTGCTGCTGCTGCTGTTGTTGCTGTTGTTGTAATAAAGTCATCAGTGTTGATGATGAGTCCTGGACGGTTGTAGCATCGAATAATGCCGTTATGGTTTGTGGTTGATCAATGCCTTGAAATACCAATTGAAGAACATTGACCAACAAATGATAAAAGTCATATTCAAAGAAGTTCTGGCTATAAGGAGAGTCTATTTGTAAAGTATATTGGTACATTTCTGAATACTTTGTTAGCAATTCATTCAATTGATCAAATTCCATTCTTATTATCAAAATGGGAATGGCTTTAAAAATTGAATCCCATACAAACTCTTCATTAAGTGAATTGGACTCGTTCCACTGACTATCCATAGACTCCTCAGCAGCTTCTATGAGTCGTAAGGATGTTTCATCTATAGTGGGAATTTGTGGTGATAATTGGTCTATCTTTCGAACACCAGGATGAATCGCTTTATGTTTGGTCAGTGCCGCGAGTATGGGGCTCAAGAGTTTAACGTCATGGTTAGTTTCGTATTGGTATATCAAGGAGAAGATATCAAGAAATGAAAGGTCGATATTGGATGCTGCCGGAGACATCGGGACGACCGTGTTTGACCAAGCAACCGTGTTTGAATCACACCAAATGGAAGGATGATAATGTTTTTCTTATCCAACAGTTATCGCAATAAAGGTCCAAGCCTACTACATATACATACATCACATGGGCCTTCATCGACTACGAGCTGTATACGTTATTTGATCAATGGTAGGATTTGATCATAACAAACGCCACAATATTATTACATTCTTTACTTGATTTCATTATAAGAATTAAATTAAATTAAATTAAACTGGAGGTTAACCACTCTCCATAACCAGTACTTTCCTTTCCTTTTATAATACCCGCAGACTTGTCAGATACGATGCAGCAATATCATACAATATCAGGGCCACTCCCCAACAAAAGGGGATCCATGTAGACATACTTAAACTTCCCGCTTTGTATATAGCCAGAAGAACAACTCCCACTACGGCCCCCACTATAAACCCTTGAGCTCCCCCCATACCCAAATAAGTAACTAGAATACAAATACAGTTGGAGATATTCCTTCGACTAGTAATACTTTGTCCATGGGCTTTGCGACTGCGGTTCATACTGACTAATGCTAATGATCCAGCAACGCAATACACAATTCCCCACCATATGATACACCATAAAACTGTGAAATGCCAAATGTCAGTAGAATAGTATAAGTAGGATCTCAGGAACTCGTTATGTTTAATATTGGGAAGATGTAGCGATGGGAACCTTGGTGTTTGATATCCTATTGGGATACTCAATGATGATATGAAAATCTTCATTCTCAACTTGTGCAATGAGTAATCTTGACTACCACTGCTATATGGACATTTTAAACTAAAGAAATAATAATAACCAAATAGGTCTTTCTGACCCTTTTTTATGCTTATGAATGCTGTTTGTCTTAAGAAGTCGATAGTGTCAGGCTTCACTTGGTGATAGTGGTTTTATGTCGCAGTCTTATGTCGTGCAAGTTCCGCGACTTCGACGACATAAAAATTATGGGAATCAACATCTTTAAAATCGCCACTACGATATAATCAATTGCCTACACGAATCTACAATTATATACTATAACTCGGTATACAAGTTATCCCTTGATAATTTATACATAGTATCAAAAGCATACATATATATATATATATACGTATATGTATACGTATATATTTGACTGCTGATATACTACAACATACGAGACAAGCTTTAATTGGGATTACACCGCACTGAAGAGTTACAACAGTGAAATATGTCTAGAAGATACGATAGTAGAACCACTATCTTTTCACCTGAAGGAAGATTGTATCAGGTTGAATATGCTCAAGAAGCCATTGGAATGGCTGGTACTGCCATTGGTGTTTTATCACCTCTGGAGGGTGTTGTTCTTGCTTGTGAGAAACGAGTGACGTCAAAGTTATTGGATAACGATGGATCAACTGAAAAGTGTTATGTGATCAATGATAAATTGGTATGTGCTGTTGCAGGAATGACAGCTGATGCTTCAATCTTAATTAATACTGCCAGAGTTCACTCGCAACATTACTTGAAGGAATATGATGAAGATATTCCAATTGAAACATTGATTAAACGAGTATGTGATATTAAACAAGGGTATACACAACATGGTGGATTACGGCCGTTCGGGGTTAGTTTCTTGTATGCGGGATATGATGATAGGTATAATTTTCAACTTTTCACATCAAATCCTTCTGGTAATTATAGTGGATGGAAAGCTACATCTATTGGAGCCAATCTGTCAGCATCACAAACCTTGTTGAAAAAGGATTATAAGGATGATATTTCTTTAGGTGATGCCTGTAAGTTAGCCATCAAGGTATTATCAAAGACTATGGATACTTCCAATGTCACTAAGGATAAGTTGGAGTTTGCTACATTATCAAAACTGAAATCGGGTAAGGTTATGTACAAGATCTGGTCTGAAGATGAAATTGACGAATTGATCAAGGTTTCTGGTGTTTTAGATGATGCCGATCTTGGTGACGATGAGTAGATTTTATAGAAGAAAATAATCATGATGAAATTAATTATGTAATAAAATTAACCTTATAACACAAATTGAGCTTGCTACGCATTACGTATGGCGGTATTCCTTATAATTAAGAACATATACCAACTTTACTCCAGGAAAAATTAATTTGAGTTGTCTTTCCCTCTTCATAGTATGGATCTACTTTTCCCCGGACTCAAGGGAGCAAGGTCTACCCGAACACTTCGTCAGACCATTGATGTCATTAATACACATAGTGTACTCTCTCAAAAGTTTCAGGGGGACTTTGATGAGGTCATAGAGAAGTTTAACCATTTCCTCGCTGACGATCTGACAAAATGGAATGGGAATGTTGCTGATGTCTATTACGCTTTAGGGTTGGATAACTTTCATCTTTCCAAGGTCGCGCTGATACCTGTTGCTGAATTGTTCAAGCTATATGGTGAGGTGATCTCCAGCGTTGAGAGGAATAATAATCGAAACAGCCGTGAGGTTGAGAAGTTGTTGGAGGTTATGGATCTGTTGATGGTGTTGATACTCAGATTGAAGGTTAGTAATACATACATTCTACAAAGTTTGATGTTAAAGAGTCAGCTCATATACTGGGAAGATATTCGTAACTCCACTCGTAACAAATTGTTATACACGGTTCAAACTAGTCCACTTAGAATTTGGAATTGGTTGAAAGTGGTCTACAGTCATGTTGTACCCCATGTTAACAATTTTGGTACTGGAATTAGAAACTGTCAGCTCCATGATCTTTCTACTGATGTCTATCAAGTGGGTTCGATACTTGCTGAAGAATTCCATAAGGTGGTTCATACTACAAAGCCCATTGTATCTAAATTCGAATTGTCTAATTGGTCCAATTGGGGCCATTACCTAAAAGAATTGATAACCTTACCTATTGCTATTGTTGATCTTGAGCTAACTTCGAAGGTTGATCGTTTGAATGGAAATATCAAGAACAATTGTCAAATTCTTAATGACTATTTTATTCATGATGCATCTAGCCATACTTCAAATGGTAGTGAATCATTATTGAAACTTCTTAGCACCGAGACTAATACAACAGAAACTGGTTTTGGACCTAACTCTAAATATGATATACTGTCCTCCTCGCCAATAGTGGCAATGTTCAATGGTTATCTTTCTCTCATTGGTACTATCGACTCGCAGTCTACTCCACCCCCTTCATGGTTAACAAGACATTGGCCTGTGGTATTAGTGGCATTATTCTGGGGTCCTTCTACTATTACTTCGGCTTACCAAAATAGATATTATATCCTTGAATGGATCACGAAGAATATCGTTGACAGTGTTTACGGATTCATTACAAACTGGGTGGTGACTCCAATCAAACAAATGGTAGGTATATTACAGAATGATACCAATGATATGATATCTATTCTGTCAAAGGAAACCTTAGCTTCTGATTTAGATAGTTTGGAACGAATGTTTATTGATTATTTACATGATCAAGGAGAAGCTGTGAATATTAATGAAGTTCATCAAATGGTTAAAAATGGAGACATGACATTGATTATGAGTGATTATGAACAAAACATTCGGTCTCCATTACGTTCTATGGTTAAGGGAACCTTGGTAAGATCATTACTCATTCAATTGCAAAAGACTAAAGTTGATGGAGCATTAGCCATTAGTGGGATTGATAAATTAATCAAATCACAACAATTAGTGTTTGGAGTTGTTAGTATTGCTCCTTCAATGCTTATTATTTATCAAGTATGGAATTGGTTAAGAAACAGTGAGTCCCGTAAGTTAATCTTTGTTAACGGGAAACAATTGAATTTGGTTGTGGTTAAGTGTTTGAACAACATAGAGAACTGTATTTATGAAGGTAATGATGGTGAATTATTTGTGGAAGTAATGAATTTGGTATTACTTGATAATGGACAACCCAATCATTACATTCCTAAATTATTACAACTGGATTGGATAACTGATTTGACTGGACTCACCACAACAGATAAATACCCAACCAAACAGGATAAATTGCTTCTCATGAATAAGATCTGGAATGTTTATGGTGGTTATCTCCGGTAAAGAAGAAGACAATTATTTCATAATTCTATAAATATATATATTAAGTTAAATTATGCAACAAACGGAAAAAAAAACTACACTTTAATAATTTAAGGCGTATTCGATGGAAGCGGTGTATCCATAGACTCCCAAACCAGCAATCACAGCCACTGCCTTATCACTTAAATAAGAATGATGTCTAAAGGGTTCTCGTTGATGGACATTAGTGATATGAACCTCAATAAACGGAATGGCTGTCCCCAATAAAGCATCTCTTATGGCAACAGATGTATGGGTATAGGCCCCAGCATTGATCACGATAAAGCCAACGCCATCTAATTTTGCTTGATGTATTCTATCAACAATGAAACCCTCGGTATTATTCTGATAACATTGGAGTTCGCTACCGTCATTTTTGGAATCCACTTGTTCTCTAGCGGCTTGTTCTATATCTTTAAGTGAAGTAGTTCCGTATTTCTCTGGCTCTCTTGTTCCCAACAAGTTCAAGTTGGGACCATTGATAAGTAACACTTTCTTTACCATTATGAAGTTGTGTTAAATGTACTAAAAAGGCAGGGAATCCAATTAGACTATGAAATGATCGTTCTAACAATGTATAAGTTACCTTATGCTTTGTTATGCTATGCTAATAGTGGATTTTCCAGTTACTTAGTCAAATCGAAATCTGGAGAAGCTGGTGCAAGTGAAAATTTTAGATGCAGTCCATTCGTGCGAACATTTATTTAACTTTGGTTATGACTCAGACCTTCCAATTTTAATCATCAACGATGGGCATACTAAAACTCACACATCAGAGGATAATTATGTAATGATAACGTTCGCTTGTAACATCAATGTCGTGGCTTTAATGTCAGCATTATTATAGGTCTGATTTTCTGCGACATTTTTGTCAACCGTGAGGTAATACTAGGACCCAAAATGGAATTCAGTCATAAGACAGCAATATAACGAAAAGGAGCGTGGTAGTCACATGGTAGGTCGGCAGGGCCGGATTTTCTGAAGAGGCCGGGATCGGTTTGTTGCTGTTGCCGGTTTCGGCAAGAGTAAGAAAGAAGAGCTAATCATATTCGATAAACTATTAAGAAAGAAGTTGGGTTAAAAGTACCAAAAACATTGTAGTTAGAATATATTAGTATTAGCCATCAAGTACAAACTTACTTGAGGCTATGGAGTAATCAGAATATTAACATTCTGATTCTGTATTAAAAGCTGCATCTTATCGGCTTATCGAAAGTAGTGTAGAGTTTCAATAATCGGTCTACAACCAAGTAATACTAACAACGGTTAATCCCATAGTAGCAACTAAATCTATATGGAAGACATGCGTATTTCAGAATCAAAACTATTCTGAAAACAATCTCAGCCGTATGAATAAATAAATACATGGGCTTTGGATTGGTCAAGAACAAGCAAAGAACTGCCTGGTCTCACAACCTACAGGATCTTGACGCGACTGGTGATGAAACTGATAGCGTAATAGGCAATGAAGTACTAAGTTGAGGCAATTAGTAAGGAACACCACGTTTTATTGTATGGACGCGATTTCCATTACTATCAATGATGGTTCTAGCGCTCTCGAATGTATTCACACTATTAAGCTTCTTCTACATGCCAGGAGAAACGTGAGTTCTTTGTTCTCTCCTTCCTAATCAAGAGTTCTCCACATAAATATTATAGGGCACGATGCAGAAAGTATTACCTGATGGCCATGGAAGTCAGACACAGATGAGAGTCTAGCTCTTTCTACGACATCCCCCGTACACACAGGAACACAACAATATGCTGTAAAAATCCCAATAACTAAGCATTCATTGAATCATCACGAAAGTATTCAAAATGTAGGCATACTGTTCAGTAGTAGTAGCACCGACACTAGAAGAGTTATATGTATACAATATGTGTATGTGTATGACATACATATACTTATACAAGTAAACATATATATTGAAAAGAATTCATTATCTATTAGCTAGGCATTCTTTGTTTGGCACCGCCGCCTTTATTAATCTACGTCGTCGTGTCATCCCCTCCTCCGCTTAAGGGAGTGGGCCAAACAACAGAGGGAAAAAATACAACGAAAAACGACAGAAAAAAAAACTAAAGGGAAAAAGAAAACAGCGTTTCCATATCCTCCTTACAATCTACACCTCCTCCAAGTACTTTGTTGTTATTAGAATTTGAAGACCCCCATTGTAAGCAGAGCTAGCGGGACTTGAAGACTTGTATCATCCGATTATTAAAATAAATACATAAAAGGGAGGAAGATTTATACGTTTGCGGAAACAGTTACTGATTTCAAGGATATTCACATTTTTTTATTATAAATTGTTTGTTTTGTAAGTTAGAAAGTTACAAGTATAAACCAATTGTCCAATCACCAGCATAAATTTGCCCTCAAATAAGACCCTTTTTAACATAATAAATATGGAATCAGAAAAAGCAGACATCGACTCAATTGTTGATCGATTGCTTGAAGTTAGAGGTTCGAGACCTGGAAAACAAGTCACTCTTACGGAATATGAAATTCGTTATTTGTGTACTAAGGCAAGAGAAATCTTTATTCAACAACCCATTTTATTGGAGTTAGAAGCTCCTATTAAAATTTGTGGTGATATCCATGGTCAATATTATGATTTGTTGCGATTATTTGAATATGGTGGATTTCCTCCAGAGGCAAACTATTTGTTTCTTGGTGATTACGTTGATAGAGGTAAACAAAGTTTGGAAACTATTTGCTTACTTTTGGCTTATAAGATTAAGTATCCAGAAAATTTCTTCATCTTAAGAGGTAATCATGAATGTGCTTCTATTAATCGTATTTATGGTTTCTATGATGAATGTAAGCGAAGATATAACATTAAGTTATGGAAAACTTTTACCGATTGTTTCAACTGTTTGCCTATAGCTGCTATCATTGATGAAAAGATCTTTACTATGCACGGTGGTTTACTGCCTGATTTGAATACAATGGAACAAATTAGAAGAGTCATGAGACCAACAGATATACCTGATGTGGGATTGCTTTGCGATTTACTTTGGTCAGATCCCGATAAGGATATTACTGGATGGTCGGAAAACGACAGAGGGGTATCATTCACCTTTGGACCCGATGTGGTTTCTCGTTTCCTTCAGAAGCATGATATGGACTTGATTTGTCGAGCACATCAAGTTGTTGAAGATGGTTACGAATTCTTCTCCAAGAGACAGTTGGTTACATTGTTCCTGGCTCCTAATTATTGTGGAGAATTTGACAATGCTGGAGCCATGATGTCCGTTGATGAATCACTTCTTTGCTCATTCCAAATCTTAAAGCCAGCTGATAAGAAACCTAGGTATCCTGGAACAAACTCCGGATCTAGCGTATCAGGTTCCGGTAGCACGGCTGCTTCATCCGCGTCAAACTCAAGACCAGTGACACCTCCAAGAAAGCAAAAGAGAGCATCAAAGTAAATTTGAAAAGACTTGAGAACTAACACATAACAGATGGTATCAATTGATATTAAATCCTATATTACAGAGTTTTTGATCCCCTCAATATCAAGAGTAATTTTTCACGTGGTTCATATTACAAATATAAATTATAAAGAAAGAAGAATTACTTTATTTGATTGATTTAGTGACTCACGATTTCCAACTAGTTTTTAGACTTATAGCTCTAGACTACCTTCAAAAGTATTTTATTCATCATCATCATCATCATCATCATCATCAACATCATCATTATTAAGAGCAATTAATTACTTCAAATTCCATTTTATTTCTATCATGTGTTATTTTGTTGTATCCTTTTCACAATCATCACTTTGTTTTGTTGGGATCTAATTAGATTCCGTATGTCATGTCTATGTTCATGTTTTGAATTTCTACTTCCATGTCTCTTTTTAGCTAAATTTTTAAGTTTGCTTGTTTTGTTCACAAGACATAAGTTGCACGAAGATACTCACTTGTGTTTTTTACAATCAACGATTCCAACAGACTTGCAAATACTGTTAAATTACCTTACAGCACACGTACGCCAATCACAATACTAAAATGGCACATTCCTCAAATCTCACCTTATCTCAACGCTTCTTTTCTTATCCTCCCACTTCATTTTTTCTACATATATTAGTTTAAATTATAGGTATATACTATCATATTGCTTATTTAGCAGTTTATAATAATGATTGCAAAAGAGAAGAATTTGGGTTGAAAATTCAAAGTGACTTCGACTCAAGTACGGGGTTAGCCATTAGCTACTTGGGTAGTTTTGATAGGTTAATTCTTGCTCTGAAGTTGAGGATGTTACGGAGAGTTGAAAATGAGTGTCTTTACGGTGAGTGTCTTTACTGATTTATAAGGTTTATAGTGGTTTTCTTTTTATATAGTTTTGAATGTTAACATTAGTTGAAAAATGGGGTCTAAGTAATCTGCAATCGCAAAATCAGGTACCATGCAATAATTAACTGCTCCTGATAACCCCCAAATATTCTGATACTGTATTGCCATCGTAATAGACGTCATTGTACTGGCAGAAGGTAAAACAAATCTAAAATGGGAGAAGGCGGTGTATCAAAAGAAACACAATTTCTGAACTATCGTCACTATATCACGTATGGATCACGTGCTTCTGTTTAGGGCTATTTTTAGGGTTACATGTATGCGGAAGTTGCCGAACCACATACAAGTTTTCGCCACTTTGTTGTTCCACACTACTTGTGAAAAAAAAATTGTATGAAAAAATAAAAAGGTATTGAAACACAATTCAAATTTTGTAGGGACAAATAACTCTTATCTCCATAAAGTCAAAGTAAGCACACCCGAAGCAAAATGGTTTTAGTTCAAGATTTGTTGCACCCAAGCCCAGCCTCCGAGGCCCAAAAACACAAGAAGAAGACTTTAGTCCAAGCTCCAAGATCTTACTTTATGGACGTTAAGTGTCAAGGATGTTTGAACATCACCACAGTTTTCTCCCACGCTCAAACTGCTGTCACTTGTGAAAACTGTTCCACTGTATTGTGTACTCCTACCGGTGGTAAGGCCAAGTTGACTGAAGGTTCTTCCTTCAGAAGAAAGTAGATGGTTATCGCAGAATAGTTTTTAATAATATCTGGATATTTATTGCATTTGCTGCTGACAGCGTTGAAGATCGCTGATGATTAATGGGTTTTAGAACTATCCATAGATCTGGGGTTTCTTACTAAAATCACAGTCATTATAATTGATGTTCTTGTGTAAGTTTGAACGTTTTCTTTATTTGTACATTAGGTCGGATTAATATAATAAAATATTATATTTACGTTATTACAATTGTAGATATTTAGAACATTACAATTATGCTATGATAAAATTGAACATTATGAATATAATTTAGTGTCCTTACAACTTAGATTGGAATCTAACAACTTCATCAATGGCTTGAGCAACTCTCTCCACATTAGAATCATTCAATCCAGCAACAGAAGCACGACCACTACTCACCAAATAAACACCATGATTTCTTTCTAATCTTTCAACCATGTCCTTATTCAATCCAGTGAATGAGAACATTCCTGTTTGATCCACAATGTGATCCCAATTACCAGGAGTCTTATATTTGTTGGTTAACAAGTCTCTCAACTTCACTCTCATGGATTTTATTCTGTTGGCCATCACTTGCAAGTCTTCTGTCCACTGCTTGTACAATGCCTTATCTTCCAAGATTAATGCTACCACTTTAGCACCATATGCTGGGGGGTTGGAGATTTCGCATCTAATAATCTTATTCAATTGTGACTTGATGGCGGGCTTCAAATCAACCAAATCCTTAGGTAGCACAATATGTAAAGCTCCTACTCTTTCACCATACATCCCACAGTTCTTTGCAAACGATTGACAAATAATAATGGGTGACGATTTGATTGGACTAGAGGCAGAGGTGGCTGCTTCAATTGCAAATCTGTCATTCTCCAATGATCCGGAAGCAAACCCTTGATAAGCACTGTCAAAGAGAGGAAGATGATCATATTTACTCATGGCTTCAAGAATCTTGCTCCATTCTTCCTTGGTGGGGTCAAGTCCTGTTGGGTTATGGGCACAAGCGTGTAAAAGAAACACTGATTTTGGAGGTGCCAGAGCAATGGCATTCAAAAAACCATTCAAATCAAGTGATTTGGTATCATTATCCCAATAAGGATAAGATTTAACATCGAATCCAATTGATGCAAACACTTGGTTGTGATTGGCCCAGGTTGGCAGTGACAAATACAACGCATTGCTTCCCTTGTAAAACTTCTTAAGGAATAACCCAGCTAAATGAAGAGATCCAGTACCGGATAATGTTTGAACAGAAACAGTTCTTTCCAAAACGTCCTTATTGTCACCATTTAAGATGATCTTAGCAGCACTGGAAACAAAAGGTTCGTAACCTGCGATTCCCAAGTATTCGTGGTTGTAACCTGGAGTTTTGGCTAACTTGGCTTCTGCTTGTTGGACTGCTGGTAAAACCCAAGGCTTACCGTTGTTATCTCTGTAAGCACCAATTCCCAAATCAACCTTGTCAGTACGGGTATCTTTGCTGTATCTTGCTTTCAACCCGAAAAGAGGGTCTGGAGGTAATTCTTGGATTTCAGTGAAATATGAATTGGCCATCTTTTGAATATTTTATGTCTGAATTGGTAACGAGGTAAAAATTAATCAACGTTGAAGAAAAGTCCGACTATTACTTGTAGTATGAAAGAAAATGGTGTTTATATATAACTTTTGTCTAGGATAGGACATTCGGTGATGGTTTCCTGTGATTTGTGTCCGATATAGTGGGGGTGGGGTTTTCTTCTAAAGTGCGACCGAGCAGGTGAGAATTATGTCGGAGTAGTTTTTGTGTACACGGCGAGTAAAGTTCCTTTCGGGCGAGTGTCACTCGACGTGTGGAGAACACGAATTATTATGGACTTTAGAGATAAGCAATCAGACGCAACGAAAGGGATACTAAAAATCCCTTCAAGTCAGTCAATTAAGTTTGATGAGTTAGTTTCAAGTATTTTACTCACTGTTTCTATTAATATAACTGCTTCTAAGTCAATTGTATGGTAATTATTGTACATGGTTTTAAAATGTCGGTTTGGAGATATCAGGCAATTGTTTTTTTGTCTGTAAGCCCCTTTATTGTGACCATAGGGCATTGCGGACTTTAATTTGTATTTCCAAGACTAACTACATCTTGATGCTTTACGGATTAAATTACCTCTTCCTTTCTTTTTCTCCAATGTCGTGAAATTATTGGCAATGTAAAACGAGTTACAGTACGACTTATATCGCCGTGTGCATCTACGTATAAGAGGTAAACATTTGGATCCATAACCTGATTATGGCGATTTATTCTGCTTAGCAGCAGGCGACACAATATTTGTGTCACGTGCAACCAACTTCTCCCTTATTTGCAACTCGGACTTTACGACTAGACAGGACGTGAAGACACGCTACTCTTTATTCCCCTCCATTACCGTAAGAATCTCTAATCCATACTGTGGTCATTTAATCACTATATGGAGTTAGAGGTATAAGCTATACAGTTTGACTTCTTGCAATCGCAGTCTGTTTGATTTCATTGGCGTTCTGAATTTTATGCACTGTACTTAATGATTGTGGTAATTGTTGGCCTACGGATTTAGTTTCACACTCACCCACCATTTTGCTCTATTAAATATTCCAATTGCCTTTGTTATATGAGCCGCCTAAGCTTACTGCTAAGAGAAACCTTAGTTATGTCTGATTGACTGTTTCTTTTGCGTGAACCCCGCGTTCTATCCCTTAAGGTGTGTAAGGCGCTATGAATTCCGCTACCATTTACCTCAAGGTTTTTCTTTCCCATCATCCCGACTCTAACCGTAACTGTGCCAAAGTTTTCCCAATATGGCTTGACAGGACTCCTCTTACCAGGACATTATTGACTTTGCGAACGACTTCCTTTCCTCCACACCCACGAAGACAAACTAAGGGTTGAAACCACGGCCCAGGTAAACTCTTCCGAGCTAGAACGATTTTCATAGAAATCACAAGTATCTCACATAACCAACGGGTGTTCGGATGTCGTAGATTCGTAAATCAAACAAGCCAAGTTTAAACCGTTGAAACCACGACACGTGTTTCCATTTGTAGTAATATAATACGAACGTTGGGAACCAATTGAGTAGTTTGGCTTTTATGTTTTTTTCATGACGAAGGCCAATTGTTGAAGAGAACTTATCCAAGCTTATCAAAAGTCTACAATGGTCAAGATGTCTCAACTGTACCTACACTTGTTAATCCCTTAACATCAACACAATGATATTGAGCTATGTATTTTCAAATATAAATTTGCCATTTAATTTCCAGCTCAAACTACGCTCTTGACCTCAAAGAATCTCTTCAAATAGTAAATTTGGAACACAGAGTTGATGGCAACAACAAGGATTTGGAACACAGACCACCATTTGACTCTTGAGTTGGTGGATTCAGCAGTGTTTCTGTGTGTACGTTCTCTAATGACCAAATAACTTTGTTCTGCCTTAACATCATTGGTTAATTGACTCAATCTGGAAATAGCATAATCCAAGGTATCGGACTTTGGATCATTGACATCAATGTAAATAACACCATGCACATTAAAAGAAACATCCAAGTCAACTCTATTAGAACGTTCGTTCAGGAAACAATAGTAATACTTACCTTCACTTGATGCTTGTATGTTTTCATCTCCGTGATCCATATCTCTCTTATTCACCAAAACTTGTCCAGAAGGTGATTTGATATAAAAATCACAAGTGTATTGTTCATGGTTTTGAGGATTACGAGAACCAACTTGGAAAGAAATGGCCAATTCGTCATTCTTGTTCAACTTTTCAAAAAAACACTGTTTGGCGTATGGCTTAAGAAGCACATTATGTGCAAGGGCACTGGAGGCCATCAACAAGAGTGAGATGAATTGCACAAGGACTTGCATGGCAACAGAAATGAAATTTTTGAAACAAGGTTAGGAGAAATTATCTTCAGGACAAAATATCAAATCAGACCTGGATTGAGGGAAATAAATATGGCTTTTAAAGGGCCTCCTGATCAAGTCGCTTCCAATATGGTTTTGACTTATTCTTCAATCAAGAGTGTATTCGTCTCTTTTCCATTGATGTTGTTTGAAATTTTTTTGCTGATCTGTCAACGCGTAATTTTTAAAGAATGTCGTGTACTTTTCTCATTTTTAGTACAAGAAACTATTACAAGAGTTACTTATAATGCTTATGATTGACTATAAGACTTCTGACAAAAGATATACTAAAAAAAGATATTTTCTTATAAAGGCTTTAAGATTTCTTCATAAAGCATCTTCTTTAACTCTTCTACGGTCAAATCGTCTTTCTTACGATCGAAATCGAAAAACTCTTCAGGAATTTTATCACTTACTGGTTCATCATTTGGATCATGGTACAATTTCAAATAAGGATGGCATAATGCATCTTCAACAGTGATTCGTTTGGTGGGATTGAAGATTAATAACTTCTCCAACAAATCCAAAGCCAAGGGATTGATATCTAGTGGTTTGGTTCCATTCTGAGAAAATAATTGATCAAAGGGTATCCGCCTGCAGAATTGTAACAGTCTAATATATTCTCGTGCTCTCTTCAGCTTGATGTTATAGTAATCTTCGGTATTAGGAGTACCCAATACTTCAATAATTAACCATAATTGGTTATGGTAATCATTTCCAGGGAATAATGGCCTTCCACTTAACATTTCTGCTAAAATACAGCCCACAGACCATACATCAATTGCTGTAGTGTATTCTTGAAACGTTAACATAATCTCTGGTGCTCTATACCACCTAGTAGCCACATATTCCGTCATAAATCCAAAATTATCTTCACTAGAAGCTATGGATCTGGCTAACCCAAAATCACAAACCTTCAAATCACAATTAGAGTTAAGTAAAAGGTTCAGAGGTTTTAAATCTCGATGCAAGACATTAGCCAGATGTAATGCCTTTAATGCTCTTAAAGTCTGGTATGTGAAGTACTGGATATGATCGTCACTAAGTCTTTGGGTACGAATGACACGATGTAAATCTGTTTCCATCAACTCTTGAATCAAATAAATCTCATTAAACGTTTCAAAAGATGCTGGTCGTTGAATAGCTAAAATACTGATGATATTCTCATGGTTAAAATGCTTCAAAAGTGTTAATTCCCGTAACGTTCTAAGACAAAGCATCAGCCTTTCAAATGGTTCTATCTTTTTGATGGCCACTCTTTGTTGAGTAGGACGGTGGATGGCACTACACACAATCCCGTATGCACCTTCACCCACTACTTCTATAATCTGATAATGTGCTGACACATTAAATGATACCTGTCTAGTTTTTGATTGTCGAGGCTGTTGTTGTTGTTGTTGTTGTTGTTGTTGTACCTGATGCTGAAGCGGAAACGGTTGTTGATGGTGTTGTTGTGCTGGCTGTTCCATCTTGCTTTAGAATATGATAATGCACTATCAAGAGATCAGTCTAAACCCAACAAAAAGGCAATTGTAGACGAAATGGAATTCTGGAATTCTGGAATCTTCAAGCTTCACTCTATGTAGTGATGGAAATTCTACGTCGATATGCCTATATATATCAGAAGTCTGTTGAGTTGAATAATTCGTCAACTGAATATTCAGAATGTTAGCTCTTCGTAAGAGTTTATAGCCACAACTGTTTGAAATCGCCAGATTCACCTATTTTGTACTTGCAGACACGAAAACGACCAGGTTGGCTTCACTGCGATGTTTGGGACACGTCTGTAGACGAATACAGGACCACTATCAATAGTAGTACACAATATTTTTGGAAACCAAAAGCCTGACTGCCTGAATGGCAATACTTCGCTATATATATATATACAGAGAAGTTATGTGTTATGAATATACAGCAGTTCAGGCTAATACGCACCTTGGAATTCATACAATGAATCGCTGTTGCTTTTTGTTTACTTTATCTGGATCTGTGTGTAAGTCGAGATCACAGTAAAGCCTCAGAATTAATCCCATCTTGTTCGGCTTCCAAACTTCACATAGCCTGTCTTTGTCTCCTGCAGATACGGTGTTTCGAATTTTAAACTGCGATCAACTCACAACCGTACTACTGACAACTCAAGACATCTAGTTATCAACGAGTAAAGATAATGATTATCGTCTCACAGATCGTAAGGAGATGAGCTGTGCGCTTGGCTTTTTTTTTTTTGGCCAGACCCATTAGTTGAAGGTGCAAGCGAATTATGTCTAAGTTGAAGATTTTGGGTGCGGGTTTCAGGTGCAAATTCATGTATCTAAAACTCCAAAGGTGAGTGTTTCAGATCTCCAAAATAAAACAATAAGACATGTCATGGAATGTCTCAGTTTAACACAATATATTCTATCACATAGTAATTACATCATTCCGGAATTTTCAAAGTAAATTATTTAATTATAACAAACGTAAATCATCAACACAGAGAACCAGAAAGTATACATACATATAACAATAAGATAAAAAATAATAATAGTAGTAGTAACAATAATTAAAGGGAAAGAAGAGAGTAAATGTTATGTGATGATCATCACGATTTCCTACCAAATAAACCCTTCTTCTTTTTCTTTTGTGCCTTACCACCATCTGCTTGTAACGAACTGGCACTGTAGTTATTAGCTTGATATATTGGTTGGACTCCATCACCAAAGCTCATGGCAGGTCTTTGGAATCCTCCAGCCTCTGCTCCATAACGTGAATCTTGATGGTTCAGATCACTCATATTGTAATATGGGAAGTCTTCATGGAATCCCCAACCCAAATTTCTAGATTCTAACTGATCTCTATAGGTAAGATCACCGGTGATGGCATATTCAAATGAACGAATAGTATCCATAGGTCTTTCATTTCTTGCTCTAGTTGGGTTTGACACATCTGATTGAGCAATAGGCTGACCAAAGATATCTCTTAATTCAGATGATTCTTGAGACAAATACGACGGTCTTCTACCATTTGTGCCATGGGCGTTTGCAGCTTCTTCAAATGGTTGAGCTTCATTAACAGCTGTCAAAATAGGATCGTGAACATTGGTTGCATGGGGTTTATACTGTTCCACATCACGAGCAGTTAATTTGACATCGTTGACAGATTCTCTTTTACTTTTGGACTTGCCCCTTAATATAGCCATGATGAAGTGATGATATGGTGTACTACAACGAGCGAATATCAAGTGCTATAACTATGAGCAATAAGTAATAACAACAAATCTCGTTTAAGAGCGTAAAACAAACTATAAATGGAAATTTCTCAAAGGGTGTCCTGGTTATGTGGAGTTGGGCTGTGCGATTTTAGTTTGGTTTTTTCTCCCTCAACCCCCTTCCAGTTTCGTACTCGCACCGGCACAGGGACTTGACAACAAGAGGCTGGGGTAATTGGTCGCGAATGAAGCCCGGACGTAGTTGATTGCAGACTCATTCTAGATTTATGCTAATAAAGGTGATATGAGTAGTGCCGTCATATCGTGACATTATGTCGTTTCATCATGTAGTGCCAAGTAAGCTTCATGGTGTTGGTACTATTGATGAATGTTATCAATAGTACTCGTTCCTATTGAATCTTCCGGAAAGCCGCTGGTGTGAATCAGAAAAGTGGTGTCAACATAGGAAACTAAGTTTAAATTTATCACCAATTACGTATACACAACACATTTCTCCGGTAGTGAACCAATTCGGCAATTGAATTCTATTTCATGGCTTTAGTTGTATTTGATTGTACATTGTTGTGTACTGTTAGACTTTACAGCTTCCTGAATGCAACTAAATTGTTGCTTTTATGTCCACCCCTTCTTGAACCTATAAGACTTGTAGTAGGTTATGTTCGAGACCTTCATCAGTGATAGTGTTTGAAATTGGAAAAAAAAATCGAAATCAGAACGATAATAGAGGTGAAATGTTTAGTATCACTTTTTCGTAGGATGAAAGCACATTTTCCCAAAAGTGAACTTTATTAAAGGAAAACTTGAAACAATCAAACATACATATAACAAATGATAATGTGATCAATGAAGGTTAAGAGAAATCAAAAACCTCATCAACTATGAAAGTCGTCATACTCTCCACCGAAGATATTACACCACATGACTAGAATGTGATGCTCACCAATATTACCACAATTCTATTAACCAAGAAATCCGATATAGTGTAACGGCTAGCACGGTTCGCTTTCACCGAGCAGACCCGGGTTCGACTCCCGGTATCGGAATTTATTTTTTCTGCAGATATATTCTAGGTTATTTTTTTATATTCCTAAAAAATATATAATAAGCAATGGAGCTTGCACTGTTTGAACAACATTCTATTGTATTATATTTCTTTACTCAATTACTTTACAATATACATCTATTGTATTTGATTGTAATAAATTGTTAATTATTGGGAACCGCGTCCCTGGGATTAAGGTGACTATATGCCTGAAACGGTTTACACACACGAAGACACACTGAAAAAACATCTTCAAGATACACGCTTCGATTGCGGGCCAAGTGTTCGTATCAAAAGGTTGAGTGTTGAGCGTCATCATCATCAGTGAGAGTGTAACTTCAGGGTACAGAAGGAACGAAACTGATTGTCACAGTACAGGATGATTGGAGTGTTTATTACGGTACTTGCTTGTATCATCAACTATACCAGTGCATTCTATTTGCCTGGTGTCGCACCTACAAATTATAAGGAAGGTGATACTATTCCATTGTATGTTAATCATTTGACGCCTTCATTAGGTCATTTGGCACTGCTTAAGAATGATGCTAAATCCAAGGCAATTGTATATTCTTATGATTACTATTATCCCAAATTCCATTTTTGTAAGCCTGAAGGTGAACCAAAGAAACAACTGGAATCTTTAGGTTCAATTATATTTGGTGATAGAATCTTCAATTCTCCCTTTGAAATTCAAATGTTACAAGATAAGTCATGTGTTTCCTTGTGTACTTCCACTTACACCAAGAGGGAAGGTGTTTTCGTCAACAGAAACATTAGAGCCAGTTACACTCACAATTGGATTGTTGATGGGTTACCAGCTGCTAGTGTTATGGCTGAAATTAAAACTCAAACTAAATTCTACGGTACTGGGTTCCCTATTGGTGAGATTAGTCCTCAAAACTCTGCCCATTTCTTTAACCATTTTGAAATCAAAATTGAATATCATAAGAGAAGTGATGGATTCTTTAGAGTTGTTGGTGTTACCGTATCTCCTTCTTCTTTGGATAGATCTGGCCTTAAAGCCGATGCTAAACCAGAAGAAATCTGTAACCCCAAATTGGAAAAAGTCTCTTTAGGTAAGAAGGATGAACTGAAAGTCTTGTTCACTTATTCCGTCAAGTTTGAAGCTTCTGCTACCCCTTGGGCAACAAGATGGGATAAATATTTACATGTTTATGACCCCAAGATTCAATGGTTTAGTTTATTGAACTTCTCCGTTGTTGTTTCTATTTTGGGCTTCATCATTGCTCATATCTTTGTCAAGTCTTTAAGAAATGATATCACCAAGTATAATGAAGTCAATTTGGATGATGATATCTCTGAAGAATCCGGTTGGAAGTTGGTTCATGCTGATGTGTTCAGACCTCCAAAGAATAGAATGCTTTTGGCTGTGTTTGTTGGTTCTGGTACTCAAGTGTTTGTCATGACATTCTTCACTATTGCCTTTGCATTATTTGGTTTGTTATCTCCTTCCAACAGAGGTGCCTTGTCAACTTTTATGTTCATCGTTTACATTGCTAGTAGTGTTGTGTCAGCCTTTGTTTCAGGCTATTTATACAGATTCTTGGGTGGTGATGATTGGAAAACTAATATGGTCTTATCTCCATTACTTGTACCTGGTATTATGTTCCTTATCTTTACATTTTTGAATTTTGTTTTGGTAATTGTTCAATCTTCAGGTGCAATTCCATTTGGAACCATGATTGCTATCATTGTCATTTGGTTTGTTGTTTCGGTTCCTTTATCTATTATGGGGTCTATTTGGGCATCCAAGAAACCTCTTTTATCAGTGCCAGTCAGAACCAACCAAATCCCTAGACAAATTCCCGAACAACCATGGTACTTGAAAACCCTTCCAGTGATGTTGATCAGTGGAGTGTTCCCCTTTGGATCCATTGCCGTTGAAATGTATTTCATCTACAATTCATTGTGGTTCAACCGGATCTTCTATATGTTTGGGTTCCTTTTCTTCTGCTTCTTGCTTATGCTTTTGACCACTTCATTGTTCACTATCTTGATGATCTACTACACTTTATGCACGGAAAATTACAAATGGCATTGGAAGTCTTTCTTTGTTGGAGGTGGATGTGCCATCTACGTATTTTTACATTCTTGGTTCTTGGCCAGCCCTAAGAGGTTAGAGTTCTCATCTATGTTGATTTATGGTGGCTATTCTTTTGTGATTTCCATGTTGGTCTTCCTCTGTTGTGGTGCTACTGGGTTTGTCAGTAGTTTCTTTTTCATCAGAACAATCTATTCTCAAATTAAGGTTGACTAATGTATGAGCATGACATGGCATGACATGACATAGCATAGCATCGCATAGAATATGCACTCTGTATGTAGTAGTAACTTGAAAAGTCATATCATTAACATTAACATTAACACTATTATACTATACAATATTACTACAACCATCCATCATTCAATTCTTGTTGTAACAATGACGTAGTAACAGACTTAATGGCATCCATTTCTGTTGATGTTGAGCCACCATTCTTATTGCTATTGGCATCCGGTTTGGGTCCTCCATTGAAAGTTACCCTGTAACTATCAACTTTGGCCTTGGTCGAATTGGGCAAGTTAAAATAATTCACATCTAAGTTCAACAAGTTATACGATATGGATAAATCGTTATTGATCTTGCCCAACTTATCCTGTGAAGAAAAAGCCTTGCCAAACTCATCATTTATAATCTTGGAGTACTTTATCATCTTAAATAGTTGACAGAATATCAAATTCAAATATGGGTTCACAAGTAACTCAGCATAATTATTTGATGACGATAAATAATTCAGAAAATTCATTATTGACGTTGCCAATCGGTTTAAAAGAGGCACCATGGTTGATTCCATAAGGTAGTTGGTCTCAAGTATTGCCTTTATCAAGCTCTGTTTGTGCACAAGAAGAATCTTGAGGAAATTGAAAAAGGTTTGGGTCAAAGGTAACGTCCTTTCAATGTCAAAGCCTTCCTCAAATACTGAGACTTGTAAACTTTTGGATTTTCTTAACTCCAATAGTTGATGGAATACATTAAAGTTCTGGGAAGTTTCATTCAAGGTTGAAAAATCTCTGTTGGATTTCTGTAGAGTTAATTCCAACCATGAAATCATATGTGGACTAACAATCTGATTAACTCCATTAGAAAGTGCATTAATATCGTCAAAAATGACCAAAATTAATACCAATTGAACATGAAACTCGGCCACTTGTTGTGAGTTGATAATTTTTAAGTCATTCACCAAGTTGTTCATTGTTGAGATACTCAACGAATAAAACTCTCCAATAAGACACATGGTATAGTTGATAACAGATAATGTGCACAAGTAAAAATGGACGTAGGCTTCCAGATATAATTGTGATGGTTTTGAGGGATAAAAGTTTAATAACCTTTGAATAAGTTGAATATTATCGGCACCAGTAAGCTGTTTGAAGTTATTCAAATTATTCAATGCAACATTAAATAATTCAATTATGATGAATGTTTCATTCGTCACTTTGGCTTTACCATCAATGCTACTGTTTGTGCTTCCTTCATTATGCACCTCCACGGTTTCCATCAAACGAAACGCAAACGATTCATCATTGGGGAGTACTGGGAAAGCCAGATGGAATTTTGAATAGTATAACTTCAAGTTTTCCTTAAGAGGGTTGATAGGCAACCTATACGGAATCTGAAGAGGCGCAGATTGGATTGCTTGACCTCCGATCGGACGATTAGGGTCTTGTGGTTGTTGTTGTTGCTGAGGAGGAGGAGGGGGAGGAGGAGGTACTCCAGCACCTTGTAATTGACCTGGAGTTATGGGGTAAAACGTAGGATTGTGAAGTGGAGGTGGAATTGGTTGTGATTGAAGGGGAGGTCCATATACTTGTTGTGGGGTTTTTTGTTGGACTATTCCTTGAAGTTGTTGTGGAGGTTGAATTGGTGGAACAGTAAAGTACATAGGCTGAACACTAACCGGACTTTGGATTATTGAAGATTGGGATCCTGATTGTTGCAAAGTCAAAGATCTATTAAGTCTTCCATTTAATGAAGTTAGAGAGGTAACAGAATTCCTTGGTGAAAGACTTTGTCTTCGGGACATTGAACGAACTGAATAATAATCTTCCGATTCACTATCAGATACAAACGTGCTTTCACTTCCTGAGATTGAAGGTCTAAGACTTGGTAACTTCGAACCATTTGTTGAAGTGGAAGAGATCGAATCGATTGAGGAGGAACGTCTTCGGTGACTAATTGCATTGGGCATTTCATAAGGAACTTTCCAGAAGGGACCTTGAATTGGTGGTGAATTTGTATTTGGTGGAGGAGGAGCAGCATTAGAAGATGAGGATGGACCACCAGAACTTTTACCATTTGCTTGCTCATTTTGAGTATTCAGATTATTATTATTCAACAAATTGCTTATCGATGAACCACCAGGACTTGAAGGATTGGAATTCTCATTCTGATTTGAAATCCCCAACAACTTCGATTGGTAGCCTATCAAAGGAGGAAGTATTATTGTCGGGGAGTTTCCATTCTTTTGAGTATTCGGAGTATTGGATGGAGTATGTGTATTATTGGATGAAGTATGTGTATTATTGGATGGAGTATGAGTATTATTGGCATTAGTATTAATAATATTATCATTGCTATGGTTCACTATGGGAGAATCAGAAGAATTGGCCCCTGATTCACTTAGCGATTCTTCAGGTTTGGGTTTACTTTCCAACTTTTCCTCTAGATCCCGTATATAACCCTTTGATGGTCCTCTTTTCAATGGAATTCTAGAGAAAGTACACTCGTCATTATTCTTAAGACAATTCTGACAAATCTTCACAACTTTCATCAACGTCGTAGAATACTCTGCATTACACTTTATTTTCTTCTTTCGACAACAGTCACATGCTCTCGAAACCTTAGAACGTTTTCTAGGCGGATTAGAATCTGAAAATGATACAGAATCAGCGTCATGTGCTTTGAAGTGATCATTAGATGATTGGAAAGGTGAAAGCTCTTGTTGTTGCAATTGTATCTGGGGGACTTCTGTGTGCTGTTGCTGACCCACAACGACACCTCCACTTGAATTCTCTTGTGATATACTCTTCACTGGAACAGCAGGAGGCAATGGAATCGGAACAGGGTGAGCTTTTAATTGAGATTGCTGTTGTAATTGCGGTGGTGGTGGATGATTGGTGGATCTTATGGGCATTGAGATTAATGAATGATGTTGAATTGGTGGTAAGGTTGTTTTCTGGGATGAGGGAAACTCTTGAGTCGAATTATGGGAAGATGGACCTGCTTTTATAACGGCAATTGATGGGAAAGGCACTGTTGGCTTGTTGACACCATCTGATGGGAGAGTATTCCTTGAAGGTGCGACTGAATTGGTAGTAGCACCTGTAGGCGTTGGAGGTAAGAAGGAACTAGCACTCGACATAATGGTGGTATTGTATGGTATGGCCGCCGTCTATTATCAACTACTTCAACAGTATCACCCTTAAGCAATCACGCACGTAAATAATGTATCCAGGGGGAGGATAAATAATGATCTCCTCTGTGAACCACTTTGTTATTTCGGTTTCTCCGACGCTCCACTTCAGACACAGAAGAATGCCAAAATCACGTTTTGAGCTTAATTATTATGGTACTAAGTCACTTTACTATTGAAGGGATTACTACTAAAAACTTTTCTCATGGGGTTCTTTTGTTTCCTGGTAAGGGTTTAACTAAGTGGGAGGGTTTGTGTAATACGACCAGTATTGCCTAAAGTGGATTTACTGGGGGGTCGGGCTAATTGTCGAAAGAAAGCCAGCAAAAAATAAATCCCGTCGCTTACGTAAGCGGACATGGGGAACAACGCTAATGTTGTAAGTCTTGGTTAGCCTACGCTTAGTTTGTAGGAAGCACCATTTGTTGCTCGTATCCTTTGTGAACTTTGAGCTAATTACAGCATAGTAGGGGTGGAAGAGTCGAAGTGATATTAATTATAGTTAAGACATTACAACTACATGTGGGGGGAAAAAGAGGGGGGAACAATAAAATTACATTAATCCTATTAACTTCCTATATTTTTCCGAGATGGAGAGATTTGTCATGATACATAAAAAAAAAAAATTAAAAACCTCTACTCACACAGAGGTAAATGAAATCGCTTTACTACAAGAAAAATCAACCCAACTTTTATATAGTCGTTCTTTATTAGATGCCATATGTAACAATCTTCCGACATCCTGTAAATTTTATTTACTCCAGGTTTTCCCTCCCTCTGGTGGAGTCAATACAATTGAAAAATTCAGCCTGCACACAAAATATTAATTCCGCGTAATTCTCCGACCCCCCATGTCGTTTGTCCGCAACTTTTCCTGTGTATTTGGCCCTATTGCATTACATTCTTTATTGGGTCGGAACATAAATTATTGTTTCCATTGGATTGTTAAGCTTTTTTATTACCCCAGATATTGGTTATGCACAACCTTGATTGCCCGGGCTTTGTAACCATATTTACAGGTAAATACGAATTGTGACCCATAGTAAAAAAGCTTGATCCAAATTAATTCAAGCGCCTTTCTATTTGGAGCCGACGTTAAACACTAAAAAAACACCGGTCGAAGGTAGATATTCTACTTGAATGCACGTGACACAAGTCAAGGTCAAGTTGATGCAGCCCTATCAACTTCCAAGACACCGGCACTTAGCAGCATGACTTATTGTGTATGACTAAGGTCAACGTAATCTAAAAGGTGGAGGTCCTCACAAGAATATAAATGGACCCCGAACTTCTTTAATTATGTATTTAACACTTTCAATGCTAGCATGAACATACGATTTGACCTTAGACTTGGCGGGCCCAATAATTTCAATTCGTAAAGATCCTTCTCGTAATCAGTTTAGTGCATACCTTTACGAGAAAACATAACTATTCAGTGAAGCCATAAATACGCCCGAAAGGTATTGAAATCTATTATTCTCAACATCAAATAAACAACTGAACTAATGGTAAACTCTCAGAGTAAATATAGGGTTATAAATAATCTCGGATTGTTTGGTTAACTACCTTTGAAGTGGGAAAATTTTATGACCATAAAATTGATATTCTTTACAGTCAAGGCCTTAATTCATGGCTGTTGAGGATATGCTTCCTTATTATGAACAGAAGTCGAGACTCACCTGTCGATATAAATACAACAACACTTAAGTACAGCACAAATCAGAAACAAATCGTTAGCCAAAGACCTTCTCTTTGAAGTAGATTATAGTACGTCAGGAGTATTAAACCTATCATCTCTACTGGTTATTGTTGGCGGTGACGAGCATTACGACAACAGAAATGATCTCGGATTATATTACTAGTTAGTGTTTTCTGTTTCCTATTGCATAAAGAATATAATTTTCGAACATATTTGAGCGTTATTCCAGGTAAGTTGTAGAACAATACCTACATTGAATTTTATTGACTTTGTAAATAGAGTCTGCGCCATATTTGAATGCAAAACTCCTCAGGACCTACGACTTCTTTGAACTGTGCATCCATACTAGATTTGGAATAAATGTTTGTAAGAACGGTGAGTTAAGCAGTTTACCAAACATTGCAAGGGAAACAACTTTAAAAGCACTTGGAATAGGTCACCAATGATAACAGATACCTTTAGCATTTCTATTGAGCATAATTACCAGAGTTACCGGTTTTAAAAGTTACTAGCATACAATCAAAATTTGGAAATCATTGGAATGCCGACGTACCAGCCAATTAATACACTCTGCCCAAAAATCAAGTTTCTAAGAATTGACCGTAGAATAGGCCAAAATCCAATTTAAGTTGGTCAAAAGATGACGACAACCTTCACTCCATTCATGATTAGAGGTGATTCGAATACTTCGATTCCCGATCGAATCTCTTTTGGCAGATATATTATATGGAAGTTCAACATCTCTGTTTGTTGACCTCATTTTCAGTTGTATCTGACAAAGAATCTCCAACAAGGCTATCATTGCTACATCCAACTTATTGAAATTAAAGAATGCACCTAGGGAAAACTCTGTTGTAGCAAATAAATTAAGCACAATTTTTTTAGACTCATCTTGAGTCTCATGAACACTTTCGACTGGCTTAGCTAGCTTCATAATATATGATTGAGGTCCTGAAGGAACGATTTTAAAGCCGGATATCTCGACTTTTAAGGTCCGAATAATAAAATCCATTAAAAGAGCCACATTTCCTAATGCTGCATTAACTTCTGGTAATGGAACTTTATATCCTAACCGAAGGTCATTAATAGTAGCATATTGACCTTTAAATGATATGTTGAAGAAGTTGGTGTAAACATTTAATGTTCTAAGATGATCCAATTGGTTTAGATTAGCTTCATGATATGCTTTTACCTTTTCTATTTCGTTTGTCTTTTTTAAAATATCCAATTGAAATTTATTTCTTTCAAGAAGTAAATCATTCAATTGAGAATTACTCAATTCTTGTATTTCGTTTTTAAGTGTAACCAAATTGTCGTCCAAACCTCTTTTATATTGTTCTAGATCTCGAAGTTCTTTGAGAGCAGTTTCCCGTTTCTTAACTAACTCTTCATAATCCTCAACAGATTTAGCTAATTTAGAATCGAGAAACTTGGAATCGCCATCAATTATTCTATCCTTTTCCCTTAACTTCCTTAGGAAGTTAAGGTAGTTGTCTTTCTCTTTCTGTAGCAGATCAAATTTAAGTTTTAAATTATCCATCAACAACCCACTGCAATCAATACACAATGGATGTCTTTCTAATGAATCTTTCGATAATATTTCAAAGATCTTTGTGAGTTCATTTATTTGTTTGGATAAATTGAAGCCATCCTCTGGATTACTAGCAATTTGATCACTGCTATTCGCTGGCAGCAGTATATCATTATCTGTAGTAGAATTACCTGCTATAGTACTCTCATCACCATATTTACCAATTTCGACGGATGAATCTGTTGGTGATACGTCATCTATCACTATAAAGGAGGAATTCACCGTCATCTTATCTGTGGTGCTTGTAGCATCGTTACGTGAGTCATTCAGTCCAGAAATATTATCCACAATTAAGGATGGATCTAGATTCGAGTCACTTAAGGATTGGTATAGTTCTAATCGAGATTTAGGGATATATGTAGAAGGATCCGATTCATTACTATCTTGGTTGGTAGGTGCTCTGGATGTAGAGTTTCGTATTAGATCAAACTGTTCAGGTGTCATATTCCGAACGGAATCATCTACCGTAATTGGAACACCACATTTTTGACAATAAAACATTCCTGGCTTCGTCATTAGGATGTTGGAATTGTGGAAATAGTGAGTCAGAGAATGCCTTCTCCCATGCCTCATATTACTTCCCTTATTCGGTTTTTAACTGATACGAATATGTGCATAAATTAAATAGCGATATCTACAAATAATGCTAACTTAAAACTCAAGAAAGCCGGTCTAGTATAGTGGTTAGTACACTTCGTTGTGGCCGAAGAAACCCAAGTTCGATTCCTGGGACCGGCAATTTTTTTCAGTTTTCACACTTTTGTGGTTACCCGGACACATTGCCAATGCTTCAAAAAAATTTTCCCTTTTTAGTCAAATTCTATTTAAGAAAGACTTCATTAAGTTTGATAGTTACATCTCTTTTTTTTTTTCCCTTTTAAATGTGTTTGACTTCCGATGGAACGACAACAAAGTGTATGTTTTCAATTACATGAAGTATTTGTCCAAACCGAATTTATTATGATGATAACAACCTAAGTGTATCGAAGTTTAACGACAGTGTGATCACGATTTCTCAATAGACTACAACGGTATCTGATATATCAAAAAAAGTTTGAACATTTGATTTAATTATTTAATAGTGATACTAACAAAAGGGCTTCCTTTCTTGCAGTAGATAACAGATAATATGTTCTAAGCTGGAAAGTACTTTATTTTTTATATGGTGTAGGCAATTTTGCAAGGAATAATGGCAAGAAAGAGAAATAGTAAACAATCACGTCAAGTATATAGTCAGCCATTGCCCGTGAAGTTATCCACCGAGCTCTACGGACCACTTCCTTCTATATTCCCCCACAATCCATTGTCGTGGATATATTTTGGGTTCTTCTACTTAAAATGTATAATTCGTTCATCTCCACAGTCTACCATTACTCCAATAAAAGTACACTTGCTGGTAGATGGAACTTTTGGAGTGTATGACGATGCGGACATGTTACAACTCTGGCAACAGGGATTCTTTGGGAAGGGTACCTTGAGTAGGTCTGATCCAACGTGGAGAGAGCGTACAAACACTCGTTTACAAACTCAGGGTATTGCTGCGCTGACCTTGGAAGATGTAACCAGAAAAAGAAGAATGGAAAGATCCGCATTTAAACTGCAACGTGCTTTGCTTCAAGAATTGGAAATGAAAGCCAGACAAAACATTATTACTGAAGCTGAATCCTTACAATTGGAAGCTCAGAAATTGAAAGTGGCTGCGATGAGGAAACAAACTCCAGACAATAACGAAAACAGCAACAATGATAATAATGATAACAATGCTAAAGAATTAGTTTTTTCCGAGTATAAAGAGTTATTGGATATTATTGATCAAGAAAAACATACTGTTGTGAAGAACTTGGAGTTTTTGCAGCTTCAGCCAATTGAAGCCTTCTTCTTACAATTTGGACTTGAAGCAATCGATATTATACGGGACTCTTCTAAACACATGAACGTATGGGATACTTTTGTTTATTGTTGTGAACAACATACCGGAGGTCTTATTCCAGAGAACAAGTTCATATTAGATTATGTTACATATCATCATTTTAGATCTCATGGTTGGTGTGTTAGATCAGGTATTAAGTTTGGGTGCGACATGCTTTTATATGTTCGAGGCCCACCTTTTAGTCATGCAGAACATGCTATTACGGTTATTCTTAATGATGGTTCTCATAATGTTGACTGGTTTGACATGGGAACACTTGCAAGAATCATCCATGGTGTTAAAAAGAATCTTTTATTGGTGTATGTTGATGTTCCACTGAAAGAATACTTTAAACTGGTGGTGGAAAATGATCAATTAAGTGACCGAGAGAAAATATTAAAGTTGCTTATGAGTTATAAAGTCACAGAAGTTATATATAGGCGTTGGGTACCCAATAGGACACGGGATTAAATATGGATTAATATATTAGTCAAGATATACTGCGAAATATCCTTTGTAGGTTGAATAATATCTTACGAAGTAACTTTTGGGGAGGAAAGCTGGTATAAAGCAGCGTGATAAAGGCGTTCCAAAGTACAGTCTTTTATAAGTTAAGCCTTTATGGCCAAGTTGGTAAGGCACCTCACTAGTAATGAGGAGATCCTCAGTTCGAATCTGAGTGAAGGCATTTCTTTTTTGCTGATTCTTGAATTAACCAGTGGTTCATCATTGCGTAAACATGTTTACCAATTACAACTTACGTGTCCTGATAAACTATTGTAAAGAATATGAAAACTAGATGCACTTTTTCATTAGCTACCAACAAACTGTGACACGACTTAGATACAGGGAAGAAGGTTGACTATATGAAGTACTTACAGCGTGTGACAGCAATGAACAGAAGAGAAAGCGAAAAGGTATATCAGTAAAATAGTGGACAAAATTACTTTACACAAATATCATAATAAATAGTAAATCGACATCGTACTACATAAGCATCACTACCACCACAGCTTCTGCAACGACAATAACTTTAAATAAAACTAGGTGAGAAGAGCTCCCAACAAAGATGCTTCTTTTTTTTTTTGTTTCGGTACCGCGCACGATAACGCGACGACTCAAACTAGGTGGGTACCCCCTTAGTAGCGAGGGCGTGCCCGGGCTTAGTATGTGTAGTGGGCATCGGATGGCCTGGTATATAAAGCGTGTGAAATTTCCCACAGTTGCACATAATTGAGATACTTTGATGGGCCTGACTTGAAATCAATAGCTAAGAGTGAGATTAAAATATAATTTATGAGTAATACCAATTGAACAAAGTACTTTGATCATCCTTTTCCGTATTCACTATCAATTCATATATGCATAATCCATAAAATCCTCAAGAAAGAATGGCAGATATACGGAGTTTAATGAACCCAGAAGATACCCCGGTATATACTACCAGCGAAACAACAGTAAATGTTAGTGCAGTGTATCCTACCACTAACACTACTATCACAACAACCACAGACTCGGTTACCCCTCCAGAACCACAACCAGAATCTAGTTCTACTACTAGTGCATCTGCAGATAATGGAGGTTCTAATGAAGTTGGGGTGTTAACTCCAGAAACCATCATGAGATCTTTTGAACGTATAAAGACACATTTCCCCGCTGCAAGAATCAAGAAAATCATGCAAAGTGATGATGAGATTGGTAAAATAGCACAGGCTACGCCCGTAGTGGTTGGAAGAGCATTAGAGATATTTATGGCCAATTTAGTCGAACTGGCAATGCTTGAAGCTCGAAAACAACGTGTTAAAAGGGTTGGAGCATCCCATATTCGTGCTGCCATCGAAAAGAACGAACAGTTTGATTTCTTGGTTGATGTTGTGTCGAAATACCCTCCTTTGAAAGAATAATAACATCAACATAATTCAAAGGTGAATTTAAGTACGATGAATTCAGCTTGTTGACTTTCATCAACATCAAACAGCTGCACTGTTGACCAAAGATTCTAACTAGATGGTGAGAATCAAATAAGTTAGAGATTTGACACGCGATCTCAGATGGTCAATTCCAGATCGTAACTTCGCTGAGGGCATTAATTTACTGTTGGATCTATAAGTCCATTTAAAATTTTATGAAGCCCTAGTCTAATCATTAGAGTAAGGTAATACCTTATCCTTGGAGTAAGCGTATGACCAGACAGAAAAGATTAGCCACCGCATACAATTAAATGACGTCTCAGTAATGAAGACTCTTGTTGTTAGCGCCTTAAGTACTGGTGGAACAGTACGTTATAGTAAAGCATAGTGTATATAGGTTTAAGCGGCCCTGTGAAACGTTACATAATAGTACAGGCATCCAGTATAATCTACATTCGTATTTACCTTTTAAAATGGGTCATTGCCGTCCAATACACGACCCTATTTGCGATACCAATTGATCACCACCACACAGTTGCATGACCGCCTTACTCCTATGACGTATTCATCAATTTTCCTACACGTCCTTCGTGGGGGTTTATGTTCAGGATTTGATGCTTTGGGAATTAACCGATAATCTTGGTAAGCAGTATATAAATGTTGGTCACAATCTCATGAAGATTTGAAGTAAATATATTCTCGTTAATATATGATTCTGGAAGAGTAAGGTGAAACATTGACTAGAACCCCCCGAATATCAATTAGGTTGCTTATTTGTTGACTAATATTTGGAGTTTCTATCAACTTACAGTAAATCATCACTACTCCTTAGTTTAAAACATGGCACACTACAACAGCAGATCCAACACTAGTTTACGTTCCAGAGGTTCTTTTGGTGCGAACGTCCCTCCACCTCAGCCAGACATTTACTACGTCGGGGTAGATGTGGGTACAGGGTCAGCTAGAGCTTGTATCATAGATACCAATGGGATAATTTTGGCCTTATCTGAAAGACCTATAACCAGACATGAATTGAAGGCAAATTACATCACTCAATCACTGACAGAAATATGGCTGGCCATCTGTTTTTGTGTTAAAAATTGTATTAGGGAACTGGAAATTGACCCCCTGGAAATTTTTGGTATTGGTTTTGATGCCACTTGCTCCTTAGTGGTTTTGGATGAAAAGGATGATGCTCCAATTGGGGTCGGCCCTGATTTTTCAGACAATAAAGAAAACATTATCTTATGGATGGACCATAGAGCTGTTGACGAAACCAATGCTATTAATAGTACTGGTGATAAATGTCTCAAGTATGTTGGTGGCCAGATGTCCATAGAGATGGAATTGCCCAAAATGATGTGGTTGAAACGTCACTTACCCGGAGGAATCGAACGGTGTAAGTTCTACGATTTGGCAGATTTCTTAACCCATAAGGCTACGGGACTGGAAGCCAGATCATACTGTAGTACAGTCTGTAAGCAAGGGTTCGTTCCCATTGGTGTAGATGGGTCCACAACGGGCTGGTCAAAGGAGTTTTTGGAAGGACTCGATTTACCCGAGTTGGTTGAAGACCAATTCCGTCGTTTAGGAGGTGTTCCTGGTAAGAATGGAGTATTCTTAAGTGCTGGTGAAATTGTAGGGAAATTAAACTCTCAAGCTGCTGAAGAACTCGGTTTAACCGTCGAATGTATTGTTGGTAGTGGTGTCATTGATGCTTATGCTGGTTGGATTGGAACTGTTGCTGGTAAGGTAGACATTCCCCATCTCCAAGAAATGGCTGAAAAATCAAATAGTTCCATTGGTACCACTTGCGGTAGATTGGCTGCTGTTGCCGGTACTTCGACATGCCATATTGCTATGACGAAAGAACCTTGTTTTGTCAAAGGTGTATGGGGCCCTTACAAAGATGTCATGGCTCCTGATTATTGGATGGCAGAAGGTGGACAAAGTATTACTGGTCAATTATTGGCACATGTCTTGGGTACTCATCCAGCTAATAGTGAGTTAACCAGTTTGGCAGAAACATCCAATGTATCCAAGTTTGATTATTTAAATCTCACATTAGAGAACTTGGTTCATGAAAACAGGGAAAGAAGTGTGGTATCATTAGCCAAATACATGTTCTTTTATGGTGATTTCCATGGGAACAGGTCACCTGTTGCTGATCCAAACATGAGAGCTTCGATTATTGGACAATCAATGGATAATACAGTTAATGCTCTTGCCATTTTATATTTTGGAGCTTGTGAATTTATTGCTCAACAAACAAGACAAATTGTTGAAGAAATGGAGGAAAGTGGCCACAAGATTTCATGTATCTTTATGAGTGGTGGTCAATGTCGTAATGGGTTATTGATGAGACTTTTAGCCGATTGCACTGGCTTACCTGTTGTAATTCCTAGATACATTGATGCTGCCGTTGTTTTTGGATCTGCCATTTTGGGTGCAGTTGCAGCACAAGAATCAGTTGAAGAGCATATTACAAAGAAGGGTCGTACCAAGCGTTCAGATTCTTTAAGTAAGTCTGCATCCAATTTGGCTGGGTTATCACTTCCTTCTCAAGGTTCACTTATCAATCCTGGATCCAGAGATGGTACTCATTCACCTTATACAGCACCAAGTGCCACCAGTTCTACAACAAATATGGCTACTTTTGCTTACGGAGGACATTCTAGTACTGCAAATGTGCCAAGTTTGACTCCTATGGCTGAAGAAAACGCAGACTATTTCAGTCAACAAGCGCAAAAGCCTTCACATTCTAGTTCTGCTTTCGCAGATACCGACGATGAAGATGATGAAGGTACACTTTCATTCGGTTCAAAGCAAAAGGTCCAGCAAGATTTATCTCACCTGTTACTGAAGTTAGGATTGAAGCCTTTGACCAATATCAGATCGGAAACGACCCATCCAGGTGATAAGCTTTGGAAGACCATGGAGAAGATGACAGGCCCTGGGAAAGTGATTATGCCTAGCAACAAGGAAGATCCAGATCGTAAGTTATTGAATGCCAAGTACTCTATTTTCTTGAAACAATGCAAGGAACAACAAGAGTTCCGTAAACTCGTGGATTTGGTAGAGGTGGAGAACGCCAGGGTCATTGGTATGTCGTAAAAGGTCATTCATAACACTTGCTATTTTTTTGTTATCCACAACGCAGATCCCATCTTGCATAGTATCTTATAAAACGATCTAGTAAAGTTATTTTTGTTTGGACTTTTGCAACTTCTATTAGTATATTGATTAGCACCAAGTCATTATGATAAAATTGTGGGTTGGATCCACTATTAATGTAGCCTTCTCTCAACACAATGGAAAATATACAAGCAAAAAGCAAACTTAATCTAATAATAGATATACTTCTGTCTTGACCTTAGTTGATAGTTTTCCAACATAGGAAATAAAATAGCAATACTCTTCAACCAAGTGTAGTTAGATGTGAATATAACAGTAGTAACAATAGTTGACTCAAGACTTGTTTACCCCAAACATTGCTATTGAACGGCTCAGATACAATGATTAGGTTGAGGTCTTATTGCCAAAGAAATCATAATCGTTTTCATTGAGCTCCACATTTGGGATGATCCTTTGTTGTTAGCCGCTCGTGTTGAAGGAGGGGCTTTATTAGACTATTAGCAAATTTGCGCCACCTTCATCCATAAAGAATTCGTTAGAGATAACAAAATGTCTTCATTGATGCATCCAGACTATCTACTGTACTCGAAGCGGTACAAAAGTTAGATCATTTTTGATGTAAAAGGAGAATATCTGACTATCAATGGTATCTATACATACATTAGTATATGCTAATGGTATATACATTATTACATGATATTCTAGCTTATCTCCCCGCGCTACCCACATTTAATGCTGCAAAATAAAAAGAAATGCTTTTTGTTACTTCCACATTTTTTCAGGCGATTTGGTAATATCACGTGACCAAAGGTAAGTGAGTGCACATATGAAGTGTGGGCATCGGAGTTTCAGGAAGATTACAAATCGAGCATCAAGTGGGGCCAAGTAATAGATAATTAGTAAGGTACCACTATCAATTGGTAGTTACTAATAGGATACATTGATCTGTAAAGTTGTAGGTTTAAGAATTGTAGCTATTAATATAAGATAATCACAATTCACAAGTCTGCTGTAAACTCTGAGATGATATCATCGTGGAAAACTAACAATCTCAAACGATGATGGCATAGGTCACGTGACAAAGGCAAACTGTGGTTCCTAGTATATATTCAGAGAATGAATATATAGACAGGCCCAAATCTTCAAAATGCAATTTAAAACCACAGTTTGGTGTTATTAGACTCCACAGATTTTAACTAACTGTTATTGAAGGGTTAAGCTTTGTCTTTATACAAGGAGTCACGGCTGATCACACGTCATTCAGTCATCATTGTCGACTATAATCATAAGCGGTTTTCAACAGACCGAGGAAGTAACTTTTGGTTTTCCCTGATATCAATTAAGAATCAAAGCATTTAAAACCACCTGCTCATCCAATTAATTGAATATTCCTATCAAATATTCATCATCAACTTCACCATACAAATTAACAGGCCGTTGTTAGTGACAAAATAGAACCAGGTGAAATTACCCAAACTAGTGACACAAAAACAACCGCATTTTTTTTTTGTTTTGACTTTTTATTCTTGTCTTCTTTTGCACCCATTGCATCAGAGCCCTTTGACTATTTAAGAATCCTCCCATTTCCCTAGTTAAGAGTGCTAATCTTAAATTTTCTATTGCATAAAACACATCACAATGACTAATAACGAATCAGTGGTCCCTCATTTACAGGAGTATGATGGATTTAGTGAACGTTCAAGACGTAACTCCGCATCATCTCGTAGAGAATCACTTCATATTGTTCAATCTAGAAGATCTTCTATTAATCGTATGTCTACTCAAGATACTGGTGGTCCAGATTATATTTCTCCAGGTCAACAATATGCTAATGGTGCAGCTCTTATACCTGAATTCAATGAACGAGAAGTAACTGTTGTTGACTATGCCAAACATGTTTTTTCCGAACCAAAGAGTAAGCTCACAAACTATATGACCTCTTTGTTCCCCATAGCTAAATGGATCTTACACTATAATGGTAGATGGTTATACAGTGATTTGGTTGCTGGTATAACTGTTGGTGTTGTCCTTGTTCCTCAATCTATGTCTTACGCTCAACTAGCTGGCTTACCTGCTGAATATGGGTTGTACTCTTCGTTTGTCGGTGTCTTCATTTATTCATTTTTTGCAACTTCTAAAGATGTTTCCATTGGTCCAGTCGCTGTGATGTCTTTACAAGTTAGTAAAGTCATTCAAAAAGTTCAAGAACAGAACGGTGATAAATTCTCAGCTCCTGAAATTGCTACTTTCCTTTCCTTGATTTGTGGTGGTATTGCATTTGGTATTGGTATACTCAGGTTGGGGTTCATTTTGGAATTTATCTCCATCCCTGCAGTTATGGGTTTCATGTCTGGTTCTGCTTTTTCTATTATCACTGGTCAAGTGCCAAGTTTGATGGGGTTCAACTCCAAGGTCAACACTAGAGACTCAACCTATTTGGTTGTGGTTAACTCATTGAAGAATTTGAAACATCTGAGAGCTGATGCAGCTTTTGGGTTGACAGCATTGTTCCTATTATACGTTTGGAAGTTCTCCTGTGCTTGGTGTGAAAAGAGATACCCAAGAAGAAAGCTTTGGTTCTTTTATGCCGCACAATTGAGAAATGCCCTTATTTTAATTATTTCGACCGCCATTTCTTGGGGTATCATTCATCCTAAAGTTACAAATTTTAAAGGTCCTAGAGAACAGTTCAAAGGTCCCTTTTCAATTTTAGGTGTTGTGCCTTCTGGTTTGAGACATGTTGGTGTCATGTCTATTCCTCAAGGTATTATTGGTGAAATGGCTTCTGAAATTCCTGTTTCCGTTATTATTTTGTTATTGGAACATATCGCCATTGCCAAATCCTTTGGTAGAGTTAACGATTATAAGATCATTCCTGATCAAGAGGTCATTGCTATTGGTGTTAATAATTTAATTGGTACTTTTTTCAGTGCTTACCCAGCTACTGGTTCTTTCTCTAGATCTGCTTTAAAGGCCAAGTGTGGTGTCAGAACCCCCCTTGCAGGTATTTTCACTGGTGGTGTTGTCTTGTTGGCTTTGTACTGTTTGACAGAGGCTTTCTTTTACATTCCAAAAGCAACTCTTTCAGCCGTTATTATCCATGCCGTTTCCGATTTGATTGCCAACTACAAAGTTACCTGGTCTTTCTGGAACATTTCTCCACTTGATTGTGGTATCTTCTTAGTTGCAGTTATAATTACTGTCTTCTCTTCTATTGAAAATGGTATTTACTTTGCTATTGCTGCTTCTGGTGTCATTTTGTTGTTCAGAGTTGCAAGGCCACAAGGGGTCTTTTTGGGTAAGATTAAGGTAGCTGAAGTAATCAATCCAATCATTGAAGGTGATTCTTTTGTTGAAGATAATTCCAGTATTCTGGATAACTCCAGCGATTCGCAAGATTTGGAAATCCATCAAGTCTTGCCCAAAGGCGCTTCATACCAAGCTACTGATTGCAGTAATTTGAAAATTGAAGACAGAGCCTCCAAAAAAAGTCTTGCTTCTGATATTCCAACTGCTCAACAATTGGCTCACCAAAACCCTCACATTAAATTCCACACAAGATGGGTTCCATTGACAAAGGAAAACATAAACAATGAACTAAATGTTCAACCACCTCCTCCAGGTGTTCTTGTTTTCAAGCCAGTTGAATCATTAACCTATCCTAACGTTTCTGTACAGGTTGACCGTATTTCCGATGAAGCAAAGAGATTGACTAGAAGAGGGAAGCCATTCGATACAACATCTGCTGGTTCCAGACCTTGGAATGATCCTGGTCCTCTTCAATGGAAATTCGGTAAACCTAAATGGTTCAGTAAAGATAAGAAGGAAGAGAAGAGAATCGTTGAAACTGTTGTTGATGAACGACCACTTTTACGTTTGGTTCATATTGATTTGTCTTCTGTTGCCTCCATTGATGTCACATCTATTCAAGCATTGATTGACTTGCGTAAGGCATTAAACAGGTACGCTGATAGAGAAGTTGAATTCCATTTTTCTGGTATTTTGTCTCCGTGGATTAGAAGAGGTTTGATTTCCGCAGGTTTTGGTTCTTACACTGCTGCTGATGTTGAAAGTGATGGAGCTGTTAGTGCCACTACTTACGTCAACATCGGTGCTTCTAACGACTTGGAATCTGCTTCTGCATCACCATATTATGCCGTCATTGGTACTGACACCCCATTTTTCCATTTGGACATTCCAGACTATTCATAAGAGTAATGGGTGTTCATTTTCAATTTGTATATTAGTCATAAACATATATTCAGTTCATACTAGTTTTTAGTATCATTTTATATTATTAATATTTTTGAAGGTTTCATTTTACATATTAGTTGCTGCATTTTGGAGTAAGGATTAGATCTAAATTTTATCAAGATCGGCTATCACCAAAGTCGTGTCATTTCCATAAAGCTTCTGTCAGATCCAAGTTAATTTTAACGCGTCTGCAGACAGAAAGGTATGTATGTACACGATATAAAAACCAGTGGTGACTGCTATGGTAGAGAAAGACGCGTCTAAAGAAACAATGGATACGGGTGAATTAACCGAAGAGGTTGCGATCGTGCTGGAGACGGTGGCTGGCAAATCTGGTTCTCGTAAACGAAAAGTAGACAACACAACTGATGAAGTGGAATCGAAAAAAAAGACAACGGAAGAAATGATCAAGAAACAAACCGAGAAGCATCGGTTAAAGGAATTGAGGGAAGCTGAAAGGATTGAAAGGGAAAAACGGAGGGAAGAAGACCGTTTACAGAAAGAAGAGGAGAAACAACGTAGACTTGAAGAACGTCAACGGAAGGAACAAGAAAGAGATTTGAAAAAGAAGCAAGCATTAGAAGAGAAGTTAGAAAAGGAACGTAAACGAGAGGAGGAGAAGTTGGAAAGAGAGCGGAAACGAGAAGAAGAAAGAATAAGGAAACAACATGAAAAGGATGAACGAGAACGTCAACGAATAAACAAGAAACTTAAACTTGAAGAAGAGAAACAACGCAAGGAACAAGAGAGACAAGAAGAATTAGAAAAGAAACGGAAGAAAGAAGATAGATCTCAGATGAAGATTTCAAATTTTTTTACCGTTAAATCATCAACATCTAAAGCCAACAACAAACCCATAACAACTTCAACTGAATTATCAGTATCCGAACTTAAGTCCGAAAGTCATGCCTTGAAACCAGATACCGGAAAGTGTTATGAAAAGAAGTTTTTGCCCTTCTTTGTGAAGGAAACAACGAGAATGAGTCCAACCATTTCACTTTCAGCTTCCAATCTTGCGAAATCAGTAGCTGATTTGGATAACCAATTGTTTGGTAAGGCTGAGGGTTACGACGATTATTTCCAAGGTATTTCAAAGTCCTTTTTGAGCCTTTCTAAAGTTACAACTTCTAATGAACTTGTTTCTGCAATTAACAGTTCCGATGTCACTGAATCACAGATCCAAGCGATGATAGCGAATTTACCACCTATAAAGTACTTGGAGTTCTATGAGAATGCAAAACCCCCATACATAGGAACATGGTGTTCCAGCAAACATATAGAGACAGTTTTGCCCATAGAAGACCCACTTAACGAAGCCATTACCGGGTTGGATTACACCTATGATTCAGATTTGGATTGGAATGAAGATGATGATGATGAAGGAGAAGACATTGATGAAGACGACGACGATGATGATGACGAAGAGGAAGATGAAGAGGAGATGGTTGACTTTTTAGATGATGAGGCAGGAGACGGGGGACCAAAGGAGAAAAGTAGAACAATACTAGGTCCACTTGTTGCCACATGTATTTGGGGAAGAAATGACAATGAAAATATTAATGATGATGATGATGATAATAATAATAATAATACATCTATTTTAGATACATTACGATATGAGATGCTTATACCGACCAAATTTCCTATTGAAATTGATAGGAATTATTGGGATGAAGCCAAATCTCCAAGTACGCCCAAGAAAGGGAATTCAGTAACTGAAGGAACCAAACCAATGATATCTGAGGATAAGGATATTTTCCAATTGATTCAATTCATAGAGAAGAACAACGAGTTTTCGGTGAATGTGCTTGTGGAGTTAGCAAAGAAAGAACTTGGTACCGCATACACCAAGGCGCTTGTTAAGAGTACAATTCAAGGTATAGCCACATATTCCAAGAAGGCAGGTAAATGGGAGATCAAGCTGGATATACGAAAAATGTATTTTTCAAAGTATGGGAAGAACGGACATAATACATAGACTACATTACAATATAGTATAATATGGCACAGCACAGTACAGTACAGCATAGTATAGTACAGTATAGTATAGTATAGTATAGTATAGTACAGTATAGTATAGTATAGTACAGTATAGTACAGTATAGTATAGTATAGTACAGTATAGTATAGTACAGTACAGTATAGTATAGTACAGTATAGTATAGTACAGTATACTGTAGTGCATTATGTCAAGTAACGTACAACCATACTATTTTCAATTTAGTTTATTCTATTTAGATTCCGCGATCTCACATTACCATACTATTAATGCAATGAACTACAACGATTGGACATCGATAAATACCCAACTCCAATCTGTTCATGAAGATACCGTTGATACAGAGAACCAAAAGATATCCGAAAGAGCCCTTACAACTCTGTGGAAACAGAGTCACAGTTATCATGAGCCACAAGTGAAGGTCTCTATTAAGAAAGGCAAAACCATCACCAAGACCAAACGGAATAGAAAGACTATGAGTGAGACGGTTAGAGAAGCCTTTGCTAAGGATAAATTGGGTTACTTTGGTAATCAATCCAAAATAGACGACTTTATAAGAGATTTAGGTAGTGGCACCTTACAATCAGATATACTGCCCCTGACATTGAGGAAGGGGGGACAACTACTACCTGGGAACATATTGTTTACTAGAGATGAATGGATTCATATTGTAAAGCAGACCAAGCTACGGTTCCCGGAGTTGCATCGTAAGGGGAAACAAACCCTTAAACGTGTCACTAGTCAAATGCAATTGGTCAAAAGCATTGGATCACCGTCGACTCAAACAAAAGATAATGATAACACCAATGATGATGATAGTAATGCTGATAGAGCATCTATGTGGTCCCAGGCGTCCACGTGCCCTGATGAAGAGTTAACTCCGAGTGAACTACGCTGGTTGTATGATTTACCGGATACACATCCCTGTTCTGATAACGAGCAAGTCTCAGTCGACGATGAAAGCTTCCATAACGACTTCCCTTATCTGTGTACACTTTCTCAAGCAATGAAACAATCTCATGATGTTGATATTATTCTGGATTCAGAGCCTGAACCGGAGCCTTTGAAGTTGGCTGATTTCAATCAATCAGTGGCAAGTTTTCGTTTTGATGATAGTTTAAGATTTAAAGAAGTACGAGATAGTTTTATTGGAGAACGTCAAGTAAAGGATAGTTTCACTGGGGGTTCATTAGTCAAAGATAGCTTTATTGGGGGTCCCTTCGTTAAAGATAGTTTCAAGGAGATGCCCGATGAGTTCAAGACTCCAACTAAGAAACTCGTTTCAATAAATCCAGAATCTGTTACCTCAACTATTTATTCTACGGCTGCGTCTACCTTGACCACTCCACAAAGTGGTAAGGGCATTGACCAGATTCTGGGAATCCTAGAGGATAGTAGCGAAGAAGTGAAAGAAGAAGAATCAAATAGTGGTGATGATTTCCTACCTTCTTCGTTCTCAGATGTTGTACTACAAAGAGCTGAAAGACCTCAGAACTTAGAACGGAAATCATACCGAATAGTGACAGTTCGAACTCCCTTGAAAATTAAAGATTACGATAATAAGGAGATGCATATCAAGGTACGTAACGTGGTACCAAAACAATTAGAAGCAAATGATCATAAAGAAGAATATGATGATGAAGAAGAAGAAGAAGATGTAATAAACGATTCACAAGATGAAGAAGAAGCAAATATTAGTATTATTGAGATCACGAGAGAACTTGAGCCACGACCACATCAACATCCACAATCAACACCATCACCACCACCACTTCCGACTACTGCTAGTACCAGAACCACCGTTGGAGTTGGAGTTTTTCAAGTGCCCTCAAGTACTAATAGTTCACCCATAAAGCCAGCATTATCATCAATTTATTCATCTATTAACAGTGGCGATTATTGAGTCATATATATTTCTTATAATCAGCTTCTATCTTATCATTTAGCAATGTCTTGTTGATCCATGTGAGGAGCTTGGTTGATAACCCAATATTGCAAATAAGAGTTCCCGGTCCGAAAACAAGATTATTGAGTATATTTCCATAAGGTTTATTATAGAGTACGTTTATGGCCCATTTGAGATGGTATATCCAACCAATTAACGCAACCATGGAAATTGACGTGAGCAAAAACGAATAGAACGCTCTAGACTTGGAGATATCGGACATTAGAAACGGATGAAAGTAGTAATATTAATTGTATAATAATAGCATTCTACATGGATAGTAACATTATGCTAGTGCCAGTCTTGAGATGACAAGGTTACCCCAGATAAACATGAGCCACACACGACCGAACACTCATGTGACAGCCTTGTGCAATAATTAGCAGGTTAACGGCTAACGATGACTGAACAACCTCAGTAATATTCATCATCATCACTTATGGAATGAACCGTAGTAAATTTCAGACCGATGATCTGGTGATAATCGAACCATCGTATTATTCCGATGGGATACCTGTGTTCCACCCGACGTCTAAACAGTTTGACAATTTTTATCAATTTAATAAGGCAATTAACAAATATGGTATGAAATCTGGTATCATTAAAGTCATCCCTCCGAGGAAATGGTTGGACCTGTTGGCCCATAATTATAGTGACGATCGAATCAATGGTATAAAAATAAGAAACCCCATAATCCAACATATACATGGCACTAGTAATGGGGTATACAGTCAACAAAATGTTGAACGGAATCGATCGTATAACATTTATCAGTGGAAGAAGATGTCTGAATCATCGGCTCATCAACCTCCAACATCTACCAGCTTATCAAGATCCAAGAGGGGTAATGCTGATCATGATCATAAACATAATAATGATAAAGACCATGATAATGCTAATCATGATAATGATGGAGCTTATCATTCTAAATTACCGGTAGATGGAAAAAAATTCAATATTGATACTTCCGAATTCACTAGCAAACGATGTCAAGCTCTTGAAAAGGTATACTGGAAATCTTTAACGTATACTGAACCAATGTATGGAGCAGATGTTTTAGGATCAATATTTGATGATACCATTACTAGTTGGAATGTTAATCATTTACCCAATGTTCTAGATTTGATGGAAGAAAAGGTTCCTGGGGTTAATGATGCATATTTATATGCTGGCTTATGGAAAGCTACTTTTGCCTGGCATTTGGAAGATCAAGACTTATATTCCATCAATTATATTCATTTTGGAGCCCCTAAACAATGGTACCTGATCCCTCAGAATCAAGAAACGAAGTTCTTTGAATTGATGAAACAAATCTATGATGATGAATGGCGTTCATGTCCGGAGTTCCTTCGTCACAAGACGTTCTTGGTATCACCACAGTTTTTGGATAAACATGGCATCAAATATAACAAAGTTATACACTATCAAGGAGAATTCATTATCACGTATCCTTATGGGTACCATGCTGGGTTTAACTATGGCTATAATCTAGCAGAATCCGTGAACTTTGCCTTGGATGATTGGTTCATCATTGGTGAAGTTGCAAATATCTGTCAATGTATTCCCGATGCAGTTCATATAAATATTAACGAACTCCGGTCTAAGTTTTATGGCACTCCTTGTATTCCTGACGACACCGACACTGATGACGACAAAGAAAAAGAAGAAGTACAACAATTAAATCCCAAAAAGAGATCAACGCCAGATCTGAAACGTTTATCATTGCATAAGAGTAAAAAAAGGGCGGGTCCCAAACTTACGCTTACCACAACTCAGTGTGGTTATTGTCCCCTACAACTTCACTATCTACTAAGAAGACTCCCATGGTTCAAACTAACGAAAGTACCGGACCTGGAACATTACGTTCACCAGATCTGCCATTTAATCCATTCCCAACCGTCAGCGTTGAAATGCACCCAATGTGGACTCAAATCAGACCATGGTGGTGTACTCCAATGCCAGGAACCAGGATGTAGGAAGTCGTATCACGTGACGTGTGGGTTGCAGCAGGGCAACTCGTTTGTTTGGGACAAGGAGTCACAACAACTAACTACACGGTGTCTACAACATCGACGTCAGCTTCGTGATATCAAATACGAACAGTTACTAACACTAGATTCAACTTCAATAGTACAATACGAGACTAGTGCAGCAGAAGTACGATGTGGATTGGTTGTGTTCAATGATCAACAAAATTTCCAACTTCAACTACTAAATTACCCTCAATTGGATAAAATTGAATCCGTACCTTATCGAGATGTGATAGTTGATGATGATTGGAACTACTTTTGGGTGAAGCAAAGGAAACTTACACTTTCGTTGAAAATGGACCGTACTATACATAAATAAATAGGTTATAATAAATAATATAATAAATAAAACAACAATTATAATTAGAGATGGTGGTAGTGGGAAACAAGGACATAAGGAGTCACACAATAACTGTAGTAAAATAAAATGAGTATAATGGTGTGTGGAGGGAATGGTCGGGGTTTTAGTAATTCGTTAAAGCAGTTTCATGCTAATATTCTATTCTCGTTATCAATCAAAAACTTCCGTATCTCCGAAAGGCTACCTGCCAATCTCTTGAAAATACAAACCTTCATATTTGCATCAAATAAATAATTCAAAATCAACTCTCCCATCTTCAACAAATACAAGAGACGTTCAAGACTAATGGTGGTCAGATGGGAAGAGTACATGAGAAACGATAATTCATCCAATTTAAACTTGGAATTATGGTATTTTATTCTCAAGTAGTTCTCAACCTTTTCAAGCAACTTCATCAACACCTCAAATTTGGCTGTAAATTGTTCAAGTGCTTGTGGGCTCTGATGGTTGGGGTTATTTGACAAATCGGAATGATTATTAATCCTCTTCAAAATATAAATCAGAATAATACTCAACACGGTGAAGGCATGGAAGATCATTTGAGAATGAATAGTATTTTTAGTATGGTCAAAATCTTCATGAATCACCAAGTTAAACATCTTCCCAAAATTAGAATAATCATCAGTAGATTCCTTTGATGATGATTGTCCAGTAAATAAATGGGCTAAAAAATCAATGTTTTGACCCACTGCAATGGCTTCCTCATTCAGCTTCTTTCTTCTTCTTCCTCCCTTAGCATTCTTGGCTGCTGTTTGCAGGCTAGCAGTAGTAGCAGCAGGAGCAACTGCAGAATCATTGTTTACAACAGCAGGATCGTCTCCATCTTCCGATTTACAAAGTACCAAACGAAGAATAATCAAACAACAATCAAACAACGTCAAATAATCTGCTTCACTGGTTTCACCAATTTTCATTAAACATTTGTTGTACTGGAGGGTCAACTCGTCAAAATTGCGCAACCAACTTTGTTCCTTGACATACTTCAAGTTGATCAAACTGTTGATCTTAACAAAATTCATCATCATTGCAAAGTCCAACTTCTCGTAATACTGTTGAACTTTCGATTGAGGACTAACAATATGTGACTTGGACATGGCAACCTTCTCAGTAACACTGTTAAGGATTTGAAATATGTTCACATTATGCATCTCAGGGTATTGTTTCAACTCATAGACTCCATGGATAATCGAGATTAAACCAAATTTACTCTGGTTGAAAAGTGAAAGCACAAGAGCATCACTATTTTCCAGTTTCCCTTCCTTCTCAAATGGCCATTCATTGGCATCTGAATGTTGTTGAGCCAATTGTTGAATGGTGTCTCTGAACGAAACATTAGGAGTTGTATCCAATAAATAGTCATCTAAGGTTTTCCCAACGTTTGAGTTTGTCAAATATTCTTGGAAAGCAAGATGATTAGAAAAGCTCCAGAGAAATTCTTCATTCTTGGTGGGCGGAGATATCAGTCCCAAATCATGGAACGAAAGCGTATGAGGTACATTGTACATCATTAAAAGGAAGTTAGTGAGTCTGTATATCATGAAAATGATTCTTATTTGTGATTGCACGTTAATGTTATTGCGGTATTTCATGTCATCATTGACGACTGTTTGATTGAAAAGCAAATTGTTTTCGGATGGTGCCAAATTAGAAGGATTATGGTTCACCATGTTATATTCAAATTCATCTTGTGGGCCAATGGCAAAAAGAATATTTCTGTTGGACCGAATCAGAGACTTCACCAAGGAATTCAAGGCATTCAATTGACGGATAACCACATACACATTATTCTCATTATCTGAAAATAAACCATATATCACAGAAAGAGTTAAACTTTGAATTAACCAGATGGGGTTTGAGCTAGACTGATCGTTATTCAGTTGTTCTAAATCCATTTGGTTTGTAGGTGGATTATTCTTTCTGGATTCCAAGTAGATATGAATAATCCGTCTCAGTGCTTCATACATGTGTTCCAGATCATTCTTGTTGTTACTAAGTAAAGCACCAATTGTTGCTATCAATAAAGGAAGGCAGACCCGAGCAGATTCAACTGATGAGTCTTCGTTAGAAGTCATTTGCATAATTTCAAATTCATTGAGCTTAGTTGGATGAATGAATGGGAAATGGGAAAGAAAGATTGTAACAAAACTATTCAAAAAGAATTCCAATTTTTCATTCAGTGGAATGGCAGGAGACATGATACCACTAATTGGATACTTTGAAAGAGCCTTATTAATCAAATGTCTCATATTTGTAGTGAACAATTTTGTTCTGGAATACTTTGTATTGGCAATCATTGAATCAATAGCCAATTTCTGATTACGCTTTGACAATGTTGACTTGAGTAACATGGACTGTGGGGTTGAGGCACTTGCGCCTGCACCAGTGCCGTTTGTACCATTGAGATTGTTGCTTCTGTTTCCCGAGGAGGATTCATATTGCGTTCTATTCAAAGTCTCATAACTCAAAGGGTATTGGTTACTCAAGAGACTATTGGAGCCTGTAGCATGATTGGGGGAGTTCATGCCGTTGGGGGAGCCAGTATCAATACCGGAAGAAGACACAGAGAGAATATCACCATAAAAGGAATATCCACCTGGAAGAAACTTAGATCCAACATCCAATTCGTTGGTTAACTCATCCATATCATTCAAGAAATTCAAATCCATATATTGCATATCGTTGCCCTTAACACCACCCATGTCGTGAACTTGCCCGCCCTCGGCATTGCTGCGAATACCATTGCCATTAGTGTTGTGATTAACTCCACTAGCAAAACTATCTTGATGGTGTTGGTGATCTGGAGATCCGGTTTCGGAATCCATTTCTTGTTTTATAGGAGTTAAACTCTTATAATTGTGGTTGAAACTCATGTGTGAGTTCATCAACATGGACTCGGGAATATCATAGAAAGAATACCCATATTCATTAACGTCATCGATTTTTGAACCAGGGGTATTGAAATCCGTAGAAGCACTTGCTGAACCCTTTCTTGCACTTCCAATAGCCAGAATACTTAGAGGGTTTCCCATTGGAGTTTCGACAGAATTGAGAAACGACGTATTAGAAGCAATGGAATCATCACGCATCATAGTACCTTGTTCCAAGAGGCTTAAACTAATAGAGTTGGTACGTAAATCAGAGGCATTTTGTGAACCACTTAAACGCATTGATTCATGAAGTATACCATTTCCATTATTCTCCTGAAGAGTCTTATCGTTCAAGTTGGGAATAGTCGACAAGTTATTTAACCAACTTGTTTCCTCCATGGTAGTGGTAGGCAATAATTGAGGAGTAGAAAACTCAATATTGTCCCGTTCAGGATACCGATCATTATTGAATCCGGGCATTGCCAGAGCATAGTTTGGTCCAGATTGAGCTGAAAATGAAACACCCCGACGACGGTTTGCAATTTGACGATCAAGCGAAACCCGTTTAGAAAATTGACTGGTTCCGGAGTTTGCCTTCGCAGTATCTGCAGAAGACTCTCTTCTAGAAGTACGAGAAGAGGAAGCAACGGAGTTGGAAGGTGTAAGCAAATCGTACTTCATCATTAAAGGTTTCTGTGGTACGTCCGTAGTGAAGAGATTAAGATTAAACTGAACGTCATCGCTCATGTCTCCGCCACCAGAAGTGTTCTTGGTTTCAGAGTTGTTGGATTCAGGTGCACCGGGTTCATCAACTCTGTCATCATCATCTTCCATATATTCATCCTCATCCTCTTCTTCTTCTTCATCATCGTTGTCGTTGGAACTTTTTCCGTCCTGGCGTTGTTCTGCGTCCAACTTTTTTATTGACTTACGACGTAATCTGGTGATAGCATCAGCACAGCCAGCATGAAGTTTTTGAGCATGTCTCAAGAGCAAATCACGACGGGAAAACTTACGTTGGCAAACACCACAAGTGAACGGTTTCTCTTTAGTATGAGACCGTTCGTGACGTCTCAAGTGTTCCAACCGTGCGAAAGCTCTGGTACATGTTTGACAGACAAAAAGCCTTGGCTTCCCTGAAGGGGTTGTTCCATAAGCCGTGAGTTCAACTGGGATATTCTTTCTAGGTTGTGATTTCGATTTAGATTTCCTGACAGCATTTGTGGTTGCCGGGATTTGTTGATGCTGTTGTTGCTGTTGCAGCTGAAGTTGTTGATGCTGTTGTTGCTGTTGCAGCTGAAGTTGTTGATGCTGTTGCTGTTGTTGCCCTTGTTGTGATACCTGTTGGTGTTCCAGTTCCAGTTGCTGGTGCTGCTGCTGCTGCTGCTGCATAGGGTAAGACAACGGGTTCTGCTGTGAAGTATTCAGCGAACCATTTTGGGGGGTTCCCATCTGATGAAAAGACATCTGCTGCAGTGTTGCAGATTGAAACTGGTTGGGCTGGTCACCAATTATTTCCATTGCTGTTGAGTCCATCTTATAGTCCAAGGGTAAAGAGTGCATTTTCACTTGTGAAAGCATGTTAATGACGACAGGCGCCGACGAATGGGAATTCGCGGTGGGTCTGATGAACCAAAGTGGTGTTGGCAGTGATGATGATGGCGGTGGGAGTTACAACCAAAACAAACTAATTGTAGCAGGTGGCAGCAATATTTTTAATATGGAGTGAAGATTGCGTTAGCGCCAAATGGAATGGACTCCAACGATTAAAGAAAAACTGGGGTTGAGTCAATACAAATAATTATCACCAAGTACAAAAACCGATCGAGTTACGTTGACAAAATAATTTTCTATGCCAAACGACACCAATGGATAACTTTACCCGACACGACACAGCTCGTACAGAACAGTCCACACAGGTAAGTGTAATTATTATTATTATTATATTGGTTTCTCAGACACTCCGACAGCGCGGAAATGATATATACACAGACACAAACAATCAAGCAATTAAATACTAGAAATAATTGAATTCTGTCTATAATAATAATCACAATATCAATTACAATGTCAATTATTATCGATTATGGAACAAAAAGATGTGTTTTCTATCGTTTAATCTGATCTCTGATGGGAGGATGAAATTACCAGGTCCATATCTAATTTCAATTGGTAAAGGAGTCCTGTGGAGTGGCTGTACATATTTGATAGAGAATTCCCTTAGTGTTATATAGCAGAATAGTGTCTGGGGAAATAATCTTAACATTGACAGAAAATACAATTGTGCAGGAGTCCGTGACATAAAATGAAATCACAACTCCGACACCCCCGCCGCCCTTTAGCTTATATCCGAATGGTGGCGGGTGACCAGGCAATGAATGCCAGTGTTAAAGGATGTTAAATGATACATTGTTAAGGATAACATTAAGGGAAACTAAGTAAAAATCTTACTTGAGACATTCTAAGTGGACAGGCTCAAATAGGTTAACTGAGCCGTGCCCTTAATTTTTTGTCTTAATTTTCTTAGGGGGTCCCTGTTGGGTTCCAAAGGCGAATGTTGGCAGCGACCCTAACAGCATAGGGTTTAAGAATATTTTTTATTGTACTATATATGGATTGTAGCAAGGTAATCATTATCAATGTATCACTAGTAACATCAAGTAACATCATGGTATGGATCAAACAATGAAACTTGACAGTGAAATTGCCAATTACAAAAGCGAGAATCAGGTACTACTGAATACACAAGCCTTTGTGATTCCGGAATACTTTGTAGTATTTAGTTGCTACGGAATACCTACGCCCCTCAATCTCTTTTATTCATTCCATGTCCGAAACCAAATGACCATCAGATAACATTAGAGCTATTCTTAACTTATACATTGTCGTTAGTTAACGGGCCAAAGGGTGTGTCAGAGCCCTGAAATAGAATCCAGTGACTAAACATTTTCTTACGCACACACACCCTTGTTCCATAACCGTTTTGTCTGTCTGGGCCCAACCGACAATTTATCTCACTACAACCCAGAAAGCAGTGATCAAAACAAATGTCGGATATTCCCCTCATTTCCACTTCTTTACGACTCAAAGACCCAACAAAGGAGGGGTTTGAAACATTGGACCACACACGTAGATCAAATTAGGAAGTCTAAGTGGGGTACTCGATATTAATTTTTTGTCTCTATATCCCAGTAAACTTTAGATGGTTTAAGCTCCATGTTGTGTGGTAGATCGATCGCATCGTACCTTGGGCCCCTGTTTCTTGTTAAAAGAATGTAATTGTATTATTCTGCCCTTCTTGCTTCCGGTCTACTTTTTACTACGTAAGTACTACGTTTTGCATTTACCGTGTGCCAGTAGAGATAATGTTTGTGGTATTATATATCATGACCAAAAAACACAATGCCATTCACGTGACTGTGCAAAGTCTTACATAATGATATGGCACCATAAAAGCACAGTCACGTGATTCTCTCAAATTTGTGTCGTTGATCATTGGTAGCATGCTGAAGATTGTGGTCTACTCTCTCTCATCGAAGATATTTTTCATTATTAAGCATCCATCCTTGATCAGATCAACTGCTAATCAACCTCATCTAATTATATTCCATACCTTCATCTCCCTTACCATCTTATCTTTACATTTGGTCCAACTCATCCACATTGATTACATAATATAGTATCATCTTGCCAATCATGAGTATCGTTGAGATTGAATCAGAAGATCAATTCACAAAGTTGACTAAATCAGATCCTACAAAGTTGATTGCCCTCTATTTCCATACACCATGGGCTGCACCTTGTCAAACTATGAATGCGGTGATTAAAACTTTGGCTCAGGCTAACCCCACTACATTATTCTTGTCTATTGATGCCGATAAATTGGGAGATATTAGTGAATTATTTGAAGTATCCGCTGTTCCATATTTCATCTTAATCCGTAATTCAACAATATTAAAGGAATTATCTGGAGCTGATCCAAAGGAGTTCATTGCTGCTTTAAATCAATTTGGTGATAAACCTTCAACGAATCAAGAAACAAATTCATCTGCATCGATATCTGCTGCTACAGATGCCGCAACGTCAGTACCACAAGAATCATCTGCTTCCCAAAATGGTGCTCATGAAGAAGAATCTGCTGATGCATTAGATGAAAGATTAAAGAAACTCACAACTGCCGCTCCAGTAATGCTTTTCATGAAGGGTTCACCCCTGGCTCCACAATGTGGATTCCTGAGACAATTGGTAGCTATATTGAGAGAGCATCAAGTAAGGTTTGGCTTTTTCGATATTCTTAAAGATGATTCTGTTAGACAAGGTTTAAAGACTTTTAGTGATTGGCCAACTTTCCCTCAATTATATGTTAATGGAGAATTCCAAGGAGGTTTGGATATCATTAAGGAATCTCTTGCGGATGACCCAGAATTCTTTGAAAATGCCTTGAAGGCTCAATAATAATGATTATATAAATCAAAATATATATATCATGTACAATTCCCATTTATAGACTATATTACTTTCTCTGTGTATGTTTGCCGAATAATTCCCTGTGACATGAGTAAATCCAAATCTGAATCACTCAGTAATGAATCGTATGTATCATCAAGTTTTTTATCGTTATCGTTATGTTCTTTCATAGTTTGGTTGATATCTGAATCATCATCCGAATCATCTGTCAACATTGCCTCAAGTGTCCCTGTTAATTTGGCTTCCATTGTGCTATCACTATCTTCGATAGGATCACTTAATTCACCTTCATTATCATCGCTATCTTCATTTTCTTTTAATTTTTTCTGTATGATTTCCCAAGTAAAATGGTCCATTTGATCACCATCTTCCTCTTGAGTTTCTCCATCACCAAACATGAGGGGACGCGTATCTTCATCACCAGAAAGTCTAATATCGCCTCCTATTCGTCGATAACGGTATTTACTTCGTTTTCCTGTAAGATACTTGTATCGAAAGGAATTGTATATCTGCGGTACAAAGAACCCGTCAACTAAGTTGACATCACAAGAAGAGACCCTAATGTTGCCAATGAATCGTCTGTAATCAGATATTTGTATTGCCGATTGCCTTGCTCGACTCATAACTTTATATTGACGTGGGAATCTGATTCGATCGCGACGAATGGAACCATCTCGTGGTATTCGAGAAAACGAGTGCCGCACTGAACTGATAGATGCTTCAGGCATTCGAATAATGTCTCCGTCTCCCAACAGCCTCAAAATTCCTTGAGCTGCTTCAATTGGAAAGGTACCATTGTTATACATTTGGTAATTCTCAAAAACAGTGGATTCAAGAAGCAGGAGATCATTATACAGAGTCAAAACATGTTGGAGTGTAATTTCATCTGATTCATCTTTGATCGACCCATACATAATTTTACCAAGCGAATGGAAAAGCTCCAACCCATTTTCACGTCTAAACATTTCATCAGTTACAACCTGTTTTCCCAAACGACTCCAAGTTTGTAAATTTGCAATTATTGCTCGAATATCCCCTAAGTCTATAATTGAGTCAATAAATGTATTAATATTTTCTCTACCAATTCCCCAAAGTCCACCACCTCGTATTGATTCTTTTGCAACCACCTCCCCTACTGATTTCCGTATAAACTTCGCCGCGATCTTATTTACTTTAATCCATTCTACCGCGTGGTGCGATAATATCCATCGCGGAAGTAATGAATCGATCGTTAGTCCACCACCATCAATATCGTCCACTTCAGTTAAACTTAACACCAATGGTGGGACAGGTCGAGTATCGCAAACCCATTGCAGAATGGCGGATCGAAATCGATTCAATGTACCCTTGTGGAATACATTAGGCAATTCTTCTACAAGAACTACCCGTAATGAATTCCCAATACGATATCGTATGCCTTGAAGCCAATCGTCGAATTCTCCCTCGGCGCCTGAAACTTCTTCGTATGAGATCACAGATTCAGAAGCTGATCCCTCGAGTACTTGTCCCGCAAGTTGTAACACGGCTGTAGATTTACTTGACCCGGCCGGACCTGACAATATCAAAAGTCTCTTTTCGCCATTCACTAGTCGATTTAATGCTTGTTGAATCTGCTTTAGTTTTTGAGGGTTCATGCAAACTTGTGGAACTGATTGAGGCGAATATTTGTCTATCCATTGATCTAAAATAGGTTCCAACTGTCGCACCTTTGGTCGACTGGCGACATCTTCAATCACCTCATCTGAAAGATCATCTGAAACGTCGCTTGTGTTGGCATCTTTCACGACATTCCGCTTACGCTTCATTGATGATGATGATAAATTAGATTTCTCTATGTATTTTTCGTAAGCACCAAATTAATAGTGAACTGAGAAGACTATATACACTCACTCATAATTATATGTCTACAAAGTATCACCAGAATATAAAGATGAAAGCATATATGAATAACATATACAAATAACATATACAGACTACACAAAATATAAAACACCCAAAAGTTTTAATTGAGACCGTTAACATGCATAAGACATAAGCGACTAATTACATCATTCGCAAAACATGAGAGTGCGAATAACTCAACTAGCTGAAGCGATTGTGCTCTTCAATCACTTTGGTACCTAGTACCAATTGGGGTACTGTGAAGTGTTTTGATAACCACCGTATTGAGGATACTGTTGGTAACCATATTGAGGAACTATAGGTTGTTGAGGAACCTGTTGTTGGCCATGAGAACCAACAGGTTGTGCGTTCCCTTGTTGTTGTTGACCAGAGGGAGCATCACCTTCAGTTGCATTGGTACTGCCGCTAGCAGAAGCTGGTTGGGATTGACCATTGGATTGAGGAGCCTGTTGAGGATATCCTGAACTGTAGCCAGGGTATCTGTTGTTGTATTGGTTTGGTTGAACATAGTATTGAGAGTTGGCAGCACCATTACCAGCATAACCGTTGTTAACAGCAGTTTGGTTAGTACCTTGAATAGCACCGGTTTGAGCGCCTTGAGTACCAAATCCACTTTGAGCACCAAGTCCATTGTTAGCATAGAATGGAGTGTTGTAATAGTAGTTGAAGTATGGGTACCCGAATGGAGCAGTAGGCACTTGTTGTTGCAAGTTATTGGGGTTTACAACAGGAGATTGTGAAGTAGCATCTTGAGAAGTGGTAGCTTGACTTTGAGTGGCAGGTTGAGTGTATTGACCATAGGCAGTGTTCGCGTTAGTAGCGGCTGGGGATGCAGAAGGCTGTGTGTATGCACTGTAGTCCATACCTGGATATCCAAATTGGTTACCAGGTAATTGGGTTTGTTGAGGGTATTGTTGTTGTTGGAATTGAGAGTAGTAATCGTATTGTTGTTGAGGTTGTTGCTTGGACTGACTGTATTGTTGAGGTTGTTGGTAAACTTGTTGACTATATCTATTTTGGTTGTTGTAGTATCCATATCTCTGTTGTTGTTGTTGAGGGACAGTTTGAGATTGTTGTTGTTGTTGTTGCTGTTGTTGTTGTTGTTGTTGGGAAGGAGCAGAAGCACTGGTTTGAACTTCTTGAACAGCTTCTTGAGTTTCAGCTTCCTTTTCCTCTTCACCTAATGATAATGAACCAAAGGAGACACCTACGGTGTTAAGTTGTTGGGTAGAAGTAGGTAATATCACTTGAGGCTCGGGAGCAGAGACAATACCTGGGGCAACAGATACTGGTTCAGGTACATTAGCAGATGGGATAGAAACTGGTTCGGCAACAGGAGCAACTTCGGTAATTGGTTCTTGGATTTCAACAGAGACTTCTTGAACTTCTTGAGCTTCCTGAACTTGTTCAGGTTCTGGGACGGACTCAGTAGCAGACACAGCTGGAACAGAGACTTCCTCTTCCTTAGCTGGTACTTCAGCAGATTCTTCTTCTTCCTTTGATTGTTCAACTGGGCTTTCTACGGACTTGGTCTTTGGCTTTTGAGCTGAAGCAATGGCAGATGCCCATGATGCACCAGGCTGGGCTTTAGCAGTTGGAGCTTGCTTAGGAGTAGATTTGGTCTCTTCTACAGGTTTTGTTTCCTCCAAGGACTCGGATTCTCCTGCTGGTTCTTCAGCAACTTGTTCAGAGACTTCTACGTTTTGTTCTTCAACGACTGGTTCTTGAGCTTTTTCCATTGTCTTTGGCTTTGGTTTCTTATCAGCAGATAACGCAGCTGCCCACGAGTTAGCTGGAACGGATGGAGCAGATGCAGTTGAAGTAGATGAAGATGTAGATGCAGGGGCTGATGAGCCAGTAGAACCTTCCTTTTTGGAGGCATCCTTAGATTGCTTTGGTCTAGCTGATCTTTCTGGTCTTTCTCTTCTAGCTGACTTTGCATATGCATTGGACGAATTGTATGAATTGTTATTGTTGTTGCTAGTGTTGGTAGTGGAGGTTGAAGAAAACTTGTTATGCTTGTGATGGTGATGGTCTTGGCCTGTTTGCAGTTGACCTGCAGAAATGTTACTTTCAGAAGGAGTAGATTCTTCGGTGTCAATACTTTCTTTCTTCTTGTTTCTGACTTCCTTCTTTATAGGTTCCCACTTAGATACCTTGTTATTGACGATCAAGTCGATGACTGTTTCCAAGTCATTTCTATTTTCGGCAAGTAAAGTCTTCAAGTCTTCTGCTTCCCAATCCGGAAACATCTCTGACAATGTGGTTAATTCCACCGATTGTGCTGAGGTAGACCCTTGTGAGTGGAATCTCTTCAGATGATTCTTATATGGTTTTCGCTGTGCCGAGGATGACATGTTTAAGTGGCAAAGTATATGTGAATTAGACTAGAGCAAATGCTAAAGTTAAATTGGAAATTAGTTGATATTCAAAGTCAATAGGCAATTGATAATAGTGTCAAATGGGTTCAACTGCACCTGCCACTTAAATTCAATGTGGATAGGCGTTTAAACCGTGAATAAGCACTAGCTTCTCAAAAAGCCACAATTGGGTCGTCAAAATTATCCGATGAAGAATCGAGTTTCACGCGTTTGAAAGTCGCTTCGAATTTGGTAAATTAAAGAGCTCTTTCGTCAAGTATCACGAAGTAGCCCTAAATGGTACTTAATGTATCCCGTAGATGGTATTCTGAAAGGAAGAGTGTCAACACTTAAAACGGACATTTTTGTATTCAAACAAAAAATAAGTTCACAAAAAAATTTTCTTCAACGTTAAAATAGTCACGTGATTCTATAAAGCTTCGCTTATGTAACTTGTTAAGTAATAAATTTTATAATTTAAGATAATTTACTTCAATGATCAAGGACTTTAACTAAAAGAGATGATGTATTGGATTCTTTCAATCCATGAACAAGTGGTTCAACAACTTTGGTTGCTACTGATTCGAACAAAGTAGCAATCAAAGGTTTCAATTCATCACCAGTTTGTTTGAAGTCAGGGTAAGCATTCACCTCAAGTAATGTTGGGCGGCCAGTGGCATCCACAAGAAAGTCAATTCCGTAAATTTCAAGAGCATTTTGCATAGGTTGAAAGTTCATTTTATCTACACTAGTAGCAGCTTCAAATAATTCGCCAACGACAGTACATACTTGTTGAAATACGGTTTCTTGCTGTGTGCGGCTGAGGCCATTTAATTCCCAAAATGGAACCACTAGCGGTGCTTCCAGTTCTTGGAGACACGTATTTGTCAAATGTCCAGCAAGATCTATGACATCACTTTCGATCTCACTGTGGTCACTGGCAGAAGGTAATTGGAATGGAGTATCAGCAAACAAGGCTAAAATGTTACGATAAACATAAACCTTTAAGTCTCCTTGACACACCACGTATACACGTAAATGGAACTTCTTATTATCGTAGGCTGATAGCAATAAGGGATTGGTTTGATATTCTTGTACAACGAAATGACGTAATTGAGATATTATAATACCATTCTTATCATCATCTTCTGCTTCCCCTTCATCTTCACCATCTGAATCATTTCCTTCAAAAGAGTCAAAAATTGCTTGTAATTGGTCAATAGTTTGGAATAATCTAATTCCCTGGCCCTTGTCACTCATACTTGGCTTTAAGATCCATGTTTTAGTACCATTTTCGATCTCATCACGAAGCTCATAGGCATCGTCCAATGCATCATCTAAAAACTCAGCATAATCAACTTCCAAAGTATATGTATCAGGGAACCTGGTCTTCAATAAAGAGTCTGGATTCTTAGCAACATAGTATCTGATTGTATTACTCAAATAATGTTTCCGAATTAACCCCTTACGATAGATATAAGAGCAAACAAAATAATTGGCAGAATCACTTGTAATGAGATCAAGATTCAAATCTTCATATTCCCCAAAATGTACTACCTTGTTACTTCTTGAACCGACCGTTTCGTAGGCTATCTTGGGATCTGTGACAATAGTGAAATACTTCAGAAGGGCTTCTATAAGTGGTCTATAAATGTACGATGATTTGGGAAACGTAATAAGAGCAAAATCATGTTTCTGACTTGTTTGCTCTGCAATAACCTCTTTTTCGTTAATTTCATCGTCATTATCTAAGTAAATTTCTCCACTTAACGGGTTTGCTATTTTGAAAGTGGCCTTTAATGGAGTTACACTTACACCCTCATCAAGAAGTACTCTGCTGTCTGTGTGTTCTGTATCTTCCAAGCCATCCTTGTATACTTTCTTGAAATCTGGAGTCCATGCAAATTGGGTCTGACCACCTTCATTTTTCTCCAGCATAGGAGTGTAAATTGAATTCCAATAGTTCAATAAGATTGGAGCGTAATGAATACGGGTTTTCCCTGCTTTAAGACTTGGAATCAAAGGAACATTAACAGAATATAGATCCACATCTTCATTATCTTTCAAATCTGGATAAAGTTTTGCGATCAACTTCACTGAGATCTTTGCGGCCTCTTTTAATGTGTCGAAATCATGGTCTAAATTATTGAAAGCATAAGAAAGTGCAATAGCTTTAACCCCATGGGTCACTGCCTCCATGGCAGCCCCCACAGTTCCACTGGCAAGAATATACAAATTGGACGAATTCTTTCCAAAGTTGGGACCACTTATAACTAAATCAATTGGACCCTTTTGGCCATATAAATGATGGATTCCCACATCAGCACAAGCTGCTGGAGTGGAATCTAAAAGAGTCCATTCTTGATACTGTGGCAGCGACTGAAATTTCTCTTGGGGTGAAGGGAATGGGCCTTCAAAGGCATTTATCGCATTGTTTTTTGTTTCTGTCAGTATCTTGGTGTATATGTACGATGTTGTTAGCGTTTTCCCGGCGAAATGGGCTTTCCCGATCCATGAACGTTGTTGATCTGGCACAATGATTGAGAGATCCCACGAAGTCTGGGTAAGTATGGCATCCACAAGATATTTCATGTACGGGCAAGTGGCATCGTCCAAGGGACCGTCATCATTGGTAAGAAGAACGTGCATAATGATATGTGTAGTAAGGTATCAGTATTTACTCTATAGTAAATTTTCGATGTGACTATCTAATACAATTAGCTGTGCATCACCTAAGATTACTATCAGATGTAGTGATCATAGATCGATTCTTATTTTTCGCTGTCGCATTATACCAAAATAGATCGTGCGGTGGTGGGAAAAAATTTCAAAGCTCAATGATTTGAAAGAAAACAACATTGGCTACTCTTACATTCAACTAAAGCACAAAGACATTACATTTCGAGGACTAGTAACACGTTCATTCTGTCGGTCAACAACATTGAATATTTACAACGTTTGCGGAGTATCAAGCGAAACAATCCGATTAATCGAGTTTTGGTGTGATCTTTCAATTCATTGCCTTTCCTAATTAATATCTAGTTATAATTACATAGTCATAATGTCTCTTTTCATTGGAAATGTCAACCAATATAGTTATGCGAGGGTAGATCCTACGAAGATAGCTGCTGCACAACTCCAATATGAAGCCATGTCGGCCACCTTTAACCGTCTTCTCATAACATGTCAAGAAAAGTGTATTCTTGCTGAATACGGTGAGGGTGATTTAAACACTGGAGAGCAAAGTTGCATCGATAGATGTGTAAGCAAATACGTCAAGGCTAACATTGTGGTTGGGAAGGTATTCCTGGACTTGAACTATGATGCTACCCGTGACATGCCTGAGCATCGTATTATTCAAAGAGAACTTTCAAAGATTGAAAGCAGCAGCCGATAGTCGATTATAACTCATGAGTTTACGAAGAACGTGTACATAGAAACGGCGAGCAAGCCAAGGGGATTATGGTCATTTTTTAGATCCATTAGGGAAATAAATATACTACTTTCATTTCAACGAGTATAAGTATTAACATTAATGATGGAGAGCGTACTATAGAGGATAATTTTTCATTTGAAATACAAGGTATTATAAGTTTCATAAGAACTCATCTATTCATGAAATAAACGTCCTGGTATACAAATATTATATATATATAAGACATAAAAGATAAACGGTTAAAACCAGTTTAAGGATACAGGTCTTGCCTCATTTACAATTGACCCTTGGCGTGGAAAGTAGACAAAGCTTCAGAGATTCTCTTAGTCATAGTCTTTTCACCTTCTCTAACCCAGACTCTTGGGTCAAAGTACTTCTTGTTTGGCTTGTCTTCACCATCTGGGTTACCAACCATGGACAAGATGTAATCCTTCTTGTTCAAGACGTAGTCACGGATACCAGTCAAGTAAGCGTATTGACAGTCAGTATCCAAGTTAACCTTAACAACACCGTTAGAGATAGCAGTGTCGAACTCAGCTTGAGTGGAACCAGAACCACCGTGGAAGACTAAGAACAATGGGTGGTCAGATGCAGACTTGATTTGAGCCTTAGCGTACTTTTGGTGGTCACCCAAGATTTGAGGAGACAAGACAACATTACCTGGCTTGTAGACACCGTGAACGTTACCGAAAGCAGCGGCAATGGAGAAGTTAGGAGAAATCTTGGACAAAGCTTCGTAGACAGCAAAGACGGTTTCAGGAGTAGTGTACAAGGAGTCCTTGTCAACGTTTTCGTTGTTAACACCATCTTCTTCACCACCGGTGATACCAATTTCCATTTCCAACCATTGGTTCATCTTAGCCATCTTGGTGAAGTATTTAACACAAGTAGAAATGTTTTCGTCATCATTTTCTTCAGACAAATCCAACATATGAGAGGAGAACAATGGGGTACCAAACTTTTCAAAGTGAGCTTCATCAGCAGCAATCATACCGTCGAACCATGGCAATAACTTCTTAGCACAGTGATCGGTGTGTAAAACAACTGGGATACCGTAAGTTGGAGCAATTGAGATGATGTAGTTAGCAGCGGCAATGGAACCAGCAATTGAAGCAGCTTGGTCCTTGTTGTCAACACCCTTACCGGCAAAGTAAGCAGCACCACCTTGAGAAGTTTGCAAGATGATAGGAGCCTTGGCATCTCTAGCAGCTTCCAAAGCAGAAACTACAGTGGAAGATGAAGTAACGTTAATGGCTGGGATAGCGAAACCCTTTTCTTGAGCGTACAAGAACAAGTCTCTGACATCATCACCGTAGATGACACCGGACTTCTTTAAAACTGCTGGAGGAGCCATTGTATATATATTATTATGATCTTTATGTGTTGGAAAACTGGGTAACTAAATCAGAATTAACATGAGAAATTGTGAGAATTCCCCAACTATTTATACCATTCAACCGGACGAACGAAACACACCAACGTTTCTGCTATATGAGGTGAGTTTAGTATGGTAATGCATATAATCCGCTCTCATGACGGGCCGTCGTGGTACGGTGTGAAGTCCGAGGTATGCATACAACTGTATATCTACAAAAGCCATAATATACCGACCGACAGGTGAGTTTGTAATAATTTTACATTTAACCTACCAATCCGTATGATGTAAGGGTTACCTTATACAGACACAATCAAAATTTTCCAATCAATTACTGTTAGAATTCACAAACATTGAATGGTAATTTGACTTGGTGCAAAAGGTTTTTTCGCACAGTGGATCACAATGCCCCGGAGAATTGCATACTAAATTATTCAGTGGTTTCACCGGTGTTAGATATAGTAAGAAATAGTATGTACAACTAGCAATTCAGTGTATGTTCAATTGATTCTAGCTGAATGCATTATGATCATGATTACATACATATAGAAATCATCTGTTTCTTTGTATCTATGTATGTATGAATGTATGTATGTAAGCTTCAAGCTCACCTTATCTTTTAGGTCCTTTTAAGCGGATAACGTGTAATAGCATACTAAGCTTCTATTCTCTTACATGACCCAATATCCCTAATGCGTTTACAGGAGATTAACTATTTCCACCCACGACTTTCTGTGGTGATCGCACTACTTATCTTCAGTTCAGGCTTCCAGAATTTTTCACTTTCCTTCTACACCTAGCTCTCTTCCCAATAAGGTACTATTTGTGGAGTAGCAAGCCCCTAAACCCCGGCCACGTTCGTGATAACGTTATAAAGCATCGTACTAATGCCGAAAAGGATATAAGGTATTTGAGGGCCGCAAAACACTTCACCCGAATCCACCCGCAAACTCCCGGGCTTGTGCGAGTTTCCCCACCTTTCACCAAAGTAGTGGTATACTGTATTGATCGTAATAACCATGGCAACTATTGTACCTACAGCAGTATATGTAATTGGCTTTAAAGTGTATTTGATATAATCATGCTATTATCATCGAAATTAGACGGAGTTTACCTTGAGTTGGAAATCCAAAACTATTGTTTCTGTTAAATTTAGTACTATTACAATGAATGAAATCCATTTGTCCCAATTTCCCTTAAGTCTAGTAATTTTAGCATCTACTGATTAATAACTATTTTCATTACCTCTTTACTATGACTGATTTGGGTATTTGATGAAACTAAGTAGTTGTAAGAAGTGCTGCAATGACTATAACAGATCAATGTCCTTATTGTTCCAAGTGAGTATGCAATCAGACATTTTAATCTGATATACTAACTAACGTAATGTACAAACATGTTAACTGCCACAGCATACAGAGAAAGGTTCAGCTAGATTTATTTTCACTAAGATATTTTACACGATTTTGATCAATTTTGATCAATTGGTTCTAAAATGAGTGTATACCCAGTTTAGCATCAATCCATTTTAAACACGAAATAAACAGCATGAGCGATGTTTTTCTTTGATATAACCTTACAATTTGTACATCTTTAACTGGATGGTAGTTTACTTCTTCGGTAGGGTGTCGTATATTTTGTTGCAGCCATTATACTGTACCCACTTGCACGACTTTAGACTTCGCATGCATCGAAATCTAGTACAGGTAATCATGCGCGACACAGATTCAATTTTAGGGACAAATAAATGTACTACGAAATCCTTAACATCAATGATAACTGATTATCCTAAGCGGACAATCAAAGTCTAATTCTGCGTAGATTAAGTTCATGATGCAATGTGATGTAACCGAGTATATGATCGTTAGTCGTACTTCTACCTCAACCCTACCTCCACTTTTACACATTGCACATCAATCTAATTATTCACTGTTCATGACTATGTCTATCAGTCTTCAACTGCACCTTAATTAACCGTAAAATAGTACCAGGATACAGAAATGAAACTGAAGCATATTATCACTCAGCAACAACGAGTTCAACTTACACTACTATTAATATAAAGGCTGTTTACTCGAATTTCCTTATTACATTCTTGGTAGTGGTGTATCTCTTTTAACATAGTTTGGTCCACGACCCGTAATTTCCGTTGAGTAAAGTGAATTATTAGATAACACAGGGAAATATACTTTAACCTTTGAAGAACGCCAGCACACTACCAACAAGAACAAGTGTAACCTTTCACTTATTACGCTATTACCAAATCCAAATCACTTCTTCACATTAGAGCTTCCATTTGATTAGACGTTTGTTCTAATTGATTTCGACCAATATTTCTGCGCTCAGTTTTTCTCCCGGTTATTTAAGGAACCACGGGTAATCTCCAGTTGCCATAGTCTTTCAACTTATAAAGAAAATACAATTTCCATTTTTAATATGTCTATGGCTTCATCTTCATCATGGACATCGTTCCTCAAATCCATTGCATCGTTCAATGGTGATTTGTCCAGCTTGACTGCTCCTCCCTTTATTTTATCCCCTTATTCACTTACGGAATACAGTGAATATTGGGCAGAACATCCTGACTTATTGATAGCCCCTAACTTTATTTGCTTGGAACCCGGTATGACTTCTAGTGAGTCTGCTAGGACTGCCATGGAATTGAAGCGTATGATTGCAGTCACTCGGTGGTTTATCTCAACTTTGAGATCACAATACTGCTCTCGTAACGAAAGTATGGGTACCGAAAAGAAGCCTTTGAACCCCTTTCTAGGTGAAGTTTTTGTTGGAAAATGGGACGATAAATCATCTGAAAAGAATTTGGGTGAAACATTTCTTTTAAGTGAACAAGTAAGTCACCACCCCCCTGAAACTGGTTACGCCATTGTAAACAAGAAGAACAAGGTTACTTTACAAGGTTATAATGGTATTAGAACTTGGTTCTCCACTACTACTTTAAACATCAAGCAATATGGTCATGCTCTTTTATCCTATGGTGAATTGGATGAAACATATTTGGTGACCTTACCTCCTTTACACATTGAAGGTTTAATTACTGCTAGTCCATTTGTTGAATTGGATGGTACCAGTTATATTCAAGCCAGTAATGGACTTATTGCGGTCATTGAATATAGTGGCCGTGGTTACTTTAGTGGTAAGAAGAATTCTTTCAAGGCCCGTATTTTTAGGGACCAATTGAGCGCACAATCCAAAGAGAATGCGTTGGTATCAATAGCAGGTCAATGGAGTGGTAAATCTTATATATGTAAGGGATACGGTAGCCCCCTGAGTAAAGGTGACCAATTATTCCATGACGCTCAATGGAAGCAAGCTGAAGGGTTGACCGTAAAACCAATCGAAGAGCAACATCCATTGGAAACAAGAAAAGCATGGAAAAAAGTGGCCGATGCAATCAAGGCTGCTGATTATGACTTGATTGCCAAAGAAAAGACAATTATTGAAAACCAGCAAAGAGAAATGAGAAAGAAGGAAGCTGAAAACGAAACCAAATGGGAACAAAGATGGTTCGACCCCGTTGACTATACTAGTCTGGAAGGAGCACCTGATGATAGATTCTTAAGTTTGGCTGATATGGCTAATTTGTCTTCCGGAAATGTTCCAAGTGGTACTACTAAGGGTTCAAAGTATGACGTGCCATCCACTACTGAAAATATGAAACATTGGAGACTTAACTTGGAGAAGTGGGAGAAGGAAACAGAAATTAAGCTCTGAATTACCTAGTAAGCTTGATACTTGTTTAGTTTCACCAATGGATCATGATGAAGACCTATGAACTACTTTATTTAACTTACATCTACACCCTTTTTTAGTATACATGTTTCCATAATCATTAAATATTATTAACATATTGTTGCTTTGAATGACAATAGTGTAAAATAATGAAGGTGAGAGGTTTGGAATGTTTAATATGGGCTGTAGCTATTTAGTATGCAAATAATTATATCTTTAATTATTGGTGACTTATACGCAAGATAAGGGCTTTACCCTACAATATCACGTTAAAGTATAATTTATCACGTGTAAAGTTTGGTGACTGCACACTGTTTAGATTTTAAGTTTTTCTTAAGTTGGTTGTGACTGACATACTTAAGTAAGTTATAGTCACGAGATTATTCACGTGAGTTTTAGGTATTTTTGTATCACAATAACTAAGTTATTGTTCCTTGCACGACTGTAAACCAAGTCAAATTGGGTGAGTACTAGCTTCTCGCTTTGTGGCATTTTTCGCACACTAGTGCTAGAATCAGTTAGCAGTGAGGTTTGGTACTGGGACTCTTCTGAAAAATTTTCTCCTAAATATCGTTTTCCTCTATTTAGAGAAATTTCTTTCTTCTACCTTTGGTTAATCGTTATAATACCATAGTTATCCAGACACAATGGCTGAATCTCATAGATGTATGTGCTTATACAGTTATTCAAAGAGTGTTGAACACTGATTAGCAAGGGAGTAGTGATGGAGTGAAACTTTGTAAAAGGTTTACATATAGTTGAACCAAGATATACTACTCTACCAGTGAAATATTACAATGTGGAAAATAAAAATATGATTTGAACATCTTCCTAAGAAATAGAATCTGCTAGTTGTATTAAAGAGTGAAGTTTTCATTACGGATTTTAGTACTGGCCTTTGTTCTATTCCATGTTCAAGATTTACATGGCCATTCCATTCAAAATTCAAGTTTTTGAAAATATTTTGAATTCGGCAAAAGAAGAGTAACCGATATGCCAGTTGAAGCATTCATTCCAAAGTGTATCCAAATCTCCATTGACCTCCAACTTTGCAAATCAGTTATATTGAGCACTCATGAAAAGTATTTTTTCAGTTACTAACAATTATATTTAGTATACGTTAAGGGTAGACACGTTTCTTACCAAAGATCCAAGAACGTTAGCAACCCTAACGTTTCCTTGATTCAAATCGAAGGTGTTGCCAGCCCTGCTGAAGCCAAGTTCTACTTGGGTAAGAGAATTGCTTACGTTTACAGAGCCTCTACTCCTATCAGAGGTTCCAAGATCAGAGTCATCTGGGGTAAGGTCACCAGAACCCACGGTAACAACGGTTTGGTCAGAGCTAACTTTAAGAAGAACTTGCCAACCAAGACCTTAGGTGCTTCCGTCAGAGTTATGCTTTACCCTTCCAACATCTAAATGAACTAATGAGGTTGTCTTAGTTCACAAACATTTGATTATTATGGATTTGGGAGTATGAAAAGGTTTATTATACATACTTGTTGGTTTTTGCATTACACATTCTTTTCTAAAGACAATCTCTATTCCTTTTCGAATGCTTTGTGAATCATGCGGTTCATTTAATGTTTTTTTGGGGTTCGATTGGGGATCGTGATTATACAAATGTTGAAGTTGGTTTGCATTGATCGTTATGTTTTTCTAGTACATGGAACTAATGTTTTGGTGCCTTTCATTTCTTCTTCATTTGGTGCAATTGAAAATCAAATTTAAAAAGTGAAATCTTCTAATAATCTTCTTTTTGTCTATGTACTTATATATATAATGTTAAATTAAAAAACATTCACGTCAAGTTTTGCAAATTGTAAGCGGTAAAGTGTTGAGTAAGTCGATGAAGATTTATTCGATTCAATGAGATCACGTGACCATTACTTGGTACCACGTAGGAACAAGTTCCCTTTTGAACGAGTTTGACAGTCACCAATGATTTCTGTGTTTAGTTAAAAGTCTCTCAGTTACTGTGTTGATTAACTCCGTAGGGCCGATCAACTGAAGGGTGAAGTAGAGGACTAGGACTATTTCCTGAGACAATAAGGAATATCCTTCTCCCAATATAAGAGAAGGAGAGACAATGACAAACGATGTTATTATCAAACAAAAAGAAGATGTGAGTGAGTCTTCTCAAGTAACGAAGAACGTTGATGATGTCTCTACGTTGGCGGTTGCAGGTAAAGAAGAAGCAGAAGTAGAATCACAAGATATCGTTGTGAAATCTGTAGAGGAATCGGCGGTGGAAGAAGAAATCGAAGAAACCGAAAAAGTTGTCAATACCAGTTTCGAACCACATGATAACGTAGTTGTTGATCTGATTTCTAATGGTAATGGGCATGAATTTGATAAAGATGAACGCATTAGACAGTTGGAAATTCAAATATCAATGTTGAAGACGGATGGCAGTCAATCGATAAATTCAGATAGCACAGAAGTTGAAGCGCTTAGGAAACAATTGACTCTGATAGTGGATGAACGGGATAATATTAAAGCTAATTACGACACGTTGCTAAGTAAATTATCCGGGATGAAGCAAATTTTTTCTAAAATGAAAGAAGCACAAGCTGAATTAGAAGAACAAAAGGCAATAGCATTAAAATTAACTGAAGAAAATGAAGATATTAAAGGACAAGCTGAGAAGCTAACATTTGAAAAGGAATCACTTGCCGAACAAAATCATTCTTTCAAAGAAGAATTACAGGATTTAAACGGTGAATGCGATCGATTATCTAAAACATTAACTGAATTAAGACGTGAATTACTGTCAAAAGATGAAAGTTATCTGGAGGACAAATATGAATTAGAGAATGCCAATGCTAAATTGCAGAAGAAAGTGCATGATTTGAAGCAAGAAGTGAATGATTTGAGCGTATTACGAGATGAATTGACCTTAGAGGGGAAAGATTATCAAGGCAAGATTGATACCTTAACAGAGAGGATAACTGGGAAAGATGAAGAGATTGCTAATTTAGAAGACCAAATCATTGAGTTAAAGAAAGCTATAAGCGAGAAAGAAAATGAATATGAGGAACAATCTCAAAAATATTCAACCCAAATATCATCCCTTGAAAGCAAAGTTGCTGATCTTGAGGAAGAAAAAAGTATATTAACCTCAAGCGTTAGTCAACTTACTGATCAAGTTACATCCTTAAGTGGAGATCTTAATCAAGTGGAAGAGTTAAAATCCGAAGTACATTCCAAACTGTTACAAATTGGGAAATTGAGACATGAAGCAGTTATTCTCAACGAACACTTAACCAAGTCTTTAACTATGATCAACCAACAGACAAACAATTCCAACAATACTGTTGATAGGGAATTGATTTCTAATGTAATTATATCCTTTTTACAAATACCCAGAGGGGATACCAAAAAGTTTGAAGCATTACAATTAATATCAGCATTATTACAATGGGATGATCAACAGAAAGTGGCTGCGGGCCTTTCTCTGGGAGGCCAAAGAGCAAATGGTGGTACAAAGGGTCAGCTTGCTCATAGACAAAGCTTCATTAGTTTATGGACCGATTATTTGGAGAAGGAAAGCCATACGTGAGTAGCATCATCAAACTTATGTATTAAGTCTTGCATCATATGGTAATAGTTAAAGAAGCACAACTTAATATAGTATACATTTACTAAAGTAATGTAAACCTTGTAGGATCATTTTTATCTTGAGTCCTACTCATGTTGCGACGCGCAAATTAAACACAGAAAAGATCATCAAAGAAAGGGACAACCAATTACATCTTTCCTTGTATCAACATACCGTACACAAACAATGGTTAGCATTTATGATGTTCTAGGCAATAGGGCCAAGGTATGTAACCCGGGAAAGACAATTGAATTGTTGATTTAGTACTAACGTTATTACTAGAAACCTAAAACTACCACTACACGTCCAAAGGCTACGACTGCCTCTCCTAAGAAAGCTAGTAAGTTCTTCAAGAAATCAACGGAAGAAGATGTAATAGATTTAGATAATGATGATGGTGATGAAGATTATGTTGATAAGGATGAACCCAAAGAGGAAGGCAAAGATATAGACGATGACCTGATGGATGAAGATGATTTGGAAATAATCGAACCTCCAAAGCCAAAGACCACTAGAGCAAAACCAGATGCTTCTCGTTCAAGGAAAGTCATGAAACCACCAATTGATATTGCAGATGAGCCACCAACGAAGAAAGCTAAAACTACTCCTGCTAAGAAGAAGACAACAACTCCTGTGACTTCTGGGTCAGAATCTATAGCGGAGAAAGTACTTGCTACGATTCCAGATGCAGTTTTACCTGAAGTGGATCCAACTAAGAAGGTCAATTTCTTTGCCTTACAAGCAGCAAAGGATAATGCTCCACAACCCACTGGTGATATAAATATCCCAGAAGCTCAACCAAATTGTTTAGGAGGATTGACCATAGTGTTTACAGGTATATTGCCCAATTTAGAACGTACACAAGCAGAAAACTTGGCTAAAAAATATGGTGCTAGAGTGACAAAGTCCATTAGTGGGAAGACTAGTTTGGTAGTCCTTGGGGATGATGCTGGACCTTCAAAAGTTCAAAAGATATCATCTTTAAACATAAAGGCCATCAATGAAGAAGGATTTATTCAATTGCTTACGTTAATGCCCGCAGATGGTGGTGATGGTGTTGCCGCTCAAAAGGCAAAGCAATTAAGAGAAGAAGAAGATCGTAAAATAATGGAACAAGTAGAGAGAGATGTTGCTCTCGAAGAAGAGAAGAAACGTCAACATGAACAGGAATTAAAAAAATACAGGAAAGAGGAGGAAAGAAGAGCCAAAGAAAAGGCTAAACAATCGTCAACACTACCTGTTAAAAGTGAAGACATTTCAGAGAATCAATTACTTAGTCATGGTTCATTCCCACAATCTCAATTACCAAAAGATGAGCCCAAGATAATTCTTGACGAAGATAAATTATGGACTACAAAATACAAACCCACAGATATTAATTCATTGTGTGGAAATAAAGGGTCTGTTTCTAAGCTTAAGAATTGGTTAGAAAATTGGTTTGAAAGCAGAAAGGGTCCAGGAAGGGAAAGTGATGGGCTGAAGTTTAGAGCAGTTTTGATCAGTGGACCTCCTGGTATTGGTAAAACAACAGCAGCCCACATTGTATCACAACAACTTGGATTTGATGTTTTGGAAAAGAATGCCTCTGATGTTCGATCGAAATCACTTTTAAACCAGCAAGTTAAAGGTGTTTTGAACAACACTTCAGTTGTAGGATATTTCAAACATAGGGGTGATGCTGTTGAAGATAAGAACTCTAAGAAATTTGCATTAATTATGGATGAAGTTGATGGTATGTCAAGTGGCGATCATGGTGGTGTTGGAGCATTAGCAGCATTTTGTAAGGTGACTCATATGCCGTTAATTTTGATTTGTAATGAACGGACACTTCCTAAGATGAGACCACTTGTTGCATGTACTTATGGGTTAAGATTTCAAAGACCACTGGAAAAGGACGTAATTTCCAAGTTATTCACTATTGCTATGAGAGAAAAAATTAAAATGGATAAAGAAGTTGTTGGTCAATTAGTCCAAGCAACTGGTGGGGATATCAGACAAATGATTAACCTTATGTATACAGCCTCGAGAACTCAGAAGCAATTTGGCCAGGTAGAAGCCACTAAAGCATCTAAACAGTGGGGTAAGGAGGCCATTCTTAAACCATTTGATATTATTCCATCATTCTTTGGAAACAGAATTTGGCATGAAGGAGCTAATCATAATTTGAATGCAAAGCTTGAATTGTATTTCAACGATATGGATATTGTTCCACTTATGATTCAAGATAATTATCTTGGATGTAAACCTAGCAATGCTGTTTCAGAAAAGGATGCCTTGAAGAAAATTGCAAAGGCATCAGACGATATTCTGAGATCTGATAGAGTTAACTCATTAATTAGATCTAGTGAACAACAATGGTCATTACTTCCTTTCCATGCTATACTTTCTACAATAGCCCCATCATACGAAGTTCACGGACAGTTACTGCAACGGATTAATTTCCCTGCTTGGCTAGGACAAAACTCGAAAGCTATGAAATTCATGAGACTTTTACAAGGGGTCCAATATCATACCAGGACTTGTACAACTTCTGAAAAGATTGAATTAAGATTGGAGTACATTCCACTTATGGCACATCGACTTGTTGACCCATTAAAAGGTTATGGTGAAGACGGTATTGAATCAGTTATTGATTTCATGGACTCTTACTATTTAAATAAAGAAGATTGGGACTCAATTGTGGAACTTGGGGTTGGAAAGAATAAAGATACCCTTTTAACCCAAGGATTAAAGCCTGCAGTCAAATCTAAATTCACCCGGAAATATAATGAATTGTCACATCCTACTATTATATTAAAAACTGGAGATTCTGTTTCCAAAGGAGGGGCAAGGGCACCAAAAGTTGATTTTGAAGATGTCGTGGAAGATGATACTACTAGTGATAAATCTGAAGAAAAGGACGCAGAACAAACTACTGATGTTACAAAGGACAAACAGATTGGAGTTAAAGTGAAAACTCATGAGCAATATCTTAAAGAACAAGCTAGAAAGGCTAAAAGGAGAGAAAAAGATGCCAAAGCAAAGAAGTAATTGATGCATTCTTAGGGGGCTCTTTCATACTATCAATTTACACAAACAAACAATTAAACACTAGTATATAAGTCTATCGCATAATACATACAAAGAAAGTATGTATAATTCATCTACAGTGAATTTAATTAGTGTCATTACTCCATAGAGAAATATAAATGTCGTACCTTTTCTCTACTGCATATAAGCATCCTCGATTTAGAACTCCCCATTCACAGTAGCTCAAGGTGGACATTCATTCTACGACTTTCTTTGTCAGAATCATCATCAATAATAAGTGTCTTTGATTACCAATTTGCTCTGGCAGCATGGATAACCCGACACCACTCTTCAACATGCCTGCCAATCAGGGTACGCGTAAAAGACCGAATATAAATCTTGCCTATCCAATTAGTTCGATACCCCATCAGCAGCAACTTCAACAAAATGTCCCTTCCGCTTGCCCATATCCAATATATAATACTGTTGCTGACGATATAGATTCTCCATATGGACACCCGTCCCCGTATTCGATTTCCTCCATACCAGATCGAAGCCAGGTGTCAGAGTCTACCACCAGTATACCGAGTGTGATTCAAAACAGCAATCAAATGGACAAACATAAAAGGTATAATCAAGAATATGTTCAGACTATTTCAAATGATAATGATAGGAATAATAGCAATAATAGCAATAATAGTCAAGATGAAGGTCTTCCTTCCTTTTCCGTTCCCAGTCTATCGATTAATGTGGCTACTTCACAATCTCCTGTGCTGATACCTACTCCCTTAACCACACCCATTATATTTCCATCAAGCGATAAAAAGAAACCTAGAAGGAAACCTCCACCAATAGACTTCACCAGTGTGGTTGGCAGTGCTCTGTATAACGAAGCAGATCATCATAGTACAGTTCGTCCACCAGTGAAACCTCTTAGTAAGGCTAGTACTTCTAGTAGTCTAAATACTTCCATGAGTGGTTCTACTGGTGGGTTATTGGATGTATCTGTTTTGGAGCACAGTTTACCCAATTTAAGTCCAATACTATCTCCCTATTGTGAAATAATGAGACCAGTGACAACCAATGAATCTAAATCAAATATGACAAGTCTGCCAGATAGCATAGAAGATCATCATTCAGATGCCACAAATACAGAAAGACGAAATTCTTCAAATGAGGGCCTTTTATCACGTATGGAGGTGTTTGATACTCTTACCAGTGATGATTGGCATTATATTGCCAACTCAAATAAGATTATTGAATTATCAAAATTAGGAGAAGGTAACGGAGGGAGTGTTTCAAAGTGTAAATTAAGTCAAGGATCTAAAATATTTGCATTGAAACTAATTAACCCTGATCCTAATCCTGATACACAGAAACAGATCACTAGGGAATTACAATATAATCAAAAATTCAAATCACCTTATATTGTGAAGTATTATGGAACATTCATCATAGAAAGACAATCAATGATTGGAATTGCTATGGAGTTTATGGGTGGAAGATCTTTAGATGCAATTTATAAAAAGATTGCTGAAATGGATCCCAATAACAGATTGAATGAAAAGGTTTTAGGGAAAATAGCTGAATCTATTCTTAAAGGATTACAATATCTTCATCAACAAAAAGTTATTCACAGAGATATTAAACCTCAGAATGTATTGGTAAGTTCTGATGGATGTATTAAAATATGCGATTTTGGGGTTAGTGGTGAAGCTGTTAATAGCCTTGCAACTACGTTTGTGGGTACACAATATTATATGGCACCAGAGCGTATAGAGGGGAAGCCATATACTCTGGCATGTGATGTATGGTCACTTGGATTAACTCTTTTGGAAGTTGCTTCTTGTAAATTCCCATTTGGGTCATCAGGCTCAACAAATAGTAGCGGATCTATTTCACATCCTTTAGGCCCCATTGAATTACTTTCATTAATATTGGAAGCCGAACCAAAATTAGAGGATGAACCAGAAAAGGATATATTTTGGTCTGAAGCATTTAAGAACTTTATTCTGTTTTGTTTAAAGAAACTGCCTTCAGAAAGACCTAGTCCTTCTCAAATGCTTACCCATCCATGGTGTGTACATCAAATGTCAATCAAAGTGAAGATGAAAAAATTCATCAATCGTATTTGGAACGACTTGGATGATTGAATAGGATATTAGGCTTAGGAAATGGAACATCTTAGTAACAAATTTAATATATATTTGAATAAGCGTAAGGATATAGTGTATAATATCGATTTATACTTAAAGTCGTGCGCTGGCAAGTTATATACACTTATTCTAATCTAAAACATACCTTCAATAAGAAGCAACGACTACTATAGTACTAATAAAACTGATCACTAATAACTACATACGGTAATTGCCTTCTACGATAATGTTAAACTACAATATAGCTGGTTGTAACATCCATGATACTCAAGACTACAACAATGTCGCACATACACATAATTATGTGCGACATCCCAATTTGGAATAGGACCCAATCAAAGGTAGACAATTTCAAAAAAAAAAATTCAACATAGAACAACCTTTGACCATACAAACTACTACATTAAACCCATCAAGATGCCTATCCCATTTGAAGGGTTATTGCCCTATGCCATCATGGCAGCCTTTTTCGGAGTTGCCGGCCACGGTGTTGGTTTTGTCAGATACTGGGACAACGGCTGGAAAAACGACAGATTTGATTTAGATGCTTGGGATGAAAAGATGATGAACAGAGATTTTCTTTTAACCGGTGTATCAAGAGGTCAAAGTCAAGAAGCTATAGCACCTGAGCATTTCAAAACAGCCCAAAAGGAATTACAATCCTACTATACTCCATACAGAAACCAATTCTTCAAACTCAGAGAAAGAATGTACAGAGGTTATGTCACTGGGAACTGGGATTTCAGTTAAACAATTCTACTTATCTAATTGTGTCTTCCATATATATATTTATTGGTTATTACGACCCTGACTTATTTTATAAAACAGTTTATAACGTATATATTTTCATTTTATATACAATGCACTTATTATTTGAAATCCTTGTAGGTCCACTTTTCAGTGACTTTAGGTGTATACTTCTTTTTCTTAGCAACAGGAATCCGAGTCTCCACCTTACCAGATTGTTGGATCTTACGCATCTGGTCGTAGAACAAGTTACCTTCGGATTTCAAGTTCTTTAAGTTACTGGTCAATTCGTGACTCAACTTGACGTCTAATGGTTTCTCAAGTGAATCATATTTGAAAAGCTTTGACTTCTTCACGGTTTTTTTAACTTGTTGTTGTAACTTCTCTTCCTTTGCAGTGACTTCGGCAGTATATTGTTCCACTTTACTTAATTCTTTGATTTGGGTCTTCAATTCCTTCAACTCAGCTTCCAACTCCATTCTCTTACGATGTCTTTGCTCTCTGTTTCTCTTGGTCTTGGTCTTGATCTTTAATTTAGTAGGCTCATTTATTGACAACTTATAGTCATTAGTTTCTTCCTGTTCTTGTTGTTTCTGATCTTCATCATTGGTAGCCTCATCGTCCTCCTCATCATCATCGGATTCTGCTTCTTCGTTATCATCAAGAGTGGCAATTAAGTCCTGTATGTGATTCATGAAATCTATCAATTCTTGTCTCTTGGTCTCCTTCTCCTTCTCAGTACCAAACTCCTTAGCTATTAAGTTTTTCCATGACTCTAATGAAGGGTTGTATGACTTACCAGCATCGACGATACCTTCTTCTGTCTCCCTAGACAGCAAACCAATAGGTTTTTCTGATAATGTCTTGGGAGCCTTAGAGGCCTTTGAAAATTCACTAATGGAATGTCCTTTCTGTACATATTTTTTATGAAGAATAGCTTTATGAGAATTGGTATCTTCATTCTTTTCATTCCACAAATCAACACTACTAGCATTAAATAAACCATCAGATTCTAACTTACTTAAAATCTTTGATTCTCCATTAGTTCTACCAGACAAATCCATTAATCTTTTAACCTCTGCCTTACTCACTCTCTTGTTATTTCTTTCAACTTGTAATGCTGGAATTTTTGATTTATTGGTAGTAAGAATTTCAGTACTCTTTAACTTCTTAACAGGCCTATCTGCTCCGTTTACCTTTCTTTTCAACTTGGCGTTCTCTTTTGATATTATTCCACCATCTCCGGATGTATCAATTACAAAGTCCAACTCTCCATCATCATTAGCTTGTTCTCCGAGGGAAATCTGTCTTTCTCTAGCACTTTCTATCCCTTTCTCCACATCTTCAAGGTCAATGTTCTTACGCCATGCCTTTTTACCTTTACGTGAAGATTGAGACTTTGTCTGCGGTCTTCCAATAGCACTCATATTTAAATGCTACTTATTATTATTATTATTAACTGGTTTCTACCCAACTAAATGGAACCTCAAACTTGTGAGATGAGATGAGGTGAAGATCCTCTCAAACAAAATTTATTATATACTTCGTGCGAAACACAATATGGAATTTACTTCATAGTTTCTTCAAACAGTAATACTAGTACCTGGCATCCAGTAAGTTTTACCACCTAGCCAAGTCCAATTGTTCTCTCATTGAAATACCCGAAACTTAATCAGGGTGAAAAGCAAACTTAACCCTGTATTTGATGGGCATCTTCATGGTGGGTGAAGGTAAAGTCTACTCTCCAAATCGATTGGTACTATCCCAATCTGACTAAATTAAGTTCCATAGTGTCAATATAACTTCAAGGTATTCCTTCGTTTAGTTCTTCCTCTGTAGATATCCAACTGGAACTATTCTTTAACATTATCAATAAGCTCAATCAACGTCTTCAACAACGAAAATTGACTAGGATATCCATTCACATTCAAGTAAACGGGCATGTCGTATTTTTTGTTCAATTGATAGGAGACAGACTTGACTAACTCATAGTTTTCACCATTGCTTAATACTGAACTATACCCTTTTATGGTGTAAATGTAGGCACCGTCCATCACAGAAGAAAACACGGGCTTAACATATAATGAGATAAACTTCTCCTTCACATTAAGTACTACCGAGTAGTCTTCAGTTCCAATAGATGCCACTACTGCCGACATTGGTTTGAATGATTGAATCGGAGTGTAAGTTATTCTTTACTTATTCTCTGTCTACCACTGAAATATTTCAATTACTATTGTATTGTGCATCGCACGATAATTGTGGAGTTGAAGAGTGCGTCTCTAAAAAAATGACAACTACAGACAGAAGGACTACTCTTTTCTCAGAATTCTTTTCCTAATCGTAATCCTACTTAGTTACGTGACCAAGGATATCTTTCAATTGCACTTGCTTGTTCTTATGAACGTTTATGAGCACTTTTTCTTGGACTTTAAAGATTTATTTTGAGTAAGATCTATTTCACTTGTCTTTTCAAGCTGCAAAAAATACTTTTGAAGACGTTCAAAGCCTAATCAATGTCCTTGTAGAAATCTCTTTCTTATTTTTCTATAATTTTTTTCCTCGTTTACCTATTTTTGTTAAGATTCCATTGATCAAGAAGTATTGGAATATCTTTCGAACAATTCGCAAGATTTATATTCAGGAATCTCAAGGCATCCAACTCAACAATTGTTGCATGCTACCAGCGACTCTCTGTAAAAAAAACTTGTAGAGTAAGTTACCCTGAGAATGAGGGAAGTAGCATTTGACAGGTTACTCTGAGAATAGGCTGCAAAAGTGAAGACACAAATTAAATGAATTCTTGGAATAAGGAACCCCGACCGGCGGAAAATATTTCCTAATATGGAATCCTTGACTCAGAACTCCACTTGAGTATGTGATGACCCCCAAAGTTTTTTTTGGTTGCATACAAAAGCTGTCATCTGGCCAACTTAAATTTAAGTAAAGACGCAGCGAAGACCCTATATACAGTAACACATAAAGAAATGAAGAAACCCCCACTATAAACCTCGGATTAATTCCTCCGAAAAATGTTGTATTTTAGGGTCACCGCTCATCTCATAATCATTCTGTACTTCTTAGTTACAGCCTTGAGAGCGTTAGGTCACATACAATGGAAATAATTAAGTTTTATTAACTCATGATTCTCTGAACTCTTTACAACCATTAAAGTTCAGGCGTAAATCTACCGATTATTGTTATAGAGCCTACCAGAAGATTCATGAAAATTTAAGCTTAGTGACATATTTTTATTGAACAGAAACATTATTGTCGTCTTTGATCATAGTATTTTCCGGATTTGCAGGGTACAAAGGGTACGACGGAAATCCATACACAGTACCATGGAGTTGCTTAGGGCGAAGCATGTATGATCTTTGTTTAATAACGCATATTTGCCATCGTTCATGTGAATCATAATCCACCCCACAATGTAGTATATGCCGAGATTGGGATATAGCGAAGCTCCCTTTGGTCATCCGAATGCACTCTTATCTCTTCCGGATCTGTTCACCAACATTTCTCACTGGTAGAACAAAACATCTATCCGGCATATTTCCCTTTTGAGTGGCTTACGCTAAACTGGCTTCTAAGTAGATCACACCGTTGGATAAGTTTAGCACCATTTCATATCACAAAGACATGTATTATAAACTGAAGCATACGGCAAAATTGAAAAAATCCCAGTGATTGTGAAAAATCAACTTATTTTCATTTTTACTAGTCTGTGGAAATAAAACATCTTTATAGTGGTGATCTCGTAGTTGGAGAATTATCATTAGCCATTGACTTGGTTATACTTAGCATGAACATCCCCTTGGTGTTATATAATGCAGATGGAACACTTTCAAGTGAATTTTCCAAAACATTGTTGTATAACAGTAATTTTCCACTAAAAATAAAAATTGATTTGAAAGAAATAGCGTCTCATCAAGAGTTGGAACCATATTTTAAGAACTTTGACATAGAAGAGGATTCTAAGCAAAATGTGATTATATTACTGTCTGTGTCTAAGTTACACCTTGACAAGTTGATATCTCGTCTACACAAGCTTAAGATTCATTACAATTTGGATTATTCGCAATTCCGAAGTAATCCTTGCAATTTATTTATCAAGAATATAAGTAAAGATGTCGATGAGTCTTGTCTTGAACGATTTGTGAAATCAAATTGTCCATATAAGTCATTAAATGAAATAGTCATTTTACATCATGATGAACCAAAAGAGAAAAATGGAGTGAACTCTTTAAACATAGGCACATTTGCAATTGCAAAGTTTCTAAATCATTTAGACGTTGATCATTTACTTGACAACAAGCATGTCCTTGAAATGATTCCTAACGAATTCAACTCTGTTCCTACTATCCCATTATATATTAATGCATATATCTCGAGACGAGAACGCACTTTGAGAAGGAAAACTAATTCACTACTGTGTAGTGGTAGTTTAACCAGTTCGCCTTTGAGTTTTGCAGCTAGCAATTCTTACGATAGTGTTGTGCTAACAGACCTTGATAAATTCTTTGGAGGAAAGCTGCATACCTTATTAGAATTCGATAACTTCTTAAGTATTTTCAAGTTGTTTGAACTCAAAATTAAATGCATCTATTTCCCGATAGTTCAAGAAGACGAAAATAATTTTAGAGTGGACGGATTTGGTTATATTACCTTCTTCAGCACTCAGGAGGATATCGATATCAATTTTAATGTGTTGATGTTGGTTTATTATCTACAAGGTTTAACGTACTCACAAGTTTTAGCTTTCAATGATGCAAATCTCACAAACCTTAACGATTCAGAAATTCAACTGACGGGAGAGAATATTAATGGTTTGAAGATTACAATTAATCAAGCAAAGTTCAACATGCTTTTAGAGAAAGATTTAACACCTTCACTAAGCATTGACGAAAATGGCAAAGTCGGAATCCAAACCTTTCAACCGTTGGGTCACTTATTCAGAAGCTTGAACTTCCAAGAAACAAACATATACGTTAATAATCTACCTCTTGCATTCAAGCAAGATGACATTGCGTGGGAATCATTTTGGTCTCGTTTGGGTGATTGTAAGCTGGCCAAAATTATTAAGCCAGACTTCTACAACAATAATAATAATGGGAAATCCAATGCAAAATATCAAAAGACTAATAATATGGGTAGGATTGGCTTTGTATTTTTTAAAGACTTTAAAACTGCCATTCGTGCTATTTTACTAACAAACAACAAGTATTTCCGGTTAAAGAACCAAACAGTCAATATTCAATCTTCATTTGCAATACAAAAGGCCCCAAGTTCCAAACAAAGGTTCTTTGAAACTTTGAGCCAGGACAACACTCAAAGTCCTGCAACAACTAACAGAACAATGGAATACAATTATAGTAATGAAAAGCAAAGCATGCATTCAGAATTCGGAGGTCAAAATATGTCGGTTTTAGGTCAACTCCCTCTTGTGGCTCCACATAGACTTCCTTTAACAGGATTCCCATTTATACCTGACCAACATAATTCAGTGCTTCATACAAGCTCTGGTCCATTTTCCGGAGTACCTTATTTCTATTATCCAGTACTACCTAGTATGTACTATTATTATCCTCTGAATAAAGAGGATCAACTGGATACCTAGCAATATATATAGATGACTTTTGAATACATTTTCTCGTTTTACAATGAAATTAATCTCTTCTGCAGTGACATCTGGCTGCGAAAAGTGCAGCCATTACTCAGATTTGCAACTTGAACATTATATATGCTATAAGACGAAGCCAGTTGTAGACTAGTTATTGAACAATGTTTGATTATGAAGAAACAGCTGAGTGCAAATAACCACTTTAATTAGTTTGTACTGGTATACTACATTACGAGTTATGACAAAATCTTACGTAATCAATGGACGGATCACTCGCTTCACTTGGTGAAGTATAATCAAACTACAAATGTTAGGGCTAATCAGTTCGTATCCCATAACGAATACTGGACATAAATATATACATGCTCACTCCTTTCTTGTTATATGTGCATAAATTTATAAAGAAGGAGGATCCAATCTGGAAGTAGGAGTCAATTGTAATGGGTTCAACAAAACATGAGGATCATCCAGTTCATCTTCTTCTATCTCATCTTCTTCTATCTCATCTTCTTCTATCTCATCTTCTTCTATCTCATCTTCTATTTGTTCCACTGTTTCAACTTCTTCGATATAATGCTTCATCATACTTTCGATCCCATTTTTCAAAGTGACAGAACTTGAATCACAGGAACGACATGCTCCCATTAATCTCAAATAAACAGTACCTGTATCTTCATCAAACTTGACAAATTCTATATCTCCGCCATCATCTTGAATAGCCGGCTTGATACGGGTAAAGATCAATTCCTTAATCATGCTCACTACTTCATCATCGTTTTCGTTTATCTCGACATCTTTAGATATTCCCGGTGATCCACCATCTTCTTCATAATATACCACTGGCTCTCCGTTGGTTAAGTATTCCGTAAGGATCAGAAATATTTCCGGCTTTAATAATGGCCAATCTTTGCTATTGGGTCTTTTCTCAATGGTGATGAAATTTCCACCAAACATCACAGATTTAACTCCATCAACAGCAAATAACTTGACAGCCAATGGTGATGTCTTAGCGGCCTCTCTACCATTAAGATACTCTCTAGTTTCATTTGGGCCTCTTAGAATGTCTATAGAAGGAAGAAACTTGACTGCATTTTCATTAGGAGTGTCACTAGTTTGAATAAATAAACTTCGTAATGAACCCATATAATTCTTTCGTAATAACGAGCGTCCATAGTATGGTAATTTGAGCATCATATTGTTATTATTGTAATATTTCTATAAACAGATAAAGATTAATAAATTTGTCATTAGTTGAGTCGTTTGCACTTGATTCTTCATCTCTTCGGTCGTGTTCCAACCGACTTCCAGCGACTTCTATCAAGTAGCAAACAAGATCAGCTCAAACATCGAGGCTGCCTTCTCTTCGTATACTCTATCTTGGCCATCACTTTGAAGACTTTGGTCTAATTGTAATTTGTTCTCTGCCAATTGTAAGATATTCTCTTCAATAGTGTTCTTACTAATCAACTTGTACACTATAACTTCGTTGTTTTGTCCCACACGATGTGCACGATCTTCAGCTTGCTTGTCATCATGAGGGTTAAAACTTTGATCATAAATAATAACGTTATTGGCAGCAACCAAGTTAATACCAAACCCTCCTGCTTTAGTAGATAAAAGGAAAATTGGAATGGTTTCATCATCATAAAACTTATCAATAAGGTCTTGTCTAGTTTCAACTGAAGTTTGACCATCCAACCGCAAGAACTTGTATCCAAGTATACTCAACACTTTCTCTAACACATCTAACATTTGAGTAAAAAGTGAAAATACTAATACCTTCTCCTTCCGACGGGTAATCTCATGAAGCAATTTGGTCAAATGTTTAACTTTCCCACTATTCATATACTTGGAATCGGAAATCATAAACTTACCTAATGTCTTGGGGAATTTACCACACAAACTGGCTAATTCATAATCAGACATCACTTGCATATCTTCAAAAATATATTGCTTATTAGCTTCAGCGTATTCTGGTTCATTTATAATGGCTCTACTCATTAATTCCAATGTAGTATCATCATAATGTCTTCGGAATAATAATGGGTGCAAAGCTGCCTTTCTTAAAGACATCATTACATTCGAAGTACTTGGAATTGGGACTTGACGGGCTTCTTCCGCTTCCTTTGCACTCAATTGATTCCGTCTATCTCTTTCCTTCCTTGTAGCCCTCCCTTCATTCAAATATTGGTCGTAGATTTTTTTTTGATCAGCATTCATTTCACAACTAACTACTTCATGGAACTTCCCTGGCAAGTGCTTCAATACTTGATTCTTCTTTCTTCTCAACACAAAGGGGGTCATCATTGTTTTGGCCTTATTGATGGCTTGTTGTGATAACAAAGGGTTGAATTCAGGATCACGATCACTATTCACCGTACTTGCCTTTTGATTGAACAAACTTTGTAAATCATCCTTCTTTTCATTAAATAAATCAGGTAACATAAATGCCAATAATGAAACCAATTCTTTCAAGTTATTCTGTAATGGTGTACCAGTTAAAAGCAATCTGAACTTAGCTTTCAATCTCATGAGTTTATTATATCTTTCAGATGTAGAGTTCTTTAACATATGACCTTCATCATAAACAATCATATTGAATTTTTGACTCTTCAAAAACTTGAAATCTGGTGCAGCACCAGTGGCCAAATTATACGTGGTGACTAAAACCTCGTAATCATTTGCCTCGTAAAGTAGAAATCGCCTCAACTCTTCTCTTTCTGATTGCAGACCATAGTACGCTTGAACCTTCATATCAGGGCAAAACTTCTTAAATTCTCTTAACCAATTCTCAATGGTAGATGCTGGAACCACGACCATATGAGGGCCATTTTTCTCACCAACTTCTTTCAAATATGCCATAAATGAAATAACTTGACATGTTTTCCCTAATCCCATTTCATCTGCCAAAATACAAGATAATTGATTTCTGTAAAGTAAATTCAACCAATTGATTCCAACCTGTTGATAGTTTTTCAACTCAACATCTTCAGCAAGTAAAGCTGGTTTGGATGTAACATATTTCAAACCCTTCTTCTTAGGCTTTGTAATAACCACTTCTTCATCTTCTTCTTCTTCCTCTTGTTTTTGATCTAAATCAATGATCACAGGAGTAGCAGTCCCACTATCATTTAAAGGTTCTATGTCTGTCATCTCAAGTTCCCCTTCCCCGGTAATTTTCACACCCCATTTCTCAATTTGTGAATTAATTAAATTACCGTAATCTGAACAAGTTTTAATTAAGGAATCTACTGCCTTATACCCCTTTAAGCTGAACTCTGTGTTTTCCACAATTTTAAGTCCTAGCTTCTTACGGACGTATCGTCTTTTAGTTGTTGGTTGTTCGGTGGACTCTGAAGGGAGTTCAAAGTTGTCTTCCAGAACCTCATAAATGGTATTAAAAGGTCGTTTTTCGAGAAGCAATTCAGCTACTTTAATTGGAATATTCGCAATTTCAGCAATATCATTAGCTGAAGCACCATTCAAGAATTCTAAGATTTGACCATCTATAGATGTTAAACCAGAAACAAATACTTCATCATCTTCTTCAGACATATCGTCACTCATTTCATCATTCTCTAACAAATCGTCATCATCTTCATCGGAATAATTATTCCTTTTTGTTTGATTCTTCAATTTCTTATTCCTTCTATTATTTCTAATTTTCTCTTCTAACCGTTCCAAATCATCATCAGCCACTATCACGTCGTCCTCTCCAACATCATCGACAATCATTCCATCTAAAGTATCATGATTGGCGCTTGCAAATTTAGATTCGATGGAGAATGAAGTTTTCTTTAACTTGGTAGCAGAATAAGCAAACTTGGATGTAATATTATCTTGCAACAGTGGTAATCTTGTTGTCGTTATGGGCGAAGGCAGCAGCAGACTATTACTGGAAAAATTATCCAGTGCTCGGATCAACTTTCTCTTCTTTATAGGTTGATCATCAACCAGCTGGTGACGGAAATGGTCTAACAGCATTTGTAGCTTAGGTTTCAGTGTATACTTATCTAAAATGGACAACTTTGGTTTCTTAATCTCCACTTTAGTAGATCCAGATCCAACACCACTTGATGATGATGATAATGATTTTGTAGGAGAACCTTCAATAGGATTCTTGGATCTTGCTCTTCCTTTAATCTTAATAGGAGATTCATCTTCTTCATCGTTTGGTAAACCGGATTCAGCTTCCTTTTCAACATCAATAGCTCTTCTTTGTTCCTCCCCTTGTTTAATCTCCCATTGCCATTTTGCCTTTGCAACCTTCTGCTTCTCTATTTCATCTAAGCGTTGTTTCTCAAATTTTTCTTTATCAATCTGCTTCATATACTCCTCCTTGTTATAGTTATCTTCAAGCCATTTGGTGATATCTCGCAAGTTACCTCTACCCTTAACAAAACCCTTCATTACATCACTTTCACTCAAGTAATGAAATCTGGCTCTAACTAAGCCATAGTCCTTGTGAGAACGAATCTGTTGTCTTTTCTTTTCTAACTGCTTCTGCTTTTCATTGTCAATGCTTTGCTTAGAAGGTGGATCCATGTTTCCGTGGTCTGGTGATGATCGCACCCGAATGGGAGATGAAGAGTTGGGTACTTGAACATACGATTTGCTAGGCGTAGTAGTCATAGCTGTTTTATGCTTCAGAAACTTGACCTCTACAATATCAGGATGTCCTTTCTGGTACCAGCTCATATATTTATGGATACACATGTGGGATCTTTGTCACTTGCAATGCTCTTCTCAGATAAAATGGTCCCTCTACGCGTATGAGACGTGCAACATGACAATTCTTGTTAGGTGTATGCAGACTTTGGGGCTGGAAGAAACTAAACTATTATAAGGATTATAGAGTAATTATGCTACTAGTTACTTTTTGCGCTTATGGCCAATATTTGGTTAATACAAGCAAAATCGATCTTTATCGGAATGAAGTATGCATAGTAATAAATTGGTGCTAAAAAAATGAATAGCTGATAGACTTGAACAAGAAGTACTGTACTTATTTATTACCATTATGAACTAATTTAAACTGATCGTATTCATTTAAAGAGTAACTGTCAGGCAGCGGAAATGATTATAGGACTTCTTATTTTTATTCAAATGTTTCAACTTAGTGTTGCTATTGTTTATAGTTATATCATATTTTAAGTATTAATCAGCTTCGCTACAAAGCATCCATTAGCGCAAGCTGACGGCTATCTACAATTGCTGGTGCTACTAATACGCACGACTCATCTGGAATTAACTAGGATAAATAAGTTTCCTAGTCCATAGTAAATATGCTTTATGCTTATATTAACTAAAAATTGGAATCAATAAGACTGAATGGATAAAATCTGCTGTTCTCGTAAGATTGATAAGACAAAGAAGCACAACTCTGTATCTACATAAAGAAAAATAGCTTGCGGTTCATCCGATTCCATATTCTTTTAAGATTAGACACTGCTTTTGTAAGTTTCACTGTCATTGATGTAGTAAAGTCACATCTTCGCCATTTAAAACCGCATCATTAGACAATCTTGTGGCTCTCTAAAGAAAAATGGTTAACAAAAGATAATGCATTGCTTGCCTGATATAAAACGCTGGTAAAACAGGAATAACTTATCCCAAAAAGAGTTTTCGTGTAATTCAAGGCTAGCACACTATAGGTATACTATCTACCAACTTTTGCACCCAAAACTAATTTACATACATTCAACACTCTTTGACGGTAAACGCACGATGAATATTTTCAATAACTGTATCGACTTTTAGATAGACATTTCAACATGTGAATGTAAGAAGAGAATTAGAAAGACTCAATTTTAATTATTCTAAACGTACTTACGCTCAAATTGATCATCATATTTATTCCCCTTTTAATGGTTTACTACGGAAAACTGAACCTCTTTAGGTAAAGTATTTAATATCTTAATCATACCCCAATTGGCAAAAAACAAATTAGCATCTCATACGATCAATATTTCAATTGCTTTATTCGACTCAGTTGTTTAGCTTCTTTCCATAATATCTTTGTTCCACTCATCTCTAAGGATGTTCCTTCGAAGTAGGAGCTTCAGTCATGTGACCAGGACCGTCTGGTTATCTGCAGTCCCCGAATCGAGTTCCATTACAAGCACTGGGTATTAATCCGGGGTACAACTTCACATCGATTCATCCAACTGGTAGATCTCCTATGTTTCTGATACTAGCCTGTGGATCCAACGGGAATTTCCAACTTGGAAACGGGAGTGATGAGGATTTGAATTATCTACAAAACGTACACTTTGTGGACGATGTAACTATTCACGGTAAACCGATGAAAATTGCAGGTGGAGGTAACCATACATTAATTTTATTCGAAGACGGTCAAGTTTACAGCGCTGGTAGCAATGAGTATGGCCAACTTGGAATAGATCCTGTGATTAGTAAGTCTTCACCAAGATTTGCCCCAATTTTGGGTAAATGGAAGGATGTGGCATGTGGTTGGGAGTTCCTGGTTTTGCTTGATACTGAAGGCATCGCATGGAGTTGTGGTTTAGGGACTAAGGGAGAACTTGGAATAGGAGATGGAATTAGACAAGCAAACAAGCCAACCAAAGTTTCAATTCCTGATGGACTAACATTTGAAATCGTAAGATGCGGTGTTTTCCTGACTATAGCCAGAACACTTAATGGTCAACTATATGGATGGGGTGTTTGCCGTAAAGGACAATTAGGAATACAACCGAAACTCAGTAATGGAAAACCAAGGGCGTCAATCTGGTCACCTGAAAAATTAGAGACACCTTTGGATTACGTTACAAGGTTTGAAATGGGCAGAGAGTGCACTTATATAGAGGGTAAAGATAATTTGGTGTATCAATTGGGAACCGAGATAACAAAAGTTGAAATGTCACCGCAAATTCAGCATGTGGATCAAATTGAAACAATGTGGTCTTCGATTCATTTCCGAAGTAGCAATACGATTGTATCACAGGGTAACAATAGTCACGGTCAATTACTAAATGATACTCCTGAAGATCCTCTTGTGTGTATGGCAACTGGTAGTGAACATGGACTTGTCCTCACTCAACTGAACAAAGTTTATGCATGGGGTTGGGGAGAACATGGCAACTGTGGAAGGCACGAGAATAATAATGATGATGATAGTGATAATCAAGATCCTGTTACCTACTCCAAGTTAAATCTTATCTACGATGATATCCATAAGGTCATAGCCATTGGTGGAGGATGTGCTACAAGTTGGGTTGTCATTGAGAAATAAAATGTCACAGTGTTTCTTCACCATATTCATCTAATGCTCTGGAGAGCTCAAAGATGGAGAATATGTTCACAGTGGTTCTTATAGGATGAGTAGTATCGGTAATAGACGTGTGGACTTCATATGGCCATATAGCATGGAATTCCTGAATACTTAAAAGATCAGGAACTTCATTATGGCATTACAAAGTATTCATGTAGATCACCTTCTTAACACCCAGGTAGCAGTGTAAACATGTTAATAATATCGTTTCAATCCTTCGAATGCAATTCCATTATCATGTCTACCGCCACGGAACACTACGTATAGTAGTATTTAACGACTACTACTTGATGTTCACAGTGAAGTAGTAGTGGTTATAAAATTTTTTGGTCCATCGATCAAACTAGAAATTTCTGGAAATGGTTAGTAGTTCCGGGTAACACTCCATATTATACACAGGGGAGACCAACAGTAAATGAAGTTCGTATATCAATCTGGGGAGACAGAGATCATCAGGATAGTTTATATCCATCTACTTCTATCAACTGTCTTATATCAAATAGCAAAGCTACTAAAATAATGTTTGGGGCCATATGTTCAGGTAGACCAATGCAATTGGCAACACAAATGGACCAGACAAAGTTTGTTATAAGCATACCTCAAGCATCTAAAGTTCAACATGTGGTAGTGTTTATACTCCCCAATAGTGAATTTATTGACCCCAATTATACTGCATTAGTGTATTTCCAGTTTCTGGTGAATGGTAATGATGAATATAGACTACTTGGAGGACTCAATCCCATGAAACCAAGCGCCATCTACAAATTAAACGGAGTATCTGATTCAACTACATCACAGACTTCAATGGATGATATTGGAATGATGGATGATAATGTCAGTGACGATCAAACCACTATAAATATAGGGATCTCAATCGAACCTACACTAGAAGCCGAAAGATTACTCGCAGAGGAGAAACTTCGTCGCCAAAAGTCATTACCTGCACCACCTAATCCTTCAAATATGAATGGTGGCTCATCGATAAACACCAACGAAGTAACAATTCTAGCAAAGAAGATTGTGGGACACGCCTATAATTATTTGGGAAGTTTTCTAGATGCACAAGGGAAAGTGCCGATGAAAGCATTTGATAATTGGTGGGATAAGTTTAAACATCGTTTAAATTCTGATCCCAAGTTTATAGCTAATCTTGAGAATTCCAATTGACTGCTTTACAAATTCATAGATAATGACACTTGAACCTTATGATTACGTAATTTGGTACACTACATCACTGTGTGAGGCAGTGATTCTGTAGCTGTGTAGTCTCCATCATTCCCGATGCTTTGTGTCATTTGGCATAACTTATCAAACTCCGGAAGTTAAGAACCGGATCACGTGCAACTGCGTCATTGGGACTTTTCTTTTGTGGATGCCATTAGAATAAGCAATTACACCATTTCATCGACCCATATATGTTTCTGTAGCAGAAGGAATGATAATGACACTAATAAATAGTGTTGACGTGATATGAGTAATTAAATTTCAAAATAGTTGACGAGAATTAGAAAATATACCAATTAAGTCAGGTTTATAATTTGCAATTGTGGAGTTGTGGCTTTCTCACCGGAAAATTGACCCCGTTAGGTAGCTATATCGGCCTTATTGTGACAGCTACAGCTAAGAAACCGTATTTGGTTTCGAACCTTTAGGGTCTATTAAATTCTTGATCCTGTACAAAACTGTGGCGCCAATGCCGCTTACAAAATAGAAAACGCCATCTGACAAACTAGTGTTAGACACACCAAGTGATTTATTTATAAGCGAAGTCACCCTCATTGAATTAGAAATGTAGTCAATTTCATCTTTCAAGTATCCCTTGAACTTAATAGTAAAGATTTCTACAAAAGAAACCGAAAGTCCAACCTTTCTTAACCTCAACCAATAATCCAACTTATTGGTACATACATTTAAACTTGCAACTATCTGCTGAAGCTCATCTCAATATTTAATTACTCTTTTTTCCAACTTTAATAATGACTGTTGATTCTAGTGAAAACACTTATGGCTTTGGTACTCAAGCCATCCATGCTGGAGCCCCTATTGATCCTACCACTGGTGCTGTAATTGAACCAATTTCTTTGTCCACTACGTTTGGTCAACTGGAACCAGCTAAACCTTTAGGTATCTATGAATACTCTCGTTCTGCTAACCCAAACAGAGATAACTTTGAAGCTGCTGTTGCAGCCTTGGAAAAGGCCAAATATGCCCTTGCTTTGAGTAGTGGTTCTGCTACTACTGCTTTGGTTATTCAATCATTACCAGTTAACTCCCACATTGTTTCTTCTGGTGATGTTTACGGTGGTACTTACAGATATTTCACAAAGGTTGCCAACACCCATGGTGTTGCCGCTACTTTTGTCCCTGACTTAGTGGCTGACTTGAAGGCCAACTTGAAGGAAAACACTAGATTAGTGTGGTTAGAAACTCCCTCTAACCCAACTTTGAAGGTTACAGACATTGCTAAAGTTGCCGAAATCTTGAAGGAACATGAATTCAATACTGGTATCAAGCCTTTGTTGGTTGTTGATAACACTTTCCTTTCCCCTTATGTTTCTAACCCCTTATCTCATGGTGCTGATGTTGTCGTTCACTCTGTTACTAAATACATCAATGGTCATTCAGACGTTGTTATGGGTGTTTTGGCAACCAACAGTGATGACTTGCACGAACAATTTAGATTCTTACAAAATGCCATTGGTTCAATTCCTTCACCTTTTGACTCTTGGTTGGCTCACAGAGGTTTAAAGACTTTGCATTTGCGTGTAAGACAAGCTGCTACTTCAGCTCAAGCTATTGCTGAATACTTGTCCAAATCTGACAAGGTTATTGCTGTTAACTACCCAGGTTTAAAGTCTCACTTAAACCATGACGTTGTTGTTAAGCAACACCGTGATGCATTAGGTGGGGGTATGATCTCTTTCAGAATTAAAGGTGGTGCAGATGCTGCTTCAGCTTTCACATCTTCTACCAAGTTATTTACTTTGGCTGAATCTTTAGGAGGTATCGAAAGTTTGATTGAAGTTCCTGCTGTTATGACTCATGGAGGTATTCCAAGAGCTGAACGTGAAGCCAACGGTGTTTACGATGACTTAATCAGAGTCAGTGTAGGTATTGAAGATACCGAAGACTTGTTACAAGACATTGAACAAGCCTTGAATGCTGCTTCTGCTTAATCTTATAGACATTTAATACACTCTAAGCCGAATGTTTAATACAAGTGGCATTAATAATGTGGAATCACCCGTAGTAAATATTGCAGTGAATATATAATTCTTACTACATCTCCTATTCCCTTCGTATCTCCTTTTTGCAGTCGAGATCACGTGACTTAAGTTTACGTTGTGTGGATACGTTTATGATTCAATGCTACTTATAGATGCCACTTAATACTCTTATAGTAGACAATAATACTGTGATACACTACAAACCCATAATAAACATGAAGTGGTCATATTTATTATGTTCTATACTTTTAGGGGGGTATCTGGTAGCAAGTGCAGCATCTGTTGCTCAAACGATCTGTAATCCCCAAGATCCTAGTGATTGTTACTCGAAGATATTTGTACCAAGCCATGAGTTCCAAGTGATTCGACCCGGACAGGAATTGCCCTTAGGATTACATATTCGGATGAACCTTGACACCGGATTGAAGGAAGCCAAATTTGATGATTCTCCAAACGAAGGCGAGGTGGCTGTCGTGGAGGCTGATGGCGAAGAATTGATAATTCCAGAAGACTCTCTTATTGCTGATCTAGACGACGAGGAAGAAAGGTACGCTCAAGAAGATGCTGAAGTAAATCATTTGAAGCAACAGGCTAATCAAAACAAGGCAATTGGTGTTGACATTCAAGGGATCTTGAATTTTAAAGGTAAGAACACATACAATGCCTTGATTACATCTTTAAATAGCGTGGAAGAATCAAGTCATGATGTTGAGATTGGTGAAGAATTGATGGCCAATAATCAATTGGTCAACAAATTGAATGAGATAGTTGCTAATAATCAGTATGATTATGAATTAATAGAGAGGATATACAGAATATTTGCTTCTTCACTTCGGAATAATCCAAATGCCCTTGAAAAGTTTCTTGAGCGTCCACAATATGTCGCTTATGTCAATAGTCTATTTGATTCGTTATCTGAAGGCCAACCTGATGTTATTCAAAAGCGAATTCTTGGGATTGTTCAAGCTCTCTTAGGGAGTGATAAATTTCGTCATGAATATTTTCAAGGTAATGGCTTAAACAGACTTATTCGTGCCTATAATTATTTGGGATCACAGGCAAAAGCAAGAGTAGTTAATATCTTTGAAGATTTGGACCTAATAACCAATGTTAGTAATGTTGCAGGAAATATTAATTCTAATGGCCTGGAGGGGAACAACAAAAAGAGATCACAGGTCTTTAGTATTGATATGATGGCTTCCGGTTATCTTCAAAAAAGATTAATGTCAGGAGACTTATCTTTTGAGCTGTTCAAAGAGTTATTCCAAAACTTGAATGATTTGCATAATGCAAATAAGGAACTCTTACCTTCTCCAGAATTTTTACAATGGTTAACTGGTGAGTTGGACCGTAGGTCCAATTTGAAGGAAAGAGATGAGGAGAGTCTAGAATTCGATCGAGAGATGTTGAAAGCTAGACATTTGATTTACGGTAACCCTAAAGCACTTCGAAAGGCATACGCTGATGAACTTTAAAAGTATGGGGAAAGGAAATTAACATACATAAAATGGATACTTCGAAAAAATCAATATATCAATTCATATTGTTTTAAATGGTGGTTATTAATTGGTGGTAATGTACATAATACTGCAATTGTAGTATCAACTAGTTTAGTCGAACAAACCGAAACCCATGTCGTCGTCAGATTCTTCAGCAGCTTCTTCGGCGGCTTCTTCGGCAGCTTCTTCAGTTGCAGCACCAGTAGAGGCACCACCGGCAGCAGCAGCTGGACCACCAGTTGGGACAGAGGACAACTTTTCGGTACCTTCAGCAATCAATTCTTCAACGCTCTTACCTTCAACTTCTTCCAACAACTTGGAGATCTTGTCTTCTTCAACTTCAATGGAGACAGATTCCAAGACAGCCTTGATGTCGGCAGCGGATGGGCTGGCGTTACCGGCGTTGACCAATAATAAGTAAGCAGCTAAGTATTTCACTAGAGAGAGTTAGTTAGTATATTATCACACCAAATTATTTAACGATTCAGAAAGGTCATTAGAAAACTTATTTTATTATATATCGTTGATTAATTCAGAACAACTGTAATAACAATATTTCAGCTTTCATGGGCAATTTCTATAGGGAGGTTCACATATTTTAATGGCAATATTAATATGAGTAAAAGACCGCCTAAAGATCCAAAATTCCAGTTACTCGTTTAAGGAAATGTCCCCCATATGATAAAAGTTTTCATAACACTTTGAAACCGTTGTATATCTCGCCAAACATACTAATTACTGTTGTTGTATAAGTTAACCAGTTGACGGGTTTCAATAAGTAGATTTGATGTAGTCAATTTTTCAATGTGGTACAGTCGTCCTTCCGCATTTGAAAAATTTTCGAGAAACAGCTAGTTTTGTGCGGGTAACACTTAGGGTTGGTAAGGTTTGTGAACGTGATTTTCACGTGGTATAAAACGGGAAGTGTGGGATTTATCGTATCATATATACATATATGGAAATAGATTCCTTAAACCTTGCAATTTATCTTCATAAGAAAATGTTACTATTTGTATGTTTTTGCATCACTATCCAGATTTAGGAAGCTTTTGCTGTTTTTGCATGTACTTTTATTGTCTTTTCCTTATGCTTCTTTACGATAAATGTGTGGAGTTGATGTCTTAAAGCGGCAATCGAAATCAAAGTGTATCACGTGATACAGCCTCACTTAGTAATCGTTCATCATCAATGAGCTTATGAATTAACTGATAACAGAGTATCTTAAGAAGTAGGAACTAAAGAATTTAATATTATTCCAGAAAAGATCATCTTCTGTCATGTCCTTCAAGTCATTTCCCCAATTATCGGAGGACCAGGAAACTCAATTGCAAGAGAAACTCTGTCATTGGAGTTTGGCAAATGGGTTAATCATGTATCCCCCCCAATTTAAATCTTTTAGTAGCAATGTGGCTCCAATTACTTTATATCCAACCCCATTTCCCAAGGCTGCGTTTGAGGATGCTGTCAAGGTTGAGACGGTTTTCCATGAGTTATATATCAATGCTATAGCCAACAATAAAGAATGGCTAAAGGAAATTTTGCAAGACTTATCGAAACACGATAAGGATTTCACTGGGAAATTGTATGAAACTTATACTAAAGCATTGGAATTGAATGGTGGTAAGATCTTACAACCTTTATCTCTTGGGTTATTCAGATCAGATTATATGTTGGATAATGATCGTATTAAGCAAGTGGAATTCAATACTATTAGTGTTTCCTTTGGAGGCTTATCTACCAAGGTTGGGCAATTGCATGATTTTCTTAATAAATCTGGAGCGTATGATTCGAAATACTCTTACGAATATTATGATAGAGGCGAAGTAGGAGTATCTGATTCTGTCAATAAATTGGCTGAGGGGTTGGCTGATGGTGACAAATTCTACTCACAACAACAAGGTAATTCAAAGAATGGAGTGGTTTTATTTATTGTTCAAAATGGTGAGCGGAATGTTTTCGATCAGAAACATGTGGAATTTGCCTTATTGAATAATCACGGTATCAAATCCATAAGAATGTCATTGGAAGAAGTACAATTTTTAACTACTGTTCGGGATAACAAATTATATATTAAGCAGTCCATGGATGAAGTATCTGTTGTATATTATAGATCAGCATATTCTCCGAATGACTACGCTTCAAATCCAGATCTTACTTGGGGTGCACGGTTATATTTGGAGAATACCTTGGCCATCAAATGTCCTTCAGTTTTGACCCAATTATCTGGAGCCAAAAAAATTCAACAGATATTGTCCACTAAGGACGTTATAAATACAATTGCCCCCTCTATTGAAGGTGAGGATTTGAAGAGATTGGTAAGTACATTTGTTGGGATTCTTCCATTAGATGATACTGATGAAGGTAAAGCTGCCATTGAGTTGGCTTTCAAAGAACCTCATCGATTTGTATTGAAGCCTCAAAGAGAAGGCGGTGGTAACAATATATATAAAGAAGATATTCCTGACTTTTTGAATTCAATTGATAAGGAAGAATGGGGTGGATACATTTTGATGGAGTTGATAAATGCCCCTACTCATAAAAGTAAGATTATTAGAAATGATGAATTGATACATGAAGATATTATTTCCGAATTGGGTATATTTGGTACCACAGTATTCAATGAAGATACTGGTGAAACATTATCCAATAAATATGCTGGTCATCTTTTAAGATCAAAAGTTAGTTCATCTAATGAAGGAGGAGTTGCTGCTGGTTTTGGATGTGTTGATAATATTTATTTATATTGATGTATAGATTGGCATTTTTTTGTATTCTTTAATCACACTGTAGGGGATTTTCTTCTCAGTAATTACAATTTATAGAGGAATAGAAGTTGGATGATCTTCTGGTTCAACTTCGTTTTGATCATTCAATTCTACTGGCTGCAAAACAGGAACAAATAATTTTTCAGGTTGAGCATCATGTATGGGTGTATTTTTCAAATTATGTTCAATATTCACTGCCCAAAGACTGGCACCAATTGTATTGGTGAACATAAAAAAGACACTAAGGATAGGGATTTGTTCTAATAAAGTACTAGTGATACCAAACCCCATGTATGCTCCTGAGTTTGCCTTATAAATAGCAGAAACCTGTCTGAAATCCAAACCTTTAAGAACAAAATATCTGGAATGACTTCTGAGACCAGAAGAAGGAGCCTGAAGAAATATTGCTATACAAGGACCAAGCATTGGTATTGAACTAACACCAAATAACACTATAGTTCTTAAAATATTATAAGGGAGAATTAACATTGAAGGTAAATACCAAAGAGTATCCATAAATTGAATATAGTATGGTACTTTGACTACTCTTCTTAATCTACCTAAAAGAACCACATCATCTGCGTATTCCCTAGTTAAAACCGCATCGAACGCCACTCTTTGGATTTCAGGCAAAAGAAATGCCTTAACAAGGAACAAAGAAACCACACTGGATTGTTGTAAAACAGCTACCCAAGCATAAAGTAACCCTGGGGGTCCTGACATAAACAAAAGGATCATGGCTTCAATTGGGTAACAAGTGAAAAATACAATCAAATAAACGATTACCATAAGGGTTAATTGTGGTACCAATATAGTCATATAGAAAGCCCATAGCTCAGTATTCTTGATAAAATACAGAATACCCTATTTTACCTTTATGTTAGTGATACCCCCCTTCATGCTCGATAATACAAGTAATACATACGTATAGTGGATACAAGTAAGTCCCTGCTTCAAGAGTACGGAGAGGTAAAGTAACAACTCTTGAGATTTTCAAATACCACAGGCGGAGTATACTATTTGCTAGTTTATATACCATTACAATATATATGGATGAGATAACGGGTGCTATAGAGAAGAAGATACCGTTAGATATTTGATACGTAAGGATTTTTTTATAGGGGTGTACTAATTTGGGTGCAAAAGAACGCATGGGGTGCGACCTGCGGCGGAACTATGGATGATAAACCGATATCATTGCTTTAGATATCAGATGCTAACAACTAGTTTTCAAAGTAGTAAAGGTACATATAGTACTAGTATATATATATAACTTGACAGTTAAATAAAGCAGTCTAAAAAAATGCAAAAATTATATGGACGAGTCCGGAGTCGAACCGGAGACCTTTCGCATGCTAAGCGAACGCGCTACCAACTACGCCACACGCCCTTGAGGGTTAGAATGGTCCCTGGCGGGATCGAACCGCCGATCTTGGCGTTATTAGCACCACGCCTTAACCAACTGGGCCAAGGGACCTTTCTGTTAAAAGAAGAATAGGGAATTTTATCACGTACATCAATTGTGTTATACACAGGTTTGCAAATATCTAAACTTGACGCGTTTTCAATCGTATAACCTACTCTACTACTATGAATTACTTATTGATCTCCTAGACTATCGCCCCTTCCCCTCCCCTTCCTCATCCAAGACTTTTTGCGGTTAATCAATAATCGGATTCAATCCAATTCAATTTATGGATCACACTCAGCATACTCAAACGCAGGCAACACAACAATCACCTGCTACCCAAGTGGATGAGAATCCTGAAGAGTCTTCTAGAATCTGTCGACTAATTTGTACTACAGAACAACTTAGCTATATTGATCTTAAACCTGATGGTTTACACCCGAATGAGAAAAAGAGTTGGCTTGCAGGAAGACATTCTAATTGTGATATTGTCTTAGCATCATCATCAAGAATATCTAATTATCATTTTAAAGTATGGTTTAATCCTTCTGATAAAACACTTTGGATCCAGGACACATCAACAAACGGAACACATTTGAATAATAATCGATTGGTTAAAGGGTCTAATTATATATTGAATCAAGGAGATGAGATTTCTGTCGGTGTAGGTATACCGAAAGATGTGGTTAAATTTGTAGTATTGTTCACTGATGAATATAATCCTACACTGGTATCAACTTCAATTAATGGAGATTCCAAAAAGGAAGGAATTTATAAGGACTTTATTATAAAAAACGATACTATTGGTCAAGGAGCATTTGCAACTGTCAAAAAGGCAATTGAAAGATCAACTGGAGATTCTTATGCGGTTAAAATCATTAATCGAAGAAAAGCTATAAATACTGGAGGTATGGTTGGAGTTGAAAGAGAATTGGATATTTTAAGAAGATTGGATCATCCCAATATTGTAAAATTGAAATCTTTTTATGAAGATCCAGATAATTATTATTTGGTTATGGAATTGGTTCCTGGAGGTGATTTAATGGATTTTGTTGCTGCTCATGGTGCTATTGGTGAAGATGCAACTCAAGTAATCACCAAACAAATACTTCGAGCAATAGCTTATGTTCATAAAATGGGGATTTCACATCGAGATTTAAAACCAGATAATATTTTGATCATGCAAGATGATCCAATATTAGTTAAAATAACTGATTTTGGTTTAGCAAAAATTAGTGATAGTACAACTTTCATGAAAACTTTTTGCGGAACTCTTGCTTATGTTGCACCAGAAGTTATTACTGGGAAATTTGATGCTTCACAATCTTCTGGAAACAATCGTGACAATTATTCATGTTTAGTGGATATTTGGTCATTGGGTTGTTTGGTGTATGTCTTATTAACAGCTCATTTACCATTTAATGGGAAAACTCAAGCACAAATGTTTCAAAAAATTAAACTGGGTGAATATCATGAAGCTCCATTGAAAACAATTGAAATTTCAGATGATGCAAGGGATTTCTTACATCATTGTTTACAAGTTGATCCTCGGGATAGAATGAATGCTACTGAAGCTTTAAGTCATCGATGGCTTATTGGAGTTGATCAAGAGAATTCTCAAAATATTATCAGCTTATCGCAATCACAATCACAATTGTCAAGGAAAATCGAAAATGGTTTACCAATTACAACTTCGATGAGTCAAATCAATGAGGATATAATGATGAGACCATTGGAGAAGAAAAAGGATAATCAAGAATTCAAGGTTCCTCGTAGAGTTGTACCTTTACCCCAATCTCAACCTGTTAAAAGATCGTTACCTTCCCCTTCAGGAAGTCCACCAAAGGATTCAAATTCCAAGCAAGCAATTTCACAACCTAGAAAGAGAGCCAAAATAGATGGTGAAGGTTCATTTCCATTACAGAGACAGGATGAGATATTGAATATACCTCTTGATACGGTAATTAGATTATCACCAACTCCATATTCCAAATCTCAAACTCCCATTTACATACGTCAAGGGTTCATAACATATGTTATTGGAAGAAGTGATGTTTGCGATACAGTTGTGAATGATGATAGAATCTCAAAAGTGCATTGTATTTTTGTTAAACGAAGGCACCCTGTCCATACCTTGAGTATTCATGAAAGTCCAGCACATGGTCTAACAGACATTTGGCTTCATGATGCGAGTACAAATTCGTGTCTTGTTAATGGTGTATTGTTAGGGAAAGGGAAGAAGACCCAAATATATAATGGTGATTGCATAGACTTCTTTAAAGACGTCAATGGGGAAAGAATAGGGTTTAAAATTGAAATCATTGATCAAACAGGACTTTTCAATAAAGGTAATCGACTTTCCGATCATGATATGGGGCTAGTGAATGTTTTAAAACAAGATACCCACGATATGAAATTTGATCCATTTAAGAAGTCATCATCGTCATCATTTGAAGGTGGAGATATTATAACTAAAACCAAGAATCGGATTTCAAAAGAGAATAATAACAATAATAATAATAATAGAAATGAATCAAGTACTACCACTAAAAGAGCTGATTTACAGATGATTCATGATAGACCTATAGATAGTTGGCCATGAGATTAAGCCATATATTAAATCTCCTATATACCTTTCTTATGCCATTAAATTTCTGACATCTGATTCCAAAGGTGATTTTTTCCTATATGAAAATTCATTATTATTCTCCTTATCGGTTTTAATTGAGGTAGTGTCATTATTATTGCTAGTTGCATCAGCCAATCTTCTTAATTTGGAAGTCTTTGTTAAACTCTTGATAATATGATCTTTAACTTTAATCATCTCCTTCAAGTTATATATTTCATCTTCCTTTTCCTTGATTGAATTTTCCAATTGTCTTTCCAGTACTGTTGATGATGGTGATGGTGGTGGTGGATTACTGGAACCAGCAGTAATAGCACCTTCTTTATAACTTTGTTTAAGTTGAGATTCAAGAAGATTTATATATGAAGTATACTCTTCAACTTCATAAGTCACTCGTTTATAGAATTCTTCTAAATTAGCCATCATCATTTGTGAAGATCCATCTCCCATTAAATCATTTAAAGTATCATTCTTCAATATTATGGTTTCAGTCTTTTGTAAGTTTGTAAGTCTTGTTAAATGTTCCAACTTTTCATTAAGTACTTTATTCTCTGCTTCAATTTCGGCATAACTCTCCAAATTAACTGTATTATTATTATTCCCCACAAGTGTTTCAGTGCTTATATTACTTGAAATACTCAGGTTTACCTTTAACATATTGATTTCTAGTCTTTGACTTTCAATTGTTCTTTGTAAATCTGCAATGAATCGATCTGAATCTCCACCAGGTCCCAACCTGGTAGATTTATTACTTTCAACATTCATAACAATATCTTTAGCTCGTGCAGCAAATCGAAGAGTATTATAAGTTTCAGAAACATATTGAGATTCAGATAAATTACTCATACCGGGACCAACATGGATAGTACACAATATCAGCACTAATGAAGAACCTGATAAGGCAGGTTGAAGTAATCTGGTTAATTTGGAATCACGATAAGGAATATGATCGTTTAATAACGAATGAGATGCCACCGATAATTTATTGATCACTGTTGATAATGCCAATAAAGATTTATTGATATAAGAACCTTCCTTTCTTCGTTCAAGACTTGAAGCAGCCTTTTCTGAACCGGCCAAATCACAAAGTGAGAGAGTTCTGTTTAATTCAGTATTATTGGACAAATCTATAGTGGTTAATCGTATTTGAAGAATAGCATGAGATCTTGATGACCTGGAATTATAATCAGTAGCACTTGTTTTCCGATTATTATCACCTCTTCTTAAAAGCTTCAATAATTGATCTCTTGAGTCAATTGTAGGACTGGTAATTCCTATTATTTTAGTTCCATAGACAGGATCATCCCGAATCTTTAATTCAGCCACATTTGTAGGGTTTAACAAATCTATAATCTTTTCGTTATATATTTCCAAATAAGATATGGCAACTGTATGAGTTTTACTATTGGTTTCATTCTCTATTTTGTTGAATAAATCATTCACTGCCAATTCCACAAATCCAGGGTCCAATTCGTTCCCCTTCATAGAATATGTTTTCCCTGATCCAGTCATACCATAAGCAAATACTGTACCATTATAACCATCAGTAAGAAATCGTTGAACAATCTCAGAACACGATTTTTCATATACATGACGATTGGTAAGTCCAATATCTGAAATGAAAACATTATCAAATGTAAATGACGACCCATCAGTGCTATTAGCTATCAGATTCTCATACAGATTAACTATCCATGGTGAAGGTTGTAAAGGGTGTATACTATGAGGATTCGGTCTAATGGAAACACTAATGGTACCAGTGTATGGTTCTTGAGGTCTATGAAGTGGAGTAGAGGGTCTGGAAGTTGACATGGCTGATCCAGGACGCGAGGAGGATTGTTGTCTGGAAGAAGGAGAAGCAGGCCGATATGAACGAGCTGACGGTGGTCTTCGAAGGTCGCTCACACTATGACGAGTAGAGGACCCATTGGAAGATCCCGTAGTGGACGAAAGTGACGTTTGAGATGATGACAGCATCCCTAAGCTAGAACGCGTACGCATAGGAGTCGATCTCGCGTATGACATAATAATTTATTAAGGGGTGATATGAGTAAACTCTTTAAGTACAAACAAGAAAGGAAAGGAGGTTTGTGATGTTATGAAGTTTTGATCCAAAAAATTACTTGCTATTTACAATTAGCCTATACAGGTAATCTGTGTCGTGTATTGCAGTTCCAATGCTTATGTAATCAATAGTGGCATGGTTTATCAGTGATATCTTTACTGAACCAAATCTTCCATTGACTATATTTTTTATGCATGACACTATCTTCTGTGTCACATTCACTTTTAGCTATGATGGCAGATCGAATATCAGCATAATGTACACTAAAGCAAAGTTTTCTAGAAACCACTGAACCGATTTCCAATACTTCTCCAAAGGCACTAAAGTCGTGTTTGACATCTTTGATATCAAAATCCACTGATAAGTGCGTGGCCGGATTAGGATAGTATAACCGATTGTCTGATCTAGTCTTTTTATGAAGAACTTTCTTAGTTAATATAAGGACCCGACGAGATGAAAGATTGGTAACTTGATGAATCAAATATCGAGGTAATGGTTCCAAATATATATAGTCATCGATATTTCTAGGATTTGCCCATTCAATTGATGGTGTAATCCCATGGAATTGAAACTGCCCACTTCTATGAGCATATTCATAGAATAACCGAGCATCCGCTGCAAAAATATAACACAATTTTAAAGTATTAAACAGTTCTTGACTTTTCATCATCACTTGTTCTAATGGTCCTCCACACACTTGGGAAAGAACCATATTAATTCCAAAGTCTTTAGGGATTCCACTTATAATGATGACTCGATTCGAATGTTCCATATGCGACGAAGGTCGACGGAGCTTCTCTCGATAAACATTCCTAATGTTGGTGCTTTTATTGAGTAAAACTGACATGGTTTTACTCTTTTCAGAAAAATCATACTTTTGTACAGCTGGCTCTTCCATAATTGCCTTTGATGAAGGGGTTGTTGTTGCTTCTGGACTTTGAAGCATGCCGTGATTGTTCATCACATCGTTCTTATCAACAACGGTCGCCGTGAACCAACTGAGTTTACCTGCAAACCTCAAAAGACCAGGTTGATGGTGAGCTGTCAGTGGTGTTCCAGACTTATTGTTTGGAGTACCACTACTCGAGATCGAGCGGCTCCGAAACCAACTCCGTGATGCCAGTTGGGCTTTCTTTCCGTTACACTCATAATCATAATCATCATCATCATCATCATCATTTCCATCACCATCGTATGATTTGAGAATCTCATCTCTAATCTTATTGTGCATCTCATAGACGCTGATACCCTCCATCACTTAGCAGCGATGATTGTTAGCAATTAACGTATAGTTTGTCTTGGAGCGAAAAGAGGAACGTCGTTAGTGACGAAAGCAAGGCGATATATAACGTATAAGCAATTTCAGCAGTAGTTGAAGAGAGACTTACAGAGAAGGTCAGTTACAGAAGTATGCTTTTTGCACCCAATGAATGTCGCACACAATAGAAATCATACTATGTAAGTACGAACAGCACAGTATATAAGCATATTTTATGTAGTTTAGTTAGTACTGTATAAGCTACTGAACATTGGAAGCTGAATATACTGCTGAATATTGACGGCTGTATATACTATTGGATATGTGACGGCTGCCAGTTGTTCGAATGCAACGTGTGCTTGTTTCATGATTACCTGATCTCATCACGTGACCAAACAAGATCAAATAAATAAACAGTGAAAACAAAGTACTTTACTCTTCATAACTGTATTTACTATTAAACTTACCAATGTTCTCTTCAGAGTATATAAAGCTAAAGAACGAGTTACAATTGACCGCAGAAAGTGAGCAAGAAAGACAACATATGATAGCATTGGTGATCATGCGTATAGCCTTTGGTCATGGCAAGAGTGAGAAAGAGAAGACCGCGACTCCCCCACCACCATCATCATCATCATTATCATCATCAGCTTCACTGGTCAGTACTGAAGCCAACGTAAGACATTTGGTAGAACTTGAAGTGAGTAAGATCAAGCAACAAAATGCAATGAAGATCCAAACCCAAGAAGCTAAGATCCAAACCCAGGAAGCTCGTATAAGATCACTAGATAAGGAACTTAAAAAACTTCGACAAGGAACACAATCTAAAGGTTCTACTTCTGTATTAGCCAATATGAATTATCTTTCACCAACAATTAATTCTTTTAACAAATCCATTCTTTCATCATCTCCAGTTCGTCACGTTATGACTCCATTGAAGAGACCCAATCGAATCACCAAAGATGCTGGAGGTAAACGGAAATATTTAAATTACAACAAAATAGCCCAAACACTTACGCGAACACAACGGTTGGAACGAAGAAGGAAAGAAATTGATGGTGAGTCAGATACAAGTAGAATATCTGAAGTTTCAGATGATGAAAACATGGTGGGTGGTTCACCTACACCTGAAAGTCCTCATAAAGCTAAGAAAATACGACTTCCAAAGACTAATTCACAACTTCTTCTTCCTACCCGTACGACATTAGGTGAAGATGATTTGAATTCAATTGGATACTATCAAGATGCCAATTTTACAGATGTTAGTCCTGTAAGACAACCATCTACCAACATCAATGATAGTATTACAGTAGATACCACGCAAACAGGAACAAGTATAGGTACAGGTACAGGAACAGGAACAGGAGCAACATCAATACCCGAGGCAAAGGAGCAACCTAAAAAGAAACGGAACATTTTTGAAATAGAGTAACATATATACATAAATATATTAGTAAGCTATATTCTTATACTCGACACCCGAACACCAACAAAATCTGGGGTACTCACGACCCCGCTGAAGAATATTTTTCCACCGATCAAATCAACTTAGTAACTGAAGGCAAAACCTACACCCAACTCTCTTTTTACGCCAACAGTATAATATTATCTATCACCTAATATGCTTCAAGCTAGAGGGTGTATGAAATCCCTTAGTCGGCGATCTGGAGCCCGGTATCTTGCACTGCTTAGGTACGCAAGTTCTTCGGCATTTGTAGCTCGGACTGGGCCTCTTCAGAGCAGCTTGGCGGAATACGCCTTTCCTCTGTCGTTCGCACCACACCAAATGATAGACATTGACCAATGGTTGATGAAGGATAAGGAGGCTAACAAGGATGAAATTCCTGTGGTCGAGAAGAAGGATGAAGATAACAAGAAGGATGGAGATGTACCTGTGGAGAAGAAAGATAATGAAGTTGATAAGGAGAATACCGATAAGGAGCCGGAATCGGAGATTGAATCGCCGGTTGATCTGAATTCTGCTAGCGTACTGGGATCAGATGGTGCAGTACCTCCTGGAGGAAATAACAATAACAATAACAATAATAATAATAATAATAATAACAATAATAATAATGACGATGATGATGGTGTTGTCAGTGAGGAGTCAAGCATAGCTACTGATCCAAAGACAGGATTGTACCCTCCACTTTTAGCTATACCCATGAAGGATAGACCTCCACTCCCAGGGAGACCATTTGCCATCAACTTAACCGATCCTGATGTGATCAGATCCGTATACACCATTATAGATAAGAGAGAACCTTATTTTGTGTTGTTTCATACCAAGAATCCCAAAGAAGAAGATACCGACGTCATTAAGAGTAAAGACTCAGTTTATGATATTGGTGTCCATTGTCAGATCATTAGACATACAATTCCTAGACCTGGAGTATTCAATCTTTTAGGTTATCCTATTGAAAGATGTGAGCTTCATGAATTACATACTCCTTCTTCGTCGTTATCTGAAACATCACCAGCTAAACCTGCCGCCAGTTCCAAAAAATCAAAATCAACTAGTGTTCAAGAAGGCAACGAAGTCACAGTTGAGGAAACTAAACCACTGGAAACTGATGATTATCCTACTTCATATTTAAAAGATTTAAAGGTTTCATTTGCTTCTGTTAAGCCAGTACAAGATAATCCTTATGACCAGAGCTCAGCCGAAGTTATTTCTTTAGTTGAAGCTTTGAAGTCATTACTTGGTAAGTTGGGAGGTAAGAATCCACTTGAGAAGCTTCAAATAAGAGAAGGGACAGAATTATTGAAGAATCCTTCTAAATTTGCAGATTTTGTAGGTTCAACTATTCATGGTGATCCTAAAAAGATTCAAGAGATCTTGGAATCGTTGAGTGTTCAAGATAGATTATCAAAGGCATTAGAATTGTTAAAAGTTGAGTTAAATGCTAGTATGATCAAAGAGAGTACCATTCATAACTTGAGTGCCAAAGCAGATGAATATCAAACAAGATTATTTATTAAGGAGTTCATCAAGGAATTACAAAAGAGAGCAGGAATCACTGAACAAGAAGATAAAAAGACCTCAAAGTTCGATGAAAGACTTAAAAAATTGAGATTAACTGATGAAGCAATGGAAGCATATAACACGGAAAAGGCCAAATTGGAAAACCAAACAGACCATTCCAGTGAATTGGGAGTTTCCGAAAGATATCTTGATTGGTTGACTCTGATTCCTTGGGGAATTTATTCTAAAGACAGATTCAATATTCGTGCTGCAAGAACCATTCTTGACCGTGACCACTACGGATTAAAGGATGTAAAGGAAAGAATCTTGGAATTTATTTCTTTGGGTAAAGTTTCAGGAAAGGTTGATGGTAAGATATTGTGTCTTGCTGGCCCACCAGGAACAGGTAAAACTTCAATTGCCAAATCCATTGCTGAAGCTTTGAATCGTAAATACGTTCGTATTGCTATGGGTGGTATTCATGATGTCCATGAAGTTAAGGGTCATAGAAGAACATATATTGGTGCCATTCCTGGTAGAATTATCCTAGCATTGAAAGCCGCAAAGACTTCCAACCCATTGATGTTGATCGATGAAATAGATAAGTTGGATTTAAGTAGAGGTGGAGCTGCTGCTTCAGCCTTTTTGGAAATCCTTGACCCGGAACAAAATAAAGAATTTGTCGATAATTATATGGATGTTAAGGTGGATTTATCCAAAGTCTTGTTTGTTTGTACAGCCAACTATTTGGGTAATATTCCCGCACCATTAAGAGACCGTATGGAAATTATTGATGTTCCTGGTTATACTAATAATGAAAAGGTTGAAATTGCCAAACGTCATTTGATTCCTCAGGCTTGTAAGAAGGCAGGTCTTGGAGAAGGACATGTTGGTATTCCATTAGAGACCATAACCAGAATGCTTGAGAAGTATTGTCGTGAAAGTGGGTTAAGAAATGTCAGAAAGCTTATCGATAGAATTTTCAGCAAAGCTTCACTTAAGATTGTTGAAGAAGTTGAAAAGCGTGACGACGAATTAGCAGCTACTCAAGTTAAGGAAGAAGTGGAGACCAGCAAGGAGGAAGCTGAAATAATCGAACCCGAGGTGAAAATCCCAGTAGTCACTACGCCTGTCGAAGAAGAAGTTGCTATTACAACAAAAGATCTGACCAGTTCCGATGAATCATCATCTTCAACAACAAAACTGGAGCAAAAGGAAGTTGACACAGTGAAAGCCAATGAATTAGATGGAATTGAGATTCTCTCACCAGATGAAGAGATTCCAAAAATGAATATTCCTGAAGATATTAAATTAGAGATTACTCCCCAAACATTGAAGGATTATATTGGACCTGAAATTTACACTAGAGATAGACTTTATGAAACTCTTGTGCCTGGTGTGGCCACGGGACTTTCGTATAGTTCTTCTGGTAGTGGAGACGCATTATACATTGAATCGATTTTGACCCAGCCAATCTCCTCGGGCATAGGCCATGCTGGAATTCATGTAACTGGTAGTTTGAAGGATGTGATGAAGGAATCAGCCTCTATTGCATATTCCTTTTCCAAATCGTTTATGTCTAAGAATTATCCCAAGAATAGGTTTTTTGAAGCTGCTGAAGTTCATGTTCATTGTCCTGATGGAGCTATACCAAAAGATGGACCATCAGCAGGTATTTCATTTACTTCTTCATTGATTTCTTTGGCCATTAACCAATCAATTCCTGCTACAATTGCCATGACCGGTGAAATCACTGTTACTGGAAGAGTATTAGCTGTTGGTGGGTTAAGAGAGAAGACTTTGGGTGCTAAAAGATACGGATGTGATACCATTATTTTCCCCAAGGATATAGAGAATGAACTTGAAGAGATCCCTGTTGAAGTCAAGGAAGGAATCAAGTTTATTCCTGTTGAATGGTATCATGAAGTATTTGACATTATCTTCCCCAAAGTCTCGAAAGATCAAGTCAATAATGTTTGGAAAGATGATTTTGCAAAGCTCGAGGAGAAAAGAAAACTGCATAAGAAATAATATAACATGATAGAATAGTCTTTAAAACTCTGTATATAAATTAATTAAACTCCATAGTATAACTTAAACTCATGATATTATTTTTTCACCTTATCAAAAAAGTCCCTTATTTCTTCTTCGGTTACAACTTTCCCTTGTTCGGCAAAGGGTTTAAAGAAATCCCGAAGCTTGGATTTAATCATATTATATGCTTGCAATCCTTCGACTGCTTGTTCCTTTGGAAGAGACAGAAGGACATCGGTCCCCAAGTCTAGAATTGAACCAGTAGTAGATGAATTTGTATCTTCATCCTTTGGAGGTTCATACACTGGATCGGATTCATAGAGGTATGAATTTGATTCCAAGAAACGATAAACTTGGTTTGAAGCGTCCAAAGTCAGTTTATACTTGATTAAAGAGCTTCTAAAGGAACTGTTTAAGAATACCGAATAAGGTATGAATTGTTTCTTTATTCTTTTAATTTTTGGTTCATCATTGTCAGTCTGTTTATCATCATGGTTCAACCAATGATTATACTTTTCTTTCCATTCATCGACCAGTTTTAACTCTTCAAAATGAGGCAACCGTGAGTGGACCACCCCGTCAACAGTACGTAGTACATCGAACACTTTGTGGTACAGTTGAACACATTTCCAACATATGAACTGGTCAAAAGCCCCTAGACTTGGGAAATAAGGAATTATAACTTCATCATTATCATCATCATCATCACCATGATTATCACCGCTGCCATCAGTTTGAGCATCTTGACCTGGACCTGGAAGTCGATCAAGTATGTTGCCGGTACTTGTAGCCGTGTCCTTCGCCGGTTCGTTGATGCCCACTACGCAGTTTAAATGGTACCAGTCTTCACCGCATTCCACCCCCAAGAAACACTGAATCATGGTGCCTGTTTCCTCCAACGGATTATATAGCTTCTCACAGGAACAAAACTTGCCGTGGTAATTCTGGTTATATCTATTGGAAGAGGAAGGTATATCATCTTTAGGAAGCAGAAGAGATCTAAAGCTATTTCTTCTTGCCATATCAATTGAACCCGAACGCGGTCTAACCGTCGCAGTAGACTCACCAGGCAACTCTGATTCACCTCGAACAGTACACCCTTTTGAGTTAAGGATTCGGGTGGTCCCACAGTCACATACAAAGTCACGCTTGGAAAACAACTCCACTAGTTCATGAGTAGAATGACATCGTATCAGACACGAATAACATACACCCACTGGAGATTGCGCCGTGCCACAAGTCAAACACGCATATACCATTTGTCGTAGAGGACCCTTGACATAAGTACATTCATTTGGATCAAAGGGCATGAGCTCCTTTGCCTCACGTTCAAGCGCAAGCTGTTCTGCGATATAGTCGACGGCAGTGAGCTCCGTATCAGTCATAATGAAGCACCTATTAAGCCGTGATGGGGATCGTTGTAGTGAGAAGCCGTGGTAAGCCGTGGTGGTAAACCTTCTACGGCGAAAAACTAAAGCGCGATTGATTTAGTCGATGGAGAGATATGGTACTGTAGATATACCACAGAATGATATGGGTATTGTAGATACACTATATACGACGTAAGGTACATCAAACAGCTTACATGCATGTTACATATAACAGTAGTATTAACGATACTAATCTAGAAATACAAACGGAATTTAATCAATGCAATATATACTCAAATTTTAAGCCAACCCTGGAATCTCCTTAACAATCTCATCAAAAGATTCTCTGTATTCACCAGTCTTATCAGCATTCTTCTTGGTCTTCCCACCATTAGGAACAATCATAACACATGAAGTAGGTCTTTTGGTGGCTCCAGCAGATCCCAAATCTTCCTTTGATGGAATAAATACATAAGGTACAGATGAATCTTCACATAAAACTGGAATATGGGAAATAACATCAGGTGGAGAAATGTCCCCAGCAACAACAACCAATCCCTTCTCTCCCTTTCTTAAAGCCTTGACAACTTCCTTAACTCCTCTCTTAACATGTTTAGCTTTCGATGCCTTCTTAACAGTCTTTAAAATCTTCTTGTTCATCTTCTTGGGTGCCAATGGTTGTGCAAACTTCAAAAGAGCTGGTAACCTCTTTTCATAGTTATCTTCACCACCTTCGACAGCAACGGTCTTGGTTTCCTTCTTTTCCTTCTTATCTTTGCCCATGGCTATTTTATTGTTTCTGGTTGATGATAGTAGTATTAAGTAATGAGTTTGATAGCAGAAATTGTGAAATTTTTTTTGATGTCTCGATGGCGTCACGTGACTGCAGACCGACACTATATACTGCCATACCCTGTTGCATATACATATACACTAGACGTATACACTATACCACACTACAACCATACACTGTACATACACTTTTCATATATATCCATTATGTCCTCATATCGTCCTACGACTTCCTTGAACCGCAAAAGAAGGCGACCTCATTCCCCATACATTTCCAATGAGCTGAAGTTGGAACTCGAAAACCATCACCATCCACAACCAAACGAACTAATCCCGGATGACGACAGAGTATTCCGCCTTTTGAATAAACTCATCTCATTGTCGTCATCGTCCAATTCATCGTCCCCTACAACTCTAGTGTTTGTGTTATCAGCATCCGAAAGACTCTATTTGGAATCAGAGCAAATATCCACCATACTAAGAGACCGGTTTGGTCTTTCAGGGCTTGAAATGGCTTCTCAAAGTCCAGGGTCAATTGAGACTTTGGCCATGGCTTATGGGAATACAGCAGCAGTGGTAAGCTCTGCAGTGTACATCAGTTTCTGTCTCTGTGCTAAGATCAAAGACGTTTCACGTTGGAGTACTTATACTTTGAAATCACTGAACTTTAAGCTACAATTGATAATACCGAAAGTTATCAATGATTCGGTACTAGATGCCCTTTCAAGATCATCAGAATTGACTTCAATGGATTCCTGTTCCACAACTCTTCATCACTGTGTACATACTGAAGTTCAAGCTATTCAAATAAGATCAGACCTCCATTCAATGATGGTGTTCTTATCTAAGCTTTTGGAGTTGGACCAATTCAAACTGGTGTCACCACTCCAATTGAAAGACTTTACTTCTAACCCTATCTTTGCTGTTGCCAACGAACCAGCATTGTATAAGAGACACGAAACAGTTCTTATGGAGTCCAAGAATGCCATACTTGACTATGTTCTACAGTGATGGTTGTACTTAAGTAATTAGTTCTTATTTATTTTATCATGCTAATATTTTATATCGTTCAAACACGTGCAATGGTAATACCCTTCTTACGACGAGAAATAGCAGCAACCTTATCACCTAAAGATAAAGCCAACCCTTGACCCTTGGATCTTATTCTCACATGTCCAACAATAGGTCCATCACTGGCCTTTTCAATACACAAATTGGCCAACCCATCTTCCCCAAATGTCGACCGAGAATACAAGTTGGCAGATAAAAACTTACATTCTTCTCCAGTGATGGCTCCAGGGGTCAAACAATTCATATGAGTTCCCTTCATAAGTTCATCCAAATATTCCTTCAAGGTGTGCATATCTGATTTGACAGTTATCTTGTTCTCCCATTCAAATTCATTCCACATCTTCCGGAATTGACTTTCAGTACATGTAGCAGGCTTGATATAGTCCATTATGTCAACGTTAATATCGTTCAAAATCACTATAGTGGAATCATCTGAATGCTGTCCATCAAATACAATGTTACCGAAAATAACACCCGTATCAGCTGAAGAAACCTTGATTGTGGTTTGTAATCTATGGAATCCATGAGGTCCAACATTGGCAGTAGCTGGTTTATCAACAACCTTCAAATCTCCAAGCACGGCAAACTCAACAGACAAGTTCCGTAAAGTATTGGTGGTTTGATTCACTAATAAAACGTCCAACACAATATCAAATTGATGAACCTTGATATAAGCTTCAGCATAAATAGGATCAGAATAACCAGTCAATTGTAATACTTTATCTAATTTGAAAGAAATATCTTCTCTTTTAACAGCACTACCTGTGGCTAACTTAACATCATCCTCATCATTAGTTGAAGTTGCCTTATTGGAAGTAAATTGTCTAAACACAATAGAATCGTCTGCTTGTTCAGCATTGCTTTGAAATTGTTTAGCTAATTCTTCAGCCTTTTCAGATTCAACTCTTTTGATTTGACTTTCAAACGCTTCCTTAGTTTCTTCCAAGAAACCTTTCAGAATAAGATCAGCATCATCTTCATCAGTTAAATATCTAATGTTGGAAAGTATTCTATCAGCAGAATCTTCATCAATCTTCTTTTCAACTATGTTGGATTCACCAACTCTTAGAATAGATACCATGATTAACAATGCTTCAGCTCTTAAGGGGTTCAATATCTTACCAGGAGTACCAAGAGACTGTAATCTTAATACCAATTTAACTAAAGTTGAAGATAAAACAGCTGCCAAATAATAATCACTTTCCAAAATAAGCTTTCTAATGGGATATTGATCTTGATTTTCACTATCAACCAATTCAACGGTAAGAGCATTTTCAGTGGCATATGTTCCATCAGGTAAAATGATTGGGCCAGACTTCTTTTCTGTCGAACCATTAGTACCATTTGCTACTTCTTCACCATTTGAATGATGCTTCTTTTCACTGGCTAAAATTGGAACTTCACCAATGACTTCTCTAATACATTTCCATGCTTCTTGAACCAACTTTGCTTCCAAGCTATATTCACCAATAATCCAAAGTGATCCACGGAATACTTTGCCGCTCTTCAAAAGAGGTAAGACTTCAACAAGCTTGGAAATAATAGGTTGTCTCAAATGAGGGAACTTCTCCACAACTTCCTTGACCAAAACAATCACTTCATATGCTGAAGTGGTATTTAAATCGACCATTGATTCGAGTAATAAGTCTATAACATTGGTGGCCACCTCAACAAACTTTACAGCCAATTGATGAATACCATTGATTAATATTTGTCTGTATTCAGCAGTCTTATCTTCATTCAGAGATGAAGTTCTTTGTAATTCTTTCTTCAATAATTTCACAACATCTTCAACGTTTCTACTGGAGATCAATTGTAAGGTCACATTCAATGCCTTCTTACGAACATCAATATCTTGACAAGAGAGGATTCTTAAGATATCCAATGATAAAGATTGAAGAACACCTGGATTCTTTTTATGAAGATCATTGATTCTTTCCAAGGTAATAATCTTGACATTGTTATCAGCTTCTTTAACAGCCAATTCGATGAATTTGGAACCAGCCAATAAAATAGACTTTGAACTACTCGATAAAGCAGTCAAGGTGGTGGCAGCCTCATAAACAACTGAACTCGAAGTACTTTCAATGATTTCAGCAATTAAATCACCGTAACTTGGAATCAAATGAGGATTTGAAACAGAATCTTTCTTAATGAATTCAAGGAATGCTAATTGTAACAAGGGGTCCAATGAAAGAATATCAGAATGAATAATAAAATCCACCGCTGAGGCTCTATCTAACACACCCAAACAAATAAAGGCGTTTCTCTTGCAAGTGGAATCAGTTTCCTGCTCCAAAAACTTATGAATCATTTCTGCAGCATCAGGGATCAAATGATCAGATACTTGATAAATACTGAATAATGCAAAAACAGCATTCTTTCTGACGTAAGCATTTCTATGATCCAAACACTGTTGAACATTTGGAATCAAAGTTTCCAACAATTCTGGTTGTTTCAATTTGCACAAGAATCTTAAAGTGTTCCCCCTTATATATTCATTAGGATGTTGTAAATCTCTTTGTATGGCATTACAAACAAGAATCATTTCATGTCTCATTTTACCTTGATTGTCCAACTTGGGACACACTTCCCAGTAAAAGTATAACAACTTCTTCAATTCCTTATTCTTAGAGGGCATAACAAACCGAATAATGTGCATCAACAAATCTGGCATTGAATCTCCATTGAGAATGGTGATCAAGATCTTCTTCATGGCATCGATCTTCTGCTCATCCTTACCCTTTTCTAATAACGCCTTGAAGTCGTTGACCGACGTACTACTGGCCTTATTGGCCTCGTAGACCAACGTATAACAACCTTCGGACATTGGTGGTGGTGGTGGGTTTAATTGGAGAAGAGTGAGTTGGTCCGACAACTTTTCAGTGTTTTGTTCTTACGTGTTTGAATTATTAGTTGAGCGGGACACGACTAGAACAGTATAGACTTACTAAAATAGTAGAAACATAGTACATTACAGTTACTACTACAGAATATATTACTGTACAAAATAGAACTGTAGTATAGTATCTTTCGGATACTGTGCATCTCACTAGTAGTAGCATCTTACCAGTGTAAATATATATTAATCATCACCATCTGGATTAACCAATACTAACCTTGGAAGACTTTCGTTGTCATCATAATTAAGAGTACTGGGTGCACTAGCGATACTGGCATTAATTTCTTCATCACTTTTAGTGTTATAACCTGGGTGTTGATAATAAACACCAGCTGCCATACTTGATGAAACACTTCCGGAAGAAGACGAAGAAACAGAACTTGCCCTTTCCAATTGGGTAGCATTGGAAGAAGAAGTAGCTTCAGCATCTAATAACTCATTATTTTGTTCACTAGAATTAATAGTTGTATTGTTGCTAGTGGTGGTGCCATGAGCTACTAAGCTGGTCCTGTCAACAGAACTTGTACTTGAATAGGTATTACTTGTGAGTATAGTGGCTTGAGAAGCATCTGTGTTGGTGCTTAATACATGTGTCAATATCTTTGATGTCTCAGTACCAGATCTTGCAAGTGGTGATCTGGCACCAATTTCCGAATCATCAAAATCATCTGCTTCAGATCTTAAAAGTCTTCGTTCTAAATGTCCATGTTTTAATTCAACCCCACTTGATTTCTTATATTTGGATCCAGCAGAACGTAAGTATTTGGCAGTTTGAATGGCTGATCGATCAATAACTTGTAATGCAGTGGGTAATTTCCATTTCCCTGGTCCAGTATCATTATTGGCAGCTCCAGAGCTCTTCCTAATGGTAGTCACATAAATTGATCTTTCTCCTTCTCCAGGACGTAAGTTAAAACTTTTTTTTAAAGTGGCTAGATTGACATTCCGATTAGAATTTAAACTTTGAAACGATCCAATAGACCCTGTTTTACGGTGTCCAAGACTTCGAGATATAGAAGATTTAGCTCTTAATTCAACGGTGTTCAATCCTGATACAGTGTCCACACTTTTTTGACGAGCCGGACCTTTATTAAAGGGCACTCGATGAGTTGATGAGGCACTAGTATTGGTTGTTCTGATAGAATCACTCTTCCCAATTACATTTGATTTGGAGGAACAAGGAGTAATTATACCTCCAGGTGAAAACATCAATGCTGCTGCTTGTTGTTGTTGAGATGGAATAGATGAGGGTTGAGAAAGGGTTCTAGTAGGAGCAATTTTTGGAGATACAAATGGCTGTTGTTGTGGATGTTGAGTTGAACTCAACTCTAATGATGTAGATGAACTAGTACTAGAATCTGGTACTATAGGACCAGCAGGATACGGTACTGATGGTGATTGAACAAGACTATTATCAAAAGAGTCTATTCTACCATTATCATTCCAAACTTGACGAGCATAAATATCATTGATAGGGTATGGTACTTGAGCCATAATGCCATGATCTTCTTCAGATCGATTACTTCTTGTTTCCAAGGCTAAAGTATACGAATCCTTCCTGGAAGAGTTTTTAGTAATCAAAAACTCATCTTTAAAATCATCACCATCATCATCTTCTTCATTCCTGTTAATATCTTCCTCATTAGGAGGTTCTGTAGAATCCTCTCTACTATGAAAATATTGAGCATGAGTTAAAGGAGCTTGATGCCTATAAGGTGTATCACTTTCGGCTTCAGAATTCTCCGGACTTCTACTAGTGCTTCTGCTTCTCGAACTGGTACCAATAATCTCACCTTCATCATCACCGGAGCTTTCATCATGATAATTCAAACCCGAACCATCGGTAATCTCCGACTCAATCTTTTCAATTATATCTCTGAAATCAGCCACATTTGAAAGGTTGTCTTCAAACTTTGCATCTTTGGAAGCAGAAACTGGACTCCCAACATCATCCATACTGTAAACTGGACCAACAAAGTCAAACTCTGAATTCATGAGATCTGGTGGAGGTTTCCTTCTGGGTGCCCTATGACCTGAAGGACTAATATTAGTCACTTCAAATTCAGAATGCTCTGGAATACCTGATTCCGTCAACCTAGTAGGTGAATATGGAACTGGCCCCAAGTTGACCAGATAAGCAGGTGAACCACTGACTCTGCTTGAGTTCTGAAGTGGCTTACTCGATAATGGTCTCATGGGAGAACCCAGAACAGATGATACCTGTGGGGAAGGAAACAGGGAATCTCCAGATGATGGAGCTGCTAATTGAGCAGATAAACGATTGTGATGATGTCGACTATTATTTGCTGGAGTTTGAGGATTAGAGTACTCAGCATTCACTGGTGATTGGGGTTGGATTTGAGAAGATTCATGGGGTTTACGATGATGTGTGGCATTCTCAATAGGAGGTATCAGGCGAGAACCCTCATCAGAATCTTGAGGTAGATGAAATCGGTCACTGGCGACATTCAGTTTAGGCTGGTCCGCTGTTTCAGATGTATGATGAAACAGGCCTGTTTCATTATGACTAGACCCATGAGTATGTGCGTTGAATATGGAGGAAATGCGTCCACCAAATAACTTGGAACTTCGCTTCTCCATTGAGGAATTACTTTTCTTTCAAAGTGTGTCGGTCAGCCTAGATACTCAGTAAAGCATTTGACTTCATTAGTGTTGGCAAACGTTACTATAGTTATTCTTTAAAAGGACACAACACCCGAACACCGGAATGCGAAGGGCCCAGACCCAAAGAAAAACTATTATACTATTACTGAACTGCATTTCAGAACCAGGAATAATTCTGTTAAAGTTGTTGAAGTGATTATACTACAGTATAACTAACTTCTGATTACCAAATAGTTGTAGCAAAGTCTTATGGGAATTGTAAATGGAAACTCCACGCTGTTCAAGTCGTCCGAGATGTTGGAACTGAATATTGCGGGGCGTTTACTCGGAGATGTTAGTTAAAGTCTACTTACATCAATTGAATCTTCTTACATCAATTGAATCTTCTTACATCAATTGAATCTTCTTACATCAATTGAGACCGTCTTCCATCAATTGCTATCACCAAGAATGTTGTGTTGAAGGATTAGTACTAATAGCTCGTATCTAGAAATAATCACGTGACATCTGAAGTACATTTGGGATACCGTTTAACCTCGTACTATTAATATAGCTACAATATTTGGTAGCGCAGCTGAAAAATTTATATAATGATCTTCAACTTACTCCTACCAGTTGTCTATCACATCTTCTTTTAATACTTCATTATATTAATTGCATAATGTCTACTTCTGTTTCCAGTATGTATCGATTGAAATCCGACCCCACCAAGCGATTGACTTTTTATTTAACTAACAGCTGCAGAGGACAAGAAACCTGATTTATCCATTGCTAACCCCGACGTTGTCTACAAGTACAAGACTGGAGGTGAAATTTCCAATAGAGTTTTAGCTAAAGTACTTAGTCTTATTAAAGAAGGTAGCACTACATATGAGATCTCCAAGAGGGGTGATGAATTGTTAGAAGAGGAATTGTCCAAGATTTATAACTCCAAGAAGACTTCTAGTATTCCAAAGGGTATTGCATTCCCCACATGTGTTAATCCTAATCATATTCCTGCTCATTTAGCACCGGTTAGTGAAGAAGATGAAAGTAACATAACTTTGAAGGATGGTGATGTTGTTAATGTTATGTTGGGTGTTCAAATTGACTTTTATCCAGCAATTGTTGCTGAGACGGTCGTTGTTGGAGCCTCTAAGGAACATCCTATCAATGGACAAAAGGCAGATTTGGTTAAATCTGCTTGGATTGCTTCAGAAGCTGCTATTAGAAGTTTCCAACCCGGCAAACGTAATTGGGATGTCACCAATATTGTTTCTGAAGTTGCTAAGGAATTTGGTACTACACCAGTTGAAAGTATGTTAACTCACAATATTGAACGGAATGTATTGTATGGGCCAAAGGAAGTTATTCTTAATCCTACAAAGGATAATAAGACTCAAATGGAAACCCATAAGTTTGAAGAAAACGAAGTTTATGGATTAGACATTTTGATTTCCACTTCTGCTGATGGTAAAGTTAAACCATCAAAGTATAGAACCAGTTTATATAAATTGACCGGGAATTCGTATTCTCTTAAGTTGAAGTCTTCTCACTATGCTTTAGGTGAAGTCAAGAAGAAGGTATCTGGACTTTTCCCCTTCAATGTTAGAAGTTTGGAAGATGCTAGAAAAGTTCGTACTGGGATGATTGAATGTTCTAATCATAAGGTTAGTTTATCATACGATATCTTTGCTGAGAAGGAGGGTGAATTTATTGCTCAATACTTTACCACTTTTGCTGTCACCAAGAATGGTATTGTTAAGTATACATCACCAACTTTTGATGCTGAAGCCTATGTTTCTGATAAGGAGATTGCTAATGATGCTATCAAGGCATTGCTTGCTACTCCATTGCGTGCTCCAAAGAAGAAGAACACCAAGAAGACAGAAACAGCTGCATAACTATATATGTATGTATGACTGCCTGACTGACTACCTACCTGTCACGATGCCCGTTTACATAGTAAATAAGTACATGAATATGTAGCTAATGGTCTCATCCGATAAACACAGCTATATAATTAACCTCCTCCCTACTCTTTATTCATAAGTCACTTTTCAGTTAGTATTTTGGTGGGGTGGTGGTTTTCAGCGAAAATTAATCGCGTCCACCATCTTTCTTTATATACCCACGGAACTGAACCCAAGTATAATCAACTGGTGATACTTGTAGGGCATTGAAGAAAGTGAACATCGATAAAACTTGAACTGTTTTAGATGGTCATTGGTCGTTCGATATAAAAACTGTTGATAAATGACCGATTTTTTTGGCGATGGTGATGGAAGTGGAGCTGAAGAGAATTCAAATGATTTTCCATTGTCCACAGCACAAGCAACAGCAGTACCGACAGCATCAAGCAGAAGGCGATCAGGAACACCGACCAATACACTGAAGAGTCTTCCACCAACAAAACAAAGGAAGCCAATCAACTCCAAGAAACCAGAACTTCCAAGTGATGAAAGCAATAATCATACAAAGGGTATTCCAAAACGAAGCAGAGGACGACCTAGGAAAGCAAAAGAAAATGGTCTAGATTCAATACCTTTAGATACTACATCATCGAATGTTGCTACTACTCCGAAACGTAGCAGAGGACGACCTAAAAAAATAAGAAGTAATGGTCTAGATCCAGATACAATAATTCCCTTATTGAATAGTCCAAATATTGTGGAAAACACAAGACCTATAGGGTCAACCCGTAGAGGAAGAAAGCCTCTAAATCGAAATATTCAATCCGATAATAATGAGCCAATATCAGCATTTGATTTGGTGCCCCCCTCACAACCTATTTATACCGGGTTACCTTTAGAAGAGGGACCCACATCTAAAATAAAAAAGGAATCGTTATGGTCATTAAGAAAGAAACTGAACGGGAGAAACTCTAGAGAATCTTCGATATTGATATCAAATTCGTCTTCAATGGATGAAGATTCTTCTGGAAGTCGAGTTTCTCCGTCTCCTTCATCGGCCATTGAAGATGATTATATGAAAAAATTGCGTACAAGCAAATCAGAAGCTTTAACCAGAGAGAGTAGTATGAGATCCTCTCCATTAAATGTTACAATACGGTATTCTCCCAAGTCTGCTAAACATAACTTCTTGAAAGATCTTTCCCAAACCCCAAAACCAGATTTAAACTACAACGGGGATACTACTACAACACTTACCAAAAGGACATCATCCACCAAAAAAGCTAAAGTATGGTCCCCTAAAAAGACTTCGTTAGCTGGGTTGGCTCCAAGAGGTTCAATACTGAATGCCGAAAGTGAAACAATGGATCCGATGCTTAATGAAGATTTTTGCACTACATGTGGAGGAGCAGGGATGTTTATTTGCTGTGAAACTTGTCCTCGTTCATTTCATTTCTTATGTACTGATCCTCCCATAGAAACATTACCTGAACATAGTTGGATTTGCCGTGAATGTATGGCCAAAACAACCCCTCCAAAGCAGTGGAAGGATATAGGCTTGTTTGGATCATTATTAAATGCACTCCAATTCAAAGGCCCTAAAGCATTTCAATTACCTAGAAATATGCGTGAAAATTCCTTTCTTGGGGTTACAACTGGTGAAAATGGTGATTATATGGACCTGACAATGAAACCAATTTTATCCTATGCAAAGGCTAACGGGAGTCAAATTCCGGGATTCAACAAAACCGAAGCATTGGATATCGACTCTCTTTATGACAAAGAGGGTAAACCATATCTATGCCATAAGTGTGGGAATTCGGGCACACACAACAGAACACTAATTCATTGTGATTATTGCCCATTAGTATGGCATCTTGATTGTCTCAATGAACCAATGTGCATACCGAAAACCATAGGTACAAAATGGAGGTGTCCAAATCATGCTGATAGTTTGTTACCACCGTCTCATGTTTGGAATCGAAGATTAACTAATGCAACCGTTAATGATGTTGCATTACACAACCATTTTGCTCGAATCGCATCACTGAACAATATCTTCATCAAATTCCCTGACCAAGAGTATTTGAATGAGGACAAACAAACTCTACTTTCCGAATACTTGGGCTACGAGAGAGAAGACTTTGCAAAATTCGATACCAACTATATCGAATCCTCAATTAAAAGGGACAGGGTTAAGGATGGGGATGATCCCAATGAACACAGCCAGCTAAACTACGCTACGAGTGCGGGTATCTCTGCACCCATGTCCTCCAAACAAGTAAAGATAATAAAAATCTCCAATAGTGATAATAACCAGTCCTTCATATACAGAATCCCAGAGTCACTGGTAGTGTTGGACTTTGTGTCAAAGGTAAAAGGGAGCTACAAACAAAGTGTGCTTGACACTGTTGACTCTTATGATATTCGCACGCGACTTGAAACCAATCATTCGGAGCGAAATGCTTTAGAAGGTTTGCAAGTGCTAAACAATTCAACACGAAATAATGCATTGGACATCGCTGAATTGGTTAAAGTGGCTCTTAAGAATGAGCCAGCAAGTCCACCAATCAAAAAAGAAGAGGAAGAAGAAGAAGAAGAAGCACATGAACATCCACCTAAACTAATGTCACATTCTGAAATTGAACAGCTCGAGGCAGTAAGAGAATTGATTCAAAGAGCCGGGTATGAGAAATTGATGTCCTTCTTGAATCCTTATAAGAATTCTCCAACGGAGTAGCATAGTAAGATTATTTTATAAGTATAGTAGTAGTTGAATAGTGGTAGCAACTCAATCTGTATTGTTCGGTTGACGCACGCACAGACTCATTAAGTCGGAGTCAAATTTGCATTTAATCATCATTATCAACCTTTGATCTTTCTACCTACTTTTTACCAAGTCAAAAAGTAGCCATGAAATCAGTGTTTAAACAGTCATTGCGTTTCGCTTCTGACAAGGCGCTGAAATATGTACCTTCTTCAGGCGTGTTCCCCAAAGGGTTCGTAGCTGGTGGGATCCATTGTGGTGTGAAAAAAGATGGGAAATCCTTTGACTTGGCTATGTTGGCAAATGTTTATGGTAAAGATGCTACGGCAGCAGGTGTGTTCACCAAGAACAAATTCAAGGCAGCCCCAGTGCAAGTTTCTACCAAGACTCTTTTGGAAAAGAATGGACAAGGAATAAATTCCATCATTGTAAACAGTGGTAATGCAAATGCTGTCACCGGTACCCAAGGGATGCAAGATGCCACTGATATGGCTAAAATTACAGATGCTGTATTAGAAAATCCTGCCAACTCCACTTTAGTAATGTCTACCGGTGTTATAGGAAACAATTTACCAATCGATAACATTTTATCAGGTATCCCAAAGCTTGCTTTGAACAACTTGGGTAGTTCTTATGAACACTGGTTGGCATGCGCAAAGGGTCTTTGCACAACCGACACATTCCCCAAAATGGTTACCAAGCAGTTTGACTTGAATGGTCACACTTATACCCTAGCAGGTCTCGCAAAAGGTGCTGGAATGATTTGTCCTAACATGGCCACTTTATTGGCCTTTTTAGCCACAGATGCTCCTATTGGTGCATCTGCTTTAAAGCAAATGTTATCTTATGCAACTGACAGATCATTCAACAGTATTTCTGTTGATGGAGATATGTCCACTAACGATACCTTATTGGCCGTTGCCAATGGCGCTGCTGGTGGCCCTTTAATCGAAGATGTCAACTCAGAAGCTTTCACAGAAATGCAGTCAAACTTCACTGAATTTGCGCAACAATTAGCACAATTAATTGTCCGTGATGGTGAAGGTGCAACTAAGTTTATTACTATTAAGGTTCATGATGCAAAGTCTTATGAAGATGCCAAAACCATTGCCTCCACCATCGCTAATTCTTCTTTATTCAAAACTGCTATGTATGGTAAGGATGCAAATTGGGGTAGAATATTGTGTGCTATTGGATACTCAGATGTTGAATCTGGAGACTCAGTTATCCCCGCCAAAACCAATGTTAGCTTTATCCCTACCGATGGTACCGAGGAATTGAAGTTATTAGTTAACGGTGAACCTGAAAAGGTTGATGAAGATAGAGCCAGTGAAATCTTAGCTTTGGAAGACTTGGAAATCCAAATTGATTTGGGTACTGGTGGAGGTCAAGAAGCCACTTTCTGGACTTGTGACTTGTCCCACGAATATATCACCATTAACGGTGACTATAGATCATGATCAATATGTTTTAGCAAACAGTCAGAAGGAGCAACTGCAAGATTAGAAAGTCATTTTGCATTTGTTTCTTCTGGCTTTTTTTTGTATTGGTATAGATGTTGCACCGCGCTAAATGAAAGATTGCCCAATTCGTATACTTAGTCACGTGATTGCATCAAGAATTGTAATGGTACAAATACAGCACACAGTTAGCCATAGTTAAACCAAGTGGTATACGAAAGCATCAATAACTTTAGTTCCCAATGCCAATTGTGGGGCGGCCTGCTCAGATTCAGGATCTTCCATTGAATTCAATTGATGACCAGGTCCCATGTGCAGTATATTGCTTGCTTTTAAGTATGTCTCCTATCAATGCACAGTTCTATCAAATGCGAGTGACTGACTTCACCAAGCACCCATATCTCAAAACACAATATGATGAACGAATTCTGAGTGAGTACTTCATTGACAAGGATCGAATAGCAAGCATTGATATCCACAAGAGTAAATGGCGATCTGCAGTCAACGCTGCTCGTGAACAATTCTCAGGGGATTTTGAACAACCAGTCGATAGTGTTAAGCTCATAAATGAATTGGTGTTTTGCAAACTCACATTGAAGTCAAAGTCATATAACAATGTTCTTGAACCCCGAGTGATGTATATTGAATTTGTCGGAAGGAATTGCAACGAAGATAATTATCTCAAGCTATTGGATTCTGTACTCTCCGACCTTCCATTTAGTTTCGTTATGAGTCAGAGAGATAAATTCAAGCAGAGGTTTCCTCCGTCTATTTTGGCCAAATGGGAAAGTATTATTGAATCTAGAGAGAGATCTTTAAGGAGTGTCACACAACTTGAATCACAAGTAAAAGTCGAGGCAGGAGATACTTCGCGATCTCTGGCCATTGAATTTTCCGACTTGGAGGTATCTGACGAAGAACTGAACATAGTAGAGAATCAATGGCGTCCAAAAAGGAGGCATTCCAACCCCATATACCCTCTGAAGAGAATTAATGGCCCAAAAAACAATAAAGTCACTGAACAGATCTCAATTCTGAACCTCAAAAGGCTTGAAGAATGTGAAGTCAATGGCCATTACTTCCTTATCAATGGTCAAATAGTCGAAACATTTCCCCAAAATTGGAGCTATGTTTGTGTGAAATCGTACGTGGGAGTTAACTCCACGTACGAATTTTCTGATCCAATGCTTAGAGAAGTGGAATTGATAATTGCTGACAAGGAAGGCTTTTTCTTAAATATATGGCTTGATAAGAATCAACTCCTATCCTTGTTTGGGAAGCTTGTTGAAGTCATATTTTGTGAAGCATCAAAAACGGTACCCATGCTTTTCAAAGATCACGAGTTTGAGGTAGTTAGATGCAGAAGAAAGATAGGAAACTCTTTAGTTCCAACGTGGACTTTTACAGATCCATGTTTAAAACAGTTGAGGAATGAAATAATTGGTATTAGCGACGAAGGTACTTAAAACTAATAAGGCTCAACATTATCAACTCTATGAACGGACCACCAAAGGTGAATATGACAGTGCATTCGAAAAGTCTGTTTGCGACTCATGAAGTCCACTGATAGGACTATTAGCTTTCGATAACAACTTTCCTGATTTTCGTTCAAAATTTTGCATACTTTTATCGATACCACTTATGCATCGAGCTATTTCAACTATGGGCCATGGAACTGCTCTTAAAATGGGCAAGAAGTTGCCATAAAAGGGTATTCGAAGTTCGCCTTTCCTTCCAAGCTCTACTGCATGGCGTACTTTGCTAGCAACATATTTAGGTTCCAATTCAGGTGCAAATACCGTGGATGGAGTTTTGACCCCTTTAAACAACCCAGTTTGAAGTTGACCTGGACACACCAACAAAGTTTTAACCCCATTGGGACTTATAGATGGAGGACCCAACTCATAAGTTAGAGATTCGTGTAAGGCTATAAGGCCAGCTTTGGAGGCTCCATAGGCACTAAGACGGGCGGGAGACATATAGCCTAACACCGAAGCCACAGTAACGATATATCCTCGTTTAAGAGCTAACATGTCCGGTAAACAAGTCTTAATGGTATAGAAACTTGAAAGAAGATTGACTTGCACCGTTTGTTCTATTTCATCAAACGAAAGATCCATTACTGTTTTCCCACTGGTGATACCTGCGTTATTGATAAGTAGGGTTACTGGGCCTACTTGACATTTCAAAGTGGAGTAAACTTTTTGAACGCTTTGAACATCACTAACATCACATTTGTAATAATATACATTAGGAATTCGCTTTTCAATTGGTGGAAGGTTTACATCCCATACGGCTATTTTGCCGCCAGTTTCAGCCATTAACTTTGTGATTTCCATCCCCAATCCCGATGCACCGCCAGTCACCAAAACGACGTCCCGTTGAGGATCGTATCGGTGACCAAAGATTGTTTCCGAGATGGCTAGGACGAGCTTGTTAGTTCTGTAGATAGCTGAGGAAAGCATTGAGTTGTTAGCTGTTTGGCTGCAAAAAAGTGTAAAGCGATTTTTGATTTGCTATTGCACAGTACACAGTTAATATGAGAGTTTCTATATCACGTGAAAGAAGTCACGTGACGAAAACATCTGACTTATTCAGTAGATTCGACTACCTTACCCCAGATATTGGACATTACTATGGATTACCATCATCATTCCATTACTTATTTTCCTCCCAATTAAATAACAATTGATTGTAAACAATGTCCGCGCAGCCACCCCAATTCCTTAGAATCAAACGGAAACGGGGTCAAGATCCTCTTCAAGGGTTAGTTCTAGAAGATAAGAGGTCGGCCAAACGGTCCAAACCTTCAACACCTTTAGGATCTCCAAAAGCATCTTATACCGATATAGGAGCATTAAGAGGGGTCAAAGAGACCACAAACTTTTATTTCAAACTTGCTAGAACCGATGATGTTCATGTTCATGTTGATGGAAGTGATGGAGGTGATGTTATTCCATCAGTGCTCTCTGAGACTACTACCACTGGAGACAATTCAAGAAAGAGAAAGTTTGTTATACCCAACAACCAGACTGCTGAAGATACATTGATTCCAAATGAGTTGAGTGATATGTTAGATTCGTTTCTTACCATCAACAGTTCCGAACCTCCTCAAGAGAAACGCATCAGTCGGGGTAGAAAGGTTGTAGAAGAAGGTGTGAAAAACCAATCTCCTCCTGGTCCCACCCCAATACATGTTCCATTAGGTGGCGAAGATCCAGAGGGAGATTCAGAATACGTTTATGACGTGTATCAGCTTACCACAACAGAACCTCGAACATCCGCCAATCATCCACAATCTCAGATTGGGTATGTTAGATTCTTTGATGATTCTGACAATGAACTTTATCAATCTGAAGATGATAAAGACCTGAATGTTTTCACTGATGATGAGGACTCTAACGCTGAAGACTTTTATCAGAACGATTATCCGAGTGATGAGGATGCCAACATTAATAGTAATGAAGTGTTCTCGCAGTCTAATCAATTTGAAGCGGAATTGGAGTCAGGCGACAATGCTCTTGGAGATAATAGTGAGGATGAAGATGAATATGAACATTTATTTGCCAAATATGGAGGAGGTGAAGGCGACCATACCGTAAATTTTCTTCAGGATGTTGCTGGGAATGATACAGATGAAGAGGAGCAAGAAGAGGTAGAAGAAGGAGAACAATACGAAAGGAAGATCTTCTTTAAGTCCGATAAAGATAATGAGCTGGCCATTTATCGAGATCAGATCTTTGGCAAGTTGGATTCTATGATTAAAAAGAAGCAAAAGGGAGTCTAAACGATTACAGAATATTCTTTACGAAAAGAAGTATGTGCTTTTGAGAATATCGTTGATATCCAATTGGCCCTTAGTTGGGGGATCAAGTAACCGGATAGGAATAAGAACTGGAGTGAAGTTATCGACGTTGAATTCGATTCTGGACTTGACAGCAACAACAGACTCATTATACTCCTTTAATGACTTTTGCGTTGTTCGATGATATAACTTTGGATTGTACACTTCCACTAAAGTTTTTGGAGTGACCTCTGCTTTACTAGTTTCATTGAACTCGTGACTTAAAACACCATCAAAGTACTCTGTTTTATCAACATTGGGAACATGGTATGCTTTTCTTAAATCCAGTATGGCTTGCACTAGTTGTGGGTTTTCTTTATTGCATATCCAAACCAATTGAAAGGAGGCCCTTGTATAAGATTTCAAATCTGTAACAAGAGTTTCCAAGATGTTTGACGAATGCAATTCAACAAAAGTCTGTCGAAGTATTGTTCCTAGTTGCTCTGCTTGAGACGGGTACGTCCAGAAGGAATCGTGTACCGCTGCAAAAGTAACTCCAGCATCGTGAGCAGCCAAGCATGTCAATGCTAAATGGGAAGAGTCTAGAGAATGAACAAAGTTGGGAGGAATTGAATTCAAATGCTTTCTCAAGTTAATGGAAGACGATGAAGTACGATTACTCAAAGTTATCAGTTGCAATGCCGAAGGTACATTTATGGTGCTTTTTGCTGTATAATCCTGAATGACCAAGAACCTTGAATATGTATACCACATGAAAGGTTGATAGAATTTGGCATTGACAAAGGAAATTTGAGGTTTATGAAATGATGTTAAAACCCTAAAGCAATTCTCCTTGAGCCAATCTTCTATTCTTTTGGCATTAGAGAATAATTCATCAATGGAATCTAAAGTGGCATTAGCAATTTGAAAGGCCAATTCAAATTTCAGTTTATTAATACTTTCAACATCAACTTCAATAGGAACCCCCTCACGTTTCTTGATTTCTAATTCTTCAAGCAATTCCGAGATCCGCTTCTTCACTTGGAGTCGAGCTCCAAAGGGTGTTACTCCATAAACACTTGTCATTACCGTTTGCTTGACCATTTTTCTACTCAAGATAGACAATGCTAGCTTTGAAAGTCGTTTCTCTTCAGAGTCAACTGTTGTATCGTTCAATTTAGTCTGAAATTTGTTGGCAACGGTACTTCTTACAGTTTCATAAATGTCTCCTCTGATATCATCATTGTTCCCATGAATTAAGTTTACTGCCTTCCCACCTTCAATGTCACGTCCCAATGCAGAATAGTGTTGCAAGCCGTTACAAGATCCATCCAAATGAATCATAATACGACAAGGGTATTCTTCTACTTTGTTCCCCTCGTTAACAAACTTTGTAATTGAAGCCAATTCAAAGCATAAGCTTAACGTTTGGAATGGTTTCAGCCCATTTTTCCACCAACCTTTACAATCAAACGGATGCTGTGCACTATCAATTATGTCATCCATATGGCTGTCGATGTAAGCTATACGATCTTCAAATGGAAGCACTGATCCATACATACCCCCTAAATGGTACTTGAGCCATTGGAGGCCATTGGGACCTAATGGCTTTGCATTCCACATCATCAAAAGGGATCGTACCACGTCTTGAGAATGGTGATTCAATGGTGTAGTAAATGGATATGTTCTTCCTCTAAAGTCCACTCCATGGGGGAAATAAATCATATCCCCATTACTAGCATATGCTTGAGCTATCTTTGCTGTGGTTTCCAACTGTTCTCTAATGGTGTATAGAGCAATGTATTCCTTATGTGCATCGGCATTCTTGCCGTGGATCATCTTTCTGGCTCTATAGAAAGCATCTTTGGATTCATAGTCTGCCTCATTTGGTTCTGGAAGCACAACATGGGGTATACATTCGAGAGTAGGCGTAATATTCATGAACCCATTAGGATACTTCAATGCTTCACTAAATGTCTGAATCATTCTGGGATTTATGGCCCAAGCAACAGAACCAAGATTGGTTAGTACGTTGTAAGTCGAGTCTAAGTCATGATTCTCATCAGCTTTGAATATAAGTGGATGTGGTTCACTAGCTTCTTGTGACAGAAGAAGAAACGATTTCCGCTGGAATAAATTTCCACCTTTATTTGGAGAAGACCACGGTACCGGAGTTGAAAGCATAGGCAAAGTAATATTCATTGCTTTAGAAGACCATACTGTTTTCCGAATTGTAGGCATTAAATAAGGATCAATTTTTATGGCACCAATAGTCTTCAACTTCTCCGAGGGTAGAGTCTTTGCTAACCAGTATTGGAATACCGGAGTAGGAACCTTTGAAGACTTCTTTAAGAAGGTACACCGACGAATAGGAATATCCAATAGCGAACCAATAATACTCACACGTTCTTCAAAAGATAATGTCAGTCCTAATGACGTTGTCGTTCCTATCCAATCAAAACAAGGGGCCAATGATTTACATATAGATACAACTGTTGCTGCTTGATATTTTGATTCAGTGGCACATTTAGATAGCAAATGGGAAAGTATAATTTCTGCGGTGATCTTCTTGGGTAATGACTCTATGACTAACCTGTATTGGAACACATGTAAAAGATGTGAAGGTATTTCATCTTTGGTTGCACTCAAGGGAACATTTTTTAATTGTACTAGAAGATCTTCCATGCCCTCTATTATTTGTTTGATCCATTGATCGAATTGGTGATTCATTTGTATCTGCTCACTATCTCCAATTTCTTTTGTAGGTTTAAGTATTTGAGAGCTTCTTTCAATCACGCTTTGTTTGATACTGTTGAATCTCATGTATTTCTGCATGAATACTCTCTGTTCATCTTCTGACAGCAACAGATCATAGAGTTCATACATAGGAGCCTTTTTCTGAGTATGGCTGTCATATTCTGAATACCTATTGGCTGCAATGAACTCACAAAGGGAATCTAAAGGCACAAGTGAACCACTATGCAAAAGGTCAGTGGACGTATCAAAAGTTGTATAAGAGCCCACAACCAAGTTATATATTCTCCTTCTATCGTGGGTTGTTAAGATTCTATCGAGTTCATGTTGCTGGAACTGGTATGTGGTTGCAAGTGATTGTATCTTGTGGTGCAATATCTTCTGTGACATAGGAGTCATTGTATCTTCAAGGTCCACAAAAAGCTGTAGAAAGCAAACAAAAAACTTCAACTCGATGTCTCGTTGGACAATCTCCAGTTCTAGATCAATAGTATTAACTGGTTTATACGCCCCAAACTCTTCATACAACAGTACAAGTGCATACGCATCTTGCACACCATGTTGTAGTTGATAATCTAGCAATTGCATAAGCATGATTTGAATGATCCGAGGATGCAGCAGCTCATACGATTTGAATGACTTCGTAAGCAAAGATCTGGCTTGTGCCAATTCCTTACGTTGAAGCTTGTCTGTGAATTCATGGATATGCTTCCATTGAGGACGAGTTAAAGATTTGGTGTAACTCGATCGAAGTCGAATTTGAGTGAGATTTCGAGTGGGAGGCACTATGGCTATTGATTTAGATATCGAGATATTTCTTAATCGGATCTTCATATTCGTATCATCTTGCTGGTGGGAATGAAGAAAGATGAAGAGACAGTTGGTTGTGATTGTACTTGAATTTTCGTAGTAAATGTGCCTAGTGCGTAAATCTGAGAACGGAACATCTACAGTTGAGCATACATAAGTATATATAGAAGTATATAAATATGTATAATGCATTCAATGAATGCATGTATAGAATCGAAGTATAGACTATATGCTAATTATTTATGGTTGTTTTAATGTTGAATGTAACTGCTGGAAACTTAGTTATCTCTGCACTTACATCACAGTCAATGCCAAAACTCAGTACTATTCCTCTAATAACTCCACATGGAAACCACAAATAAATTTTTGACTTGGTTAAAGTGTCTGAAAAGCCCTTAGCACTATTTATTCTTGAAATCAACTTATAGTTACTATCAACCAACACAAATGTTCCTCTGTGGTTCGTTCTTAAATTATCCATTTCTTTACCATAAAGTGACCACCAAACATCCCGACAAACAAACTTCAAGATCTCTAACACGTCGACAAACTTGTTATATGTGTTACTTTGAGCTCCATGGAACATAAGAAGTTCAGCAAGTCTCATGCCTAGATTGAACCCGTAAGTCTCTATTCGAACAGTGACATCATCAGAAAATATAAGCGAAGATTCAAACACTTCAACACCGCCGGGAAGGTCTCCTTTAATTGTTGATAGTTGCAGATCTATTAGCGTGGGTTCTACGGACTCTTCTTTAGATGTTGATGATTGGGACGAGGTAGCAGAGTCGTTTAAATTCTGAGACACTCTAATTGAAGTGGGGACCAACTCCTGGAGAAAAAGGTCTAGACATGCGGCATTCACAAGCTTTTTATCCCCAAGCAGATCGCCACTCATTTGGAGATGTTAATTGTTGGTTTACAGAGTATATTGCAAGTAATACTGATAGGATGAAATGATCAAAGAACGACATTAATGTTGTTGTACGAACGACATTTTTATGAGCACAATGTCGTACACACACTCGATATCTTCAATGAATAAGCACCACTAACCACCACTTAAAATATTAAATGCCAAAAGTATGATATTTAATGCCAGAAGAAGGCTAGATCTACATCAAGTTACATCCCCATTGTAATAAAAATGATCAACTGTTGATAAATGTGTAATAACAGTTCTTACAACTAGCCTAATGTTAATTAAATCGGAACTTTTTCACATGCTGGTCTAAAATAATAATGAATCGCTAAATAGTATGTTGTGCCTCGATACTTTGTTACGTTACCCATTACCAAATTAGGAAAACTCTTTAGTAGCAAGGAACTGGATGTACACAAAACGGTGACACCCATCTATAAGGAATAAGGGATACGCTTTCTTTTTACGAAAATTGTTGCAACTAACTACACCTGGGAGGGAAGTGTCCTTATATGGTATAATCTACCAGAAGAGACGGAAAAAACAGCCATAATTAAGTCAACTACCGTACCGCATTTGAAGAGATGTATGTCAACCTCATTGATTAATTTGTTGATTATTATTTGGTCATGTATATCGGAGTATGGAGAACTCAACTTGGGGTGTGTGTGCCCCCACTCATTTTATGGGGGAACGGGAAATTTGAACGCGTTGGAATGCAATGAATTGTCTGGAGCTTTATTGAGTCTTAAACCAGCCATTTGATGTCGTAATAAATGTCGTCTGGAGAAATAAAAATTTTCCACTAACATGTATGGCAACGTAGTGCATATAGTAAACAAAATGAAGGGGTAAGCCTCAATTAGCAGACAATAGATGTCGGGTTGGTGAATTCTTGTTGCTCTCATGTTCCACAAACGACTCTTTTGTGCTAGTTTCTGCTACAAGTGAGGGATAAAAATGTCCGCCCAAAATTTTGTTTGTAGGCGACATAAATGTGTGTAAGAATTATTAGGCAAAAAAAGACACCAAAAATGAAAAAGCGAGAAAAAAAATAAGGCAAAACAAAAGGTAAAAAAGCTTACTCCCATAGTGACTATTTTAGCACCAAGCCAACTTCATCGGACTTTAAACGTCGTTTATCAAATCCAAGAGCGATAGTGGAAACCACTACTATCATTTAAAACGCTGTATTAATCAGTCGAGACACCTGTTGCCACGGTATTTTAAGTTTACATAGTTGCCACTGGTTGGAATACCGCGTGCTAGGGACTCATTTGAATCAAACGAAAATATAATTGAAGGGGTACCAATGACTACAGAATCGCTATTGAATCAGTACCCGTCGCTACCTGGTAATGGTGGAAGTAATTCTGCTATAAATCGTGCGCTCAACGGTTCATTTCTATCACATCATCCACTGCAGTCCCAACAACAATTACAACAACAGCAACAGCTGCAGCAACAACAACAACAACAGCAACAACAACAACAACAACAACAACAACAGCTGCAACAGCTGCAACGCCATCAACTTGCATTACATCGTGGATCTAATTCTTCTAATACGTCATCGTCAAATTCGGGTAACTCCTCACAAACAACTAGCTTTTTGAAAGTTTCTAATCTTCCTGCAAATATATCGCCCAGGGAAGCAGTGGCTATCTTTTCACTTGTATTAGATGATGTTGTTAACGTGGAATTAATTGACTATACCATTTTTGCATATTTCCGCAATGTCTCAACATGTCTTACAACGGGGAGACTTTTAGAAGGTAAATTTATCTTTGGATCGGAATACCCTCCCGTTAAAGTGGAGTATGATTCTAATACAATTAATCAAGCCAGTAATGCATTTGCATCTATGCAAATTTCCAATATGACATCTGGCTCATCATTATCTGGCATACCTGGAATTCCTTCCTCACAGACATCGCATTTAAATCAATCTGCATCATCTATTCCGTCGTCGTCAGCAAACCCACAAAGTAACCAAATTCCGCCTCCCCCATCATCACAAATGGGAGGCTTACCACCTCAAGGAAGCCAACCTCCTCATCAACTTGGCCCCCAGATGCAACAAGTTCCTCCTCCACATCCTGCTCATCTTACGCAAGGTCAAATGCATTCATTGAGTCAATCTGGTCCTTCTCAAGAATCAAATAATGATTATGAAAATCTTAAACGTCAATCAATTTCCCAAAGATCACGTTTTGTTTTCTCTGAACCTTTCCAAACTGCACCAACCTCATCATCATCAGGAATTTCACAACCTCCTCAAAGTGTTGCTGCTCTGGCTTCCAGTTCTAATGGTGCTATTCAGCCTCCACCGCAACAATCTCTGGGATCAAATCCAGTTGGACAATCGTCTCAACGTACATCTTCAACTGGAATCGATCTCAATGATATCACAGGGAAATCAATATTATTAATGGAATCTCAAAATGATGCTAAAGAATATGAGTCATTAGTCAGAGATCCTTGGGGAAATCAAGTAAATGGTCCAAATACTCAAAATCAGGCTCCTTCGGCTCCACCAACAATGGCAACTACATCATCGAATACGAATTCTGGGTCATTTGATTGGAACTCTCAGGGTAATACAGGTTCAAACGCACCCCCCGTGGACAGACGTCGTGCCAGTTCAGCCTTTTTCAGTAGCAACCCTACATCGTTGCATCCACGCGCTACATCATCTGCTTCTTCGATGTTGGGTTCTCAGTTACCCTCAGCGGGAAACTCGAATGGTTTGACATCAGCATCAGGTAATCCTCCTGGAGCACTTCCTAATCCAGGTACTGGGACTACCACACCAGTGGCCTCGCAACCTGTGTCAGCGATATCTAGTGGATCACTTTTGAATAATATTGGTGTCGTCAGTCATTCTCTGAACAACAATGATGGAACAAATGGTTTTGGTGTACCTTTAAATACCCAAATCGGACTCCCAAGAAGTGGCTCTCTATCAACCCTGCCATTGGAACAAACCAAGCAGTCACCTTCTGACCAGGTTTCAAAATTGGAAAGCTCTCCACCTCAATCTATTCAACTGATTACACAACAACAGGAACAATCTCAACCAAAGCCTAGCCTTGCTTCAGTGATAGCCAATCCACCTCCTTCAAAGAGTTTAAGTTCAACATCTGTTCAACCAACACCCGTTGCTTCTACTTCAAGTGCTTCGAAACCTAGTACAAGTACGAAGGAAGCAATACCTGATTTGAGTCTTCTAGCCAGGGTCCCACCTCCTGCTAATCCTGCTGATCAAAATCCTCCATGTAATACACTTTATGTTGGTAACTTACCACCAGATGCAACAGAAGCAGAATTGAGAACACTTTTCTCGCCTCAAAAGGGATTCCGTCGTCTTTCCTTCCGTACAAAGTCCACTACAACAGGTAGTGGGGCTAGTCACAATCATGGTCCTATGTGCTTTGTTGAATTTGAAGACGTTGCACATGCTACAAGGGCATTAGCAGAATTATACGGACTGGCATTACCAAGACCTGGAGGAAATGGAGGTAAAGGTGGAATTCGTTTACTGTTTTCCAAGAACCCATTGGGAGTTCGTGGACCTGGTAATAGTAGACGAAGCTCCATGCAAACAGTTCCAAGCTCAGGAGGAGGATCCATGGGGGGGTATCTGTATCAAGGATATCATAAACTGTGATTATTATTAATGATAATGATAATGTTGTTTTAATTATATTTTTTGGCTTTAGTACTATGGCAATATAGTACGGCGCATGTTACTAATTCACTATATTCATTTTTTATTATTTGACTTCGGTATATTCCATCCCGTCTAGTCCAGTCCAATAGTTGGTTTATCGACTCACTTTATTATTTTTTTTTCCCCACGATATATTTGCACTTTGTTAATGCTTCCATTATAAGCTCAATTATCAATTATTTTTTCTTTATGTCTTCCTAAGGTTTTTTCATCATCAATTCAACAACTCTTTGTTATAGGGTTAGGCTTTTATGTCCCTGCCATCATTCAACACAACATTGTCAGCTTTATTTTTTTACTTATTGTTGTTGTGTAATTCCGGTATATGCTATGTTTTGTTTTTAATGTACTGTTATCCTATCCTCTTGTATTAGTCTATATGTTCAGAAATACATGTTCATGAATGAATCTGAAACTATGAGTCGCGCTAAGAGCAGGAAACTTGTTTTATATTCGTCGCACTAAAATTAGGGAGTTTATACTAGATTGAATAATTTCCCTTGATGATATTTCTTCATCCAAACCATGACCAGACTTGTGAAGAAAGACGTGATAAGTAAATCTAAAATGAAGAAGCGTAACTCACCAACTACCAACACTACCATCCTTGCAGCTACTGAGCCAAGTGAAGGGTCAAGATATATTTTTGAGTTTGAAACTCCTACGCTATACGAACGTCTTCAACTTCGCATGTATAAACAAGCAGTAGCACATTTGAAACAGTTGGAGGTGGGAAATGTTTATCAAGCTGTTGATAATGAAGGGGAAGACTTAATGAATGAAATTAATTTCCATCTACTGCAGCTACAGGGGTAACAAGCAGCCGCTTTTCTATAAAAAAAAAATATGACGTATAACATTTTATTTCAAATCTATATAAGTTTCCATATTTTTCCATTCATATATTACAAAATTATGTATTTACTATTGCAAAGGATGTATCTGCCCAAAAGTTGCAGTCATTTGGTCATGCAAAAATCTATTAATTCCTTTGGGTTGGCATAAACCATGCTTAACCATCCTGAATTAGCTAACGAGTCAACATCTCCTCTGTCGCATGGTTTAGGGTTTAAAAGTTTCAAGACTTCGAGCCGGGCATCAAAATGTAAGTTTCTCATGATTGAAAGCACTGGATTTGTTGTGGTGGAGAAGTTTTTATCCTCAAGTTGATTCACCAAATGTTGCAATTCGGAGAACTGGGAAGGGTACTTTTCTTCAAACCTCAAGTACCGAGTGTTCTTAAAATCAAGGGGATTGGCAGTAGACCAAGGTGATTGAAGTAAAAATATTTGGATATAAGTTATTCCTAAAGCCCAACAATCCACTGCCTTAAAGTCAATCTTATTTTCAAATTGCATGACATCATAACATGAATCTTCACAACACTCTTTAACGTCAGCTTCCAATTTGAATAACTCAGGAGCTTTGAACGAAGGGGTTCCACAACATACCTCCAGGGTATTATTGTTGCAGAAATAAACCCAATTCTCCCTCATATTGTTCAAATTCAACGAGTATCCAAAGTCAGTAATCTTGATAACACCTGTGTCATCTATAAGAAAGTTCTCTGGCTTTAAATCTCTATGAACTATATTATGTTTGTGAAGATAGGCAACACCCTTTACTACCTGCTTGAAAATAGCATCCTTTAAATTTGGGGTTATTTCAATTTTCCTTCTTCTTAAATCACAAATACACGTAAGTAAATCTCCCTTGGGGTAATAGTCAACAATCACTGCTAATTGGTTGGGAGATCCTATACTTGAATCATCGCCATATTTAGCAATGTCAAGCACTTTTATGATATTTCTATTGTTCAATTCTTTGACAATCTTATATTCCCTTATAGCTGATTGTATGTAATCCTTTTTTGACTGAGTATGATGTCTTTTGAATACTTTAAGGATGACGGTTTTGGTGCGTGACTTATCAGATCCTTTTAAAATCTTACCATTATCACTTTCATAGATTGTTGGGTTCTTCAGAACCAAATAATCATTCCCAATGAGTTTCAATTCAGGATAATCAGAAGACCATTCACACGGATCGTCGTCTTCTTCCTCTTCAACACTACTAGAATCCGAGATCACAAGTGCATCCATTTTTGGTGTAGAAGGGACTAATGGTGTTGAAACTCTTGGAGTTGAAACTCTTGGAGTTGAAGCATAACTTGAAGTCTTTTCGGGACTTGATCTTCCCGGTGAGTAAACCATGGTACTTGGAAGTGCACTAGGTATTAATCCCGAAGATGGCGTTGAAGGGCTAGACCTCAATAAGCCTGTACTGTTGGTGGTTCTCAGGGTCCCCATTGGTGGCCTTGTGTGATTCTTATTTGGGTATGAAGTTGAAATCATTTAAAACGAGAAAAAGGAAACTACTATAGTTATGAGTTCATCAACAAGTTGGCCTTGATGGACCTCCCATGAAATGGAATCAACAATTAAAAATAAAGAAAGGTATTAAAAACTCACTAAATCTGAGATGGAAACAACACTAGTTGGAGTAGGACATATTATGATCCTCTTCAACACATACACACACACTTTTGGAAATCCTTAAAGCTATTTTATTATGACCAATAACTGACGTTGATGAACTTATTAAGAAGAGTATTCCGACCTTCTTTGCTTTGGTAAAATCTTGTTGTGTTCCTCGTTGAAAGATTACTGGATTAATTTATACTCGATGGAGCGGAGAAATCTTAGATCACCGAAAAAATAGAAGGGGAGAAAAAAAAGGAAAAAAAAGGCCATAAAGGATGCATTGACACTAATTGACACTATTTAAGGCGATTTTAACCACTAATTCTACAACTCCTATACCAAGTTCGACATTTTTCTTGTGGGGTTAAGAGAAATTTCTCTTGCTTGATACGAAAATTAGCCTACTTTATTTCTAATGTGAAACTTGCTCAGGTAGCAACATTTGAAGGGATCTCTTTAATCAACTGATAAAACCCGATATTCCAAATGAAATTTTCGCATAATGGGGTTGGGTCCCTTCTTGCACAAATACTAAAATTGGTAACTGTGGAATGTTCTGCTTTCTCAAACTAGGATTTCGAAAGATACTGACAAGAGTCACCCCATTCTATGTTTACAGCTAAGATTCATTAACTTGATGGAAAATGAATCTCTTTTTACCCATTTTTCAATCATCATTAATTGGACTAGTTGTTCTAATTTCCGTGCTTGGTGGGGAATTATAGGAGTATTCCCCAGCAATTTAACAAGACGAAAAAAAAAAACTTAGCATGCATGGGTACACAATAATGACATTTTTTTTCGTATCTGTGGGGGAGTCCTTTTCCTTAAGAGCCCTAATACTTCCCTATGTTTCTTTTGTTTTAGATTTTTGTGATTGTTATAATATCTCTAGATAGTTAAGTTGAGAATAGTCCAACATATGATTACAATGAACTTTCTTAAAGTCTTAGTGTTAAACTGTAGATAACTTTTGTTCTTGTGTCAAGTAATATTTGACACCGAACTGCATCGTAATGATAAGTCCTTTCAATTTCTGGAGTGCAGAATACTATTTATGGAATCAGTGCGTGAACGTACATTTCGTAAATGCCCGCTACGTGAAGGATGTAATGGATAAAGGAGAAAGAGGCAAGTCGTGAATAGCCAAGCACATGAACGAATATTAAGGTTAGTCACATGATATATCACGTGATGTTGGTCTTTTTGAAAGCGCTTTATCTTACGTCTTCAGTGAAACGTAGTAAAATGGAACTTTTGCTCTTGATATATTGAATGTCAGGAGACTAAAATTAAGCCCGGGATCATTTTGTCATTGATTTTATCAATCGCCTTCAATACGCAAGGTACTTTTGTTTTTTCCTCAGATACAGTGACGCAGCATACTTTATCGCACGCTTTGTCTCATTCACCTTTTTGGCGTCTCTGTAAGTGTTAGATTAGCATTATGAGGTTAACAACTAAAAGCATCCTTTTATGAGTAACTGATGATAAATTTGTACATTCTGTCAAAATTTGAAATTTGATTTTTTTCAGAGACTTTAACTTACCGTTATTTTAACTGATTCTTTCAATGCATTCAAATACCTCAGTCATAACTTCATTCTAGTTTAGTGAAAGAATATCATTTAATTTGATTTCAATATTCTTTGCCTCATTGTTTGGCACTTGGCATTTTAAGACTAAAAAATCTCTAAAATGATCAACTAATTGAGTATATAGTACATCTTCACAGTGGGTGATAATCGATTGGCTCTGGTATTGGATATTTTATCATAATCAGAATTCATCTCGTCAGGCCTTAATAATGAAAAGATTCCATTATTTACCTTCAAAAATCTTCAAAGCATTTGATGTATTGTTTCTAAAATTTGTAATTTAACAGATATTTTGGTAGTGCTTTAAATAAACGTAGTGATTGATCGATTACTGGACGAACAAAATACAATGCTGCTTGCTTCTCATCAGAAGTCTTTCGATTAATAGCTTCTTTAATAGATAACTTAACGTATTCGGTGTTTTGGTTAACTACTGCATTCTGAAAATTTGATCCCATCAAACTCGTATCACTGTCGCTTGTCACGAGTTCCACAACTATTAGAATTGGCTTTTCCTCACTTGGTTTTTTAGACTTCGCTGTTTTTCTTGGTTTAATTTCATCTAATTGTAGTTGAAGATTAGCTAGAGCTTTGTGCTGATCTTGCTATACCAGTTGCATTATTAGCATTTTTCGCATCAAGATAAGCATGTTGTATTCAATTTCAGGTCTCGGAGAATGTGACTGTTCACCATGTTTAAAATCTACCGTAGTACCCTGTGAGGTTAGCTCCCTAAATTGAACAGATCCAGGAGTCTCATCATCAATTACGCTAGCATTGGGAGGGGGGGTTGGTGGAGTATTCTTAGGAATGGGTGAACTAGACATTTCAAATCCGAATCATTCAATTTGAATTTTGACATTTAATCTATTGAAGGTGGGGTTATACTAAGGTAGTACCACACTTCATTGGGCTAACCTTGAGTACGTCTAACTTAATAGTAGTTGTTAGCCAGAATGAATTGTCTCAATTCCATCTTAAGTGCGGCTCGGTTTCTTAAACACTGTATATTTAGATAATGTTTCTTTCAATACTTAAGATCCCGGCGGATTCTAAGACTGTACTTTTCTAAACTTGGGTGAAATAAATCTCACCTTATGTTGCTATTCGGCTCCTACTTCCTTCATATTCTCGAGCGCCTCCTAGCCTTTAACCTCCTTAATTATTACACTCAGACTCTCCAATTAACATTTCCCCATCTTTTATTGCAGAATCTAGTCTTCAAATTTCCCTTTCTCCACTTCCTTAGTAAATCTAACCAGTTAGTGTATGATTAGTCTTTAAACTATTGCAGCCACTTCTAGAGTAGTTCTCAAATTAACTTGAGGGAATGTTGCTTAAACGTCATATGCAGGTAAGACGTGGAAGTTCATTTCCACGAAAAATAGTCAAAATTGACCCGATTAGGAATATAGAGACAGGTAAAGCTAATTAGCCAAATGTCGACAAGAATGGTCGAACAGGTTAATCACTGACTATTAAAGAGAAAGAAATAAAAAGATAGTTGCTGAAGAAGGTGGAGTAACATTTTTTACATTAGAATAGATATTCGTTGTTGAAATTAGAGTTTAAACTAAAAAGAATTCAGCTTAAACTTGAAAAGAACTCAATTCGAAGAGACCGAGATCTTCAGTATATAGGGAAACAAAATTTAAATAAACAGTGTATACGAAACAAAGTCGCACTTAGGAGAGAGTCAATACACTTCAGTCTGAATAAAACAACTACCATTAAGCTAGACGTACCACAAGACCCAATCACCATTGGGTATAGAACAACCTATGTACTCCCTCGACTAACAGGAAATGATTCTCCACGACCTCGCCAGTATTTGACGTTTTATCGAGTGAGTGAGAGTGCAAATTTAAGATTCTATTTGCTGACTACACTGAAGTGTAAAAACGAAATTGACTCTGAGTACCAAGATATTGATATTTATCTCCGTGTACCAAGCATGGAAGAAAGAACGCCATAGTTAACGGGGATTTAAGCAGCTTTTAGTTACAGCAACGACCTTGTTTTCTGTTGACGTGCGGCAATATTTGTTGCTAAGATATGATACTGAACCACGAATATTACAATATACTATTCATGCTATTTCCCAAGACATTATCTTTTAACAGTAATTTCGATGAACATGATAGAAGTCTTCTTCCCTGTTCCAGCTCCAAGCAAATATGTTCTAAGCTCTGGAACCCTCATGGCTTTGCTGCGTATGCTATATGATGTAAATTAACTTCTGCGCTACCTAATGGATTCCCATAAGAAAGTATTTAACAATGTCGCTCTGCAATTTGGTACCTTACAAAGTACAGGAAACACTCTTATTTTTATGCATATTTCTAATTTAGCCTTCAGTCATATTATTTACGCCCCATAAAATGATGATGCTAAGCCGTTTCAGCTAAACTTCTGTAATAGCACATTTTTACATTGTAGCCGCTAATGGTGGATCGAAATTCCGTAAACTCAGCCCTAAAGAGGCAAAGGTATAAATTTTGCGTGGCTGATGATTGTATGAGATAACTGCAAACCTGTACAAATAGATCACCACGAATGGCAATCTACGCCAAAGCATAACGAGCAATTAGGTGCACTAGTACTTAATATAGATTACCTGTAAAATTGTAATGATGACTGAATTGAATTCTAGATATAAAAGGCGATGTCAATTCCTATTCTTGAGTATTCAATAATACATTAAGTGTTTCCCTTAGAGCGTTTATACCAAAAATGTTTAGAAGAATTCTAAGTATTATTCCAATTACCTTATTAGCACTAGCCCTGGTTGCGCTTTTCATTTTGAATTTATCAGGAGTAACCACTCTGGGACTCTTGACTCATATATATTTTAGTCGAGTGCAAGGTGCCTTGCCAACTCAGAACTTAAATATAACATGGTACTTGTATAGATTGGGATTCCTGATCAATGGCTCTAGTACTCAGTTCACTCGTATTAAAGCTGCTATTCCATATTCACCAGCTGATAACATTGTTTCTGGTCAAATACCAATTTTTTTTGAAAGAAATAGAAATACATTTTATTATGGCTCCAGAGTTGCTTATGCGTTCCTTGTGTTAGCTTTAATATTTACGGTTTTGGCTTTCTTGAGTCAAATATTAAGTCCTATATTTATACGAGTGTTCAGCCCAATAGCATTAGCTTTATCTGTCGCTGCCGTTATTACTGATGCTGTTGCAGTGGCGCTTCTTATTGGTCTCCATGGTCGTGGAGTTAGTGCTTGGGTGAACGATGGAGCCAATGCCAAAGTTGGGATAGCCGCATTTGTGCTTTTGGGTGTAAGTTTGTTACTTTTGATTGGTAGTACAATGTTCAGTTGTTGTGTTGTTACAACCAAACGTAAAGACCGTGATAATGGTGTCCCACCACAAGGAATTCCACCTCCAGGAGGTCCTCAAATGGGAGGGTATCAGTATTACTAGGTTAATTCTGTATAACTGTCATACAGCATATAGACCCATAATTGAAACGAGTATTCGCGATGAGCCAACAAGTCTCTACTTGTATCAATCAATCGAGATAGCCTATTTTATCACTGGACTAAAAGCATGGCGTATGTGTATAATGGGTCTGTTTTCTACCAATATTCAAAGTTATGTTAACTTGTAGCCTTCTCCTACACTATGACAATGAACTAAGAGAACCAAGGTAATCATAAAATTAAAGGTATTTTTCATTGTTAGTCAAAGAAGAAAAACAAAACGTAATGCGCCCAGACAATTGTCGGCTACACAAGAAATTATAGGGCCGAGCTATTTGTATATTCTTAGCCCCAAGGGCCAGATATTTTTTGTAATGTCTTTGCCATTTATTAACTGCTATCAATGGCTTGGTTTAAACTGGACCCCATAGCATTTATCTAGGATGATTTCTTTATCATGAAATCCTACCAAGATGTGTACTATGTTTCCCTCGGATCCCAAGCCATCACCACAGTAATTCTACTATTAGTTACACTCTCGAGCGCCAATGAATCTGCCAAGTTGCTAACCCTTTGGCTTTCCGAAGTCCATCTCCTGGAAACAGTGAAAGCAAGATGGTCTTTCTACAGAATGTGTGAGTTGTCTACAGTCTACCACACCAATATTGACTGTTCCAAAGGTCAAGTAGCATACCCTTATTCACCGTATGATAATCTCCTGGGTTCCCTAGTAGTCCCCACATCATTTCAAAATCGAAGGTCTTATTTTGCAAGCGCCTCCCGTACAGGTTTCTGGTTTCTTCTATTAGGGTTGATTTTAAGCATTCTAACACTTGCGTTCCATTCCATTCGATGTTGTCGTCGTATTGCAAGATTGGGAGCATTATTGTCACCGTTACCATGGGTTTTCGTCCTAATCGGAGCATCATTAATCACTGCGGTTCATAATCAGGGGACTAAGATTTTCCTTGGTGAGGGCTACACCGCTAACATTGGAGGATGCTGCTTTTCTCTCTTATGGACTTCAGTGGTGTTGGGTCTCTTGGGTATCCTATTAGCATTCTATAACCAGTACTTGGATACTTTTTCTGCTCCAAATGAACACATGGAGGAGCCTTATGATTTTCAAACAGAAAAACAACAGCTGGACCTGACGCAATTACTGGTACTGACAGAACCTTCACTATCCAAACGCCCTTTGCACCCTGGAAATTCATATTGGGGCCATTAATGAAAGAATAATTACATAAGCATACATATTAATACGACATCTGTTAAATACAAGATATGATTAAACCAAATTTATTTATTTAAAACAGGTCTGTAGCTTATTTCTTAGAACCTTGCTTACCATCTGGGATAGTGAACAACACAGGAGTTTGGCCCTTGGCATAAGGAGTATCAACACTATAATAACCCTTTCTTTCAAATTGAATGATATCTCCCTTCTTCAAAGTCTTGATGTTCAAATCAGCGTAGGCCTTGGAACGGAACTCGGTTTCTGGAGTGATGAAATCTTCAAAGTTGTCACCTTCTTCCAACTTATCCTTGGTAATCAAGTGGTCAAAATCAACCAATTCAACTTCAACCTTGTCTTCAGTGTCAGCAATCCAAGTCAACTTCTTAGAGGTTTTCTTGAAATCACCTTCCAAATGCAACACAGCTTCAATGGATTCAACTAAATCATCCTTCTTGTTGATCTTCTTGACAATAACATTACCCCAATCCATTAAAGTGATTTCTTCATTATCTTCAATGGTGGCAGCATCGGCTTGGTCAATCAATACTGTATTGTAGTAAATGACTGGTTTGGTACCAACATCGGCATTCTTCTTATGCTTGGGCTTTTGTTCTGTAATTGGAGTGGCAGGACCATCAACCAACTTGATAGGAACGGCGTTGATGGAATCAACTGCTGTATATCTTGGACAAACTGGATCAATAATCTTCTTGTTCATGGCCCAAATCAAAGACCAATCCAAGTTGATAATGTTTCTAGATGGACCTTGGGAAATAATAAAGTTTCTTAAACCTTCAACAGTCATACCTCTTCTTCTAACACCTCTGACTGTTGGGAATCTTGGATCATCCCAGTTAGGAACGTACTTCTTGTCAACAAACCATTGCAACTTCCTCTTAGACAACAAGGTTCTAACAAAGTTGATACGGCCGAAATCCCAAATGTGAACCTTACGCAAATTCAATGCGTTCAATATCCATTCGTATTGAGGGTTACGGTCTCTATATTCATTTGTTCTCAAAGCATGAGTAACACCTTCAAGGGAATCAACAACAGGGACGCAGAAATCATATGTAGGATACATCTTCCACTTAGTACCAGTACGGTGATGAGGAGTTAAGTTACATCTGTAGATAACAGGATCTCTCAATGCCTTGTTTGGTTGTTTATAGTCGATCTTGGCTCTAACACAGTTCTTCAAACCTTCTTCAGTACCGTTCATCATTTCTTCATTGAAGATCTTCAAGTTTTCTTCGACTGTACGTTCTCTTCTTTGAGAAGCAATACCGTCCATTCTTTCAGCTCTCATTTGTTCTAATGGAGTGTCATCACAGTAAGCCTTTCCTTCTTTGATCAATTGAACAGCTAATTCATACATCTTATCAAAGTAATCGGAAGAATAGGTAATAACATCACCCTTGATACCTAATAATGCCAAATCTTCAATAATAGAGTTTTGGAATTCTTCCTTTTCCTTGGTAGGGTTAGTGTCATCGAATCTGATAATTAACTTACCCTTATATTGGTGAGCAAAGTATTCGTTCAAGATAGCAGCCTTAGCATGTCCAATGTGCAAGTATCCAGAAGGTTCAGGAGGGAAACGAGTAACAACCTTACCCATTTCTGCTTCTGGCAAGTCAATTTCAAAACTTGCCTTGTGAGATTCTTTCTTACCGCCAGACTTTGCTAATTTGGCTTGCTTTCTCAATTCATTGACATCTTTGATCATGGTATCTACAACAGCATCGAATCTTCCATCTGCTACTAACAAAGCGTACCATCTTGAGATATTGGCGTAAACACCATTCTTAAGCACAGAACCCATTAAAGGATTAGCTCTCAAAACACCCCACACTGCTACATCGGCAGCAGAAATTTGGAACCCACTAATAAACGAACGGAAGTTTAAATGGCTATCCAATTTTTCCAAATCAGTGGACAATTCCTTAAAGTTCTTGATATAGAATTTATCCAAGGCAAATTGAATCCATTCAGAAGAACCAAGTGGCAAGACAGTTGGGAACTTTTCGGACAAATAAGCTAAGATTTCAGCTTGTGCAGTCAATTTGGAACCTTCTGGGGTAGTCAATTGTGCAGAAGCATCTTTTACTTCAGTGCTAACAGTTTTATCATCAACAAACTCAATGGGGATAGAAACATCAACTGCATCAGCTGCATTCACAAACAGGGTTGCGATCAAAGCAGGATATGCAACAGCTGCTGCCTTAGCAGCAACTGATAAGATAAACGACATTCTATTACAATAAGATGTTTGTTATCTTACTCAGAATGTAACAGAATTGATTCAAGTTCTTCTCTAATACTAAGAGTAGCTTTGTGCCGCTAAATGAAAAATTTTTGAAAGATACTTCGCCTGTATGTACTTTGTAGTAGTGCGAGGCACAATGTGGGAGAAGTAGTATGTTAACATGTTAACGATAATGAAAGGGGCACTACGCATAATCGGTGCACCCTATTAGTAACTTTTGATAGTGTTATGTGAATAGGTGATACGAATACGATTACGTGGCTGTAGCGGCCATTAGTGAACTTAGTTAATGGACTCGAGGGTTTATTCGATATATGGAATGCTTGAAAGTAGGTATATTGTAGATCATTGATATTAGGTATGAAGACCATGAGCTTATAATTTCTATCAGAGGTGATATATAAGTACTACAAATACACAAGGCGGTTTCTCGTACAGTCGCAGAATTGTGGGGGGGTTATATTAATCTTAGTATAGATTTGTATAACTTCAGCAATAGGTGAATATTCATGATGATGAACCAAATCAATCTAACATTATACCTTGAATAGAAAGTGACATCTGTCACGTGACCTGACTTTTAACAATTTGGTCACGTGGAGGTTACAATGTTCCGTTTTGGTAGCGCCTGTTAATTTTTCCGCAAGAATAGAAGACGCCCATTGTGAATATTACAATTACGACATCTATTTAATTAGTTCCAAGGGGTTCACCAATCCTGATATCCAATTGAATCCTAATAAAATCTATTGCATAACAGTTGAATGATTTATAAAGACATTTTATTCTTAACGCTATAAACTAAAAACCGCTTTGCATATTTCCTCTATCCCTCCATTAATTGTTCATAAACTCATCATCACATTTCATTTTGCATAAGGGGAAATTTAACCATGCATCATCGCAAGCCAACGGATCTGGAAGGTAGACCCTTTAGGCCGACAGCTAAACGGTCACCATCTATTTTGGTTACAGATGTACGTAGTAGTTCAGTCAAAGGTGCCCGGGCACCATTTGCAGGTCATAGCTTGAAGAAGCAACAAGAACAACAACTGCAACAACAACCACATCATCTGGATATTCTGGGAAAGTCTTATCCTTCTAATCCTCAAAACTTACATCGATTAAAGAATCGTGTTAATCGATACACAGATATTTCTATCGACAAGTTACTTAGTAATTCCAGTGATATCCCTTCAGGTCAAAGGAGGTTGCCATCATCACTCTCCCGAGATTCTCGTTCCCGATCACCACCATTAAGAAGTGTGAGTCCTTCCTCCTCGAACGGTAATTACAACATGGTAGAACCAATTTTAAATCGTAGAGGGAATATCAGGTCAATACCAAAACTTACCCAATCACTCCCCATGCGGAAGTCTATGACTTCTCAAAGGTTAGTGCTTATTCCTGAACATATGAGAGCTCAGTCCCCACCGCTGGTGTCTAGTAATTATACTCCGGTAGCAGATATCATGACACAGTTACATCAAATTCAACGATCTAGGGCAGAGTTGATAACAAAAGAAGAAAGAGCATTAGAATTTAGTAGGATGACTGCATACTTCATATGTGAAGAAATTGACCTAGACGCAGTAAGCAAATATCTTGAAGACAACCATAATGTCAAGCCCAGAATATATGATGAAGCGTTGTATGTTCCGTATGCATTGCCTTTGTTACCGGGTAATGATGGGTTAAGAGTGAGATCTAACGACTCTGCTAAATCAGCTTCAAGCAAAAAATATATGGATAAGTTGATCAAAAAATCTGAACAAGCCAATCATTTATATGAATATTATTCTGGGGTTGAAACCATAGAAGATGCTAATAATTACTCCATGGATCCTGAGTTCGATAATAATCAAGCAACTCCATTTGATCCTTCTGAGCCACAATTCTTTGCACCTCCAATTCTCTCAGATGAACGTCCTCGTACAGAAGACCTTGATAGTACAACTGCAGATCCTTCGAGTCTGGATACTTCTAAAGAACAATCTCTGAACGAAGATTCTGAGTTTGCTGAAGGAGAAGAGATCAGAGAATCAACTCATGACTCTAACAAGAATGACAGACAGGAGCACGATGAATTTAGGAGACGTTCAAGAGGTAGTCGAGAAAATCTTTCTAATCTCTCGGATTCTTCAAATTCATCTACACATTCATTTTTAGAATCACAGATTGAGCTTTCGAAACACTATGGTGAAATGTTTGTTTTCGCTTATGGTATCGTTGTATTTTGGAATTTCTCTGAAATTCATGAGAAGAACATCCTTGCTGATTTGATGTTTGCAAGTCATACCCCGCCATTGCTTATCAATCCAATTGATGAGCAATACATTGAAACTGAAGAGTTTCATTTTGATTATGACAGTTATATTCAACGACCAAGAATTTTCAATGATATGATAACCCTTCGTTCGGCTGATCACTTAATAAAATTGACAATGTCACATGCCATTGCACAGCTGACGAAATTATGTTTATTTGAAAGTCGAATGGTGAATATTTTACAACTGATCTCGAAGTTACCAAAGAAATTGGCTTTAACGGGACGTGTTGGTCTTAAAAGACAACAAATTACAAGGAAATCAGGGAAGCTTTTCAAGTTAAGAGTTGATGTTAATCTATCTTCTTCAATTTTGGATACACCTGATTTTTTTTGGTCTGATGAACCTGCATTACATCCACTTTATAATGCTGTTCGTGAATATTTGGAAATTGATGAACGGGTTCAAGTTCTTAATGACAGATGTAAAGTATTTTTGGAATTTCTTGATATCACCAGTGATAGTATGAATGAGAAGAATACAAACAGAATTACTTGGATGATTATTGTCATAATCTTTTTAAGTCTCTTTGTCAGCATATTTGAATTTTTCCTTTAAGTAGCTTGAAATGGAGCATATTAGCATTTTCCAGAGTCCTTTCCATGTTTCTTTATCCATATATATATATATGCTGGCTGTACATAATAGTATGGGGGTACCGATATGTAAGACTCTTGTTGCCTAAATAGGAAATATATGACACGTTGTTTTTATTCTATTGAGATGCTCATCGGAAAATTTTAGTACAATAATCAATTGAAATAGAGAGTAGTGAATAGAAAGTTGTTGTTAGGAACCATTATATATAAAATATGTCTGACGGGTCTGTGAAGGTTAAATTCTTCACCAAAGAAGATGATGAGACAATACAATTGAATAGTGAAAATAATGCTCCCATTTTTGCACCAACAAGCTTGAAGAGATTTGGGTTATCAGAGATTGTTAACCACTTGTTACAATCTGAAACCCCTGTTCCCTTTGATTTTCTTATAAATGGAGAGATAATCCGTAGTACAACCTCATTAGAAGATTATCTTGTGAAGAATGGGTTATCTCATGAAGTTGTTCTTAATATTGAATATACTAGAGCCATATTACCACCTTCATTCTTGGCATCGTTCCAAAACGACGACTGGATTCTGTCAGTGGATTCCTGGAAGGGAGAAAGCATCATCAGTGGTGGATATGATGGTATTGTACGTACTTATAACATGTCAGGTCAAATAACAAAGCAATTGGCTGGACATAGTGGAAGCATAAAGAATGTCAAATTCATTTCCGATACAAGAATTGTTACTTCAGGTAACGATAGACAATTAAGATTATGGAAGGTTAAAGGCGAGAATGCATCAGTCATTGATAATGAAGAAGATGTTGAAAACGGAAGAACATTGGCCATTTTAGAAGGTCACAAGGCTCCCGCAGTCAATTTGGCTGTTCAAGGTGATAGAATTCTTTCCGCTGGGTATGATCATGTAGTAGGCTTCTGGTCAACTAATTATAAGGAAATGGCTGCAATTGAATTCAATAAAGATGATGAAGAATCAAAGTTATCCACAGCATCGAAAAAGAGAAGAAAGCTTGCTATTCAAGATTCTACCATAAGACGTCGTTCTCCATTGGCTATGTTTGAAGGTCACAATCAACCAGTTGAAGGGGTTATTTTTGACGGTAAGGATTCAACTGTCGGATATTCATGTTCTCAGGATCATACAGTGAAAACATGGGATTTAGTTACTGGTAAGAATGTTGATACCCGAACCACTGGGTACTCGTTATTGTCTATTTTACACGTGCCCGAACACAACTTAATTGCTACTGGATCACTGGCCAGACATATCAACTTGCATGACCCTAGACAGGACAGTTCCAGCTTCAAGAAGTTGGTTGGCCATACCAACTTTGTGGTTGATTTAGCTGCCTCACCCACAAACAAACTGATGTTTGTTTCTGCATCTCATGATGGGACATGTAAGGTTTGGGATGTAAGAAGTGATAGATCGATGTACACTATCACCAGAAATGACGAAGAAGCAGCAAAAGCTAAATTAAAGGTATTTGGTGTGTGTTGGGACCAAGCAATTGGTATTATTTCTGGTGGTGAAGATAAGACCATTCAAATTAATAAGGGAATATAACCCTTTCAATCACAAATATAATCTTTGTATAGGGAATAGACACAATTTGTATGTTGTGCAAAAAAGAATAGAGAACGCTAGACGTATTGTCATTAGTTTCTATCTACACTAACTATAATCAAACTATTTACCAATACGACAACCCGCAAAGACAAAATCAGGATCATTGAACAAGAATCAAATGAAGAAAGAAAGTTACAAATTAACAGACTTTAAAACTGGATAACTTCGGGTACTTACATTTGTTGGTGATAATGTTACCAGGTAGTGTTTTCTCTCAAAAGCCTTACACATTGTAAGCATAGTTCCTCCATAATATCTCCATACTATGAAGTAAAAAGTGATGAGTAGATCTCTTTTGCACTATGCAAAATATCCACCTGATTTCAGGATACCAGTTTGAACATCAATGACTTTCTTGATTGTTCAAGTAGACGGGTCACCTTCTGGGGGTCTATTTTACCCCATGTTTCCTGCAGATAATCAAGATCACCTGTTCAATCGGATACTACTCGGAAATGTTAACGTAAGTGAAGACCACAACGATTGTAACCAAACCTTTATATTGAACAAACAATGGAGGTTCCGTATAGCTTTGACCTTAAGGCCATAACGAAGCAAATACCACTCCAGTTTCATATATTTAGTTCAAACTAATTATAGTAGCCAATGGTATGGTCAAACCTGCATATACACTAGGTAAATGTATAGGAGATGGAAACTACGATCGATGATCAAGGTAGACAATGTTAGATAAATGTCCCCCAAGTAAGCAAAATCACTCCATTTGTCATTAGTGGAAAAGCTTCGAATTGTACTACATAAGAAATGAGTTATCCCAATGTTTGCACAACAGAAAAAGGAATCAATTTCCCTCATAAAACATTATAAATACAAGTGATTGGCAATGCTTTCTAGGGTTGCAAGTTTATCACTCAATTACTCATTACAATCAGCTTTAAGACTCACAGCTATAAGAGCCATGAGTACTGTTATTCCCAAAGTCCAATATGGATTTAAATTGGACAATAAACTTAAGAAACTAGTTCTTCATGAAGATTTGCCGGTGCCAACACCTGGTCCCACAGATGTTCTAGTTAAATTAACTCACGTTTCATTATGCCATTCCGATTTGCATGTTCTTTATGATAATTTGGAGATTGGTGATGACTTCGTTATGGGTCATGAGATATCTGGTGAAGTCGCAGCCATTGGTGACAAAGTAACTCATTTGGATGTAGGACAAAAAGTGGTAGCTTCTGGTCCAGATGGTTGCGGTTCTTGTGCTCATTGCAGAACAGGTGCCGATAATGACTGTATTGATTCATTAGTTCACGGTTGGTTTGGTTTAGGTAAAGATGGTGGATACCAACAATATTTACTAGTTAACAGACCTCAAAACTTGATAAAAGTTCCAGAAGGAGTTCCCATGGAAGTAGCATCTCCCATTACTGATGCAGTCCTTACACCTTATCATGCTCTCAAAGCATTGAATTTAAATCCGGCCTCCAATATATTATTTGTGGGTTGTGGTGGTCTAGGTTCAAGTGGCCTTCAAATTGCTAAAGCTTTTGGAGCCACTGTCACAGTTGTCGAAAAGAAGGACAAGGCCAGAGAATTGGCAAAAGCATTGGGTGCTGATTTTGTTTACGAAACATTGCCAGAGCTGATACCTGTGCAATCTTTTGATCATTGTGTGGATTTTGTTTCAGTTCAAAAGACATTTGACATTTGTCAGAAATATGTTCGTTCCAAGGGTACAGTAGTACCAGTTGGATTGGGAGCAGCTGAATTGAAATTCAACTTGTCTGATCTTGCACTTAGGGAAGTGAGAATTTTGGGTACATTCTGGGGTACAAGTCAAGATTTGGTAGAATGCTTAGAATTAGTGAGGAAGGGACTCGTTAAACCACAGATTTATACCATCCAACCTTTGAAGAAATTGCCTGAATTCGTAGAAAAGTTGAGAAACAATGAATATGAAGGCAGGGCAGTTTTCACTCCATAATCAGCGATATTTTGCTTTGAAATACCCTGATTTGATATCACAATAAAATAATTTAAGTATAATAGTCTAAACAAATTTTCTTAGTAAATAATAATACTTGAGTTCTCTTCTGGGTTTTTGAGGTTACCAAGAATATACAGTATACTTCTGAATAAAAAACAAATAAGCTTTACTATTTAATCTATGTCTTCTTGCATGCGAATGCATGAACTCCGTAGTATCCTTGCCAGAACGATTTCGTATCTGTGATATACGATACAAGTTTGGGTAAGGACCCATCGTTGGCATCATCATCAATGCTAGAGAAATTTGTGATATCTTTCCAGCCCATGAGTTTACGAAGTTCCGTAAGTTCTTCCACTGTGGGTTCAATTTGAGCAGCCGAGCCATATTTCAATGGTCCCACATTGATCCAATAGGTTGTTCGTTTTGAAGATGAAGCTAAATTGTTTAGGGTATCGATATATTCAATCAAATTTTCCGCGGTATCGATGAAAAAGCAAGTAACTATAACTAAAGGCTTGGTCGATTGAGAATTTGGAGCAAGTTTAAAGAATCGGAAATCTCCAAAAAAATGATTAAGATTGCCGGGCTTAACTCTTGGTGTGAACGTAATACTTCGAGCCTGATCTTTAGCACATATAATATTTGAATTTCCATGTATGAAAGGGTAGAAAGTCGTCAAAGGATTAGGATTTTCGTTAAACACATAACTGTTGCAAATTGACATGAGTCCACTGTATTCGATTGAACTTACTTGCCATTTTGGATTCCGTTTAGCCAATTCATATGAAAGTCTGCCTAATCCAGAGCCAGGCACCACTAAATCTGCTCCATCTAAATATGACGAAGTTTTATTTCCACAAATTCGTTCCAATTGCTGCGTCACGAATTGTACCATAGGTTCAATTTCTGGTGAGATTTCGGTATCTGGCCAATCGCGCAAAAAATGGCTAAGTGCTTCGACTACACGATAATTGGAATTGGAGGCCGACCCACCGCCTCCACCATGAGGTTTTATTTTTCTTACTGCGAAACTGTCAAGACCGTAATGACTCAAGGTATAGTCTATAATGGAGTCACAGAATCGTTGGTTTGCGACAATGAGTGAATCAAGAGATTCCAATCTCTTTAGATAGCCAGTTTTCGTAGCTAGATTCTGTTGCCTCCATGACATCAATTTGAACAATTCTCTGCGACGATCATTTGATCGTTTTGTATTACTTCTGTAGTTCATTAATGAGTTAAGTGCTATTGCCAATTCTGATTGAGATGCTTCACTCAATTCCTTGTAAGCCTCATTACCGGATAATGATCTTAGCCCATGAACACTGGAACTACCATGATTCAACCTAATCCAATATCTGTGCGCCAGACGAACGTATCTTTTGAACACTTCTGTTTTCCCTAATCCATTACTTACAACAAATACCATAGCTAAAAGAGGAACCAGAGATCGGGTCCCAGTTATTACCTTTGCTGTAGCATAAACTATCACACCTGCCACAGCTGCTTGTAGTAGAATCGCCCAATCGCTCTCCATTATTAACGGAAGAGATGGATCAAGGGCAATATGGTACAATCCCGGGGCCACATCTGTCAAATGGCTTCATCGAGGACAAAAAGATAAAGGTTACCACCGCGGACAAATTTCCCCGAACGGGAATCTGGAGTAACCAAACCGGGGGAGAGCACATCAATATCCGAGGGATATTGCCTCGGAAATATATCTTTTTTTAGTGTATCTAATTGTCGTACAAAACCTAATTGCTCCTCCCAAAAAGGAAATGCTTGAACTCTGATACAGATGAAAGTTGTATTCACTAAAGGTATCTTATACATAGGCCCTTTCCAATACAGCTTGCTGGCTATACAGAATATAAGTTAAGACTTGTGGTGTGTTAGTATTTTCCTCATTTATAACTGTTATCATTTCCCTACCGGAAACAATTTTCCATAACTCATTATAGTTCTAGTACAATTTGATTAACAAATGTCTTTTGCTTTGGATAAGGACTTCGAAGATGTGGAACCAGTTGATTACACCCAATGGGAGGGGCAACCATGTTCAATCATGTATTCCGAAGAATATGTCTCTACTATGGGGATTTTAATGCGTCTTATGGCAGGCGAAGAATATAGTGAAAGAGCACTTTGGTTAACAGAACAAGGTATTGGTCTTTTGGCATCTCATTATTCTATCTGGTTATACCGATATGATATTTTGCGCAGCATGTATTCTGAGGATGAGAAAAGATTAGAAGAAGAACTTGATTGGTTGGAAGAGATTGCACTTGCCAATCAAAAGAACTATCAAATATGGAATTACAGACAACTAATAATAGGATTATTCAAACAATATAACTACCAACGTGAGTTCCCTATTTTGGCTGCAATGTTAGACTCAGATCTGAAGAATCATCATGTGTGGACATACCGTAAGTGGTTTGTGGAACAGTTTGATTTATTTGACAATGAACGTGAAGTCCAATTCATCCAACAACTTATTGAGACTGATGTTCGTAACAATTCTGCCTGGTCGCACTTGTTTTATTTGATGTTTGAGAAAGGAGATTCTCATGTTAAAAATCAAATTGAGTATGTTAAAGAAAAAATAGCTCTATCACCACAAAATGTATCAGCCTGGAATTACTTAATTGGTATCTATGATAAGTTTAAGCTTGATATTACTGAATTGAAGGACTTTTGTCTACTGTATGTGGATCCTGAAGTAACTTCATCGATGGCAGTTGAATTGTTGGCCCAAATTTATACTTCATCAAAGGAAACCGAAAAGGCTATTTCGTTATATAACGAATTGGGTGATACTTATGATCCCATTCGGAAAAACTATTGGGATTACAAGATCTCCCTCATAAAGGCATAGATAATTATTGTAACGTAACCAGTTTTATCTTTAATTGCAGATGCTTATTTAGCTACATTATATATTCATATTTTCCAATACAAAGGGTTCAATTTGAGTTGTAAATTATCAACCTGTGCTTTAATATTACATGCTCTTCTTTTGAAGGACACTATACTGGTGGGGAAATCCTCCTATACTATGTAGAAGATCACATACCACTAGCTTTAGAGATTTTTTTAAAACATATTGTAGATGATTATGATCGTATGTTTTTTGTCAACTTTATTGTAAAACAAGAAAGGTCCCTTGGCCCAGTTGGTTAAGGCGTGGTGCTAATAACGCCAAAATCGGCGGTTCGATCCCGCCAGGGACCATTCCAACCCTCATGGGCGTGTGGCGTAGTTGGTAGCGCGTTCGCTTAGCATGCGAAAGGTCTCCGGTTCGACTCCGGACTCGTCCATTTTTACGTAACATAACCTTTTTTTTAAGCAGAAATAACGAATGAAATTTATATAATGTAAAGTCTTTAAATCAACCTTAAATACCCTTGACATTAATTATGTGAAGTTAAACTATTATATTAATTAAAAACCTTTTTATCCAATTCTCTTAAAACCTTTGCAACTGAAGATGCATCTACTTGCATTCCTCTGGTGGTTAACTTTCCTACCAAAGTACCAAAATCCATGCTATTGAACTTTTCATGTCTGCTTAACGTTTTGTAAGCATCAGAACAAGGAATGAAAATCCCTGGACCAGGACGAGACATTGACCTGCCTATCGGTAATGGTTCTGTTCGACTACTAGATATATTCATGGAGATCGAATTGTGTCTGGAAATATGAGGTAAAAGTCCTGGTGCCGAAACTGGTGTACCTAAAGCTGTTGGAGTGGTAACTGTATTTGGAGGTGTGGGAGCCGTAGTAGCATTGGAGTCATCGGCAGTAATAACTGGTTCCATTACATCATCTTCATTTACGTCTTCGTCCAGTTCTTCAGTTTCTGAAGTCCCATTTTTGGCTTTACTTGCAACAGTAGTACAGAATAAAGTAGACATTGGATCTGTTTGGCATTGCCTACATGTACCTGGGTTCCCAGTACATCCGTTGGTTTGTTCTTGCTCTGAGCCCAATATTACAGTAGTGCTTCTCTGTGTGGGTGTGACCACAATTGGAACCGCACCAGGAGTCAAATTGGATATGCTTTGGATTTCAACAGAAGGACCTGGATGCATGACAGGAAGAGATGTCTTACGGAATTGGATTTGATTTGATTTGATTTGAAGTGGAGGTAATGCATTTGAACTCAAAGTATCCATTGGATCTGAAACAGGAGTAGTCGTTGTTGACATATCTTGATTCAAACGAGCGGCCTCCTGTGCTGCTTCTCGACAGACACAAGGGGTATCGTCAGAGCAAAACCCACAATTTTCTACTGGAGAATTTTCATCAAAATCCATCTTCTTTAATGCAGTTAAACTTGTTAATGAATCATCATTGCCATTACTCAATCTAAAGGTACCAGTGGATTCATTAGTAAAATTGGATGCCAATCTTAATTTCTTCAAATCTGGCATTGGTTTTCTAGTTGAAAATTTGGAGGTGAAATCAAATTCTTGAACTGTACCAATATCTCTCTTCCTTCTCAATGATACTGCAGCCATGGGTTTGAATGTTTTCAATTGTTCTTCTAACTTAACACTGGCTCTATCAGGATCAACTTCCTTCAAGCCAACTTCTTCGCATAAGCAATCATCTCTGGTGCAAATACCACAACTCTTATCATCATCGTTAGTGGTTGAATTCATTGCATGTGTAGGTGAGTCCATGGAAGGAGCTGGAGATACTTGCTGGATAGCATAAGAGCCACCTCTAAGATCCGCACCAGCCGATGATGAAGTAGAAGCAGTACTTGCGTGGGAATTGTGTTTCGGAAAGGAAGGAGCAATTGGTCTGATTGATAAAAGATCGGAATTAGGTGAATTTGCGGGTTGAGGAGGTGTACAGCCATTAAGGGCTATCGGTGTACTCTTTGAAGAAGTAGATCTAGAAAATCCACCAGGAGAAGGCGAATTATGTGGGTTCTTTCTTTTATTGGAAGAAAGAGCATCAACATCAAGTCGTAATTGTTCTAATGACCGTTTCAAGTATTTATTCTCAGCCTGTAACTTGGTAATAGTGTTAATAAAGCCCAATTCCTTAAGTTCATTCTCCTTCTCCACCTCACTAAGTTTCTGTTCCAACTCTTGAACACGATTGGCTCTTCTTTCTCTAAACGCTCTTTGAGCTGCTCTATTCTGTGCCTTTCTCTTGGAAACAGGCGTATCAACTGCTGGCTTTCTTCCTGGTTTCGGACGGGGAGGTAGCACCCAATCCTTGGATGTGCCTATTTTTAGTGAAGAAGACGAAGAGCCAGCTGATATAGATACTTGTGCGACGGGGGATGCCATGTCTATGGGAGAACTTCCGGTTGAAGGTGGAGAAGATTTCGCCACAGAGTGGTGTATTTGATTACGTTGTTGCTGTTGATCATGCTTTAGTTGAGAATTTGGTTTTGGCTTGTGCTGTAGTTGTTTCTGTAGTTGTGGATGTGGCTTCTGTTGATGCTGCTGTTGCTGTTGCTGTTGTTGCGGTTTCAGAATCAGTGTTCTGCCCTGTAAATGAAGAGGGGCGGGAGGCGATGGAGCCAACGCCGGTCCTGATCTCGGAACAATGGATATCGAGTTCACTGCCATAGAAAAAGCAAGTATTCAATACAAGTATTACCTATATTCAAATGCAAATGAGTTCAACTGATGATGATGTCAGAATATGGAGAATATTCTAACCAATAAACGAACAGATGGGTTGGTTCAGTTGCAAGCCTTCAGGTATACAGTTTGACACTCGGGTGTCCAACAGGTCAAATGTGTTGGATATAGAAGTGCACTTAGGGTACGTTCTGGATGGTTATAGGAAAACGGAAGGGGACCGGAGATTATGTTGTGGAGATTCTAATTTGCTTATATCAGTTGACAAGGGCAGTTTGTGACACTACAAATTTTTATCTATTTCATCAGTAGTCGTGTATGTAACGGGGCAAATGGCCGTCAACGGCAACAAACTTTTGTTTGATAAATAAATCTGGTGTCCGAAACTCGGCAATATCTATTGGTCACGTGACGTAGCGTATATGCGTATTAAATCTTCCTACTTGCTTATAACTTATATGCACCCATAATGGTTGTACTTATCTAACAAGATTTATACTATACTAGGCATTCTATATACACAGGACCAAATACACTTATTGACCACATCTTAAATTCGTTACATCGTCAGAAACTGTTCCAGCCTAAGGTGAACATTTCTTACAAATGCCTTATATGTAATGTAATAGAGTTCAGTTGTGGCTCCAATCAATTTCATTTTCATATCAGTAAGATTACTTTTGTTGTTGTTGTTGCTTCATTTGTTCACGAAGTTTTTCTTGCTTTTCCTTTTGACGTTGCATCTCTTGTTCCTGCAATTGCTTTTGGAATTCAATTATTTCTTCTTGAGTAGGAGTGTTCCCAGTCAAATAATCAGCCAACTTGACTTCACCAAACTTCTCCTTCATCAATCGTTCATGTTCTTCATTAATGGGTGCTGTTTCCTTCAAATAAGAAATAAAGTGCTCGTAGTTCTTTTGACCAGTTTCACGAATCACATCTAATGGCATTTTAGGTTCAGTGTTTGGCATATGTAATCCCATTAGTTTAGCCAAAAATGCACCAGCATTGGGCTTACCAGCTTTAGAAAGAACATTTTGATTATCTTGTCTCCATTTTTCTCTCATTTTTTGTTCCTTAGCTTCGAACTCAGGAACAATATTTGACTTATCATTGAAATTAGACAAAAATTGTCTAACATCAGCTTGATTACTGGCTGCCATGTATTCCAAACATGGAATTAAACGAACCAAAGTATCATCTGATTTACCATCCCAAGGCTTCAAAACAACAGCGTTCTCTGGTTGAGAAGATACTGATTCATCAGCAACATCAATAATAATAGTCTTAGCTAAATCACGGTTCAACAAGCTCAAATCTTTAATCAGTTTACCATCCTTGTAACGACAGGCTTCTCTGTATAATTGATAAGAGATAAAGCCACGATAAGGATCTAACTTTTGAACAATCTTTTCAGAATACATTTGATAATTGGTTGCAAAAATAACAATTTCATAGTATTGACTCAAATAACCCAAAAAGTAGTCAACACCTGGTCTCTTAGCTGTTCTCCATCCATTCTTAGTATCCCATTCGGAGTGGATCAACAAATCATCCAAGGTTAAAACCAAAGTATAAGGTCTTCTATATGCTTCTGGAGCAGGAGGTGGCAATAAGTTTTCGAATGCCGGTTCGGAGAAGAAGGAGAAAAGACCATTCCATCTCTTTTGAAGACGACTCCACATTAATTGAGGGGTGTATCCATTATCGATATCTTTACCATCAAGAGCAGTTTGTTCTTCTTCAGATGTCCAATCACGGCTCATGTAACCAACTCCACCAACTAAACCTACAAGAGTAGACAAATAGAACCAATTTGCTGCTTTTTCTCTCTTGATATCTTTGGAAGTTTGTCTTCTTCTTCTCTTCTTGGACCCTTGTTCTTCTCCTGATTCACCAGATTGATCTTGTTCATTTTCTTCAGTTGGTTCTTTCTTTCTGAGTTCGTCAGCGGTTTCCTCAAACCCAGCACGTGCCAAGATATCATCAGTTAAGATCGACTCGGTCTTAGTTGCTTCCTTCTTGCTGTTATTTGGCTTGTTGGTAGTATAAGGTCTTGAAACACTCATCCGAGTAACAGTATTCATAATTGCTGGTTGGCGCAATGTGATATTAGGAACACCACCTCCGTGCGCAAGCACACGGCCAGCCGCTACTGTAGCTTGTCTGAACATGATTATGTAGTTTGTAGTTGTAGCTAGAGAGTAAAACTGATGTTGGGGTAAAAACTCATACACGCACTATACTGAAAATTTTTCCGAAACATTACTGATTCTGTGATCACGTGACCTATCAAAACATATAACCTAACAAGCATTGATCAGTTATAGAATTGCGTACTATTAGAACGAAACCTTCTACTCCATATTCATTTACTCCACTCTCTTTCTGTTCATCACTTGTAGTGTTTTAGTCTCTATTGTATTTCAATTGTTATTACAATACATTGCACTACTCTATCATCGTGTAATAACTAATAATTATCATATATTTAGCCATATTATGTATATACAGATATGAAGAAATATATCGTTAAGCGGTTTACTATCGTGATACCACTCATTAGCTACACTCTATCAACTTGCACTTCACTGCAAACTCCATGAGAGCCTGTATATAGTAAGCATCAATATTTCCCTCTATGAAATCCAATCTTTAATATCAAAAGAACTCAATGCTAAAAACCTATAACCCCATAATTAGAATGAGACCTCAATGGATTAGAACCAGTGTGAGGTGTATGAGTGACTGGAAAGTTCCAGAAAAGCCATCATATAACACAAAGATTCCTCCTATATTACGAAGTCTCAAATATGTTCAAGCAGCTGATCAATACCAGAATCAATTGGACCAAGCACCCAAGCAATCCAAGATAACAGAACTCATGAATCGTTTGGAGCAAAAGCCATATCTTATGGTTGTTCTACGTGATTATCAGGAACAATTGAAACGTCTAGGAATTGACCAGCGTCCGGAAAGAGAAGCATTAGTTTCGAAATGGAAATTCTATATACTGGCAATCAAGTTAAAACAATTACATCGAGCATTTTGGGATCAATGTGAATATAACGATATTAGTTCTCATAAACATCGATTTCGAATGGATATTAATGACGTGGGACTTCTTGATCCCCGTAACTTTTCTAAAGAGGACTACGATAAAATCATGAGTTTCAAAGAATAGCGTAGTTTCTTTTGTGTATATAGTCAGAATAAGCCAACTTTACTCTTCTTTTACATTCCAATGCAACAGCAATATTATTATATTGATATAATTTATGGTTTAGGGATGTGTAATGATTTGGAGATCTCAGCACAACCTTGTAAGAAAAATCCCAAGGCCACTGGATGGAACTCAAATGAAGAACCTACAAATACAACACCACCAGGTAATTTATCCAAAATGGCATCACGATAAACCAAAACTGCCATGAAAGCAACCCAAAAAAGATTACTAGGAATTGGTAAACCTTCGAAATACTTCGATTTACCAGATTTGTCCTTTGGAATATGATTAGCAGTAACATTGAAACGAGCCAATCTCGTTAACCCACATAATACCCAAAAGGTTAATAATAAAACATCAGTAGTAGTTCTAAATCCAATTGCAAAGGCAATACTTGCAGGTGCAACACCAAAGGAAACTAAATCAGCTAAAGAATCCAATTCTTGACCCACCAAGGAGGATTTATTTCTTAATCTGGCAACCCTACCATCAAAAAAGTCGAAAAACATTCCTAAACAAATGAAAAAATGTGCTCTTTGAACATAATGACTTTGCCCAGTTAATGTATATCTTAAACAACTAATAATAGAATAGAAGCCTGAAAACCCATTTAAAAGTGTAATGAAATCTGCCATATGTAAGTTTCTAATCAACGAAAAGTGTCTATTATCTTCAATAAAGGCATTGTATTCAACTTCCTCAGGTTTAGGTAAATCTTCTTTACTACTAAGAGAAAAAAGTGATGAACTTCTTCTCATTAAAGGTTGCGGACCACTTTCTGTTGGGGCCTCAATTATGATGGCTTCACCATCCAGCTCTGCGTCACTGGCAATTGCTGAGTCAAACCTCTTGGTTCCAGTTGTTTTACCAGACATGTTGTATATATTAGTTGATAGTAGCAGGAAAGAAACAAACTTAATGGCTGACCACAAATTAATTTCAGAGATTTCGCAGTGTACTTTTAAGCCCCAACACGAACACAAACAGCAATAGATTATTATAACAATAAGAATGACTAGACCTTAAGGTATCGATAAATATTTGTAAATATATAGATATATGTGTATATATATAGATATATGTGTATATATATAGATATATGTGTAAATATATGTTTAATTTATGACTGTTCAATTAATTGAACTGGAATTAGCCACCATTTGTATCCGTTCATATAGCATCGTATTGCTATTCCACCTAATAAGATCATGCTGGAACAATTCGCGGGATCAACAACTGAAAATGAAACGCACTATTGAAACATGAACCCACATAATGGAATTCCAATGTTGCTTTTAATGTATAGATTTAAACGTCATTGAATTCAAGGAGTCCGCCCCAACATTTAGCAATGTATCGAGCAAGCATGGACAATGATATCACATGCGATGCGCGTTTCTAGCTGGTAGCATCACTCATTGGTAGCATGCATCAGTGTGCTTTGTTTGGTATATAATAACCACTATACATCCTACTCATGACTCACTATTATCTGAGGGTTCATTTGACCATTACCATTGGTCGTATGACTACTACTATTGTTGTTGTTGTTGTTGTTGTTGTTGTTGTTGTTATGGCCCTCAATGAATGATGGAGGTCTGGAACTATTGGGTGAGATTTGAGAATCATCTCTAAAGGTAGGAATCGTAGTAGACTCATTATCGGAGAATAATACATGATTCCCGTCTAATTCTACTTGCATCCGTTGTCTTTGAACTTCATTGATCTTTTCTCTCAATAATTGCAGTTCTTGTAATTGAAGAGTGTTGTCTTCATCCATAACTATACCTCCATTGGGTGGAGTTAGTGCGGGTGTAACCAGATGACTAGATTCACTAGTAAACAGTGATTGGTTGGTATCAACTGAAAAATTACCACCTTGATGGAATGGAAATTCCTGACTCTGTTTAGGAGAAATAACCCTAGGAGTGAATATCCCAGATAAGGCTTCATTCTGGTTGTTCACAGTCAATGAAGACGTTGAAATACCAACTTCGTGCGAAGTATATGGTGAAAGATTGGGTGTAATAGGAACATTCATTGGTTGATTCTTCAAATCTAACTTCAAATTTGCGTGATTCTTCTTATTCAGTGTATGACTTAAATCCAGATCTCTAGCCTCAAGTTTCTCTTGAACCAATGCAAATCGTTCTAAATGTCTACTTCCAAATTTAAGTAACTCATACAAATCATTGTACCATCCATCGAATTCACGTTCATCAAGACATTTAAATGTACTCTTACGAGACATATTGGATCTTTTGCAAAGGACAAATTTAAAACCTTTGACATCATCATTTTTAGGCTTGATGGAATATTCATTCAAATTGTAGGATTTTACTGGGATATCATCAGGACCGATAAAAGCCTTAACTTTAGTCTTTTTCTGATTCAGTGAACTATTTTTCACCGTACCGCCACCATTACCATTCATGGATTCATTTCCAGAATTTGAATTCATATCAAGTTTGAATTCATGTAAATAATTGCAAGTCAACAAGAAATAATGACACGAATAGTTCTTCATAATCTTAGACTTTTTGTATAATGGTCCAAATCGAAGACACTTTGAATGAATACTATCATGATATGGAATCTTCAAATGAGAGAAAAGTCTGCTTTCCTTTCTGAAATTGACCCCTGAATCCTTATAAATGTTGATAAATGCAGCATTATTAATAGCAAAATGCTCAAACTCTTCACTAGATGTAGTCTGCAATCTCTCCTTTAACATTAAATAAAGTCCCCCAAGAGGATCATTTCCAAATGCATATTCATTGCTTGAAAGCTTTCCCAACTTCATAAGGAAAGAACTCAATTCTTTATACATATATGCAAATATGTCTCGGGCTATATTTTGCAAGTTCATATAAGAAGCAAACTTGTAATTCTCTTGTAATAGTTGATACTTTATTTGATGATCTAGTCTTAATTTAACAAGAAATGGGTCATCGGATACAGCAGTATTATCTTCATCATTATCTGGTGCTGTTGTTGTTGTTCCTTTTTTTGAAGCATCTGTATCTGCATCCTCTTCGTCGGACTTTAATTCTGATGATGGATTCGTTTTGGTAGCAAGAGGCATGGGAACCACGTATCTGCCTTTTGCTACTGGAACCAGTCCATTGTACCTTTCTACTGCATTTGTGAACTCAGATAAAATCTTTCCTGTTCTACTGATCTCCTTTAACACCTCTGTATTGGCAAACGAATCGTTCTTGACATACGTTTTCAACTCCTTGATCTTCAGTGATACTGTCTTGAAGAGATTTTCCAACCTGGGAATCATTTTCGTGGTGATGTCTCGGTGTGACTTGGTATTAGCTCCATAGCCATTTAAATGATACTTCAACAAAATCGTGGGTACTCCTGTAAAAATGGAATTAGAAGTAAAATAAGCGGCAAAGCTTTCAAGCTCTACGTTTGAAAGAGGGTCTGCGAATTTGGCTCCTCTTTCAGGATTTGAGCCATCACCTGAACTAAGAACACTGGTTAAGGATGAGATCGATGCGTTGTCCCTTTTATGTGAAACCGGACGTAAGGTAGGAGATGTAGGGTTAGACAGTGTTTTTGATTTTGGAGGAAGTAACAGGGATTGTTGTTGTTGGTTGTGATGACTTTTCAGACCTAGTTTCAAGAAGGATGAGTTTGACTTGTTACTGAACAAAGGGGGTCTTTTCCCATCAGATGAGTTAGTTGATGTGGTAGTGTGATTTGATTGAGTACATGAAAGTGAAGCCGTAGATGTGTTGTTAGTAGAGGTTATGTTATCAGCCAGTAAAGAACGTTTTACTTCTTGTCTTGGAGTTGACGTAGGACTATTATAAGAATCTTGGATCCATTGGGTGACCTTCTTGGGCAAGTCTTCCAAACCTGGGAAGGAGATTGCAGAGATAAGCTGATAATTAATGGAAGCATTGAACTCTTTGGTGGCTGCTATTTCCTTCAAGTATACAATCAACGCCTTAATAAAGTGTTTCCACTGTCTGAAGTACTGTACTAATTCATCCACGGGACGAGTATTTGATGGGGGTAAGTTAGTAAAGAAGGGAGAAGCGGGATCAGTAGGTGGCAATACCGTTTCCTTTGTGAACTTGGCAGGAGGAGGATTACGCATTAGAAAACAGCAATAGTATCAGATCTTCCAAATGAAAAGTATTAAATATATGTCGCTCTAGCGCTATTGTAATAGTTAGGTCTAAGCAGTGCTCCGTTTCTGGTTCTCTTTCTATTGCAAGTTAGGACTTTCGAGACAAGTTAATGATTAAATATATATGGGTGTTGTAGAAGACTAAAGAAGTCTTTCAAGAATAACAACTATACAGTAAGTGAAAAATTAAAGGTTGTGTATGAACTTTGTTTATTTTGGCAAAAGGGGTTCTTGATAAATCTTATCGGAAAAATATTTTGATAGGCCGATTATTTCTTCCATCAAGTCCAGACCACATCCAAAAGAAGGTACAACAAGGCGTGGGGATGGTGTAGTGAGAAGCCCATACACTAAAATTAAAGGAAGGAACACCGTAGTGCGCGCGGTACTCATAGATTTGTAGCATATTTATTGTTAACTAAGCATGTATATTTGCACGCATGTATGATTTGTACTATGTCTTTGGACTACGTTCAATCACTGTTGGTTTTACACTGCATAAATTATAGTAATACTGCGTGATTTCTATATTCTTGGTTCAATGCATCATTACAGTCACGCACACTTTCTATTATCTCCCTTCCGAGTCGTTCCAATACAACGATAATTATTGGGGAGTGTTTTGGTGAATAATCAATCCAAAAATGCATTAAGAGTCTGATGATGTCATCTCGTCACCTGAAACATACAAAAGAAAAATGAAACAGATCCCGATCTTTTCTTCCTTTATGACACAGAACTATTTTTACCACATTTGTGTTCCCGGTGCCGTATTAGTCACCCCCGTTTCCTCTTCAGACACACGATCATCTCCAGTAATCCAAAAGGTATTCATCACTTAACAATGTCCTCCTATTCGTCGGACACTATACGACACCTTTCTAAGTCCAATAAAGGTAATTACTTACATGTCCATGTATCTTAAGCACAATAGGATGTAACAGCACCCACGTATTTTGGTAGTTAAGTAATCTACGTGATGTCGTCTCCTGCTGGTGTCAATCTAAACTCTTATACCCTTCTAATTAACTCTCAAACACAATAAGCAAACAGGCGTCTTGCTTTGTTTGCGATGATCCCTAAACAACTAAAATCCCTTCCATTATAATGCAAAAGGGGAAAAGGATACCGAGTACAAACTTGACATCCACAGGTTTTTAGTATTGCTATTAATAACTATTTGTTTGTTTTGTTCACAACACCGAAGTGCTCTAATTTACATTACATTACATAGCCTCACTCCACATACGTTTCTAGTCGCCTTCTAATGCTAGTTATATTAGTTGTGCTTTGAAACGGAAAACAATTATTTCTGGAAAAAGTGTGGCGGTGGTTTCCTAGAAAGTCTTGGTCCGCGCTACCTCTTGGGTGCATGGATGGTTCGGATCAACTGCATTGAGGATTTTATTGTCATTGACCCTTACGAATTTTTCTTTTGCACCCATACATTCAATCAAGAATAAGTCAACCATTTCAAGCGCTTATTGTATGGTTCCTTCTTTGAGGTAGTCGTTATAATATTCATAAAAGCGAGCTTGCTATTGCATTCATTTAAAGAAGAAGGACCCAACTCCATCCTATACATAATGGCTTTTGAATTACATCCTTCACTACCTCGGCGGTTCCTCAATCCTCCTAAATCACCTCAAATCCATGCTTTATTTGCTGAAAGCCACTTCAAGAGTCCTGAAACTGATTACTCTGCAATCATAGATATTTCCTTCGATACCATCGATTTTCTGCCAAAATTATATGAACCAAATTTGGAGTCTGAGAGTCTTTCTTCTCCAAAATTTGACAATCGGAAACCATTTCAACGTTCACTTTCGGGATCTAAATTTTGGGATTCAAGTTTGAACCTGGTTCCAGATTTAGAAGTTCACAGAACAAGATCTTGGAATCTTATCACCAAATTGAGAACTTATCTTGGACTTAAAACTTTTGTTCCTACTACAAGTCCTTTATCTTCAGCTAGTTCGTCATTATCCTATTTGTGTGAGTCGAATCATTCCTTTCTGCCAGTCTCTCTTCGAGTACCTATTTCTAGTGAAAGCTCAGATAAAAATGATTTAGAGAATGCCAATGAAATATTACAACCCAAAAAGAAGGCTACAAAGTTTTCAGATGATACAGTCAAGTTTGATTCATATGCTCATTTGCTTATGTATAATAGCAGGTCCAGAATTGCACCTCCTAGTTCAGTGATTATACCAGTGTTTGCTTCAAGTAGTATTAGAGCAAGTGCTTCATATGCTGTGGAAAACCAAAGTACACGGAGTACACCCATTCAAGCAGTTAAAAGAACTCTCTCTAGAACATTCTCTAGAGAACCATTAAGACAATTGAGTCAATCAAATGCTGTATCATTGAACAAATCCATTTTAAAGAGTAAAATCAACTCCAATTTTGAAAAAGAGAAGGAGTTGAGTCTGAAAGTAGACAAGATGAGTTTGGAGGAATTTCTCTTTCTGTTTGAGGTTGATCACCAACAAGCGCAATTACAGATGCAACAACAGTTGCAACCAAAAAGCCAAGACATAATAAATAATTTTATAACCACTACTTATTAATGCAAACGAGCTAGCTAGCACTTTATACCAGAGTAATTTACCCAATGTTTTCCGTAAAAACGTTTCATTTGATCATCGTCACTATCGAAGTACTTTGTGATTAAAAATGAGCCCTTGAATTTAGTTTGGTTGTAATCAAGTTTGAGTTTTCCAAGGGCTCTAATAATCATTCTCGACTCAATAGATAATTGACACTTATATTAGTTCAATGGCCAATTGGGTCCTTTAGGGTTCTAATCGATTGTTAGCTCCGATAATGAAAACCATTGACATGATCACCAGCAGTTTCCCTTTAATGTACTAGTGGATGTCGTGTAATACTCTTACACCATGTAAGTGCTTTAAATTTGTTGTCAAAGTAAGCATGATGGTGAATCACTATGTTGAAGTGCGAAATGGCTGCGAAAAAGAAAGAGGATCATCACATTCTTAATCAACGATTGTATGCAAGATTTTGGATAAGCATTCACTCTTGTTCTTGAGAAGCAGGTGATAGCGGGCATAAATGAAATGCATGAATTATTTCCAAAGGAAAGCCCTTTACCATAAACCTGTTAAGGAGGTAAGCTATTTACAACAGTTCAATGGATATAACCCGTTCTCCATACCAACAGCATACTCCATCTAAACGGTGTTCATTCATGGGGATTCTTCTAAATGCAATGTCCATTTCCAATACTTCTAGTTGATCAACGAATGTCTTGAGAGGATGTGGATTGACATCAGCCACTGGAGTTATGGAGACGATCTTATTAGGAGGAGTAGTGCTAGATTGATAAGAAAATGTATACCCAACCGTTTCCAAACATGAAGAGCATTGGATTAGTCTGACTGCAGTGACTACTGAGCTATTTAGAAAAATGTATGGTGTTAATGTGTAGTTAGGAACTCGAGCCACAGCAGCATCGGGGGTGTTTGATGAAGAGGGCCATTTCAAAAGTAATTGAGAACGGCATTGTACACAAAGCAAGTAGTTGGGAGTCATCAAAGAACATGCCAAACCAACGCGATTGGGTTAAGCTAAGCTCATAAGTTAAAATATTCCATATGCTGTAACAGCAAAAAAGAGGAAATTTATTTGAAAATGTATCAACATATGTGCATCTATATAAATAGTTACTACGGTGTGTAATTAGAAAGACACACTATAATAATAATAGTAATAATAATAATAATAATAATAATAATAATAATAATAATAGTATTAGTAGTAGCAGTCGTAGTTGGCGAAAGGGGGGCTACGCAAATCAGAAATAAATTCGTAATACTCCCGTGTTATGAATTCGCCCCTTTCGTTGCAATCCCCTACACAGCAAAAGGCAAAAGGGATGCACATCAAGGCAGGCCACTGAAAATGGAATACATTGACAGATCGAGTTAATATGCGCGCCAAAGGGGTATACGGGTCGGTGGTCGGTGATATTACAATGAATTGTGTTGTTCGTTTACGAGGTGTAGGTTAGCTTGCACGATTCTTTTAAGCGATTAATATTAGGTCAGATTGCTCCAACAAGATTGATCTCTGTTTGTGGTGGAGTAAAAATACTGCACAATGGATGACGGTTGCGTTCTAAGCTAATAGTTAAACAATAGATGATGAAATGTGTTTTAACGATCCTTGCATTACGTTTAAAGTGTGTTAAAGGTCGTTTTAGGAGAAAGCAGGTTGAGAAACTTATATACGAACCAACTCGGCAATTGAAAGAATCAATTCAAACTCCACAAAGAAGACGAAAAATTGTAACATAAAAAAGACAACTCTAGTTATCTAAACTGCTAACTGTCAGTTTCCCTGTTATCTACAACGGTTATAATAAGAATGAGTAGCGATGTGATGTGGTTTATTATTATCTCTCGTCTCAACGAATAAGCATTTGCATGTGATCGGTGTTGTACAATTTTCCCCAAATTGAAGTTCGTAAACTTTTGACCTTTACAGTTTCGTACTCTAAATAATATCGTTGGCGACACGACCTTTGTGGGATTTGGAAGAAAAGGAGGAGGTCAATCCATTTGATGCTGTAAGAAAACGACATTAAGTTTCTCTTTGGTCACGTGTCATTGCAAAACACGGACAAAAGCCCAATTAGGCAACTTCGGCGTGTAATCTGCCATTTTGGTAGGGTATACCGATGAAAGACGAGAGATGAAGCTTAAAGCATGTTAGTAATCAAAGATCCTTAATTTGCGTATATATACAAATAAGCAATACGTAAGGAATACTTATCGCTTAATTTTTGTTGTTTGAAAATCAATCATGACTTCGTCTACCCTGAAGGTGGTTTTAACTCCAGAACATTTGGAACATCTCAATAAGCATTTGCAGTATTTAACACCACAAGAGATCATCAGATGGGCATATGTGACGTTTCCCAATTTGTTTCAAACCACAGCCTTTGGTTTGACTGGTTTGGTTACTATTGATATGATCTCCAAGTTAGATTTCAATGAAGAAGACGAAGTGAGAAAGCACCCTATTGATTTAATTTTCGTTGATACTCTTCACCATTTTCCCCAGACTTTAGCTTTAGTGGAAAATATTAAACAGAGATATGGTCCAACATTACACGTTTTCCAACCATTAGGAGTTACCACTGAAACTGAATTTGCTCAGAAATATGGTGAACAATTATGGGAAACAAATGACAACTACTACGATTACTTGGTGAAGGTTGAACCTTCCCAAAGAGCTTACAGTGAGTTAGGAGTGGTTGCAGTTCTCACAGGAAGAAGAAAATCTCAAGGAGGCGCTAGAGGTTCATTGCCAGTGATTGAAGTCGAAGCTTCAAGTAACACAATAAAAATCAATCCATTTTGTAATTGGGACTTCAAGCAAGTGAAACAATATGTTGATGAACATAAGGTTCCTTATAACGAACTTCTTGATCTCGGGTATAAGTCTGTGGGGGACTGGCATTCAACAGTTCCAGTAGCTGAAGGGGAAGATGAACGTTCAGGTAGATGGAAGGGTAAGGCTAAAACAGAATGTGGAATCCACGAAACAAGCAAATTTGCTCAATATCTCAAGCAAAACAGTAATTAGAGTGTACAATATCGTTAGAATTTGTTAAAAGGGAAAATTCATTGGTTGAATCAACTTTATTGTAGTCAAATTTAGTTTGTCTCTGAGAACCATAGTTTTTTCAAAGATAAACCACTGATCGAGGGTACACAATTTTGCAGCACGGAATTATGATTGCAGCCTTTTCGGGCTCAGAAGCCGATAAATACTATGGTTCTTGATGTGAGAAGATATTGTGTGACTTCAACCTGCCCCAGTAGGAACGTCTTTCCGCAGTTCGCGTCCTCTTGACTTACACTGTAACCACCATCGGTTGCTCTTGAAATACACTGTCAGTGTTATCGTGTGTAGGCATGGCGATGACAAAAAAGTTTCAGTGGAAATCAAACCATAAGGCACAGCGGAATTTCATGCCGAAATAAGACTATTACGGAATTTGTCGGACCGCGCTAAGATAAAGGTGAATACCGTTAATGATATCCTGAATCACACACATTGGTGAGTTGTATATAAGTTATTGATAATGCTCAAATCATATGGTTATCAGCTCCATACAGTGCAATGGTATCTAATATTAAATCCAAAGTATAAGCATCCTTTTTCTCTTTAACACTCACTATAATTACTTGGATCTTTCTCCTTCCCTTAACAACCCCTTAGCTCCGAAGAAGTATCAAGTTTAAAAAAGCAGAATACTAGACATTCTCCACAATCATCAATATGTTGTTGGATGTTATTGTGTACTTGCTGCAGCACAGTTTACAAACCCTGTTTACCTTATTGGTTACATTTGGGTTATACTTCTTTGTGTTGTATCCATTTGTATTCTCCCCATTAAGAGATATTCCTGGTCCATATATCCACAGACTTTCAAAAATCCCAGCTTTACACTACCAAAGGGTTGGTAAGTGGATTAGACGGGTATCAGACCTTCATGAGAAATATGGTGACGTAGTTATCCTTTCTCCAACTGAAATCAGTGTTAATGGTGACTCAAAGTATATCAATGACATTTACATCAAGAACTTCCCCAAATCACCCTTCTACGAGAACTTTAGAAATCATGGTTTCAAAGATAACATCTTCTCTAGTTTGGAAAATGATAGGCACTTGGGTTATAAGAAGTTGGTGATGAGTTTGTATTCTAAGTCTGCTGTTTTCTCTCATAAAAACCCTACTCGTCAAAACATTGTTAACAAGGTTCGTTTAGTAGTCGACAACATTTACCAATCTTCGGTTACTGGAAACCAACCAGATTATATCAACGCTAAAGGTGAAGAAAACATTCACTCTAAGGGATTCAATCTCCAAGATGGTGGAAAATGGTTTAATCCTTCTAGTAAAACTAAAAACTTGGGAATCGATGTTTATCCACTTTTTGCTTCGTTAGCTATGGATGTTGTGTCTGCTTTTGAGCTTGGTGTTGAAAATGGATCTAATTTGTTGAAGCATCCTGAACAGAGAGGAATTGTTGCAACTCATGCCTTGCAAGCACTGATGGGATTCTGGACTACATTGATGCCTCGGTTCTGGAACTGGGCAGCATCCAGTAGAATTAAACAAGCATCCGTTGTTATTGAAGAATGGCAATTGGCAATGTATGATGTTGCTGAGGCCAATGTTCCCTCATTTTGTGAAGGTCAAAATATGACCACTTTAGAACAATTAAAGAAGAATGGTTTGACAGGGAAGAATGCCTATTCTTTCTTATCCGACAATATATTTGCAGGACATGAGACAACCGCCATTCAATTGGCATTTTTGACGTTTGAATTGCTGAGACCTTGTAATTTTAAAGTTCAAAGAAAGTTAATCGAAGAGCTTCAAAAGACTTTTGGAAAACCTAAAGGCCCTCAGGATTATATTGAAGATTTAGAAACTGTTGATTCCTTACCGTACTTGGATCTGATAATGTTGGAGAATTCTCGAGTTCATACTTCTATCCCTGGAGCTGAACCCCGAATTGTTGATAGACCATATTATGTGAATGTTTACAACAAGGATTCCAAGACATCCAAACAAGTTGGTATTCCTGTTGGAACAACAATTTCATGTTTACCGTATGGAATGCATCGTGTTGAATCTGTGTTTCCCAATTCAGAACACTGGATCCCTGAAAGATGGATGCCTTATGAACATGAGACCCCATTGGAGTACAATTCTCGGATAACTACCCAACAGAAATACATGATGCCATTTGGTAAAGGGATCCGAATGTGTCTTGGGATGAATGTTGCTCAGATAGAAATGAAAATGGCCATTGCCAACATCTACTGGCATTGTAATTCTAAATTATGTGAAGACTGGTGTGAGATCACATCTAAGGAGAATGATCCAGTGTTATCTACAAGTCCAGTACCTATTGGAAATTCTGCACCTAAGAATAAGACAGACATTGAGAAAATGACAATGTACGATCTGTACACTACACGTCCTTTGAATGACGAGTGTTGGTTAGAATGGTATGAGAATGAGTGATAGCTTAGCGTATAGCTCTCATCATAAACACTCTATCTGTCATGTAGTTGCAAAAAGATGTGTTGAACACGACCTTCTTTGCGACTAGGTTGTAATTATCCTCGGTACTGTACATGATTTAAATCACGTTACAGTGATGAATGCCTGGTTTTACGTAACCAAAGTATATACGACTAAAGTCCATAAGCCTTGAAGAGGTAGTGTATTTGTATAATTTGATGACACTGTATAATATGTTGCTGTGGATACATAAAGTACGGAGAGTATGGAGTTATGGTACACTAATTGTCAGCTGTAGCACAGTGAGTGATACGTTGTACTTTAATATATTCTGTTGTAATATAGTCTTATAGCTGTGATATATGTAATAGACGGTAAAATTGATAGTCTATTGTTACTATAATGTAAATACAGTGTAATTATCCGGTGATACTCGACTCCATTATAATATAATGTACTGTGCTCTCGTACACACTACTGCGAATTGATCCAGGCCACTCCGGTTTCCCCGAAGCCAAATGTCCCTTGAGCCTCCATATAACCTCGACAATCTTTGATCGCCATTGAACCATTTGTAGTATGCAATTGGGATAAAAGGAAAGGAGATTCTGTCACCTGTTTTGCTCACTTTAAGAAAGCAACATCATTTGAACCAAGTTATTAATAAGAAAGAAAGATTGAAAGAAGGAGACATTATTTCTCACTAGTATGTTCCCCTTTGCTGTACCATATCCTCCAGAACAAATAAATGGGTTCTGGGGGATTCCCACCTCCACCATTGATTGGTGTGAAGAAAACTACGTGGTATCAACATACATTGCTGAGGCATTGAACACCGTCACCAACTCAGTCTTCATAGTACTCGCACTGTTTGCCATAGTCAAAGCTTATACCAATAAATTAGAACCAAGATTCATATTTAGTGCCTTGGGGTTCTTATTGGTGGGTATAGGTTCATGGCTCTTCCATATGACCTTGAGATACGAGTTCCAACTTTTAGATGAACTACCAATGATCTATGCCACTTGTATACCCTTTTGGTCGGTGTTTAGTGAGTTTAAAACCAAATCTCAATCGTTATTAGTGGCCTTGGGAATCTTCACGGCTGCCAATACTTTAACATTGGTGTACTTATACTGGAAAGACCCCACTATCCATCAAGCAGGTTATGCTCTCTTAAATGTAGGGATCATCTTAAGATCAATCGGCCTTACTCAAAAACACGTCTTTGATCCAGTTGCTAAAAGACAATTGTTCCGTACAATGGTCTCGGGTGTAGCCATCTTTTTGTTGGGATACTTTTTATGGAATATGGACATTCATTTCTGTCATCATGTCCGTTCTGCTAGACGATCCATTGGTATGCCTTATGGATTTGTGTTGGAAGGACATGGCTGGTGGCATATTTTCACCGGTACCGGAGTCTATTTCTATTTGGTGTATGAAGAATACTTGAGATGTTTTCTTCAAGGAACAGACAAATTCTATGCTTTCAAATGGGCCTATGGTTTACCTTATATTTCATTGGTAGACAAGCATGGATTGGAAAGAGCAAGAGCCATCAAGACTTTGGCAGACCTCGATAAAGAGTATTTGGATCAGCAAGCAAAGTTGATATCAATTGACTCGAAAAAGATTCAATGACTTTACTGCTCTATTTCTTTTAAACTCTTTTTTTTATCATATAGTGTTTCGTTTACCTTTTCTTTTCATTTCATTTCGTTCAAAGCGTATTTGGTTGGTTAGAACTTTTTATTCTTCTTCTTCTTTTAATAGATTAAGAATTATTATCATGAACTTGGGTCTAAAGCAAAGTAGTAATCTCTTTGATCAACTTATCATTCTCCATGATATCTTTAAATTCATTACTTACCATTGATCTTAAACGTTCAACGGTTTCGTCTGCACTGAATTTGAGTTCTTTCTTATCAGAATCATAACACATTGATTTCCAAGCTTTCAAGATACTACTGATGTTCTCAAGACCTTCCTTGTATTCTGAAGGAGTACATTTTGTCTTTTTGCTTAAAGTATCGGTGTCATCCAGTTGTAGCTGAGACGCTTTCCTTTTGGCCATGTTAATTATCTTGGTGGGGAACCGTACCAAATCAGCAACATGAATACCAAAGGATTTATCAGATACACCAGGTTCCACACGATACATCAATGTAATATCATCTTCCTTGTCCCCCTCGGCTTCCTTCTCAATATGAGCTACAACATGTAAGTTTTCCACTTGGTTGGGATATTTATCTGCCAACTTTGTTAATTCATGGAAATGGGTAGCAAATAATGTGAAGCATCTTCTAGAGGTAATAATATATTCCAGGATAGCATAAGCAAGTCCAAACCCATCATACGTCGAGGTACCTCTACCTAATTCATCGATGATAATCAATGAATTATGTGTTGCAGCACTCAAGATTGATGATGTTTCAAGCATTTCGATCATGAATGTAGATAAACCTTTCAATTGTGAATCACTGGCCCCTACTCTTGATAAAATAGCATCAAAAATTGGAAGCTCTGGGGTTGCAAGATCATCATCGTCACCTTCAACAGGAACAAAAGAACCAATTTGAGCCATAAGTGCAATCACACCTACTTGTCTGATATACGTAGACTTACCACCCATATTTGGTCCTGTAATTATGGCAAAGCTCTTTCCTAATCTTTCATCAGGTCTCCCAGGATTAGACATAAGAACATCATTAGCAATAAAGTTAACATCATCTTGAACTTCCAAAACTGGGTGTCTAGCATTATGTAAACGAATCTGTCTATCAGTATACTCATCGCTCTCAAGTGTTGATGCCAATGGATGTAAAATGGGTTGAGTGAAGGGAGTAGGGGCGAATATTGCACTGTTGGCAAAAGCTGTAATCACATCAACATGAGATAAGGTTAACCCTAACCTTGTGAATACTGTAGAATAAGTTAAACTGATGGAAATGATCTCTTTAACTAATTCTCTCTGCTTCAGGTTGTATGATTGGGATAATTGAGTATACTCTTGAGATGAAGCCTGTAATTCCCTAGTTGTAAAATAAACACCAGCCTTCACGGTTTGCAATTGATTATACTTCTTCCCAGTATTACGTAAAACCACAGAATCGTTACGAGTTACTCTGAAACACCAACCATGCTGTTGATGCTTCTCTAATTTCAATTTCTTATCAATGTCCATGTTAAGATCCTCGCCAACCTCTAGGTGGATAGCCTTCATGGCTTCAAGGTTCAGTTGGATTTTTTCATTAATTGCAATCAAATCCTCATCAAATTCAGGCCTAATATTAAAGTCATTGGAAAACAAATCATGAGCTGAGGTAGACTCTAATGGAGATAAATCAATGGTTGTTTCCACCAATTCTTGAAATTTAATAAGAGGTAAATATGCCTCTTTTATAGGATTATACCATATTTCTGTAATGAGTTGCTTTTTAAGTTCATCATTGGTGTCTTGTAATACCATTTCCAAGAATTCCACTAAACTTGGTAATATCAATACTAATTGATAAAGACGAACTACGTCTTCCAATTTTTTATTTTCACCACCTGAGGAATTACCATCCAAACGTTTGAACCCAATGGAAAGCTTTTTAATAAGTCTCTTGATATCAGGTACTTTTGGTAAAAACTCTTGTGTGAAAAAGATCCTCAAATTAGTGTCCTCGATTAACGACTTGACCAATTGTTGTCTTTCTTTAATCATTTTCAAGTTGGTCAAAGGTTGTTTCAACCATTGAGAAAGTAATCTTGAACCAGCATTGGTTTTGCATTTGTTCAAAAGTTCATAAATCGAAGTAACTGTTTGTGATTGTTTAGTTGGCACTTTACTGTTTAAAGATGATGGGAAAATATTCAATGCTCTTAATGTCAGTGCATCCAACTTCATAAAGTTAGACAAAATGTACTTGTTTAAAGTGAAAACCGAGTTCAATGACAATAACTCCAAATAGGCAATTATGGCATTACAGCATGAAAATGAAAGTGGCATTGAATTAATATCTATGCCCTTACTTGCAAGAATCACTTCAATACTTTTTTCCTCTGAGTGTTCTAAATCTCTTTTGTCAGAGACAACTAATTTACTTAAATCTTGCTCAATATCCTTGGCATTAAACGATGATGATTTCACTGATGTAATCACAAGACCACCAATCCGATCCAATACTTGAAAGAATTTGGCGTAATCTTGAGAGGTTGCGGTGTTCAGGGGATCATAGTTTGAAGGAACAATGACTTCCTTAATTCCCAATTGCAATATTAAACTTTCCAAATTCGAGTATAAGTCGTTGTCTTCAAATTCAGAAATTTGCATCTCAGAACTCAGTAAATCAACCAAACAAACACCTATATGTTTTGTGTTGGTACCAACTTCAGTTGTAGTGTTCTGGAATTTGATTGCTGCAGCCACAGGTGTTGAACCATCCAGAAACAAGCCTTCTAGATTGACTTCATATTCGTTGGATAACGCCTCCAAATTTCCAGGTGTAGCCATACATATTAATTCATACGTTTTGTTGTTGTAGAACTCCACCTTGTATTGGTTCTGGATAAGACAAAAGCGTAGAACGTTATTGGTAAGCACTTGGGGTGATATCGTTACGTAGCGATGCTTCCCGTTCTGGTTATACTTGACCACAGCCTGAGTCTTATAGATATTGTTTGCAATTAAGTCTGCATCTTCGTTCAATACGGTGAAATAATCCTTATTATTGTGATCAACTATTCTAATGGTATTTGCATCCTTAGGAGGTAAATTGGCGTATTTATGGTAGAACAGACGTTCGTCCCCGGCATCAGTAAACTTTAAATCAGGACGCGTACTCGACATGATATCAACTAGTGTCTCTTACTAAGTGGATTGTAGAAGAAACAGTATAAATGAAGTATTAGTTTTCAAGTATACGCGTCACAATACGTACCTTACTTTATTTATGTTGCTTATGTAATAAAATGGTGTTCCTTATGTAATGTCGCTGTTTGAAATGTGGAAGGTGCCCAGTTTGCGGGTAACTAAGGATAACCCAAATATATCTGAATAAAATATGACTATACAAATAGTAGATCCATTTTATAGCAACAAATCATATCAAATATCTGCGACTTTATTGTTGAATTTGGTTCCGTATTGATTTCGGTTGTGAAGATTTGGAGTATTCATCGTAAGTTTAATTGAAAATTTATCTTATTTTACCACAAATAAAGAAGGCACTACTGGTGTTCGGGTGTTTGTATCTACACCTATGGATATACACCTAAATTACATGATGGGTGTTCCGGTGTCATTACAATCAATTATAAGAAAAGTATTCATTCGTATATTATATTTAGTATCTGTTGTATCTATCATCTTGGTAGTTGAACTTAGGTTCATAATCTGGGTGCCATTGGTCTCTGTCACCGTAGTTAGCATCGTATTGTCTGTAGGCATTGTCAACAGCTTGTTCTTTAAGCTTTCTGGAGTCCATGTAGTCCAAACCCTTAGTTTCAACCAACTTGTCAACTTCACCACCAACAAAACCAGCAAGCAATTCCTTAGCAAAGGCATGGGAAACTGGCTTACCTTCAGATCTTTGTCTATCTTCAAAAATCTTCATAGCACCGAATGAAGCAGCACCCGCTACCATTTCATGAGAGAACTTACCCTCATGGTTACCAGAGTTAACTTCTTCGTAGTGATCACCGAAACCGAACATTTTATATTATATTACTTTTTTTATGCTTTAATGAATGACATAAAGAATTGTGACAAAATGGAGAGATTGTGCACCTTTTATATTCAGCAATTGATGAGGTTAGGGCCGCCTCACATTTCGACAACTTGAAATTATAAACACTAATTTGTCGGACAACCTTATAACATATATTATTTTGTATATTATTTTGTATGATCGTATGAAATTTCAGACATAACCGTCGATCCACGATCCACTTGAAACCAGACAAAAAATAATACGCCTTGTGTTAAGTAGATTGTTTACCAAACACAATAGAAAATTTACCAAATCTAAAACGATCACGACACAACTTTTGACAGGTGTCAAATGCGTCAAAAATTGCTTCGTGATCTGACACCGTATACCAAAAAATGTCTGCACCTACTCCGCACCAGCCCCTATTTTTAGGTGCGTTTTATGTTCGTTCCTAGCCTAGGAATAGGAAATTCCAAAGCGACGATCATTCCATTTATTGTGGAAGTGGCTGAGTACTTGACCCCTTGAACGGTGTGGACGCAGTTTGTGTCCACTCTTACCAATTGGCATTAAAGCGTTCAGATTTGTTTAAAATGTCTATTCCAGTTAGAATACGAGAACTTTCAGATAAATGACGTTTCAACTCAAAAGGGTTAAATCGTATTATTACGTAATTGCTTACATAAAATTTCTATTTGTCTCATTTAAGACAGTGGTTCACTTGACTCTGAACCGGATCGGAGTCAATCTTTATTCAATATAATTCAACATTAGGAAAAGTGATGAGACAAACCAAGATTTTGACCTCTACTCTTCTATAATCTAACACTATTAAATCACCCATATAATGGCCTCCTTAACTCAAACCAATCTCGACGGTATATTACCTTTGATTGCCAGGGGTAAAGTTAGAGACATCTACCAAGTTGACGATGCTACATTATTGTTTGTAGCTACTGATAGAATCTCTGCTTATGATGTTATAATGGAAAATGGTATCCTGTCCAAGGGTAAGATATTGACTAAATTGTCTGAATTTTGGTTCGAATTTTTGAGTGAATCTATTCCCAACCATTTGATTTTGACCAAGAACGACGACGCTAGTTTGTTTGCCAAGTTACCTAAAGAATTATCTGAGCCCAAATATAAAGATCAACTTTCAGGAAGATCTCTTTTGGTTAGAAAATTGAAGTTGATTCCCTTAGAAGTCATTGTCAGAGGTTACATCACCGGATCTGCTTGGAAGGAATACAAGAAGACTCAGACTGTCCATGGGTTACCTGCAGAAGCTGGTTTACAAGAATCACAAGAGTTCCCAACACCAATCTTCACACCTTCAACAAAGGCTGAACAAGGAGAGCATGATGAAAACATTTCTCCCGAGAAGGCTGCTGAGATTGTCGGCAAGCAATTGTGTGACCAACTTGCTTCTAAAGCCATTGAGTTGTATTCCAAAGCCAAGGAGTTTGCAAAGACAAAAGGAATCATCATTGCTGATACCAAGTTCGAATTCGGATTAGACAGTGAGGGTAACATTGTACTTGTTGATGAAGTGTTGACCCCTGACTCCTCCAGATTCTGGAATGCATCTACCTTCAAGCTTGGCCAATCACAGGACTCTTACGATAAGCAATTCTTGAGAGATTGGTTGACTTCCAATGGGTTGGCTGGAAAAGATGGTGTTTCTATGACAGAGGAGATTATCACCAAATCCAAGGCCAAGTACATTGAAGCCTATGAATCTTTGACCGGTGAAAAATGGTCAGATTAAATTAACGTAATGCAATATAAGAAAATGACTATATAATAATATTAATAATAATAATACCAATAATAATGTTAATGATTTAATACCTTGCGTTTCTTCTAAGGTATACTTCGTCAAAATCAGGTGTACATCTCTTATCAAGAGTCATGCGCTCCATTTCATCTGTTACTCTTCTCTTCTCTGTCATTTGATGATATCTAGTAGGAGAAACACCACCACCACTACCACCACCACCTGTACCCAAGAGCTTAGCAGATGAATGGGAAGTGAACTCATGATCTTCATTTCGAGCTTTCAACGGTGTCCTTCTTACACCCAATTGTAATTTCTCCGATAAGAATTCTTCACTAGTCAAGTCTTTGGGACCTTTTAACTTGACATTATGGGACACAGGAGGATTCAGGGATGCAGTTCGTAAACCAGTATCTCCATTATATGGTTGTTGTTGTTGTTGTTGCTGTTGCTGCTTAGCTAAATATTCCTTAACTCTAAACTGGACTTCTTGCTCTACAACTAGTTTAAATTCTCTCTGATAACCTAAACGGACTTCTTTCAATTCAAGATCCATTTGCTTTTTCCGAGCTTCAAACTCTTCAAGTAAGTCCTCTTCAAATTGTTTCTTATGGAGACTCAATTTCCGTTGCATGGATTCATATTTCTCATCCAATGTTTCCTGTTCAAGCTGAAGTTTTCTTTCTAAGTTTCCCAAATACTGTTCTTTCTTTTTCAATTCTCCATTTTTAATGGTCAACTGCTCTTGGAACTCTTTTAATGTAATCACTAACTCCTGTAGTTCCAGCTCCTTCCGAACAAACTTGACAGTGAGCATCTGTAGAAGATCAAAACATGAGGCTCTCTCATTGGGGTCCACAACTATACATTGATCGACCACCGATTGAAGTTGGGATGAATAACAAGTGGGTAAAGGATTTAAAACCCCTTGCTTAATCTTAGTCTGTAATTGTAAATGAGTCTTTGCTTGGAACGGAGGCTGTAACGTACAGAGCTCATAAATAACACACCCCAACGACCAGATATCACATACTGGTGTATAGGGGTTGTCCATTAGTACTTCTGGAGACATATAATAAGGAGTCCCCACATAAGTTTTGGCAAAATCATTCTGAGATGTTATCATCTTAGCTAACCCGAAATCACCAAGTTTAATGGTCTTATCAGAACTTGTTAAAAAGATATTGTCGGGCTTAATGTCTCTATGTATGATGACGGTTTCATTGTTTATCGTTGGTTCAGAGTGATCTCCAAGATCCAGTAAATTATCCTTTGGAGCATCTATCCCATAGTGGCATTTATGCAATGCCAATAAGATTTGTATTAGAACTTTCCAAATGAATGTTTCAGGTACACGTTCTTTACAACTCTTGAATCTTTTAATGCAATGAGCCAAATCTCCTCCTTCACAATATTCCATATAAATATGAATAAGTTTCCTATCCAGGAAATGTTCATGACTGTAATATTTGACGATGTTTGGATGGTTAAGTTCTCTTAATATTCGAAGCTCGGAAATGGTTTGCATTCTTTCATGGGTATTCATTGAGGTGTATTCAATCTCTTTCCTTACAAAGATCTCTCCGTCGACTATTCTTCGTACTCTTCGAACTGTTCCAAAGGAGCCTTTTCCTATCACCTCCAACAGTTCATACTCTTCGCTGATACTCATTTAACGGTGATGATGATGTACACACAAATACTGCTGATGCTATCTTTAAGAATGGTATGCTTTATGCGTGGCTCACGTGGTAGTCAATATCGTAGAACTTGGGTACATCTAACGGCTTCAACGTCAGTAAACAACTATTATCCTGTTGTATCCAACACCAGACACTATTCACTAGTTGAGTTAAACAGACACTGAATTCTTGCTATGATCTGTTTACCCAGTCTTGTTTATGTAACTCCCAAAAGGGAAAACCAATGATTTTGTGATGCCTGTGTAGGGCCACCGGTTTTCGCAGCCGTATATAACATGGAGACACTGTGAGGAATTAATAGAAATTTTGGTGAATGTCGTCAATATCGTTTCAAGAGGGTAGGTTTAATAGTACGTGGAATATAGCAAGACATGTCACATTCTGTCTACGGCGTAGACAGAATGTGATGTGGTATAGGTATAAGATACATAGATTATATATGTCATATTCTTTGTCATATGACTTATTCATTTATATATAAGCTCGTACATAACTCATAATATGCATTGTGATATCATGCACCATGTCACTGTTATTCCATTGACTCTTTATTAGCAATGGCATACTCATCTGTAATTTCAGGATTAGTAGTAGTTCCTTCGCCATTAAAGTAATATCCAAATGGACTTTCCCCCACGGTAGGACTTGTTACCTGAGAGTTCAAACTAGAATGGAATAATGCTCGAAGATATTCACTACTACTGTTTCTTGAGACAATCTCATCCAGAGCTAAGTAGCCATTTTTTGTTTGAAGCTCCGATTCAATTCCCGTTGAATCGGGTTTACAATCCCGTGATGATTCAGAGACTGAAGTTGACTGCATCATATCTGCTCCAGAGCAGATATCTTCTCCCTCTTTGATTTCAGTAATATATGCACCATTATGTTGAACTGAGGGATTTGGAATAATCTGTCTACTATTCAATATGGTTTCAATCTTTTGATAGAGCCCATTAGGTAATGTGAAATTGGATTTGAACTTGGAAACCATCCCGAAAACAGCTCGAATACTATCGTATATCGATGATACGGGGAATGATATGGGTGCTTTGAAATGAATAACCTCAGCCGCAGAATCAGCTAGTCCATTGGCAATTTCTAACAATTTCACCACTACCCCTGGACCATTAGACTCAAATGCAAACACAGGAAGTTCTGAAATTGACGTGAGAAAGTCATGGGCTATTTTATGTGGATGTGCAACACTTAAACAATTGTTATCATCTCCACTAGGAGATATCATACCACTACTATGTGATGCATGCCATACAAGAGACATCATCCAATACTTTGAAAGAATTATATTAGCTGCTTGAATAGACGAAGTAGGGTGTTGGATTTTAACCAAGTTTAATCGATTTTGAATCTCAACAATCCAATTATTATTGGCATCATTAAACCCTTCGCCCATAATATCTCGAAGTATAATGTCGGAACTCAATTGTTCTGGATTAACTGAAACGGTCATCCGATCAAAAAATTTCCTGTTTGGAGCCAGAAAGATCTTGGCTAATTCTGTAAAACCCGATAATAAAGATGGATATTCTTCATCATATAATGAAGGAAGTGGTATCAGGGCATCCAATACAACAGGAATACCTTCCTGAATATTTGTATATCTTTCAGTGATTAATAAAAGATAGTATATTTTGCTCAATCTATGAGATTCTATTGTAGTCTTACCTTCGTAGGTCTTTGGCTCATGTAATTTCATTAATTGTGCAATGGCCAATGCTTCTCTCAAATAAAGAATGGCAGGACTAACCCCATCCTTGTCATTAATGTAATAAACATATAAGAAGAACGACGCTAGTAATGTTTCAGTGCTGGGTTTCATCCTGTGGTTATATATATGAATTATTCTAAGACATTCATTGGCAAACACACTTGGATCTATTTTGTTATTCCAGTTGACTATCTGAGCATTCTTAGGGCTAAGAAATGAAACTTGACGAGATATTGCTGCACATATGGATAATGCCAACGCGTAAATAACTGAAGTGTCGTAAGACATTGGTTCTTCAATGTACATACTTTCCATTTTGCTGATCAAATCCGGGACTGAAACCACAGGCCATACTCCATAGTACCAAGTTTGAAATACATGAAGAGTTGGTAGTTGATCATCCAAGGTTAGAAGTGTGTGATCTGATTTCCCAGATGGCCCAGAATTTGTAGGCCTTGAACTAAAATTACTGTTGCCAGGTTGCCGGGAATCTGAAAAGTCTGTGAAACCCTCAAGTTCAGCTATTCGTTGGGGTGGAGCATATCGATCCGACTTCGCGAATGAAGCATCGTTGAAGAAATCTCGAGTTGTTTTGGAAGAACTTGATGTTTTCAATATAAAATGATGATCCCTTGTTGAAGGAACCTCTTGGGTTGGATTTGAATTTGAATTTGGGTTTGAGTTTGAGTTTGAGTTAGAAGATGAAAGTAGTGGTTCAGATGAGATGCCTAGACGTGATTGATTCAAATTCAGCAGGGAGTTTGAAGTGGATGAAGATCTGGAAGAAGACTGCAGTTCCGAGGTCGTCTGATGGTTTACTATGATTTCTTTTGGTTTAGGACCACATTTTTTACGGATCCGAACATTAGTACATTCAACTTTATTCAGCACACATCTTGTACATGGTACTGTGCCACTGCATCGCACTTTCTTGAAGGCACATCCATCACATGGACGTGAATACTTTTTAGGTCGACTATTAGTTCGTGTGCCTCGTTGCTGTTTATCTGATACCTCTTGACTAACAGCCTTTTGATATGAAGGTAATTGCATTGCTTCTAATATTGATTGTTGGATTTTGGTGATGGGTACATATCGTTCGGAGTCTTTGAGATTGCTGTAGGAAGAACTGGCCGCATGATCTCCATGTGCCACTTCATATGGCATTGCTTAAATGATCTCTAGTAGTTGCCTTTATTATAGTGATCGTTTAGGTATAGTGTTTTCATCGGACTCGCTCTTCTGCATTTGAAATTTTCTCCGCATTACATTTTACAATTGTTGGTGAACAAAAGACAAAAGACCCCACTACGGTCTCCACCAAAGTGGAATTTACTAAGAGAAGATCATTATTCCATGAACAGCGTCAAGGCCTATGCAAACATATATATGCTATGTGAGCAACGGTACAAATGCACACTTAGTGTTGGGTTATATAGGTATGGTTACGGGTATGGTTGTAGACGTTGCTTAGTGACTTGAGCTGCCTTTGTGGCTTCTGGTGACGGTATCTGAGTGCCAGGATTTCACGGCTGTGCCCACTGTAGATTTTGTAGTGTGGGGTGCAGGGCCAATAATGTTTATGTAGTTTGTGGAAGTTTGCGCGGGGGATAATATGCAGTGAACAGCGTGTTTTTTGTTTGCCATAATAATATGACTCTCACTGTAATATCAAATGTTTTAACAAAACCAGAATCCATCGGATAAAATTCCCCACAAAGCGTACAACAACGTACTCTCGGGGCGTGTTCGTTCTACAGTGGACATTACCAAATCAAATGTTGAAATCAACTGGTAGCGATTGGTTTTTCTTTAAATAGGAGACAAGACTGCATAGTTGATGTATGGGGTAACACCTAGTATTTCCTGATATTTTGTTGACTCCCGCGTTAATATAGTCGATTTGGGGCTAGTGCTACCAACACTCAAACTGGTGGTGAGCTGCTGCTAGGTATTGAATTATCATCCCTTCAAAGGCAATAAAGTGACCAATAGTTGTAATAACCTTCTAGAAGATAAGTCAGAATATTACAATAGAATGGCAATGTCTTTGTAGGTGTATTTCGCGCACTAACTCTATCCGGAGTTTAGTCTAGCGTCTTTGTTCAATCAAATTATGTCGATTCCGAAGTTTGATTATGCGTTGTAACTCCGGGCTTATACGGCACAGATTTGACAGCCAATAAATAGCCATGGTATTTTCCTCCTCCTCTGCTACATTCAATTGATTCTAGTTCATTCGATAACATTGATCATGTATCTTCGTTCTCGAATTCCTCGTTTAGCGCATAGGTATCGTCGAGTTGTTCCTGTTCGGGCTTATTCGCAGGCGTTAAGACATTTACCATTGAAGAACAATCTCCAATGGAAGTTAGCAATTGGGTCGATTGCAGTATTGGTGTCTGGTAGTTACTTATTAACACCCAACGAGATTCGTTTAGACTCCCCTCCAACAGGTACTCCTGTTTCATCCGAAGAACTCAGTAAACATACAACGTTGCAGTCAAGAATTTGGGTAGCTATCAATGGTGATGTTTACGATTTGACAGATTTTTTATCGCTCCATCCAGGTGGTGCAAAGATCATCATGCACTATGCTGGTAAAAATGCCTCCAAGATCTTTAACAAATATCACGCAAAGGACTTCTTTGCCAAATTCTTAACTCCGGAGTCGTACGTTGGCCCATTGATAGATGAATTGGATGAAGAGCCAGATATCACTGAGAGTGGGGATGCCGAAGAAAGAAAGAGGATGATGGAAAATAAGCCACCATTGTCGGATATGTTCAACCTATCCGATTTTGAGTACGTAGCCAAACAAATTCTCCCTCCTAATGCATGGGCCTATTACTCATCAGCCGCGGATGATGAAATCTCTTTAAGAGAGAACCACTATGCTTATCACAGAATATTTTTCCACCCTAAGGTGTTGGTGGATGTTAGTGAAATTGATATATCAACAGAATTTTTAGGAGAAAAGGTGGATGCTCCATTTTATTGCTCAGCAGCTGCTCAGGCAAGGTTGGGAAATGAGGATGGTGAGCTATCAATTGCACGAGGATGTGGTGATGAAAATATCATTCAAATGATTTCTTCTCAAGCTTCATTTTCCTTTGATGAAATTACTGATGCTAAACCGGACGGTGCAAATCAATGGTTTCAATTGTATGTCTTACCTGATAGAGAAAAGGCTTATGATGCCATAAAAGCGTGTGAAAAGAAGGATATCAAGGGTATATTTGTAACTGTAGACACTGCATTGCTTGGTAGAAGAGAGAAAGATTTGAGACACAGAGTCTTTAGCACTGGTGATGGTGATGATAATGAAGTAACTGCATTTGTTGCAGAAAATGACCCAATTATGGCTTTTAAAGATCCCATTTTAACTTGGAAAGATATCCAAAAGTTCAAAGAAGCTACTGATATCCCCATTGCCATTAAAGGTGTTCAAAGATTAGAGGATGTGTTGATTGCGATAGATAATGGGGTCAGTGCTGTGGTTTTATCCAATCATGGTGGTAGACAACTTGATTTTGCCCGTTCACCAGTTGAGATTTTAGCTGAAGTGATGCCTGTATTACGTGAACGGGGATTGGATAAAAAAATTGAAGTTTATGTCGATGGTGGAATTAGTAGAGGTAGTGATGTGATCAAGGCATTGTGCTTGGGTGCAAAAGGTGTGGGGTTGGGTAGAGCTTTCTTGTATGCTAATTCTGCGTACGGCGAAGATGGTGTAAAGAAGGCAATTCAATTACTTAAAAGCGAAATGTACCTTGACATGAAATTATTAGGTGTGAGCAAGATAGAGGACTTAACACCCGATTTGTTGGACTTGCGGAATTTATATGCTCGGCCACACTTGAATGACTATCTTTACAACCAAACATACGAGCCATTACAATCACCTAAATTTAGAGAGCCTCAAGATTGAGCATTCGTATGTTTAAGTAAAAAGCTTTACGCATATTCGATTTTTATACATGCATCATTAGCGCTACAGGTCACCTTTCAAAATGTTCACCTTCTCAATTCTTGGCCTTAAAGATCACTTTTGTCCATTGTAATTAAATCCAACCATCATAGTTTTATTATTTTGAGTTTTTTAGGTGCTATAGAAATCTTATAGCCTTTAAACCTGTCCACTGACTTTTCAAGAGATCGCATGGGATTAGCTGGGGACATAGTGTTGGAGATTTGACAATCGTCTATTTTCAGCATTGATGTGGTACTTTTAAAAAGAGGGGTGAATGACGTTTCAGTGGTTCAAACAATTAGTCAGTGTGTTATTTATTATTGGCTAAGGTGCTTTACAGTAAATCCTCTTCCACATCAAGACCATATCTTTAAGGGAATCAATGAGATAATTACATTATTTCATCTTAACAATAGTTAATGATCAAGGTAAAATTTACCACAGTAGTTTGGGGTACAATGGGTCTCCTGTCTCTTACAAAATAATAATTATTCAGTGCTTCGTCAAAGAAACGACTTCAGTATATGACCCACATTTGTGTAGTGTTTGAAATTTCAAATGATTCCTGAACAATCCACTTACAATTGCTTTCTTATTCTTTCCTAGTTTCTAGCGATTAATCAAGGTTTATGCGTATTTGAGAAAACCACATTTGATACTGCAAAGAACACATAATGTAAAAAGACCCCACTCGTAAACTTGCTTCAGTTTCTACTTATTAAAAGAATAATACAATTATGTAGTGACTATTACGTATCCCCACCCCAAAAACAAAGACTCTTCGAAATATCTAGTAAAGGCACTTCCTTCTTGAATATTGAAAAGCAAATCTTTTCAAAAATAAATGGAAAGAGGTGGTCTACTATCCCAACTTAAGATTAGATCTCCCTGGAAACGCATATATTATGTGTCGCATGCATCGTATATCATGCTGTTTTGGCTCCCACTGTGAAAATGAAATCCTTACGCAAATGGAGTTATATAGATTATTTCCGAATTTGAAGTTCTAGTGACAATATTATTCAGATATGGTTTCTTGATTAGAGGCATTAAAAACTTTCCGTGGAAGCTAACTTCTTGTAATTAATTCACTGAAGACTCAACTAGTTAGAATTTATATAGAATCTTACCTTCTAAGTACTACCATTTTGATATAGGATAAGTATTGGGCCCATTACTTTGAGGAGTCCAGTTGTTGTGTGAAAATCATAAAGTCCGGTAAGAATGAAAGACACTACCAATTTGTACTGCTAGCTCCAACTTCAAAACAACCGCTATTTCACAAATCAATTGAAATCTGAGCTAAATTGACGATATCCACTCTTAATGAGGAGAAGCTACCGTGGGATCCTCAATTTCAACTTTATTAGCAAACAAGAAAGTTGACATCAGAGGAATCTTAAAGCCTTATTTCACCAGCAGCTTACATAATTGCTTAATTGTTGAAAAGGCCTTGCACGCTTTGTTCTTATCTAGGTTTAACCAATGAAATTGACCTTATATATATCGACATGGTGTATACATAGTGTATGCATTACTTCGATTAGAGTATGTGTATGGGCATCTCTTAATTTTGCGCCACAAAATACCGAAAGAACATTTTGAATTTTATTTTTTATGCTAAGTGCACAAGTGTTCAATTTTGTGCTCTAGGTTAGGTATGATTACAATAGGTCGCGACAAAAACTCTTTACTCTTATGGGTAGGGAGCAGCTATGGACGACTTGAAGTGAGATTGAAATGAAGGCCTTGTGTTTTGTAAATGCATTCTGAGTAACATCACGTTATGAATGAAGTTTCTTGATGAGGGAGGATTTGACGGTTCGCGTATCGCGCAATGACATACACAAGAAAAACTGGAGAACCTAATAACGATATAATAAAGTTCAAATTGCTTTCTCCTATTAACTAAGATTTACGTAAATTGTGAAATAGAGCTACACAGTATCTAAGAAATGTGTAATCTGAAAAAAAAATCTCATACTTTAAATGTTTGGTTAGTTCCACTGATATACAATAACTTCACAACTTCTCGATTACTACCCGACCGAGAAACAAGGATTAAACTTTTACTCAAAGAACATTGACCTGCGTTCAAAATCTTGATGTTCCTTTGTTGAATGGAACGTATGTGACCCTATTCTACCTCACCTGCATCCCTACAACAATCAAAAAAGAGGCTTGTTCCTTTTAAGACAGGAAAAAAATATCCCCGAGGACCCTATGTCACAAAAGTCCTTTATTGTATAATTGGCTTATTCAATTCAAATGCATTTGAATACAATACCCTGCTAACATTGCAAAAATGAGAAAGGCTCTTCACAACCTTAAATTGAAGCCACTATTTTACAGTGTTGCAGGCAACTACTCTCATAGCAATGCTGTTGACGCAATCGCTAACACTTAGGCGTCATTCAGAAAGGAATGCAGCATCGCTTATCTTGGCAACCCAGACCATTTAAACTGAAGATATCAGTGATGGGCGATCAAGATTGCATAGATGAGAGAACGAATAGCCGAAATGGGGATTGACACAACAATTATTCCATTCGACTCAAAAAATATACTCTACAAGCAACGTGACTACACATACAGCCTAAAGATATTACATTGTACATATGCTTACAAGGAAAAAGATCTCTATTTATAGCAACATTGCCATAATGACAACTCTGGGTCCTTTACTCATGTAGACTGTACAATTGAGATTTCTAATGCTCTGAAGAAGTTTACACTGGAATTCGCAATATTAAAATACCATGGCTTGTAAAAACCTGATGGCCCTATAATAGTGCAAGTTTTAACGGGCATTTTGTTAGACTCAGCTAAAAATGTTAAGTCCGATGTGTGTTAAAATACACTTAAAAGTTGCATATTGCTTAACTACAATTAAATTTTGGTTGTAGCTACAATCCTTTGCAAAAGTAACTTCGTAAATGTGTCGATTCGTGAAGTGCAGAATAATAACTTCTAAGATGCACACCAAACTTTAAGTTAAATAATACAGATTAAAGACGAGTTTAACAAACCTTTTGCGTGAAATTAAAGCTTAAATCTACTGACTTGACTTCCCGCCGAAAAAGAAAACGTTGGCTTTTGCACTCCCAATGAATAACAGCTTCAGAGCGGGACAATATTTAGTCATGAGTCTGTCTTCGATCTCTGATAATGGAAAACACAGATCGTTTGATAACAATCATTAAATAGTAAACTCAAAGGTGAAAAAAACACTTTCCAGTTTTATAGACCAGATCTCCAATTTACGGTTTTGCTGATTTTTCATTTATATCCATTATGTGCTCAGCAATGAAATCCCGAAAATGCAGTTATGAAAGATTATCCTATATATAAAGAAACCCTAAATGCATAAAACTCCCTGTAAAGGGTTTAAGAAAGCTGCATGCGGAAAAGGTCAGGGCATCACTTCCGAGGTTGGAAGATCGTATAAACTATTGTTTAATTTTCACACAACAACGAATAAATCGGCATCCATAGTCAGTAACCTCAGTCAAACACTACGCTCTAATCAAGTCGAAATCAAGGATCACCAATTTCCAAAACGCATAGTAGAAAATGACGTCTTTTCTTCACAGAGCGAACTAAATGAATTGTAAACTAACAAACTAGTTAGTCTTAATTGGTGTTCTGGTCTCAACTTAAGAAGAACAAACTTTCTATTTTATTTTTTGTGACTTCACGATCACTTTGACGCAGTACAGCAGTTTTCTCTGCAATGACAATCTTTTTGTTCATAACAGTCGCATTTAGGAACAATAGAGACTATTGTATTATTGTGGGATATTTTAAAGTTCCAAGAGAATATAAGTGCTATTGCTTGGAGTGCATTTATTTTTGCAGCTGGAGTTACATACTCTATCCTCTTTTTCATAGTTGAATTACTTCAATTGCGGCTAAAGTCAAGTGCAACGGTATAAAATAATCAAACAATAATAGAGGCGTTTTTTTCATTATGTCGATTGTCCTAAGTTCTAGCTTGTTCTACTCGTAAAACTAAACTGTTTAAGCTATGAAAGTTTATCCTTTGACGCAATTTGACCTTTGTTTCTAGGAAGGGACCCATGCTACAGAAGTAGACTATGTAAGCAACATCTTTGTTGTGGACTTTCAGAATTATATAAATATTTCAGACAAGCCACGAGTATATCTGTTCAAAGTCTGGTTATGATTTAGGGGTTTATACTAGTTTTGAAAACACTGATTTCTAGTTGTTTGTTCGCTCTATAGGCTGAATCCAGGAACCACAAGATGGTCACGTTCGTTAATACCTGGACGGGAACAACAACCCTGACTTCGACAGGTTTCTTGGGTAACGTCTACCTCTATGTTCCTCGTACTACTTTAACAAGACCAACTTCAACTGGTACTTTCACAGACTCTGGAACAATTACAAATACGCAAAATTTACTTCTTTTAGGTGGTGATACTGTCACAGTAATCCCATATGTTCCTTTCTCACAAACTACGCTCCCAACTCTGACAACAACTGGTTTAACACGTACTACTACAATTACAGGTAACGATGGTACAGTTACTTA